TTTTGACTTCAATACTGCTTTGCCCTTCAGGCTTGGATGCTTCTTTTCTTGGTTGGGTGGCCTTTCCAAGAACTGATCTTTCTCTCTTTGAACGCTTGCTGGGTGTCATAGACTGTTTCCTAGGACATTCAAACGAGCGGTGTCCTAATTGATGGCACGCATAACATATAATTCTAGCTTTCGACTTCTCACATTCAAATTTTGTGTGTCCAGTTTGGTGGCAATACCTGCACCAAGTGGGCATGTTGTTCCAGGTTGCGTGGAATATTTGGCTTTCGCTTTCGCACCAACGAATGTTATGCTCCAAAGGCTGATACTTGAGGTTGTCTGTTGATTCTGAGGGACCAGAAGGAATACCAATGACGGCATATCCTGCGCCCATAAACCATCCGGTGGTGGTTTCTGTATTGATTCCTACATCAATTACCTTTCCAAATGGAGCTAAACTCTGTTGCACGCCCTCAAGAACTATCCTTTTGGGACGTAAAGGTAATTGGGACAATCTCACAGTAACAAATCGGAGTGTGGCATCTGCGGCCTTGCAAGGGAAAATTCGCAATTTTGACTTTTTAAAGACAACACCATGCTCCATAAGATCATTGTCATCATCATCTTTTTCAATATACAATTCCAAGTACTGAGTTGGGCCATCTCTCAAGATGGAACAAGCGTAGATCTTTGGGTGTTGAGCGCTGATTTCCTGCATACACTGGAGATCAGTGTATTCTTTCTTAACTGGAGTAATGTCGAGTAAGAAAGCATCCTCATGGCTAGCTACTCGATAAATTCTCGACTGAAATTCTCGCAAAGGTGAGTCTGCATCTTCGTCAGGTTCAACGATGCCTTGGTGCATGAGTGATAATCGAGTTCTAGCTGCTACACTAGCATATGATCTTAGTTGTTGGGTGGCTTTTAGGTTTGGAGATTTTTCAATCCCCGCAACCGACTGAAAGTGTTGAGAGTTGGGAAGAGCCATGAAAAGCATATAAAAGCATATAAAAGCATACAATATCTATGGTTCTATATAAGCGGGAAAAAAAGAATCTCATTTACCTCATTAACTCGTGTAACAAAAAAAAAAGAAAGGAAAGGCTGGAGTGTATAGGGCATTTCCCATTGTTGGTTGCAGCCCATATTGTTCCGCATTGGCTTAATAAACAAATGAGAGCAACGACTTTCGAATAAATTAATTTTGTTGAGAAACTTTTATGTACTGAGATACGACTGAAGAAAGGATGATAAAGCGTCAAAATATGTTGTATTTTCTCTTTCGATGCACTTCTAATTGTTCTGTGCTCCTTTTCAGCTGCTTTTTATGCCACAGCTTGACAATTTTCGACTGCTGTGACCATGAAATGATCTTCAGTAAGCATGTGTGCAAACTACTGTATTGAGCTTTCCAGAGCAATGATTGAACAGTGCAGCCTTCACACATTCGTGTCTACTGACATGTGTACATATGAGTGCTGGACTGGGTTTGAATTATAAGAGACCAGAGCATGGCGAGAAATTAAACATTAGTATACAGTGTTAAACGTGTGTTTGTAACGAAGAGGTTCAATTGAGTGTCAAATAGGCAATGGACATACATAAATCATGAAAGCAGTACCCAACAGGGGAGAGCAAAAGACATAATTTGGCTGCAATGTGATTGAAATAAGTAGAGAGGAGAGTAGTACCTGAGAAGAGATAAATCGCTGTAGTAATCTGGTTGTGGTTGATAAGTTTCAATACTTCAGCATCAAGAACAAGAAATTCTGCCCTTGTCGTCTTTCATAACTACAAATAATTAGTACGTGGGTAGTATCATTTCATAACGACCACCATGGTACATTAAAAAAGCAAATATTAGCCAAATCGATGACAATTTAATTAATCAAGATCAAAGCTTTGGGACTTCTAAACAACCTATAAAAGAAAAACCACACCTATATTAGTGTGTACAGAAGCTTCGTCGTGCATGACTACCTTTCTCTTATCGGGCAACAAGGCAGTCAAACAGGAGTATCTTCTATTTCTTTCGTGTAGAGTACCCGAGATTTGGCTTTTTCATTGGACAATGCGTTTCTTTTTACAGAATACATTTAGATGACTTTTTTATGTATGTGTTTCTTTTTTAAGGTAAAAAAAAAAAAGAAACTTTAAAGATACATAAGACACAATTTGAAGTCTTGAATAACATTTTTTTCCTTTTTTCAAGTATTGGAAAGAAAAGGAAACGCAAATGAGCCTTTCTACCTTTTTACAAAAAAAAAAAAAAAAAAAAAAAAAAAAAAGGTAATACGGACAGATGTTCTCATCTAAATGTGTAACATGTCAAAGTGATGACTGATCCCAAAAAAAAAAGAAAGGACGAATCTCGCCTACTCCTTCCTTTGTAAATGCAACAGATGTCTCATACCTATATAGACCAAATTCATTGGGAACTTTTTATCGATAAATCTTAGGGCTCTAAAGATTAAGAAAAGCCAAAAAAAAAAAATAAAAAATAGCCTGATATTCATCAGCAAATCCTTAAATATAATGGGTATGAATTTACAACTTTATTTTGACATATACAACAAATTAATCTTTTTTACTTAATTTTTTATAAAATGCAGCCTTCAAACTTGAGCTGCTGGAATAAGAACTAAAAAAACCTTCGCTTTTTCCTGCTTCATAACATGTTTTCCAGTCCATCCTACTTTCGTTTTGCTTGAACTGCTTAACATACTCCACATCTGTTTTAGGTACACTAATTTCCTCACGAAGAATATCAATAGAAGAGCTGCTTTCATTCATCATGCTTTTGGCCAAATCTGATAATTCGGGTGGTGGTGGCATAGACTCTACAAATTCTTTGTTTCTTTTTGTATACTTGTATTTACATGTTTGGGTGTAAAGAGCACCATCATCAGCATATGCGCGTAGGCGCTTTTTCAAAAGGGTGTCAGGCATGGGTTCTAGGGTGTTCAAAATTTTTTTGAACTGTAGATTGGTTTGATTGCAAACCTCAAGTAATACCTCAGAAGTTGATTGCTCTGCAGCGACTTTGGTCACTGTTTGTTCTTTAGCAATTGCATAGAGTGTTTGTAAAGTAGGGTCGTCTCTATATTCAGATGCTAGCAATGAAAGCTTTTTTGAAGAGAAGAAGTAGGCAATCGCCGCCAAAGGAGGGAGAGGAACAGTCTTGGTAGCTTCCATGAATGTGTTTTGATCAAGAATATAACATTTTTCTGCCCAGTACTTGCAAGGGATTTGCTTCATAAATGAAAAAGAAGTTACCTCAAAGTCCGAGCTGATTTCATTACGTGTTGCGTAGGTACCAAACACAACCACAATTGGCTTCGCTTTGTATTCTTTTTTCGCAAATAAGGAGTACCCTAAAAGGCGGTCAATAAAATCCAGGTTAATGGTATGTTGGACCTCAATTAACACTGGTGGCAATTCAGAGGATGTTACTGAGGCAGTATAAACAATGTCAGATTTTGTTCCATTGGCCCATTCAGTAGGCTTAGGTGTATAAAGAGAACGAGCATTCTCACCTATACAGAAAATCAGCACTTGTATACATTCAAGTCAGTGGGCGTCTCTTACCAACAACAGTCGTAACAATCATGTCAATCACAATGGAATCGCGTAAAATCGTTTTGGCCATTAAATCGCTTCCTGGTGGATATTTTGGGTCTAATTTAAAGAGCAAGAGGTCAGGATCTAAAAATCAATAAAGGGATTATTCTTAGCAATTAACGTGAAGTACAACAAAAAAAAATTAAAACTATACCAATAGGAAAAGATATGATACCGGTACCGGTACCCATGGGTACCGGTACCCATATTTATACAAAGAGTAACAACCAATCATAAGTCATCATATGACCACAGGCTAATTTATTGGATACCGATAGCGGTACCCATGGGTACCGGTATCAGTACTTACATAGCCAATCACAGGCTAATTTTATCGGTACCAGGATACCGATAGCGGTATCAGTACTTACATAAAGTAAGCTTGGGTACCGATAGCCAATTGAAATTAAAAAAGCGACCAATTTTTTCAGTAAAGTGAACACTGTAAGAAAGTTTGTTATTGTTTCAGGATGATCTTCTCATGGAAAGAAAAAAAAGGAAACTGGGAATGATTACAATTCAAAGTCCTCTATTACGAAATACATTCCGCATTGATTTATATGACAAGTAAACTTCCCTTATCTTCAAGGGCAAAGAATAATGAATTACTCAATAGAAACACAGAGGATAAGCACATAGCAAAAGAGAAAGAAAATAAGCAAAAGGGGATGCTTTTCTGTTTATAGAACTGACAAGTAGGGTGTTCATCGCATGTCTTATGCAAGTAAATAAGTTTATATGTAACACAAGGTTGGGCGTCCTCTCTATGAGATGATCTCTATCAAAAGAAAACAAAAAACCAAGGAAAGGAAGGGCAAAGAAAAGTAAAAAGTACTTATAAAAAAGCACGCAGCACTTTTTTCTATTTCTTTATCTTTTCTTTCTGTTTCTTTACTTTCTCTACTCTGGTCTCTTATGATCTCTCTCTCTTTTTGATTCGTGCCTTAACTATTTCAAGAACGCGTCTACTTTCTCTAAGGTTTCCTCTTTACTTGGTTGGTTCTATCTGCTTGGTTCTATCTGGTTGGTTCTCTCTCTTTGTCTCTCTACTTTGGTTACAAGTAGCTACGTATTGAGGATATACTAGTTATCTGTAGTCTAACAATGGTATGGGGTAGGTGTGGTTGCGGTAGACGCTACACTGGTGAAAGCTAGTGTAGTTGTTTCTTGTTGTCTTTGTCTCTGGTTCGTTTTCTGGCAAGTACCTTATCTATTCTAAGGATGCAGATAAAATATTTTAATCTCAGAAGTTAACGTCATCTTTTTTATGGTCTGGGGGATAAAAACTCAATTCCACTCTTGTCTTTGTCTTTAGTGATCTAAACAAGGTAAGTGAACATGACTTGCATGTATTATTCTTATATTCACATTCAATAGTTCTTATATTAATCATGTCTTGGAACTCAAAATCTTGGGCTTGGGTCAAGAAATACTTTTCTATTGTAAGCTTTTTCGACCAATAATTTTGCTTATATTCACCTTATTAGAACCCTAAATCTACTGATGGTATGCCTGTTGTTGGCAAGTTCCGTACTCCTGCAGTTGGGTATGTCCTTAATACAGCTGTGTAAACGATCACGATTAACATGTACTAGATCTCGCCCTGAAAAATACACTTATCCTAAGTCTGCTGCTTCCAACATTAGTAACAACTATTACTTCCAACGTGATACTCGTAGAAATTTCCCCAGAACCGCCATATACACTCAACAAGACGTTGCTCTTCTTTTGGAAGGTGCTCCCGTCAAGCCTACGTAAGTGAAAGAAAAGAATGCACACTTGTACTAATATCTCGCTAGTCTTCCTGCTGAAGCTGCTGTTGATCAAGCTGTCACCACTACTGCTGAAGCCAAGCCTCTTGTTGAAGTCTTGAAGTCTCAAAAGCTCTATTCTATCGAAAACCCTGCTCCTGCTCCTCGCTTTGGTGTTCAGCCCAAATGGAAGGTCTCTGAAGACTTTATTCCTCCCAATGATGGTAAGTGAGTTATACATGCATTGAATGATATGTTCTAATTAAAACAATCATAGGCTCTTACTTCCCCATGAAGGTCGTCACTTGTTAGATTATTTAAACAACATCATGTATACACTGCAGAATAAACGAATTGTAACAACAACTTTTTTTGTTTCTTTTTATATACATAGAAACAGAAAGAAAGAATAGGCTTTATTTTGAAATACATGGATTGGACGCTTTTGTTATTGAACATCATGGATTGAGTTTTCTTTAGTTACTTGTCCTCAGACAGAGTATCTTGTATACCAGTGCTTGTTTTATCATATAGGAATCTTGAGTTCTTGCTACACATAAATGATCAAAGTACAGATCAGCTTTCTTTCATATACAACGCTATCTGTTAAGCATTTGGTAATTTGAATGGAGTATGATTAGCAATAAGAGCTCTTGTGCTTTTCAGAATCACTGAGTCCTTCTTGTAAAACTACCATCATGAGTATGTTTGAAGACGAGGGATTAGAATGCTTTAATCCAAAAGGTAATCTTCAAAAGGAATACTGTGTAGCTAGCTTTTCATCATTTCATCTTGTATAGTAATTTAATAAAGCAAATCATACTCTCTTTTTAGTAGGGAAAGGAAAAGGCTGAAAGTCATTGTCAAAGTTATTTTGAGGTTTTTTTATACGCAGCTGTTGTTTGTACAGCAGAAAGCCTATCATTTGTCATTCTTAATGCTGTTAGTTTATAAAATAAACGCTTCAATGCGTATTGTACCTATTTTGGTTTTTGTGTTACGTTTTATATAAGATAACCTTTCTTTTTGATTGTCAAAAAGACGTCTATTCCATGCAGAGACCAAGTGAATTGTTTGAAATCACAGCAGCAATGATCAACCATGCCTGCTTGTAAAAAGTAAAAAGATAGCTTTTTTTTTGGAACAGAAGATTGCCAAAGTCAGTATTAAGGATGTTTTATTGCAGCCAAGTCCTCTCAGTGCTTAACAAAGGTACATTTGGAACAGCACTGTTTGTATCAACTTTTTTTTTTTTTTTGCTGTAAACCCTATTTGAAATGTACTTCAATTGTTGGTTCCGTTTTTTTATTATTATAAAGTGTCCCAATATTAAGTGGAAACAGTGTATATATTACTCTTACTGACTACAGTAAGAAATCTTGTTAGAACCTGTAAGGTTGATGCATTCGTTCTTCTTGGTCTTGGAGTGCTTAGTAATAGAAAGACCAGAGATATCAAATCCAGAACAAGGAGTCTTTGTAGAACAGTTAATGCTAATTACAGGATTGCTCTTTGCACTGCTGACGGAACTATGAAATGAATAGAGTTAATAAAAAAAATGTTAAACAAAGTAGGATTTTACCCGGTAATTCCTTTGATGGTAACATCAGAAATCATCAAGGATTGAGAGTCGTTGCCATTACAGTAAGATTGCTGGTTCTTATCACAGTAGTGAGTGGTGATCAATACAGGGTTTTCGACAGAGTTGAGCTTGACGTTTTCGAAGCGAACACCGCTAACGGAACCCTTTCCACCGGGCCAGGTCTTGATACGGATACCATTTTGGCAGTTAGTACAGGTACTGTCCTTGACAACAACAGTCTTGACAGTAGCACTGGAACCTCCCTTGCCGAGGGAACCAATACTGAAGCCATGACCTCCATTACAGTTAACACCGGTAACAGTGACATTGCTGATATCTAGATGAAAAAATGAGTATGATTGTCCATGCTGCATAACAAAAAAAAAAAAGACATACCGTTGTTCATAGCAGTACAATCATCACCAATGGTAAGATCAGAGTTACTGAAGACAATGTTCTTACTGCTGGAGATATCAACAGCATCACTGATAAAAAAAAATTAGTAAACGTCTTTGAAAACGAATAGTATATTTACGTGTTCTTTGCAGGCTTAGCACTGTTGTTGGAAACAGTCTTCAAAGTGACATGGTCAAGGTGAACATTGTCAGAGCTAGTGATACCGATGTGAGCACGAGGAGATTGAATGATCTTGAAGTTGCCAAAGTAAGAGTTGGTAGCTTGCACACGGAAAGCAGTAGGAGCCTTTCTGTTCTCGGCATCCCACCACTTTTGACCGTTACCGTTGATAGTACCAACATTGCCACCATCGAATCTGATGTTATCACCCTTGATAAGGAAGTAAGACTTTTGGTCGTTGTACTTGGTGTCGTAAGCAGGTAAGTTAAGAGTACCATAGAATTGGACATTGACGTTCTTGATGCCAGTGACTTCGACCAAGGAGTTCAAGTTGTAAGTAGCACCTTTGGTGAAGACAACAGTGCCACCGCTCTTGCATGAAGTGAAAGCAGCAGTAATGGCGTCTGCAGCATCACCACCAGTAGCAACTGTACAGGTAGTTGCAGCCTGAGCAGCAGAAGCAAGGACAGTAATGAGAGCAAGAGAAGCAGAAAGAGAGGGAAGGAAGACCATTTTGAATTAAGTGAATCTGATAATAAAAAAGAAATAATACAGTCAATTGAGAAGCATATTTATATGTTTTTTATGTTTGTGGTCTTGCCCTGTCAAACTTCGCTTTGATATTTAGCGTTGGTGGTACGCACAACTAGAAATAGAACCCCAATAGCACATATCGAATAACTGGACCCGCGGATACATGGGCATAATTCTGTTTAATATAAAGTCATTATGAAATTCGAAGCATTTGTCGATCACAAAAAAAAAACATTGCTTTTAGCTTATAAAGGATGAGATAATATGCCTCGTTTATTTTAAAAGATATGTTTTTTATTGTTTTTTTTAGTCTGTTCAACTAGACTTTAATTGTAGCTCATAAGTACGAATTTTATTTCTGAATTGTGTATCCAGAAGAATCCTGCTATTCTCTGTGTTTGGGAGAAATTTAAGGGCGAATATATTAGGTTTACTGCTTTGCATTTGGCCCAAAGTAACACTAAATTATTTGTTACTCAGAAAAGAAAATACCAAACTTTTTTGCAACGCATAATTTCTTTTTTTGGGTGCCCTGCAGCAGTGTCACAGGCACTTTTTCAATAAATAGATAAATTGAGTGCATATGGCGATTACATCTACAATGATAGTTCAGAACACAGGTTTATTTGTATGAACTAATGAGAAATTTTAGTTCTTTTTTAGTCAATGAGAGCAGAGACAAAAAAAAAAAAAAGCAACATGATGCATGCTGCTTTCTGGTCAAAACTTATTGATTTGTAATTTGAAAAGAGAGAAAGCAAGACACAATTTTAAATGCATTTAAGCTCGTGTCACTTATTAGAAATATAAATTTATTTTTTGAAATTGGTTTGCTAAACAATCGCATCACTAGAAGCTTCTATCTGTAGAAGCAGCATGGAATGTTAACAGTAAGTCTTTTAAGACAAGAAATGCAACATATACACCCAGTTAGGCTTCTTATGCATGTCTGAAATTCAGACAAGTTTCAATTAAGGGATTCTAGAAAGTAAACGAATTTTTTTTTTCAAAAAAAAAGGTCAGACAAATCCAACTTGAAGTCTTGTTGAATACACTATTGTTCATATAACTTTGAAGAAATTACTGCTTTTGTTGTGATTTGAAATCATATCGCTTTATAATTTCTCAAGAGCTATAGGCGGGAATATGAGAGCCATGATGTTCTACTTTGTTTAAGAAAACAATGTTCATAAATAAAGCTCTTTTATTTCACTTTTCATTTAGATTGCTTTGTCAGCTCCTGAAGACGAAAAACATCGCTAGGGGAACTAATTGCATTGATTGGAAAGCTGAAAAAGTACTAATTGAAGGGATATGTTGTAAGCATTATCATACAGGTTTTTCCTTCAAAGCACTTAACTCATTTGATTTGTAATTCAATGACTCTCCAAATCGCAAAAGTCACGCTGGCTTCAGATCCATTGAATAGCATTTTGACATCAGGTGAATTCAGTAGTCCAAGGATATCTACTAAAAGTGACAATAAACGTCGATGAGACAAAAACAATTCGCTTTGAGCTCTTTCAACTCTATGACATATGTGTAACTGCAGGAATATATCTTTGACTTCAAATTGTGCCGAAGTGAATAAAGGGTCAAATCAATTTGGCCGAAAACGTATAAGTAACCAAGGAATTAGCAGGCCTCCAATTGTTTTTTTCTCATTATCAGATTCACTTAATTCAAAATGGTCTTCCTTCCCTCTCTTTCTGCTTCTCTTGCTCTCATTACTGTCCTTGCTTCTGCTGCTCAGGCTGCAACTACCTGTACAGTTGCTACTGGTGGTGATGCTGCAGACGCCATTACTGCTGCTTTCACTTCATGCAAGAGCGGTGGCACTGTTGTCTTCACCAAAGGTGCTACTTACAACTTGAACTCCTTGGTCGAAGTCACTGGCATCAAGAACGTCAATGTCCAATTCTATGGTACTCTTAACTTACCTGCTTACGACACCAAGTACAACGACCAAAAGTCTTACTTCCTTATCAAGGGTGATAACATCAGATTCGATGGTGGCAATGTTGGTACTATCAACGGTAACGGTCAAAAGTGGTGGGATGCCGAGAACAGAAAGGCTCCTACTGCTTTCCGTGTGCAAGCTACCAACTCTTACTTTGGCAACTTCAAGATCATTCAATCTCCTCGTGCTCACATCGGTATCACTAGCTCTGACAATGTTCACCTTGACCATGTCACTTTGAAGACTGTCTCTGATAATGATAGCAAGCCTGCCAAGAATACGTAGGTTATGATCTACTTATATTTTTGCTCATTATACTCTATAGTGATGCTGTTGATATCTCTAGCAGCAAGAACATCGTCTTTACAGATTCTAATCTTACAGTGGGTGATGATGGTACTGCTATGAATAACGGTAAGTCTAGTTAAAGAGAGAAGCATTTTATTCATTGTATATAGACATCAGTAATGTTACAGTTACCAATGTCAACTGTACTGGTGGCCATGGTTTTAGTATCGGCTCTCTTGGTAAAAATGGATCCAGTGCCACAGTAAAAACTGTAACAGTTCAAGACAGTACCTGTACGAATTGTCAAAATGGTATTCGTATCAAGACTTGGCCTGGTGGACAAGGTTCTGTCAGTGGCATCAAATTTGAGGGCGTCACTCTTACTAACGTCGAAAACCCTGTCTTGATTACTACACATTACTGCGATGATAACCAACTTGAATATTGTAATGGCAATGATGCATCCTCTTTAACTATTAGTGACGTTACTATCAGTGAAATCACTGGGTGAGTTTATTTGCTATACATATATCTCTGCTAACATCAATGTAGCTCTGTTTCCAACGATGGCAATCCCATAATCAATGTCAATTGCTCTACCAACACTCCTTGTTCCGGCTTCACTATGTCCAAGGTTGATATTACTAAGCAATCCAAGACCAAGCCTAATGTCTGTGTCAATCTCACAGGCTCTGATAAGATTTCTTACTGCTCTGAATAAATATTCATAATTTTCTTTTAAAAGGGAGTTGTGTATTCTAGAAGTCAATGCCTAGATATTGGCCATGAGTCATACAAATTAAAGCTTGTATTCTTATTAAAACAATTTATCCAGGTATAGAATCTCACAACATTAGTGTGAGAAGCCATATTTACAAGGAGAAAAAAAACAATTCCTAATTTTTATGGGGAAATTTGTGCTTGTGAATTTCCACTGTTACCTTATTTATACCTATATTTATTAGAAGATATTCTTTCTTTTTTTAATTTGTTTATTCTATACAAGCACATACATTTATTTGTTTATACTATTTACAAAAAAAAAAGAGTTAGACAATGAGACGAATAATAAAAAATAATCCTTGTGTTTAGTTTATGTTTGTGCTTGAGAAAGTGTCACTAGACACTATAATTGTCAAATATTTATAAGATTTACACTGTCAAAATATTCCGAATATAATTCTCCAGATATTTGACATCATATGATCTATTTCTATACATTTTATTGAAAAAAAAAATTCGTGTTGAAAAAACAAGCGAAAATTAAATCTTAAAAATTAAGCAGAGCATGAGATTCATAAATAATGTTTATATTGTTATTTACATTAAAGGGCTCTTGGATCATGATACCTTTGTTGCTGAGTTTGAGTGACAAAAAACTAGGTTAATTTGTACTTCGGGTCAGTGTATAAAAGAATAAGAAGGGCATTGAGAGCAAGCAAAAAGTAACACCAACTATGGTTTCTTTTGTTTCACTCACATTTGCCTTGGCCTTGCTTGTTACTACTCAAGCAAGCACTACATGTACAGTTACCAAAGACCAAAGTGGTGATGACTCGCTCAGTATTGCTTCTGCCTTCACAACATGTGCTAATGGTGGAACAGTTGTCTTTGAGAAGGGCGTGAATTACACTATGAACTCACTTGTGAGCCTTCAAAATGTAAACAATGTCAAAATCAAGTTTTTAGCGAATGTTTATCTACCTTCTTACACACCTAACAAATACAATAAAGATGGTGCTTATTTCTTGATTGGCGGAAGCAATATTACTTGGGATGGTCATCGCACAGGCACATTTATTGGTGGTGGTCAAACATGGTGGGATGCACTTGATAAGACGGCACCTACTCTTTTCCGTATTGAAGCAACTCACTCAACATTTAGACGTTTCAATATCCTCAACTCTCCCCGAGCTCATATGCGTGTCAAGAATTCAGACGGTGTAACATTGGATGGTCTTTATTTCTATACAGCTTCTTCTAATGAAAAACTTCCAAAAAATACGTAAGTGTAAACAATTTGTTATAATCTCTAATTGCTTTCATAGTGATGCTCTTGATATTTCAAGCAGCAAGAACATTGTTTTCAAAAATTCCAATATTACTATAGGTGATGATTGTGTTGCTATTAATGACGGTAAGTATAGACATATTCACTTGCATTAGTTCATACTTTTGTAGATACTTACAATATCACTGTGTCTGACATTACATGCGCTGGTGGCCATGGCTTCAGCATTGGCTCACTTGGTAAAAACAAGTCTACAAATCATGTGGGTGGCATTTCATTCAGAGACAGTACTTGTAATGGTTGCGAAAATGGTGTTCGAATTAAGACATGGGCTGGTGGGTTTGGTTCTGTCACAGACATCAAATTTGAGAACGTCGCATTAAACAATGTCGATAACCCAGTATTGATCACTACACATTATTGTGATGATAACGCAATGCAATATTGTAATGGCAATGATTCTTACTCATTAAATATCAGCGACGTCTTTATCAAGAATATACGAGGGTAAGATAAAAATGCTATGACATTGTTGTTGAGCCATTTTATAGTTCTGTTTCTAATTTGGGACAACCGATTGTCAATGTGAATTGCTCTGTATTGTCATCTTGCACTGGTTTTACTTTAAGTAAAATCGATATCACAGCCAGCAACAACACAAAGCCTAATGTCTGTGAATATTTTGAAGGATCAGACAAAATTTCATACTGTAAATAAACAAGTTGATTGGTTGTTTGCTTTTCTTTTCCTTGTTACACAGTAAATTGTGCTTACATGCGTCTTTGCTTGGCCAATCAAAAAACATGCGTTGATTATTACATAATTTTCATTCTGTTTTTTTTTCTTTCTTTCTCTCATCTTTTCTTTTCTTATTATGTCCAAAGACATTCTGCCCTTTGAAGAATATAAGCTTCCTCCTTTGGGACATGCTATTTCAGGTGCTGTTGGCTCTACTATTGCCAACTTGTTTATTTATCCCCTAGACATGTAATTATTTCAAGAAAAACGATCTTATTATCTGACTTTAATAGCTCCACTACCCGGCTTCAGCTTAAAGGAGAAACGGAAAAGAAACAAGGTATCTTGGAAACAATCAAGACAATTTATGAGAAAGAAGGAGGCATCAAGGGACTCTATGCCGGACTTGAATCAGATACTCTAGCTACTGTTCTGTCTAGTTTTATTTATTTTTACTGTTACACTGCACTTCGAAATGTTCAAGAGAAATTGAACAGAAACATGGGCAAATCAACAGCACAATTAAATGTTGCTCAAGAATTGTTTTTGGGTGCTGAAGCTGCACTCATCTCAAGGTTCTTTACTACGCCTGCTTCCAACATCACAACCCGTCTTCAAACAGCTGGCCATAATGCTAAGGGATTTAAAGAAACTGCTATTGAAATTTTGAAGCAGAAGGGTATCACTGGCTTCTGGACAGGTAAATAGGATATAAGGCTATTACGTCAGTATTTATTGTATGTTAGGCTACAGAGCTTCGATTATATTGGTATCTAATCCATCTATTACATACTTTGTATTTGAAAAAATCAAGGCTCTTTATATGCGCGCACAAAGAAAGACAACATTGACAAGTCTCGAAGTGTTTTTGTTTTCTGCTTTTGCCAAGAGTGTTGCTACAATGATTACTTATCCATTTATTTTTTTGCGTGCTAAAATGGTAGGCAACAAGGACAAACAACAAGGCATGATGGCTACTTTAAGGGAGGTCATCAAGAAAAATGGTGTATTGGGCCTGTATAAAGGTATGCAAGCCCAAATTACCAAAGGTTTCTTTAACCAAGGTATCATGTACATGATCAAGGATTATGTTGCTACTTATTTAGCCTTGGTATTCTATCATTCTTACACTTTATTAAAAAAAAATTCCGTTGTGAAAACAATTGCACAATAAACCAAACAACAATTTCATGTTCAAACCTGTGATTGGGTCTATTAACCATATTGTTGTATCGATTTCTAATATCAATGCTTCAGCAGCATGGTATAATAAAATGCTGTAAGTCTATAAGATAATAGTATGATAATAATCATTATCATCATCAATAGTATAACCATTCAACAATTCAAGACACATTCTGTACCCAATCGAGACAAAGCGACACTCGCGTTTGGCCAACAAAAAATTAAATTGCATCAAAAAGATATTCAAGTGTTTCCTGTCTGTAAAAAACTGCCTTTGAAGGCATAGCCGGTTTTTGCTTGATTAGCAAATAGCCTGTTTCTGACGTTCTGAATCACTGGAAGCATTATTCTTGTGAGTTGGCACTTGAGAACATAGTCAAGAGAACAGATGCTCGAGGACCCATTTCTTGTGTTTACGTGTATGATTTGGATGGTAATCTCATTGAATGTCTAATTACCTTGAATATACCTCAGCTTACTTTGAAATTCTATTGGTCAAATGTACTTGTAAAGAAAAGATGAGGGTGCAACTTGAACTTGCTTTTCATCAGATCCAACATGCCAAACTGGAATAGAACACTAAACCATCCTCTTTTTAATATGGGCTTCTTTTTTGTAGTTCGCCAGGTCACCAAGACCTTTGATCTAGATAATCCTGAATATTTGAACTCTATCCGTTATACTTATTTGGGTTCACAGATTGTTATTTTCATGTTGTCATTATACCTCTTGTCCATCATTCGTAAAAAGAATGGTAAATGGTCGCGTATAGTTATCTCTTAGAACTAACAAATGCTAGATAACACACCTTTACGCTATGTTGAACCTGGAGGAAAGACTTGGGATGGTTCAGAAAGCCCTGAAAAGTTGATCAACACCACTGTAAAGGGTAACCTATGAATAAACACTATAAAATGACTTACACATCACATAGACTATGATATCCAAGAAGCTGAAAAGCAAATGAAAAACAACTTTACAAGCATTGCTATCATCGCTTTCCTTCATCTTAAGTTCGGATATGTTCAACCTTTGATTATGCAATCTGTCATGGGTTTCAAGGCTTTCTTTTTGACCAAAGAAGCTCAAATTCACTTGTTAAATGGCAAGACCACTAATGGTGAACTGCGTCGCCCCTTCCGTGTTGAAGGGCCCCTTAGTATGATTAGTGAAAAACGTCAGCCAAAGACTGATAAGGGTAGCATTAAGCGTGCAGAAAAAGCCATGAAGGCTCAATAAAAAAGACCCTTTTTTTTTATTTTGTTGCTTTCTTTTTGCGATTGCCTACATTTCCTTCGTCTGTTCTTTTTCTAGGCCGTTTTCCACCAATGTCATCTAGTGCGATCAGTATATCATTTATATGCGTGTACGTATATACATACCTCGAAGTTGAGAAGAAGGAGAATCAACTGTCTTGAGAGTATGATCATTTTCAGGTGCATCGATAATTTGCCGTGCCTGTATTACTTTTATAGATGCAGTCTCAATGGCTCTGTCCATCCAATGTCTAAATACTTGCGTTTCTTGTGCACGCAATACGCTTTTGACGCTATTAATTACATTCATATTCGTAGTTGCGCTTTTGGCTGTTGAAGGGGATTTTTCGGCGGTAGTAGCATTCTTTTTGTTTGCGTCTGCTAATGTCTTCCAGCTGTATCCTTTGGAAGGGTGGAAATCCATCATGTTTTGTGTTTCTTTAAATGCACTGTTGACGTGAAACAAACTAGTCAACTTGCAGACAATTAAGTATTGTTGTGATGTCTGATAAGAAACTTACCAAGCGGTTGGCAATGACTGAATAAATAGTAGGTGATTGGTATACATTAGCACCCATAATATAATAAGTTGCAATAGGATTAACATCGTCTGGCTGAGGTCCACGTCTATATCGCTTTTGAATGATCCAAACAGGTGGTTGTTCGTGCACAACTGCAAACTCAATGCCTGTCATTTTTCTTAAAGAATGTCAATCATGATTAACAAAGATGTTTCTTTACCTAAGTGCTTCCAAGGTAATTTCGTACGGCTGCCTTAGGTCATTGTATTGCGTTTGCATTGTTAAGACTTGGTTATTGCACTGACGATCCCAAAAGGGCGATTGAGCGAAATAGTCAAGCACCATTTGTTGGTTTTGAAAGCCACCCATCCTCTATCAGTCTTATGTTTAATATACTAAATACCAGTAAAAAACGACAAAGCTAACCTCTAACCAGTTCATGTCGCGCCATTCGACGCTTGTAAGGTCTTCAGTTGCTGTCATGCGCTGCATGGTCTACAATAACAGAAAAAAATGAAAGTGAGAATGAACCACACGCGACGAAGGTTTTATTGAGACTCAGTGAAAGTCTATGCCATTAATTAAAAGATATTTCAATGCTTGTTGGATAAAGTAATAGACAAGCGATCAACTTGCTCTACTCAAAAACCTCTTGATTTGTGTATGACAAGTATAGGGTAATGGTTTTGACTTGTAGTTTAGTACTTTTGAAGGCTAATTTTTCATTGTTACATTTTTTGAGGGCACAAAGATTTATTATACATGTAAAAAGGTCTACAACAACTCTATCATCTACAAACTACGAATCATTTTTATCCTTATTCAGAAAACTCGCTTCTCCAGCTTGTAGCATGAAGGGTTTAAAAATCAAATTATTTGATGCATTGTAAAGCCTACGCTAGTAGTTCATATGCAGATCAATTCAATAGATTTTTTTAGTGGCTGATTTCATTATCTCCATGATTACACAAGAGAAACATATGGAAAAAGTGGGTTTCACATACAATTATCCTAAAGAAAACGCTGCAAGTTCACTTTTTTAAATAGTGTAGACAGACGGGAAGATGTGTTGAGTTTTAAGATAGCTGGAAAATGCGATGCATATTTTAATTTAAAAATTTGCAAAAAAAAAAAATAGCAATACAGAAACTGCATATCATGATGTATCTTGTTAATGAAATGCTCTTTTGGAGAACATGCGTTTTCGATTTAAAAAATTATAATACCATTAACTATTGTCAATAAAAATGTTTTTTGAATAATTGCTCGAAGCCATATAACAAACATGTATCTCTTTTACTTGATTAGATGCACCTTGTTAGGATCTATAAACTTTACTAAATCAAGAGTCTATTTGAAGGTTGCGCCACATTAGTTGATCCACGTTTTCCAAGCAAGCTAGTTCCAAAAAGCGGGGGCAGTCATATCAAGAATCGAAGTTGTCGTGGGAATTGCTCACTAATCACTTAAGGAGTTTTTAATAATAAAAAACTAGGAAGATTGATGTGATGATTATAATCAAGTTTTTATGGAAAAGCGCAACATATAAAAATAAAAATCTTATTGAGGATATACGAATGCTTAACTAGTAAAAGATTCGATAGAAAAAAACAAAAAATTACGAAATTTGTTAGGCATTTGAAAGCGCCAGTATATATGGACTTTGTTGAGATCCTAATTTGATAGCTCTTTTCTTGGTGTACTTTTGATTTGTTATTCAGTGAAATCAACCAAAGCCAAGTTCGTAGTATTAAATAAAATACAATTCTTGTCGACCGAATGCTCTTCTTTTTATATAAAGTAAAAAATGGTCCTCTCTTCTCTCTTGTGTTCAAAAAGAAACTAAAGTATTGAAACTAAAAACAAAAGAGTAGAAACAAATACTTGTTGGTGGTTTTTTATTGGTGTTAAGATATAGTCTTAAAGACAATGAACGAGTTAACTCTTTTCCGTTTCTTTTCAGACGTATAGCATTCCTGAAAGTAAATAATACTAAAAGCACTTTTTTTTTTGCCTCTTATCTCTTGCTATGTTTAGATTGGTAAGGTATTATTGATTCCTTTTGCAGTCAATTTGAAGATTGTTTTAAATAAAAAGTGCCTGATTGTAGTCGCTCTAGCAAATCTATGTGAATTTGTACTTTTGATTAGTAAATAAAAAAAAATGTCTAGTAGAATACGAAACAAAAACAATCTGCTCGTACTCCTGTGTCCACTTTCTTTTCCTTTTTTTTTCTCTTTCCTAGAAAGAACAGATACATTACCCGTGAAATAAGAGAAAATTAGATACGGATTTAACTTACCTTTCTTTTTTTTTACAAATCCTCCACGCGATCCTGTAGAACCATCGTTGACATTTTGGTATTATTGCTCCTGCGGGTTTTCTTTGTTCCTTCTCAAGAATAAGGCAAAAAAATGTTATTCTAAAAGTGAAAACTAAAAGAAAAGTTATGTGGTAAAATATAAAAAAAACATGTCATTTTTTTGTGATAAAAAAATCGATAGTATTTTGGACCTTTACGATGCGTATTGTTGTAGATTCAAGCTGTATTTATAAAACACTGAAGATGATGAAAAACTTTATATCACTAATGAAACATCTTCTTAATTTATGATGACTCTCTTCCTTCCCTTTCTATTACCATCGTCGTTGTGGTCTAAACTGCTCATGTTCTCAATAAATTATTTCATCTTTTTATCAAATATATTAACAGTTGATGTATATTTTCAACAAAGAAACGTAGTCTATGGGGTTAAAAAATCGATAACGATATTTAATCAGAGCTGCGTTGTTTAATTCTAACTTGTTGAAACGGCGTACAACTACACTAGTGAAAAAAAAGGCCCCAAAGAATACTATCTTTCAAAAACTTTGTACATTAAACAATATCTACCATTTAGTTGCAAAACCTTCATACCTTAGAGTTTAAAATAAAATTTTGTTTTTTTTTTTAACGCCTGATCAAGTAGAGAAAGTAGTACCCAGTTCACCTGTGAATATGCTTGTTATAAGAATATTTGGATCGCAGTTTATTAATACCTGCATACTGTCTTACCATTACAATTCAGTAGTATTCTTGATGAGCCGATTCTTTATACTCGACAATCAAAAAACAACAAAAGATTACGAGAAACAGTCAGTGATTAAAGGCATCTCCAGTCTAAAATGTATTGTTTGATTGTTCCCTTTGTTGTCGTTAAGCATCTTTCATATTCGGAAATACTATAAGCAATTATTCATCATAAGCAGGATTTTGCGAATGAGCGGTTCTTTCGGAGCAGTTTTGGTGTTTAATTACACAGCTGATAATTAAGAAAGAAGCCACAAATAAACGATGCTGTTGAACCAATTTGATCTTTTGTTGGGATTGTTTCATAAAGGAATGTCTTTGATTCTTGATCTGGCTTTGCATATTTAGTTTTTAAGAAAATTGTTACTGAATCAAACCAAACCAAGTTGGATCAAATCAAATCAGTACTTTGTTTGGGAAACAAACTCTTTTTTTTTTTCAAAGCCTATCAAAAGAGTGAACAAATAAAGACACTTTAAATAAAAAGCGTGATACAAATAAAAATATTATCACATGCAACATTAGAAAGGGATAGAACAAATATGATGTTAACATGGTAAGAGTACATATAAAAAAAACACAATAACACGCAATAGCAAGTACAGTGAATAAATAAATAATCTATTTTTTCAGACTATATATCTTTTGTAATCATTTTTTAGTCAAAATACTATTCTCATGTGGAATCAAAAAGACAAGCATCAATCTAATACGAAAAAGGGACTTCTATGGCCAACTATGGAAAATTTGCTGTTTGTTTATTTTATATTATGAATTTACTACTGTAAAAACGTACACGATAATAATCTTTCGATCGATATGAGCAAGATTCATTCGCCGTGAAAGAGATTGGCTTTAATATTTTTGTGCTGATTCATGAAATTCACGGCTAATGTGTCCAATGGCACACACGCATGTGCTCAATATGCCCGAAATTAAAAATCCTGAAACTCAATTTTATGTTGTGACATGCACAAGAGAAGAATAAAAATGTTACAGTCTCTTCTTTAAATCCTGGGAAATTGTATTTGACCTTGTAAACGTATTTTTCTCGTTTATTCATGTCCATATTTTAGTGACTAACAAGTATATGTTCAATCAACTAGTCAATCTTAATGGAAACACGGCAAGAAGTAACACCAAATATCTGACTGACTTTTCCTTCCATCATTTCTTCTCCGATGTCACCGTGCCCGTCGCTTATCTCGGTCCTTATCGTTTTTCTTTTTTCGCTTGCATAACTCCCTTTTTTTTTTTGTTGCTCAGACGTTGCCCGTATTTAGTAAAGAGTAATGCGCAAATAAATAGTTGTCTCCTTAGAAGCAGTCTGATCTATTATCCCTTGTTCTTGTTTAACTAGACTAATCAGAAAGTAGAATTGAATTTACACAAGAGGTTACAGTCTGGACTTTTAGTTGGAATCTAGATTAGACAGCAATTAATAAAATCAAGTCAGGCTAACTTTATCTTTTTTTTTTTTTCGTTCATAATGCATGACTTGGTAGTACTTAGAACTCTTTCATTAATAAAAATGTCCAGTATATCATAAAATAATCCATATTAATTATGATATTAAGACAAGGATCTGCATATTTTTCTTTATCTTTATTTTGGTAATGTACCTCGGAATTTACCAAAGAAAATCTACGCGTTTTGTACCACCACCAGAATTCCTTTTTTTGGGGGCAGAAGAACACATTGACATTGATATCATAAAAAGGCTTAGTACCAAAAAAATTTAAGTTTTTTTTTTTAATAAAGAAAACCACTTTTAATGTAGATTATATTATTGTTTTATGAATTAAAACAAAAATACATTGCCATATTGAGTATAAAGAAATATCAAGATAAAGTTTCATTAGCACCAATGAAAATACTACAAGTTAAAATAAAAAGAAAAAAGGCAGAACGATCTGAGAAAACGTCAGATATGATTGGATGATCGACTTTAATCCGGACAAACTGTCCTTGAAACAACGGAAATAGATTTTAAGGTACCGTAGATTTCCATCATGCCGAATTTCCATTCACAAATAGAGGCTTCCATTGGACAGATGTAGCACTGTATCACTAGTGATTATCTAATAGGTTTCATACATAAATGTAAAAAAAATGATTTGGAAGTCTATGCACTATAAACATTAACATTTATTCAGTGAGCTATATTTATTTATTTGTATATGTGTCTATATGTATGTATGTATGTATGTATGTATGTATGTATAAGAAAAGAAGAGGGAAAGTGTATGTGTGTTTGCATATTAAATATATGTGTACGGATAGATAATAAAGGATGTATTCTAGTAAATAACCATGATAAAGACACAGTCTTTTTCTTATATATATATGAAGAATTGTCCTTTTCTTTTTTTAGCTATAACAAATAGAAGGGCATAATAATTACACAATAAAGATGGAGAGAAAAAAAGAGAGTATATAAAACATAATTATTCATCGCCGTCGGCGTCGTCAGTATTGTTGGATGAGGCGCTATCTTCCTTGTTAGACTTTCCAGAATGTGTTGAAATACTAGGTATAATCCTTGTATTAGTTCTTCTGACAGATTTGCCTTTGTTGCTACTCATAACTTCAAAGTTTTGCCAAATATAATTTTTGCACTTGTCAGCGTCTGGTAAGTCTTGAATCATTTTAGCAATCGTGTTTTTTCGAAGACCAAAGAAGTCTGGGCCAACAGGATTATGGCCATAGTCCATATTACGAATAGCAAACGCCCTATATTGAATTTAATAAATAAATAAATAAATAATTGTATTCAATTACCTTCTGACAGCGATGGTCCATACAGTAGTGGGCGTAGGTCCTCTCCAACATTCAGTTGGGTTGTCATCTGCATTCAGTTGAAAGATAGGCTCGTCGCCACCATCAAGAATTTCGCAGGTATACTGGGTATCACTATGAGGATCAACCATACTACGGTACCATCTAAAAAGAAATAAGCAACAGAAAGAGTATACAAAAGCACTTACTTTTTGACACGATAGCCGACAGGATAAATGTATCTTTGGTTATGGAAAGCAGCCTTGTCCCAAACAACAGTACCTAGATTAAGAACAGTCCAAGAATCAACTTCGGCAGGCAAGATATAGCTGCCATCTACAGCTCGTTCAACTTCAACAAAAGGACGAATATCATTTGCATTTGGAGGTTTAGTATCGCGCTTCTTTCTTCTTGATTGATGATAATATGTATCGGTTGTGGTTGGCGTAAGTCTTGTGGAGATCATAGGAGAGATATTATTAGGTACTTTTACTGTAGGTGAATGTTGACTCAAATGGTTATGATGCTGGTGGGTTCTTTTTGTTAGAATATTATGGTTACCGTTGTTATTGTGATTATTATTGTTGTGGAAATATAAATGGGAAGAAGCAGGAGAAGATAACTTTCTTCTCTTAATCATCTCTTGATGATCAAAACCACTTGTATCATAATGACTACCAGGCCAGTTATGATGCTGAGGAGTGCTTTCTTTATAGTTACTTGGAAGAGGAGTAGAAGGGAAAGAGGATAAACGTTGGGTATCGTCCCTTGGTGGCATGTATGTTTGTTGGCGAGGAGATGAATTGTGATGTCGGTGAGCTAATTGTGATTGCAACATGTCTATCATGGGAGGAGAAGAAGAGCTTGTATTTGTACTTGCTAAAGAATGAGGAGGAGGAGAATAATTTTGGTTCATAGATTCGGACCAGATAGAGCGCATAGGTGGGAGATAAGTTTGATTTTCTGCTGAGTGGAGTATAGGAGAATGTCGAATCTATCAAGGGATGAGTATAACATAGTTTTAGTAGAGTAGATATTTACAGGATGTAATTGTATTAAAACTTCAACAAAACAGTCGTACTGATTTGTATTGCTTGAATCAGTAATTTTGCCTGTCACTTTTGCTCCATTGTCTTCATCATTCAAAATGCTAGAAAGAACACCATGTCCTTCCCATATGATGTTGGATTGAGAGTCATGTAAAGGTGACCAGTTTTCAACAGTAAGGCTCTCTTCAAAATTAGCACTGTAAATAGCCATATTACTGCTCATCAACTGATCCGGGCTATTGAAATAAAATTAATAAACGGTTACATCATTTGTTTAATTTTACCATGAAGAGCAGACGGTAGTTAGGCATTGTCTTAAGGGTATACTGACCCATTTCTTATCTTTAAAATCTTCTAGTGTAATGTCAAATGTGCATAAACAGTGCGTATCTGATCCTTTGACTATATAAAAGATCTTGACTATCACGGTTGAATCAGTATTTACGTGTTTCAATTTTATTCTTGTACCTTTTGCTTTAAATTTGCTTTTATCTTTTGTAGCTTCTTTTGGTTGTAAGATTTGATTGATTGACATGGATTGATGGCTCATGGCTTATGTCTATAAAAATATTGATAATAGAATGTAATATGTAGCGGTGTGAAAAATGCTTAAAGGTTAAATAGCATTATTTGTTAAACAAATACAGAAAAAAAGAATGGTACGAATCGTTTAATTCTTACTTTTTTTTCTTGATATAAAAAAAAGAAACGATTCAAGGAAAAAAAACAAAAAGGGGGAGATGTTATAATAAAATGAAAATAAAAAAAATAAAAAAAAAAGAAAAAAAGAGAGAAAAGAGCAGAAAAAGAGAAAAAGGGAACGAGAAAAAAAAAATAAAGGTATAAACAAATTACGAATTAGGACCCAATTACTGTACCCGAAACCACGACCAAGTGGCGGGATTTATGTTTAAAATGTATGGCAAAAAAAAGAATACAGCTATATGATTCTACTTCAGTGTGTGGTCTTTTTATCATTATTATTTATTTATTTGTTATTGTTATTTTTACAGCCAAATTACATATAGATTTACATGTAGACAATTCATTCAACACTAAAATTCTAGAACAACAGCTAACAGTGACAATAATAATAGTAACTCATGTTTAATATAAGAGAATGGTGGATGCCAAATAGAGTAAACTTGGCAAACGAAACTAAATGTTGAGTTTGTACAACATTTTATTTTGAAGAATCAATTTTTACTTTCTTTATTTGGATGTTTTAATAGTTAAAAGTGAGGAATATCAAATAGAAAAATATACACAAGGGCTACTACTAAATATGCTTATCTCACTCTCTTTATCTTAATTCGTACACTACATGTTATTGTTTGGCAAAGTCAATGATTGGCTCTAAACCCTTTTGTTACATGTACCATTGTAAATATGTAAATTCATAGGCTATTTATTGTCAATACCACTCCGCGGGGGGAACAGATTTAGCCGCCATCGACAAGTTAAATTCGAGAACGATCACGTCACTAACAGAGGGAGGAATTGATGGCCAAATTTTTATCTTGTGTGTAACTTGATGTTTGACAGGATTTTTTTATTCTCACTGGAAACTTGCAAAACAAAATGTTGTGTAACTCTTTCTGTAAATTACAAGATAAAATTTCATTCCCATTTTGTGGTAGGAAGCTTATTAAACTTACTATAATTTAGGAAATTTGTTGACATTGTACAAAGTCCCTTTTGCCTCCTTCTTTTTTGGAGCAAAGGTCGACAAGTCATTCAACCATGAAAAGCTAAATCAAAAAACTCGATACTAGAATAAGTTACACAATTCATTTTACTTTTTCTTCTTTATTTTTTAATTGAAAGCATGTACTGTCGGGGAACAAACAAGCTAAAATTTATTACATGCTCATGTTGATGGGGGAAGAGAGTTATGTGTGTACATCTGCTGATGGGGTGAATTTGTTGGTGGTGAGATATATGTCTAGTAAGAAAAAAAAAGACGATAAAAATATATTTTTTTTCTTTAATCTAAAATAGACTCGGCTGTGCCCGAACTATTATCTCGATTATTGTATTATTGTATCAGCAAGGAGAAAAACAAGATTTCATATTGCATTTGCGTCTTATTGATCATAACATGTGCCAAATATGTGAATGGAGAAATATGCCAAGAGATACTGTTGCTATTTACAGAACCAACATTATGGCTATTGTAAATGAGTTTTTGTGAGCTATTTAGCATTCATTCGCTATGATGGGAAACACTAGACATTTTTATTACCTAATGAAAATCACAAAAAAAAAGATTTGTCAGCCATGTGTCAGCCATTGCTCAATCTTTTTTATTTCAAATACCGATTTTGTTATTGTTTGTTAAATAGCAAGCCATTCAATTGTTTAAAGAGCATGAATCACCCAAGATTTGTTGTTGGTGGTCCTGCCAACACCTTTCTTTTACTTGCATGCATGCTTCTTCCCATCTTATCTTTTCTTGCCAAACTTCCTTTATTTTTTTATAGGCTAAACCACTTAGCACCTCGAATTGATCACGGGTTTCTTCTAAAGCAGCTTCTAGCCTTGCATTAATTAGTTTTTCTTGTCTCAACTCTTTTTCGACTTTTTTGAGCCTTTGCTTGATACTTTCAACATCATTGATATCACATTCAGTTTCACTTTCGTCATTGCTGTTGTCTTGGCTTAAGACAGTGATTTTCTGTTTCAGGTCTTGTTCTATGGGCATTGTTTGTATCTGAACATGGCGTGCACGTTTTTTGTGTTGGAGCTCATAAGACGGAGTATCCGATAGTGTGGCAAGATGCTCTTGCGCAATTGATTTGGACATTGCATCACTTGGCTTTTCTGATGATCTGTAAAGAGCTAAACGTTGTTTTAGCCCGTGTTCAATGATATCATGTTCAGTTGTCATATCGAGTTGGATCATGGGCTGTTGTTCTACTAGTCTGTCATTAGCAGGCTGGAATCTAAGTGATGGTTGGCGTCGTACAAACCCTTCATTTGTGCATGTTAATATTGATGATGCAGGTGATAGATTTCTTTTTTGATGTGCCACTGATTCTTGTGTGATGATCTCAATATACTTTTTCCGGTGTACAAGCTGTACCTGGCCTGTTGTCATGGTCACAGTCGGTACTGTTGTCATGCTGAACTTTTTGGACTTGGGCTTACATCTTTTAAAGAATAATCCGGGTGAAGAAGATCGCTTGCTTTGTTGCACCGTTGTTTTAAACTCCTCAGGGCTCGTTGTATTCAAAAATTCGACTAAGGCTTGAGTGCCCGTCTTTCTTTTTCTGGGTTTAGTTAAGGAAAACCATTTTTCTTCTGTTACACTATCATCGTCGCTATAGAATTCTTGTTCAAATGTTACTCTTGCATCTTTTGGTTCAAAGGCTGTAACCATTATATATGAACGCAAAAGAAAAAAACAAAAAAAGGAACAAGTTAATTTTTAGTTCTTATACAATTAAAAAAAAAAGAAGGAGGCATAATAAGGAGAAGAGTCAAACATGTTGACATTTGTTTCTATTATTGTTATCCATTGGAATACAAGAGCTTTTCGATTACTTTACAGAAAACTCCAGCTTATCTCGATATTAGACTCAAAAAAAATTTGTAAGTCGATATGAGATTTGAAACTAAATATTCGTGGCTACTTTTCTTTGTCTGTTTTTTGGTGTAACTTGGTCTCCTTTTATTAACTCGTTCTTAATCGCTATTTTTGTAATTGAGTTTAGGCGGTAAAGAAGTCCTTTAAACGATAAAACGTCAATTCATTATAATATGGAATTTTGTTTTTAATTTAATTCTTGCTCGATAAAGTTGAATTGATTATGATAGAAAAAAGGGATGCTATCTTCACAAGAAATGATGCTATTAAGCCTTACTAACTCCGTGTTAATAAAAGTTTTGGTAATACAGAAACAACTTTTAAACTAGCAGTTATATTGCTTGAGACAATAACCATGCTTAATAAGAATATTGCGACTCTAGTTGCCGCCGGCCTTTGTCTTTTGAGAGGTTACACACACAAAAATCTCTTCAAAAAAAAAAAACTAACGCTGTCCTTTTATGTATTCCTTAAAAGATATTCTCACTAAATTTAAGTTCGAAAGAGTCTTGTCTAATGATACGCGTACGAAAATTATCTATGTATTGGGTCAAGTAGAAGAGCAAGACTGCATTCTCTCTTTTGAAAAGACACAGTTTGACAATAAAGTCATTCCAACGCTAGCATCAGCAGTCGATCAAGCCAAGATGGATGATCTTGTTGAAAACAATATCTATGGCTGGTGCATGACTGCACTTGATTATGATGCACTTGATATTCGCGTTAAATCTATCTATCCAGCAACAGATGTTCATATTGCAAAATACGAAGCTCAGTCGCGTGTTATGCTCTTAGAAACACCCGAATTGTATGAGTCCATCACACTTCCTTATATCAAGAGTATACCTGCCAAGCGTACACAGTGGATTGACAACATTTTGAATGGTTCAGCTGAAGCAGATCGCGTCATTTACCACGACCATGATCTAGAGACAGGATTTGTAGTACTACCAGACATGAAATGGGACGGTCAACAAGAAACACTTTATTGGGTTGCTATCTCTATGCGCTCAGATATTTTATCTCTGCGGTCTCTAAACAAGAGTCATTTGGACTTTTTAAAGAAGCTTCGGGAAACAAGTTATCGTCTTGTGCTGGAAAAAACAGGGTTGACTTCTTCTCAATTACGCCTATTCATTCATTACCAGCCATCTTATTACCATTTTCATCTGCATATCACAGCTGTTTCGTTTAGTGATGCTCCAGGTGTTGTTTCTGGACAAGCCCATTTATTGGACACAGTCATTAACAATATCGAATTTTGCTCTGATTATTATCAACGAGTAAGCATTCCATTTGTGATTGGAGAAAGACATCAACTCTATGTAGAACATAAATGGTAACAAAAACAAATAAACCGCTTTTCTCTCTCTTTTGTTTCTTTTTACTCCTTAAATATGAATACACAACAAAGTACAGTTTTAAATGATTTCAAATATTTAGTTTATTTCGTATGCTTGGTTTTCCTTGAATACATTTATCGTGTATTTATTTTAATACCCTTATCCACAGTACAAGCATATGCTAAGCATCCTATTTTCATTTCACTTATTGTGGTGTTTCTGTTTCCAACCTATCTTGTTGCACAATGCATTATCACTGCAGTGAAGCATATGATTAAGATTATCATTCTACCAAAAGAACAGAAATACCTCTTCATTGTCAACTTTTTTTTTGGATATACAAATCCCTTTGCAACTCATCTTCAGCGACAAGAAAACATGACTCCCTCCGAGAACGGTGATATACAAAAATACTTAGAGAGGTGTTCTATTTGTTTTGATGCAAAATTAGATTTATGCCTCGAATACTGCAGAGACCAATTTTGTACAGATTGCTTTCAAAAATACGTAACTGAAGTGGTCAAGTCAAGTTGGGGACTTGGTGTGACAAAAATTCGCTGTCCTGTTTGCAAAACTCATATTCCTCAAAACGAGTGGACAAAGCATGTACCAGAAAGCATAATTGAACTCTACAACAAATTCAACCAGCCTTATCGAACATTTTCAAGACACTGCCCTCATTGTGAAACGGAAATGACTCCATGTGATTTTGGACAACACTCGGCTCAAAAAAAGTAGGTTTATAAGAAATTCATGCGCCATTCATTTATCCAAAAAAAAAAAAAAAAAAAAAAAAAGAAGTTTATCAAATGAAATAGGATTGATGTTGCAGGACTTTTCAGATCAGACCTTTGCAATGTTTGTGCGCATCTTTTGTAAATCAGAATGGCGCAATTCGACTCTGCCTCAAATTCACCATCAATTGATAGAGCAACTCTTGACTACAACAAATGAAATAGATAAAGTCAAGACCATTTCCATGAAAATGTTAAAATTAGGAGTGAGGTCTGATACTTGGAAAAAGCTTCAATTTGATCATATTTTCTTTTTCCCAAATATTCAATGGTATGTATGCTATGCTCTATGAGCAAAAATTAACACTGTTTTATTTATTCAGCTCAACTTGTGATCTATCTTTTTGTTTACAATGTGGAGATGATACACACAAAGACTTGACATGTGAGGAAAACATGAAACAGCGTATTCTTCAACAACAACAAACAAGCCATGGCGATGATGTACAATCTTTAAAATGGAAACTGGAGCATAGCCGAAAATGTCCTTGTTGCTCTATTATGATTCAACGTGATGAAGGCTGTAATAAGGTAGAATGTACAATGTGCGGATTTAGCTTTTGTTGGGAGTGTCGACTACCATGGTCAGAGGTAAGAAAAGAATATGTAGTCATGCCCGTTTTTTAATCCTCATAGAATTGTGGTTATTTTGTTTGTGCGACAAATAAAAAGGACTATGTAAGACTGACTAGACAAGGTGACTCAAACAGAGCAAGTACTTAGCATTAAATGATTTCCAAATTAATTTTATGTTTAAAATAGACTGAATTAGGAGTGCCAAATATAAATCATATCTTTATTTGAAGGAGACGAGCGGCTCTCTCTTATTTTTACATTGTGTAAAAAAAAAAAGAAAAAAAATTACATGTTATTATCTTCATGCGAACCAGTAATTTCTTTATATGATTCTGAAGCTAAAATTAAGTCGTACGGATACTCCTTTAAAACGGCATCTTGCAATTGTTGAATAGTTAAATTCAAAAGTACACCATCACCTTGTTGTTGAGTGAATTGAACAACACAACTAGATGAGTCTAAGTCTGACATGATCAATTCAATTCTACATTTCACTTGTCGTATTTTACCACCTATTCACACAATGTTAATACCAATATTAAAGCAAAAGTATTTCTCTTACCTTGAGTGGCCTTTGTTCTTATCTCTGCTTTATAGCGTGCAACGCCTAAGCGATCGCATTTTTCATAAAAACGAGCTTCTGCTGTCTATACATATGATATAAATATATAGTGTATGAATCCATAGAATAGCTTACCAAGTTCATTAATCGGTGCAATGTTTTTAGGATACCCACTGTATCTGTACTATAGACAACGAGAGAGCAAACCTTGGGTTGCTTGAAAAAGAATAAATTCTGAAGCCATGAAGCCTTAGGAGGCTGTTGAGTTGGTGTTATTGTAGCAGTAGGTGTCATAGGAGGAGAAGTAATAGTAGAACTATTTGAAAGCAAGCTAGGTGTGATAGGTCGATTAGAATGACTTGTGCGAGGATGACCACCCAGAGTACAAGTACTGACATTACTGCCTCTTCGGTCTACCGATTTGAACGAGGTCTGGCTAGACCGGCGTTGGAGAAGCATTTGAGCTGAATGCTTATTAGTGTTGTTCGTTTTGCATGCAGTCTTTGAAAGTACTTGATAACAACTACCGTGAGTACTACTAGAACATGTGCTGATACTACTACTACTTAACGTACTTTCGTCTGATAATAGTGCAGGTGGTGGTTGTAAATTACTTGGGTCCTGTTGAAAGATAGACAGATCCAGCTGCTTTCTTTGCTTGCGAGTGCTACCAAGTGTAAAGCCAAACTTCTTCGTACCATCATTAGACTTGAAAGCATTCGGAATATGAAGTGAAAGCTTCTTTGAGTTTAAGGTAACATATTTCTTGGGCTGGTCTTCCATTAAACTAGGATCAATCTTATTACGGTGCAATACAGTTGAGTTGGTGAAACGGTGTGTGGCAGCAGTGGTAGTGGTAGTGGTAGGTTTAGGGCTTGTAGAGATTTCGAAATCAGTGGTATTGATTGGTGCTCTTTGAAAGGGGTTCTTGCGTCGAAAAGTACCTGCGATTGTTGCAGCGATAGGCTTTGAAGTAGGAGTTGGAGTTTGAGGCGCTTCTTTTACTATAGGCTCATCTCTATACAAAGAGTCAATAAAGAACTGTACAACGCCATAAAAAAATCTTACCTAGTAGTTGCTTGTCGACGAGGAGACAAGACATTTTTGACAAATTTTGTATAAAAGGTCTCGCTCTTTTTAATCTTTTCAGATTTTACATGAGAAGGCAAAGGAGGGGTAGGTGGTGGATCAATGATAGCAGGACGTTCTGTACTAATGGTAGCGGCAGATTGACGTCTAGAAACTTTGTGTTTATTATCAGGAATCCAAGGCACTGTAGGTCGATTATGGTATGTAGGCTTTGGACTATACTCAGAAGTATGACTTTCTGTAGCAGATATATATTTCTTGTCTCTGACAGATCTACGACCTATAGTACGGTATCTGCGCTGGGGAGTATCTATGGTCTTTCTTAGCAAAAAAAAAGGGGATCAAAAAGGAAGAGTTGCACCATATTACCTGTGTAGCTGTCATCATCATCACTTTCCTCAGCATGGTCTGCTTGCCAGTATCTTTCAGCATGTTGCTGCAGCAATACATATACTACTTTCTGCATATTGTGCCTAGAGTCCGATAAGCGAAATGAATGGAGCAGCAATTATATTTACTCTTTTTGTATCAATGCATCAATGACTACTTGATCGCTCCTTTCTCCCCATAAAAATTTGATTGTCTCTAAGATGCGATCATCGATTTCGGAAGCATCAGCAACGGGTTGACCTATTTCTTTTTCTGTAGGAGGTACAGGCAGTATAGCTATATTATCAGGCTCTACTTGTCTAAACCATGTATGTGACATGATCTGTTGCATCTGAAATAAAATTGTTGGTGTTCAATCCTTAAATATGTTTGCTTACATTTAATCTTTTAGAAGGGTCAACAACCAAAATACGTCGAATGAGATCTTGGGCAGAGCGAGAAATATTGTCTGGCATAACATATTTACCTGATTTGACTTTTTTTAATAGATTTCTGATATTTTCATCATCAAATGGCAAATGTCCTGTCAATAAAGCATACAGAATGACACCACAAGACCAAATATCGCATGAAGAACCATGATATGGCATTCCCTATTTCTCTGATCAATACAAATGACAGCCAGGGCAAAAAAAAAATATTTACTGCAACAATTTCTGGACTAGCATAGTGAGGAGAACTAGTAACAACATGAGTACAATAATGATACATGCTATTTATACTTTACCCACAGCTTGTTTCTAACATCGAACCAAGAGGTTGGAGTGATGCCATACCAAAATCAGCAATCTTAATACTGTTTTTCGAATTTAATAACAAATTTTCAGGCTTGAGATCACGATGGCTAGAAGAAGAAAAAATTAAAAAAAAGGAGGGACAGAAAAGCATTCATGTTTACCAAATAAGATGATGGTGACAATAGTCTAAACCCAAAATAATTTGCTGAAAGTGATGCCGAGCCTCTGATTCGCTTAGGCGTCCCTTACTGACCAAGTATTCAAACAATTCACCACCTTCTACGTATTCCAATATGAGATATCTAACAGATGGGTTACAAAAGGAGAAGAACAATAGGAGAGAGAGAGAAAGAGCCACAAGAGGGAGGTATTGAGCAAGGCTTTGCTCAATCTCTTTCTTTCTTTTCCCAAAGGAAGGAGAGTTAAAGGGACTTACAAGTCAGAAGAAGATGGATCATCAATAACATCGATCAATGACATGACATTTGGGTGATGAATTAATTTCATAATAGCAATCTCACGTCTCACTGCTTTTTCAATGGCAGGATTGGCAGCTAAGTGTGCTTTGCTGATAATTTTTATGGCTACTTGTTCACCTGTATGTCTATGAACACCTAGTTTGACTCTTCCTAATTAACTCTTTTTAAGTAACCTTACATTTCTACAAAAATGTGTACCTGATGCACCTTTCCCGAGAGTTTTACCAACAACATACTCTCCAATGCATTTTTTCGGTTTCTGCTGAGAATGTGTTGAAAGTGCACCGGAACTTCGACGTCTGTCCTTCATAGATTTAGAAGATCTTGTGCTCATTGCTGATGCGGAAGGTCTACGATTATTTGGCCTGCATTGGTATTCGTGAGATGGAGGGAAACAGGGTTGGATTTGTTCAGTTATGAAAGATGGCATTGTTGTTTGCATAGTGATTAGGAACTCTAGGTTCAATAATTATTATTGTTATTATGATTGATTGAATAATATAAAAAGAAAAAAAGAAAAAAATCACAAGTATATAAAGGTGTCAAATATATATTCATAAAATAGGGGCCAAACTTTCTGAATAAAAGCAGGAGTTTATTATAAGACTATTGCTAAAGGATTTGTAGGAGTGCAAAGGGAGTATAAAATAAGAGAGGGGAAGTCAGAGTTGACAAAAAAAAAAAGATTGGATCTTTAACATGGACATGAATGTATGTATGCGTTTGTATTTATCTACGAACGTTAAAACAACAAGATAGAGTTTAAATATTTGCATATCGAAAGATGTACATAATATCGTCAAGAAAATAGACATAATCAGTTTTTTTTTTCTTCGCTCTCTATCAAGACAATGAAAATAGACATTAGGAGTATAGGCTCTTATTTTAGGCAGTCAGACTTAAGCACTTTAATGAGCCATAATAGCTCCTCAGTTCTAATAAGAAGAGAGAATATATGTTTGTATTTTTTTTTTAATTTAGAAGCTTGAAAATGCGCATGAATCACCGGAATTAACAGCGGCAACATAGTTTTATGAAAAGAATCCATCACCATAAACCGCCCATTCTAAAGAAGTCAAATGCTCTACACGACGGCACAGCTGACTTGCAAGTGAGATCAGTGATTCATTTTGGTCAGGTCTTCCTTGTTGTTTAAGCCAATCCACTAACTGAGTCAAGTCTTTCTTTCCTTTGACAAACCACCATTTCTTTTCTTGTGCTTGTTGCTCATAACCAGGGCCAATGACAATTGCGCCGTATGCCCAATAAGTTTCACTATTGCGAAGATCATTTGCATGATGTATATCAAGTATGTTGCTAAACATCCAATATTCATTGCCCAAATGATCAACGCCTGCGAGACCCATTCTCTTTTGAGATTTGGCTATATTCACATCACGTTCAATCTTTTTTGACTCAAAGTTTAAGCGTTCATCCCGTATATGCGTTTCCAATAAATCCAATTCAATCTGAGCTTGTTGGAGTTCTTTCTGCTTATTTCGAACAGACCCAAGCTGTGTGATTCTGCTGGTTAATGCGTTCTTTCTGCTTTTGTTTTTATCATCATTTGCAAGAAAATCTTTAGAAAGCTCTTTGAATTCGAAATCTAGTTCTTTGGGTTTTATCGTTGTATTCAGAGATTGTCTGATTTCATGTTCAAATAACAATACTTCTAATAGCATATAAATTAGCTTTAGTTCATCTTCAATCGACAGCAAAGAGGCACTGCGCGCTGATTTCTGAAAGCGTCTATACTTGAGTTCTATAGCGTGAATACGTTCTTCTTCCTCATCATCTTGATCGATGTCCATATCATTTTCATCTTTTTGTCTTCGAACAAAGTCTTGAGAAGTAGGGATAGGAATATCTTTTACTTGTGCTGCTGCCAATAACTCTGCTATGTCTAACCATCGCTTTCCTGACATGCCTTCTTGTAAAAGACTATCCAACAAAGCCTGATGTCTAGATTTGGTATCAAGAAAGTATTTGTTGATCTTTTTTTCTACTATCCAGTCGTTTATAATCTTTTTTGCCATCTGTGGAAGAGAGTTTTGATCATTTGTAAAAGCAAGTTCAAAATGTGTACTAGAACTAAGAATAGACAAGGACTGAAATACGATATAAGCGCCAAATCGCTTGATTTTCCAATCGCCCTGAACATTTTGTAATGGACTGATAAATCGATGGTCGAATCTGTACAAATCACCAAAACGAAATAAAAATTCACGAATCTGTAAACGGGTCCAGATTTCTTGTTCTGAATAAATCAGATCAATGGCTGTCAAAGTTGGAGGTTGTACTACTCGAATTTGTTTTTTGTTGAACGATAACCGTGGTACCCTATAATAATCAATATAAATATCATACTGTTTACTATTAAAGTGGATTTTTACTTTTTACAATAACTAAGATATAGAAAAAAGGGAATGAGCTTTTATATGTAATTGTTTGGTTTCCTTACTCGCATTGACAAAGGCCTCTACAGATCAAGCATGCCCATTTGCAATTTGTTAGCACTGACCGGTGTCGAATAATTTGACCATTTGTATGAAAAAAATCAGTCTTGTTTTCCTTGATCCATTCTAAGTCTTCACCAGCTTCTCGCTTGATACAGTCAATACAGAAATTATGTGTACAAGGCTTATTTGAACTCTCTTTTAAACCTGTACATTGAACTCTAGGTGTTGACTTCTTTTGAAGGACGATAACTAAGCCATATCGTATAAGAGAGAGAACTTACATTACAATCAACGCAAGGGTCAGGATGTTCATCTTTTCTCTTTTTATTTCCAATATCTAGCATTCGAATTGATTTCTCTAGTTTTCCAGTAGAAGTATGATCGGTTTTCTTGGCCTTGTCAATCTCCTTTTCAGTTGACACTTTGACGGGAAAGGTTCCAAAACATAGTCTAATAGCAACAGTATTAGCCTTAGAATAATTATATGCTTTAAACTTGCTTTGTCTGCTGAAACTTTGGTTTCTCTTTCTTTATATCTGTCTTTGCCATAATAATAATAGTAAAAAAAAAAAAAAAAAAAAAAAAAAAAAAAAAAAAAACGCGTACAAAAACAAAAAGGACGTGACAAATAATACGTTCCGCTTAAATTTTTATTTCATAATTCAAATGAGGGGAATACATATGTGAGTATGTGAGTGTGTGTGTGTGATTTCATATAGGGTAATTATCTACATAAATGATATATATTTCTCTTCCTTCCTCTCTCTATTTTTTTTTCTTTTGGCATACATGACTTAGAGTAAAGAACAAAATTCGTCTACTTTATCCTCTAACCATTCCCAACGTTTCATACCAACAACCCATTCAGTAGGTAACTGACTATAACCAAATCTTGCGCCTAACATAGCACCAGCAGCTGTAGCATTTGTATCGGCTTCCCCACCTTGCATAACTACATCCATTAACATTTTTTTAAAATGTTCTGTTTCTGAATGTGGAGGTACTTGTCTTGTTAAGCAGTACAGAGCAGCACTAAGACATCTAAAACTGTCTCGACTACTCAATGTGTCGTCTAGTCCAAGTTCGGATATTGAACGAGGTAAGACACAGCATTCTAAAAGTTGTCGGTAATACTTTTGCATTTGTACCATGTCTGTCTCTGGTGAGATAAACAAAGGATCAGTTTGGGGAGCAATCAGCATGGATTTGTTTGTTTCGATTACGTTCTGCACTAGTGCATCTAATCTTTCGTCGACAGGCAAAGTATCTATAAAGTATCTGGATTCAGATGATGATGTATCTTGATAACTAGGTCTAGGTGATTGATTGACTTCTATTTCAAGATCTTGTCCCCTTAGTAATCTGGTATCAAATCAATAAAAAACATATGCAACATCGCTTTCCTCCTACCTTGCAATTAAAGTAGACATAATGGCACATGATATCAAGCAGCGTGGATCAGGGTGAGTGATGCGACAGCATTCTGCAGTGTTCTCAATTACGGTCGTACCATCCCAGAACTTAATTGCTCCTAACAATGGTGCCCTGACCAAAGATCCATTAGCTCCTCTTAGGTTGTTTTCTGTCTTCCAGATTTCTACTGCAGCTTGTTGCTATTTAAAAAATATAAGTTTGAAGCTTTGAAACAAATACAAATACTTACAGGACTTGTTTTATAAACTGGATTTGCTAATACTGCTTCATTTGTTGCATTCATACCCGTAGGTGGTTTATGCAAGCCTTTGATACCTTGTGTTCCATAAGCATAGAGTCTGTTTGCAAAGTCCTTTGGTAGAAAATGCCCGCTATTCTCAAAAATGGATTCCATGACCAACAAGACCTGTTCGGCGTCATCACCAAAGTCACTACAAACTCTTTTTTTAGCAATCAATAGTAAACAAGACCCACTTACTTTTCTTCAAATCTTGATCTATACTCATCGCGATAAAATGGTACGCCATCCTCATCCATGCCAAAACGTATTGGTCCATTTCCATAAATTTGTTTGATTTCTGATCGAGATAATCCTTCTGTTGCTAGTCCCAGACTGTCACCCAAAAGAGCACCTGATAGATTGGGTAAATAAAAAAAAAGGGGAGGAGAAAGAAACAATCAAATTACCAAAAATCATTCCTTTGACCTTATCCACAATGACTGTAGTTTCTAGTTTTGAACATCCTGATGGAATTCGCATACTAAAATTATAAAATTAAGCTACAGAAAATTTCCTGTTTTAATTTTCTACCTTTAATTTTTTTTGCAGAAATTTTGCTTGATATAAAAAAAGAAAGTATATATCAAGAAGAAGAAAAAAAGGGAATGAGAAGCAAAGAAACAGAGAAAAGGAAAAAAGAAAAAGAGAAAGAGGGTCTGACATTATACAGTTAAGAGAAAGAGAAAAAAGTAAGAGAAAGTTTTAAAGTCCTATTTTGTCATCCGCATGATGTACAAAGGACATAAAATAGCGTTTTTAGAAAATCCATCATTGTATGACTCTTTAGCACAAATGATTATCCAAAATATCTCGGTTTTTTTTACTCTTTCTATAAGAGTTTATAGTTTCTGTAAATAACAAAAAGAGTAAAAAAAATATAGATGAGAAGCCAATGTCAAATCTCGGTGTTACTAGCATGTTTTAAAGGCATGGTGAACGTGATTAAAACCGCGTCATTAAAGCCGTTACACTAAGTCTGTAAATGGTTCATGGCCAAAAACAGAAATTTAGCTCAAGATGAAAAGCCATTACAAAACTCTCCAGAATATTAGTAAGAAAAATAAAACAGTGGAAATAAAAAAGCAAGAACTTATTCAGTCTTTTTCTCAATTTCTTGTATTTCTTGAACATTGTAACTAGTTTGCATTTGTACTAAATCAAACATACACGTCATTTTTAATAAACATTTATAAAAATGCTGTAGAAGGTAGAAATTTTTTAAGTGTTCCTGGCACTTTCTCCGCCATCTCTTTTTTTTTACTTGTAACATTTTGTTATTAAAGTTAAGAGCAGAATTTGCGACTCCTATCTCTTTTTCTGAATGGCAATATCGCCCTGTCCATATTCTGAGAGTTAAAAAAGGAGCTGACTTGTTATTTTTCATTAAAAAAAGTCAACGATTCGCCATATGCTACTTTTCAATGTAGACTAAAGAAAACCGTGCTTATCCCTTTTTGTTGATGAAAAAAGGTAAAATTCTGGGTGTAACCTTCTTAGCTTTCATCTAAATAAGGCAAGGATTTCTGACCAAAACAACTTTGATAATACCGCTGTCCCTGTCTATTGTTGTGCATTGTGGTTGATAGGAACTGTTCCATTGTATATATGTTCAAAATCTTATTTTTTTTTGTTTTGCAGCCATTTTTCTACAAAAAGCTTGACTTGAACTTGAATTCTTAAACAAGGCTAAGAAAAAAATAATCGTTTTGTTTGTGGCGTGTTTCTATATTATTAGACTAAGTTTTGCTCTGATGTTGTAATAAGCTTATCAAGGCATATCTATCCTCCGTTTGAAGAAGCATAGAAAAAAAAGAGTAGGGTGATATGCCCAAGTATATAACAGTGAAATTGTGTGTATATGTATTTTTTTTTTACAGATAAGGATACCTTGTATTGTAAAGCATGGGTACAAAGACAATACAAAGCTGATCGAGCGTATGTAATTCAATGGTCTGTGTAATAATCCAGGCTACACAAGAAGTTGTGGTCCTTCTTTTGAGTTGTTTCATGTTTAAATATAAACACTTTGAATGCATGTAGATGCACTTTTAAGTTTTACCTCTTTTCTTTAATAAGGCAATTGGGTATAAAGAAAAAATAGGTAAAGAGAATGGAAGCAATATAAAAGGATCAGATAAGGCAGTGTTTTTTTTCTTTTTCTCTCTTTGGGAATTAGAGCCATGGACGCCAGCTTTTATGCTTTTTTGGTTCTTGTTCCTGTTTCTTTTTTTGTTGATCTTCATCCCACTGTTGAACATAAGCTGCTGCAGTTGCCAAAATATCAATAGGCGCCAGATCAGGATGAAACATAAGCTCGTGAGGTAAAGAAGGAGACGAAGCTAATGAAGAATCTGAAGAAGAGGAAGAAGAATTTGTTGTAGAAGGAAGAGGAGGAGGAGGAGGGGGGAGGCTAGGGGCAGAAGTCATTGTTGTATAATAATTAAACTTGACCTTCTTATTCATATAAGGATGATAATGATGGGAATGTTGTATTTGTTGTTGTTCTTCTTCTTGTTCTTGTAAACGGATACGGTTTATTTTGGCACGTCTATTTTGAAACCATACCTATTATTTAATGTTGGTTACACGATACAAATCACATGGCTGATTTACACCCTCCCCCATTCAAACAAGATCATTTTTAATGAAATTTTTACCTGTACTTCGCGATTCGTCATATTGAGCTTTTTGGCGAGCTTCTCTCGTAATTCATGGCTAGGTGTATCTGTTTGTTGGAATAACTCACTTAACAGACAGAATTGTTCAGGCGTAATTCTCTTTCTTTTTGGTTTATCTATAAAAGAAATGAGTTCAATAATACAGATATTTCTATATTTTTGCTACCATCTTCCAGTTTCTTTTGGCGTTTGATTTTATTTTGCTGCGGTGTATATTGATCAGTGTTTAATTTTAAAGTCGTCATTTAATGAAGAGATAGAAAAGGAAAAGCAATAAAATTTTTTTCTTTGCAATTAATAGCTGTTTTTTAATAAAAGAGAGAAAGAAAAGAGAAAAAGATACACACACGAGTATGAATTATTATCGGGAAGTTGACCGAGCACCATGAAATCAGAATCTTTTTTATATGATGCGGGTATTAAAACAAAGTTTGTAACATTTTGCCAGACAACAAACAAACCATGCCCTTTTTTTCTTGGGCTTGTAATTTACGTATATATGAATTCTAGCTAAGGCATGACAGATGTCATGTTTAGTTTATTAAAATTTAAGCTCACAATGAAGTTATTAACTGAGAAGCAAAAAAAGAATGCTAGTTTCTTTCATACTGATTTGCTTATTTAAACTCATTTAACTCCCAGAAATAGATTCATTTTGCTTACTCTTGAGAAATTGGGCTTGCCTCGATGAATTTTGTCTTTGATAGAGTCATATTGAAGTTACCATAACAACAGAAATGGCGTGTACCTAACTATTGAAGAAAAAAAAAAAGAGCAGAAGGAGTTCCATGTAAACTTCTTTTTAAGCTCTATGAGAAGAGATCATAAATACCATAGTCAAAGATGCTTTGAAAATACAGCAATTTTTTGCTTATCATACATAATTACCTCTTACTTAAAAGAGTATTCTTGCTTAATGACAGAAACAAAGGTAGATGCAACAATAAGGTTTTCATTTTGGTTATTATGATACAAAATTGTTTACAATGCACACCAGGCAATATTTTTGGTTCAGCGCTAAAGAAAAAAACATTGGTGCGAAACCTTGGTGCTCGTAGCTTGAATCTTTTAAATGAGCGAATTATTTCGAGAAAAACACTATTAGAAAAAAGGAACGTCACTTGTGTCTCTTTTTTTTTATATATTTTACCCCTCTTTTTTAATTCTTGCATTTTTTTTCTTTCCTTTTTTTTCTCTTTAATTGAGAGTAAGCTGTCTTTTTTTTTTTTGTAAATACATCTTCCTCCCTCCTTTTTCTTTCTTTTACCAGTACAAAAGAGGAATTCCTTTTTCTTTCTCTTTTTTGATTTCACACACAGAAGAAAAAAAAGTAGTGTCGCCCATTGAACTAGTTTTTTTTCTATATATATTTATTTCCACTTTCTTTTTGAAAACGTTATTTTTCAACAAAAAAGAGCTTGCAAGAAAAAAGTGGGTAATGAAACGTTCTAGTACTGAAGACAGTTCGCCAGCAATAACAAAGAAAATTCGTGATAATACCACAGAAGAAGAATCCATAGCAACAGATACTTCGCCTATACCTTCTACGACTACTATAAATATGACACATACACCTCATCCACAGCATCATTCCAATCTTAAAGACAGTAATAATAACTCTAATAGTAATAATAATCACCAACGCAATTCATCCTCAAGTGTACTTTGCTATGTCCACGATCTTGTACATAATCTCGAGCAAGGAAATATTGATCACTGTTTATCCAACTCCATAGACTTTTCTCTTTTCAATGAAAAACTAAGCAAATCTGACTCTGACCTACTTACTGCCCTTGATTTGAATCTCAAGAAGATTGCTCAACGTCAGTTGCAATTAGAAACAGAAAATTTAAGAAGTCGCATCATGATACAGCAGCAACATCAACTTCTTACAGCTCCTGGTCACGAGGAAAAGGTCACGAACCACGAAAAAACAAATAAAAAACAACAAGACAATAGTCAAAGATTGAAAAATACTACGTCCGAAGATGATTTAACTTCAGTTCATGATTCTTCCTTGCTTGAAAAATTAGAAAACTCCTACCGTGAAATGCCCAAGATTCCTCAACAAAAAGAAAAAGGTACAAAAAGGAAACATTTGAATCGCAATGGCTCATTTCTAATTCTTGCTTAGAAATTGCTATTGACTCTAATGATCATAATGAAAACTCGGCTGCTGGACTTGCTTCTTTATCCAATGTTTCTACTCCGCCTTTCAATATTTCATCTACCGCTACTGCTTACCCCGTTTACTTTGGTTCATCTTCTATCTTGTCTTTCCCTGCTGCCGCCGTTCAAACTAGTTCTGATAATATTGTATGCCCCGATTGTGTTATTCAAGCTGTCACTGTTGCTAGTGGTGTCTTTAATGGTGACTTGAATGGACGTATTACATGTAAACATGAACGTTGTGTTGTACCTGGAACAAATGTAGGCTCTGATGCCCCTATCAATACCTTGAAAAATGCTGTTAACGCTATGGCTGACCGACTCCAACTTGTGGCAGACGAAGTCAATTCTGTCGCACATGAAACTGCCGTCAATGGTAAATTAGGTGTCCAATGTAGTGTGAAGGAAAAGAAGGGTCTCTGGAAAGATTTTGTAGTCAACTTAAACTTGATGACAAGAAACCATCTTGAACAAGTGCGAGATATTGCTGATGTTTCACAAGCTATTGCTCGAGGTGACCTTAGTAAGGCAATGACCGCTCCTGTACGAGGTGAAACTTTATTGCTCAAAAACACATTCAATACAATGGGTAAAAAAAAAAAGAAGCAACTTGATACGCATTTTTTCTAATAACCATTTATAGTGAATCAATTAAACTTGTTTGCTTCTGAAGTATCTCGTGTGGCTCATGAAGTAGGTACTGAAGGCAAGTTGGGTGCTCAAGCCAAGGTACAAGGCGCTGATGGTATCTGGAAAGAATTGACTGACAACGTGAACACAATGGCTGCCAATCTTACAAATCAAGTGAGAGATATTGCTCAGGTTTCCAAATCAGTTGCTCGAGGTAATTTGACTAAAAAGGTCACCGTGGAAGTTAGAGGTGAAATGTTGGACTTAAAAAACACAATCAATACCATGGTGGATCAAGTAAGCTTTTATAAGAAAAAGGTCATGCCTTGTTTATTCCTTGTCTAACTTAATTTGGTAAATAGTTATCTATTTTTGCTACAGAAGTGACACGTGTGTCCCTTGAAGTAGGTACGGAAGGCAAACTCGGAGGTCAGGCAGTAGTAAAGGATGTAGCAGGCACTTGGAAAGATCTAACAGATAACGTGAATATGATGGCAACCAGAATTACAGACCAAGTACGTGATATTGCTGTTGTTGCTAAGGCCGTTGCTCAGGGTGATTTATCAAAGAAAGTCAAGGCAAATGCTCAAGGTGAAGTACTTGAGCTGAAAAACACAATGAACAAGATGGTAGAGAATATTAGTTTCATATATCAGGCTTTATTTACAATTCTATTAGGTTGACCAACTGCTCTTATTCTCTGCTGAAGTAAGGAGAGTGTCACTTGAAGTCGGTGTTGAAGGAAAGCTTGGCGGACAGGCTGTCGTCAAAGACGTCGGTGGTACATGGAAGAATTTGACAGACAATGTAAACCAAATGGCTGCCAACTTGACAAATCAAGTACGTTCTATTGCAGAAGTTACGAAGGCTGTAGCAAACGGTGACCTGTCAAAAAAGATTGAAGTCGAAACTCGAGGTGAAATTTTAGACCTTAAGAATACAGTCAATGACATGGTGGACCAGCTCAGGGTTTTTGCTTCCGAAGTTACACGTGTGGCGCGTGAAGTAGGCACAGAAGGTAAATTAGGTGGTCAGGCACGTGTGCCAAACGTGGACGGTACCTGGAAGGATTTGACAGATAATGTCAATACAATGGCTACCAATTTAACAACACAAGTAAGATCAATTGCTGTTGTCACAAAGGCTGTTGCCAATGGTGATTTATCCAAAAAGATTCAAGTAACAGTCAGCGGTGAAATATCGGATCTTAAAGACACCGTCAATAACATGGTGGATCAGCTGAGAGTTTTTGCGTCTGAAGTCACGCGTGTAGCTCGTGAAGTAGGTACTGAAGGAAAACTAGGCGGTGAAGCCATTGTTCCAAGTGTTAGTGGTACTTGGAAAGACTTAACTGATAATGTAAATACGATGGCTGCCAATTTAACAACGCAAGTGCGTTCGATTGCAGAAGTTACCAAGGCGGTTGCTAAAGGTGACCTGTCCAAAAAAATTTACGTTGAGACACAAGGTGAAATACTTGATTTGAAAAATACAGTCAACAACATGGTGGATCAACTGAATGTGTTTGCAGCAGAAGTGACGCGAGTCGCTAAAGAAGTAGGCACAGAAGGCAAATTGGGCGGTCAAGCATTAGTACCAAACGTAGACGGTACATGGATGGATCTTACAGTCAATGTCAACCATATGGCTACCAATTTGACAAATCAAGTGCGTTCCATTGCTGAAGTGACAAAGGCTGTAGCTCTGGGTGATTTGTCCAAGAAGATTGAAGTTGAGTCAGGTGGTGAAATCCTTGATTTGAAGAACATTGTGAATAACATGGTGGACCAACTGAGAGTCTTTGCCTCTGAAGTAACCCGTGTGTCTAAGGAAGTCGGCACAGAAGGCAAGCTAGGTGGGCAAGCTGTTGTTCAGGGTGTTGCTGGTACATGGAATGAGCTGACTGTCAATGTCAACCATATGGCTACCAATTTGACAAATCAAGTGCGTTCCATTGCTGAAGTGACAAAGGCTGTAGCTCTGGGTGATTTGTCCAAGAAGATTGAAGTTGAGTCAGGTGGTGAAATCCTTGATTTGAAGAACATTGTGAATAACATGGTGGACCAACTGAGAGTCTTTGCCTCTGAAGTAACCCGTGTGTCTAAGGAAGTCGGCACAGAAGGCAAGTTGGGTGGACAAGCTATGGTGCCTAACGTTGCAGGTACTTGGTTTGAATTGACAGATAATGTCAATATCATGGCTGCTAATTTAACCAATCAAGTACGCTCAATTGCTGAAGTGACTAAAGCTGTCGCCAATGGTGATTTATCTAAAAAGATCGAAGTTGAGTCCGGTGGAGAAATCTTGGAGTTGAAGAACATTGTGAATAACATGGTAGACCAACTACGAATCTTTGCCTCTGAAGTCACGCGTGTGTCCAAAGAAGTTGGTACTGATGGAAAGTTAGGTGGCCAGGCAACTGTGCCCAATGTAGCTGGTACTTGGTATGAACTCACAAACAATGTAAATATTATGGCTGCCAATTTGACAACTCAAGTACGTTCGATTGCTGAGGTCACTAAAGCAGTTGCCAGTGGTGATCTATCCAAAAAAATTGATGTTGAGACACGAGGTGAAATACTTGATCTCAAAAATACTGTTAACGAAATGGTGGATCAACTGAATGTGTTTGCAGCAGAAGTGACGCGAGTCGCTAAAGAAGTAGGCACAGAAGGCAAGCTTGGTGGTCAAGCTCGTGTGCCTAATGTTGATGGTACCTGGAAGGATTTGACAGACAATGTCAACACAATGGCTACCAATTTGACAAACCAAGTGCGTTCCATTGCTGAAGTGACAAAGGCTGTAGCTCTGGGTGATTTGTCCAAGAAGATTGAAGTTGAGTCAGGTGGTGAAATCCTTGATTTGAAGAACATTGTGAATGACATGGTGGATCAATTAAGAGTTTTCGCTGCAGAAGTAACGCGTGTGGCCAAAGAAGTCGGAACAGAAGGCAAACTAGGGGGTCAAGCTATGGTAGAAGGAGTAGCTGGTACTTGGCTTGATCTTACAGACAATGTAAACACTATGGCTGCCAACTTGACAACGCAAGTGCGTTCCATTGCTCAAGTGACCAAAGCTGTAGCTCTGGGTGACCTATCCAAGAAGATTGAAGTTGAGTCAGGTGGTGAAATCTTAGAACTCAAGGATATTGTCAACAACATGGTGGATCAACTACGTATCTTTGCCTCTGAAGTAACCCGTGTGTCTAAGGAAGTCGGCACAGAAGGCAAGTTGGGTGGACAAGCTATGGTGCCTAACGTTGCAGGTACTTGGTTTGAATTGACAGATAATGTCAATATCATGGCTGCTAATTTAACCAATCAAGTACGCTCAATTGCTGAAGTGACTAAAGCTGTCGCCAATGGTGATTTATCTAAAAAGATCGAAGTTGAGTCCGGTGGAGAAATCTTGGACCTCAAAGCTACAGTCAATTCTATGGTAGACCAACTACGTATTTTTGCCTCTGAAGTTACACGTGTTGCCCGCGAAGTAGGTACTGAAGGCAAGTTGGGTGGTCAAGCTACTGTTGAGGGAGTGGCTGGTACTTGGTTAGATTTAACAGATAATGTTAACACAATGGCTGCCAATTTGACAACACAAGTGCGTTCGATTGCACAAGTGACCAAAGCCGTAGCAAAGGGTGATTTGTCAAAGAAGATCGAAGTACAGACCAACGGTGAAATTCTGGAGCTTAAAGACACTGTGAATGACATGGTGGATCAATTAAGAGTTTTCGCTGCAGAAGTAACGCGTGTGGCCAAAGAAGTCGGAACAGAAGGCAAACTAGGGGGTCAAGCTATGGTAGAAGGAGTAGCTGGTACTTGGCTTGATCTTACAGACAATGTAAACACTATGGCTGCCAACTTGACAACGCAAGTGCGTTCCATTGCTCAAGTGACCAAAGCTGTAGCTCTGGGTGACCTATCCAAGAAGATTGAAGTTGAGTCAGGTGGTGAAATCTTAGAACTCAAGGATATTGTCAACAACATGGTGGATCAACTACGTATCTTTGCCTCTGAAGTAACCCGTGTGTCTAAGGAAGTCGGCACAGAAGGCAAGTTAGGTGGACAAGCTGTAGTCCAAGGTGTTGCTGGTACTTGGAATGAGCTAACTAATAATGTCAATATCATGGCTGCTAATTTAACCAATCAAGTGAGATCCATCGCCGAGGTGACTAAAGCTGTGGCTCGAGGTGATTTGTCTAAGAAGATTGAAGTTGAGTCAGGCGGTGAAATCCTTGATTTGAAGAACATTGTGAATAACATGGTGGATCAATTGAACGTATTCGCTTCAGAAGTATCACGTGTAGCCAGAGAGGTCGGTACTGAAGGCAAGCTTGGTGGTCAAGCTCGTGTGCCTAATGTTGATGGTACCTGGAAGGATTTGACAGACAATGTCAACACAATGGCTACCAATTTGACAAACCAAGTGCGTTCCATTGCTGAAGTGACAAAGGCTGTAGCTCTGGGTGATTTGTCCAAGAAGATTGAAGTTGAGTCAGGTGGTGAAATCCTTGATTTGAAGAACATTGTGAATAACATGGTGGACCAACTGAATGTGTTTGCCGCAGAAGTAACGAGAGTTGCGAAGGAAGTCGGCACAGAAGGTAAACTAGGCGGGCAGGCTGTTGTGCAAGGCGTTGCTGGTACTTGGAATGAACTGACAGACAACGTCAATACTATGGCAGCCAACCTAACAACGCAAGTACGTTCAATTGCACAAGTGACCAAAGCAGTTGCTAACGGCGATTTGTCAAAGAAGATTGAAGTACAGACCAACGGTGAAATTCTGGAGCTTAAAGACACTGTGAATGACATGGTGGATCAACTCAATGTGTTTGCATCCGAAGTCACTAGGGTAGCCAAGGAAGTAGGTACAGAGGGTAAGCTTGGTGGTCAAGCCAAGGTTGAAGGTGTTGCTGGTACCTGGATGGACTTGACAGACAACGTAAACACTATGGCTGCCAACTTGACAACGCAAGTGCGTTCCATTGCTCAAGTGACCAAAGCTGTAGCTCTGGGTGACCTATCCAAGAAGATTGAAGTTGAGTCAGGTGGTGAAATCTTAGAACTCAAGGATATTGTAAATGGCATGGTGGATCAACTACGTATCTTTGCCTCTGAAGTAACCCGTGTGTCCAAGGAAGTCGGCACAGAAGGCAAGTTAGGTGGACAAGCTGTAGTCCAAGGTGTTGCTGGTACATGGATGGATCTTACTGACAATGTAAATCAAATGGCTGCTAATTTAACCAATCAAGTACGCTCAATTGCTGAAGTGACTAAAGCTGTCGCCAATGGTGATTTATCTAAAAAGATCGAAGTTGAGTCCGGTGGAGAAATCTTGGAGTTGAAGAACATTGTGAATAACATGGTAGACCAACTACGAATCTTTGCCTCTGAAGTCACGCGTGTGTCCAAAGAAGTTGGTACCGAAGGTAAATTAGGCGGTCAAGCTGTTGTTCAGGGTGTTGCTGGTACTTGGAATGAATTGACCGACAATGTTAACATCATGGCTGCCAATTTGACAAATCAAGTGCGTTCTATCGCTGAAGTAACAAAGGCTGTAGCCAATGGTGATCTATCCAAAAAGATTCATGTTGAGACTCGGGGTGAAATTCTTGATCTTAAGATTACTGTAAATGACATGGTAGATCAACTGAGAGAATTTTCGTCTGAAGTCACTCGTGTCGCTCGTGAAGTCGGCACTGAAGGCGCTTTAGGTGGTCAAGCCAACGTTCAAGGTGTAGCAGGAACCTGGAAAGACTTGACAGACAATGTCAACACAATGGCTACAAATTTGACTACACAAGTAAGATCAATTGCCGTTGTTACCAAGGCTGTGGCAAAGGGTGATTTGTCAAAGAAAATTGAAGTAGAAACTCGAGGCGAAATTCGCGAGCTCAAGTAAGTTTCATATGAACCCATATCAGCGTTTATTAACTAAAACAAAATAGGGAAACTGTTAATGACATGGTTGATCAGTTGCGTGTATTTGCTGCTGAAGTAACTAGAGTCGCAAGAGAAGTTGGTACAGAGGGTATGCTTGGTGGTCAAGCTACTATTGTTGGTGTTGATGGAACTTGGAAGCATTTGACTGACAATGTTAATCTAATGGCCAGTAATTTGACAGACCAACTTCGTGCTATTGCTGCTGTATGTAAAGCTGTCGCTCAAGGCGACCTTAGCAAAAAGATTGAAGTAGAAGTGCATGGTGAAATTGCTGAATTGAAGAACACAATTAATACCATGGTGGATCAGTTGAGCTCTTTTGCTTCCGAAGTGACCAGAGTTGCAAAGGAAGTAGGAACAGAAGGTAAATTGGGTGTCCAAGCTCAAGTAGAAGATATCGAGGGTCTATGGCGTGATATTACAAGCAATGTCAATACAATGGCTTCTAACTTGACAACGCAAGTCCGTGCCTTTGCTCAAATCTCTGCAGCAGCTACTGAAAATGATTTCTCTCGCCTTATCACTGTTGAAGCATCTGGCGAAATGGACTCTTTGAAGACCAAGATCAATCAAATGGTTGGTTCTCTTCGTGATGCTATTCAAAAGAACAGACTTGCTAGGGAAGCTGCTGAATTAGCCAACAGATCCAAAAGTGAATTTTTAGCTAACATGAGTCACGAAATCCGTACTCCTATGAACGGTATCATTGGTATGACATCCCTCACCCTCGAAACTGAATTGACTCGTCAACAAAGAGAAAATTTGATGATTGTTTCAAGTTTAGCAAACAGCCTGTTAACTATTATTGATGACATTTTGGATATCTCGAAGATTGAAGCCGGTCGTATGACAATAGAATCTATTCCCTTTTCTCTTCGTTCTGCCGTTTTTAGTGTTTTGAAGACGCTGGCCGTTAAAGCAAATCAAAAGAAACTCGATCTTATTTATCATGTTGAACAATGTATTCCTGATCAGCTGATTGGTGATCCTCTTCGTTTACGTCAAGTTATCACTAATCTTATTGGTAACGCTGTCAAATTTACAACACAAGGTGAAGTTGTGCTTCGTACCAGAGCTGTTCGCATGCAAGACGGAACCGTTCGATTAGAGTTCTGTGTGAGTGATACAGGTATAGGTATTCAAGAAGACAAACTCAATGTCATTTTTGATACTTTCTGTCAAGCAGATGGTAGTACTACGTAAGTTTTTTTTTTTTTGTATATGAGACCTCGATATTGATACATGTATTTTCTAGACGTGAATATGGTGGTACTGGTCTAGGTTTATCAATTTCAAGACATCTTGTCCAACTCATGGGTGGTGATTTATGGGTCGAATCGAAATATGGTCGTGGATCTGAATTCTACTTTACTGTCAACTTGCTTCGCTACAATCTCGATGAAAAAGAAGTCAAGGACAAAATTTATAGATTCCGTAGCAGGCGCATTTTGTTTTTGGACAGTATGAATGATCAAACTGGTGTTGTTGACAAAGTCACCATGCTAGGCTTAAAGCCTTTCCGTGTTGGCAGCATTGAGGAAGCAGCTGCAGTTTCAAATGCTAATTCAAGCAAAATCAAGCATGCACCATTCTTCGATACCGTCATTATCGACAAGATGGCTCTTGCTGAAAAGATCCGTGAAATTGTGCCTTTACGATACACACCTATTGTGCTGATTGCTCCTGAAGTCCATTTGCTTAATATGAAGCTCTGTATTGATCTTGGTATTACTGGCTATATCAATTCCCCAACAAACCTTGCTGACATGTCTGCCGTTCTCCTACCTGCTTTAGAAAGCCATGCTGCTCTGCCAAGTGACGCTTCCAAGACCGTCCCACTCGAAATTTTGTTGGCAGAAGACAATGATGTGAATCAGAAACTTGCTGTCCGTATACTAGAGAAATTCGGACACCATGTCAAGGTTGTTGCCAATGGTAAACTCGCTGTAGAAGCCTTTGAAGCTCAAGATTTTGATTTGATTTTGATGGATGTGCAAATGCCTGTCATGGGTGGTTTTGAAGCCACTCAGAAGATTCGAGAAATCGAACATAGCATGAACAATAATTCACATATACCTATTATTGCTTTGACAGCACATGCCATGATCGGCGATAGAGAAAAGTGCTTACAGGCTGGCATGGTAAGTTAAACATAGATTATTTTAGCGTATATTCTGACAATTTATTAGGATGAATATGTCACTAAACCCTTGAGATTCCCTGAGCTTATTGCAGCCATCAAAAAGTTTGCACCTCAGTCTGCACACATGATGGAAGGGAAGTCCAAGTTATCTTTATCTAAGAAATAATTTAGACCTTATTTATACTGTATTTAATAAATCGTTTATTCATTGCAAAGACTGTCGAGAAATTTCGTGACATATTGTCTATATTGTGAATTAGTTTGGGCATGAGAAGAAGCAAGTCTATCAAAGTCTTCAGGAAAAGATGCTTTTCTTGTCCCTTCTCTCTCTAATGCAAGTTTTTCTCTCTAAAATCAACTCATTTTCTAGCAAAATATCTGAAATTGATCATTATCGCTTTGCATTTCCGTTTGTCGATTCCTGAGTCTCAATAGAATCGTAGGGCATGTTTTCAACAGGAATGTTTTAAAAATCATTTTGGCTAGGAAGAATTGATACTAGCGATGGCTCTGGCACTGACTCTGTTCGAGTGAATGCTCTTCTCAGAAAATAAAAGTACTTGAACTTTTTTAAGACTTTCTCTGCTCCAACGTATACGATAATTGCCTGTGTTTTGAGTGAGGTACTTACGTTTCACGTCTACAGGATGCTCTGATAATAAATCCAATGAAATATCGAATTTTCCGTCTTGGAGGTCTTTTGCAACATTTTGGGATTTTGCTTCTATGTTGCTTATATGACCTAAGGCCCCTTTTGGGGTTCGGTCTAAATGACCAGCTTGTTAGAAAATATTGCTGGGATCTACAACAAACGAATGCTTGGGCCTGAGTCCGTTACTACCGTTTGTTTCGGTACGTCCTGAAAAAAAGTAGCAGTTGTTGCCGGTTCCAAGCCATTCGACAACGATGTCTACTGACAATCTACCTTTTTCATCATTGGCAGTAACCCAGCTGGCATGTATCTTATCTTCGGAAACGCTATTGCTTCTTTAACCTGTAATAGTATTATTTTCGTGAAGGCTTGCTTCACTGCTAGAATCGCTAAAATGGAACAATTTAACAGACGGCTTTGATCGATAAGAGAACGAAAGAGAAGTAGTTGGCAAAGGAAAAGTATCCAGTTTGACGGCTATTAAACTTCACATTAAATAAAGCAATACCTGTCATCTAAAGGCAAAAAGCCACTTTTGATTTTACAGCTAATAGCCTTGATAGAATATGGTATTAATTTCTTTTGTTATTGACATGTTGTATTAGCAATATCTCTAAGACATCTTTGGATATAAATCTATACAACTTCTGACAAATCAAGCTGACCTTGAGTGGCTATAGCTCTCAATACAAAAAAAAAAAAAAAAAAAAAAAAAAAAAAAAAAAAAAAAAAAAAAAAAAAACAAAAGAAGCATTTGCTCAAATACTCTACTTGGTCTGTATCAAGTTACAAGAGATTTCTATTTGTTATTTAGTTTTATAGTTTTCCTTTTAGTATAGTCTGTTATCTTAAACCAAGCAACTCTTTTTTTTTGAAGTTCTTCAACAGTCAAGACGTCAGAAAGAAAAAGACTAGCTTGCTTTTATGACTAGCTAATCAAATCTTGTTGTGATACAAAAGCCAGAGAGTGAATCAAAATCTTTATACCATACATGTTCAAGGAGAATGTGCATAGTTCTGACTTGACTCTCTGAATTTAGATTAGTTAGGGTAACGAACAGTTTCTACTGTATAGTCAAGCTAAGTTTAATCTTTCCGAGCCAGATTCTTGTTATGATCAAGTGACTTACCTTTGTCACGTATTCATGTTCATTTTGATTGCAGCTAGCAGATATAAAACACTAGCCAATTCAAGTGTAATTGTTGTCTATGCGAACTATTTTATTCAGTGCTCAAATCATGTGTGTGTGGGTGTGCGTGCGTGCATATAATGGTCCACAGGAACGGCTCCTTGTCTGTTGAACTCGAATTTCCCGGGACCAAGTGCACCAAAGTAACAAAAAGGTACGGATGATTTATTATCAAAGTGGTTGCACCCCCGCTTCATGTACCGAAATATCGTGCTAGATATCTAAATATAATTCAGTAGATCAAACAGGGCATGTTCCTTCATACAGATACGCTGCTCAAAAGGCAATAGACCATTGCAATAGCAGAGTGACTTGCTTTGATAAAAAATACGCCCTCTTCAATTAAGGTTATGACGTGCCTTCATTTATACGTCACAGATGAGATGAGCATAGGTGAGCAAGTTACTGTGATACTGCGTCTTTGTTTTGGACAAACTGAGAGAAACAATAAAGCCTAAGGCTTTCTGTGACAGATAATAATGATGTATATGAAAAACTGGGCTTGAATCACGTACCTTAAAATTTTGAACAAAATTCTTTCCTCTTCTTTTTTTTTTTGATTCTCTTTACCCCTTTATACCAGTTAGATACCATTGTTTATAGCTAAAAAAAATGGAACGTGTTGATAGTATTCACTCTGTTGATGAAAACAAGAGCCCAAAACCAATTTTGGTAGGGTCTAACCACCATGCCAGACGGTCTATCAGTAGCATGGATTTTTTAAATGGCTTGAAAATCATGACAAACAATGTCAGTAATAATAATAACTATGACAACAGTATACCGGTTTCTCCTGTTCCTTCACATCTAGTGGAACACCAGTTTAGTCAGCTCGATGATTTTGACCTTAAGGAAGCTATAGGTAAATCCACTCATTGCGTATTTGTGTGTATATTTATTCTCTTTTTGAATAGGCTATGGTTCTTCTGCTATTGTTTTTAAAGCTATCTATAAACCACTCAATAAGAAAATGGCATTAAAAATTATTGACTTGGACAAGTTTGAACGAAATCAAATCGATGAACTTCGAGTAAAGTATCACACACGAGGCACATTCGCCAAAAAAAGGGAGGAGACTGTAACGGGCCTTCAATTAACTCGATTTTTTTTTTTCATAGCGCGAAACAGCATTGATGGCATTATCCAAGCATGCAAATGTATTGCGCGTGTACGGGTCATTTGTAAATGGATCTAAGCTTTATATCGTCACGCCTTATTTGGCTGGTGGTTCCTGTCTAGATATCATGAAAACCAGATTTCCTGATGGTCTAGATGAGCTGAGCATTGCTACTATTCTTAAACAAACTTTGGAGGCATTAATTTATTTACACAAAAATGGACATATTCATCGTGATGTCAAAGCAGGCAATTTATTGATGGATGAGGATGGCACTGTTATGTTGGCTGATTTTGGTGTTTCCTCTTCTCTCATGGAAACAGGTGAAAGAGGTATGAGAAAGACATTTGTTGGTACTGTAAGTATAATAATGTATATGTATGATGTTTTTATTAATGCATGTCAAAGCCTTGTTGGATGGCTCCTGAAGTTATGGAACAAGCCGAATATGACTATAAAGCAGATATCTGGAGTTTTGGTATCACTGCTATTGAATTGGCTACAGGACATGCTCCTTTTGCCAAATATCCTCCATTAAAGGTATGATATTTGTTTCTTTTTTAATGGATCTGCTCACCTCCTTCATATAGGTACTTATGATGACTTTATCAAATGAGCCACCAACACTAGACCGTGAAACTACAGTTCACAAGTATTCAAAAACATTCAAGGAAATGATTGATACATGTCTCTCCAAAGACCCACAAAAGAGACCTTCTGCAGAAAAATTATTGCAGCATCCATTCTTTAAACAAGCTAAAAGAAAAGAATATCTTGTCAAGACAATCCTTTCAGAATTACCCCCACTTGAACAACGACCTCGTAAAAAGATACCCCAGAAACAAGTAACGATTACCAAGACAGATGAATGGGATTTTGATGATGATAATGCTGAGGATGATCTTGCTGAGTCCAATCAGCTCATGCCTGATCAGACCGAGCTTTCTTCCAATCTACAAGAAAACAACAGTAATAATAAGGCAAAACCAGCAGCAAAAAGACACATTTCCTTTGGTGATGTTGTTGTACGTAGCAATAGTCTTGTTCATCCAGCAGATCCAATATTAAACACACCAACCACTTCTTTGCCATCTTCGCTCAGTCAAGCAAATCCTACTCCTTTATCGCTCAATCAAACGAGTACAACCCCACCCACAAGAAAATCACGCTTTGTGATTGAAGAGACAGCTACTTCAAGAGATCAAGATAGTCTTCATTCAACTTCTGTTCGTTCTTCAAGTCCAATGCCTGTAGACGAAGAGAATTTTCAAAGCAACACATTTGACACAACAGGTGAAGTCATGAAAGGCCGTTTTTATGTCAATCAAACACCTAAACCTGTCACATCTTCTGATTCCCTAAGCAATTTGGAGGAAGAGCAACAACAACAACAACAACAACAACAACAACTGCACAAAACCCCTAGCCAAGATTACAGTGATCGTAAATCTCGTTTTGAAATCCAAGTGAACAACAATAACAATTTGCCTATTCTCTATCAACCAATTCCACTTTCGCGTGACAGTTCAAGTTACTCTTCTTCCTCCAACAAGACAACAGCGATTGTTGAGAAAAAATACCCCAATGCAGAACTATTAACAACAGAAAACATTGCACTTTTGACTGAATCATCACGCAAAATTGGTCGATTTGAATTGACAGGTGGTTCAACCACAACAAGCAATTCGTCCTCTATTGCAGATGTAACTCCTAGAGGCAGTTTCTCTTCAAACCACTTTTTAGATCAAGAAAAGGGTGTCCATGCTTCACAATCCCAAGAGCACACAGTACTCCATAGTCATACACCACCTAATGTGCACCCACAATACCAATTAGAAGAATTGATTCGAATGAATGAAATGCAGAAAACAATGTTACAAGAATTAGGTTCCAATTTAAAGAAAAATATGCCACAATTCTTTTTAAACAATAATCATCAAGGCGATCATTATTCTGATTCCCAATCCAGGTATGTTTTAGCCTATGAAATGCTTGTTTTACTCATTCTTTATAGTTCTTGTTCCGTCAGTGATGATCTATCGTCTACTGTTGAGCATTTAGACAAACTAGTTCAACAAACATTGTTTGAAAACGCCAAGCTACAAAGAGAAAATGAAAACCTAAGAAGAGAATTGAAAGAGTTGAAGCTTATTGAAAGAAAATAAAGTTGTCACAATGATTTGCATGAATTTTTAATTTGATTTGATAGTTATTCCCGAACTATTTTTTTTTCTTCTTTTATTTTTTTTTAATAATGGGAAATGGAATCTCAAAGAAATACAAATCAAGACCGAGTATAATTCGGTCTGAATCCGAGCAACAAATAGAGAATGAACACTCAAATACAACAGCTACTTCAATGAACTCGATTCTAGTGAATCATAGCGAAAAAGCTATTCCAAATAGTTTTTCATCATCGCCTATGCCCATACCAACAGAAAAGCCAACTACACAAGAAACTGTTACTTCTTTTAATGAAAATCAACTTACAACAAGCTCCACACAGTCATTCGGAAAAAACCTCGATATTGATGAATGTATACATCGACTTATTGAGGTTGGAACAAGCGGAAAAGTATCGAAATCAATTTGTTTCAGAACATCAGAAATCATTGCTATCTGCCGAGCTGTTCAAGAGGTTTTCTTGAGTCAACCTGTAAGTCAAACACCCTATGTCCTATCACAAAGGCTTATTCTTTCTTTAATGTATAGACGTTAATTGAGCTCAATCCTCCAGTCAAAATTATGGGTGACATTCATGGACAATTTCATGACTTGATTCGCTTATTTCAAATGAGCGGATTTCCTCCTGAATCAAACTATCTACTTTTGGGCGATTATGTAGATCGAGGTAAACAAAGCTTAGAGACAATTTTGCTCTTGTTTTGCTATAAAATCAAATATCCAGAAAACTTCTTTTTGCTAAGAGGCAATCATGAATGCGCTAATGTCACTCGAGTCTATGGCTTTTATGACGAATGCAAGCGTAGAACGAATGTTAAAATTTGGAAGACATTTATTGATGTGTTTAATACTTTGCCTATAGCTGGAATGGTGGCAAACAAGATATTTTGTGTGCACGGAGGTATTAGCCCCAGTTTAAACTTATTAGACGATATACGGACTATCTCAAGACCCACAGATGTACCTGAAGTTGGGCTGCTTAATGATCTTTTATGGTCTGATCCTTCAGAAACAGCGTATGAATGGGAAGATAATGAGCGTGGTGTTTCTTATTGTTTTGGCAAGAAAATTGTGAATGAATTTTTGGCCAAGTTTGATTTAGATCTTGTTTGTCGGGCTCATATGGTAGTCGAAGATGGCTACCAGTTCTTTAATGACCGCACATTGGTCACTGTATTCAGTGCTCCCAACTATTGTGGTGAGTTTGATAATTTTGGAGCTATTATGACTGTCAATCAAGAGCTTTTATGCAGCTTCGAATTATTAACACCGATGGATCACCCACCAATCAAGTTCCAACAAATGAGTGGTGGTAGAAGACAAAGGTAAGTTTTCTTGTATAAACATCAACTAACACTTTATGTCTAGTCCTCCAATGACAGAGTTTTCTTCTTCTTATGATGACTGAATTGTATGTATGCCTATGCACATACGTGTATGTATGTGTATGTGTGTAAGCTTGTATACCAAATAAACAATATGATACATTCTTTTTTGTATCACGTGGATTAAGGTGGTATAAAAAAACCAACTACTAGTCATTCAGATAAGGCTCTTTTTTTTCTTTTTTTTTCTTTGTTTCCCATTTTAGTTCAATGGAAGATATAATACAACAAAGAGCAAGACCATCAAGAATACAAGAGGCAACTAGAGCCAAAACAACCAAAGTGACCAATCACCCTTGGCTGACACCCAGTACTCCTCAAGCAGAGTTCAGCTTTCCCCTTGCAGAGAGTAAATCAACCAGCTACACATCGATATCCAACACAAGCTGTAGCACAGGCTCCAAATATGACTGGCGTATGCATTCACTCACTCTTTGCCGCCATATCTTAACAAGAGGTCTTGTGGATGGTATTGGCAGTGATATCCAGATCTATGTACCCAATTGGCATAAAACCTATCACTTACATCGTCTTGTGCTTGACCAAAACCCTTACTTTAAACTGCTTTTACAGGGCGGATTTCGTGAGTCAGAAACAAATCAAATCTCTCTTAATTTCGAAAAAGAAGACACTTTTATCAATAAGGAATCGTTTCAGTTTGTACTAGAGTATCTTTATGGCAAAATAGAAGATCCATGCATTCAGCAGTCCAATGTGAGGCAGATATTAGCCACTTGCTCTTATTTTCAACTGGATGTTATTTGCGGTTTATGTGTTGATTTCATCATGAAGAATTTGAATCAGAGAAATGTGGTGGATTATTTGTTGTTTTCGAATGAATATATGGTACAAGGAAGCGACCGTATCTCAGATGCTGTTTGTTCGTTTTTATGCAGGGAAGCATATAATATGGATTGTGCTCTTTTGGTTGCTTTACCACTGGAATGGCTTCAAAAAGTCATTGAAAGTGATGCTTTTTGGGTGCCTAGGTAAAAAAAATATTCATTCGTTTTATACCTTATTTATTGTTATAGTGAGTTTGAAAGATACCAGTTTATCAAACAAGTAATATATGCAAGACACCAAAGTTATTTGGCAGACAAAGACAATTTCTTATTGACAGAACTTGATACAAATCCAAATTGTCATCTTATTTCTAAAGCCATTTACTATATGCATATGACATTTGAACAGCTTGAATCAATTCAAGGCGATATACATCCATTTACAAAAGAACGCCTTGTGCCTGAAAGAGTCTTGAAAGACGCTTTGTGGCTACAAGTTCGATTAAGATCAAAGATTGAATCAGCACTTGAAAGAGATACAAAGCTTAACATGACTGTTTCAAAAGAAGAAGAAGACGAACAACAACAAAAGGAAGATGACGAGCCTATAGTTGAGCGACAATACTACCCTATTCCAACTAACGATACAACAACATATACAGGAGAATCAGCTATTTCACTGACTTCTCTTTCCCCTCATCAACAAAGCAAAAAGAAAGTGTCTGAAAATGCAGAGCAGTATTCTATCTATCCCCCTTTTCGCTTTGGTGTAGAGTTTGCTGATGTGGCCACATTAAAGCATGGTATGCGTGTCTATTCTGATACTGTGTTTTATGCAGGGTAAGGGTAGAGTGAATGGAACACTGAAAAACAAGAATAAATAGATCAAATTGGAATATGTATATTCAAAAGACAAGATCTCAACGCAAAGGCATATTGCAGCTAGGTGTCTATCTCCATAGACAATCTGTACCACAAAACTATACTACATGTCAGCATCCAGATACTGAATACACGAATCGGCCTGAGAATAACAATGCAAATGAGCCTTGGTCATTCTCGAGATATGCTGATAAAAGAAAAGTGGTCAAGACTTGGTTCAAGATCTATTGTCCTTCAAGGGGTCCAAAACATGCCTTAACTTTGTTTCAAAGTAGTCCTGATAACTTTTCTATCTTGCAAAGTTGGGCAAGTGATAAAAAAATGAAAATACTTGCTTTTTAACGTAGAATATATAGGGTTGGAGAAGTACTACATTATGTGCCGATGAAGAAGCAAACGCTAGTTCTCAACTATCAGAAATGAGTCCAATAGATCCAAATGAAGTGTCCAACAAGCCATTAGCTCCCAGTTCGTCCACTCCACCACTGTCATATACACCACAAACATCAAATCAGTTACAATATCTACAGAGTATGTATGACTTGAAGACGCTTAAATCTGCCTTAAGCAACAATAGTCAACAAAGTCTAAAGCTGAATATACCTTCTGGTCCTACATTGCGTTTTACTGTCGTTATGGGTCATGTATAGCAAAAAGATATAGAATAAACAGTTCTTTTCTTCTTTATGTATATTTTGTGCTCAATATACACTTGTTAGGAATCATAGCATCCTTATTAAAATAAGCATAATCAGACTCAATATGCGAATCTATAGACAACAAGAAAGAATCAAAACTATATAAACGTATTAAAATCAATTGAACATAAACCATAGGGTTATACTTGCATGTTCTGTTGATGCTCTTTTTCAAATATTTTAGTATAAATGAAATCCTTTTTGAACTGTTGAATATCATCCTACAAGAAAAGTAAGTCTTTTTTGTTTTTATAATCCAATAAAGACTTACTTTGTAATTATCAGGATCAATGGCTTGCTTGTCATTATCAACATTATTAATGTGTTGGTTGTAATAGTGAAATACAGGTCTATCTAGCAGTAGTCCTAATGCTGGTGCTTTTGGAATATTAATCCTAGTTGATTCGAATGTTTTCGGTATAATACAGGACGGTGTCTCTGTGCGTACAGATAACATAGCCATGGCTACATAGGATAAGCATATTGACTAAAGAAAGATGACTTACAAATCATTTTTCTAATTTGATGAAGCATGAATGATTGACCATGTAGTTTAACACTAATCCATTCCATACCATGAATAAGGATGGGTTTCTCAACCTTGATGTCAATCATATGTCGATTAGACGCTTTATCATGAAAACTTCTGGCAATTGTATAATTGTGAAAATTATGAGTGCCTAGAAATAGAGACATGGCTTGTTTGAATCGATTGTATCTCTCTATATCCACTCTATAATCAAACAATAACTGAGGATCTGTAGGCTTTATGTATCTCTGAACGGTGCCATCCAATGTTGAAATCTGAATATCTTTGTCAGTTTTAGGCACAGTTGTCCATTTCTTGTTTTTTTCAAGGCATTTAAGTGCATAGGAAGGAAACAAATATTCATAGATACGAGAATCACATTTGTTTTTTGCATGAAAGCTTCTTTGCGTCTCTACATAGCCTAACAAAGTTTTTAGAGGTTGTCATGTCATCCTTTGTACTGACCCCATACTCGAATATGATCCGGTAATAGTTTATTCAGCTTTTCAACAATGTGTTTGTCCTCACAAATCATCTTAAGAGACACCACATTGCATGAAGCATGTACACCCTTATCTGTTCTTGCTGCTCTCATTAACTGTACTTTTTTTGGATCCATCGCATTGGATGAAGAAACTGCACCTGCTTTACATAATGCATCAAACAAAACAGATTCAATTGTCTGTGCCCCAGGGTTTCTAATATGTCGTTAATTTCAAGTAAACATGATAGGTTTGCTTACGCCTGCATGCCTTGGTATCTTGATCCATTAAATCCAATCAACAAAGCAACCTTCTTCTTGGGTAGTCTCGGTTCTACTCGAGTCGTTTGGACTTGATCAGGATTGGCTTTCCACGATCGAACTTTTTCGAAATATTCTCGGCGATCTTTTGAAGTCTTGATACGATTAAGGCAAACAGCAGCTGTACATATAGAACGCGTACTTCTCTTGAGTTGAAACAGCATAAGTTGTAAAATAAAAAACTGTTCTAAAATATACGAGACAGAAAAAAAAAAGCCGCATGTGTTACCTGCCAAATTTAAAGGATACTTTCATTCGGTCAACAATTCCAGGAAATAAACGAGTCGACTTCTTCACCCACAAGGTATCTTTAAGTCAGTTAAATAATGCGAAGAACTTTATACCTTTTTAATTGATGTGGTTTTTCTATCATAAAAAAATTTGCATACAAATGGTGCCTAAAGCCTGTTTGTACACGGATAAATGCTCTAAATACATACACATCATGTTTACTAACATATGCAGTGTCTTTGGAATTGATTTGGACCAAAATGACCATTCGACCAAAGGGTATTATTACTTATAAAAAAAGCTCGTTTGACAACTTTCAATCTTCTTTTGAAAGCTGCAAGACGAAAAGTAGAGCTATTAACATGTTTAAATACTAGTTTCTGGTGAGTATGTTTGTTTAACAGCTGTACTACACAAATGATGAGATATGGGCAAAAAACCTCATAAACATCCTTGCCTATTTGTTCAATACTTTAGCAGCAAAGTTACTGCGCTCTTTATATCAATAGAATCAGAAGACAAAGATCTACAACTTTTGTCATTATACCAAAGCCCAATAACTGCGTCTTTATGCAGTTCTCAGCAAAAGCCCTATTCTTTTTTAAAGGTTTTTATTTTTTGCTCCACGTAGACTATGACTAAAGCCTGTCACAATTTTAAGAGATACAAAGGGAAAATACATAAAGTAATTGATCATAAACATTTATGCAAGTGTTTCTCGTCAATCAGAGAATTGGGAGAAGCATGAGTGGATGAAAGAAGTAGAATTGGATTAAACGGAATTTCATTGAAGATAGTATTCCAATGGGCTTTTCAAATTTGACCCATGCCTTGGAATACTATTTCTTGAGCATCTAACTCACTATTCTGAGTATAACGAATGGAATGGAAGTTCATATATCAGATTGCTTGTATGATATCATCAACAGTAGTGGTTGGCCATAAAAATTCAAATATAAGCTCTTTTCAAAAATGTGTTTTTGGAGGGAATGAAAAGAGCATATGGTTGTCGTTCTCAGTATAAAGACCACAAATTTGGCACAAAGGAGTTGGAAATCGTTCAAGCAAGAAGCGATTCATACGTATCTTTGTAGGCAGCTTATAGTCTATATATTAATATACCACATTTCGCACAACGGCGGTAAGGGACAATGTCCAAAATGAGTCCCAATACACATGAGGCCCTATTTCAAGATGATTGCATTAAAAGAAACAAAGAATATTAAAACAATTCATGCAAGTGATTTGAGGAAATGTCATTTACTCTACTTCAAAACTGAGGATGGAAACGTAATCTAAGATTTTACGATGATACAGTTAGGCTGGTGGATATTGGCGGTTACAAAAAAAGTAATTGTCGGTTAATAAAAATACAATTGTTGAGAGACAAGATTTAATTTGTCGGTTAGTGCCAAACAAATTGTCGTTCAAATACGAATATGAAAAGTAAAAAGAGGTTTAATCCATTGCACTTAATAATACGATGCTTAACTGAATTGCATAGTGCTTTACTTTTTGCAACGTTTTCGTTGAGTTGAAGTTTAAAGTAGTAAATATTTTATTCAATGAAAGGCTTAGAAAGGAGTTCGAGTATAGCACTTTACAATTTGTCGTTTGGAATGGCGGCAAAAGCCATAAAGATCGCTAAAGCGAACATCATTACAAGCGTCACCAATTCTAGAAGATAGAGTCTCTTCTTTCATCAAGCGGTGGCGCTTTATCTTTCCTTTCACTAAAGATCAGAACTGCTCAATAGGGTTTAGCTCAGGCGAGTAAGGAGGGAGATACATTACTCCATAACCTCTAGCTTCGATTTTTCGAATCATCGGTTTCAATTTATGAATGCTAGCATTATCCATCACTAAATAGCTACCCTTTAAATCCTCATCTTCACCCATTATATCAAGGAGCTCATTAATAAACTTAATAAAATGGGCAGTTGTTGTGCCTTTTGGTGTTGGCTTTACATCAACTACACTGGCATCATCCTCTGGGGCAGCTTCGTCGTCGTTGGCCTCAGCTACAGCCCTCTTCTTTCCACTGTTACCCTTTCTCTTCTTTTTAGCAGCAATTTCTGTTGCAGATTTGGGAGGGGGCTTCTTCAAAACGACATGAAGTACGGCAGACGAATGGATAGCACCAATAACTGAGTGGGAGGTTACTCTTGTTTTTGGTGTCTTTACTACAGCACAAGTTCCAGCTGGTGATCTAGCCCAATTGTTTCTCATATTGATATGAAATCCGGCTTCATCAATAAATACGCAATTTTTTGTATAGTCCAGATCTTTGTCCTTCCAGTTCATAAACCACTCGTGTCTTGTCTCCAGATTGTAAATAGAGTTCCTGGCTTCGGCTTCAAAATGAGGCTTTTTAACGGTAATCTGCATAGTATTCCTCAAATGGTGATTAAGCTGCGACTTTCATATAGAAAAGTCCTGGAACTGCTTAGTCAATTTGTTTATAATGTCGTCAGCAAAGAGCTGAGAATCGTCATCTAGCAAATTCTTTATATAGTCCTCATGTTCCACAGTAAGGGTGCTCTTTGGACCACTATTATTTGATTTTTTGTAGGGTACCTCTCCCGTCTTTTCGTATGTTTTCCACCATCTTTCCGCAGTACGCGGGTTAATCAAGAGTTCTTTGGCAAATTTAGTGATATTTCCTTTCTCTTCAGCATTTTCAATCATTCTATCAATAAATTCCTCTCTTTGTTTGTCTGTATAAGTGTTGTAAACTGCTGATTTAGCAGGCTTAGCGTCTAAAGTCTTTGTTTCCTTAGCCTCTTTCTCCACAACATTCTTTTCAGTAGGTTTATTAGCCAAATAAGTCTGGCGGCTTGTTATTGTTTCAAGCACAATGTTTAGGTTCGTAATCTCGGTCAAGACACCTTCCATGGGGTCATAAACTCTTTCACCATGCTCATCGAAAAGGTTGCCCATTCCATCTTCGAAATAAAAAGTGTTTGTCATTGTATAAACCTCAAAAGTTTGAACAAAAAAGAATAAAAGGGAACGACAAATTAAAGTCATTCCACCACAAACCTTTGGCGCTTCACAAAATTCACAGATGAGCGGTGTTTGAAAATATATAATAAGTCTTTACAATACAAAAAAAAACATATCTCAGCCATTACCAAAAATACCGATACTGCATACAGCATCGTATTGATTTCTCATTTTTTTTCATTTTCCTTCTTAAAAAAGTCCTTGGAGGATAAGTCCCGTAGGATAAGTCCCGTAGGATAAGTCCCGTAGGATAAGTCCCGTAGGATAAGTCCCGTAGGATAAGTCCCGTAGGATAAGTCCCGTAGGATAAGTCTCTAAACAAGAGATAAGTCTCTAAACAAGAGATAAGTCTCTAAACAAGAGATAAGTCTCTAAACAAGAGATGAGTAAAGAGAATGCGAGAAAAAAGAATTTTTTTTATTCTCATTCCCTCATTGGTTAAAAATGTATGAGCCATCAAGTTTAAATTTGACTGGGAGGTCTGGAATGAATTTAATCCATAAGGGGCTTATTTTAAAAGTAAAACTAGTCGCACGATTTTTTGAATACGTCCAGAATACGTGCTTTTTTTTTTTTAAACTGTTAGAGGAAAGTAAATTCGTCTGGAATTCGTGGGTTTCGATTCGATTTCTTTCTTTTTTCTGCCAAAATGAATCCAACCTCCTGTAAAAACTGTTTCAGAGTAACAAATCAAGTCAAACTTCAGGGGGATGGTTTAAAGATGAAAACGCTATTGCAAGTATACAACATGCTAAAAGAAAAAAACGCAGTTGACCTACTTCATGTTGCAAAGTGCGTTTTTTGCCTACATCTCGACCATTAACAATCATCCAACCTCCAGAATCATCCTACCAACCTCCAGAACCAAGAAGCCCACAGCCAACAATCACAACAAGGTGGAAAAGGTACGCAAAGCGCAAAGCTCAATGCACATATTTTGTTGAATTTCATATTTATTACATTTACTTGATTGATTAGGGTCTTTGAAGAAGGTTTGCAGCTCCTTGAAGATGAATAGGTAACAAAGAAGACTCGATTGAATGAATTGGACAGTCGAATCAAGGAAATCATGGAGGAACGTCAAAGTATTTTAGTGGAAATTGAAGACTTTGAAAAAAAAGAAGAGGCTCGTGAAAGAAATCATCTCTTGAATGTCCTCATGCCGACCTTCCCTCTCACTTTGAACATGAAATTTCTCACTTTATATCCATTACATATCCATTTATCTTCATGTACAACATCTTCCTTACATGTCCATTTTTATGACCATCCTCCTACTGGTACCCATACCTAGTGTCTATCCTTTTTTACATATACACCATTATCAATCTCATTCCTTATCTCTCCTCTTACCCTTGGATCTCTTTTTTGCCTGAATTGCATTGATGACCATGTTTTAATAATAAAAATTGTACTTGATTTATCGAAAATATTCTTAGATAGAAACAATAAGATTAAAACAAAATTCAAAGTTACTCTTTTATTGAATGAAATGTGTGAAGGTACTATGTAATTCAGTTAAGCATCGTATTATTAAGTGCAATGGATTAAACCTCTTTTTACTTTTCATATTCGTATTTGAACGACAATTTGTTTGGCACTAACCGACAAATTAAATCTTGTCTCTCAACAATTGTATTTTTATTAACCGACAATTATTTTTTTTGTAACCGCCAATATCCACCAGCCTAACTGTACGCTTTTGATAGATTTAGAAAAAGAAAAAAAAAGCCTGTGTTACGTTCTCAACCTTCTTTTCGGTAGTGTTTTTTCCTTTTTTTTTTGTCTTTTTACTATGCATTTATCAACCAGGTATCAAATTTGATGGTTGAAAATCTCTGAAAAAAAAAAGAGAGAAACACAAATGGTTCATGTTCTAATTGTTCTGAGGTCTCTTACCAGTCTAGAATGCATGGGTTTATATAGATATATGCTTATTGACAAACAAAATAGAAAAGTGTCTGTCCTACATATCGGAACGGATAAATTAAAATCATGCCCGATATACTTTTTTTTTTTGTTCACCTATATTTTATCATTCAATTTCTTTCTCTTCATTTTGTAAGAAACGACATCATGTCTACTGAACGCATTTTTATTGTGGGTGGTACTGGTAACATTGGTATCAAGGCAGTCCGAGATCTTTTGGCCAACAATGTGCCTGTTACTTTATATGCTCGTAACCCTCAAAAGGTCCATTCTATCTTTACAGACAAGTCTGACTTGATCCGTATTGTCCAAGGGGACTACAGTGATTTTTCTCCTCTCAAGAAGGGCATTGAAGGCCATACACGTCTGTTTCTATTGATCAATGATTTTGAGGGCTTTGTAGACTATAAGCGTACCATTGCTGAGTATGGTTATGCAGCCGGTGTCAAACAAATCTTGGATATCTCTTCTTTAAGTGTCAATGGTGGTTGGCGAACTTCCTTTATTGGCACCAATCACTATTATGCTGAAAAAGCCATGTTTGAGATACCAAACCGAGGTGCTTTAGTGACATTACGTCCTGGTCGATTCATGTCCAACTTGTTCCATATGGCTCGTATTGCCACGGATGGGGCTGTCTTTGATGATGTTGCACCTGAAGCTACTCAAGATTGGATTTCTACAAACGATATTGGTGCTGTAGCTGCTGTTATTTTACAAGACGATATTCAAAAGCATGGTGATAATGTCTATACTTTAATAGGTGATGTAGTCAAACCCAAGGAAATTGCTGCTATTTGTTCTCGTCTGCTTGGTCGTGATATTCCTTACAAGCAAGTGACAGCTGTTCAAAAGTTCCATCAACTGGTTAAGAACCACGTACCTTTTGGTGTTGCCATGGATCTTGTAGACAATGTGAAAGAAGAGGAAAGTGGAAGAATCAATGCTGTTATTGAGATTATACTGGGTAGAAAACCAGAGACATTGGAAGAATATCTCACTGCTAACAAAGAACAATTCCAATAAATAAATAAACAATTACATTGTCATTTCTAATAGAGTACAGATGATTATTCACAAAATAGTACTCTCCTACTGAATTTACTGTTCAATTCATTTGTACCAATGTTCTTTGTGTACATCAGAATGAATAACTCTTATTTTCCAAACAAACTGCTTTTCTTCTTAATACATCGTATGCTTTCCTCTTGCAGAACTGTAGAATATAAATCGTATTTTATAGTCATTTGTGTTCCATTCAAGCACATGATGACACATTCTTTTTATTTAAACTACAGCTCTTGTTTTTTTTTTGTTCAAAAGTTATGTCACAACCTCAAGAACCACCAGCAACTGAAGCACCACCTTTGAATCCTCATTTATCTGGCAATGTGAGCATCTTGAAAGAAGCCTTTCCTGAAACTGATATTGAAGTGATTGAAGCTGTTCTTCAAACAACGCATGAGAACCTTGAAAGGTCTTTTGAAATCCTTTTGAGCATGTCAGACCCTAATGTCAAGACAGAAGAAACACCACCTATGCCACCTCGTCCAAACAACAGAGCACCTTATGCTTACTTTGAACAACAAGAACCACGCAGTGTAGAAGACCAGTTACGTATGGATGAAGCTTATGCTCGACAGTTACTTGAACAAGATGAACCACGTAAGTGTATTTGTCATCTCAATCAAGACTTATAGGCTCTAGGCCGTCTACCTCCAAGACGTAATGAAGAGCAAGAGGAGGATTCTATTTTCAACTTCCAAGGTAAGATGGACAGTGTACATTGATGATACTGATGATGAATGATAGAAGAACTTCCTATCATTAAAGAAAAGATGAAGGAAGCAGGCAATGGTAAGTAACAAATAGATTCAGAAGCGTGCGTCCTCTAAGAATGGTAGCTGCCAAAAAGAAAATGATGGATCTTTATCATCAATTCAAAGCAAACACACAAAAGCAACCAACAGAACAAGTCGCTGGTCCTTCTATGCCTACTACCAATGCTCAATACCGCGGATTGCCTAGTGATGATGGAGATGATCTTTTGACGGGTGATATCTCAGCATTGCATCTGTCTGACTATGATGTCTATACTCAAACAGAAAGAAGACAGAGAGCACAGAGTGGTGCTAAAGGTAAAGTAAACATTAGGATGATCATGACTGAATGTTGCCATAAAAGTGAATCCTCCTTTGGATAGACCACAGATTCAGACATCCACTTCAGATGCTCAATTAAAAGCAGATGAAGATTTTGCTAGACAATTAGCTCAAGAAGAAGAACAACAACTAGAACAAGGTGAGTTATGAATAAGGTACATATACATGTATTAACCAACAAGAAGCAAGAAGATCAAGGCAGACTTCAGCTCAAGATGATCTTCAGGCACCCCCTATGCCTGCTAGAAAACCAGTCAGTCCTACTGTTGTGATTGCACCTAGATCGCCACTTGAAATGGATGATTCTGACTATGAAGGTAAACAAAAAGTTGTACAGTTCTACTTATAGAATATAAAGATGTAGGGTTGACTGCTGCAACTTCAAACAAACAAACAGAAGAAAATAACAATGTACCTTATGTGATTGGTGACGATGATGATGATGATGATGATTCAGATGCTGATGATTTAGTGGATATTGAACAACAACAACAACAACAACAACAACAACAACAACAACAACAACACAGTAAGTTGCATTCTTGTTTAAATATCCTATTTATTCTCTATAGACACTGTCAATAAGGATAATGTTGATAAACCTCATCAAGTAAACAAGGAAGACATTTCCAGCAAAGAAGATACTTCCAGCAAAGAAGAACAAAAACCCAAGCAATCAAAAGAACACCTTGAAGAAGATAAAACTGTTGTTTAATAGTATGTGCTATAGCTTTCTTCATAGAATAAAGGTTGTGATGAAGAATAATAAAAACCAGGAAATGAATTCAATTCTACTGTCATGTACCATAGATCAGGATTGTCTATGGTAGGATCATGGTCTAGTTCATATCGTTCCGTACCATCGTCTGAATCACTGCCTAAATCAATATGAAGCCATTTGGTTGTGTTGTTCTCGATCAGTTGAATATAATAGCATGCTTCAAAATAGACATCCACACGGCTCAATTGAGTATGTTGGCGAAGATCCAAGTAAGGCATCACTTTCACAGACGCAATCTCGCCAGACAAGTGTAAATCCTCTAATCTGAGGCGAGAACAAAAGGCCAATACAGGGCAATTGTAGTCTTGATCTTCTCCTTCAAACACGGCATCCAAAATACACAAGTTCTTAATATGCGTTTCAATAGGATCCATGCAGTCAACAGACACATGAAAGCCCATGATACACAACTTAACCAAGTGCTGATGCTGTCCAATCATCTTATTCAGTGAGACTGGCGTCTCTTGGGCTAAATCATGTATGAGTGTCACTTCTGTCAGATGAGTAAACCGAGCCAAGGACAGCAATTCCTTTGTCGTGGGATAATCCAGTTCACACTGTCGAAGGGTGTGTCTGAACCGTGTGTTGGAGAAGGTATCAAATTGCTCTAACCAGTTTGGGGTGAATGGATACGCATCCAATGAGTCAAAATTGACTTTGGTGGGTTCAAATGCCAGCATCACATCTGTAGTCAGTCTGATCAAATTGGTGTCAAATCGCTCAAGAGATTGACATGTTCGAGCAATAGCAAAAACAGCATCGCGATCACCCGTGTAATTAGAACGAACCATGGTGTCTCGAGAGTGCTGAAGACAGACCAATTCAATGGCCCCTGTGTACTTATGTGACATGTACTCTAAAAGAGGCACGCCATGAGATAGATAAGCATCTGAAAAGACAACTTTAGTGATAGAGGGCGCTGGTATAGGTTGATAGCCAAGAGAGACTGTTTGAAAGGGTACATATTGTTCTGTGGGTAACATGATAAACGCTGTTTTGATCATGGCTAGTTCTTTGAGTTGAGAGCAAGCATAATGTAGTCTATCCAGTTGTGTTGTATTGAAGCAACCATACATGATGTACATGAACAAAAGACTAGGTGCATTGCTGAGACCTGTAATCAAGTATTCAGACGCTCTTGATCGACAGTTATTACCGACAGAAGCAAAATTAAGCCAAAGATGGTTGAGATGTAGAAAGGGCTGTGTGGTATGAAGTAATGAGGTCGTGTACATGCAGGTACTTGTTTCTGCTATTGACTTTAGCTTTGACCATGACTGTGTGATAGTAGCAGGCCTATAGCGGGATATCTCAGCTGGGGCTACATATTTTCGACTGCTAAGGATACTTGTAGGGTCAAAATAGAGCTCTACATGCTGCATATGCGGAAACAATTCTATCTGTCGTATGAGTGTATCAACAGATAGAGATGCTGCCATGTCAATATGTAATGCCTTAACTTTGTTAGCCAGACGTTTGTTATTCTCAAAGAACTGGATTGCATAATCAAGTTGATCTTTATGGCGACATGACAGTGTCTCAAACAAAAGTTCTGATCTATCCAAATAAGTTTGCCATTGTTGACATACAAGTCGACATTGAGTACGATCTGTATGGTTCAAGAGTGAAAAGATAAAGAAAAATAACTCTTGGGGCAATTCCATTTTAAAAAAAAGGAAAAAGAAAAAACAAAAAAAAAAGCCACTTTTTAGAAGGGATATGTAACAAAATCGATTTATGTATATGTAAAAAATGAGTCTACTTCTTCTTGCTAGCAGGAGCAGTAACGTTGAACTTGAAGTAGATGATATCACCATCTTCAACAACATAGTCTTTACCCTTTTGCATGTATTTACCAGCAGCCTTAACAGCACTTTCGGAACCCAATTCCTTCAAAGCATCATACTTCATCACTTCAGCCATAATGAAACCTCTTTCAAAATCAGAGTGAATGACACCAGCAGCACCAGGAGCCTTGGTGTTCTTACGAACAGTCCATGCTCTGACTTCATCAGGACCACCTGTAAAGTAATAGATCAATTGAAGAGCAGCATAACCTTGAACAATGATCTTGGGCAACACAGAAGGAGCAGAAAGTTCCTTTTGAATGGCTTCCTTTTCTTCAGGTTCAGCAAGAGAAAGACGGTATTCATAAGCACCAGAGTAAGGAATCATGATATCACCAGGAGAGTTAGTATCGATCCAACCCTTGATCTTGGGAAGCCACTTGTTCTTCTTACGAAGGAAATCCTTTTCACTCAAGTTGGCAAGGTAAATGACAGGCTTAGCAGTGATCAAATGAAGACCGTTGATGACTTCAATTTCCTTGTTGCTCCAAGTACCGTGACGCACATCTTTACCACTTTGAACGTATTCGTAAACCTTGGTTACAATAGCTGCTTCTTCCTTCTTGGCTTTGTCTTGAGCATTACCACCATTACCCAAACGACGAACAGCAGTGTTGAGTTCAGTGGATTGTTTGGCGAGGAATTCTTCATCCTTCAAACGCAATTCTTCACGAATAATGTCTAAATCACGCACAGGATCTAATTCACCTTCAACGTGAATCACATCAGCTTCATCAAAAGCACGGACAACGTGGAAAATAGCATCGACAGCCTTGATGTGAGACAAGAAAGCGTTACCCAAACCAGCACCGGAAGCAGCACCCTTGACAAGACCAGCAATATCAATCACAGTCAACTAGGTCTATTTTAGCAAACGTATATGTCTATAAACAACTTACGAAAGCAGGAATTTCTTTAGCAGGCTTGTAGTGTTGGCATAACCAATCGAAACGTTCATCGGGAACAGCAACACGAGATTCTTCAGGGTCTATAGGTAATAGTTGAGTATGACTGCTTCAAGCGAAATATATATACATACCAATGGTACAGAAAGGATAGTTCTCGGCAGCAGCAGAAGCATTGGTAAGGGCGTTAAAGAAAGTGGACTTTCCTACATTAGGAAGACCAACAACACCAATCTTCAAGTTGTTTGAGGGACGACCGAGTAAAGCCTTTTCTTCCTTGACAGCCTTCTTGGGTGGCATGACTACAATAAGAATATTTTAGTCTTTGGTTTACTTTAATATGACTCTACTTACTTGTTCTATTGACAATAAAGTGTGTATAGAAAAAAACAGGTCTATTTTTTTTTTTTTTTAGTTTAAAAAAAATTGACGACGGGGGGTGAAATTACTTTTTGTGACGGTTTTTATTTTTTCTGTGCGGACTTTAAGTCCATCCTTGTTTGCATTAGTAAGTTTCCAAAGACCAATGACTTTGAGCTAGCTATTGTTTGTTTCATTATGTATAAATGTAACCATCATCATAGAAATCTTTGATGGAGTCTATATCAATTGATATACTGGGATTGAAATTGACATTCATGAATGCAAAGGAAAACTCACAATCAATTTTCTTGTCAGTAAAGATGACATAATGCGCTTGTTCATCTCTTTCTTTTTCATACTAAAGACTTACAAACTGTAATTTAATGAGCTATGATACTTGCATGCTGCCAATACATGAGCAATTTTATAGATTATAATTAAAGAAGCTATTATTCTAAGGTGAGATGTTCAATAGAATGTATATATCACATCCATTGAGATTATATTCGCCACTTTAAATGACTAACTGGCTCAGTTACAAGTAAACCATGACTATCACTGTACACTCACATGTCGAATGCGATAATTGACTCCTTTTTATTTTCGTATTCATTTATTATCACAAAGGAAGTATCTCAATTCGTGCTTTTAAACAAGTTTTGAATGCTAAAGACATTGTATCACTATTGTGGTTTGATGGATAAAATAGGGTTTTCAAGTATTTCAGGATAAACCAAAGAGGAAGGGAATCACTCATTGTTTTCTATTTAAAAAAGAGGTCTGCAGCTTTTTGGTTCTCAAGTTACAAAGGAGTCTTGTTTATATATGCATATAAAAAGAGAGAGAAAACTTTATGCATACAATAAATAATTAGATGTATTCAACATGATCAGTATGTGATTTTGTTGACAGTTCTTTCAAGAGTTTCTTTTCCAGAATGAATTTGCCTTCTTTGTATTCATTTTCAGGATCATACGCCTTCACCTAATAAAATAGACAGATTAATGGTCAATCATACAAGCATATGCATTCATAAACCAAGATGTGCTTAACCAACATAAGTCCATCCAAGTAACATGGAGCAATGAGTGCATGAAATGTCTCGCACTCGGTGTAATCCTGTTGTCATTCCTCTATCTTCTTCTTTTCCATAATTAACATTAACACTAATAGGATCATTAACAAAGATAAAATAGACAAGTAACGTACACTGTCGTGAATAAAAATGCTTGTCCGTGTTGACCTTGAAATTGCTATCATTTGTGTGAATACTGACTATGCTTATCTAACTTACTCTAGAAATAAGACTGTCTGAAGAAGCTAAATGTGCTTTGCATTTAGCGCAACCGTAGATTGTACTGGATCCTTCAAGATAAGCACGATACAAAAGCCCCATGTGTGAAAAAGATAAAGAAACAAAGAGAGAGAGAGAGAAAGAAAGAAAAAAGAGACTAAAAAAAAGGAAAGAAAGGGAAAGAGAGAAAGAGAGAAGATGGATCGTCACAATCTGTCAGATGATAACCCCCCCATTAACTTATTTAAAATACTGTATCACACTATATAGAATAAAAATAGGATGTATTTATTTAAACAGCTTAATTTTCTTATTTTCTTTTGTTGGACTGACTGATAACACTGCTTTCTAGCATATCATTTTGCTGTGAATTCAGGCTGTCCCACAGTGCCACGTGGTTAGAATTTGACAGATTGGCTGACTTTAGGAGGTAGAGTTTTAATCATAAAGTGCAAAAAAAAAAAAAAAAAAAAAAAAAAAAAAAAGACTTGATGCAATCAACCAATTTTTTATTATTATTATTATATAATTCAATTCCAAGTAAACCTTTTCCTTTTTTTTTTTTCATCGTATTTCGCTTTAAACTTGTATCCTGTACTCATAAAAAGAATGTATATTAAAGTCAACAAAGGTCTTTTTTCTTCTATTAAAAAAAGCCATTACCTTCTAGACTTTTTTTATTTCGCAAATTTCGCATAATAATTACAAAAATAAAATATGCGTTAATTTACTGCATTTACCAATCAGCATTCTTACCTACCTCATACTAAATAAAACAAACTGTTTCTATAGAATGTAGATGAGAATAAACAGTGTGTCTATTTTATCTTCGTTAGGTCAATGTATACTCTTTTATCATGAAAACTACATGAAGAACAGTATTGATCTGGGCTTTTTGAATAACCTCATCTTGAGATGATTAACTAGACAAAAGTCAAGAAATCGCTTGTTGAACCAATGAATCTTCTTTTTTGTATAATGTCTGTTTGATACGCATGCTTCAATAACTTGTTAATTGTGATTAGAATGTCTAGAAGATTTGATTTGTCACTGTTTGTTGTCAAAAGCCAACTTTTGCTTAAATTAGTTGTTTTCAACAAGTTTTCTTTTCCTTTCTGTTGATTTCCTGACAGACAATAATCTAAAAGAGATACGGATTTATATGACCTGCCTATCTCAAGCAATTTATCAGCTGATACGTTTTTTACCTCAATGTTTACAACTTGAGCTGAAATTCAATTGCTTGCCAATATGACTAGAAGCTCCTTTATTTAATTAAGCAATATGACAAAACAAGGGCACAAGGATAAAGCCAGGCTTCAAGGTGTTTGAAAACGAAAGAGAAAGGAACACAGTTCATGATTTCATCAAGCCTAATCTTCTTTTTTAAGAGTACCACTTTCAGTGAAATGATGAACAGAATTCTTATCCTCACTAGAGAGAGCACAGATATTTTTTTACTTGTACTCAAACAAACCTGTAATTCAATTTACACCGTTACTACACTTTTTCGTGTTACCACACCACAGTTTCTCGGAACGAATACCGACAGGTTTTAACATGAATCATAATAGCTCTGTATGAGCCAATAAGAACAACCAACGCCTGTATTTCATTTGCAAACTATCAAACTTTCTAAAGAAAATAAAAGAAGAAAGGTAGTCTTTCAAACTTTGAAAGAAAATCAAGAAAAAAAATGTATTTCGATGACCGAGACCACAGATAATTCTGCCCCAGTTTATGTGACATGCTGAAACTCGGGGCGCATATAAATGAAGATCATCCTTGTCATTTTTCAAGCAATCTATAGACAAAATCCCGCATGACACTTTCATACTACGGATAGTCGGGTCTTGACCACTATGTCCCCTTCCTCGCTTACTCCTGATTCTCTGTAGCTGCGTTATTTTGGGAACACCCGTCATTTCAACTCCCTTCTTCTCTACACATATTTAGCATCCATGATACGTGCACACACTTATGCACACGCATTACATACACCACACATAAAAATTTTAAACTTTTTTTTTCTTAAATCTTATTCCTTTTCTTTCTTTTCTCTCTCTCTCTCTCTCTCTTTTCCTCTCTTTTTACTTTCATTCTTGTGCTTTTCTTTTTTATTTGAAAGAAAAAAATTCCTTTTTTACCTATTAATTTCTCGAAACAAAAAAAAAAATTATAGGAACAGACAAGGAAGGAAATACAAAAAAAAAGCTTATTCGACTTTTTTTTTTCTGATATGACGACTTCAGAAACAAGATCGCCTTCACCGCTTACTACTTCACCTTCAACAACCAACACTCTGACAGAACAAAAAGCCACTTTTGAAAAAAATGCTTCTAGGTACATTAAATTATGCAAATAATAATAATAATAATAAAAAAAAAACTTATTCTATATAGCAAAAAATTAAATCATAAAAAAATACAAGAAGAGAACCACTTTGGTTCTTTACGTCGGCCTCGCGCTGAAACTATGCCAACACAGTCCAGTTCTTTCCCTTACAACACTAACCTAGATCACAACCTGATCTTGGATCCGGCAACACGTAATCAGTATGGTTTTATGCCTACTACTCTAGAACAAAATTGGTTCCAAACTCCTTCTGCACCTACCACAGACCAACTTTTGAGAGCAGACGATAGTAACACCATTGCAAGCACACTGGCTTCACTCGGTCTAGACGAACAATATCAAACAGGAGGAAACTATACTAGTGAGCTACATGCAAGCCACTCTTATTCATCGCTTCAGAACTTGGCTGACCATCCGCATTATAAACATGAAAATCTACCTTATTTTAAACCGGAAGATCTCCGTTCCTCAGTAGCCAATCTTCGCCTGGCTCATCAAAATAGACCCCGTGCCATGAGTGCTGCAGATCAACAAAAACAACAACAGCAGTTTTATTATCCAGAAGACATTTGGTATTCTGCTGAAATGAAATATCAACCACAGTTAAACAGACCCTTTTTGCGCACTTCCAACAGCAGTGCTGATTTATTAGAAATGATGGCTCGACAAAGAAAGGCCACAGTACCTTCACCCATGATGAATACCACTACACCAGAAGACATTGATCATGGTTGGACAGGGGTAACGTTCTTCTAAATTTTTTTCTGTAACTCAAACTGGCTTTTTATTTTTAGGAATCATTTACAGCAGGTGGAAGTCTATCCTCTTCATATGAACAATTATCCAATAATAGCAGTATCTTGGATGCCAATGCAGAAGACATGATACCTACTCGATCTCTATGGCTTGGACAACTTGAAATCACCAATCAAACGTCAAGCGAATTAAACTCGATTTTCTCTAAATACGGTGTGATTGAGAACATTCGTGTCTTGCCAGATCGTGAATGTGCCTTTATTAATTTCTCAACAGTCGAAGAAGCATTGAAGGCCCGTGATGCATTTGCTAATCATCGTCTAACAATGCCGAATGTCAAAGTTGGATTTGGTAAGCCAGACACAACCTCAGTCACGTCTTCACCTACGACGACCAATGCTTTTGCGACTGAGAGTGCACAAGGACCTACAAGAGCATTATGTAACTATACACTAGCATATTATCTGTAGACTCATCATTTATTTGGGATGGATTTATATAGGGGTTGGCAATATTCCGACCAATACAACACAAGCAGCTTTAGGCTCGATTTTTTCATCGTTTGGTAGGATTGAATCTGTGCGTTTATTGACCAATAAGAATTGTGGGTTTATCAACTTTTACAATCAAGAGGATGCTATGAAGGCTAAGCGAACACTTCATAACCGAGAAATCATGGGTCCAGGCACAGGTGCTGTTAAAATAGGGTTTGCTAAAGTGCCCGTATTAAAAAACGCGGCTGGTGGCCTTGTGGGCGCCAATGATGCAATCCATTTCCAATATCTAGCAACAGAACAACAACAACAACAGCAACAACAACAACAACAACAACAACAACAACAACAAACACTCTTATACGAGGACTATTCACCATGGAAACATAAGTTTGTTGATGAACAACAACAGCAACAAATGATGATGTACATGTTAGAAATGATGGGCAATAATTCAAATGTCATTTCCGCTGTTGTAGCAGAGCGTAAATTGATTATGCAGGAGTTTGGCGAAGATGACTCAGATGGCCCATTATTTGATGGTAACTAGAAATACATTTGGTCATGCACTTATCCTTTTGCATAGCTCTTCATTTGCCTCAAAATTACTATCCTACAATTCCTGTTGCACCTGAGCTCGGTCAATCGAGAAAAGTGGATATTTCTCGCCTTCGGGATATTCGTAAAAGATTAGATACTGGTAACATTACAACAAAGGAATTAGAGACCATTGCAGTCGAATGTGTGGATGAAATCGTTGAACTCTGTAGTGGTAAGTAACCAACGAATGTAAGCGTCATTCTCAAAAATATGTGTAGATTACATTGGTAATACGGTCATTCAACGTTTATTCGAAAGATGTTCTGAAATGACAAAGTCCATGATGTTGGAAGCTGTAGCTCCCTTTTTAGCTTCCATTGGTGTCCACAAAAACGGAACATGGGCTGCTCAAAAGATCATTGACACCGCTAAACTACCTGCCCAAATCTCACTTGTCTGTAACCACATCAAACCCTATGCGCCTGCTTTATTGCTTGATCAATTTGGTAATTACGTTGTTCAGTGTTGTTTGGGACTTGGTCCTAATCGAAACCAATTCATTTTTGACGCCATTGTTGATTCGTGCTGGGAGATTGCTCAAGGCAGATTTGGGGCACGCGCAGTACGAGCCACGCTTGAAAGCCCCCATGTAACCAAAAGACAACAGGTATGGCAAGTATTTATGTGCCATACTAAACTAACTTTGTTCCTAGAAATATGTTGCTGCTGCGCTTGTGCAACATGCTTTGCTTTTAGCTACCAATGCTAACGGAGCACTTTTGCTTATTTGGCTCCTAGACACGTCGGGTATTCCTGGCCGGTACCGTGTCTTGGCTCCCCGTTTACTCCCTCATTTATCACGCCTATGCACGCACAAATTAGCTTCTTTGACTGTCCTGAAGCTGATCAATCAACGTCAAGAACCTGAAGCACGCGCTTTGATCCTAGACGCGTTATTCTTTTCAAACACGACAGATAAAGTGCCACCTCTCATTGACGAAGTGCTTCATGATCAAGTTCATGGCGTCAGTCTTGTCCAAAAGATTTTGTCTAGCTCTTACATTGAGTTGCGTGAACGACAAAGCATTGCTGAACGCGTGAAGCAAATTTTGTGTAAATTAAAGCTACAGCATGTTCAAGGATACAAGCGCTTAATGGAAGAGATCAACATGGTCATGGTTGATTCTGTTCCAGGGGCAAGTCTAGGTGTTACTTTACCAGGTCAATTTTCTATCAATCCTAGTTTGGCTGCTGCTTTACAGGCCAAATACATGGTGCCTAGTGGATCTAATCATGAAGATTATGAACAAAATGATGATCAGACAGCTGCTATGATGGCCAATTTCTATGCTGCCGCTGCCGCTGCCGCCGCTGCTTCTACATCAGTCAATACTTGTAGTATCTTGGCACCTACTCAACCAAAACACAATTATTAAGGTGAAAAATAACAAGAAAAAAAAACCAAATACCGATCTTATATGATACCCATATACTTTCCCTACACGTATTCCTCTTTATATACATTTATTTACATATCTATCTCTTTTCTATATATATATTATCCTTCCTTTGTTCTTATATATTATATACACTCTTTATATTTATCCCTTTTTTCTTAAAAAAAGCATTTTCTATATATACATTACCCCTCCCCCTTCCTTTCTTGTTTTTGACCCATTTATGAAAAAAAAAAGCGCATTTATAAATACATTTTACACAGAGAGAATATATATATGTATATATATTTAATCACATACATATATAAATTTCATGCTTTACAATAAAAAAAAATCTTTTTTTATAAATTTAAAATGAAATTATATACTATGAATATATGTGCGTACAATGGATGCTTAGGTTGCATGAAAATGAATTTAATCTACTTCAGAGGACAAGCGAGGTCGCTTATTTGCATTGTCGTCTTCTAAAGAAGTATGCTTTTGTTTAGGACTTTCTTTAGTAGACAGACTATTGACTGGCACTAGCAATGATCTTAGGTATTTATTCTAATCAAATTCATAAGTATGGATAGATTACAATGAACATATCTTACCTCTTTTTCAAGTTCGTCTAACTTTTGAACATCGGTTTCTTTTTCTTGTCTAAAGCGATGCATCATTTGTTCCAATTGACCCACACGATCAAACAAAGTATGTTGGTCTGCATGGATTTGTGGTGGCGGTGATGTAGATTCACGTTCTGAGAATACTTGTGTATTAGGAACCAATAATGGATGATTTGGATCTATTCGTCTTAGTGCATCTTCCAAGTCTTTCGTGTGCTTTTCTAATGCTTGACATTTTTCATGAAGTTCTCGTTCACGTTGCTTGCGGCGGTCACGGAACCTAGCACTGGCTCCTGCATTGCGTTTCCTTTTTTCTGCAAGGACTTCTTCCGACGATAAAGCTTTTTCTTGAATAGGTTTCAATGGTGTATTGTTAGTGGCAGGATTATATGCTCTCTGTTCTTTCGAGGGTTCTTGAGCAGAACGATACTGTTGGAATTGATTGAATAAGATCCAAAGTGTTTGTTGATCTGGTGTAGGAGGTGTTGAGACAGAAGAAGGGGAAGAACAAGAGTTATAATGTGGAGGAGAGCGCACTTCTTGATGATGTGGCTTTGGTAAGATAGGTAGTGATTTATAGTTTGAATTAGGCGGCGATGCTGGCATAAGACTTGAAGTAACATGCGTAGGGGATTTTGTGAACATGGAGATAGGTGGAAGTGATGGTGGAGGAGAGACACTCTTTTGAAAAGCCATTTTTATTGTAAAGAAGAAGAAAAAATAAAGAGAAGTGCCTGGAACTGTTTATGCTGAAATAAACTGCAAGTTCATAATATGACTGGATTGCGCAATTTTATGGCGACATTTCCGTTTCTTATTGCGAGAAATTGCCTAAAAAGGAAAATAACCTATTTAATGTATGTCGTACAAAACGTCTATTATCGTGTGAAATGTCTGGATGATGCGATACAGTAGTTGAAAACACTAATGTGCAAAAATAAACCCTAATAAAAACAAATATTGAGAGAAATTAGGTCATACATAGTGCTGTACTTTAATTAAATCTAGAAAAAAATTTCTATTGATCCCGTGGGAAAGAGTTGACATATCTTGATTCTTTTTGGATCAATATGAAGTTGCGTCAATGGAAGGCAGTTTGCATTTCTTTTTGTTCTTTTGTAGAGTTTGTCCTTCATGTTCTAAACAGATATTTCTTGTTCAACAGGATAATCAACATGAGAAAACAATTGTGACACCAAGTTTATTAGCAAAAACATAGTACGGCAAATGAAGCATTGATTCTTGCTTTCAGACATTCATACAATCTTTAATATATTTCTGTTGAGCTTAATATAATACTTAAAAGAGGGAATTGTATAAATTTCGACTGAGTAATTATCAAGTAGTTTATTGTCACAATAGCTAGTTTAACTCGAATAAACTTCAGTTTGAAAAAGTCACCAGATTTACCAGCTTAATGGAGCAAGTGTGCTCTAATAAAATAATTTATTTGAATAAACAGTTTGATAGTCCATTACTTGCTCATATAACAGAGGTACCAAGCAAATGGATGCTTTGACAATGAAAAAAAGCCCGATTCATGCAAATCCTTGCCTTTTTCTTAGGCGTATGAAGGCCTTGTAGATTTTTTTTATGCACGCATAAATTACTCCTAATACATACAAAACATGTCTATTAATATCCAGGGAACCTTTGAAGTTGATTTGGACCAAAAAAAAAAGCGACTTGTAGAATTTGACCATTTTTTCTCTAAGGAAGGAAGACTTGTTCCAATTTTATTTAAAGACTTTCAAACGTCAAATGAGAGGAAGAGAAGACTGTGATATTATAAGAACTAGACTAAGTGAAAGAAGATAAATATGTGGTATAGGAAATGGAGAAAAATACTAAGAATTTGAGAGAGCTTAATCGATACTTGAAATGGAGTGGACATCATGGATAAAGAAGGAAGGATCGGAAAGCGAAAGCAGAGAAGAGAAGCTACAGTTCATAATCAAGGCGGGACTCATTGTGCAGCTTATTTGCTGAACGAAAGACCGTATTTTTCTACAGCTTGTGAGAGGGATGAGGCCTCAGAAAAAAAACAGAGTGCCAGTGAGCTTGCCAAATAGTGAGGGCTGTGCATGCAAAGATCTGAAAGGCGCTTGGGGAAGAGAAATGGAGGAGGGCGATGCAAGGAATAATAACCTGGAGAAGGACTTGACGTAGGAGGTGTATCGGAGGAGCACTAATGTTGGGATTGATGTGGTTGGAAAAAACACAAGACCAGACGACATATTTTGTGAGGCAAAGGAAATAGAAATGGTTGAGGGTATCAATGGAAGTAATGAGATTCGGGGGACAATGGACACAAAGATTATTGAGGACTATATGGGACATAAGGCGATGTAGGTGAAAACAACTGTTGACTTTGTTGTGGTGCATCCAGTAAAGTACATTAAGAGTAGGTAGAGGGCTTTTCAGAGAACAAAGGCGTTTCCAATTGGGCGACAGGCAAGGATCATGTGGTATAGGAGGGGAGGAGCTGGGGCATAATTTACGATAAGAAAATTCAAAAGATCAAGATAATCAGGAAAACCAGGAAAATCAGCAAGCAATTACAAGGGCAAACATAGATGAACATAGATGAGCAGAATAATAGAAAAAAAATGTGTGTATTCTGGATTTTTAAAATTAAAGACGCTACAACGTAAGCGATGGAAGAAATTTTTCATTGGATACAGAAAATTTCTATCAAGAGTGGAAGAATTCTTCACTCATTGAAGGAAAATCTTGGTCAAATATTCATTCAAATATGGAAGAAAAATGCAATCAGTTACGCTGTGATGAGAGAGAGTTTTTTCTTTTTTTTTTTTTTTTTGCTGGCACAAATAGCATCCTTGCGCATTAGTATTAATTTTGTCAAATTCATACTTGAAGTTTGTTAATTTATTAACTCTATAGAAAAGGTCCTTTTGAAGACATGGCGCAATGTGGCTTTTGACTACTCGAACTCGATCGATTCATTAGAATGGCTATACTAAGCTGAAAATAGCTTAAGAGAACAAGGGCAAAAGAGGAAATAGAAATGATATATAGAGGTGATTTAGGATAGAAGCGAATGTATAGAAGCTCATTCAGCGCTCCAATAAAGTAAAAAGCGGATAGCCTTGAGTGTGTTTGTGAGGAAACAATTAAAAAACCTTTGAAAGACAAAAAGCTTGGCCAAGGGCACTTTTGCATTCTCTAAAGCCATCTTGAACAATGCTTAAGGACGGCGCTTGGCTTTGGAAAAGTTCCTTGATGCATGTTTTGAGTCTCTTTTTGGGAGAAGTCGTCAGACTAATTAAGTAACAATTGACTGAATCAGTTGGGCTGCCTTTCTTACGAATTGGGACTACTTGTGCTACTCGTCAACAGTGAGGTGTGTATGGCCAACACCAACATAGATAAAAAATATGGAAAATCAGGAGATCACTAAAATCTGTGATATATATACAGAAACTAAAGCTAGAGCCATGAGGAAAAATCACGATAAGAGCCGTAGATGTCAGGAACTTCTCATGAATGTAATGGATCTACAAAAAAAAAAAAAAAAAAAAAAAAAAACGTATTCTAAAGTCTGCCAACATTTATGCCGACATGCAAGTATGCCATTTGTGTACTCAAAAAAAAATTTTTTGAAAAATAATAAAAATCACTTTTTGAAATGCATCAAAAGTAGAAATTTTTATTTTTTTATATTTTTTATAATTACAGAAAATAATTTTCTGTTTCAAATTAATAAAAAAAAGACAATTCTTCAATTTTTTAATTTTAAATAAATAAACGAGTCTGCCAGACGATAATTTTACTGTTTTAGTTCAAAAGACGAATTCCTGTCTGGCAGACTCGTTTATTTATTTAAAATTAAAAAATTGAAGAATTGTCTTTTTTTTTATTAATTTGAAACAGAAAATTATTTTCTGTAATTATAAAAAATATAAAAAATAAAAATTTCTACTTTTGATGCATTTCAAAAAGTGATTTTTATTATTTTTCAAAAAATTTTTTTTTGAGTACACAAATGGCATACTTGCATGTCGGCATAAATGCTAATATTTTTATTATTTTTGAAAATGGTTTTTTCTTTTTGAGAGAAATCTATTACACTCAACGAAGACTTCTAATGTTTGCGGGTTTTGCAAAATTATTACTGTAACTTTCTGCAATATATATTCGATCTATGTGCTGAGCACAATCTCACACAAGAGCATAGATGGGACTTAACTAAGGGTGTTATTGTCATACGTGAGAAAAACATCATTGTAAATATCCTCTCTGGTGTGGTCACTCCATTGCAAGACATCTTTTATTACCTCTGAGTTTCTTTCTGAGCCAGAGGCATCTTTAGTCCTAAAGACTCGGCGCAAGTACGTTTTACTGAAGTTTGCTCAACTATGACCATACTGTTCTCTATTGGTGCAAATAACACTTGTTTTTCTAGCTTCCTGGAACTAATCTCGAGCGTATTTGTCTAGTTTGATGGCGACTCATTTGGCTACCTAGATGTAGCCCTGAGCCATGCTTTTGTGGCGTAGACCTCTATCATTCGCATGTTATCTTATGTTTTTATATAGTCACTATGTTCAAATAACTCACAGCATTTGTTGAGCAAACCTCTATAAATTCCCTCCTATTACAGCTTGTCTCTATGAAACATGCTACCAAAAACACTCTGCCCCTTTTAGAAAACGACCAAATATCTCTCTTCCTTCTTTGGCTACAGACATACGTCCACAAACATTGCTATATCAAGACTTTTTCTTCTATGAATTTCTTATCCTTGTTCCTTTAAGGAGGGCTTTAGTCTAGTCTAGTCTAGTTATTCTGATAGATTGACTAAATCCAAATAATTTAAACTATGCAGATATAAAATTATGCTATTTGTGTTAACAAAAAATACTTTTAGAAAATAATCACTTTCAGGTAGAAAGTAATCAAAGAAAAACTTAATTTTTCACTGCAGCGTAAGCAATGAAAGAAGCATGCACTCAAAGATACAAGATTTTGACTAGATCTTCACTCAGATACAGAAAATTTCTTCATGTATTCTTTGTACTTTTGCTCTTGAGCCTCTGCTGCAAACCATACTTACAGACAATCAGCTCACTAAATACCGCTTCAAATTCAACCTGACTGATATTCAGTCGAACCTGCAACCTATTAAGCATTTCAATTATGCCAATGATACTCTGATATTCTTTCACGACCTAGATGACTTACTTAGGCTGCGCTCTCATCTCCACAACTACTGCAATGCCTCTAATGCCAAAATCAACTTCAGCAAAGTTCGGACTTTCTTTCTCTTCCAGGCAGAGATATGAGCGCTAAGTAGCTATCTGCCTTGGAAGACCTCGAAAACAACAAGCTGAGGGACTTCAATGATGCTAGTCCTATTATTTACTTGAGATTCTCTTTGATTCAATCCTCAACACAGAGGCAGCCTTCTTATCCTACTTTGTTAAATATTTGAAAGCTGTCTCTAACTCTTATGCCAGCCGCAATTTGCCAGTATTAGGGCATGCTATTGTAACCAATACTTTACAATCTATTGAAAACGTAATCACCTTCTTTGCTACTCGTGGCATTTTTTCTCACTGGAGTTGAAGACTGATGACAGTACCTAGAAGATTTGGTGGTTTGGATATCTTGGACTTTGATATCCAACAAAACTCATTGTACTTCCGTTGGGCTCATCCATTCTTCAACAATGCCTCATCCCCTCTTCCCTTGACCTTTGCAATCCTGTCTACGTACCGATACAGTCACACAGATTTCGTTTCACGCCTTTTTAGATAAATTTTTGAAGACAGTAAAATTGCATTATTTTCATCCTTGAATAAGTCCCCTAAAGCATAGATGATGAGCACTATAAACCGTGTAGAATAAAAGTTTAAGTTGTTTGTTAAAGGAGAATAAAAAAGAGGAAGAACTAGTATTTGGTGTGGCCACCTTTTGCGTCAATCACCGCTTGGCATAGATTTTTCATGCTTCCGACCAAGCATGCAGCATATTCCTATCTGGAGTTCTCCCTCTCTTATCGAAATTAAATGTTAGGCATCCTTAGGTCATTGAAACGTATACGTGACCAAAGGTTGTTTTTAAACTATACTTCTAAAACAAGAATGTTTGCTCTTTTGCCGTATTCATGGTATTCTTTCTATTTTTAACAAATAGTACAATTGTAGTTTCTCTCTTTTTAAGGGCATTTCAAAACAATTGTGTCTCTTAGACCAAATACTATGCTTTAGACGAATACAAAGGGCATACTAAATGCAGCATAAAAACAAAAAAGCATGCAGCATTATTTTAGAATTGGGCTTATGAGACTATTCGAGCGTTTTAAGCCTTTGTGGCTTGTCATATGCCTATATGTAAAATTAGAAATCGGTTGCTACCCTTTTTTTGTATTACCAATGACCTACGGGTGCAACAATAGGATGGTCAGTGCCATTTTTTAGGTAAAAAAAAGCACATTACCTTAATCAACAAACGTTAATTATAGAAAAACGAACTGTTTCAAAATAAGGCAAGTTTCACATTCGCAGCCATTGTTGTCATATTATTAAAAAAGGCGGCAGACTTATCCCGCCTTTGGTGAATTAAAAATAGATTTTCCCTGAACATCAGCTAAAATCGAATCAAAAAAGAAAAAAAAAATGAAAATCAGCCAATGTTGCTTATTGTTTTGACAAAAAAATGAGATCATTGCTTAGAACAAGTTTGCCAAGCAATTCTGTTTAAATGGTCGATCTATTTTTCTATATATAGAAAATAAACCAAAAACGTCTCTTTCCATGAGCAAAAACATAACCATTCAGCGTGTATCGACAAGTTAAACTGAGACATAAAAAAGGACGGAAACAGAGATCCATCTGTAACGCAGCATGTAAAGATAAAAATACAAGGAATGTTTATTTAATAAATAGATGTTACAAAATATACAAAATAGAAAATGTTTCTTTAACTGTAGTCACCAGGAACAACTCTTTGGCAACCATAAGTAGACAAGCCCAACTTACAATCAGCTTGACTTTTGCAGCAACGAATGCAAAAGATATTAGCATCAGGTTCAACCAAGTTAACAAAGTACTTGTAGCCATTACATGTGGCAGAGACATCCTTGTTATCATATTGTCCTCCACCATCCGTAGACTTGAGTTGGTATTTAGTGCGATCAATTCTACCAGTTACTTGAGAGTAGGTAGATGTTTTGGCAAAGTGGGCAGACTTGATAAAACCTGAAGGGAAGACAGATCCTCCAAGGCCAGTAGAAGTACAGAAAGGTTTACCATCGTTTTCAGTGGCACCAACATCATCCCCAGGATGAGGGGGTAAGAAGGAACAGAAGGAGGTACCAGAATTGACTTGAACAGCATAAGTAGCACGCTTCTCCAAGACAGGTAGGGCTTGAGTGATAATTGTGAGCAAAGCAAGAATAAAGAGAATAGATTTCATTGTTAAGGGAGTTAATAAAGTAACTTGTGAGAAGAACAATAGACCCCTTTTTATATCTTTCTTTTTAAACGCCAGACTGTCAAATAGATATATTTAGATCTTTATTTTGGGTACAAAAAATCCTCTCGTCATCTTTGACTTTCTTATCCGTCACAAAATACAGTAGAAAATAGCGGTCAGACTTTAGAGGGAAAATGATTACTTTTTTGAGATTGGTTTGACTTGAAAAAGGAAAGAATTAAGCCATCAAAATAGTGATTATTTCTTGTCAAGCTGACGAAATGCCGTGACCTAATCCCAATCCGATTTTAGTAACAACTATACGTAGTCATTTTGATGAAAAGCTACGTATGAGGTTGACGGAGGGAAAAAAAACTTGCACGGCAATACTTTCCAAAAGATTAGATATAAGAAAAAACCTAGTTACATAGTCAGGTATACATTTTTATATTGATGGGGCTGGCTTTAACGCTTGTATAGTGCCATAAACTAGACCTTTAGAAGACGAATAGTGTTTTCTTCGAGCCAAAATAATTGTAGAACTATAGAACTTTATCAGATGATAATCAATAGGAGGTAAAGGCAACCTGTTGCAAGCGATAAATTATTACTCAAGTGATTTGATTCTTTTACACTGGCTTCTGAAAATTACAAGATGCTCAAAGCAGGACGACCTTGCTTCTTTCAGGCACTCAAAATTTGATGTCTCACCTTTGATCTCATAGAGTTTTAGGAGCGTGAATAAAAAACAGATCGGCAGCCGTTACACCCAACTGTTCGGAAACTATCGATGCGGTTTTAATTTTTAATTCCCAGAGTCTCTTGAGGCCTTAGAAACTTACTCTAAACACATATTCAATGACTCTACGTCTAAAATAAGTCAGCATTTTGTCAAAATCGTAATAAACAATGACTACTAATTCAAACTAAAATAGGATTATACAAGGAAGACAATCATATTCTTGGCAGGCGGCAACATCACCTGAAGTATTAGAGTTTTGGATCTCTACACATTCCATCAACCTTATCTTTATATCCTTGAGAAAAAACAGTCTTTCCTAGTTGATTTCCCCTGTATTTTCATGAGACTTTTTGGTTTCTACTTTAATCTTTAAACAGTAAACCATTATTGACATGTGCTAGTATGTTTTTTTTATCGTTATCCCCCTTTTTTTTTAGTACACATTAATGACATGGATACGCCTAATGGCTTTCCTCTTTCGCTCCTGCCACCTGCAATGCAACCATTGTAAATAAAACAAAAATAGTGACTTCAAAAACGAATGTATAATACAGAATTAGGAAATAATTTAATCGAAAAGTAAATCCAACGAGATAAATAATAAGAGACTATACAATGGGGGAATATTTGATTATGAATTAACACACCAGATTTCTATTTTTTCTAGATCGCTCGTGGATTTATTCAGTTGTCTTGCCATGAAGAGATCGTCGTCGTCAATCATTAATACCATTTCATTGTCTTCGTCTTTGTACTGCAGACGAATTGAAGGAGGTGCTCCAAATTTGTCAATAATGCGCATTTTCAATTCTTCAAAGGTTATCGAGGTCGAGACCAATAGAATTCTGGTGTCAGTATAATGAACTTTGATTTTAATTCTACCGCCGTTACTATTGTTTGACCCGACTGTAGAGGTGGAAGTAGAAGCCTGTGGTCCAAAGTCATCCTTGTTGTTTCCAAGTCGGTTACGAATACGGTCCTTTTCTCGGTCCTGTACTGTCATTTCATGCAATGATCCATACACTTCTTCTAATTCTTGGTCAAAATCACCATACATACTGTCCTCTTCATGTTGTTTGGGAATAGGTGGGACAGGTGGCGGTGAATAGTACTGTCCTTTAAAACTCTTGGCTGAATTCCTGCTTCCAGGGCCCATTCCCCCAGCAAGTGATGAAGAAGATGAGTATCTATCCTCTAAGCTTGATTCAAATCCACTATCCACACGTCTTCCATCTTGGCGATATCGATAACTTGAAGAACTGAATGACATTGTAGAGCCTGAATCATCAGAATGATTGTACATACCGAAACTCGAATCTTTTCGAGATCGTTCTACAGGAGGTTTAGAAGCTGTCGTGCTTGTAGAGTTGCTTGGCATCATTTGTGGTGGTGGCAGTGATGACTGTTGAGGCGGCAGTGGCTGTGAGGATGCGAGTGGCGACGAAGGGCCTCCTTGTGTTCGAAGCGGAGATTGTTGTGGTTTACGGTATTTATCGTTTAACAGCACAGAATTATTGCGTGTGATTGACTTATTGTTCACTTCTTTCTTTTTGATAGGGATTTGATCGACAGCAGCAAACATGTCACCTTGAAGTTGCCTCAATCTACTTTCAGAGGGTCTAAAGATGACAAGTGGAGGAATAGAAAAAACGGAATAGCCTTTTCCTCTGTCTTTGACTGCTTGGTCGATCACATCATGTTCTTCTGTCATTCTTGATTTTTGTGCATGATATAGATCAGTAAGGCCAGCATCCATTTTGCCCAAATACAGTTGACATATCCCTCGATTAAACAAAACTTCACAAGAATAAAGTCTAAAGCTTAAACCTAATTGTTGATAATTAATGATTGGGTTTCCACGAAGTTTCTATTTTTTCAGGAGAACTGTTGTGAGTTTTGTATACATTTAATTGAATATATCGTACCTGATAAGCTTGATCAAAATCCATACATGCTGCCTCCATGTTTCCCTTCACAAAATGCGATACACCTTGTTGAAAATAAGCGACTGCAAAATAAGGATCCATCGCGATTGCTTTTGCATATGCACCAAGCTACAAGAGTGAATTGGGTTAGTAAACACTCAGTCTAACAACAGCATTGTATATTACTGCATGGTCATGATCTTCTACTGTTGCAAAAATGAGTCCAATATTAAAGTGTATTTTTGCATTATCAGCTATGCCCTGTAATTTTTTTTTTTAAAAATTACTTCATTGAACTCAGTTCTCCTTGTTTTGATTCAACTTACAATAAAGGTCTTTAATGACGCTTCGTAGTCTCTGTCATCAAATGCAACACAAGCTGCTTGCCATTGTTCTGTTTCAAACTAAAGTTGGAGAAAAATAAGTTCAATTACTGTTGTTCTATCTTGTTTGTGCTTGTCTAACCTTCAAAGCCATTGAAGAAAGTTTCCTTTTATTAATATATCTCCTCCTCCTTGCTTAGAAAAAAAGATAGACTTTTTAATAAAGGTGTGTGAGAGAGAAAATAAAAAGAAACAATAATAGGAAAAGAAAGTATTTAAAAAGTAAAAGAAAGAAAAAGAAAAAACGAAAAAGTGCGTTAAAATTCTTTTTTAGTGCTTTGGGTTTCAATTTAATGTGGAAATGTAATTTATTAATTTGCACTCAACCTAATTTTGTAAAAGGAGACTGTGCAACGCATTCTTTAAACAGAATATAGCTAGGAGATATGAACAAAAAGGAGGGTCGTAATCACTTAGATGAGGAATTTTTTTGTCTGTTTTTTATTTTCGTGATAAAGCATTGGTAAGTTATGTAAGCAAGTGAATTTTATAGGGCGCATAATTAGGTTAATATGCATATCAAGAGACATATAATTGAAACAAACATAATATAATAAAATTAGTAAGAATAAAAAGGTCGGAATTATTTAGGCGATGTTGGGAAAAGGCCATGTTACACAACTTTAGCAATTAATGATATTATTATCAGATGTCAAATAATAATGCATAGAGTTGTTTAGTGTAGATGTGAGTGCGGCAAGTCTTCATGCATGGACTGTTCATAAACTTCCAATTGACTCTCAGTTTGTACTGGGCGTGCAGCTACCGATGAAAGAGAGCAAATCGATGACGTTCTTCTTCCCTGTGCTGTTTGCTCGCCAAGAGATGATACATGACTATTCTGAGCTGGAAACATGGGCGAAACATGTCGTTTTTTTGTAACTCGAACGCCTTCCACTGATTGATTACTTAGCATACTCCAACCTGAAGATTGCCTTGTTAAAGAGACAGCATCGTTGTGTCTTTTTCGTATCTTCTTGCTGTTGCTAGGATGATGCTCTAAAAAACAAGCGGGCTTTCTTGTCAGTGTGCGGACATGTTGATTCTCAGATGATGTCTGTTCGCTTGATTCAAATGAAAACCCTTTAAAAGGGTCTTGCCCAGGGCAAAAGCCTGGCAGATTCTCAACTTGATCCATATCCACTACAGAAGATTGACTAATTTGAACAGGCATAGCTGTAAAAAGTTCATCAAAGTTGGACGCATCTGCCTCATCCTTAATGTTGGGAACATAAGGTGGGGTTAGGTTTCGTTCGAAAGCTTTGTCCCAATCAATTGACTCGAAGTAAGGATGCGATTTGATACAGTCAATACCATCTTCTCCCCAACCTAATCTATGAAAAGCTTCTTTTTCCAAGAGCTTATTGTGAAACTGAATTAAGTAATCACTAATTCATGCAGTGCTAGTGTAACTTACTCCTGCAAGGAGATCCTTGGTACTTTCACCAAAAGAAGAAGGAAATTCAAGTGAATCTTCTAGCACCCTTTTATACATTTCCATATGCGAGTCTGCCCAAAATGGTGTCTAATATCATGATTTTAAATTATTGTACTCCCTTACTTATTTATAACTCACCGTTCCAGCAAGCATTTCATACAGAAGTGTCCCCAAGCTCCAGAAATCCACTGCATAGGTATAAGGTTCGCCCAAAAGTACTTCAGGAGCCAAGTATTCAGCAGTGCCACAAAAGGTTTGTGTTGAAGGAACACTGAATTCATCAATATCATCATAAGTGAACATTTTAGAAAGACCGAAGTCAGTTAAGACAATATGGCCGTTTTGGCCAATAAGTACGTTTTCCGGTTTAAGATCCCTAAAGAAATATGAGCAAGTAAAGTTAAGGTTAGAATTTCGGCTAACCTATAAACAATCCCATTTTGATGCAATATGTCTAAGCCAAGTATGATTTCAACAGCATAAAAACGAGTTTGTTCCTGACTAAAATGAGACATATTTGAAAGATGTGTAGCGATGTCACCTCCAGCATAATAGTCCAGCACGAGGAAAAGCTCTGAATGGGTCTGAAATACGTGATTGAGATGAACAAGGAAGGGTTGGTTTTGCAAATGAACCAATATATCTCTTTCTGCACGTGTATGGATCAGTTCTTTTTGTTGAATCACCCACTTCTTTTTTATGGATTTCAATGCATACAGCTTTTGATCTTTTTTTGAGCGAACAAGCAAGACCTTTTTAACATGTTCTTCAGATGTTTTGTTATGCAGATCATTTACTTACTTTTCCCATACATCCTTTACCGAGAACTTTAAGTAACCTAAAATCATCAATTGTAATAGATGTGACATTGGACCTCTTAACCGTGACTTGACTACTTGCTGAATGATAGGAATCTACAGGCATAATTGGGATGTGTTCTATTGCATCATCCAACAAGGCTTCATTAAATTGTGTGCAAGTAGGTGTGGTAAAAGTAGAGGATGTTGATGCTATCTGGTCTTCCTTCTTGGGTTTGACGTTTGGGACATTTGTCGGCTCAGCCACTGACTTTCTAAAGCGTGAAGTAAGGTAAACATCTTCGTCACGTTGAACACTCGTGAAATCTCGGAAGATTGAAGAGATACCAATGATAGGATGCTGAAAGCAAGCCTCAAGATACTTTTCGACTTTATCGGCATTTGATTTCCTGCGAGCAAATGGTAACAAATCTCTAAATGATCGACGCTTCAAGCAACGCAGTCTTTTTGAAGGGTTACTAAGGGTCGGAAATGAGACTTTTGATTTGGGATAATAAAGGCGGATCTATATTCTGTTTTAGCTTGATTACTTAATTAATATTATGGTTACTTTTTGGTGAAATTCAACTAGGTCAAAAGGATATCGAATCAAAGAAACAGATGACTGAGGACTCTGGATCACAATATTGAAAACCTAAAGACATTAAATATTGTGTCACCAAGAAATCCAACTTACTGAAAGTGTGTTTTGTTCAATGGTCAATCTTGTTTCAAATACGGATATCTGCGTATCACTATGAATTAGGTTTGGCATCATTGAAAATAACAAGCTGCTGTTTTCTTTCCAGTGTTTTTAAAACAAGTAGAGGGAAAAAAAGAGAGAGAAAGAAGAATAAGAAAAAAAGTCTATTAATTGACCTACATAATACTTACAGTTGGTTTCTTTTTAGGTAGAAAGCTTGTAGCGAAATCTCCTTCAATAGTATGAAGTATTCTATCACAATTTTAATCTCTCCCCAAATCTAATTCTTTGTCGTTCTCTCCTACCTTCTTCTCTCCTGTATAATGGAAATGAAGCGAATAGGTCAATTTGTAAATCCGGTGAGTTTGGCTCATTTTTACTGAGACGCTCCCTTCTCATAAGGAGAACTGTTCCTTGACATTTTTTCTTCAGGAAAGAGCCCTTTTTTGAAGTATAAATAGATGACATAGTTTAGTATGAGTTGCTTTTTAACTGAGGTTATCTCAAACTCTTAAATGTTTCTGAATAATATAAACTCCCTCTTCAAAAGACCTTCTTTTTTTTTGTGAGAACCCGTGTCTGAATCAGTCAGTCCCCTATCATGTAGTCTAAGCACATAAACAATTATTTATCAAATTCTCCTTTTTGTTTATTGATAAAGAATTACAGGAACAATAGTAGCAGTCTTCTCATTTAGAAACTTATAAATAAACAAATGTCAGATATACAGTCATAAACATGAATTTTTATTTGCATAATTACAAAGCAGTAGATTCGAATGTCATCACTAGTGCCTGTAATACTTTTTCATTACGCACACTAAGGTCCAAATCTGGTTGATTCATTTTTACTCTTAACCAATCATTCTAACAACGAATGAGTTTGTCTCTTTTTTTTTTTTTTTTTTTTTTTTTTTGCTAATAGTACGTACCAGTTCTTCGCGCAAGAATTTCAATAGCACCGCTGTTCTAGCAAAACAGTCAAAATATAGCCAATCGTCCAATACCATTCTTCTTTGGTAATGCTATAATCAAATTAAGTATTTCTGTTTTTTCCCCTGATACATGTATACCTTAATATCAATGTTTGTTGAAAGCAATACGATTGCTGCGGGATCAATGGTTGATGCTTCCCACATATAAACCATGTCTTTAGCATACGTATTTGAATTATTCATTACGACTGTGTTGTAAATCAAGAATTCAGATCTGAATAAATGTTCTTTATGGAAGAGCATCGAAGAAGGATGGATTTGTAACTCAATATTCTTGTGTACCATCTGCTTTGTCTGCTTTGAATATTCTGCAATTTTTGGGTACAAGCCTGCAGTCAATGCAGCATTAATCACAGGGACCGAAAATCCATGCATGTTGTACAAATTAGGTACCTGACATAATTGGATGCCCGAGTGCTTTACCTCGTAAGGATTTGATTTAAACTCATCACCATCGTTTGGCTTGACGAACCCAATACTGATCAGCAGACCCAAGTACTGGCGCTTCATGCCTTCAATCATTTCCAAATTCTGTTCACTCAAAAAGTTTTCTTTGCAGAAACTAGTCATTTTTCGCCGAATACTGGAATTAGAGAGTAGCTTGTCGGAGCGCAAGTCCGTAAGGTATTCTCTCCAGACATAGTAAGCCTTGTAGATGGTCAGGAAATCTGAGTTGCCAACTTGGAAGCGAGCACGGGCTATATCAGCTTCATCTTCTCTGCCAAAAGGTCGAATAAACGGACTCTTGAAACTAAGTGCTGCAGCAATTGTCAAAATAGGATCAAGACATCTGAAAAGTGCACCATAAATAATCATTTTGCCCATATGGACATCCACAGGCAAATTAGATAGGTGAGAGCCTAAAGGCGTAAGTACCTCTTTGCCATTGTCAATAGCTAATGCTTGAACCTATTTTATGTTAGTATCGTACAATTCTCTTATATTCTGAATCTTACCTCTTGTAGAGAAAGAAGAGCATTTTCAATCATCTTATCACTTGGGGGATCCAATGCATCGCTCAGAACATGTCGAATACTACCCAAATCGCATACTTTGATTCGTAAGCATAACTCTTGAAGAGGCAATCGAAGAATTTCAGGTAATTCGAAATCAGGCATCTTTATCAGTTGAGTCAACTTGTACTCATATGCAAATGACTTACTTGTTCAAACTTTTGTTTACTAAAGAGATGGAAACAAACACCTTCTTGTACACGACCAGCACGGCCTCTTCTTTGACGAGCGTTTGCTTTTGCAACGTATTTTTGAAGAAGATGTGTCACCCTCTTTTTTTCATCGTAACTATTATAAAATCAGTTATGTTTGTTACCGAAACAATTCTCACTTACCTTACGACTCGAGCCATACCCGTATCAATCACAATAGTAACATCACTGATAGTGACACCTGTTTCTGCAATATTGGTGGAAAAGACAATTTTTCGAACACCTTCTGGAGGAATTTCGAATGCTTTCTCTTGATTTTCAGACGATAATGTGGAATGAAGTGCTATCAATAGAAACTTTTTGGGGTCTCCAAAAATATGATGGCTAGAGACAATATCATAGAGTTTTCTGATTTCGTTCATGCCAGGTAGAAATATGAGAATAGCACCTGTCTCTGGAATTTTGAATCCTTTGTTTTTTTTTGCCTTTTGTTCGTCTTCTTCTTTGGTCTCTTTTTTCTCAGATTTTCTATTTTTTGATTCATCTTCACTGGGAATCTTTTGTTTTGAATAGATATGGTCAAGTAATTCAAGGATCAAATCATAATTGATCTTGTTTTCGTTTAGACGCTTGAGTGTCTTTCGCGTTCGCCTGCTGTATCTATTCACATTTGTGTTGTCTTCATCCTCGGTATCATTAGTTTTCTCAGAGTTGACTGTTAGTTTTGATTCAATACGTGCAGGGTCATATGGATCGTCGTCATCAGAGTCTTGTTCAAACATTTCGTAATAAATGCGCTTGGTAGAACCATAAAGACCCGATACATTCAGAGTGCCTTGCTCTGTTTTGATTTTATCACGCTTAATAGCATAAGGAGAATCTTCTTCAATAACATAGTCTATATCTTCAATCACATCTTCAAGGTACTGTACATGCACTGGAAAAGTTCTTCCTGGTACAGAAATAACAGGACAGTTTCCAAAATAGCTTGAAAACCGATTCGCTTCAACTGTAGCACTCATAAGGATAATTTTAAGATCTGTTCTGACAGCGCAAAGATTTTTCAAGATAATAAGTAAGAAATCGCTTTCCATGGTACGTTCATGCACTTCATCTACAACAATATGACTGACACCATCAAGATGCTTGTCACTTTCCAATCGACGTAAAAGAATACCGGTAGTACAAAAGAGCAAGACGTTTTCAGGAGACATTTTGCTCTCCAATCTGATTTGATAGCCTACCATAGAGTCACGACTACCTGTCGATTTAAACGGATCACCCATCTCTGTTGATACCCTGTTAGCAATAGACATAGCAGAGATACGGCGAGGTTGTGTACAAATAATAGAGCCAGCAGTCTGTGAATCCAACAAGAGGTGTTCTGCCAAAAATTGAGGTACCTGCGTACTTTTACCACAGCCTGTTTCACCAGAAATAATAAGAACCTGGTTCTTTTGAATCAGCTCCAGAACTTGGTCTCGATAAGCAGAAATAGGTAAATCTTGTCTTTTGCTTTTCATGGCGAGATAGTCTTCGTTTTGCAACCGTTTCTTGAAATTGGCTTGCACTCGACCAAATAGTTTTTGTTGCTTTGATACGCTTTCTTTTGATCTACTTACTACCTTATCACTTGTATTATTTTGTTCAATGGTGATATCTGTAGAACTATTATTGCTATCATTCTTGGTAAATGCTTTGTCTACCAAATCGACCAAAAAAGACAAGCGCTTTCTTTCAGCCTCAAGTCTAGGTCCGTCTTGACGATTTTGTTTCTCACTAAACCATGTATTCCACAAGTCTTTAAATGGGTTTGGTAGTACCTTATAAACGGAAGAATCGGAATCAATTTCAAATAAAGCATAGAAAGCAGCTAGCTGTTCTGCATCTTGTCGACTAGTACAACACAGACCTTCAGGTAATTCAAATTGCATTGATAAATTGTCATAACTGTTCTGTCGAATCTTTAAGCTCGCTCTCCAAATACCAGAACCTATGTTTGTGGAATCAAACGATTGCTTTCCTAAATGGTGCTTGTTGCAGTACTCTAATAGCAAATCTTTAGGGTATCTTCCAACATAGGACTTTGGTACAGCAAAGTCAATTATGCTCCAGTTCTTGGATGAGGATGAAGTGCCGTTTTGATGAGCAGTGGCCATTGCAGCTTGCTCCTCTTCTTCATTCATCAGCATGCCACCAAACAAGCCATCTTCATCGTCACTCTTGTCTGAATCATGGGCTGATTGTTTTTTAAGCTGCTTTTCAAGTGCTGCCTCGATTCCTTTTTGACGTTTTTGTTCGATTTTCTTTTGGCGTTCTTCTTCTTTCAATGCTTCAAGTTGTTTTATATAAACCTCCTGTGCTCTTGTTTTGTCAAAATCCCAATCTGCTTCGAGGCTGGATAATGTATCTTTGAGTTTTTTTATGCTTTTCATTGTTTCTTGTGTTTCAGCATCTGTCAATGGAGCTTTTGTTTGTTGTACAGAATCTTTCTTTTTGTTTTTCTTTCCTGTGTTTTCTGAAGGCAACAACTCTTGAAGTTTGGTCAACTTTAGTTTGTATTGAGCATATTTCTCATTCACATCCTCTTCCACTTCTTCTTCCTATGATATATCATTAAGCATGTCATAGTCAGCATTATGCATCCTCATACCATATAGTTTTCTGCAGCTTTTAAAATACGAGATTTAATTTCAGAATCTTCTTCTTTAATGATCTGACTTGTGTCTAGAACAACGGCTTCTTCTTGATGAGGTTGCTCGACTGCCAATGCGTTAGCTAAATTGTGTTGTTTTTTTGATTGATTATGTATCAATGTCAAAGTCTGATCATCCTCGTCCTCAAAATACTTGTCAAAAAAGCCAACAGGCATTCTCTCATAAGGCACATTTAAACAAAGCTAGACCAAAATATCAGTTCATGCTGAAGATATATATGTTTACAATATCTTACCCAGTCAAGGTGATCATCAATTGTTGTTGATAAAGTGGACTCGAATGATAAACTGATGTCTTGGCTTTCAAATCCCATTTTAATCAACATTCTGTACAATATATCAAATTGGCTCACTATTTTCTCTTTTCCTTGATCATTTTGGTTCAAGAAAAACTCTATAACAATATGAGTATTCACTCTTTTTGTATTAAAAAAGAGTTGTTACCGGACGATTGGGCTTTCTTGTTATGCTTTGCAATTTGTAATAGAGTCTTCTCCAAGTCGGAACCGAGTCGAAATTTTCTAATTTTTTCTTCAGGAACAGGGTCCGCTTTGGTAAGTCGTTCCAAACTTGTTTGCGCCTTGTGGTCGTTGAGTGACTCATATTTCTTTAAGAGGCGTTCAATAGAATCGCTTTGGGTAGGTGTAGGTACAGACTTTTTCTCTTTCTTCTGGGGTTTTTCTACCGGTACTTGTTCTTGTTTAGGCGGTGGTGGATTTTCTAGTTTCTTTGAAGGGCTTGAAGTGGTTGCAAATCCACGGTTGGAGACGATCTTGGTTTTCTTTTTTGCCATATGCGTGTTTGAAAGAAGAAAAAGACTATTATTAGCTCTCCGCTTATTTGCATAATTCAAAAGAGTAAATCAAGTCACGCAAACACGATTTTCATTGTATTGTGTTACCAGCCAAGTCACAATCAACGGCTCATACTATGGTGTATGCTAAGTGCTTCTTCTACGAACACAATAAAAAAATAGAAAGTATTAGATGCATCATGTCTAATTAAAATGGTCAAGCGTAAAAAATCTTTCTCCTATTCAAATATGCTCAAGTCAATAGCAAGTATCTTGACAACTAAATACACCAACTTTCGCGCTTTCTCTCTTTTTGGTAACTTTGTGACCTTATTAAAAAAAAAAAAAAAAAAAGAAAAAGAGTCTAGTTCAACTTACTACCATGACTAGAATGTGTAGATAATCAACTTTGATGTCTTTCATACAGTTGTTATGAACTATAAAATACCTTTATAAACAGTAAGGCATCAACAAGGTCAATCTGCATCCTAAAGTCTGAGCCACATAAACATGTCAAAGAGATAAAGGTTACACAACTCAAAAGAGTCACCGCAGTTTGAACTACTGCGGTTATGCATGTACCTTTTTTTGGTTAACCTAAGAAATGTATGTATATAATCAGAGATAGACTCTTTTTTCTTTCTTTCTTTTTTGTTGTGCTTGGTTCTTTTTTCCTTGTCGTTATGTCTTTTGTCAATTTCCCTGCTGCTCTTCCTTTCTTCAAGCAACTTCATGATCAAGCATCATTAGACCATTTGATTTCTCAGCTTGGTCAAGACGTATGTGTCAAGGAAATTGAAGAACTGGACTTGAACAAGTCGCATCCTTTTATGGACGCCTATGACAAGATGGCAAATCAAAAACTGACCACCAACGGTGCACCCGCTCATGCTTCTACGATGGACCCTATCATTGATTGTTATTATGGATTTGAATCGGTTGCACCCCAGGGACGTCCTGCTATGTATGAAAATGCTTGGAAAAGTGATCCTCTGATGACTTTGCATATCATCTTTTATGCAAGATCCATTCACCGTGGTAAATCATTAGGCAGTGCTTTCTTTTTCGCTTATTGCTGGTTGCTCTTGAACCATCCTCGTACGGCTTTGGCTAATTTGCATGTCTTGGTAGACGGCACTGTTCGCACGGATGCTGAACTTCAACACAATCGATTGATGCAAAGAAAGAACCGTCATCAAGAATGGGACATGGTGGAAGAACCTTATGAATTGTTGGATCGCCGTGATTTCAAGTCGCATGGCTGTTGGAAGGATCTTTGTACTTTATTGACGATTTATTGTCAAGGTGAAGCAGAAGGCTACAAAAGTTCAGATTTCCTTGCTTTAGAATGGCCTCGTATGCAACGCGATCGTAATGCTCATCGCGAAATCAGCAAGGAAAGAAAACAACGTTACATGGCACGTAAGCACATGTCTCCTGAAAAAAGGGCAAAAGAAATTGAAGCATCCCTTCAGAAACGCGACCAACTCAACCTCGTCAAACAACAAGAAGCCACTGAACTTCGCCACAAGATTCGTGTGGAACGCAACAAGACTGTTTGTGATCTCCTGGAAAGCGACAAGACGTATAGAGCATTACATTTTACGATTGCTCGCATGTTTGCTCAACAGTTAAAGACGGATTTGAAGCAATTGGAAGCGAACATGGCCTTGCTGGAAAACAAAAAATTGTCTGGTCGCTATGCTTTGGGTTTTAACTTGAGTTTGGCAGCAAAATGGGCCCCCTCACTTCGTAATTCGCATGACAAGCATACTTTCTTAGCTACCTCGATTGCTGAAATCTTGTTTCCTCCCGTATCGTTCCAAGACAAGGACGAGACAAGACCCCATTACTTGAACAAGGTCAGAGATCTTTATCGCAAGAAATACTTGGTGCCTCTTCGAGCAGCTTTGGATTTGACGGAACACTATATGAAGACGGGTCAATGGGAACTGGCAGATTTTCGCCACATGCCTTCAGTTTGTTTCCAGCAGAATCTCAAGTACTTTTTCAAGCACTGTCCTGATAAAACGATAGCGTATATGGCTGAAGTAGCTAAAGGCAACAAGAAAGTGAGTGGTGCTACGCTGGGCCCTCATGAACTCGTTCATCGGTGTTTTTCGGGTGGTGTCGACGAAAAGCTTCAAAAGGCTTTGAGTGGCCAAACTGACATGTACGAAAAGTTTCTTGAAGTTCAAAAGCAGGGTGTGAATGGTCAATGGGATACTCTGATCAACTCCATTCGTGATACTTCGCTTCTTCAAGACAGCAGTGACACTGGCAAGAAGAGGGTGAATCTAGGTGACTGCTTGGCTATCTGTGATGTCTCTGGTTCGATGATGAGCGGTGCTGACCCCAAGCATCCTGAGATGCAACCCTTAAATGCGGCTATTGGTCTGTCTCTTGTGGTCACTAACTTGGCCAAGCCTCCATTCAACGGTGCTGTGATTTCTTTCTCTGCGAACCCTGTCATGTCCAAGGTGAATACCAACGCTACTTTTAGTGACCAAGTGCAGGAAATCATGGAAGTCGATATGGGCTACAATACCAATCTTATGAAGGTTTTTACTGAGGTGCTTTTGCCCATGGCCAAGGAACACAAAATCAAGCCTGAAGACATGGTCAAGCGTCTTTTTATCTTTACAGATATGGAATTTGATGCTATGGATAATGGTATGAATGCATTTGTGGACGCAAACCAAGCTATTCGTGCACTTTATCATGAAGCAGGGTATGAGGTGCCTGAATTGATTTGGTGGAATTTGTGTTCTCATTCTGGGTATTCTTCTGTTAAGAAAATGACTACGCCGGTGACAAAGGATGATCTTAAAGTTACTTTGATTTCTGGGTTTTCTTCTGCTATGCTTAAAACTTTCTTGGATGGTGACATTGAAGAAGAAGAAGAAGAAGAAAACAGTGAGAAGCAAGACAAAGAGAACAAGGAAAGCTCTCCCATATCTTTTATTGAAAAGGCTATTTACCATGAAAGTTTTAATAGTCTTGTTGTTGTAGATTAATTTTGTAAATACATGTAAATAAACACAGTCATTGTGAATTTGAAAGTAATTCTGGTAAAACTTTAGCAAGAATATGATCTACTAAAAGATACATAAGATGCTTATTGATTTGTTTGTTCTGAAATGGCTCAATCATGTCATGCATATGATTCTGAAGTTCATCTAAATTCCTTGTACTGAACAAGACAGCACCTGCTTTTTCTAGTCAAAGTATCAATATTAAGACATTCATAAGCCCATTTCTACCTGGTATAACGACAGTCAAGAGTCTTTCAGCTCGAACACGCATTTGTTCTCTTTGCAAAGGTGTGGGTGGATCTGCTTTTTGGATAAAGACACCCTCTGGCCATAATAAATCACTTCCCATCCTTAAATAGAACACAATATGATCTTCACTCAACATATGAAGTACTGTTTGCTCCAAGAATTTGTCTACCAATAAACCACCACCAAACACACGAATCAATGGCCAAAAGAACATACCGACCATTTGCCATGCCCATTGCAGCACGGGTCTTTCTTCCACTCGACAAGCAACATATGCCAAATCCATCAACGGCTCAATTAAACGTACTTGCCTTGTTCGCTTCTTGTGTTGGTTGACACGGTGATATCTCTCTTGAGATTGTGTCATGGTAGCCATAAGGTGTAGCCAAAGTGTATAGAAGGGTGCCAACACTACTTGCAATGTAATATAACCAAATGAAAACCTTTTTCGCTTAGTTTCTTGAGGCAATGGTTGCTTTAAGTCTTCAAATGATTCTTCTTCTTCTTGGTTTCTCTGTGCTTGCAATCGTTGCATTTGTTGTGTTAGGGTTTCTTGTTCTGTTTGTTCTTGAGTCTTTGAAAGATTACTGTTGGTAAGTGCACTAAAATAAGTCTCTGAGAATTTCCCTGATGCTTCTAACTCATCCAATCTAGTCTCATATGAACTTAGAAGCTATAGAAGAAGAAATCAATAAGTCTGTCTATATTCAAAGCACTTGCCTTGCAAATGATTGTATGTATGGTGTATGGATCAGCCAATGCATCAATCAAACCCAGCAATACCAAATTTGACAGAATTTCTCGGACCAAATGGCGCACACAACCACTTTGATAATCTTCAGGTCGAAGTAAGATCCTGAGCAAGGATTCTGTCAACATACTCAAGTATTCCTTTTCACGGTTTTCTATTGGCTGAAGAGCATAATGAGGCTGCATACCATGAAACAGATCCACAAGTGAATGACAGCCACTGCCATGATCCATATGCAAACGGCGTTTTGCTTGTCGATAATCATGATAATGCATCGTAAACAGTTTAGGTAAATCAAGCAATATTAATTCTGTCCAATCCACCTAAAAGTTCGCTTACACGTCTTGAATAAACATCTATGGTATTGTATTTTTACCTCTTCACATAATCTTTTCTCTAGGTTTTGTATGATCCATGTCAAGATAGTCAGTATTTCTTCAGTCAAGTCTTGGTCTGTAGTTAACATGCGATACCAAGGATGAATAAAGTCTCTTAGTAAAAGTGCAAAATAGGTATAGAGTTCTAAATCAACAGCTTTGGATTGAGTTATTGACTTGGGAGCACCCAGCCTTCTAGGATCAGTTTTTGAGAGTGTCAATAAGTGAGGAAATAATACTCGAATATGCAAAGGTCCAAGTAAAGTCGTTTTGTTCATTGTAAGAATAAAAAGAAAGAAAAAGGAGAAGCTGATCAAACGGTGTAACACTGCAGTTTAAACAATCAAATCTTTTAGCGGAATGTGTGCCTTATTTCCCTCTATCTATTTTTTAGCGCGTCAATACAAGATACCATGCCAAGTAATCATTCTAAACCATACTCAAAAGACACTGTTCTAATACTCAACACAATAGTCCTTACACGCAAACGTAGGCTGACTACTCAACACTTGATTCATTATGAGATCAAACCTGTGGAGACTGTACAACCATTAATGGATATCCAAAGTCAATATGATAGATCAGAAGTACAGAGAATATATGAAATGGTTCTATGCAATAAAACCACAAACCATATACGCCCAACAAAGCTTAGAAGAGTATCCAAAGGCAAGGTTTATATGACCACTAGGCCATACGCTGATAAATAGAAAATAGACACCGAAAGTATGTCTGAAGATGAAAGACCCAGTACAGTATTTGATGTGGATACACTCCAAATCAGTGAGAACAATGTTCTTCCTTGTGATGGAGACAGAGTCCATAATACACGCAGAAGGCCCCCACCTATCATGATTAAAAAGGAACCCTCTTTAGAGCCTGATTTATTGGTACCTGTCAAAACCAATCCCAAATCAAGCAGAAAAGCACCTCTTTTATCTTCTTTTTTGAAATATTCATCCCATGTCTCGTCAAAGAATGAACCAAAGCCATTTATTGTCACGGATCATGAATTAGGGATTGGGCAGATGAGTCTGGTTCGATTAGGCAAGTTTGGTCAATTACAGATTGCTTGCAAGTCCAAGCGTCCTTTTACAAACAGAGAATCCTATGATACACAAGCAGATCGCGAATTGGAATTTGCAGCTAAATTGTCTGCCTGTAGATACACAAACAAATATTTGGGCTGGACATTAGCGAGAAAAACTCAAGTAGAAGAAGAGCATTTAGCGAAACCAAAGATGATTAAGAATGAACGCAAAACACTCTATATTGTTCAAAAGTATATAGCCAATGGTGATGCCAGAAGTTATTTATATAAGCGAGGTAAAAGAAAGAAACATAGTCTATTCTATGCTTATTTTATCTTTAGAAACAAAATTTCATCCTCAAGAAGTACTTCAGGCTTCTATTTGCTTATTCTCTGCTTTAACAGACGCGCATAAATTGGACATTGGGTTTGTAGACTTGAAACTGGAAAACTTTTTGGTAAGGCACAATCATTTGAATGCTATAGATTAATCAAGCATGCGATAGATTGATTCCTCAGGTGCAGGTTGGTTGACTGATTTTGGGTAACTAAGTTCATACAACAACTGCTTGTTGAACTCATACATCGCATAGTTCTTGTATTGAATTCAAAAAGGGAAAACAAGTGATTGACCTGAATGAAGAAGACATACAATGGACAGAGAATGTCGCATCACCAGAAATGCTAATACAACATCAATTTTCAAAGGCATCAGATGTATTTATGGCTACCATCATTGTTGCTGAAATGATGACTTCAGATCTCAGTGATGATGAATTCCAGAAACTGATATTAAGAAGACATGCTAAAGTTCGCCATGAAGTTGCTTTTTCATCAGACAACATTCACAAGAAATACAGACATTTCTTTCCTCTCTTAAAAGCAGGTTTAGTGAATGACCCAAGCAAAAGACCTACTGCTGAAGCCATGCTGACCACACTGTTACAAATGAAAAAATAAAATTTCTATTCTTAAAAGGCTCTTTGCCTTGTCACCATCTCTTTCCACATACGCAAATCACACAGAAAAGACCAAATTGGGTATCGAAAAGTAGCTGGTTTACTACGACTATGCTTAGCATTGAAATATAATAAGATGTTACTTACTTTTGTTCAAATACAAAATGACCAAACCAAGCAAAAGCATAAGCTATGATGATGATGATTATTATTATTTCATTTTCATTGTTTATTTACCTTGAATTATACCAGCCAATGCAAGTGTTGGCTTGGATTGTTGAATAGCCAGCAAAGTCAGTACCATTGTGATCGAAGTTCCTTTCTTTTTGTTATTTTATATCAAATATAGACTTTATTTTCTACCTAATACATGCAGTCTTCGATTGATCTTATTACCATGTTCACCCAAATAAAAAGGATAAAATGCTTCTAAAGACTTGAATCCATCTTTAGGCTCTACTTGCTTAACATAAGAGGGGTTCATTTTAAAGAAAAAAAAAAAGAAAAAAGTGTGGTTGTACCACAATTTTGATGGTCATTTAATAGAGACAAAACCCCATTTAAATTTGAAATTCACACACATACGTATTAAATCTGTTTTTTCTTCTTTTATGAAGAAAATATTTCCTTTTTGATTCGATAGACAATTACCCCCACGGTTGAGAAGGATTGTACGGCAGAGAGAGTAAAGTGACATGGAGATATAAGGCAAAGAAAATAATGCCTATTCTATTTTTTTCTTTATTCAACGTCTTTCATGTCTACACACTATTTTCATGTGAAAGTGATCAATTTTCCCATATGAATAAAATAAAATAAAATAAAAAAATAGAGGCTAGGCTTTTTTTTTTTTTTTCATTTTTTTTTCTTTCCTTCTCTTTCATATCTATGTCTGTTCATACTAAACCAACATTAAACGAATCTGAGTCTATAGACTCACTTCCAATACCACCTAAAGAATTACTTGATAAAAGCAGTTGGTCTTTTATAGAACGTCAACCTATGCCTACTTTACCTGTATTTGAAGAAGAAGAAGAAGAAACCATGTTACCACAAACACCACCCTTCCTTGCCTTTGTGAAAGGACACACACATCACTTTTTAAAATCTGCCTTACAGTTCATTTTCAAAGACAATAATTTACCACTCATGATCAACATTATCTATCATTTGTTTGCCGCAAAATCACTCATAAGCCGGCCTTCTAAAGTCGTGGCACGATACCTTGATATGCCTCCTACAGTTACATTAGCATCCCATGCACCTCTCAGACATCAAATTGAACAAACAGGCACAGTAGCTGTTGATGCCTTTCGAACTCAAGGTGTACTTCATTTAGCCTTGGGATTATTAGGTACATTAGCACTCAAGGAAAAAAGACAATCTTCAGAACGCTCTGCTTTAACTGTGCTTACTTTGGCTTCTGTGGGACAAGCATGGACTCACTTAGATGCGTATTGGAAATCCAAGTCATATTATACCTTGAAAGCATTACAAGAAGTGGGTCTTTCAGATGTGTTTATTGCCATGATTGGTATGATAGCTTTGTTCAAGACAACCAAGAGAACAGGCAAGTTGTTTTAGTTGCGCTGTATAGGTTGAACAAGTCCTTTTTTGATGTGATAATAGAGAATGGTGGAGTCAGATGCATAGATAGCAAATGTAAATTTCCTATTCATTTTTTTTAGATTTGATAAAATAACATGTACACATCTTACTCTATTGCTGTATCTTTGATTTGACTATCGCATAATAAATCAAAGATAGCTGCTATTCTTGTTTTGACGAAGATGAATGAAAGCCCTTAGAATAAGAATGAAATTACCTTTTCATGGATAAAGCAAGGCCTTCTTGTAAAATAGGTAAAATAACAAGCGGTTCCTTTTGTATTGAATCAATTGACATAATACATAACAATGACTTACAAGACTGCCTGGTTCTTGTACCAAAAAGACGCAGCTATTTAAACCAGAAATAGGTTTGTATTCAACGTCTTTGTATTTTTTAGCAAGTACAAGGTCTGAATAAACTGCTTGAGATAAAGCAATTTTTGAACTTGGAAAACCTATTGATTGAGTAGCAATATCATTCAACTAAAACGAAGAGGTGTCAATCCTTTATTTTCTATATTCAAACATACTCTTTGTTGAAAGTTCATAAAGAAAAATAAAAAATAAAAAAATAAAAAATATGCATGTTAAAGCGAGTCACGGCCCTTTATTGGTTTAGGCTCAAGCAAAAAGAATCGATTGTCTGTTAAGAAGGCAAGTTTGTTGTGAAAGGATTGAATGTCTAATGGACAACTATGAATTTGAAATTGTTGTAATTGTTTATCAGATTGTTGTAAATGCAATGCACCTTTTTCTTCTTGACTATAGCCAATCACATCCTCTCCTTCTGGCCCTGAATAAGCAAGTGTGCGTGTTAGACTCTTTTGCGGTTGAGGAACAACAAAACAAGAGATTTCAGGGACAACCAAATCAGGCTTGATTTGATGTAGTGTATGTCTTGTAGAAGTTGGACTTCGAGAAGACAATAATACAATGTCTTTTTTATCTGCATGAAGTGTCAATGAATACGGCTTGAATTCTATTTGAATTGAGTAAGACTATAGGAATCAGCAAGATACAATACCTTGAAAATCAGATTCAATCAGCGTCGATTGAGATGTATCAAAATCATATAAAAAGGCTTGTGTCAAGTTGGCACAGCAGACAATAGGTCGATTGTCTATGGTTGTCATAAATAAGGAATGTAAAGGTGTTTTTTGAGCAGTAGGATGACTGAATATCTTGAGAGGTTCAGTAGCAAATCGTCTATCGTATACCATCACTTTACTGTCTGCTAATCCACTCAACAACAGATTTTCTTCAGCACAACAAGACCAACCAGGCATAGGCAAATTCACTGTCAGTTCTGATTGTGTGGATGTCAGTTGAAGGGTTTTATCAAGACTTGTTGATAAGACACAGTCATTTGTATAGCGAACATCACGTATAAGACTATTATGAACAGGCATAAATTCAGTCTGTTTCATGGTAGTTAAATCGAGTTTAAGCAAACCATGAGCATTAGATGATTTGAATGAGATACAGGCAGTATTGGTATGGGAATTTAAGGCCATGACTCGAGCGACATGCCTTGTGTCTGATAATCGCTTTGAATTAGATATTGTATAAGGAAGTTGGTTAAGTTTTGGTATCATAGTAACAGTTGAAGGTAATGATGGTAGTAGTGGAAGGGACATGTTTCTTTTCGCTTTTTCCAGTTCTCTTTTACGTAGATTAAGTCCAAGTCGAGAAAGCTCTAGTTCTTTTTCGTTTTCTTTGATCTGCACTCGAAGTGTTTCTAATTCTTGTTTCAGTAAGTCTGATTGCGTTGTGTCTTTGACTGCAATACGTGTTGGAAGGACAATACGAATATCACTTTGTCGAGCTGCTTTCCTGATCATTATTAGAGTTGTTCAACATAAGTTTGTTTTACTTACATGCACATGGGACAAGGTGCTTTTGATCCACCCAATTTCTTACTTCTGTCAATGATCCAACGTACAATGCATCTATAACGATCAGTATAGATACATCAGACACATTTTTTTTTTTTTTTTTTTTACTTTTTCCCAAATAAATGGCCACACTTGAGACTAACAAGACAATGATCGCCTTTAGCATCCCAGTTTTCTGAACAAATAGTACAAGCATGGCAATCTTCTTCTGTTTCGAGATCTAACTTGTGTTTCTTATGAGTGTCTGTTACATTCTCTAACTGTAATGACATGAGAAGAAAGAAATTTTTTTAAGAAAAAATTCGTAGCTTATTATTTTTTTTTTATTCGTGTTTCTTGTTCTTTTTCTTATTCTTTTTATCCTTGTGCTTTCGTTTTCGTTTCTTGTCTTTGACAGATAAAGAAGCCATATCAAGAATAGGAGAAGGTATCACACTTGAAGAAAGAGGTGCTGTCATGTTTTCATAATCAGGTGCATCACTATTGTCATCATCACTTGTATCTGAAGACGACTGTATTTCATGACTGGTAGTAGCCATTTTCCCTTTAGCTCGAGTAATACTGTCCATAATGGTATCTGTTTTGTAGACAATAGGCCTTTCTTCTTCTTCTTCACTTTCATCTGCATAGTCATCAATATAGACTGATCTACGTTCAAATGGATCCTCTGGAAACTCTTCTTCTTCTTCAGTCTCATAATCATCAATATCAGGTCCTCGAAAATGATCCATGATTTCTGCTTCATTCTCGGGTATGTCATAAGAAAGTTCACTATGGCTTGCATTACTGTCACTTTGATCTTCTTCGTCATCATCGTCACTTAATGGAATAACTGGATTTCTTTTTCTACGTATGGGCATATCGTCATCATCATCATCACTGTCATTGATTTCAATAGGATTTTGACTAGCACTGGTAGTTGATTCATCTCCACTGAGTACATCATCATGTCTATCAGAATACACAATGGCTTCATCATCACTCACAACAAATCCAGACAGGTTTTCTTCATCTTGTTCATAGTGCGACACATCTGAATCTTCCAAATCTACTCTTTCGCCTTCAAAAGATATTTGGCATCGTTCACAATAGTTCTCTTCATCCAACTCCCAACCACAATTAGAGCAACGATGACTAAGGAGACATCAATACTGAGTGTTGATATGTTGGTACTTACATGACACCATCTTGATCTACATCGCGAATCAGACTGGCCTGATTCTCTATAGGAAATAAATCAACCCAATGTTGACGCGATAGTCTTTCTACAGGTTTTGAATTATCTAGTGCCTTGAATATATCAGCTAATGGAGAGAATTGAGTATAAAGCGTTTAATGTGGATCGTACATACATAGTTTTTGAATAATGTTCACATGGACTGGTTGTCGCATCACAGGTATTCTACAGATAGGACATACTTTTTTTGTTGGAAGCCACTGAAGGATACAGACACCACAGAATGCATGGCCTAATCAAAAAAAATCAGTTTGAATTTTGTTGACGTAAGATTAGATCTTACCACACACAAGTACATGAGGATCGTCAATCACACCTGTACAAATAGTACAGTGAAGTTCTATACACAATATCAGTGATATGATCTCAATAGGCTATGCTTGCCTTCTTTGATTTTTGTAATCTGATTTAAAAGATCTTGATGAGAAGCCATAAATGAAGATAAAAATAAGCAAAAACGCTTTTTTTTTTTTTTTTTTTTTTTTTTTTTTGTAATGACTGCTCAGTCGCATAGTCAATATTAAAATACCGCTCATGGCTGTTTATTTTTTTTTTACATGAGTTAATGTCGTGTTCTTCTTGAGCTTGTACGTGAATTCACACTATGATCGACTGAAGTAGCAGAAGAAATAGGGTAGTGTTTTCTGTTTTGTTTTGTATTATTCATATATCTTGATTGAAATTGTGGTTGAGGGGACATCATCATGGGTGGTTGTGGCATGAATTGAGGATTGAACATCATGGGCGACGGTGGTGGCAACATGCGTGGGTCCATCATGGGCATCATACGAGGATCCATCATTGGCATCATCATGGGCATCATACCGGGATGAAAAGCAGGCTGCATATACTATAATAAGGTCAATTAACTATGTACATTTATCTATCAATCTATCTATCTTACCTGTTGCTGCATCATTCTGTGTTGTCCCATCAGCATACGTTCATCCATAAAATGACGCGTCCGTCTTTCATGCTCTTCTCTTTCAGATATCATGCCTAATAAGCCTGTACGAGGTACTGGTTGTTTCTTAAAGGAAGGAGAAGCCACTTGTACTAAAGATTGACCTGTATTTCTTGCTTGATTCTCTAGTTTCTTGGCTAATGGACCTGTGGTTGCTTGTTGTTGATGATATTGATCTAATAGACTATGTTGTGCAAACAATGGCATATTGTCATCATCATCATCGTTGTCATCTGGCACCATACGAGCATCCACAGAAGATGATTCCCAATGTGTATTGACAGAAGCAGCAGAGCCAAACATGGGGGAAGAAAGAGGCATCATAGAATTACTTCTTGGTTGTGCATAAAATGGCTTTTTGTAAGATGTTTCTTTAGGTTCACTAAACAAGCTCTGTGTTTCGCTCAAGACAGCATTCATGAAATCATCGTCAATATCTGTGGACAAGGTGAGTTTGGTAGGAGAGACTTCAGAGACTTCAGAACCTGATTTCGAAGTATTGGGTGTCATGGGCTTCATTTGTTGAGTGACTGGTAGTGTAGGGACAGAAGGCTTCTTGAGTTGATACAGAGAAGCATCGTCACTATCACTTTCTTCTTGTTCTTGTTCTTGTTCTTCTTCTTCTTCTTCTTCAGAGTCACTTGCATATGTCACTTGTCGAAGATGTGTTGGGTTATTTTTGACAGGCAAGTCATGTTGTATATCTTGCTGTATATCTGGCTGTATATCTGGCTGTATATCTGGCTGTATATCTGGCTGTATATCTTGTTGCATGTCTTGCTGTATATCTTGTATCATACTATCCATCATGTCTTCAATAGTTTCTTCATTCATGTCTTCAATAGCTTCTTTGTTGGTGTCTTTAATAGTTTCTTCATTCGTCTCTTCTACTGCTGTCTTTTCTTCTTGTTGGATAGGTGGAATACCACGTATCACTTTATCCAATAATATCTTTGTAAATTCCTTCTTGTTACCCAATAATATGGTTCCATAACTGACATCAACATCGCTTACTTCTGAAGGGTCAAGAAACAACCTTGTATGACACATCTCTGCAAAATTCAATGCACGCGGGTTATTAGGATCATCCCAGACTGTTTCTGGTCTACCATACAACCGAAAAGCATCAAATACACCCACTAACCACCTCACTAGATCATTGGTGTTTGAAGTCATGATTAAAGCACTACAAGACTGGCTGACAAGCTGCATATCATGACTATTGGGTTTCTTCTTCAGCAGACTACCCTCTATTTTAAACAACGTGGCCACGTTGATCAATTTCGGCGATTCTGGATAGACAGTATAGGCTTGTACGACATTTTCCAATGTCATCATAGGGTATTTTGCTTTTCTGGATTCGAAAAACATGATGTGTCCATTGGTAGGCACTGTCTTTTTATTAAACAGACGCTTCTGGATCTTGCGATTCGAGACGACAGCCCAACATGTCTTCCAGCCTGTACTGCCTGGAAATCTGACTTGAACACTGCCTTCTGTTGATGTAGCGCGAGTCATGAACAGTGGATCGAATTGAGGTCGAGAAATAAATGCCTTGGTGTAGATTTCTTGAATACGAGCACATTCAAAACAAGACAGTCGAATGGCTCTGATCCATTCAAACAGTGCTGGCTCGTCCTCAGCTTGACATAGAAATCGATTGGCACCTGCTGAATTTAAAGAAAACAAATGAGGTCTTGTTTCTGCTGTCAATCGATTCTCATGATGTACAGTGGCATCAGTGATATTAATGTACTGAGGATACACCTCACCCTGTGTTTCTGCATCCCACAAAGTCAAGACTGGTCCACACAACTCAACATACCAACGTGTCCATGCTTTTGTACCACATGAAGACCCATTGGTATTCAAATCGTTTCGTTTATAGAGATAGCCCTCCATGTACACTTTGTCTGTATAGGCTTGAAGAAGTTGATGGACATGGCTGAATTCAAGCATAGGTGTATGGTCTGCATAGGATTTTTGTGGTTTAATGAATCGAGCAGGACGCTTTTGTAATGAACTGACTTGAACGAAATTACGCACTGAAATAGGCCTATCTTGAACATCGTCATGAGAAGAAGAGTGCCAATTGGGCTGATCAAGGCCGTATTTTTCTAAATATAGTAATTGAGAACGTCTACGGGTTGCCATGGAAACTTTTCGACGTACGGGTCGAGAACGCTGGGTATAATCGGTTGACTGGCTCATATTATCTGAATCGATAGACATGTGGCTATGGTTTTGAGTACTATTTGCACTGAACCGTTTTTTGTTGTTGGTGTGTTTATAACTTGTCATGACAACGATGAGCAATAAATTATCTATGATATAATATAAAAAAAAAAAGAGAGAGAGAAAAAAAGAAATAGTTGTACAAGAGAAATAATATATAGAAAATAGTCAGGTGAGTTGAAAAAAAAAAAAGAAAAAAAATAGGGAGTGCGTATCTTACCTTATTTTCAAGAAAACAACAAATAAATCATATCATCTTGTTGTCATGACATCTTTATAAAGCAATGAACAAGATGTTTACCACACATACTTGCACGTGACTATTTCTTCTTTGTAATTACTTACTTCATTTGTAACAACAGCGTTCATTAAATTCATCATAGTGGCTTGTCATTGAGCCGAGAAAACAGTTTAAGGAAGGGGTGAGGTCAATGCATTCAATACCAAGGTTCATTTTATTTTGACAGGCTTAAAAAATGTGTGTATGTGGAGAATTGTATTCCATAGCTCAATGGATTTTCAGGTTTAAGGTACAAATAAAAATGAAACCTGTCCATTATCCATGGAGCAAGCACATCTGTGTGTGTCCTATATATTAGATTTACATTCAAACTGCATCCAAGGACATGGGTAGAACAGGACTGGATAGTAATTGGATGTTGTTGAAATTGTTATTCAGAACAATGACCCATTTGTGGAATAAAAATAGATAATTTCTTTAGTTTGGCATGTGGGCTGGCAATGACAGCAGTCATTAATGTTGAATTTTTAATGGCAGCAGAGAGAGAGAAAAAAAAAGAGGATTTTAAAATAGAGACAGAAAAATAGTAGTAACAATACACTTGCCATCTTTATATTTGGTAAACTAGACACAGATTCAAAGATTTATGAAGGAAAAGTTCTGGACTATACAAGACACACTCGTTTAGATTTTGAAAACTATATATATCAATTCAGGAGAACGAAAAACCATCTTGCAATATGACAGCTTAAAATATATAAGCAGAAACAAGAACAATGAATAAAATACTAGAGTCAGTAAAGGGGAGTGCAAAAGGAAGCAAAGTAAAGGTCAAGAAAGCGTGGGATCATATAAAAAAAAAACTTGTCAATCCAAGTCTATTTAAACTCTCATTTCTTCTCAATGTAAACTTTCTTTCTGTTTTTTTTTGATGCATCAAGATGTTCTTAGATCCACAAGTATAGACATAATTCTACACTCTAGTCATTTAAAGCAATTTCTAACCGGTATATTTCTCTAGAGTAAGTAACACTGACATTTGTACTACGGCGAGCTTTATCAAATTTTTTTTCTTATTGGCTACACAGAAAGCAAATCAAGTTCTTAAAAAATGCTTGTCTTGTTAAACACAATAAAAGTCATTGATTTAAGTACTTTTCCCAGAAAATAAATGATGGAACTGTATACCTAAAAGTCATTTTAGCAATGATAAGTGCCCATAAATAAACGCCATGCATGCTATGCATACATGTAAGCATATACAATGGCTATGCTTGCACCTCCGCATAAATGCCACGAGTTTGCTATCCTACTTGATACTAAAGTAAGAAAAAATTCTTGATTGTAAACTATGTTCTATCACCATCTGATAAGGCTTGATTGCGATATATCTTTGTTTTTGTATCTAATAAAAACAAAAGCAGAGACAGTGCCAATACCATTTTCTTTTAAAAAAAAAGACAAGTTTTAAGCATATTTCTGTAAGCAGTATCATCTTAAAAAAATGATACAAAAGAAAAGTATCAGCAACTTTGATCTTTTATGATTTTTAGTAAAAAGGTATTTCTTTATTGAATTCCACAATAATAAATGGTATGCCTATAGTCTATTGGAATTTAAGAAGGTCTATAAAAGCCAACAGATTGCCAGTGAGATAAGAATTTGGTAAACAAGCTTGCATCGAGAACAGGAGAGTCATTGATGACAGGAGCCAAAGAACTTGTCTTTTCAGTCTTCCATACAGGCATCTTAAAAGGATTCTTAAAGCTAGCTTCATAAAAAGACATGAGGCGGTAGCAAGGGTTGGATTGATCTTTAGCAAGTAGTTCGATCCATTCTTTAGGCTCAACAATGTCAAACTGCATTCCAGAAGCCTTCATAGCATCAAGAACATGAGACCAAGTAATAAGACGAGGGTTAACGATATGATAAATGTGCTGGTTTTTTTGAGCAGGAGCATATGCGGTGCGAAGCATGATATCAGTGATAGTAGTGGCAGCATAGTCAACACTAATCCAGTCAATATCAGTTTCCAACTTGGGCATCTTCTTCATCATAGCACCACCTCCAATAAACATTAGAGGGTATTGTTCAGACGTGTTCCATACACCATGCTTAGAGTCACCACAAACTTGGCCTAGACGCTCAACGTAACAAGGGAAGTTCTTTTCAGTAGTCAAATAATCAAAGAGCTTTTCCACAACAAACTTAGAATGAGCATAACCCATTGGCATACAGACATGAGCATCCAAAGGCAATGGTTCTTCGTTGACTTGATCCCCAACAGCAGCACTTGCAGAGACACTTGAGATAAAATGAACATGCATAGGATTGATTTCATGATAGGCAAACTTCAAGAGATTGTAAAAGGGAGCAATGCATTCCTTGTCATAATGGTCAACAGGCATGTTAAAGTCGAGTAACCAAGCACAATGTTGGACGATAGTGACCTCATTTCTAAGTTGGTTGTAAAGCTCTTGTCCAAAACCGAGAAAAGGCTCATTGAATTTCATAGGCAAAACTTCAACGCGATCTGTATTCAAAAGTGAAGTATCAAGTAAACGAGATCTAAAAGCATCCAAAAGACGTTGTTCTAACTGTTCCTGCTTGCCACGAACACAACAATACACTTTCTTGACACTTGAGTCCTTTAGTAAATCATGCAGCATAAAAGCACCAAGCGAGCCTGTAACACCAGTCAAAAGAACGACTTTCTCCTTCTTTTCATCGTATTCATTGCGAGCAATAGGGAAATCGTGTTTGGCTTTCTTTGTATAAGCCATTGCTAAATCTTGTGTTTGTTGATAACGTCTTTCAGACTGCTCAGAAATGTCTTCTGTTTCATCACCTAAAAGAGCTTCGCGCATAGAAATGACACTGGGATGCTGAAACAAAAAGTTCTGAGGTACATTCTCAAAATACTGAGCAATTTCGTTACGAAGTTGAATTGAGGTAAGAGAGTTGAGACCAAGATCAAAAAGAGATTGCGTAGGGTCACTGAATTGAGTTTTTTCCATACCAAGCACTTTGGCAGCACTAGTGATCAAGAAGTCTTCTGTTTGCTCGGGTGTCCATGTAGATGTATCAACATTAGATTTGTCTGTATTGGGAGAAGGACCTTCCAAGAAATCCTTATAAAGTTTTTCAACCTCGTCCTTATAGATCTGTTCAGCAAGTTTGCGCTTGACAGTGCCTTTATCAGTAGATGGCAATGACTTGTTAAAAGGTAAAATCTTGATCATTTGGGGAAGAACTTTGCTGTGACTAGGACATTCAACATTGGCCTGCTTGACAACCTCGTGAATACCAGCAATGATTGCATCAGGACTAAAGTTCAAAGCATATTCAGTATTGATTTCAACCAGAGCAGCAGTACATTGCCGACCTTGACCAAGGACAGCAGCTTGATACACAAAAGGACTTTGGCGGATTGCAGCTTCCATAGGAACAGGGTTAGTCTTTTCACCATTCTCCATAATGAGAGTATCATCGCGACGGCCTAGATAGATGTAGTAACCAGGAGCTTCAGGGTTTTCCTTGAATAGATCATTTGTGCTGTAGCCACCATCTGGGCGATTGCCTACGTTACTAGCCAAGTTGGGACTATCACAACGGAAATAGAGATGCTTCACATCAGGTTCTGAAGGATCACATGTTTCAAAAACACCACAATAATCACCCTGTGCGTTTTTCTGATAAATCCTAAGAGAGCTCCATGTATTGCCTTGAGATGAAGCATCGGATACCATGCTACAGCCTGTTTCGGTTGTACCATATCCACTACATATGTTCATACCCTTTTTACGGAGCCATTCCCCAGATTCTTGTTTAAGAGCAGCACCACCATACAAGACCAATTTGAGACGTCGGATTGCACTGAAATCGTTTGATTCTTTCAAGAAAGGAATCATTTGTTCAAAAATAAGAGGAGGTGCACACATGATAGTTACATTGTTGCTTTTTAAGGCAAAGTTGATATCTGATTGAGAAGCAGGAAGCTTTTCCATGAATACTACGCTACCACCAAAGATACTTATACTAAAATGAGCAAAGACACCAAAGATATGGAATCTTTTTTTAAGAGAGAGAGTCATAAGTACACCAGTCTTTTCAAGAGAAATATGAATACTTACAAAGGCCCACAAGAAAGCATAACATCCTTATGAGACAAGGGAATAGGACCAAGAAATTCAAAGATTGAGATCAGCAAATGTATCAAGTAGCGATTACTGAGATAAATTGGCTTGGGAAATGAAGTTGTGCCAGAACTATCCTTAAATAAGTATTTGGTATTTAAAAAACTATATAATTTACCTATGAATAATCAAAGCATCCTTGTTGATATCATCATCAGAAAATTCAATAGAAAGAAGATGTTCATGATCTGGATTGAGAGGTTCATCAAGAAGATCTTCAATATCAAGAGGCTGGATAACAACGAGTTCAATTCCACCAATTTGATCAATAGCCTTCTGTGTAATATCACCATACTTGCTATCAGCAATAATGAATTTGGATTGGGTTTTTTCTAACAGGTTGACAATAGCAGCTTCAGAATTACGAGGAGAAATAGCCATCATGGTTCGGCGCAGTTTTAATAAGGCCATCATAACGATCAAGTAACTTATGGTATGTTCGCTGACATAAGCAATCACCTCAGTAGTTCTTGCAAATTTCTCCCATTTGCAAGCCAAATTGGTAGCCAGATGGTCGACCTGAGCATATGTCAAGGTTTTGTAGGACTTGTCTTTTGAAAGATAACGAGCAAACACTTTATCTGCATGTTGTTTTGTTTGATTGTTCAAAAAGTTTACAAGTGCTTTAAAATGTTCAGTCATGAATTGACCAGAAGTATAATCAATTTTTGTACTAGTAGTCATTCTTTGTTTAATGAATCAAATGCTACTAATGGCAGAAATAAGTGCATTTATATAGTTTTTTTTTTGGCCATCTATCTAATAAATTGATTTACGTCAAAGATATTTTTAACTCAGCAATAGCATTTGACGGTTAAACTTTTAAGTATGATGATTAAGATAAACGCATACACTACCCACAAAAGAGAAATAAATTGTCTCAAAGCTTAAGGGCTTTCCAAGATATGTACATAACATCAAGAGGATAAAGAACACCTACACTTTATTGAACAGAAGGCTATTACTGCTACAAATACCAAATTGCCATATATGTACATGAAATATGGTCACCAAGGTAGCTACTCATGAATTTACATTTCAGACAGAGAAAAAATTGTTTTTGAAACAATTTGCTTCTTGGCTTGTATGTTTTGTAATGACTGCGTCGTAATTTTTCCTGAACTAGATAATTTGCCTTAACTTTTCTACCGAATGATTCATGCTTTAGACCCTTATTTCGGGGATAAACTATTTTTCCTTTTGAGTACGAGTACTAAACATACCTGAAAGCTTCGGTAAAATAGTTTTCATGTTGAAGTTTGTAGCTCATTTCAAACATATTCACCTCCTTCTCTGAACATACAGCTACATTGGTGAAATCTGTTTGGTTTATTGAACAGTATATTATCCTGTAAAGAACTACTTATAGCATTGAAATATAAGATCAGACAACTTTTTCAATTGAAATTTAAATAAAGTAGTTAGAAGTAAACAGTAATGACCTAATCTTAGCTACGACACACACATAAATAAGTTTATGCGAAACAAGCAACTATTTGTATAGTCAATAGTACTTGAAAAACAATTCTAGCGAGAACCTTTTAATATACACTATCATATTTATCCGCTTTTCGTCATTTTTTTTATTGCAATATACTCAAAGGCAAAGCATAATTCACTCACATGATTAGTGCTTGAACATGGCCATACTTGTTCGTCGTTCATGTACTTGAATTCCGACCATTGAAGCAAATACTCGAATAACATCTGTTAATGATACAACTCCGATTGCATTTTGATGTTCATCCACTACCCAGACACGATGTGCTTTTGTTGCAAGAAGTTTAGCAATAGTAAAGCCTAATGAAGTATCCTTCTTGACATCAAATACTGGAAGTCGATCCTACAAATAGGAGTAAATAATCAGACACACACACACATACACACGTATTTGTATTTACTTGTCCATCAATTATTCCTTGTTGAGTTCGAATATGGCTTACGAATTGTAGACATGTTTTCCACAACAAGCGATGGGTATACCCTTTCATTACATGCTGTTTATATTTGCTTAATTTATAGAGTCTAGTCAAAAAATATCATACCTTGACATCTGTCATGCTAATGTTGCCAAGTACTTCTTTTCCGTTTCGAAGTACAGCAACTGAAGATATACCATTTGAACCTATTATCCTGGTGAGCATAAAGATGGTTCGATACAATAACTTATTTATCCATACTCATCACAGAAAGAGCATCGAGTACATTTGAATCAGCGTCAACTCCAATGACAGAGTTGTCTCCAAGCTTCAGTTCTCGAATCTTTAAAAAATAAAACAAAGCTATTATTTCTGAGCGATCAGTTGCACAAGTCTACTTACTGTTTTGTTCATAACGTGATCTATCTGAGGAAACTGCTTTCTGTTCTCAAACAGATATTTTACTACAGTAGATTGCGAAAGAATACCATCAATTTCGCCGTCGGGTTTAAGAATGCTAACTGCACACATAATTATGTTAGTCTGATAAGCTTTTCTCATAGAGTTGATTACCTCTGTGAGTGCCGTGAGCAAATACTTCTACAGCAGATAAAAGAGTGGCTTCTTTTAAAATAGAGTAAAAGGGATTTTTTCGAGATAAATCTAGAAATAGATTAGAAAGACCATTTAATTCTAGATAGACAAAGCAGAAAACTTACCACTTGCCATGCCCACGGGTACTTTTTGACCTTTCAGTGCTCTTTGAACTATATCTTTAATTTCAAATGATTCGGGATCAATCTCATCATTGCTGTCTTTTTGTCCGGGCTTGAGATGTAGTACTAATAAAATATATGCAATCACATCACCATAATCAAACATGCCAATGTAGTGTCCTTTCTCCCCATTAGCATAGACAGGAGCAGAAGATATGTTGCTTTCAACAAGTATTTGGCATGCTTCTTCAACAGACATATTGCCATCACTAATAGTGTAAACAAAGGCCTGCTTTTAAGAAAACTTACATTTGAATAACTTTCTGGTTCTTGATAAGACTGGATACTGGCATCATTGTCCAGTCTTTTATGCTGGTAGTAACACCTTCTCTATGAGACATCGTTTTAATATTGTTATAAGAGAAAGAAAGTAAGAAGGAAAAAAAAAAGCAAAATTCTGATTTTTTTCTTCTCGATTAAAGCTCAGTTTTGCATGACATATTCATTTGATTGGTGCGTTTGTATATGAGCTCATTTTATTTTTACTCGGTGAAATGTGCTACTGCAATGCATTTTTCCTAAAGATAGATCTGCAGCGACGGCTGGAAGCAAAATGATACGCAACGTATAAACCTGATGCTATATGTCATAATTGTCTATATTGCACACCATGAAGTATCATATTTATACACTCAATTAAGATATGTCATTATAAATAAACGAGTTTATGCTTCAGAGCTAACAGTATAAGCGCCTTTATATCTGAAGCTTTTTAAACGAATAGAATCACTTGATTATAATGCTGTCGTTGTTCTGTCATTTATTCCTTGGATTCTGATGCTTTTGTCTACTCTGTGGGATCACTTAGATAATTTAATTACCATGCAACATGTGTTTTGCTGTGTTTTTCAATAAAATCATTCACAAATGTTTCTAAATGAACAATAACCCCTCTCTAAATGACCAATAGATTCTTGTTACTTCTGCTGACCATAACCAAATTCACAATTTACATCTATCAATATAATGATCAGCTAAAAAGCTTCATTCTCAAGGCAAAATTCCCTTTTCACAGCCAAATTGCTCTGTTTTTAGTACTTTATGGAGCAGACCGCTCGTTTTTCATAGGTTCTATGACATCACACTATTTGAACATGTATTAAGAGTGTATTGACTATCTAAAAATTGCTTCTATAGCACTTTTTGTCTCTGAAGGTGTTTTTGAATATCCCATGAGCGACGTCTTACTTAAAAATCAGGTTATTGCTAAAAAGAAGCTCAAAATGAAATCAGACTGACATGATGCCTCAAGTAAAGTAGTCAATTTTAGCCTATAGAATCCAAAAATACAACAAAAACACGCTGTCTACTAGGGCGTTTTTAATCTAACGCGTAAAATAGTATATATCGTTTTATACGTGTTGTGCATACTTTTTATATACCTTTTTCAGTTTTAACACTTGGAGTATATTTATTAATGCTAGAAAATCATTTTTTGCTATAGTTTCTAAAGCTATTACCAGGTAGTTACTCATAGAGAAAATATTTTGTATTTTCTGATATTTTATTTAGTCCTAAAACGAGAAATTTGTAACCTAGCTTATCCGAATTTGGGGCATTGATTAGATTTTTTTTCATTTAACTATCGTATTTTTTAATGCAAATCATTGTGTTTGCCACTAAACTTAGATGATATGAAATAGCGCTGCATAAATTGTGTTTTTAGTACTGACCTCCAACCTAATTGTTGTCGATCTATAGATCAATTCATCATTGGCGCAAATGCATTTGTTTAACGTCATTTTCGGCATTTGTGTTTCGGCGTCTAAATACTATCATGCTGTATATCTATTTTTTTTTTTATATATATCAGCCCACAATCAACAAAAACAAACATCGATTTGTTCTTCATTGATAGATGGCATCATTCTAATAGATGTATAATAATGACAATAGTATGTTGAATTGACAGCAAGGAAGAATACGTTTTTTTTTTTTTTTTATTTAGCTTTATTGCTAATTACAGTAAGCTCATTGTCTACAACAAAAACAAAACTATGTCATGGCGAACTTCCCTTAGTTCCATATGTATATAAAAAAAAAGAATCGTAAAGGGAATAATTCAATATATATGTATATATAACTATTTACAAGCCAAATCCAGTTGTTCCATCTCCAAGCCCTGACAGTTCTCCGTTCTAAAAATACATGTATCAGTTTTACATTTCCGTACAGATTTCATGCTTACGTCAATTGGACAAGCAAAAGAAGCAGATGATGCGATGGTAGGATGCACCGTGATAAAAAGCACTCTGGCTGCAAGCTTAATCGTGTAACTGATGACAATATCTTCAGCCTGACCTCCCGTTAAACCGCACTTTTCTGCAAGATCATTCAAGACAGATTGGTCGGTATCCAAGGTTGGATTGTACTCAATCGCAAAAGGAAATGTGAAATTGAAATTACTGTATTTTGGTAAGTATTGCGAGTCCATATATCCTCCACCAATTCGTGTGTTCCCTCCGCGCTTATTTGGATAATATGCCTAATTGGAAAGATAAAAAAAAAAAAAAAAAATAAGAGTTACACAGGATTCTATAGACAGCAAGTCTAGACTTACAGTAGCGTCAAGATTTGATAGTTGAATGCCAAGTAAATTTGGATTATTGACTTTAACAATTAGGCCAAAATTGATATTGATGCTATTTCCAGAAAAGCTAATCTGAGAGCCTGTTGTTGAAGTGCTCGATATGCCTGCCAAGTCAACAGTAGGCATCACAAATGTGGCTGCTATACTTCCAATCACAATCACAACAATGATAATCGCGATAATAATAAACCACAGGATACCCGCTGCCCAGGCGGGAATACAAGCACAACACATACACCGAATACAAGCATTTCTTCCTTTCATACGCCTCCTTTTACCCTTTTGTTGTTCTTGCTCAAGTCCGCCATGATCGTGCTCTTCGCCCAATTCAGGTATCTGGTTTCGTTCTAATTTTAACAGAAAAAAAAATGACAGTTTAGATGTGTATCTCTATTTATCTCAAAGGGTTTTGTTATACCATCATCTTTTTCAAATTTCTCAAAATCAGCATGCATGAGTGCTGGATTGACAGTAGGTGTAGGTGAAGGTGACATAGGCATATAGTGCACAGGTAAAGTTGGAGGTGATGTATTGTTACTTGGTAGTGCTGAGATTGGGTATTGTTCTCTTTGATGATAATTTGTATTGGACATATTTACAATGAAATTGAAAAAAAAAAGAGAAATGAAGCAAGAGCAACAGGAGCCTCACAAAAAAAAAAAAAAAAAAAAAAAAATAATAATAATAATAAAGAAGAAAAGATAATGTTATTTTTCTTAGGTTCCCTTTTTTATTTCGGTTTCCGAGCATTCAGTTTTAACCGTTTTCAATCATGATTGAATACCCGATAAACAGATAAAATTATAAATCAACGCTAGCAAAGAGATTAGGATTTCCTTGATAAAGATGAACAACAAGGCGGAAAAACGATAATCGCTCCATGTGTAAATAGCCCGTCAATACATAGGGTACCACAAAAAAATGAGAGGTTAATGCCATGCAAAAAATAGTATACAACCGACCGATCGGGCCGCGAGAGAAAAATTTGTCACTAATGCCAATCAGTAATACTTGAATCACGAAAAAGAAGAACTGAAGACCACAAGCGGGCAAAGGATGTCCTAGATAAGCCTTTGAACCTGTTGCAACCAGAAAGTATTCATGCATCAGACCAGACATAACAAAGACAGAGAGTGCAGGTAGCCAGCGAGGAGGCTTGCAATGGAAAAGAAACATGACGGCTGCCCGAATGGGACGATATCCTAATCTATAAAAGCAATCATTGTAATAGGTATGCCAACGGCGACCCCAAAAATCACGAAGTGAATGAGCTGACCATGGTGAGTCAAAAGGAGGAGGCATATTCAAAGTATCTTCGATATAAGACTTGATAGCACGAATTACACACACTCGCTTCAAGATCATTTTGGCTTTGTGTGTGTTTTTTGCATGTAATTTACCAAGATCTTGCCCCAATTGCCATCTTTCCAAAACAGACATTGTCTTATACAACACACCAAAGCCAATCATACATTCGTCGTATGCTACTTGAAGTTGCATTTGAATATAGACACAAAAAAGCATAGCCATGAGCGTACTCACCAACAGATTGCCCCAGGTCAAAGGTTCAGTAGGTGCCAGCATGTCTGCTTTTTCCTTTTGACCCAAAAAGGCAAACAGGTTTGACAAGACAGCAGAAAAAACTCGTACGATGCGCTGTGCGTCTCCTAAATGAATTACAACGTCTGCTGCATCAAAATAAAATTGGTGCTTGACAAATTTCCATATTAGATGGCGCAAATGAATATCCACATGGTCTGTAGTTGGGCATGATTTTATTTCTTCTGTAGTGGGTGGATCATTACTGCGCTTTCGCCAGTCCAACATGGTCATATAAAACGGACGCTGTCTTCTTTCTTCCATAGACATGCTAAATAGCCATACACCCATTTTCATTGAGCTGGCCCATGTCCATACAGCTGTAGACATGAGACAAATGTATGGAAGACGTCCTGCATAATAAATTGGAATAGATAGCCCTGTCATCCATAAAAGCGCAAGGACAGATTCTTGAAGGATGTTCTTGTTTTTGACTGGAAGTGATAATAACATGAACACAAAACTAGGTGTCATTGCTGTCAAGACATAGCTCGATATGTTCATAGGATAATTCGTCATTGTCTCTCTTTATTTTCTATGGAAAAGAGATTTTCATTAAATATGTACAGCGAATGTTGATATATTAAAAAAAAAAAAAAAAAAAAGAAAAAAAAAAAGAGCAAAAGATGTCGCTAGGCTTTTTCAAAATCCGGTTACTTTTTCTCCGGTTAAATTAAAAGGCTATAGTTTCAACTTGAATGGGGTCTCCTTAAAAACATGTAACGTTGCTTTAATTAAACCAGTTGCTGCATTTATCATGAAAGAGGCCAGGTCCCTTATTTTTTCAGCAGCATGTTTGTTACACAACCTTAGCTTTTGTTTTGTTGTACCTGTAAACATTGAACATTTGATACTTTTTGTGATCAAGTCATAAGCTTATCTCACAAGAACAAGTTCTAAAATAAGAGTAGTCAACCATTTATCTTTAAACAAAAGTGCAAATAATAATAATGCGTTAAATATGTAATGTGAAGTGTATGTGTAAATAAAATGTAAGAAGAAAGTATTAAAAAAAAAAAAAAGGAACCTTTGTACATTATGTAATAAAAGAAGTTATGAGCTGCTTTTGCCTAATAATAGATTTCTTGCTTCTTCTTCCATGGTTTGCTTTGTCTTTTCGTCTAGATTCTTTGACCAGCCTGTGGTCGAAGATTCTACCCATTCTTGCCATTTTGGATTAGAGGGATTGGTGTTATTTGAACTAGGGCGAACAAACACATCTTCTGAACCTACAATGTAGTACATATGATATGTGTCTTGATCAATCTTGTATTGAAGTCTTGAACGAACAAAAATCTTGTTCAAATGTTCGTCTTGAGGTCTCAAGTTACTAATATATATAAAAAAAGTCAGTTATGCATTTCTCTTAAAAAATATAGATCTTACCGAGTAAGGAATGTAGGCTTCATACTAGACGCATCAATGCCTTCTGTCGTGTTTACCCAATCCATATAACTGGCTACGTAGTCTTCATATCTATCTTCTGCTGTAGGCTCCAGCATATAATCGTCTTTGCCAATAAGTTGAATAGTCATGTTTCTAGCCTGGTTATCCTACGCCATGTTAGTCTGGATACATGATTGTGTTCCATAGACTTACAAAGTTGATTTTGTATAGATTTTCATCAGATCCTATGATATCTTCAGCCTTTAAGCGATAGACAGATAAGGTCCTAGGTGACATGGATTCGAGTCCTTTATCACTGCGGAAAAGACGAATCAGTTCAACTGACTTGGGATCAACAGTGATGGCTTGAATCTATTACCGTCATGAATAAACATACACTCCAACAAAAGATTTACCTGCTTCACCATGGAATGCACAAGCTTATCAATTGTAAAGATGAGATAAGCATCTGTGACAAACACATAACGTGTGTGTTCTTCAAACACTTGTTGATCAATGTCACCATCAAAGAAACGATCAATCAATTCCAAGACAGCATGGTAATAGCCTTTACTCAAATCGATTTCTAATAATAGTAATAAATATCATCTTCTTTAGTTTAGGTTTTACCTTCAAAACGATTGTTGTACAAGCCAAGATCACGGGCAACCTTATTGACACGCTTGCCCATATGTGGATTCGCTTGCATCTCCGCATCCAACGTTCGAAGCTTATTGAGTCTATGATACAACATCTAACACATCATCAACCTCTATCAATCCATAGAAGATGACTTACCTCATAAAGTCTAAAGAAACAATAAAATGTTGTGTTACAGAAAAAGCTATACAAGATTCTCTTCTTTACGCCTGGTGCAACAGCAGTTGCTGCAGCAGCAAACAATTTATCTCCTGCAGGTTCTTCTTGTGGGTTGGATCTTGTAGACTCTTCTGGCTTGGATGGCTCTTGGTCTTCTGTGTTGAGAACAGCATCGCTTTGTTGCTCTTCATGAGAAGGAGCTACATGTTCTTCAGATTGGTTGATTTCATCTAAAGCATTTTGATTCTTTGTCAACACATCACGCAATAAATCCATCGTATGCTCATCTTCATGATGATGGCGAGAACTTCTACCCATTCTACGACGTGAGGGTGACATGGTACGCTTATCGGGTGATTGACCCAGATCAGATTCGGATTCTTCTGTGTTTGTTGAGTGATTATCGTCATCCTCTTCAGCCAATTCTTCATTTTCAGCCTCACTTGCATACTGCATTCCTTCAGGCACTACATTCTCCACTTGGAAACAAAGAGGAATAAACGTCTGAACAAACGTACGGATCTTTTCACGATCACTGCCAGTGTAGCCTGATTGACGATCAATGAACGAATAAATAACACGCGTGACATCCTTAAAGACTTCAGGTTCCTCAAAGGGAAATTTGAACTGATAGCTTTCTCTGCTATGAGTTGCCTTGACATCGTTTCGCTTGAGCTTCTTTTCATGATGCAAGAGTTCAATTTCACTCACAAGGCCCTTGGGTGCCATGGCCTTACGATCATTGCTCTTGAACGTGATGCCTTGATAGTCTAATGCGCGGTAAAAGTTTTTAGCGTCCATTTCACGCCAAATCTTGTTCCATTCACGTTGAGCGCGTTTCCATTCTTCGTCCTTTTGCTTCAGTCTCTTTAACAAGATAGGCACCACCTGTGCAGGGTTAGAATAGAGCAACTCAATGATTTCTGCACCGCGTTCTTTATCATAGATCTTTTTGATGATGCGCTCATAGATAGAGACAGATTGACCACCGAGTCCAGGGCGTAATCTGAAATTGGCCTTTTCTTCCAATGTCATGTTCTCAATACGATGCGCAATAGGCTCAAGCAAAGCAATCACGTTCAGGTTGGCATCAATGTTCATGTTGTAGTCATAGCGCTCTTCTTCACAGCGATGCATGCCTTCTTCGTACTGACTCTTTCTGGAAGCAACAAAACCATCGTCCTCACTGGCCCAGATAGGATGGGACACATACTCATCGTTCAGTACTTCCCAAGCAATTTGGTCTCGACCAGAACATGGCTGTGATTGCCAATTCTTAGGCACAACACGATAACTAGGCGAATCGACCGTGGCTTTGCAGTGAGCAAGGTCGGGTTTGGGTATAGTGGGTACAGGTTTTTCGATAGGATGGTCTTTGGGTTCGTATCCAACAATGCTCTTGAACCATTCAAACAGTTCCTTGTTGCTGCCGATGAAAATAGCAACTTGTTCCACAAGTGTCTTGAGGTCAAAGATTTGCTGTGTGTATAGATTCAATGTCTTTAAGAATTCTTCATAAGAAGGCTTGTTGCCAATGTGTTTGCGAATACGGTCAAACAGCTCAATTTCTTCAGCAGAGACAGAAGGGCGTACAGGATCAAAAGGCGAACTAGGATAGCTGTATGGATCACGCAAACTACTGGGTACATCGCCGTTTTCTTTTTGATACAACTTGGTTTTCTTGGTTGTGGTCTGTATATATATATATATATATAGATATATGTAAGTGCCTCATTTGTTTATCTAGGTTATACGTACAGCATTTGTGCGCTTCTTTTTACCAGGTGGAAGCATAGCATGTGGTGGTGGTGTGCCCATCGCACTACGCTTAGATCCACTATAATACGTGGGTGAGATTGTATCAAATAAAGCACTTGCCGGTTGACCAGTAATATCAGGCAAAAATTGCTTAAATTCATCCAATAGATCAGGTGCACCATTAAACAAATATTGAACATGGGCATACACCTAAAAATCAACAGTCAATATACACCCTGCATTCTTTGGCTTACCTCTTGAATAGGCTTTTGATCTTTTTGATACGTTTGAAGGATTTCCAAGAACTGTTTATAGATATCTGGTTCATTGGCAAAACGATTCTAACAATAAAAAAAAAAAAGAGGGAGATAAGCAACATGGTTTACATAGATGCCCATTACTTACTTTGATTTTGTTCACATAATTAATCGCATGATTGAATTCAACAGGTGAACGTTTTTCACCATTAGATTGTGTAGGACTATGATGAAGAGGTGCTTGTGGTGGTGGAGGAGGAGGAGGAAGAGGAAGAGGTTGAGAACGATTCATGCCAGAGGGAGGCACAGAAGATGATGATGGCGGTGGTGGTGGATGATACATGGGTTGACTCATCATAGGTTGTTGAGGTGGCATGGAATGGATTGGGTGACCAGCAGACGCGACTTGCATCGGTGGTGCATGATGCATGTGGCTATATGAGTAATAGGGTTGTGGAGGTGGGTGATGTATAGAGGGATGGCCGTGCATGCTACTAGAGTTTTCGGGGTCCATGGCATACATGCGATTTGAGCCACCTGTGGTGGTGGTGACACCACTTGGTGTTGTAACAGTAATCAAGTCAGGCTCACGAGGATCTGTAGAACATTCAATACGATAACCGGGCGGAAGGAACGTGTTAAATCCCGAAATGAGTGTAGGATGACCTTTAAATAAAGTAGATACGCGTTCAATGACGCCTGGTGTATCAATCCTATGGAACGCGTTAAATATAAAGAAGAGGCTCTATCACATCAACTTACGCTTGACTTTTGAAGTCTTTCATGATATCTAGAAATCGATTATAGACATCAGGTTGGTCAGAAAACCTTACTTTGACTTGGTCTAGATACGTTAAGGCGTCTCTCACATTCAGTGGTCGATAGCCAGCATTGCCTTGTTGAGAAGAAGGTGACGCAGAGGCAGGTGGGGGAGGAGGAGGATGAGAAGCAGGTGCTGGTGACTGCTGTTGAGTTTGTGGTGGTAGTGGTGGCGGTGGTGGTGGTGCTTGAATAGGTGGAGGTGCACGTACAATACTAGGCCTTCGTTCATTATAAGGTGGTGTTGAAGTACGTGGTGGAGGAATAGGTGGGAGTGTATGGTCGCTAGATAAAGAACTGGCTGGTGGTAGTGTATGATGAGAAGTAAACGAGGGTGAGGAGCTACGAGGGCTCTGTGAAGAAGATAACAGAGGAGGCAATTCTGTTACTCTTGGTGGTGGAGGTAGAGGACCGTTCGCGTTAGGTTGACTACTAGATAAATTGGGTGGTGGAAGATGATGAGCATAGGGCGACGGGGCTGAAACAGGAGGCTGTTGTGAGCCTACAGAAGGTGACCTAGGGAAAAAGTTGTGAGTGGTCTTTATCAGCTAGAAGGCAGTGTTAGATATTTACCGCATATTGGGTGGTGGAGGCTGGATAGGTGAAGACATGACTCTTTCTCTCACTTTCTCACTTTCTTTTTTTTTTCCTAATAATAAAAAAATTACGCAAGATGGTAAAAAAGAAGTTCAAGAGACAAAGGTGTGCGTATAATGAACCACTTTCAACACCTATTGTAGGAGTTTTAAAACTTAAAAGCCATAAGACCCGAACGAGACTGGTTTTCTTTCTGCTGTTGATGTAGGAATAAAAGACGGATGATTTGGTCCTTGGTCTCTCTTAAGCATGTCATTCTTCTTTCTTTCTTTTTTATTCACCACATCATAGGCATGACTTTTGGCTATGATGTCTTATAGTATCTTTAGGAGACTGTCTTATACGGAAAGATGTGGGCAGTTGATGGGTAAGCAATTTACCGAGGACCAATTGAGTGAGTTCCAACATGGACAATTCATTTTTACTAGTCAGTATTTAAACATGTTTTGCCATTGTCAGATAGGGTTCATATATATATATCGATATCAACGTTACAACTTGCCTTTGTTTTCATTTTTTCTCCCCTAAAATATGTCCTCTTCACAACCTGTATTGGAGCCACCTAGTAAATGAATTGCATTACCTGTACGAGTTGAGCCTAAAGTGTTTTTTTTTGCTAATGAAAGAACGTTTCTTTCCTGGCTTAATTTCACTGTTGTATTAGGTGGGCTTGCTATGGGTCTTTTGAACTTTGGGGATCGTATAGGACAATTATCCGCCACCTTATTTACAGTAACAGCCATGTTTGTGATGCTTTATGCACTGTATACATTTCATTGGAGAGCGACCAAAATTAGAAATCGTGAGACAGTCCCGTACGATGATCGCGTAGGTCCTACTGTGCTGTGTATATCCTTGTTCATCGCAGTTGCTTTTAACTTTTATCGTAAGTGTGCATGTCTGTCTGTCTGTCTGCTTATTATTTAGTGCGTATGCATTATTCTCCTGCACAATAAATAATATATATGACAGGTGTCAATTGGTAAATTTTATTCATCGTGTAACACAAAATGAGTCGTAACTTGTCATGAAGACAAACTGTGTTGTTCATGAACATCTTCAAGTGAATAACAAGGTCAAATAGACTTTAAACAACTCATTCTATGGAAGGCATACAGAAAAAAAAAAGAAAGGAAAAGAAATACGCGTTGATGACACTTGAGTGAACCATAGTGCTATCTTTTTTCTCAAAAATAAATAAATTAAAAAGGTCACATCTGCTTTAGTACCCTTCTTTCTTTTCTTTTTTAATCTTTACATGAAGACCATTATCAAGAAGTTGATCCACGATCCTACACAATTCTCACCTGACGATGCAGAAGAAGCTATCAATGCCATCATGTCAGGCACAGCTACACCCAGTCAAATATCTGCTTTCTTGATTTCACTTAAATTACAGCATAAAGACAAAGATCCTCATATCGTGGCTGCCTGTGCAACTGCCATGCGTAGTCATGCACGACTTGTTCCTTATGAAGGTTATGAATCACTCAATGGCCATGTCGTAGATATTGTAGGCACAGGTGGTGATGGACACGACACTTACAATGTGTCTACCACAGCTTCTGTTGTAGCTGCTGGTGCTGGTGCTAAAGTAGCCAAGGTAAGCACAATAAAGTAAAATAAACTAAAAAAAAGGGGAATCTGAATGATGGATTTAGCATGGTAATCGTGCTGCTTCTTCTAAATCTGGATCTGCTGATCTGATGGAAGCCCATGGCTGTCACATTGCCCTTGTTGAACCTGAACAAGTGGCTGGTATTCTCGACCGTACTAATTTCTGCTTCTTGTTCTCTCAAACATACCATCCTGCCATGAAGCATGTGGCTTCTTTGAGAAAAGAAATTGCAGTCCCTACCGTCTTTAATCTGTTGGGTCCTATGAGCAACCCTGCTAAACCAGGACGTGTGGTTGTGGGAGTTCATTCTCCAGAAATTGGTTCTTTAATGGCCAATGCTCTCAAATTAACAGGCGTTCAAGAAGCCTTGGTTGTGTGTGGTACTGAAAAACTAGATGAAATCAGTCCTGCTGGTGAGACCAATGTAAGTGTATTCTGGTGGTGTCTATATATGTATTTGTCTCACCATGCCTTGTAGTACTGGAGAATTCATCCTTCTGGGGAAATCACGACAGGCACTTTACATCCCACACGCGACTTTGGACTCCCTACACATCCTTTAAATCAAGTGAAAGGAGGCGACTGCCATGAAAATGCAGACATCCTCAAGAGACTATTAGACAATGAATTAGAGGAGAATCATCCTATTTTAGACTTTGTCTTGTTAAATGCAGCTGCTTTATTGGTTGTGGCTGGTATTGCTCAAGACTTTAAGGAAGGTGTCCAAAAAGCAAAAGAATCCATTCGTTCAGGCAATGCAAGACATGTATTGGATTCCTTTAGACAAGAGACTTGCAATCAATAAAGCATCATTATTTAAACTGACTTAGACTCAAAGACAATTGTGCACGTGTTGTCGAATTTGGTGCGACACACGCATTGCCTATTGTCTTGACCACGTCCTTTTTTAGGCTGTTTTTCTCGAGTAATAATCTGGTCTTTAGGGACACTATAGACCGAGATATAGTCTCCATTGTCAGGCTATACATATCCCAATAGTGAGGTGTGCGTACAATTAACATGGTCTGTTCTGAATTGATTGAGAGATTGTCTACATGCCAATACTAACCAAAAGAGAGGAATGTGAATCATACGCCATACCAAACAGAACAAACCCTACCTCTGCATGGTCATTCCATTCTACATTGTCAACTCTAACGTGACAAGGAAAGTAAACTTGCATAACACAGATCGACAAGGGTGCTATTTAAAAAGAAAAAAAAAGTTATTTTTAGCACTGACTTAGACATGTTACCTATCCAACTTGTGTCTTGATGATCTAGCCATTCTATTGGATGTAGCTTACTACCCGCATAGACACCTAAATGTTGTATGTCTTGTTCAGAAATATCAGGCAATAGATCAAACCCAAAGAAAAAGTGACTGTCTGTTTGAGCAGTATGGACTGTCTCTGGTAAAAGGTCGAAAGGGAAAAGATGGATTGAATTGTTGGAGCATTGTACTCGAATCCAAACACGACCACGACGTATCCAACCATGACAATGACCCAAATGAAACTCTATCTTTGGCTCCGTTAATTGTATGCTGTCTGTTGATGAATAAGAGGAAGGTGGTATAATAGGTACAAGTTTATGTTGGTTTAGCGTAGGTGTATAGGCTTTTTTTTGTTGAGGATCTTCTCTTAATGCGTTCTGTAGATTGTGTTGTAACATCCACTCTGATTCACGCAACAAGACTTGTTTAGTGGACATCTGGTTTTGAGATCAGTCCATGTATGTCACTCAAGTGATATTACCCTCTGTATCCTATCTTGTTTTTGTTGGTTGCATTCTTTAAGTTGTGTTTGTATTATTTGCAGTGTATTTTTGAGTTGATCCATTCCTCTTATAAAAAAAAAAAAAAAAAAGAGAGAGTAGGGATTTGAAATCACCTGAGTAAAATAAAAAATAAAATATATTGTATTGTTCATTACTTGGCAAAATAAGGCCAAGAAATTAATATGATGAATCAATATTCTTTAGATTCATTTCTATATAAATATATACATATAGAAAATAGCTTGAATTCATGTCTTTCTTATATTCAATCGTATAGAATCCAGTTGCTTAAGACTGGTTTTGTTTATAATAACTATAATTGCCTTTTTGGTATCTTAACTCGTTGATCGTTTTGGAGTCTAAATTTGTTCATAATCATGATGTGGTGACACAATATGATTGGCTATTTAAATTAAGGTCTGGATAAGCTACAGTCTGTGCTACTTTTTATATTTATTTTATTTTATTTTATTTGGTTTATTTATAAACAGAGAAATCAGCATTTCTTTCTTTTCTTCTTTTCCCCTTTCTTTCTTTTTCTTTACTTTTAACTATTCAATATGAAAGCTCTCATTCTTGTCGGTGGTAAAGTAACATAGCATAAGAACGCGTGCCCTTCTTTTGTTTTTGTTTTATACTGACATATCTTAGGTTTCGGTACTCGTCTTAGACCTCTTACACTCACTTTGCCTAAACCTCTTGTCGAATTTGCTAATCGTCCTATGATTCTTCATCAAATTGAAGCACTTTCCAAGGTATATATGAGTGTGTTTGGCTTAGATTTTTTAATCTTTTTTTTTTTTTTTTAGGCTGGTGTGACCGATATCGTCTTGGCTGTAAACTATCGACCTGAAATCATGGTCTCTGCCTTAAAAGAATATGAAAAGGAATATGGTGTTACTATCACTTTCTCTGTTGAAACTGAGCCCCTTGGTACAGCTGGTCCTTTAGCTTTGGCTAGAGACATTCTTGGTAAAGATGATTCTCCTTTCTTTGTCTTGAATAGTGATGTCATTTGTGATTATCCCTTTGAACAAATCAGAGACTTTCATGCCTCACATGGCAATGAAGGTACTATTATTGTAAGTTTGTCCTCTATAATATATATTCGAAACTCACGCCATAATTTATGTAGGTCACTAAAGTGGACGATCCTTCCAAATATGGTGTTGTTGTAAATCACGCTGACTCTACCAAGATTGAACGTTTTGTTGAAAAACCCCAACAGTTCATTAGTAACAAGATTAATGCTGGTATCTATCTCTTTAACCCTACTGTCCTTGATCGTATTGAAGTAAGTCGCTGTTCATGACTTTAGGTGAATTAACATTGTATATACTAGTTAAAACCTACTTCTATTGAAAAAGAAATCTTCCCCAACATTGCTAAAGACGGTGAACTTCATACGTTTGATTTAGAAGGTTTTTGGATGGATGTGGGTCAGCCCAAAGATTATCTGACTGGTACTTGTCTCTATCTTTCTCATCTGTCAAAGAACAAGCCTCAAGAAATAGCCAATCCCAACTTGGATTATGTCTATAAGGGTAACGTCATGGTTCATCCTACAGCCAAGATTGGCACAGGGTGTCGTATTGGTCCTAATGTCGTGATTGGTCCCAATGTGGTTGTGGGTGATGGTGTTCGCCTTCAACGTTGTGTGGTGATGGAAGGTGCTAAAATTAAAGATTTCGCTTGGGTACAATCAAGTATTGTAGGCTGGCATTCAAGTATCGGTCGCTGGTCTCGATTGGAAGGTTGTTCTGTCTTGGGTGATGATGTGACTATTCAAGATGAAATCTATGTCAATGGTGGCTCTATTTTACCACACAAATCTATCTCTAACAATATTACAGAACCTCAAATTATCATGTAAATATACTTTTAAAAAAGTTATTTTTTTTTTCTTTAATCAAATAAATATATACACCTTATATCATATGTGATTGAATCCATGGATCAGATGGTATATCTGACATACGAATACGTTTTGAAGGGTCTTTTTGAAGGCACTAAAATACACAATCAGTCACATAGAATACTAGAAGTGTACTTTTTTACCCCAAGTACAAAATGTTTGGCTCCATCACTCAGATCAGAAGGGAATGTGACGTGTGCTTTCAAGATACGTTGATAAGTAGCTTGATGATCTTCTCGGGCAGGATCTAAAGGGTCTTCAAAAGGAGCTTTGCCTACAAGTAATTCATAACATAATACGCCCAGTGCCCAAATATCCACAGATGCACCATGCGTTTGGCGTTGTATCATTTCGGGAGGTAAATAATCCAATGTACCACAAAATGTATTTCGCCTATTTAGGGGGTTTATTAAAATGGCTTTTTTTTTTTTTTTTTTTTTTTTTACCTTGGCTTTGGGTCATAGACTGCCCATCCAAAATCTGCTATTTTTAAGGCACCATCCTTGCTGATCAAGACTAGGACATGAATTCAACAAGACGGTTGTAATGTTGTCTACTTACTGTTCTCTAACTTGATATCTCGATGAAAGACACCCAATTGATGCATATACGCTAATGCTTCTGCAATCTCTAGAATATACTAACACAACGGGATCAGAAAGCCCCATATAAAAGCTATGGATTACTACTCACATTGGCTGTTTCTGTCTCTGTAAATCGTTTGTGTGATTCTAAACAGGTATAAAGATCACTATCACCTGCATATTCCAATACAAGGTAGATTTGTTCTTTATCATGGAAATATCCATAGAGACGAGTGATATTAGGGTGACTTGCTATGGATCAGCTAATCGGTAGAATGGAGTTTAACTTACTTTAAGTGTCCTTGAATCTCAATTTCACGCTTAATAAAGGGTTCAACGCGGTACTGTTCCAATTCTTTCTTTTTCAATATCTTTAATGCCACAATCTGTCCTGTTCTCAATTCCTTTGCTTTATAGACACTTCCAAATTTGCCTTTGCCTAAATTCTCCCCTACGTCAAAATCATGGATATGCCAATCCGAGCAACTGATACATAAGCCAAGAACACGATGACCTGACTTACTTTTTTAAAGGCTGTTGCGATACTTGTCGATCATCAAGCACAGCTACTTTTTCACTGATACCAAAGTGTCTTCTGACAGCAGGTGAATCCATGAAATCCAAATTGTCGGGTATAGGATGGACGTCTTGTCGTGCGAGTTGTTGGTAGAAATAAGAACGTCTGTATTTAGCCAGTGTGAGTGAATTGGGTGTGGAAGGAAGGGTCAAGCGAGAAGAGTGAGTCATCATACGTCGTGGTGTATAATCTACATAATTCATATTGTCCGTATCGTCTTGCATTGTATAGTTAAATAAATAAAAAAGAGAAACGCGTTTGGTGTCTGTTTTCGTGACTTTGGGACGCGTTTCGAACATGGTTGACATCATATCAAAAATAGAAAAACATCATGATCTTTAGATACTGTAGAACAACATAGGGCCAACACACTGTTGTCTACCTTGATTGTTGCTTGATAAAAAAAAAAAAGAGGGTCTTTACAAGAGAGAGAGAGAGAGAGACTATCTTGACTGGGATTTAAACTTGTAAGCAAGGGATTCTCACTTCTTTTTTTTATTGTATTTTTCTTATGTTTTCCTTATTCAAAAGAACAGCTACTGAACTTGCCGAATCGAGCTTAAAAGGTATACTTCACGACACTGACATTGCAATAACAATACCTCAGCTATCAATATGGACGGCCTTCGTGGCTGGCAAAAAGAGATGCCCATGGCTGCTTTAAAGACAGAAAAAGACAAGCAGCATTGGGCTATAGGCTGTGACAAAGACATTGGTGGGTTCTCTGAAGCCCATCTGGACATCACACCTGAAGGCACAGGGCGTTTTCACGGCATTATTTCATTAGAACTCCCCAGTAATCGAGAGATCAAGCAGAGTGGTTATGCAGCTATTCGAACCAAACCTAGAGATCAAACCTTATTTGGTACACCTTGTTTTGACACCAGTTTGTTTCGTTATTTAGCTTTGCATGTCAAGGGTGATCGTCGTAAGTATTTTGTGAATATCCAGACAGACGGTGTAGTCAAGACAGATTTGTTTCAGCACCGTTTATTTTTACGTACACCTGGACAATGGGAAACAGTGATGGTAAGTCAACCGTTGAACAAAAGCCATTGGTTGATCATAAAGCGATAGATTCCCTTTAAAGACTTTATCTTGACCAACAACGGCATGATTCAAGAAGACCAGATTGACATGTTTCGAGAGAAAGTAAAGACAGTGGGCATTTCATTGATGGATCGTCAAGAAGGTCCTTTTGAGATTGAAGTAGAATGGATAAAGGCAATGAATACTGAGTTTACTGAAGGTGATCTTGATCGCATACCACCTAAAGAAGAATAAAAATAAAATGTGGTTCATAAATGGAAAGTGATAGTGAGATTAACAATAGAAGCCCTCTTTTGTTTATTATTAGTCATGATGAATGAATGCATAGTTATTTAATGAAGTAGTTTGAATAAGACAGGTGTATATTGGTACATGGTAATAGCAGAAAGAGAGACTATGCTCAAGACAATCGTATCTAAACAAACAAGTGTAAATGAGAGAACTATCATCTGTTGATGAACTTACTAAACAAAGCCTTTTCCCAAGGTTCCAACATATAAAGAGCTGTTTGGAGTTCATATTGATAGAGTTTAGTAGATAAGTAGTTTGACATGCGTGTAGTAGTCATCATGAAGAAGAAGAAAAAAAGACAAAAATAAAATAAAATAAAATAAAATGCGTTGATTGGTTGTGACCTGATTTACTAAATAAGGACAGTGTGAAACCCTTTTTTTTTTTCTTTGTAACTGACATGCCATTGTCCATCAGTTACACCAAGATAAAGGGCTGAACAAACAGTTTGGTTAGTATATAAACAACCCAAAAGAAAACAACCACTCTTTTTCTCTCTCTTTTTATTCTTCTCGACTCATTCTACAATGACACCCAAAGATGAGATCAATCAAATGGAAAAAGTAATAGAAAGATCTCAATTGAAACACGGACAAGAACTACTTGGAGAATATCATGCTGTGTATAAGATTGATTGGAAAATTCATTTCCTATGGACACTCTCAGTCATTTGTTTCATTTTGGCCAGATTATGGTGGTTTGTTCCTTTGCCAGGCACAGATTATTTACCAGCCTATCGTACCTATCCTGCCAACTTTCTCAACACATTATTCCAAGGTTTAGGTTGTGCACTTGCCACTCGGTCCATCACAGTGGGTTTAGTCAAGACATTCACAAAGGGAGTTCATCCTGACTCTTTGGTCTCGTTCGGTTCAACAGGTGGATGGAGAGCAATGTGGAGTTGTATTCGCCATCGATCTGGACTGCGGTATTTCTTGATTGCTCTTTTGGTTACTGCAGCTACTCTTTTAGGTAATGCGCTTGAAGGCGAATTACAATCTTCAGTCACTATCTATTATCGCGTGGGTGGTATGACTTCTACAAATCTGGCAGAATGTCAACATAATACGACTCAAGATTATGCTACTGCCTCTACTGCTTATACATCAGGTTGGGTCAGCCATACCTTAGCAGACGCAACTCCTCTCCTGAATCAATTGAATGCCAGTCTCTACGCTAACCCAACGAGCCCTTATTCTCTCAGTTTACTTAGTACACAGCTTACTCCTATTCAAAACATGACAGCGGCTTATTCAAGTAACACAAATCTAAGGAGAAGACATTACCATCACACCAGTTCATGTGATCCAAAGGCTACAGCCACTCTAACGTCATCTACTGCCACAAGTTCACTCATGACAGCTACAGCCGAATATGGATCGAACAATGATAGTGCTATCATGGCATTGTCTGTGGATGGAGAACAAGTCCCAGTGACAAATGCAACCCATGTCAATGGCACCTTGATGATCATGATAGACAATACGACACATACAGCCATACCTTATAATGCATCCATGGCATCTACTTATTCAGCTGTGGAACTACAAGTCCTTCGATACACACATGCGGAAGGACAAGAAGCTGTCATTGTCTATAGTTCCAATATGTCTTATTATGGTGGTGTTTATGTCACTGCATCTGCTTCCAATTATAGTTGTACGTTGGTTGATCATTCAATCGCATGTCATCTTTTGGATGCCTCAAACACCTTATCCGCAAATAATAAAGTGGTTGCGGATGCACTTGCGGATGCGATTCGATCAGGCGTAGGTGTCTATGGAACCATGCTTCCCAATAGCCTTCCGTTAGATATGCTGAATGGTGTCCCTACATCAGGTGCTCTGGTGGATGCGTTGTATGCGAATCCTAACTGTCCAGCACCCTTAGTGCTGCCTTCTGAAGCAAATGGTATTTATCCTTATTCTGCTGCTCATTGGACTTGGCTTAGTATGCTCTGGGTTCTTTCTTATGTTATTGTTTGGCTTATTGGTGTTTATGTGATTGGTTATTCTGAAGATACATGGTCTCGGCTGACAAGGACAGGCTACATGTTACCTCAGATTATTAGTAATTCCCCTATTTTGTTTACCAATGGTTTAGACGGCGAAACAGTCAATCAGCCTGCTTATTTAAATCCTGCAGATGGTAAAATGATTTTAATCCGAGAACATGATCATGGCTATACAGTCACTGAAGAAGAAATACCCATACAATAAACAGTTTATTGAATCCTATCTCTATCATCTTCAAATGTCCATAAACCACAATCATCACAGTCATGCTGTACTTTGCATTCAGGAACAGGAAATTCATTGGGTTTCTTGAGGATATCTTCAATTAATGTACCAATACGATGATGAGCAATATTGACTCTCCATCCATAATCCTTGACTGTATCCCATACGCATGATTTGCCTGTATGACAGCGAGTTTCCATGGCAAATCCTGCATAGTAACAGCCACTCATGGGTCCCTAATCAGAACCGATCAGTCTCGATTGGCAACGATTGCTTGACTTACAGTGCAAACACCAATAAAGATAGGATCTGCTGTATGTCCAAAATGCCAAATGGGCATGTATTGTGCCCCTGGTCCATGAGGTAAATGTAAACGCTGAGAGGCAAGTCGGTCTCCAGGACTCTCAAAACTAACAGCAGGCACACCAAATGTTTGACCTAATAAAGTAGCTACAGCACCACCCAATGAATGTCCTGTAAGCCAAATAGTTGCATTAGGATAGCGTTTGGCTATATCCAGAAATATTTTCTATGCCAGCTTGTATGATTATCTCTTTCTTTAGTTGATAACCTACCATAGCATAGTCATAGTAGAATTCAGATTGGATAATGGTTTTATCAAGACAATGCTGATCACACACAAACTGATCTTTTCCATCATTACAACCACACATGGCTGTCCAGCCTCGATTGACTTTACCACAGCAACATGAAAACAATAGATTGTCCTTGACTGGATGAATACATCATGACTCTAACATTCAACTTACATTTAACTTGTCTTTTTCTCCTGTAGGTTCTCCACCAAACAAAGCAGCTGTAGTCCCTTTAAATGCAATGACCAAGTGTGAGTTGTCTGTATTTCCAAAAACATGGCCTCTGAGACCATCCTTTTCCCAACCAAATGTTGAATTCTATAGGGACATGAGTTTTATTGATCCACTCTATGTGTGTGTGTGTGTGTGTATATATATATATACTTTACAACATCCCATTCAGACCCCAAGTCATACCATTGTTGACCTTCTTTATCTATCTCTGTATAAGCATCATAGCTCATTTCAGATAATATTAGCACTGTAGGATGGTGTGTGATATCTGGTAATGGATAATCCATAGGCTGTAATTCATAATGATCATAAAACCGTAAATGTTGTCTAGAAGTATAACGAGTCACCATCAAATCCAGTTGATCCTGACTGGGTCTAAATGCAGTTCCCATAGACATCTTTAATGTGTAAGGTGTAGACATGATTTTCGTAGATATATCCATGCGTTGGAATAAGCGGGTTGTACTCGAATGACGATAGACAGATTTCAACGTCATGGCTTCTACATACGAATCACTCTTGAGTGGTGTTTGGTAGACTGCTCCCCAGACGAAATTCAAATAAAACAGAAAGACAAGTGGTTCAAGTATCATATAAACAAATAACAAAAAAAAAAAGGGAAAGAAAACAAAAAGTTTTGTTACACATCTCTGTACTCAAATGACTTCAAAATACGTCATTTTGTCTCTCAGAATCAGGTACGATAAACATACACAAAGGAATGACTATTAGGAGAGTACAATAGACATCATTTCGAAATGTGTCATTGTGAATGGGGAGCCATAAATACAATGACAATGCTTTCTTGATCGCTAAAAAGGGTATCTTGGTAAAATAGCTTCCAGAGTTCGTTGTCTGAAGAGGTATGCCTTACTTGATTAGGGAAGCTTCCAATCACAAAGTTTTCTTCAATCAAGTTAGTTCCTTAGATATCTACAAGGCTCCCCATCAAGGTGTACTGCTGGTTTAAAACCTTTTCTTTAAGCTCTGGCTCTCTTTTGCAGTTGGAAAATATTCATTCAGGGATTATTAGGTTTTCGTGGTGTATGTTTCCTTCTTTGAGTCTTCTTATTTCTGTTTAGGAGTCTGATCAGCTCTTGTTTAGACAAGAAGAGATCTTCGAAAGACTGGATTGCCTTGACCAGATCCACAATATGCTTATATTGCGCAAGTTCTTTGTCTTTGTTGTTGCCTTTGCGTAATAAAAGCTATGCTTGTAATCTAACAATTTTATCCACTCAAGTCTGTTGCTTTATTGCTGTCTTTCATCTTCAGCATGCGTTGATCAGGGTACACTTCACTTGCCAAAACATGATGATGCTGTCTTCAATATGTTAAGGTGTTATATTTTATTTTTGTAAAACTGATGTCTAGTCTTTCTCTCAAGGCGATTGATACGTGGTTGTGGTTTGTAAGTACTGGTATAGAGAAAAAAGAATGATCTTCAGAGTGCACGTAAATACGCAAGAAATCAATATTTGAAACATCTAACTCTCTTTTTTTTGCACGACATTCATCATTTGCCATGTCCAAAGCTACTCTCTTTGGGCTCAAAGTATCATATATAATAGTAGATTTTACTCACAAACACTCTCCATATTGAATTATGTAAGAGTAAGTATCTACTTCCTAGTTAATATCTACTGTAAAGGACCTCTTTTGTACTAATTACAGTGTATAATGACCTTTGGCTGCAGATTTAAAGGCAATCCTCTGGTAAACTCATTTTTTTATCTTAGTAAACTCGTTTTCTTTTTGCAAGAAGTACCTAGACATGGCTTCACCTCATTTCGGCTGGATCAGGCCTGCATTATTTTTTTCATCTTTACGAACCTCCATGGATCTTCCATGGTTAAAAAAAATTCACATAACAGCCAAACCAATGGTACCATTCGATTCCTTGACTCGAAAGAACATGATTTAAATAGAAAAAAAAAATAGACTTCTTTGATAGTCTAGTTGTCGAGTAATGGTTCATCAAAGATTGGCATGTTTAAGCTGTGTTTTGAGCATTTCTGAGAGTTTTTGCTCTAGAGGCCATATAGAACTTGGCAGCTATGGACCTACCAAAGATACTTTATATTACTTAAAGCACTAAAGAACATAGGACAATAGAAATATTGTCTCTTCACAATGTAAATGTGGGGTAGATGAACAAAAGACAGCAATGTTTAGCTGTATTACGTGCTTTTATCAGATTTTTGTGTGTGATTCTCACAGTAATTTATCTTTTTCTCTACTTTTTAAAGTATAACCACATGTATTCTACAGCTTCTTTTAATAGACTTGCTCATTATCTCCTTGTCTTTGTGAAAATCCACTCGACGTCATACTTTAAACTTAACTCTGATGTAGTTCTCATATACAACACAGAATCGCAATGATTTCAAAACTTCAATTGGAGTATATCATTAGAGGATAAGTGCAGATGTGTTTTACTGATTTTAATAATAGACTCTCCTTTGTAATTTCGTTATCAACCATTTTTTTTTTGTTATTTCTCTTTTTTTTCCCCATACCTCAGCAATCGAGATGCCTGCGGCAAATAGTCCTAGATGAACGTCCTTGATACCAACAACTGCAGCTGATTGTCTTTAGTCATGCTCCTTGGCTTGGGCTCTTGATTGTGCAAGAGATGCTTGCGGCTAGTGGTTTGCAAATGAACGTCCTCGATACCAATCATTGCAACTGAGTGTTCTATCATTCATGTTCTCTGTGTTGGGTTCTCTTGCGAGGGAAGGGTCTTTTGGGCTATTCAAAAACAAGACAACAGTATCAATTAAGATTAAAGAGATGTAATAACAAAATGAAACAAGGCGACTAATTGTTAGATGAAGTCTCTTTAGGATGCGATAGACCTTAGGGAAGAAAACCCTGAATTCAAAAGCTGCTCTTTACCCCTGTGAATTGCTCTATTGGGTTAAGTTCTAGGGAAATAAGTTGGAAGATACACGCATTTATAACCTAGATAATTAATGTGCTCCTCTATGATTTCATATATATGAATGGACATGTTTTCTATGAATACATAATGATCTTTCATAAACGAACGTTTGTCTATCATATCAAAAGTTGTTACCGTTTTAAGACACATGAAATCCAAGTATCATCATACACGCGAAATGATTGGATATCAGGGACTGAATGTGTATAGTTCTCGATTTTTCATGAGCATCTAAAATGGAGCTCTCGCTGAAAACTGCATCAAGATGCGGTTATATGGCTTTAGTGTAGTGATAAAAGCTGTATATGTTCGCTTTCTGAGCCTGTTGCTATAAAGAACACAACAACTTTGCTGCTAAAGCCTTCAGCAAATAGGCAAAAACGTTTACAAGGTTTTTCACTTCTATCGTACCATTCCTATAGTACAATTGTTAAACAAACACATTTTCCAAAAACTAGAGCCTCTGGCGCGCATTCTGAGTATTTATGCTTGCTGATAGCTATATTTTTCGCCTTGCAGCGCTCAAAAGAAGATTGAAGGTTGTCAACGAGCTTTTTTGATGGGTAGTACCTTTTGGCCGAATGGTCATTTTGACCATTTTTCACAAATTACTTTTTTTTCGATCCAAGTCAACTCCAAAGGTATCTTAGATGCTAGTAAATGTTGTTTGGAGCTGATTGGATCATTTATGCGTGTATAAACAGGCTTTGGACTATTATTTTGTGTACACTTTCTGATAGACAAAGTACATCATTTCAAGTGGTGCCATGTCTTTTGCATAATTTGATGCAATCAAGTACACCTTGTACTGCAAAGAACTAACAGATTCTATGTGTTCCCTATGAAAAGGAAAAAAAAAGAAAAAAAAAGAAAGGGGGCATCTTTTCGTTTAGTATACGTTTTTACAAAAGCCAAATAGATCAGACAACTCAATTGTATCCTAAACTGAAGAGGAAAAACTAAAGCCAGAAACAAGCAGCTCTAGTTGAATGCTTAAATGCTTGAATGTATGCTCATAGACACATAAAAGGATTTCTCTCTTTTTTTATACTTTTTTTTTCAAGTTTATTGTTGTCGACAGATAAAAATACAGATAAAAATACAGATAAAAATACAGATAAAAATACATAGAAATAAATAAAAATGGTTGAAAAAGAGACAAGAGAAAATGCAGTGACTCTCATGGCTGGTCTACCGTTATTTAGCTGTAGTCACCAGGAACAACTCTTTCACAACCATAAGTAGACAAGCCCAAGTTACAGTCGGATTGGTTCTTGCAGCAACGGATACAGAAAGTGTTGGCATCAGGCTCGAGCATGTTGACCCAGTACTTGTAGCCATTGCAGACCACGCCGTCAATGTCCTTGTTGTCGTATTGTCCACCACCGTCAGAGGAGCTAAGGCTGTACTTGGAGCGATCGATGGTACCGGTGACCTGGACATAGTCGTCAGTACTGGCAAAGTGAGCAGTCTGGATGAAGCCGGTAGGGAAGGCCTCGCCACCAAGACTGTCATCGGTACAGAAGGGCTTGCCGTCGTTTTCAGTAGAGCCTACGTCGTCACCAGTATTAGGAGGCAAGAAGGAACAAAAAGCAGTTTCAGAGTTGAGTTGGATCGTGTAAGAAGGATCACGTTTGCTGAAAGCAGGCAAAGCGCTGCAGACAGCAGCAAAGAGAGCAAAGAAAGCCAAGACAAGAGTAGGTTGCATTGTTAGAGAAGCAATGGATATAGAGATCAGTGAGATCGAATGGATATAGAACAAGTAGGAGAGGGAAAGACAGGAACAGGTGGGCCCTTTTATATGTTTTCTGCATCACTTGTCAAGCAACATTCAGAATGGCTTGATGTCAAGTGCTGTTGAACAATAAGTATCTCCTTTTTCAGACTTTTTGTGCTCTCATTCTAAGCCCTCTTTCAATAAGTTTGTGCTGATTGTAAATGTCAAGTAGGAGCTTAAATGCGAAACCCTATTGGTACCTTCTATTTCAATAGAGAAAAAGAAAAGAAAAGAAAAAGGCATTGTGGTCTAATAATAGCATCATGCGTATAGATACAAAAATAACTCTTACTTTTATGTCAACATGAAAACAAACAACGTCAGAATAGACTATGACAAACAAGAGTTCAGCAATGCGCAAGCAAAATGAAGCCGATGGCTGTTTATAGACAACAAGTAAGCCTTAAAATAGAAAAATTACCTTTTTTTGCCTTTGCTTTGCGGTTATTCATTAGCCCATTCTCCATTATTTTGTATTCCGCCGTACCTTTTTTTTTTCTATACATATTACTTTGTTCGTCGTAGCTAAGAAGAGTAAGGGTAAGCCCACATAGGGTCGACACAGATGTATCTGTTCAAAGGAGTTTCTAGAATCTGAAGTACAACGAAAAAGTATATTCTGTTTCTATTGTATGTCTTTTTTGAAATAAGCATTGGAGGGCTCAGGGACCTTTTAAATCAAAAGGAATGATGTAACATGAACAGCCAATCGGAAAGCTCTGACAGTTCCGCTAGTAAACATATTCATCTCGAATGGCTTAAATGAATTTTATTTATTCTTAAAGAACGTCATTTGATTTTTCAATTGAGTACCGCTTACTTGACCCTTCTTTTTGGCTGGTTTTCTTTTTATTCCACATATCTGTTATTGACAAGAATACAATATGCTAGATTTTATTCCAAAGAAAAGCATTTATCAGTTTTCTCAAAGACTAGACAAGCAGTTGCATGAATTGTTACAAGAGCACAGACCTGTGTCATTTATCGAACAAACAATGATGAATGTGATTTAAATTTGACGAAACAAAGCCTAATTCTGTTTTGTTTGTTACAGAAAGTACTTTATTTTCTTTTTTAAGAGAAATCTGTCTATAATTATATATACCTAAACAGGCAACAAGAGGCTTGTTTTTGTTTTCTAATAGCATCTTCTATAGTTCTTCCAAAAATTGTTGTCGCGCCAAGATGTCGCATTTTGTATATTTTGCACTATAATTTTTCAACGTTTGCGACATTACTTCTTGGAAACACTATACATGTTTTGAGAATTAGGTACAATACACACGGAATTCAAAATTATTCGTTACATGTATTTTTCATTTGACAATTCAGAAAACATATAAAAGGGCCCACCTGTTCCTGTCTTTCCCTCTCCTACTTGTTCTATATCCATTCGATCTCACTGATCTCTATATCCATTGCTTCTCTAACAATGCAACCTACTCTTGTCTTGGCTTTCTTTGCTCTCTTTGCTGCTGTCTGCAGCGCTTTGCCTGCTTTCAGCAAACGTGATCCTTCTTACACGATCCAACTCAACTCTGAAACTGCTTTTTGTTCCTTCTTGCCTCCTAATACTGGTGACGACGTAGGCTCTACTGAAAACGACGGCAAGCCCTTCTGTACCGATGACAGTCTTGGTGGCGAGGCCTTCCCTACCGGCTTCATCCAGACTGCTCACTTTGCCAGTACTGACGACTATGTCCAGGTCACCGGTACCATCGATCGCTCCAAGTACAGCCTTAGCTCCTCTGACGGTGGTGGACAATACGACAACAAGGACATTGACGGCGTGGTCTGCAATGGCTACAAGTACTGGGTCAACATGCTCGAGCCTGATGCCAACACTTTCTGTATCCGTTGCTGCAAGAACCAATCCGACTGTAACTTGGGCTTGTCTACTTATGGTTGTGAAAGAGTTGTTCCTGGTGACTACAGCTAAATAACGGTAGACCAGCCATGAGAGTCACTGCATTTTCTCTTGTCTCTTTTTCAACCATTTTTATTTATTTCTATGTATTTTTATCTGTATTTTTATCTGTATTTTTATCTGTATTTTTATCTGTCGACAACAATAAACTTGAAAAAAAAAAGTATAAAAAAAGAGAGAAATCCTTTTATGTGTCTATGAGCATACATTCAAGCATTTAAGCATTCAACTAGAGCTGCTTGTTTCTGGCTTTAGTTTTTCCTCTTCAGTTTAGGATACAATTGAGTTGTCTGATCTATTTGGCTTTTGTAAAAACGTATACTAAACGAAAAGATGCCCCCTTTCTTTTTTTTTCTTTTTTTTTCCTTTTCATAGGGAACACATAGAATCTGTTAGTTCTTTGCAGTACAAGGTGTACTTGATTGCATCAAATTATGCAAAAGACATGGCACCACTTGAAATGATGTACTTTGTCTATCAGAAAGTGTACACAAAATAATAGTCCAAAGCCTGTTTATACACGCATAAATGATCCAATCAGCTCCAAAAGTACCATGGATGTTTGTACACATTGTTTCTAGGTACTTGGAGCATATATGCGAGTACAGAAAGGCTTTATACCTTCATTTGTATGTCTAGGAAAAGAATTTTGACTGAGGTAGCTATCAAATTAACTAAAAGAATACTGAAAAAATTGCTGCAGGTATCGAACTTTTCAATATCTGCAGAATTTGTTAAGAGAGACACAGACATCAGAGCTAGTTCCATCTAATGCAACAGTAATGAAGTCATAAAAAATGTTCTTGGTTACAGAACATGAACTCTGGCCCTAGGTCTACATATTGCTTTGATTTTTATTTCTACCAATCATCATTTTGAGGTGAGCTTTTGAAATGCTTGCAAAGTGTTGTCCGTGAGTTTTAAAGCTTAATCTGAGAATCCTTGGACATATGATATCTGAAAGAAGGACTACTTGGCTATTATTTTCGCTGTGATTAGACTTCACCTTTTCGTCATGTTGGATTCTTAAAACAGTAATAATCTTCATAGTCTCTTCTAGTAGGCTCTAAATAATTAAACTAAACTTCTTATTCTTTTTCTTTCTCTCAATCGTTTAGGTTTGGGAATATACCCTCAAGTTCAAGAGAAAATCAACCAATGATTCTTCCCTCTCTATGAAGTCTTCACTCAACAAGATTTTCTTCTCCGGAACGAAATTGTACAATCCGCGCTTGGCATATTGCATTGACCACAGACGGATGCGCTTGTCTAGTTTCCACTAAATAATATCATTAGTACAAGTAAGCAAAACGTTGATTATAATATTTCCTACCGCTTGGTTGCACGAAATAGAGTTTGAGCTTTCTAAACTCTCCACAGACGCATATTTATAGTTGTCAGCTACAGTTTCTAGCATCGCCAGCAAAGTAAAAATGCCCTTTGAGTTGTCAAAGGCTATTTTCTCATGGTCTTCATGACCAAAAGCGCCTGCTGTTTCTAAGACAAGGACTTCTAGATCATCGAGTTCCGCTAAGCGTATAATTTTGTCTGCTTGTATATTTTTCTTTTGTCTGTTTTGAATCCAATTTTTTTTTGTTGGATTGTCATTGCAGCAAGCTCATCTTCACCAGGAATAAAATATGGCGCGTTTTGATTTTTTTTTATTATAGCAAGCATCGCTTCGAAACAAGGAAAGATCATGTTGGTATTATACACACTTTCTGATCGTGATATTAATGAACTTTTTAATTTTTTTAAACCCGCAATTTGATGCTGCATTCACTGTACTTGTGAATTCATCTTTGGTTATCCTTTCTTAGTTATCCCTAACAGTCCCTACCATAATAAAATGGGAGCTCTGGTCTAGGTAAGACTTCGATGTTTGCTCACGCAATTGCATTGACCCCTTTGTTTGTTTGGAATAGTGTTTAGACCTTGTTTTTATTTATTTCTTTGGTGCTAACTGACTTAGTTTCTTGCTCATCTGTTGTCTGGCTTTGTCTCTATATGGTTACTTAGCTTTAATGTTGCACACTACTTTCATGTCCACTTAGTGATTCTCTTTTTTTCTATCTGCTACTATGACTTGGTAATCTTTTTCTCATATTCAAGGCAAGGCTTGATGTTTTATTTAGTCCATATCCTCATATATATTTGTGTAGACTTATTTTGAAGAAAGAAATATCCTCTAGTATATACAGCTGACTCTATGGGTAGCAACTCTTGGATGATATGACTTTATGAGTGCTATGTAGTACTATTTTGGTAAGATATGTTGCTGATAATGACATTCTTTTTCTAACAATATATGCAAGTGTGTTATGGGTATTCAGGTGTGTGATTTATTGATATAAGAGGTAATGCTTAGATGGATTATGTGCAAACAACTCATGCTAATCCGTAGTTATGCTTGTGCTTCTGCACTTATTTAATAGTCTGGTCTATTTTCTCTTGTGCTGTTCGTATGCTGATATTGAGGGCCATGGCAGCAGCACAAACATTCACTCCTTTTTCTCCAACAAGAAAAAATAGCTATTCTTTTTCAGCGCTTATATGCCTTTGTTTTTACAGGTATTTGCTGTGGTTCTGCTTTCTTTTTAATTTCATTCTCGGGAGGGTTTAAACCTGTGTATCTGTCGTAGTCTGTTACGCTTTCGGTTGGATGCATGTCGTTATCAACCTCCATTTCGAATTCTATAACTTTGTTTCCTTCAATATCATGTTGGTCTCCTAAACCATCGTCAAAAATAATGCTATCCATTTTCTAAAAAAGAGATATATCAAGTAAATTCTTTCTTCAGAAATGTTACCACAATCCCGAATATATACATAATTCGTTCCACATGTACATTGGGCAATGGACCCTAAAAAGAGACTCATTAAAGTCTTTTCATTCTTCTTTGAAAACATCGTCTCAAGAATTGTTGTGAAGAAATAAGACAATAGCAATTGCTAGTTTTTTTAATCAAGAACACGACACGAGTGATAACTATTCATGATCGTTTATGATAATAATAAACAATTGCTCTTGACAATTAAGGCAATATGATGATAAATCAATAGGAAGGCAGAAACGTATTAATAGAAAAGGGCAACTCAATTTTGAAATATGATTTTGGATACTCAATTTTGCTTAATTCAAACTCTTATTGACATTAAAATACTAATATAACAAATTATTGTATGATTTTATGTCTTTTTGATTATTAAGCCTTTAAGCATATCAAAGCTGTTTCCATCGGGTTGAAGTGTGAAGCGTTTACGAGGATCATTTACACTGACAGCCTCCAGCATTCCATAATCACTTGTAATGCCTACAATTCTTGCCTTTTCATCATTATGTGTAGTGAGTGTCACTAGTTTATCACTAGAATACGGTGAGTAAAAGTAGCTATGTAGTCATCTTACCTATGAAGCCATCTCTTATAGTATTTATCCAAAAACCATGATCCCATTCCCTTTTCACATAATTCCATGTAGTATTTTTCAAATGTGACTAATGCGTGTGCCAGCACTTGCTCTCTTCCCAGTCGCTCTAGCTTTGGATTGTGTTGTTGAATCACATCGTTAATTGACACTGTAGGATGAGGATTATTCAGATTGATACCACATCCAATCACCAGCAAGAACTCATCTCGAACAAAACTAGAATTGACCAAAAGACCGCCTACTTTCAAGAGGCCTGCTGGCATATCTGCGTAAATATCGTTGGGCCACTTTAATCGAAGGGGCACATCTTCATAACCTGGGAGTGTACGAATACTTTCAACAATAGCTAATGCGATCAAGTATTGAATGAAAACGACAGGTGCATTGGATAGTTTGACAGAATGACGAACTACGAAACTAAATTGAAGAGCACCTGCTTGTGATACCCATGAGTTTCTGCCTCTGCCTATGTTCAGCATGTAAACATTGCATTGTATGCATCGAGGTAAACTTACCTCTGCCGGCAATTTGATTTGTGGCCAAGCAGACAAGGCCACTAGGTAAACACTGTGCAAAATTATAGTTTCTAAATTTGAAAGTAAGGATACAGAAATGCCAGCACATACACTTACTTGTCTAGAACAGTTTGTGTGCTGGTTATCACTTGAGAATACAACATGGCATTACCAAATCTATACCACGCTCCCCCACCCCATTCTTGCTGTCTGCGTGCTAGCAATGCTTCAAAGTAGGCTTTTATATCAAACATAGGCGTCAATGCCTTTTCAGGTACATGTATGGTTTTTTCATCTGACATCAAAAAAGGGTACAAGATTTTTAACACAGGTGGTTTATCTTCTGACTGTTTGACCAAGGACATTTTCTCCAACATGTCAGGCAATCCATGAATAGCCTCTTGACTGATTTCAGAGACATAAAACGTATCATTCGAATCAACAAAGGCCGCGTTTGTATCGAGATTTTGGGATAGTTTTTGTGTGATGGCTTTTAATAGATGGCCAGAGATAGTGGAGAGATATAAAGGAGTTAGTTCTAGCACAGTGTTTTCTTTTTGAACATTGAGTCCAAGGTTAGCCAGCGACTGTCTTAGAAACTCTTGACAAAGAGGCAACGATGCTTTTAACTCCTTTGTGATTTCTTCCTTGTTGTCATTATCACTTAAATCCACCAAATTGATATTGTATTCGGGATGAATGCCAAACAGTAAAGCATGTCCCTTACCTATTTGACACTGAACTCCTGCTGCTTCTTGTTTGTCTTGATAGGTACAGATTGTTTTGACTTGATCCATCTGGGCTGCATCCACAAAATATCCTCCACCATTATAATACGATTGGATGGTCTTGCCATTGATGTTGATAGCCACAGCTCTGGCACCCTTTTCACTATTATACACAAACCCTGGATAAACCGTACCACGACACGTACCAGGAAAGAATCCCAATTCACGCGAACCCACCACTTCAAGCGGTGAACCCTTTTCAAATTCAATATTGGCAGAAGCATAATAAGCCCCTGCACACAGTCCTAAATATCGACCTCCTGATTCAACATAAGCCTTAATCCTGGCGTTGACTGGACCATGCATATCCTGGCAATAAGGTGTATCGCGTCCACCTGGCACCACGACAAGTGAGCAAGTGGATTCCCAAGGTTCTGTCTTGAGTGTAGCAGCATCCACTTTCATGACATCATAAGCATGACCAAGGATTGACTTGAGTGTGACATAGGCTTGTTTGACAGCATTAGGTGAAGTGCCGCTACCATTGTAAATCAACACATTCATGGCTTTTGAATAAAGTCTATGGAACAGTTTAAAGAAACAAAAAAAATATAATTGTGTAACTCGGTTATTTCGATTGAAAATAGGATGATATTACAAGGAAAGGTCTTTCTCAAAGTTAGACTTGGTATGACAAACACAATGTGGGAACTGCATAAACATCATTCATCATCACACACTCTCTCCTTTTTTTTTTTTTACTTTTTTTCTTCTCACATATCATGTCTGGAGCCGTTAAACGATTAGAAAACTTGAAGCATCATTTAGCACCTAATGATAGGCCTCATTTTGAGACATGTAAGCCTCTATGGACTACATGTTTTTTATTCATTCTTACATAGTGCGAATGCAAAGAAGACCTGGGCAAGTACCTTATTTAACCAAATTGGATCCTCTTAGTTTCCTATTAAGAAGTGCCATGATTCATACACACAAGACAGCCGTCATTTCTGGAGAGAAAAGGTACACTTACCTTGAATTGGCTGAACGAGTGAAAGCATTAGCCAATGTCTTGATAGACCAATACCATGTGAAACCTGGTGATAGAGTGGGTATTCTCTGCCAAAATCTAAATGCTTCTCTTGAAGCGCATTTTGCTATTCCTGTCATCGGTGCCATTATCGTCCCTATCAATACACGACTGGCTACCCAAGAAGTGAATTATATCCTTCAACATGCTGGTGTCACTGTCTTGATTGTTCAAGACGAGCTTCTTGACCGTGTGGATGTCCATGTGAAAATTATTCGGGCAGAGGAAGAATACGAAGCCTTGTTGAGACACAACAGTTGTCGTTTAGGATGGAATGAAATGCCTACTAGTATGGACGAAAACGAGACTATCTCAATCAATTATACTTCGGGATCGACAGGAAGACCGAAGGGGGTCATGGTCACATCGCGAGGCGCTTATATGATGGCCATGGGCATGATGATCCATGCTTCTCTTGACGCCAATACTGTATTTTTATGGACATTACCCATGTTTCATTGCAATGGTAAAAGATAGTGATCAATACTTTATAGACTAAACCATGTAGGTTGGTGTTTCCCTTGGGCTATTGTTGCTGTAGGTGGTACACAAGTCATGTTGGCTAAATTGGATTACACCTATATATGGAGACTTTTAAAGGAACATGGTGTGACACATTATAATGGTGCCCCTACTGTTCAAAACGAGATTTGCAATCATCAAGATGCTGCACGTCTAGGCCATTCTGTACGCGTCTTTAGTGGAGGTATGCAGTGATTGACATAGGGGAGAGAGAGAGATTAAATGACTCATGATGATGATTAGGATCGGCATTATCAGCAACGCTAATTCGCCGTATGAAAGCATTGAATTTGATACCTACACAAGTCTATGGACTAACAGAGACATACGGTCCTGCTGTCACTAGTTATGATCATTCTGTTCTATCTGACTATACTGAGGAAGAACAGTATACCTTGTTGGCTCGACCTGGCTTCCATATTGTGACATCAGACGATATTCGTGTGTTGGATGCAAACACATGTCTTGAAGTCAAGCCTGATGGTAAAACAATAGGCGAGATTTGTTTTACCGGTAACTTGGTTATGAAAGGGTATTACAATGATCCCCAAGAGACCGAGAAAGCGTTTCGACATGGAGTATTTTGGACAGGTGATTTAGCTGTGCGTCATCCAGATGGATCTTTGGAAATTGTAGACCGAAGTAAAGATGTCATTGTCTCTGGCGGAGAGAACATTAGCTCCATCGAAGTAGAGAGTGTGATTGTGCAACTAGATAGTGTATCTGAATGGTAAGCGATGATAGGCAACATGTGTTTATAAAGCTATCCTAGTGCTATTGTGGCAGGTCCAGATCAGAAATGGGGTGAAAGGCCTGTGGCTTTTGTGGTGTTGAAAGAGAATTCAACATTAGATGAAAAAGCAATCCTTGAACATTGCAGAAAGTCATTAGCTGGATACAAGGTATTCAAATGATATATAGCATATTTCTGACCAAGATGCATAGTGTCCTGATAAAGTAGTCTTGACAAAAGAGGTTCCCAAGACAAGGTAAGTTTAACAGATACTGAATTGTCATCTCTAATACCTTTTTTCTATATAATAGCACAGGTAAGGTACTTGATAGCTGTAGTGTACTTAATATATATATGTAGGCAAAATTCAAAAATATGTGTTGCGTGAAAAGTTATGGAAAAATTACCAAAAGAGAATTAATTGAGTTGATAAAATAAACTGATAATTAATCCTAAGAATTCACAATTAATACAGGCAGTGGGTGCAATAAAGGAATGTGATCACAATGGTGTTAAAAAAAAGATGCCACTGTATGAGATGTCAGAAAGATGATGGTTTATTATTTACGTGAATAAAAGTGATGTAGATTACAAATACAAAAAAAAATTAGCTTTGGTGTGATAATGAGCCACTTGTTGTACTGACTGGATAAGGTGTCTGTGTCTTTCGAAAGTTACCAATGACCAAATCCCCTTCTGAACGATCTTGGGGCTCAATTTTTATCTGATCCAATTCAATTAACTTGGAACATTTTTGAATAAATAATGCACGGTAAACTTGTCTTCGCGTCTTCCAATGATCTGATAAGTCCTTCAAAAACTCCATATCACTCAACAGCCAACTTTCATCCTGTGTTGCTAAAACATAAGGGGATATCCTTTCATGGTCGCTGATACTTTGGATAAACGTCAAATTGAGTGGTGGATAAATATTAGCAGACATTGGGTTTTGTCTAAATAACTATCGTAAATACATTTTGTTTTTCTATTGCATATGACGTACCTTAGATCCAAATAATGTAAATGCTTCAAGTACTGCACAACTGCAATCACTTCATTTAGGCTCATCAGACGATTATCGATCAAGACCAATTTCCTTAAATATTTGAGCTTTCGTAAAGGTCGAATATCTGTCAATCGATTCATGCTGAGATTCAGTGTGGCCAGGTTAGGCACTTGTTTACCAAATTCAGGCGGCAATACCTCAAGTTCTGCAGAGCATAATTCGAGATATTCCAATGAATAAAAGTCAACCATTTGTTTCATGCTCTGGAATGGACTTCCTGAAAGATATAATTTTCGTGCACCACGCAAGTATTGCAGGCTGTACTCACTAATAAAGATAGTCAGTAAAAAGAAACATAAGCTAAAGCAACTTACACTTTCTGTCGACCTTGATCACGTAAAGAAAATGAATCTAACCGAGAAATACAAGCTACACCAATAATACGTTGAATTTGGTTGTCATCAAGGTACAATACTCGAATATCCGGGAATGGCGAAACATCAAATGATTTCAGTCGATTAAAGCTCAATTGCAGTTTGCATAAACGTTCCATAGGCTGGTTCAGCTGAATGTATTTAATGTCGTTGTGGTCTATCAAGACTGTATGAGTAGAACACCTTGTGTGGTTCTTACTTACTCGCATTTAATTCTCGTAAATGCTTCAAGTGTTCAATTGAATCAAGACATTCAATTCGATTAAAAGAAACATCCAAGCTTTCGATCTGATTATTCCTAAGTCTGCATAAGCCAATATTCATTTTATGAACCTGTCCCTACCTAATCACGGACTCAAAATTGACCAGACGTCGTATGCAATTGGCTCTTAATGAAAGAATGACCAGACCAGGCAAGTTTTGAAACGTTTTGCATGAAGTGATTGCATTATGACTAGCATCCAGCGTGCGTAATGATTTGAGATTTGACATATCTTGAAATGAATTGATAAAATTATGCGACAAATCAAGGTATTGAAGCTTATCAAGGTGATATATGTCTACATCTGAGAGTCTAGTACAAGTCAATAGAGGCTTCAATATCATATACAAACCTGTTGTGCGAGGCATAGATGTAAATTAAGGATGAAGGGAGTCCAGAAATAGACCTTAATTCATTATGGGATCTGAATTTCAATAAGTTTTATGTTAGTACTACATTCATTGTCTTCAAAATAACGTTACATTTGGAGTACTTCGAGATACGGGAAACAGCTTGCCAAATCATCGATCTGAGCCAAGTTTTGTCGACTAAGATTGAGTTTCTTTAATTGATACCATTCTGTGACATTGGGATATTGTCTTTCTAAATCATAAAAGATGCTTGCTAGGCGTTGTTCGTTCATTGAATCGTCATTGTCATCCTGAGTAGATGCAAAGGTTAAGCGATCTACAATGTTTCTTCGTATCACAAAAGGGTCTTCCTCTTCTCCTTCCTCCTCGAGCTGCTTTTCAATAGGCGGAATATCGGTACAAGGTATAGGTTGATGTATGGTTAAGATAGGCTCTCTTTTAGGTGGAGAAGCATAAGAAGGTATTGAATGGACAGACAATGATTTGTCAAATAATTTTCGATATGCTTTTTTGATTGGCCTTGAAGAAAAATCACCATCATTTACATGCTCATGATTCAATGAGGATTCTAAATTTGATAGTTTTTCTTTAGTGACATTTTCGTCTTCTAGAGACTTTTTTGGCATTTTGAATTCAAAGTTTGTGTTGAATTTACCCATATAGAAGGGAGGAATGAGAGGCGGTGTGCTTTTGTCAGACTGGTTGTGCTGTGTTTCGACATTTGAATTTTCATTCTGCATTGTTTCTACTGACTTTGAAGTTATAAATGGCACTGAGGATCCTAATGTGGTACTTTTCCAAGAAGCTTTTTTGTCTGCGTGTGATTCTCTTGTTTCTTGGTTAGAAGCAGCTGGGTCTGTGAAAGAAGAAAGAAAATAGTCGAAATGTTTATTTGCAGCATTTGTTTGATTAATAGCATTTACTGATTCATTGTTGTGGTGATTGTTGTCGTCATCATCTTCATTGTGGGATGCCTCATTGTCTATCCATGAAACACTTTCTGCTATTGAATGTTCAACACTCAACTCGTCTTTTTCTTCTACCTCTTCTGAATATATATCGTTACCATAAAGGCTTTCATTGTCTGGAGGTGGACTTTCGCAAAATATGTTATCGATATCGTCTTGTGGTGCCATTAAGGGTGATATAGGATCGTCCAAATCATATGTTTCTGGCATCGTCGAGAAACGCGCGAAATCTAGTGATGGTCTCGATGGAACATATGGTTTATGTTGAGATGTGTGAGATGAGTTTGAAGAATCGATCAAGTCCCAATCCTCTTCCATACGGAACTCTTCTTTATGTGTTTAGTGATGGACTTGTTGCTAAGTGTAGTAAAAAAGGAAAGTATTCGTCGTAGAGTTCAGGAACAAGACGAAAAGACAATAAAAAGCAGTAAACAAATGGTGCCTGTGACTTGTTTTATGCACCTCGTTGGTAGCACTAACAAAAAAGTTGAGATTCAAACCAGCAACAATGAGCTGGTTACTTTTACTATGGCTCGTCAAGAAAAATCATGTATTCGAGCCTTGAGTGAACTTTTCTCCTGAGAAATCAAATTCGATTCTCAAAGAATAATATGAAAGCAAAAAAAAAACACCGAGAATATACATTTTTCTGATTTTTAGAGACAAGCAATACGATTGCGCAAGATGATTTCTTTATCTTTGCCTTCCTCTTATGATAAAAATGATTTTTAAATCAGCATTGGCACCTTTAAATTAAAAAGATGTATATGACGTATCTCCGTCTCATCATACTTGACAAGAGAAAGCATGAAAGAAAGAGTCATTGATAACTGCACAGCTCTATACTTCGAATAGATAACTAAAGTCAATAGTATATATTTTTCTCTTTTTTGGTCCTTTTCAGTATTCATTGCTTTGCTTCTTCAAAGACAGGAAACAAAAAAAAATTTTTTGCATTAGTCAAAATGACTTGTGGGTCTGTTACAGTATTTCTACTTTGAATTCAGACGATGTTAGTTTTTTCTAGACGAATCAAAATTAATCTCTAGACTTTTAGCTTACCTTTTTTGGACAAAACGAAAAAGGAAATTAAAAGTTAATTCCTCCTTTAAATAACTATGCAGGATGATTATTAGCAGAGGTGAACACAAAAATTTAGATACACGTCAAACCATACTTTTAGTTACTAAGGCTGATTTTTTTTTTGCTGAGCAAAGTATGTTTATATTTTTTCAGGTACTAGACAAAAGCCAGAGTTATTTTCAATTATTATAAAATACGCACAATTAAATAGACATATATCTGTAGGGCCTCAAATAAAAATAATACATCAGTGATTGAAACTCTAAATAAAAAGATAAAAAGCCGTCAGCTGTACTCTTTCTTCTTTTTTTCCTTATGGAACCTCCTCTAAAGATAGCTACAGTTAAAAGTTCTATTACTGGCATTGAGTGGAAAACGAGATACATTCCAAGTCTCAAATCTCTTGTACTTAAAGTACATACTCTCGTAACACATACTTATGCACTTTTGAAGTATATCTTTACGGAAGAGCTTGAAAACAACATGGATTTTGCTTTGCAGGACCTTGCCAATGTTGATTTCTTCAGAGAAGTCTTTATTTCACTACTTGATAGCTATAAGCCGGATAAAGCAAAACGAAAAGAAAAAGCAAGAAGTTACAAGGAACTTACCAATAAGCATCGAGATACCTATTGCCAACTCGCCTCTTATGTTCCAATCAAACTGAAATATGCGCAACAAATAGGAAGCTATGAAGCTACGAAAATCCACACTGCATACATGAATGGCGTCGCTCTTCATTTCGAGAACAGATTGCGTATGTTTTTGAACCTACTGTTAAAGAAGCAGGAAAGAATTGGCGCTTTGAAAAGTGAAATGAAAAAGAAAAATTGCACAGAAAGCGAAATCTCTACTGCAGTCAAAACCATAGCAAGCCAGTGCATCAAAGTAAAAATGAACATCTCTTTGAGGAGCATCACTGAATTGCCAACGCATCTTTTTAACTCACAAGAAATCGGCGTCCTTCAACAGTTTTTTGATTGCTACCCTTCTGACACTCACTTCAAGAAGAACTCTATTTATTGTGATTGTAAAGCGGACCCATCGAAGCATTTGAAGGCATTTTATTATCTGACGCGATGTTCTGAATCTCTCTACAATAAGTCGTTCAACTGCTTTCCTCTGAGAAGAACATTCATACCTAGTTATATGACTATAGACACATATACCGTAATCACTCAAATTTTAAGAAACTCTGCCATTAGCTACTTAGACAAAGAAGTAATCTGGGGAGCCGTACTGAACATGAAATCCAAAGCTATGAAGCCTCAAGGAGACAATAAACAAATAAAGTTTAGAGGTATTATTTACACAGATGGTATTGCCGTATCCATTTTGAAGCAGACTTTTGACAGTAAGAAGAAAGGTTCTGGAGGCGACATGCGAAATGATAAGAAGATAGAAGAAGACATTGCTTACATAGAAAGTCTGTCGCAAGAAAAACTTCGAGAAAGAACTTACAAAGATAATTGTGTTTTGATTGACCCCGGACGGCGTGATATGTTGTTTTGTATGCACGAAAGCAGTACTGTTGAAAAGAAAAGAGCTTACCGCTATACGAAAAATCAAAGGAACATTGAAACAAAAACAAGAAAGTTCATGAAACTTTATGAAAGACTGAAACCAGAGGCCGTAAGCAATGCAGAAGCAATTCTTTCACGTTTAAAGTCACCCACAGTCATAAAAGATCAATACGTAGAATATATAAAACAGAAAGCTACCGTGACTCAAGTTCTTCAGGAATACTACTCGAATGAAGACTTGCCTTTAGAAGAACGTAATACTAATACGTTACCATTTCGAAAGCTAAAACTATCAAGCTACATTAATTGACAGCAATCTGACAAACGTCTTTGTAAGAGTATAAAAAAACATTTTGGCAACGATGCTGTTATTGTTATTGGTAACTAGTCTGCGGGGAATGTCAAGTTCCATGAACCGATTAGAGGAGTTGGCATGAGAAGAATGCTTCAAAAAGAAGGTTTTCTGGTACATCTGATTGATGAATTCAAAACATGCAGTATATGCCCAGTATGTAAAGGTGATGTAGAAACTTTCAAAGAAGTCGTGAATCCAAGGCCCTTTAGAAGGGAAAAATATCCAACCGTAAAACGCCATGGTCTTTTAAGGTATGAAACTTTTAATTATGCTTAGTTTATTGATAACATTTGTATGTCGTCTAGGTGTAAAAATGAGCAATGCTTGAAAGAAGATCGTCGTCTTTGGAACAGGGACTTACTCGCCGCCCTTAACTTTAGTGAGATTCTCTTTAGTTTACGTGACCACGGTGCAAACACCAAAAAGAACAACAAAAAAGACAAAGATCTCCTTCTATTGAAACGACAGTAGAGAAAGACAATAACAAATCCGAAGTAGTTATCGCTGCTTTCAATCCATGATACAGGGTGAGTTCATTATTTTAATTTTATTTTTCACTTCATCTGAAAACTAATTTCCATTTTGTCTAATTTCCTTTTTCGTTCTGTCCAAAAAAGGTAAGCTAAAAGTCTAAAGATTACTTTTGATTCGCCTAGAAAAAACTAACATCGCCTGAATTTAAAGCGAAAATACTGTACTTGGACTGTAACACATTAAAAAAGAAACTCACTTTCCCCGCATTTTATTTTAATCCTCTTAAAACGGGTCCTACCGGATACTTGAAAATTCCGCTTAGAAAAAGCAACAAGGGTATTCGATATGATAATTTTATCTTTGCTATTTACAAAGCACTTATTTCTATAAGCTCAAGGACAGACGTAGTAAAGAAGCACACTCAAAACACCATTCTCTGTGAGATAAGTCTATCTTGAACCATGTTGATTGAAAATAAAAGTCAAAAAAGACGGGAAACGTCGGATGTAATTCATTGACATCACTACCAGATTGGCTTAACAAGTACAGTTTGATTGGACTTCCGCCCCAGAAAGACGTGTAAAATATATATCCCGAATGAAATAAATTTTTCTCCTTCCGCCGTTACCCGGCAAGAGAAGGGGGAGAATTGGGCCCTAACATAAAATAATTTTTTTTTGTATTGTAATTATTTAAAACGTTTTCTCTCTTTCCCCACTCTTTTTTTTCTTCGTTTTATATTTATTGACAATATGCAATACTCTCGCGTGTCACCCCTTGTATCTAGATTCACTCGTCTTTCTGCCCAAACAACCACAACTGCAGCTTTGCGTCACCTTTCTCAGGTGAGAAACTTGCACGTTCAAGCTCCTGCTGCTTTATACACCGTTGGCCATGAACATTTAAGGTAAAAAAGAAAACAAACCATATAACGCGCGCATTGTTTCGATAAAGATATGCATAGTAACACAACTCAATAGAAAATCCGGTGCTCTTAAGAAGGGTGCTTTTGTTAACCAATTCAGAACCTATGGTAACTATCTCATAAAAAATAGGGGAGCGTTGTATTTATCTTTTACTTCTTTAGCTGACAAGGTTGTCAAGGTGCCTCAAATGGCTGAATCCATCTCTGAAGGTACCCTTAAACAATGGGTGAAACGTAAGTTCTCTTTTTTTTTTTTTGTTGCGGGAAAAAAATATTAACTCGAGCAACAGAGGTTGGTGATTTCGTTCAACAAGATGAAGAAGTAGCCACGATTGAAACCGATAAAATCGACGTCACTGTCAATTCTCCTGCTTCAGGAACCATCGTTGAAATTTTTGCCCAAGAAGAAGACAACGTCTCTGTTGGTGCTGACTTTTTCAAATTAGAACTTGGTGATGCACCAAAGGAAGGTTCGTGGGAATTATCATAAGTGAATGTCTATTAACTCTGTTTAGGTGCTGCTCCTGCTGCCAAGAAGGAAGAACCTAAAGAAGAGTCAAAGCCTGAAGAACCCAAGAAGGAAGAAGCTCCTAAGAAGGAAGAGCCCAAGAAGGAAGAAGCTCCTAAGAAACAAGAACCCAAGAAGGAAGAATCCAAGCCTGCTGCCGAAAAGGCCTATGGTAACCGTAACGAAACCCGTGTCAAGATGAACCGTATGCGTCTCAGAATTGCTGAACGTTTAAAGCAATCTCAAGATACCGCTGCCTCTTTGACCACCTTTAACGAAATCGATATGACCAACTTAATGAACCTTCGTTCTGAATACAAGGATGCCATCGTCAAGAAGCACGGTGTCAAGTTCGGCTTCATGTCTGCCTTTGCTAAGGCTGCTTCTGAAGCCTTGACTGAAATCCCCGCTGTCAATGCTTCTATTGATGGTAACGAAATTGTCTACCATGACTTTGTTGATATGAGTATTGCTGTTGCTACTCCCAAGGGTTTGGTTACTCCTGTTTTGAGAAACGTCGAAGATATGGGTTTGATCGATATTGAAAAGAACATTGCTGAACTTGGTAAAAAGGTATAGTGTATTGAGTGTGAGTGAGTGATATTGACAGCTTCTTTTTTGAAAAAAAAGGCTCGTGATAACAAGATCACCATTGAAGATATGGCTGGTGGTACCTTCACTATCTCTAACGGTGGTGTCTTTGGTTCTTTAATGGGTACTCCTATCATTAACTTGCCTCAAACTGCTATTTTGGGTATGCACGCCATCAAGGAAAGACCTATTGCTGTCAATGGAAAGGTATGTATAAATGAAAAAGGCGTTTTTTTTTGACAGCAATTTAACTGTCCTTTTTCTAATTAGGTTGAAATCCGTCCCATGATGTATGTTGCCCTCACTTACGATCACAGACTTGTCGATGGTCGTGAAGCTGTTACATTCTTGGTTAGAATCAAGGAACTTATTGAAGACCCTAGAAGATTCCTCTTGGGTGTCTAAATAATGTATGGTCATGTATAAAACTCTGTCTCTCCCTTTACAACTCAAATTCATTCGACTTTTTTTTTCTTTTGCATTTCTTATCAATTTTCCCCTTCTCTATTTAATAAAAAAAAAGTAGAAAGAAAGGTGTAATACATGTATAAAATAGAAACCATATACTGTGCACTCATTCTCTATCTTGTGTTTCGATAAAACTCATCATAACAATCAGATATAAATATTTATTCTTTGCTTAGATAATAAGGATGACAAAGACATTGTGTTACAGATAGGATATAAATTAGAATTTAACAAGTACTGACAAGAACCCAAGTAGACCAGGAAGGACCAGATGGTGATGGTGTTTCGCCTTGTGTCCACCATTGAGCCTTATAGAGGTTTCCATTGTATTTGACAAAAGATCCACCAGTATAGACAGCAGTAGAAGACCAAGTGGGAGTAGCACTACAACCAAAGACATCTGTAGGTTTACCACTAGAACTGGTAGTTGTGACACTTGCGGTAGTTGTGACACTTGCAGTGGTTGAACTGGAGGGTGCGCCAGTAGTGATAGGATTAGCTGGTGTGTTGCCACCAATCATAGGAGCAATGGCATCAAGAAGTTCACCATTATCTTGTTCAATGGACCAGACAAACAGACCAGCCAGTCCCTTTTCAAGAGCATAGTTTGTCTTGACTCCAAGCGAGGTGGGATCATCATAAGAAATGAATTGCTTGTTAGTAGGGTTGTACAACCAAGGTGTTTGAGTGTGGTTGTCAAAGTGACGAATCCAAGGAGAGGCAGCTGTGTTTGGAGAAGTAAGAATGCCTTGAGAACGTATGTTGGTCCATCGCCAAACACCAGAAGCTTGAGAGCTGTCCTTGGAACAATAGGGATTGGTCCAAGGTCCATCAAGAGAATCACCAAGTGGAGGGTTAGGAGAAACAGCAGGATTGTATTGAGTAGTAGGATCACTTGTGACGGTCAATGTTTGAGCACGGCCATAGAAAGGAATACCTCCTGCAATCTTGTTGTAGGGAACACCAGCCTTCTTCCAGCTCTCAATGCCTTCAACAAAACCATAAGGATAGCCATGTCCAGGTTCAGCGTGGAAAGGTGCGTTAGGTCCACTGGTAGAGTTCCAAGCACCGTTGACATCAAAAGACATAACATGGAAACGGTCAACATAAGGAACGAATTCAGAGACATCAGAAGTTATCGTCTCTCCACCCCAAGGAGTAATGTGAACTGCAATCGAAATTTCTTTATGGACGTCGGGGAAATTGGAGTCCAAGGCAGCACGAAGTTCTTTAACAAGCAAGTTGAAGTTGGCAACATCATTATCGTTGACAGCATTACAACCTGCACCAAGTGAAGTAGGGTATTCCCAATCAATATCAACACCATCTGTATTGTACTGCTTGATAAAGTCAATGTTCCATTTGATAAAGCTAGCACGATTACTAGCAGAAGCAGCCATAGGAGAGAAACCTGTAGATCCAGACCAGCCACCAACACTAACCAAAACTTTAGTGCCAGCAGCATGGGCCAAAGACATGAGCTTAGGGAAACCATATTGTACATATTCTTTTTAGAAGAATTAGAATCTCATGCATACATTATACGTTGACCACTTACCATCAAAAATACCACTATCTTGCCAGATAGGAACGCCAGCACTGTTTTGGATTGCAAAAGCATAATTGATGTGGGTGTATTTCTTAAAGTTAATCATGGAAGGCGTGTATCGGCCATAGAGCCAATTAGGGAAATAACCTACAATGACTTTGTTGGCGTCTGCGCGAGCCCGAAGCCCAACAGGAGATGCAGAGAATCCTTCAAAGAAGCAAAGAGAGGCAGCAACCGAGATCAATAGAGTACTAATCTTCATTATTGTTTATGTGGAAAAGAAGAAAATTAAAATTAAACTGAACTCTTTTTTTTTCAGGGACATATATATATACGATTTTTGTTTTGTTATTGTTTTTTAAATTATGTAAATACACAAGATTAAAACGAGTAAGCTGCTATTAGGGTCTTGTGCAACTTTTTCAGGGTCAAATCCACCCGATTGACTGTGTAACGAGCACTTGTGACACGAATTATAGTTTGAAATTACCCAAAGTTCGCAGTATAGAGACGTCAATTGCATTCATAATTCAGATAATTAGTTATTTTGAGATGCTCTATAACGGTTCTGTTTAGATATTTCCTAAACAATAAACGCTTTCTCAAATTAAGACCATGTACATTGTTATATTGATGATGCACAAGTCAGGTGTGTATACATGTGTAAGGAAATAGTACTTTGTTAGACTCAGTATGTAAGCAAGGAAAAAGTGAGAATTCGTTCTTACCGTTTTTCTTTTAGTATGATGTTTGTGTGGTTGTATTCTAATTTGTTCCGAGGTTTACTTTACGACATGTTTACATTCTTTTTGAAAACAAATAAATCCCATATTTTATTGAAGAATACAATAAAAATCACAAGAATCGTTCTTTGACTCCATCAAAGTAACAAAAAAAAGGGACCCTTCTCATGAAGAGAATCTATTACGTGAGAACCCCTCTTTCTCCTTTGATACAGTAGTACATTGAATGTACAACAAATACCAAGTACCAATACATTTTGAAGAAAAGGCGGGCTATTTTCGTTTTAAAACATTTAATACAATGATGGTGTGACATGAAAACATAAAGCATCAGAATATCATGCGGAGAAAGGGTGTACATGAGGTAGTTTATATCATGTAGTGTATGACTATATTCGATCGATAGTACAGTAGTCTTTTTTTTTCACGTAGTATTTGTTCTTGAGGACTTATGTAATTTATTGTATTGTGCCTGAGAACAAAGCTTTTATTTATTCGCACATGTCATTTCTTTTCTCTCGTTCATAGACTCTAGGAGTAATGAGGGTCCTCATTGTTCTTTTTTTTTCTGGTATAGGGGATCATTTGCGGTTTTTTATAATGTAGTCTATTGATGTTTCATGAGAAGCATTTTTAGCAATGTCTTATTGTTTTAAAGTGAACATAGTCCTTATCAGCCTTGGCAATCTTACAAGGTAAAATAATGGACCTTTTATTGAAACAAATAGATAGAGATTATGTCAGACTATGTGTGATACAACGTGATATTTCAAATAAGGTGTCTCTGTCTTTAGTATCTATAGTTTGGTTCTTCATGTTACATACGGAATCCTTTATCATAAAGAACTCTGTTTGTGTAATTGAGATCTTTATTAGGCGATGCATCTGAGGATGTTGCTGCTTGCGTACTAGAAGCAATAAACATTTGGCTTGGTGTGTGATAAATAGAGTACAAAGAAATCACCTCAAGCTTGAATACATGAACTATATAGGATTGCCATTGCAAATATACAAAACTTTGGCTAATTAAAGCTACTTTGTTTAGTAAATAAAGCATTGACAACTACGAGAACAATATGAATTTAAGTCTAATGCATAAAAATGGAACAGGCGTTAGATGAAAATTAATGATAGCCTTTAGTGAATGATTACCGTAGAGAGCAAAGCAATCGTAATTTGTTTGACTATAAAGAAAATTAGATAAGCAGGACACATTTTAAATTTTATCAAGATTCTTTACCATTCACAAATACTACTGTATGTTCCTTTAACTGTTGCAATTGTCAACATAATAATAACCATCATAAACACAATGCAACAGATATAGGATGATATACGCTTTTTAGGTGACGACGGTTGATTGTTTAAAAATGAATAAAAGGGTAGAGTTCGATTTCGCATTATAGGTTGTTCATTTGGCTGACAAGCCGTTGTTTGTTGCTGTTCTGATGGTAATTGCTCCTGATTGTTTTGAACATCGGAAACATAGCTTTCATTCACTACTGATTGCTCTTGTTCTCCGTATGCTGGAGGTGGACTCTCAGGGTATTGGGAATTCGAATTTGTTGGTAAACTGGAGGAACCTATCCAAAATATAGTCAATTTAGTATTCAATTATATATGTTCTACTTGTTACCATCTTGTTGTTCAATTGGTAATGTCTTTGTCATGAAAGATCTATCTAAAATAAATAAATAAAAGAAGCAAAGAATAACATCAAGTATGCTTTTAATAATAGGATGTATTTATCATTTTTGTTGATATGTTTTTACAGAATACAGTTTACATACGCAACTAAATTTTAAATCAAATACTTGTTGGCTTTCTTTTCTTAGAGCAACCAAAAATCCTAATTAATGAGCTGTCTAAAAACAAGGGGAAAAGTGGTGTATTAGACAAGTAAAAGTATTGTTTTATTAGATCATGTGGTTGGAGGTACACACTTGGTAAAATACTAGAACAAAGCAAATAATCAGACTATGATAGCCAACGCAAACATGACGGCAGCTAATACAATAGAAGCACCCATGAAGTTGGTGCTATAGACAAGTGAGTATTTTTATCGTAATACAAACAAATACTTACTTTGCTGAGTTAGGTTGACCATTACCGTTAGAAGGAGTAGGAAAATCAGGTACAGGTTTTGTAGGAATCATAGTTGAAGAGATTTTGGTTGGCAACATGTTGGTTGAAGAAGCAAATGTTGAAGAAGCAAATGTTGAAGAAGCAGAAGTAAGAGAAACAAAAGTGGAAGTCGACCATGGAGCACCGGAAATGGTAGAAGGCAATTCTTGATGAGCAGTAGTTGTGCTATGCTGCCATTTTTCATCCTTTTTTGATTCATGTTTCCAATCATCATGGTTTTTGGATCCATTGTTCCAATCATCATGGTTTTTGGATCCATTGTTCCAATTGTCATGGTCTTTGGATTCGCTGTCCCAGCTCTTAGGTTCTTGAGACCCATGATTCCAGTCTTCATGTCCCTTTGATTCATGGTCCCAATTTCTATGTTCTTTAGATCCGTGATCCCAGTTTTTGTGGCTATCACTGCAACTGTTAGGATCATCTTTCTTGCATTCTTCTTCATGGTGATGATACTCTGAAGCAACCACTTTAGCTGCGACAAAACTTATAAGCATTAAGAAGAGCAAACACGTCTTGGCAGTAACAGCATCAATAGTAGTAAACTTCATTTTCAATAAATAAGATTAAGCTATTGTTGTACAATATGGTAGTTGACAATGCAAAAACATGTTCCTTTTATATAGAAACACAACTCTTGGCAACATAGTTTCGTTATAACGGTAGCCTGTACCCTTCTGCTATACATAGCATTTAGCATATACAAAAGCATTCAAGCAAAACCCTTGTGTTGTTGTCATTACAGCATAATGCAGTTTGCATCGTAAATATCAATTTTAACCGAAAGTAAGCCTGTCTAATTTTGACCACATGTTTAAGCGGCTCCTCCTTTCAATGCATGTACATTGACAGTAATACTTTTCATCTTTTGTTTTATGCTATTTCTTTTGAATGCCTTGAAATTTAATCTTTAGGTTATTCTTATGAACAGAAAAGATGTATTCATTTGTGAATGTAGTCTGTGTTGGGCATCTTCACAACAATTGAGTGCATCTCACTTGTAATAGTCATTTTTAGCATGGTATTTTTTTCTCGATTCAACTGAGGTTAAAGTAGTGGTGAAGCACAGAGATGTTCAAAAAACGCTATTCTATATTTCTATGATTTCAATCATGAATGCATGTATTTGAATGATGATTTAACTAAAGCGACGGTCAAAAGTGGCTATCATAAACTAGATGCACTATATGTGGTTTATTGACTCTGCTTTATGCGTAAATGCATCTGGAGGTGCTTTAATTGGGAGGTTTTCTACTCTAACTATATCCTTTTTCTGTTTCTTCTCCAAGGTTCCATACATAAACAAACTCTTTTACATTGCGAATGCTTTGTTCTAACGATAATTCAGAAGTCAACCTATGTACAAGACTTTTTTTATAGCACTTGAGTCTAAAGGAAGTTGATTTTATTAAACATATTTCAGTTGGAGATAATGGATAAGATGTCCAAAAAGAACTTACCGGAAGCACAGGTTACCAAACAGATCACAAATAAAGTTACTGTTTCGAAATTCAAATGCCATCTTATTTTTTTTTTCTCCTCCCCCCCTTTTTTTTTCTAGACAACCTCTATGTCGAGTAATCCTAAAAGAACAATACAGCCTAGGCCAACTAAAGCCTCCATGCTAAGACTACAAAAACAACAAGGCTCAGGCCTTGTCACAGCACAAGAAGCACCTACCAAAAAGCCAGAAACACACGTTTCTACAGCCACGTCATCGCGTTCCAAGAGCACAGTTGGAGCCACAGAAGGTGTCAAGGCTTTTATGGCTCAACAACGAGCTCGTTTAGCCAAATCAAATACGGTCGAGCAAGAGCCCAAAAAACGACAGAACAATTTTATGACAGGTGCTGAGCGCTATGGTGGCAAAACTGACCGAGACGAGGCATCACAGACCAACACAAGAAAGATACAAGTCGTGATAAAACAAGCTAAATCGTCCGGAAAACTAAATATCTCGAGCAGGGGATTGACAAAGATACCAGAAGAAGTGTTGAATATGTACCATGTAGATCCTAATTCAATTGTGGTTGATTTTTCTTCTTCTGGAGATGCTTGGTATGACTCAGTTGAATTGACACATTTGATAGCAGGCGATAATGCATTGACTGATATGGATGAGAGAATTGGTGCCGAGTTTGGTGCTTTAAAGCAAATCGATGTAAGTTTGGTTCTATTGTAGTGAGTGTTTGCTTATGCTGTTATTTCAGTTTCGCGATAATAAGCTTAAGGCATTGCCCGACTCTTTACAGAATTTACAAAATTTGACCAGCGTCTTGTTGCCTTACAATCAATTTGAGACTGTGCCTGCTATTCTTTCAGAGCTCAAGCAGCTTCGAGAACTTAATTTATCGCATAATCAAATCAAGGGAGATGTCAGGATTGAATCAAGTACATTGGAACAGTTGGATCTTGGCTATAATGAAATCAGAGGATTTGACATGCCTCGCAATACAAGTTTGATCAAGTTGAATTTAAGTCATAACCAGTTAGAGGAATTGCCACTTTCTTTCAGGAGCTGGTCCAAGTTACAAGACCTAAATGTTAATCAAAATAGACTTGTATCTTTATTTCCAGGTAAAAAAAAAAAAAAAAAAAAAAAGAGACTTAATAGGCTCACATTTTACAATTAAAGCTATTCGTGATAGTACATCTACTGTGACTCTTGCTTCTCTTGTTCGGTTAGATGCAGGCAATAATTATATTACAAGTATGGTAGAAGGAAACCAAGGACAAGTGTTGATGCCTAAATTAATTGAATTATCGCTTATGACCAACAAACTCGATGATTCTGGATTAGAAGGTCTCAAAGATACGCCTTATTTACAAACGCTCGACATCTCATCAAATCAACTGAAAAACATTCCTTTACTTTTGACGGATTTGGAACAACTTGAACGTTTGGATATCAGGGGAAATCAATTACACACTTTGCCCTATGAATTGGGTAAACTCACTCGACTTAAAGCTATTCAATGTGAAGGAAACCCTATGCGTTCATTTACATCCATGTCTCAAACACAACTGATTGAATCTTTGCGTGGAAGCTATGCTCAACAAGAATCAGAAGAACAAGAAGGAGAAGCAGTGAAAAAAGAACAGGATATGGACATTACAGTAGAAGAATTGAGTCGACAATTGACTCAAAAGGTCAATTTGTCTGAACGTCTTGATTTATCTCATAAAGAATTGACCAACATACCCAGTGAATACTTAGAATTCAAGCAAGAAGTACCAGGCACTCTACTTTTGAATCACAATCAATTCATTACATTCCCCATCATACCACTCACCAAGATATCCGACTTTATAGTTACTCTTGTGTTGGATCATAACCGTCTTACCAGCTTTAATTTGTCATTGGAAGGTGTTGTTTTTGCCCATCTCAAGACACTTAAACTCAACAACAATCGCATTAAATCACTCGAATGCAACCCCAACACAGCTTCCTTTCCTCGACTGGAAGAATTGTCTTTGAACTACAATGCACTCACGACACTTTCTGATGATTTGCCCAAGGTATTACCCTCACTCAAAATACTTTTGGCCAGTTCAAACAAGTTGGATAATTTGACAGACGCTTGTTTTGGACAAGGTCTGGAAATACTTGATATCAGTAACAACGATATTGGTTATTTGCCACCTGGATTATCTAGAATTCAATCCTTGAAAGAATTGGTAGTTTTCGGCAACAGGTAAAGTGAATGATAAACCCAATGGTATAGTTGTTTAACTCTACAATAGATTTCGAGTGCCCCGTCCTGCTGTGGTAGAACAAGGAACAAAAACTATTTTGGAGTTTCTTAAGCGTCGTTATCAAGCTTCTAATGAATAAATACCTACTAAATTATATATCAAGTCATATTTAGTCACTGGACCGCATTTCTACTCATAAGCAAGTTTCATTGTCAAGTGCAAATGCATTTAAAATAAGCTTTTTTAATTTATTATACATGCTGGCTGTATTTATATACAAGAAATAACATTGTAGAACGCAATAAGAAAAGTTGACATGCTTCAAAGGGGGAAATCTGAGTTTAAATTAGTATTCTCATCAAAAAGAAATAATGGACTAAAAGTATATCAAATGAGTGTATTAACAAAGCTGGTAGATATAAACATGATATATTTAATGATGTAAAGAATATAGTATATCTGTCAATAAGATATTTAGCTATCCTTGAAAAACGTCATTTTTGTTTTTGAGCCCTAGCGTACAACCTTTTGAGTATTTTTGCAAATATAACACCTTGAGTGTGTTTTATAGACCTAGAGAAACATTTCTTGCTAACACATATCATGTTAAAAACGTCTATATCGCTCACAAACTGCAAAATAATGAAAATCGAATATTTTTTTTAGGGGATCAAAGGACAAAATGACGAATTTCTGACTTTTTCAAAATGTGCTATATTTTTGCATGAACATGTTCTTTTATGTATACTCAAACATAGGAAACTCATAAAAAGGGAATTAGAAGGCAGAAAGGATGATTTACGTTGAGAAACACTCACGCCTGTAGCGGGCTGCCAATACAGTGCTTATAGAATATGATGAAATTAAAACAAGCTAATGTTTTGTTTATTTAAACATGAAAGCACTAGAATGACAAAAAGCAGTAATTTTATTGAATCGACTACTTGTTTCTGCAGCATCCAAATCTCTTGACAGAAAATCGAATAAAATTCTGAAGATGTACCAAAAGAATAGCTTCACAGGCTTTAATGATTCTTGACCTGAGTGTCTTAACGTTGCTGAGCTTTGAATGCTTGATTTTGCTCTTCATGAAACCTAGCAAAACAATAAAATGATTCAATAGTATATCTATACCTGCAGCTAAAACGTATCAAAAAACACGCGAATCATCTAGAAAATGGACAATCCCACTCTGCCAGCCCCACCGGTCACAAACGCAGTGTTGAATGCCTTTAGTGCCAAGTAGTTGTCCAAACCCAAGAGGCAAGGGAATGCTAGTTAGCAAAGTGGTCTGGCGCCATGATGATAGAACTTCCACCCGTGTCTTGCCACGGTACCTCAGAAGAACATCACGCTGGTTTTTAACATCTGCTGAATCTGTTGAGAGAGACACAGACATTAGAGCCAGTTCCATCTAACTACAGTGGTATTATCACTCTGTAAACCCGCCTGTCACAGATGCAGTGTTGAATGCCTTTAGTGACAAGTAGTCGTCCAAACCCAAGAGGCAAGGGAATGCTAGTTAGCAAAGTGGTCTGGCGCCATGATGATAGAACCTCCACCCGTGTCTTGCCACGGTACCTCAGAAGAACATCACGCTGGTTTTTAACATCTGCTGAATCTGTTGAGAGAGACACAGACATTAGAGCCGCCCACTGTAGTGATACTTGATAAAGAAAAAGATGAATACTAGGTACATGGGTGGACCAAGAATTTTGACGACTAAAAATATGAAATTATTGGCCGAGGTAAATAGTCCATATATGGCATGTGTTACAAAAATGACTGGCTGAAACGCGTAAAACGAACGCTAGTACGTGAGGAATCTTCTAAACTTATAAGCAGCTCAAACAACATAGTCCTGCTCAAACCTGCAAAATACACAAGTCAAACGAAAAGCTAGAATTATGCTCTAGCGATATACAAAAAGCTTGTTTTATTAATTGTCTACTAGCCACTTAGGAAAACTGAGCGACTTCCAGATATTTAGAAATATTTGTACAATTCGTCCAGCCAGCTTATGTCACGGATGATGTACAAACATCTCCTTTTTTCATGCGAAATGATAAACTATTGTGAAAAGCTTGGATACAAAATACAGGATGTCTTCTTATTTTGATTAATTGGACTTTAGAGCAGTTAAGGAGCAAAGAAATATACCACTCTTTTTATTCTTCTTTCTTTTTCTTAACAAATACACAGCGTGTTCAATAAGACGATGGGTTATGACAGCCATGTGTATGGTACAAATGTTACTCGTACAACGACCATATCAACAAAGATAAGCATACTGCATAAGAAGACAGAAATCTGTGATGATCTGAGCACTTTTCAATACAAAATATAATAAATAGTCTTTCATCATATAAATGAATAACCACTTATAGTACTATATATCATAGATATAAAGGAAGCATTGTATAATGACAGTAAATAACGATAGCTAGGATCGTATGGATATTTACAAAAAGGAAACCATAATGGTAACTTTTAGATAACCAGGAGGATTAAAGGAGAATTTGCATAACCAATTCCCAGGTACACGCTGTCAAAGTATTAAGTAATCAATAAGCAATAATCACAATTAGTCAATAAATCAGGTAGTATAAAAGACAACCTGGGAAAGATATATTTTAGATAATAAAGAAGTACTGAACAGTCTCACTGTATTTCTTTGTTTTCTTTTTATTCTCTTTTTCTACATGTCAGATCTGGATACTTATAAAGCGAATTTCAAAACGTCAAATAAATACTTGAAATACTTTTGCAATCAACCTGCATCTAACTGGACACTCGAAAAGTTTAAAAAGACTTTTTATGACAAAGATGCTGAAAAAGCGAAGAAAGCCTTTATTAAAAATCTAAATATTGTCAAGCATGACGCGAAGAATATTCCTTCCGTTGTAAAGCAGCACATTGACCGAGAAATAAATTCTTTCAGCTCTGCCACCCGCGATATTACAAACATTACAGTATGCAAACATTTACTTGTGCTATTATATGTTATACTAACCTATTTCTATATTTGTAGGTGAAGGGAAACTACTATCATGTAAGTATCTCGATCTAAAAACATCCCATACTATTTAAAAGATCTACTCACAACTGTTATAGGCTGAAAGAGACATATTTGTCAATGAAGCAGTAGAAAGAGACACAAAAAAGCAGAAGGTAAGCTAATAGGAAATGTCATTCTCCAGCTAATATGATTTTTTGTCTAATAGATTAGCCATAAAGGCAAAGAGAAAGAAAGCGAAGATGTAGAATTCACCCAGAAGTGGGTTGAGTTTTTAGCTGATGCCGAGAACAACAAAAACTTTCATCGTTACAGGTAAAATGAACCAGTTATAAAGTTGAAGGGCTTTCATTAATCTTGATTGTAGCCCAGAGAAGAATGGCGTGACCCGTTTGGGTGCCAAGTTTTCGCCTCACCCTCATGTTGACAAAGATCTTTACCGAGAAATGAAGAAGCAAATTGGGCAAAGCCAGAGTTATGATTTTGGCGCTGATATGAAAGAATACATAATCAATGTTTTAAATGCTGTAATTACCCTCGGCAGTTGTGCTTTGAGTTAAATCAGAAAAAAAACATTTTTACTCATTTGTTCTTAGGATGATGCTGCTAAAGTCAAAGTACCCCAATCTTTAGTAGAAAGCAAAGAAGGCATCTGTCAGCTTACTTTTGACACGCTCAAAATCATGTATGTACAATACTATTGCGAGATTTCGATAATGGACTAATGTCTGCTAATAGAAACAAGGTCTATATGAAGAGGCCATCAATTTCTCGTTCGGAAGTAGTGTATAACACTATCATGATCTTCCCTTGCCTTGAAGCAATGCTCTCTTTGATGAAGGATAACGATTTCGAGCCTTATTTTGTTCCAGGCGAAGATGAACTCGAAGCTATGACGAAGCAGTTGAAGAAAATGGGAGGAAAGGGGGATAAAAGGAAGATATACAAGGCTGACGGGGTAATCCGCCTTGCTCAAGAAGATGATCTGGAAATACTTGTTCTTGAGACGGCAGGTGCTTTTGGTCACGATGACCATGCCAAGGCAGCGTTTGACAATTCGAAGGGAATGTTTGCCTCGCTGGCCATGCTCAAGACCATAGCTGACAAGTATAAGTTTGCTTCAGTTACAGAGTTTAAAAAGCTCAGACTGTATCTTGTTCAGCCAAGCGGTAAACAATAGAAGTAATTTTCTTTCTTTTTCCTTACTAACGATGTTATTGTGTCTAACGCTTAGAACGGCACATTCGGCTTTGGTCTATGCAATATACTAAGCATGGAATTTACAACTTCGTCCGAGAAGACAAAGTTTCAATTAAGGAAGACAGCAATGACAGGGAGGAGCAGCTGGCATCCCTGGTCAGCTTTTTGTTGAATTTGAAGGTATATCTTCAACTTCAAATGTCAAAGAAGGAAAATAACACATATAATTTACTTTTTTAGGTTTGCCTGGATAAGACAACAAAGGCAATTGCATCTCTGAAGACTGAACACGATGAAAAGGAGAAGTGTTATGACAGTGAAACAAACAGTCAATTGGTCCTCCTCTCTGAGATAATATGCCCTGATATTTTTAAGTCAAGTTTCAACACTCATGGTCAACACTTTGCTCAAGAGCATTTTAAAAGCTCACCAGAAAGTGATTATTAAAATCCTTGTCTTTTTTAACTTTTCGTTTGACTTGTATATTTCACAATTCTGAAAGACCTGCAAATAAGCCGTGCGTAACCGTACTTTACTAAGCAAGTGAGCAGGACTATGCTGTTTAAGCTGTTCATGTCCTTTGTGTGTCTGTATACACACTAGCCAATCATTTTTGCAAAGCCTGCCGTATATATACATGTTTTTTTTTTTCTGAGAAGCCTGACCTTTTTATTTTTAAATTTTACCATGACCGATACGACAATGCCCCCTCACCCTGGCCTTGAAAAGCTAACCAACATTGACGAGCTTAAGCACCTTTGTCCTGCCTTTTCCAAGGGTTGTCCTTATGCTGCACTTGAAGAAGTAGACTCACTTGCTGTAAGTCATGGTGAATTATCTCGATGGTAAGTTGTATTTTACACTCCATTCCCTCTTTTCTCATACTTTTTTATTATGATAGCCCTGCTTTTAAAGATGGTAAGTTAGTCTATTGATCGAAAGTGTTCCTTAACTTTTTTAAAAGGATGTCCTTTCTCTACCAAGTCTGAACAAGAAATCATGGATTTAATGGCACAGATTCCAAAAGATCACCCCACATTAAACATGTCAGGTAAAACGATTACATAAGCATTCAATTGTTACTTACACTTTACAGAACTTCCTTCTTGTGAAGAGGGCGTTGTGCTTGTCGAGATGTTGAATCGTTTCCTTGACAAGTCTCAATTAGAAACTCTTTTTGATATCAAGCAAGAAGAAGAAGCTCAAGCTGAACCTGAGCCTGAATACCTTGAAGATCCTCAATTGGCTTCTGCTATGCGTGAAGGTACCAAAGTAGTGCACAGAGCAGCTGAGACTAGTGTCTTTACAAGGTAAATTGATAAAATATCTACATGTCTTAATCACACACACACACACACACACACACGCAGACGCTTTCTCAAGGGTGATATTAATGCTAATGAATATGGTCGTTATATCAATTCACTTTATTTTGTCTACAAGTAAGTGTTGCGTGTATGCTATAGTATGTACTGACCTACAATGCAAGATATATGGAAGAATTGCTTGAACAATACAAACAACATCCTGTTGTCAAGATCATTCATTTCCCCTTTGAACTCAACAGAAAAGAATCTCTTGAACAAGATCTTGCTTATTTCTATGGTCTTGACCGTGTAGAAGAACTCACTCAACCTAATACCATGACACCTGCTGTCAAGAAATACGTTCAGTCCATGAAAGACGCTTGTGCTAAAAACCCTGCTCTTTTGATTGCCCATAGTTATTCTCGCTATTTAGGCGATTTGAGTGGTGGTCAAATCTTGGCTAAACGACTCAAGAAGCATGTGTTTGGATTGGATGAAAACGACAGTAGTTGGGATACAATTGAAGGTTTACGTTTCTATCATTTTGAAAACTTGGGCAACCAAGCTGATTTCAAGAACTTTTATCGTGAACGTTTGAATGCTGCCAAAGTGGATCAACAGACGCGTGATTTGATTGTAGCTGAAGCTGTTCAGTCGTTTGAATTAAATATTGATTTGTTTGATGAAGTACAAGCACTTTCTGAAGCTGATATGCTTGTGCCTACTGTTATTCAACAAGAAGAGGAAGAGCTTGTGGATTTGAAAGAAGAAGTCATTGAAGTAGAAACGACGACTACTTACACTGATAGAGCGATTGAATCCATTGACCATCATCATGAACCTAAAAAGACACATTGGCTTCGCATCTTGACCATGAGTATGGCTGCTCTTGCTGTTAGTGTAGCTGTTTATAACAGATACAAGAAATAGACATTTATTCCCTTTATGCTTTTAAACAACACGTAAACCAAAAAACCAATAAACAAATACAAGTAACAATGTCATCATGGCTGGTAAAAGGTCAAGTTGTACAATAAAATAAATCCAAATGGTAGCTAATCCAGGTGCACGCATCATTTGGCCCATGGAGGGAGAACGGTGTAAGGTGTACATCAAAAAAGCACCAATTACAGTGGAGCCTAGTGCCATGAAGAACTGTGTTGTCTTTTTTGACTTGTATCGATTTGTCAAATAAATCACTGGAGCCAAGGCTATGCATCAGTTAGTAAATGCTTCTATGTCATATCACCATACCTGGTGCTGCTTTAGCACATTTCATAAAGAGACTAGCATAATCCCATGATTCACTGAATTGAACCTTGACAGTGACATCAAATGTGCCCATCAAAAAGGCAAATGGAATACTTAAAAAGATGGCCTGCCATATATACTCTGATGTACTGGTTGATTGTTGTTCCAGTTCGGCTTCTCGTTTCTTGACTTTTTGTAAGAGTCCTGTTTCGTTAATCAAACGAAGCTTTTCATCTTCAGGAATCGCGTCCGAAGATGATGGTATCTTGTCAATCAATGGTTTTGCTGGTCCCTTCTTTTTATATTCAGAAGGTCTAATGCCTGCTTGTTTTTTGCTCATGGAAAAGTAAAGAAAGAGAGATAAAAATTATAATTCCTCTCCTTATTATTTAAGTATTTTTCTTCTAATGAGTTTATTATGTTACATGGATGAATGCGTGTTTAGATTTCGTGTTCGGCTAATAACATGTTAGGAATGCCATTTCTAATCTTGTACACATGGCTACAATTGGGACAAACCATTTGACCTTGTTGAACATGAGTCTATCGAAAGAAAGAATGAGTTGATATACTATTTGTTTATCCACCTACTTCTAAAATAACACTGTGAACAAGTTTCAAAAACTCTTCATTTTCACTAGCATCTTCAGGCATTTGAGCAGGAAGGGTATTAATGCCAAGCTACCATTCAAAGTCAACATTCAACCTAGATTTCTGGTATTGATTACCTGAACAGCAGTAGAACACAATGCTTCCCATTCGAGTTTGTTCAACATGTTGGAAATAAATTCAGGATTAAAATCAGCCTCAATCAACTCAACTTGGACATCTTCAAAACGAAGAGGAAAGTTATTATTGTTGCAGTTCTTGACGTGGCATTGTAACATGTTGTGTGTGATGAGTCTCATGTTGGCTAATGAAGGAATGAAAAACCCAAAAAAAAATTGTTATGCGAGTGTATTATAAATAAGCCACAGTAGCGGAACCAATCGAATCAATGGATTTGCATCCATTCTTCTTTTCAGCATACAGCTATCCTACATAGGTCTATTTCAATCCTTTTGTCAAGCTTGTTATCTTTTATTCAATAGCTACTATGGCTTCCTCTAGTTCATATCCTTCCGTACGACCCATGTAAGTGATTCAATGGTGTCCGCATGGTGGAGATTAAATATAATATTCCGTTAGGAAAAAGCGCAATAAAGTCTCGAGAAGAGAACTAGAGACACTTCGCGATGACAACAGTAAACAAGGTAATTATTTATGCAACAAGACAGCATTAATGAGACAGCATCAGCTAAAAGAGACTTGCCTAAATGTCCCATTTGTGAATACCGCATTGAACCAGCTTACTGGGCAGATCATTACCAATATGAACTGGGTCGACTAGCAGAACCCACTTCAGAAGCTTACCTAAACCCATCAAACCAAAAGTAAACATCTATCCAACAATCCATAAAACTCATTTTATCCTATAGTAAAGGAAAGCGAGGTGCTGCTGTGGCAGCGAAAAGACAACTCGAAGGCAAAGGCAAAAAGAAAGCAAGTGTCTATGAAGAAACATTAGAGAGGATACAAAAGAACAGAACACAAAGAGCAGATCGATTAAGGAATATGAATCAAACAGGACCTGTGGAAGCAGAGACACAGCATGATTCTGAAGTTGCTTTACGGGTGATGATGGAAGAACAAGAGGGCTCAAGTGAAGTACAGACATGCTTTATTTGTAATGAACGTCTCTTTGGTGATTTAGAAGCCATCAATTTACATATCGACAATTGTCTAAATAACCCACAAACACCACCAGAACAAGAACCAGAACAACAAGAGCAATCTGGTTGGGAAGAATATGAGTGGGCAGGACAACGACGAGTAAGAGCCACTGCCATGATGGAGGGTGGTTATAGTGGAGCGGGATTTGCGACTGCAAGTAAAGTAGAGACAGAAGAAGATGATGAAGATTTAGATGTAGAGGAAGATGATGCTCAATTTGGTCATAGTCAATACACTGAACGAGATATTGTGGTCAGTGTAGAAGATGAGGATGCTTCTGCTTTACATGAAATGGTATCAGGAGGAGCACCTCGCCAAGGATTTGAAGAAACCGTATCTGAATGGGAGCATACAACAAAAGACAATGTTCAACCTACACAATCGACCCTTTTGATTGATTCTCTAAAAGCACGTATTCACCAATTGGAAAGCACAAAGGCTTTTAATTGCTTGATTTGCTTGGAACCTTACAAGACACCATTAACTTCAATTGTATGTTGGCATGTTCATTGTGAAAAATGTTGGTTACAGACACTAGGCACGAAAAAACTATGTCCACAGTGTCAAAAGATCACAACACCAGCAGATTTACGTCGTATTTATCTCTAGTTTTGTAAATAATAAAGTGTAATTAAAATATATCAATTAGTGTAACACACACACACACATACACACACACATACAAAAAGAAACGATTGTGCCGAGCTTTCTTGTTTTTCTCTCTTTTTTTTTCTCTCTCCCCCTTTTTTTTTGTTGTTTACTATGCCTTTTTCGACTCTTCTTTCAAGGTCAAAATCAGTCCTTTTAAAACTAAACCATAGGAAACGACCGAGTCAGTCCTCTACTTTAAGTTTGTCTCTCTCTTCTTGCTCATCTGACATACTAGACACTTTTCTTGACAACACAAATTCAAAGCACCTTTATAAACGAGCCAACGATTATTTATTTGGAAGACATGGTCACTCTGTATCTTCTAAACTCGCAGTTGCTTATTTGATCAAAGCCACTGCTCTAGGCAATGCCAAGGCTGAAGGTGTCCTTGGCTTTTGCTATGAATTTGGCATAGGTGTCGAGACTGATTTTGTACAGTCTGAACATCATTATTTAAATGCAGCCAAACGCAATGATGGCCTTAGCATGGCTCGATTGGCCTTTTTAAGAAAATACGGGCGGCCCAATGTGAAGATTGACCGTGTTGAAGCAGAAGAATGGGCAGAACGCATTCGCCATAAACCCAGTGCGATTCAGTGGATCCTTGAAGCAGCTTCTCTTCATCATGACCCTGCTGCTCAATATACGTTGGGTGTATGCTATCATGATGGTATTGCTGTCACTAAAGATGAACATGCTGCCTTTCGTTGGTACAAAGCAAGTGCAGATCAAGGCAATGCGCGTGGACAAGGCATTTTAGGTTATTGTTATGGTGAAGGTTTTGGTGTCCCCAAGAACGAAAGGACCGCCATGAAATGGTATCGCTTGGCAGCTGAACAAGGTGAAACTGTCGCTATTTACAACATTGGTTATTGTTACGAAGATGGCATCGGAGTCGAAAAAGACGTGCACGAGGCTGTCAAATGGTATCGATTGTCTGCTGAACAAGGCAATGCGTTTGGACAAAACTCGCTCGGTTATTGTTACGAAGACGGGATTGGTGTCGAGGAAGATCAACAAGAGGCTGTCAAATGGTACAAGTTGTCTGCAGAACAAGGTTATCCTTGGGCCGAATGTAACCTCGGCTATTGTTATCAAAATGGGATTGGACTCCCCAAAGATGATACCTTAGGTGCTTATTGGTACAGGCGTGCTGCACTTCAAGGGCATGCAAGAGCGCAGCATAACTTGGGCTTCTGTTACCAAAACGGGATTGGTGTCGAATGCAATGAAAAAGAAGCAGTGAAATGGTACCGTCGATCGGCTGAACGAGGCAATATCTTTGCCTACCACTCCCTTGGCTATTGTTATCAAAACGGGATTGGTGTTGCTGTGAACGAACAAGAGTCTGTATTTTGGTATTATCTGAGTGCTGAAGAAAACCACCCACCCGCGCAATTATCGTTGGGCTATTGCTACCGAAATGGAATCGGGGTACCAAAAAACGAGGCAGAGGCCGTAAAATGGTTCAAACGTAGCGCAGAACATGGAAATGCGCTTGCTCAAAACTCACTTGGTTTCTGCTTTGAGGAAGGCATTGGTCTCAAAAAAGATACAGCACGTGCAGTCTATTGGTACCACAAATCAGCGAAACAGAATAATCCTTGGGCACAATGTAACCTCGGTTTTTGTTATGCGAATGGGATAGGTGTTCAAAAAGATGACGTGAAAGCAGTCGAATGGTATAAGCGTGCTGCTGCTCAAAACCACGCACGTGCATTAGATAAACTGGGCATTCACTTGCAAGGTGGCATAGGCATTCAACAAGATTTGCAGGCTGCTTTTGAAATGTTTAAAAGGGCTGCTCAAAGTGATCACATTTCTGCCCAGTTCCATTTGGGAAACTGCTTTGAAAAAGGTCTAGGCTGTCCTGTGGATATAAATCAAGCAACATACTGGTTTGAACGTGCTGCTTTAGGTAAACAGAGTGTGGTTGATTTATGTTGCTCATTTATTTATTTTTACTTTAGCGGGTTGTCGAAATTCACATGAAAGACTTCGATTATTGATTGTAAGAGAATGTTTATTATCACCAGAAAGCTTTTCTTCACTATCAACAATGAATGAAGAGGATCTGATTTATGGTGGACTTATTATTGGCCATAGTGCACCAGCTGCATAAAATACACACATACACACATACACACATACGCATATATTCATACATTCATATTATTTGTTCATGAATTCATGACAATTTATACCATAGCATTTTGTCCTTTTTCTTTTTTTATACTAGTTATGATCAAATCAATAATAATAATAAAAAACATTAAATTTAGAGCAAGTGAGCGGACAATCAAAATGACAAAAAGAAAGGTCACACGCCTTGACTTGTATCACTGACATCTCTATCATTGATCCCCTCTGAAATCAAACCAAAATCAGCCGGTTATTTTATTGTGTAATAGTCTCAGATGTCATGAAAAGAAGAAATTATTGTCAAACATCACAGTGTAACTCAATCAAACCAGTCTTGTTTCTAAAGTCACAATAGATAGTGTTGTTTCAGGAACCATCTTTGTTTATTATCATTTCATCATCTTCATCTAGAAATCTCTAGAAAAAAAAAAAAAGAGCGGAAGTAAAAGTAGAGCCAATGAAGAACAATCACGATTTCGAACCTACAGATCTATAGCTTTGGTTACACGTGCCATTTTGAATAAAAAGCTAATATCAATAGAGGGTAAGCTATAGAAAGAAAGAGCTTATTTGATATATGCCATCGCTTGCATAAATATGGCATAGTGAAAAGCAATCAGATAGATAACTAAAACAAAGCCGGAACAATGGAAATAAAAGATGGTAAACAAAAGAGATGGAGCAATGTATATATTATCCAAAGTAGGAAAAATAAAATTATATTTGGCATCTTATTCACTACAGAGAACAAGCTCGAAGAGATATTCTTTTAGAGACAACGTGTAGACAACGATTTGCTATCAACATCCTTGTTACGAAACTAACACAAAAGCGGCATTTTAATAAGACAAAAGGGAAAAAAACACCATATAAAGGTCACAGTTAGTTTCTGTTTTTCAGTCCTTTTTTCTGTGATATCTCTTTTCTTTTCTTTCTTTTTCCCAAGCATTAATCTTGATTGCTGCTAAACCTATGTCTGGGAATATGACTGTAAATGAAGAACAGCAAAAAACAGTTGTGAATGAAAGAATTGATGTGATAGATCACAAAACTCAAAGCTTCAATTCTGGAAGCTCAAGTGAAGATGTGGTCACCAAAAGAACCAAGACAACATCTTACTTTAATGTTGTCTTTAGTGGTTTTGCTTTACTTTCTGATGGCTATCAATCAGGTGTCATTAGTTTTGTCAACTTATTCTTAGGAAAAATCTATGGTTCCGATGTGTTTAATGCTGAAATGAAGTCTCGTCTGTCTTATTCTATGTTTGTAGGTGCTATTGTTGGTCAAGTTGGTAAGTAGGTGTTATTAAAAGTACCTTGTTTTGACAATGATCTTTAGGCTTTGGTTTGATCATTGACCGTATTGGTCGTAAAATCGGGCTTGTTGCTACCACTTTTCTAGTCATTCTTGGTGCTGCGTTATCTTGTGCTTCCAGTGGAACCACAGTCAATGGTCTGCTTTGGATGATGATTATTTCTAGAGGCATTCTTGGTGTTGGTGTTGGTGGTGAATATCCTTGTAGTTCTGTATCTGCTGGTGAATCTGCTGATGAAGTAGCTCCCGGAAAAAGAGGTGGTCTGTTTATTTTGGTAGGCAACTAGACAAACCGTAACTTGTTATTTATCATTCCAATTAGGTGACAAACTTTGTGATCGATTTGGGTTATGTTATCTCTGCTATTGTTCCCGTGATCTTGCTGGCTATCTTTAAAGATAATTTGGAGCCTGTCTGGCGTCTTTGCCTCGGTCTCGGTATTGTACCCCCACTTTCTGTTTTATATTGTAAGTTGTGTTACCTTCAATGCAAAAAATCTACTCTATTTTAGGACAGACATGCTAATCTACATTCTTCATAGTCCGACTTCGAATGGCTGATTCAAAAAGTTATCAAGCAGGTGCCATGAAAAAGAAAGTGCCTTATTTACTTATCATCAGAAGATATTGGAAACGACTTTTTCTCACCAGTTTTCTATGGTTCTTGTACGATTTCATTTCTTACCCCGCTGGTGTGTTCTCTACCATCATCATCGACAGTGTAGCTACTGGTGAATCCACAATCGAGGTTGTTGCTTGGAATATCTTGCTCTATGCCTTTTATCTTCCTGGTTGTTTAAGTGGCGCTTATTCTGTTGATAAGATTGGACGTAGAAAGACACTGGCTTATGGTCTTATTCTTCAAGGTGTGGTTGGCTTGATCTTGGGTGGTGTATATGAACTCTTGGCTGCTCGATGCATTCCCATGTTTATCATCATGTACGGCATCTATTTGGCTTTGGGAGAGTATGGTCCTGGTGATACAATGGGTTTGAATGCCATGGAATTGTACCCTACTGCAGTGAGAGGTACTTGTTATGGTATTTCGGCTGCTGTTGGTAAAGTAGGTGCTACTGTAGGCACACTTGCTTTTGCACCCATGCAAGACGCGATGGGTTATCGTGGTCCTGTCTTGGTAGGTGGCGGTCTTTGTATTGTGGCAGGTTTGATTGCTTTCTTCTTTCTTCCTAACATTGGTCCTGAAGGATTGGTGGAAGAAGACGCTTCGTTCCGTGAATATCTTGTTCAACATGGTTATGACGTGAGTCAACTTGGATTGGGTAACAAGGATCAGTATGGATCCGTAGAACATACTGAAGCCTCGCATAAGGCTGCCAATGGTTCAATTAGACTTTAATGTTTAATTTATTTATTTATTTTCTAAAGAAAACATAACATAAAAAAAAAGAATACCATTACTATTTAATAAAGTACAAGATCTATTGACACTATAATAGCTGCTTATGTCTTTGGTTATTATTGATGCGCCTCTAAAATCAATTTCAAGATTGAATCGTGGAGACTGAATGCATTTACAGAGAGAGAAAAAAAAAAGGATATTTAAGAAATATAAGTCATCTACTTATATCAAAAAATAACATTATTGAATGAAAAAAGCCGACATGCTTTGAAGCTTGTCGTAGGCAGAGTATTTCCCTAAAAAAGAAAAAAAACAAAAAGAATTGGAGTTGGATTAGATACTTTCATGCTAAGAATCCTGTTAAAGAAACAATGGAGAAATAAAAAATCATGGTTCTTTCACGTAATAATCAGACACATACCTTAGCATCTTCTGCCTCTAATACAGACAAGAAGACAGCAACAAAAACTCATCCCTTATCTTGGTCGAAAGTCGTCTCTGGACAAGTACGTACCACTCACTCCTTCCGGCCTACCATCCTAACCCCAGTTCCAACTGCAACAGTCGAGGATACAGATGAAGACCCTTCATCGTCCACGGAACCAACAGTCGAATTCATTAAACCGTACTTGAAAGGCATTGAAAAAAACTCTATTATCATCGACATTACTGACAGCAAAGATGCTCATATGTTGCGAAAGGCACTTCAAGCCTTCAATAAAGACGCTGATGAAGAAACTGGCTGCGACGACTACTGCGGTAGACTCCCTTCTACCCGTAGGTATCTTAATCGTTCATTTATTGAAACTGCATGGACAAAAGATTCACCTGGATATAAGGCCATTTTGAACACGGGCATCTGTTTGGAGGATGGAACCTTCGTTAAAGGTTTCCCTAGTTTACCTGCCGACGCAAAGATTGTGCGCCTCAAGTTGAATAGACTTCCTCTAAAGGCCCCTCAACGAATGAGGAAGGATATGGAAAATTACTTGTTCGAATATAGTCGAGTGTCGGATCTTGGGATTAATAGAAGCCATGGCTGTTTTACTGGCCAAAGCTATGCGACATTGAACCTTACCCCAGCCAACGCCAATGACTCTCCTTTTGAACCGTTTTAAAGGGTCATTCCTTGGATGGACGATGATGGAGAGATTTGCCCAGTATTACTTTAATGGAAAAATATGCCAGACTTCTGTAGACTCTATCAAGCTTCTGATCATTGCCGTGCAGACTGTCCTGACTTGAAGAACTACATGAAGTGTTTTAATTGTAATGAGAAACGTCATATGATGAGACAATGTCCTCGTAGTAACACAATTGAGACGGCAGCGGCTCCCAACAAAAAGGCTAAAACCATTGCTGTTAAGGACCGTAAGACACCGGTAAATACCACAAAACCTAAGGAAGTCACTCCCATCACTGCCGATGACAAAGAAGTCGAAGAGGATAACATGGATATTGAGGCCTCTGTACCCGAGAAGCCAAAGGCTACTCAAGAGGCACCTTCTCCTTCTCGTTCTCCCCGTATTACAGCATCAGAGGCTTTAAGCAAATACAAGCGTTTCCGTGGACAAAACGCAGGGAATGAGGTTAGTCAGGGTCGTCCTACTGTGACAAATGTTGACAGAGACGCAATAAATTGGGACTTTGAGCAGATCCAATTCTTAAAAGAACAACGTTTGATTTTGACAAGCGAACAGATACGAATGCTTGAGAATGAGCAACCAGTATCCTACAGCTGGGAGCAGCTAGAACAACTAGCCAATGCAGGCTTTCAATTCACAGAAGCACAATTAGCCGTTATGAATTCAGTTCCGACTATGGAACTAGGACAAGGTGGTCTTAGCGACCAACTCTAAACAACTACAATATCCATTGAATATGTCCAACACATGTAAAATAAGAATTGCGACATTCAACTGTCGCAGCCTACGAAAAACCTCCAATCCCTCTCAACAAAAACTTTTTATACGATATCTTCGCTCCTTAGACATTGACATTATCGCTTTCCAAGAAACACATGCCGATAATGCTCAAATTATGAATCAATTAAATATGCAGTTCCAGATAAACTCTGCTTTATGGACTCAACATTGTGGAATTGTCTCACTCAATCCTCAATATATGCTCAAGTCAATATGCACGGATGTGGCGGGAAGATACATTCTAGTGGCTGTACACCTAGTAGAGGAAAATACGAATGATTCTTCTAGTCTCCTCCCACTCCTTTCTATTTTAAATATATATACTCCAGCAACTCAAAGCGCTCGGATTAAAGCAACATTTTTCAACATGATGGAAGATGTAATGGTACATCTATATCTGACCAGCGAATTATACAATACTGTCATTCTTGGAGACTTCAACTATAGTATAGAAAAACGAACTTTGAATGGAACTGTCCAAGGTCCACCAGCAGAATGGATAGATTTGTTGCAAACCTCGTTTTATGATTGCTTTTGCAATGATAAACAGATAACATGGCAAGGTTCAAATGCGTCTTCTATCATTGATTACGTATATTGCTTTAATAGATTGCAGACGAACATAGAGAGCGTTGAATAGATGTTTATTTCTCGTGCTTGGACAGATTATTCTCTGCTAGTAGTTAACTTTAACTTGAACAAAGAAAGCACTAGAGGCCCAGGTGCATGGAAGGCAAATCCAAACTTAGCGAAAAAGAAAGAGTTTAGACAACAACTAGCTGCTTCCTTGGATACACTAGTTCTGCAACTTCAGAAGCAGAGACACCACTATAGGGATGCCTCGAAGTTTTGGCCAGATGACGCTATCTCACCAAGCATGTCTTAGTTTACTGATGAAGGTCGTTTTACAATCTTCAAGACCACGACTTCCTTCATTACCTAAAAGAATTCAATTCGTTCCAGTTCAAGCATTTATGTTGTTCAGCCAAGATCTTAAGTTAATCCATTGGAAACATCCATATCATATTTCGCAAGAACTCAAAAGATTCTAGCTTCAGATCATCCGAGGGTTAGAAAGTAACAAGTACCAATTTCTCCCTTTCTTTGTCAAACACTGCCAACCTCCTACTGTGAAGGTATTGCCTACTGTACCATCATCACCATCATTATCTTTTGTTCCATTTGTCAACTCCTTCCAATTTGCGACTCTGACTGGACCAATCACCAGGGTATCGACAAAGGAGTTTCGGTTAACTTTTCAGAGTGCTACATCTGCCCCAGAGCGCTTGCAAGCTATCGCTAGTGCCTTTTGGGTCGATTTTTGGAGCTGGTCTCTGCTGCCAGTTGCTCGTGATATGCTGTACCGATTCCTTGTTTCCAAGCTACCCACAAGACAATTTCTTTACTCTATAATTCCTGATACGTTCCCCTCGCCTCTTTGTCCAATTTGCACAATTCATCTTAAAAATGAACAGCATCTCCTTTTACATTGTCCGCCAAAGAAGTTTTTCAGGAACAATCTCATTTTCGAGTTTCTTTGGCTTACAACAAAAAAAATTCAAAAGAAATAATGGACTAAAAGTATATCAAATGAGTGTATTAACAAAGCTGGTAGATATAAACATGATATATCTAATGATGTAAAGAATATAGTATATCTGTCAATAAGATATTTAGCTATCCTTGAAAAACGTCATTTTTGTTTTTGAGCCCTAGCGTACAACCTTTTGAGTATTTTTGCAAATATAACACCTTGAGTGTGTTTTATAGACCTAGAGAAACATTTCTTGCTAACACATATCATGTTAAAAACGTCTATATCGCTCACAAACTGCAAAATAATGAAAATCGAATATTTTTTTTAGGGGATCAAAGGACAAAATGACGAATTTCTGACTTCTTCAAAATGTGTTATATTTTTGCATGAACATGTTCTTTTATGTATGCTCAAACATAGGAAACTCATAAAAAGGGAATTAGAAGGCAGAAAGGATGATTTACGTTGAAAAACACTCACGCCTGTAGCGGGGCCGAGTTATTAACATGCTTACCCATTCCTTGTCAGAGCTATTCCGAAACGGGTTGTTTGGAGAGTTAACTTATCATGAAGTAAGAAACTATAAAAAGTTTGATGCTCAAAAAAAGTGCAAATTGAGGATTAAAGCGTATCAGGTGTATAGTGTGCATTTTGCTAATGCCAAATGGAGTAACAAAAATAAAGGTCATTTGGTCACATAATATATGTAAGCTTTTATTGTATTGACAAGAAAACAAGTTATTTTAATGTCTAAGAGAGGCAAGGTATGAATTCAGATTAGGTCTTTGCTTAAAAGCTTCAACAAATGTAGCAAGTTGAGGATAATGCTTGAGTTCATCAAGACAATCATCATCGTCAAGCATATGATTGATCAAAAAGTCAGCATAAATAATCTTGAAAGTCGTGAGATTCTTATCTAATTTTTTTTCTTATACCTTTTCACCAACAAGGAAGGGACCTGGATAATCTAAATAATATTTGTTAAACATGGCAAGTTGTTTAGATGATTCTATATCTACATGGTCTTGCCTTGCTTCCTGTAATACAACGAGCTCATAATACATTCATTTTTGATTGGCATTCTTATCTTTGAATTAAGTGTTGCATTTTTGAGACTCATAAGCCAAGATTCAACTAGCTCAGGAATCATATTTATAAAATGATTCTCTTCAGGAGTTGATCCATGGTACCTGTAGTTTAATTTAGCAGAAATATAACGCATAACAGGCACAGTCTTGAACAATCGCTTAAGTTGAACACCTTGGCCTATTCAATATAAGGCATAGTGCAAGAATAAGCACCCTTTTCTTTCTCCAGCATCTTCTTTTTCTCTTTCCAGCTCTCACCGCCTTCGAGACGAACATACTCATGCTCTAGACCAGCATCAACAAGCAATAATTTGATGTTTTCTCCACAAGCCAATGTAAGATTGTTGAGCACAATGTAATAATAAAGTACAATTTTTTCCATTTGAATTAAAAAAAAAGAGTCTATTTCTGTGTGTTTTCGAATCGTTAAGCTCGTCAACATAGATGTTCGGATCTCGGGCTCTTGAATGCCGATCTCTGGCAACTTCTACGTTTGGTACGCTTCAAAACTACACATCAAGAATAAATTCATGCTTCAAAAAGGCTCTGTGTTTTAAAGAATAACTACGCTTTACTTTTCAAGAAAGCAACTTTTTCAAATAAAATACAACCCCACTTTTTTTTTCCTTTATTGAACTTTTTTTTTCTCTCTCTACAACAGGTGTATGGGCCAAAAAAGGCAAGAAATAAAAGAAAGAAAAAAAAAAAGAAAGCTGCGCGCAAGATGATTGATTCTTTAGAGAAACATATGATTTTTTTTTTTCATTTTAATAAATAAATCCAACATACTTGTGATAGTAAAGAAGTTCTTTTTCTTTTTCTTTTTCTCTCTCTCTCTCTCTCTCTCTCTCTCTCTCTTTTCTTTTCCCATCCTTTATTTATTTATTTATTTTTTCTTAAATGTTGGAACTATTTTCTGCTTTTATTGCCACTACTCTCATTATTCTAACTTGGTACTTTTCACACTCAAAAAGTAAAAACAACTTTAAAACAAAAAAAAAAAACAAAAAGGCTCATGTCACTTTAGAATCAATACTCGATCCTAAAATATTTAAAACCTTCAAACTGATCGAAAAGATTCCAGTCTCTCATAACACTTCAAAGTAAGCCATGAGCTCATCTCTACTTGACCAACGATGTCAACAGAACAATATCTTATAGATATCGATTTGAATTACCACGCCCAGATGATACGCTCAGTTTACCTATAGGTCAACACATTTCAATTATGGCAGAAATAAATGGAAAAAAGATATCTCGAAGTTATACACCGATTACATCTGAAGATGGCAGAGGTTATTTTGATTTAGTAATTAAGGTGAGATCATTCATGACGATAATCATTCATTTTTTGTATATAGTCTTACCCTACAGGCAATATCTCAAAACTGATGGGAGAATTAAAAGTAGGTGATTCTGTGGGCATGAGAGGACCCAAAGGCAATTTTTCTTATAAGCGTAATATGGTCAAGGCTATTGGCATGATTGCGGGTGGTACAGGTATCACTCCAATGCTTCAGATCATTCAACGTGTTTGTAATGATCCTGCCGATAAAACAAAGATTGTGTTGATCTTTGCCAATGTCACAGAAGACGATATCTTGCTCAAAGAAGAACTCGACACAATGGCGGTCAATTCGCCTGATTGTTTTCAAGTCCATTATGTATTAGAAAGACCTCCTAAAGGCTGGCAAGGTGAAGTTGGCTTTGTGACAAAAGATATTATTCTCAAATACTGTCCCAAACCAGCTCATGATATTAAATTATTACTTTGTGGTCCATTGCCCATGATTAAGGCCATGACAGCAGCAACCAATGAATTAGGATACCAAAAGCCTAGGGCAGTGTCCAAGATGGAAGACCAAGTCTACAAATTTTAATAAATTGTATTTGCTTTGAATTTGGTGGCTAAATTGACTGTACAAGGACCATGTTCCTTTAGGTCTAGGTTGATTTCAATCCAACAAGGCCAGATGCCTACTACTTGTTCTTGTTCAACAAACTTTTCTCTAGATAGGTTGGTATGCATATAAGCAAATGAGAACCCAAATAGAAACTTTTCTTCTTGTTCATCTGGTATATAGTCTGGTAATTGTGGTATTGTTTGAGAAGGAAAACTTGTAATTGTGTCTTGGTTATCCAGTTGATAGTTCTTTGGTCGCAGATATTCAATTTCATTTTCTTTCAGTAAGACACACCAGGAAAACACAAGGCCGCCTTCTGTCCAAGTCTCTATCATGCGAAATAAAATAATCTCTGGATCTTCTCGACAACATACTTCCACGATATTGCCATACTTGGCCACTGCACCATTAAGTGACGTCGTTTTCTATAATGTACTTACTTTGACCATTCACAGTTGTTTCCCAATGATGAAACGATTCTTTTTCTTGATTGATCACCGCTAAAGCATGATCTGCTAATCCATTCTTTTTAAGGTCAATGAATCGCTTTTTAGATTTTCCAGCAGGTCGGATATCAGAAGGCACTGGTATTTTATGCGCAGACAAATCAAACTTGGGTTGAAATGTAGGCAAGTGAGTAGGTTGAGCTGGCACGTACTCTGTTGAAAAATCAGAAACAATGCTTTCTAGTTCATCTTTTGTTTTGATTTGGCTATCATTGATAGACGAAAAGTCAGAAATTACAGTCGCCTGTTGTGTAGATCCATCTACAGAAGGAATACTGTTGGATCTGGCTCTGGGTTTTTCAAAACTTAGATCAAACATAAAAGGTGTTACTAGGTCCTCGTTATCATCATCGTCTTCTTTGAGTTCAAAACTAGGGTTTGATTCAATCAAAGGCAAGTCAAAAGAGTCTTGCGTGGCATTGTGTTGACTAAACGAACTTATAGGATCATCAACAAGTACTTTTTCTTGCTCTAGTTGTCGTAGTGTCTTTTGTGGAGGATCGTCAGGTAGGAACTCTGACTCCATATGTGCTCGTTTCTATGCATAAAGTCAACGTGTTTTATGTCACTTGCAAACTTACTCGATTCTCTGAGTCTTGCATGGTTTTTTTTATAGGTAAAGACTAATGCGGATAAATTAGAGTCTTTGTGTACAATAAAGAAAGACTTCTTGCCTGCATGAATAATAAAGAAGAAAAAAAGAAAAAAAAAATCAACGTAGTCTCGGAGTTGTCTTTATTTAAACAGTCCTTTGAATGCTTGTAGGTTTTGATGGTTACACTCAGAAGCAAGGTCCTGTCGATCCATTCTTTTGTGTACTTAATATCTATGCTGTTCAAATGAGTGACTTACATGTACATCAATAGCCTCAAACTATCCCAAATTGAATGACTCTTTTCGTGATTGTTGTGTTGTGTTTCTAAAGCCATGAGATAATGATGTGCTGCCAAATCGTACTGTCCATGATGCATATAACTGGTGGCTAAATTGTATCTTGCACGTATATAATGTGGATTGATATCAAGCGCACGTTGATACATCTCAATGGCAGGCTTATAGTCTCGCCCATTTGCCAGAGTAGCGCCTAATGTATTCCACAATGCATGATCAAAGGGCCTTAATACAAGGGCAGATTGAAAGCAATCTATCGCTTTGTCATATTCTTGAGCGATATGAAATAACACGCCCAAACCTATCTGTACATCAGGATCCATGTCGCTACCGGGCGAAATGCGTGCTGCTTCTAAAAACAAGCGCGTTATATAAGCATGAAGCGCTTTTTCATTCATGTCTTTGGCTTGTATCATATGCTTGTATCGAGGATGATGAGCCATCCATGCTTCAAGACATCGATAGGTTTCTAAACAACGATGCTCGTTTGTATAACTGATGGATAAAGCCAACCAAGCACTTAAGCAGTGATAAGGATCGATTGATACTGCTTTTTCTAAGGTTGTAATGGCTGCCTGATCTTGTTCGTCTTCTTGCTGTTGGCGTCCTAATGCCTCCCATTTTCTTGCTTCTTCATGTTTTTTGGTGTCTAGAGATATACTGTGTGGATATGTTGTCATGGCATGAGGTCGTGTGCTGAGAGAATGATGTAGGTCGGGATGGTGCTGATACACTACTGGTGCTGACACTTGAGCATCAAATTCCTGTTGCCAACGTGTATCCATAGCGTTTGATTCAAGCGCTCTGAATGCGATATCCCAATCTGTCGCATAAGATGCAGAAGCATGATCCATGGTCCTAAAAGCACGCTCAAAAGCCCATTGTTCTTTTTCTGATGACTGTAGAAATTCGCTTGTCCAGTGTCTAGCTAAAGGATGATTGAATTCAGTAGCCCAATGCGCGTGAGGAGCTGTTGTGTTTTGCTGAATGAATTCTCTTGTCAGCTCAAATCATATCAGTCAGCATTATTATCCACTGTTGTGTAACTTACAGTATCATGAATCTGTAAAGGTTTTTTACTTCGAAACTTTGTAGCAACCTAAGTAATACATTATTATATAAGCATGATCTTTTTTCTTTTTCTTTTTACTTTAGTCTCTTGAACGATTGTTTCCTAATAGAACATAAGGTGATTACTATAGAGATAGAATAAGAAAACAGCTTACTCTTTGAAAGCTTTTGTCTTGGTCTAAATAGATCAATAGCTTGTTGATATCATGATGGTTTGAAGTGCAGTCAGCTCTAACACTACCGAATCTGTTGGGAGTAAAAAATCCCTATCATATCACGCATAAAGAAAAAGTCTATCTTCAAACAACTCATGTTTACCATAAAGAAAGGAAAAAAAGAGAGAGAGAAAAAAGAGAGAGAGAAAAAAGAGAGAGAAAAACAATTTGGTACAACATGCTAAGGCTTTCTTTTATAGTTTTTGGGACCAAAAAAGAGGGGGGGGTTCTGTTGTTAAGGAAACACTTGATTAACTCGCCGACTAAATCCCCCCACTTATGTCATGATCTTTTTCTTTTTTTTCTTTTGGGTTTATTTTATGCCAGTATTAGAAGAATATCCTATTGTGATTAACCAAGGCAATTTGCCTCTCATTATCACAGCGCCTCATGGTGGGCTTCAAAAGCCCACCACTATACCAGATAGAAAACAAGAAGGAAGTTTATTGTTAGCAGATATGTATACGAGAGAAATTGCTCAAGGTATCATGAAAGGTATAAGCGATCATTATCATGAAAACAAAGCAACACCTCATATCATCATCAACCGAATTGCACGCAGAAAAGTAGATGTCAATCGACCACTGAACGAAGGAACAGAAAGTAAACAAGGCGAAGTTGTCTGGAAAGAATATCATCACCGTGTTCAACAGGCGATTGAATCTGTCAAAAGAGAGTATGGATTTGGAATTATGATCGACATTCATGGTAATATATATGATTGAAATGTTGCATTTTAACACGTGACAGGACATACACATTCAAATGAAATGGTAGAGTTGGGTTATTTGTTAGAAACCAATGATCTCACACTCAACATACCGCATCTTGACCAACTGATTCTACAAAAAAGCTCTATAGGATCACTTGTCAAACGATATCAAGACACAAAACAGCCTCATCAATTGCTTTACTTGTTAGGCGACATGCTCACATCCTACAGTGAAAACAAAATAACCGTCGTGCCTTCTACATACAACCCAAAGCCACAAAATGACATGGATTACTTTAGTGGTGGCTATACTACACAGGCGTATCACAAGCATATCGATATGATTCAGTTAGAGATACCCAAATCCATTCGACTGAATGAGACCAATAGAGCCTACTGTATTCAAGTGATTGTTCAGGCAATGGTTCATTTATTGGACACATATTATCTAGCAACATCTAGAAATAAATTATAAATGGCTTTCATACATGCGATGTGTCCATGTTTCGCGCTCATTCATGACAAGAGCAGCTTCCAATACTTCCCAAATATGCTTGGCATAGATAAACTCAATGTCTTGCTTGACTTTGTCAGGTACGTCTTGGTGAACATCCTTTTTGTTACGGAACGGTAAAATAATCTTGCGAATACCGGCTCGATGAGCAGATACAACTTTTTCTTTAATGCCGCCTACAGGCAAGACTTGTCCTCTTAAGGATATTTCACCTGTCATGGCTGTGGTAGGTGGTACATGGTAACCAGAAAACAAAGACACAAGAGAACAGACCAAAGTAACACCTAAAATAAATAAATGAATGGATCCATTTGATGCCCTGCGTTCTATTTACCAGCACTAGGACCATCTTTAGGCACTGCGCCACCAGGGACATGGATATGAACATCGTATTTCTCCACAAGGTTCGTGTCTTCAGTGGGTACCATTTTGAGAGCATAAGCATGTGCTTTAACCCAGGTTAAGGCTAATTGTGCAGATTCTTTAATCACATCGCCCAAAGATCCTATATATATGCAAAACAATGAATACAATCACTTTCTTTTTGATAGACGTACCTGTCAATCTTAAGTCACCATGGCCGGGCATTTTAGTGGACTCGACAAACAAAATACCACCATTGCCACTGCCCGAATAAGCCAAGCCTGTCACTACACCTGGAAGTGGTTCTCGTTCTACCACTTCTTTTTCATAAAAGGCCATCTAATATATATCAATAAAAACATGGTTTTAGAACGAATATACTTACGCCCAAAATTTCTTCCATGTCTGCAAGAGAGACATGAGGATTGTAGGCTTCTTCTTTGTTTGATTCTCGCAAGTTGGCCAACTCAACACATTTGGCTCGAACAACCGAGGCGATCGTTCTTTCTAGACTACGAACACCACTTTCTCGGGTATAATTCTCAGCCATTTTGAACAAGACTTGATCGTCCATGACCACTTGGTCCTTTTGAAGACCATGGGCCAACAGTTGTTTGGGCAATAAATGCACTTGAGCAATATGGAGTTTTTCTTCAAAGGTGTAGCCGTTGAGTGTGATCAATTCCATACGATCCAAAAGAGGCTCTGGAATAGTATCAACACTATTGGCCGTGGCAATAAACAGTACATTGGACAAGTCAAATGGTACATTGAGGTAATGGTCTGAGAAACTATTGTTTTGCTCTGGATCAAGGACTTCTAACAAAGCTGCTGCTGGGTCTCCATAATGAGAAGACTGGACGAGCTTATCAATCTCGTCTAGCAAGAACAATGGATTGTTGACCTTGGCTTTACGAAGACCTTGGATAATTAAACCAGGCATGGCTCCTACATAAGTACGACGATGTCCTCTGGATCGTCATGTTAACTCTCGCTTTTGTGTCCATGGACAATGATTACCTCATTTCTGCTTCATCGCGCACACCACCTAATGAAATACGATGGAATTCACGGCCAAGAGAAGAGGCAATGGACTTGCCAAGAGATGTCTTTCCTACACCAGGCTAACAGAAATCAGTCTACAGCAGTGATCTTATGATGACTTACAGGACCCACAAAACAAATAATAGGTGCCTTTAAATCCCCTTTGATTTTAATGACGGACAAGTATTCAATGATACGCTTTTTGACATGATCTAGTCCAAAATGATCGTCTTCCAGCTTCTTCTTGGCCACATGAATATCAATAGTGTCTTGTGTTCGTTTATCCCATGGCAAATCAGCCAAGAGTTCAAGGTAATTGCGTGCCACAGCATATTCACTGGATGCAGGCTGTAGCTTTCTAAGTCGCTTGAGTTCTCTTTGAGCCACTGTGGATGCTTCTTCTGACAAATGGGTTTGGTTGATCTTTTTTGACAACTGTTCAATGTCATCTTCTTCTTTTCCTCCATTTGTATCACTCTCGCCTAATTCTTTCTTGATGGCTTCTAACTAAATACACCCATCAGCATGCCTTCAGGTATTCTTTTGTTTTTACCTGTTGACGAAGATAAAATTCTCTTTGTTTCTTGGAGAGTTTACCTTCAATGCTTGAATGTACTTGTTCAGAGATCTTAAGTACCTAAAAACACACAAAAAAAGAATGAGTTCATGCGTCTGATTGCACAATACACCTTGTACTTGCATGTAATTGACGCGTCATGTATTCAGAAGCCTTGGCCACTCGCTCTTTCAATTGTGTGGTCGACAACATGGTCAGCTTTTCATCGAACGACGTCTCAATCACAGACACCAAAAGATCAGCCAACACGGGTGGTGGAACAGAATCAATCAATTTGGTCAGTTGCTGAATGAGATGTTCAGGCATACTTAAATCCTTCATTTTAGCCAGGAATTCTCTCACCAGTGCCTTGAATCGAATCATGTCATCATTCTCTTCCAGATCTTCATCATCTGGAAAATACTTGGGTTGGGCATAGAGTAAATGGTCTTCTCCCATATGATATTGATCTACTTGAAAGCGAGACACACCTTCGACAAACATTGTAAAAGCACCTAATCCAGATCGCTGGACTTTAATAATGCGTGCTGTGCATCCATACCCAAACAAACGTTCTTTATCTTCTGGTTTCACGAATCCTTCATCTTTGGCTTCCTGTTGTGTGGGTTTACCAATCAATGGGATACATGCGATAAATGTTGGTTTGCGTTGTTCAGTAGCACGTAAGTGTTTCCGAGTCAAAGTGACAGCGTCTCTGCCTCTCATGTTTATCTTGAGAATGACAGAAGGCAACAAAACTTTGTTCTCCAGAGGAACCACAAGTAAGTTTTCAGCTGGACTAGACGACATAAGTGAAAAAAGAAAGAAAAAGAAAATGAAAAAAGAAAAGATAGGGTATTTAAACAAAATTCAAGCATAATGCGCTATTTCAATGAATTGACCAATGAGTGTTGAACATAGTGCATTAAGTATTTGTAAAGTGAATTTCCCATCATGACTTTATTGTATCACCTCTCTTGTTGATACAGTCAATGCTTTAAAGATACGTTTGCTTATGGTGTAAGAGATTTATTTATTTATTTATTTTTTGTTCTCTGAGATTTTTATTTTTATTTTTTATATTATTTATTTTCATCATGTCTTTGGCGAGTCCTTTAAAAGAACTCGATATTTTATTAGAAGATACTACTGAGGATAATAAGATACAAGTAAAAAAAAAAAAAAAAGGTCATCGACTCTTGTTTAATTGAATCCATTGTGCATTAGTTGTCTGAAAGTGAAGATGAAGATGATTTCAATCACATTCCCTTTGACCAAGTGGATGGTAATGACATCAAAAATAAGTTTTGATACTCATCCTATGCTTAGATCAAATATTGGCATTTCAAGAAGATGCCATTGTAAGTCAGGCACTGGAGAACGAAATGGACCTGAGAGAATATGCTAGACAAATAGCGCAAGAGAAAATAGCAGTACAACGCGACCTTGAGAACAACTGTAAGCCATACTTTACGAAACAATAGTATTGATATGAGCCTATAGATCTACAACATGTCGCCTCGTTTGTGGATCTGCATTCTCAAATTCAGGTAAGGCAAGACAAACACATCATGGACTCATTATACTAGTCGTGTGATGAAGTGTTGGGTCGCATGGAAGAATTACTCAGTGTGTTCCAAACCGATTTGGGTCATATCAGTGGAGAAATTCAAAGTCTACAACAACAATCGACCCAGATGAGTATCAAACTCAAGAATAGAAAAGTAAGTGGGTTGTATTCATTGCCCTTTACTTATGAAAATAGACAGTTGAATCACGATTAGGAAAAGCATTACAAGGCATGGTGATTCCTCCATATGTGATCAAGAAAATCACAGAAGATGATGTCGATGAAGTATGGCTTGAATATCTATTGATGATCAACAAACAAATGCGATTTGTCAAGGCCAATCAACACCGACCCATCAAAGCTTTACGCAATGTAGGACCTGAACTTGAAAAACTTCGTTTAAAAGCAGTAGCCACCATTCGTGATTTCTTTGTAGCCAAGATCCAGTTGTTGAGTACACCCAATGCCAATATTCAAATCATGCAACAGTCTGTATTTCTGAAATACAAGGAAATGAATTACTTTGTATTGGAAAGACATCATGAAGCAGCCAAAGAAATCAAACAAACGTATATCAATGCATTAAGATGGTATTTCCAAAACCATTTTGAAAGATACAGTAAAGGACTTCAACGATTACAGGTAAACAACAAAAAGATAAAACACGACTGACAAGTCGCATAGACAATATCAGCAGACAAGTCAGACTTGATAGGTGTTGAAGAAAACATTCGAAAAGGTGGATTGTTTGGTACAAAAGCACCCTTAAGAGACAAGGCGAATTTGTTTTCTTTAGGAGATCGTAGTGATACATTAAGAATGCAAGATCCAGGCGTCATTCTTGTTCATGTAGCAGAAGCGAAAGAACAGGTAAGTACCTATTAGATTGTGCTGTACACTTATCTCCCTCCCTCCCCTTCAAAATAAGCGCTATCAATTTGAACAATTGTTTCGAAGCTTTAATCTCACATTGATTGACAATGCTAGTTCAGAATATTTGTTTATATACGAGTTCTTTTCGCGTGATTCAAGAACGGCTGCAGATACAGCCAAAAGTATGTTTCAACACATCTTTGAATCCACAGAGAAAGTGGGGTTGAACTTTACCAAGAATTACATTGAGAATTCATTTGATGCTGTTGGGATTTTGTTGTGTATTCGAATCAATACACAATTAGCACTTGAATTACAGAGAAGAAGAGTACCTGCATTAGAAGGCTATATGAATGCAACCAATATGCTTTTTTGGCCTCGATTCCAGTATATCATGTCACTTCATATTGAAAGTGTCAAGAAAATGTTTCATAACAAGTCAGCCATTAGTGCAGTCAAAGATATTCGACCTCATTATGTAAGCATCGTGTCAAATTGAATATATGTGTAATTGAGCATGGTTTAGATTACTAGAAGATATGCTGAATTTGCAGCCTCTTTGCTTGTGCTGAATGATGGTTATGATGATCCTATTCTTACCAAGAGGTAATTGTCTATGTCTATAGTGTATTCTCTAACAAACACATTAGTGTCAAAAAATTACGTGATGAATTTGAAGCTGTCTTGTCTCGTATGTCACATGAATTTCAAGAATCACCTAAACGAATTGCATTTCTCATTAATAATTATGATCTTATTATTTCTGTATTTCAAGTAAGGTAATTCGCGTAGTGATTCTATCTATCTTACACATCCTAGGAAACACATAGTCGAGCAGTGGATGCAGAATTAGATTACATGAAACAACTGTTGGCTTTACAGACAAGTGCTTTTGTGGATGAGCAACTGAAGCCTTACTTTGGTGCCATGATACAGCTCACCAAGGCATCAGGTCCCATTGAAATACCAGACTTGGAACGCATCTCTGCTCATTTCAGTCAAACATGGCGACAATCACTGAAATCCATCAATGCCTCTGTCATTCAATACTTTTCCAACTTTAAGAATGGTACCATTGTACTCCATGCTGTGCTTGGTCAATTGATTGTGTATTATACTAAATTTGTCAGTCTTGTGGAAAAGCATGCTGCTCGTATCCAACCAGTGGGTGTCCAGACAGTCATGGTGGAGATCAAAAAGTTTCGAAGTACTTTTTAGAACCCACAACTCGGATAGTGTCTCTTTTATCTTAAAAAGGCAATGTTTGGACTTTATGTATTTTCTTTAACATCGTTTTATAGAGCTTGGGACCGGCAAACAAGAGGGTTTACCGAGTGTGGACACGCGATGAAGATTTTTATGTTTATCTAATAAAATGAAAATTTATCTTTTGTTTGTTACGCCACAACTATTTGAATGACACCATCTTTTTTTTTCCTTTCTTTATTTCAAGCCCAGGAAACATGACATAAACTCCCCTTTTTTTTTGCGTAACAAAGTGTATAAAAAGTAACGATTGAAATATTTGTTTATTATCTCAGTCTATGACAAAGACAATTATATTTTCACTTGACACAAGCTCCGCTAAAATATGGATCGGCATAAACAGGTGCCAAACATAGTAATATTAGGTCTCAAGTAAAGTAATATTTCACACTCCTTAAAGGACAGCGTGATTCTGTTATTTTTTTTTTTTCAAATTCCACTCCTCTCGATAATAGAGTCACATTTTATGATGAAAGTGAGAGAATGTAGACTATCCTTTGTGTATATCGTGACCATAAACAAAACATGACCAAGCAAAGATGTACTCCTTGGGCATTGTTCATCCTATACTTGTTTGTTTATCTTATTGTCATATATATATATAAAAAAAAGGGCTGATGTCTGATATTGAATCTGAATAGACATGTTTTCCTATCCCATTTAAAGCCATCTTTCTTTTTCTTTTTCTTTTCTTCTTTTCTTCTTCTTTTTTTTTACTTTCTTTTTTCTTCTTCACAAAAATGACTGACCAGACAGACGAAGGTTATGTAGAACAAAGGTTTGAAGAACCTTATTTTATGAAAGACTGGACAGACGACCAAAAAGCAGGCAAGTCAGAGAATGATCAACATATCATGGCTAATAAACTGAATAGAATTTGCCTATCAACTCTTGTCACTGATGCCAGTATCAAAAACAATACAAGTTGTTGAACGATTATCACCTCTTTTACATAGAGACTATATTTCTGTAGAGTGTATACTGTTTAGAATTCATTACTGATTGTCTATAGTCATTGCCTTATGAAATTGCAATTCAAATTCTTTATTATCTCGATATTACTTCACTCACCTGTATTTCAAGAGTCTCGAAACGATGGAAAGTGTTGAGTGAAGACCAAACATTATGGAAAGCCTTGTTCTTTTCTACAGGATATAAAGCCAATCAGACATCGATTGACCGTTATTTATCAGGAGAAAATCTATCTTTAACACCTCAGACAACAGTGTCTGCCATGACTCCTGCTTCTTGTTCTAGATTTACAACAATACCAGTAACAAGAACTCCTTACGAACCCCCACATGCTTCTCTGACTCGATTAAAACCTTATAAACGAACCACCAACCTATTTTTAGATCGAATGGCACTTCAGAATGAGACGAGTCCTACTCGTATGGAATTTGCTCCAAGTAGACCACATCATGAAGAAGACTTGATGTCTTCTGCTCATATGAGTAGTAGTTTAAGTAGCAGTAGCAGCAGTAGCAATGAAAGCATCCCTGACCATACAACTACACTTCAGCATCTGCATCGATTGAACCTGAATGATGGTCTTACCACTGGCACTAGTCTTGTCATTCGACCCACACAAGTCTATTCCTCACGCTCACAACCCTTACAGACACCTAAATCACCTACTAAAAACCACCGTGAAGTCCTGTCGCATATGATTGTCGAACGTCCCTTCTTAAACCGACCTCCTCCTCGACGCCATGTCAAATACGATGAGGCAGCCATCTACCATTACAAAGAACAATCAGACACACGCTATATCAATTGGAAACGACTCTATCGTAACCGCAGCATGATTGATCAACGATGGCTGGAAGGCAAATACCGAACACGCCAATTCCCCTCGTCACATCATCTCAACGATCTGATGTTGATGGAAGATGCTCAACACAACAGCGGTATTTACTGTCTCCAGTTTGATGCTGAGTTATTGGTCACTGGCAGTCGAGATAGAAACCTCAAGATGTGGGATATTCGAACAGGTCGTCTCAGACATACCCTAGAGGGTCATACAGGCAGTGTGCTCTGTCTTCAGTTTGATGATCGCCATTTGATCAGTGGCAGTAGTGATGGCACTCTTGTGTTATGGGATATTCATACAGGCAGCAAAATTAAGACACTTGTAGGTCATGGTGAAAGTGTCTTGAATGTCAAGTTGTTGGGCAATGCAGTCGTCAGTTGCTCAAAAGATAGAACTGTCCGTACTTGGGACTTGACAAAGGGAACAACGACTAGGGTGTTTCGTGGTCATCGGGCTGCTGTAAATGCTGTCCAATTCAAGGGAGATCGTGTGGTATCTGCTTCTGGTGATCGCACCATCAAGATATGGGATATGGTAACTTCATCTTGTGGTTCATGTATAGTTTACTGACAGGAGGGACCTTTTTTTTTTGTTTTGTTTTGTTTAGCATACGGGCGAATGTCTACGTACATTAGATTCTCATAGTAGAGGTATTGCCTGTGTTGAATATGATGGTCAATACATTGTGAGTGGCTCTAGTGATCAGTCTATCAAAGTATGGAATGCTGCTACTGGTGAATGTTTGCATACACTCCTGGGTCATACTGATCTTGTGCGTACACTTCAACTGGACTCTAAATCAAAGACGATTGTCAGCGGTAGTTATGATGGTAGTCTCAAGATATGGGGATTAGAAGATGGTAAATTGCAAAGAACCTTAAATCAATCCTCGCATGGAAGGTAAGTAATAACAACCTTATTATGTTTATTCTTTACTCATCGCTGTACTAGAATCCTCAATCTTCAGTTTGATTTCAGCAAGATTGTATGCTGTTCCAATCTCGGCAAGATTGTGATGTATGATTTTACGCATGGCATGGACACACAATTCCTTTTATAATTCATATAGACCTTTATTTTAATATCTTAATCTTCTCTCTATTAATAGAATTCATTTTCTTTGTACATTAAATATATTATTCATGTCTGACCAACTTAAAGTATTGTCTCTCAACTGCTGGTAAACAACTCGCTTCATAAACAATGCCTTACTCTATCTGTAGGGGACTGGCTATTGTCTCAAAGAACCGAGATCTTAGACTAAAAGCGATTGCAAACGTACTTTCAGGTCAAGATTATGACTTGATCACACTTCAAGAGGTTTGGGTTCAAACAGACTTTCAACGTATTCGACATGCTGTGAAGGATACATTACCTCATTCAAAATACTTCTATAGGTAAATCAACCAAAAGATACATAGATGACTTATCCTACATCAAGTGGAGTACTTGGAAGTGGACTTGCCATTCTTTCCAAGTTTCCTATTCTTTCCACCCAATATCATCGCTATCACTTGAACGGAAAGCCATTGATGTTTATCCATGGCGATTATTATGTAGGCAAAGGAGTGGGTTCTATTGTAGTGGATCATCCCACTGTGGGTCTATTAGAAGTATTCAATACCCATTTGCATGCCAGTTATAGTCCTCGACATCAATACAACGCTCATCGAGCAGCTGAATGTTGGCAATTAGCGACCCTTTTAAGGAATTCAGCTGCTATGGGAAGACAGATTGTGATGGCAAGTAAGAATGTGTTTATGATTCACTGACATCAAAAGAATAGTCGGGTGATTTCAATAGTGTACCTACTTCCATCAACTATCAATTGATTTGTGATCATGGATGCATGACGGATTCATGGCTTGAATTACATGGTGAACCTGATCCTACCAAGTTTGATGTGGACACTATGACACAAGAAGCGTACACTCAATACTTTGGTTATACTTGCAATTCTCCTTTTAATACTTTTTCTCGGTACTATCAATCAGATATCCACACTGCCTCAGCCAAACGATTGGATTATATCTTTTATCGACATACACCTCAATTGAAGTGTATTGCATCCAATGTCGTATTTACTAACCTTATACCTGATTCAAACCAGAGTTATTCAGACCATTTTGGTGTCATGTCTATCTTTCAACTCTCGCTCCATGCGGATCTATCCAATCTTAATAAGACACAACTCAAACTATCGACTGTAGATGCCATTCTAGAAGAACTAAGAAAAGAACAGACGTATGCAAAGTATCAATCTCGTTTATTGTTATATGCATGTCTTGTATGTCTTGTACTCCAAATGGTGCTGTATATCATCAATATTGTGCTACCGACAACATTAAGTCAACATGGATCGTTACCTATTGTCCTTGTTACTGTGGTTGTTGGTCTGTTGATGAACATTGTGTCTGTTCTTTTGCCTGTCTGTTTGATTGTTGGCTTTGTGTTTGGACATACAGAGCAGAGAACACTTTCTCAATTCATAGATGAAATAGAGACATTTCGATACCAATTAGAAAAAGCACCTGTCTTGTTAATAAAATAGAATCCGAGTCGGATTCATATGGGCCGGAATAGACGTTATAAATACTCCCTCTCAGGCGCCTTTTTTGTTATTCTTTTCTCCCATTTATCTATCAACATAACAAACATGAGCAATTTTTCTTTCCGTGGTACTCTTGAAGGTAAAGCTCAATACGGATGGATAGCATAATTCATGATTCTATTGATAGGACACAATGGCTGGGGTAAATGTGCCATACATATAAAAGAAGGGCAAATTCACTAACCTGGCTTTAAAGTCACTTCCATTGTTACTTCTTCTGAAGCTCCTGATATGGTTCTTTCTTCTTCTCGTGGTAGGTTGATAAAATTAGGATTGATTAAATGACTTATGATTGGACAGACAAGTCTATCATTGTTTGGCATATTACTAGGTTTGAATAGCAGTGTAGTAGGTATTTCTATTACTAAATGTATCTACTTGTCATATAATGACAGGTAAATAGATACACTTTTTTCTTTTTCTATATGTAGGTTTTTGTTTTTTTGTTTTGTTTTTTTTCTGTTTTATTGCGGCACACACAATGGGTGGAGCGATAACATTTAAAAAAAGAAAAGAAAAGGGAACAGCCTCATAGTTAAAGTGAATGTCATTTTTTCAATTTGAAAAAATTACTCACGATTGCCCTTACAGGGATGAAATTAACTACGGTGTTCCTCGCAAAGCCCTTGTTGGCCACAACCATATTATTGAAGATTTAGCTATTTCTTCTGATGGTCAATTTGCTTTATCTGCTTCATGGGATCACACACTTCGTCTTTGGGATTTGACGACCGGAAAGACTACCCGTCGTTTCGTTGGTCATACCAAAGATGTCTTGTCTGTCTCCTTTTCTGCTGATAACCGCCAAATTGTCTCTGGTTCTCGAGACAAGACAATCAAGTTATGGAACACGTTGGGTGAATGCAAGTACAATATCACTGAAGATAATCATTCTGAATGGGTCTCTTGTGTCCGTTTCTCGCCTAACCCTGCTCACCCTGTGATTATCTCTGCTGGTTGGGATAAGCTTGTCAAGGTCTGGGATTTGACGAAACTCAAGATTCGTACCAACTTTATTGGTCATAACGGTTATGTGAACACGGTCGCTATCTCTCCTGATGCCACTCTTTGTGCTTCTGGAGGTAAGGACGGTGTTGTCATGCTCTGGGATGTGAAGGATGCCAAGCACTTGTATTCTCTTGAGGCTGGAAATGAAGTCCATCACCTTGTTTTCTCTCCTAACCGCTACTGGCTCTGTGCTGCCGTTGGTTCTTCTATCAAGGTTTGGGACCTTGAAGATAATAATGTGGTCGATGTCTTGACACCTGAATATAACACTACAGCTAAACAAGCTGATCCTCTTTGCCTTTCTCTTGCTTGGAGTGCTGATGGTACGACACTTTACTCTGGCCATTCTGATAATATCATTCGTGTCTGGCAAATAGTTCATACTTTGTAATATACATAAACAATAAAAAAAAACAAGTGTGTCACGTTACTGACAGCCATCGGAATAAGCCAACCCGACGTTTATTCTAGACAACCCTTTATTTTAAGGAGCTTTTTTTTTTTTTTTTGTTATCAGTGTTAGGTCATTGCATACCCCCAACATCAAACTTGTATGCGAAAATGCTTTCTGTCCTAATCAAGTAACATTAAAAAAAAATAGATAGTTCGGCATCACTTTAACAAGTGTTGGTAGCACACATATTTAACCAAACGCAGTTATTCCGAATCAAATATGTCAAGTATCAAAGTGCTATGAGGCTTGTAGCCATTTGCTTTTTTTGTATGCAATAACAACAACAACAATAAGGAGACAAAGTGTCACCATGAAGCATAATAAAAAAACGAAGACTTTTTTTTCTTTATTCTTTCTTTCTTTATCGTCAACTATGCTTCAGAACCCACCTACTTTTAACTTCACTCGACGACATCATATTTCACAGAAACCAATTTATTCAATACCTTGTATACTGATTGACTTTACAGCCATGACGCTATGTGATTTAATACCCACTCGAAAAAAGAACCGCTCATTACCAGAATTTGTCTTTTTTGTTCAAAAAGTGACGCATCAGGCCCATATTCATGTACGCACATTGCTGGTAGCATTGATTTATCTGAAGCGAGCAAAATCAAACTTGCCCAAACGAGCTGTTGGCAATGACGACACAACCCACCGCATGTTCTTGGCTTCTCTTTTACTCGCCTCTAAATTCTTACAGGACACCACCTGGACAGCCCATGCACTCAGTAATCGCCGTGTCTATGAAATCTGTGGTGGCCTGTTTTCTCTACAGGAAATCAACCAATTTGAGCGTGGATTTCTTAAGCTTATTCAATATGATTGTTATGTGGATGATCAAGCATTACATCAGTTTGTGGAATCCAATCGGTCTGATTTCTCACTTTAATGTCTGTAAATATAATGTAAATAATCATCATCATCATAATAAAACGCATGTCGATCTCTTTATTCGGCACATTAAGGACATGATTGATGTTTATGAGATTCTTTTACAGCTAGTTCAGAAGCAACAGAAGCAGCATCATCTGAGGCTAATTTTTCTTTTAGGCTTGGTGGGGTTTGATGTCTTTGAACCACTTGTTCTTTTTCATTGTCTTCGTTCTCTTCTTCAGGTTTTATAGGAGCAGGTGGTTCTTCATAGTCACCAATTCGATCCCATGCGTCCTTTTTTTTGAGAGGGCCTGAACTTCTTGTCTTGTTGGTATATACGGGTAAATTGCCAATATCCATGGTGTGGTATCAATAGTAAAAGAAAAAGAAAAAAAAGGAGGGGGATAGTGTTATTTAAATTCAGTAACGCGTTTTTTTTTATTTGTCATAGAAAGTTAAGAATCATTCTTTATAGTTCACTTGGTGCGATCTTCTGGCAGTTGATTTCAATTGGTTTCGAGCAGCTTGTTCATGTTTAATATCACATTTAATACAAATAAATACTCTGAACCTAATAAAATAAGTAAGTAAGTAACGTCATTTTTTGATTTCTTTTTTTTTTTTTTACTTTTGAGGATAAGCTTTGATGGGTGGTTGCGGACATCCACAATGGACAATGGTTTCACAGCGACAACATCGAATAAATACTTGAGGGTCCCAATAAGAACCAGTGCCTGTATAGCCTGGCTTTCTTTGGCCCGTTGTGCTTATCAACTTGGCTTTATAGTCATCGTCTAAATGGTGTCTTTCCCATACTTGAGCAGGTAAATCGTGTTGAAGGCAAATGGCACATATTAAATCGTCTGAGGGTATGACAGCAGCGGGTGTATGTTGTTTTGGTTTTTGTGATTTGTTTTTGGAAGTTAAGATAGAAAGCGCTGTATGAGAAGGAACAGTGGGTGAGGTATTGCCCTCAGTTGGCTTGAAATCATAGCCAATATGGACATCAAATCCCTTCAGTGTAAAGATACTCCTGTTTCTCTCCATGTCATAGCTAGAATAAAGCGAGGCAAAAAGAGCCAAGATATAATCCACCCATTGACTATACTGTGTGTTTTCAACAGGATAGCTTTCGTTGTTCTGAATGATCGCAAGAGAACGTTGATAATGATGAGTGAGTTTGCCCATAGAGATTTTAGATAGATCAATACTTTTCCATAGATCTAAAGTAAGCATCCGAGGCACTTTGCCGAATTCCTCAAACAAGTGTTGGTTTCTTCTTCCTACCCAACGATGATAAACAACAGCCAAGCGTCTCTTTCTAGAGGACCCTGAATCTTTTTTTGTTGTGTTTGTATGGTCCAGGCATTCATAGGGTTCACCTTGGAAGGCCAAGTGATATTGTTCTGTACATGTAACATGGTAATACTTATCACATAAATGACATGGTATTTTAGCACCATATTGAGCATAGCTTGGTTTAGTACAATCAGCACAAATCTATACAAAGGTATCAGTTGATGCTCTTGCTGTCTCTCTCTCTCTCTCTCTTTTTTGGAGGGGGGGGATTACCTGTTCAAAGTTACTTGATGGAATGAAGTCTAATTGAGCCTCATAATACTCTGTAGACGTATTAAACACAATACCATCTTCCCCTAAAAAGGTCTTTGCACAATTATAATGCACCCAAGGTAGAGTGTATTTCTTTGGATCCAACATACAAAACACACCAGACGTGTTTGGACATAAGGCACAAGCAATACCTACACTTGTAGGCAAAGACTTCAAGTAATTGCATTTATCACATATCCATCGACGTGTCATCTTGAGTCCTGTCTTCTTTGTCTTGTGATAACAACTGGTATGAAGACGGACATCACACATGGGGTTATCGCAGCCAATGATTGGTTCTTTCTCATTATCGCCAAAGCAAATGCAGCATACGTCGGGTGATTGTCGAATACGCCAGGTATAGAGAAATTTACCGTACCGTCTGATTCTTTCGATGGCCGTGGGTTGGTCTGGTATCCTGCGTGGTTTGGATGGTTGAATGTCAGTCTGTTGGTTGTTGTTTGATGGCGTGACTATGGAAGAAGGCTCTGAAGACGCAGGCACTGCTGATGGTTTGGCTGGTGTCGGCACTACTGATGGTTTGGCTGGGGCAGGCACCGCTGATGACTTGGCTGGGGCAGGCACCGCTGATGACTTGGCTGGGGCAGGCACCGCTGATGACTTGGCTGGGGCAGGCACCGCTGATGACTTGGCTGGGGCAGGCACCGCTGATGACTTGGCTGCGGCAGGCATCGCTGATGGTTTGGCTGCGGCAGGCATCGCTGATGGTTTGGCTGGTGTCGGCACTACTGATGGTTTGGCTGGGGCAGGCACCGCTGATGACTTGGCTGGGGCAGCCACCGCTGATGGTTTGGCTGGTATGGGCTCTGATGGTTTGACTGGTGTAGGCTCTGATAGTTTGACTGGTGTAGGCTCTGACGGCTTAGATAGTGTAGGCTCTGACGGCTTAGATAGTGTAGGCTCTGACGGCTTAGATAGTGTAGACTCTGGCACTGACGAAACCTTTGATCTGGGTCTTCCCTTGGGCCGTCCTTTTGTTATTACGGGTTGTCGAGAAGGAGGAGGTGTGACATCATCTTCCAATTCATATTCCTGATCTGAATCATTCGTTAGACACTCTACAGATTTAGAGCTGGTGGATCTACTGCTTGTCGACAGATGATCGTCCTTTGAGAGGATGCTTTCTACCTCGGGTGTCACTTGTTTCTCCTTTCCTTTTGAGAAAGCAGTTAACAAGGCAGCATCTTCCAATACACTAGACGTGGTACTAGCCTCAGAAGAAGCAGATGCCGCTCGGTGCCATTTTCTGCTGGTGTTTCGTGTAGGAGGCAAGACAACGCTTGGTTCTAAGGACTGAGATCCGTCTGTTACGAGAGAAGATAGGTTACTTTCCGTAGGCTTTGGTTCGTTGGGCTGTTGGTATTCCGTAAAAGATCGTTTGGATGGTATCACCATGCTACCATGCATAGACTCGTCGTCTTTTGAACGGATGCGATGCATTGTGGTATGGCCATGTACTGCTATCATTCAGTCATTGAAATTGCAAACGATAGATTACTTACAGTGTGTATCATGAGCATGATTCAAACGATACGCGTGCCTGAAGTTGATAGGATCCGAAGACTTGTAGTCAGAATGCACTTCAAAATGAGATGGGCTTTGTAGAGCAGCTTGAAAGTATGGATAAAGATGAGGTACATAATAGCGCGATTTGACAGGAGGGTACTTGTCTGGATACGGCGCATGAAAATCAGGTTTGATTTGGTATTGATCTGCTTGGAAATGAGGACCTGAAAAGACAGATAAAGAATGTGTTCGCCTCTGTTCAATACAGTTATGCTCGGGCTTTTTCAGAACTGCGATATTGCCCTTCAAGGCTTCTTCACAAGGCTTTTTTTGTGAAGAAGAAGAAGAAGAAGAAGAAGAAAGAGAGGGAATGACATCCACTCGAGAAGGCTTTGAAACGACAAGAGAAAACCGCTCTTGAGAAGAGGAACGAAAATCTGATATTTTTGTAATAGCTGTTGATTCTAAGCTGCTATTTCTATTGAAGAAAAACAAAAAACGCGTTAATGCCTCTTTTTTTTTCTGTTTTACAGCTTGTTTACGCTTGCATAGTTGAGATTTAACCAAGATCGTTGGACTCAATATCCTTTTTAAATAAAAAAGAAACAAACTGTGGGGATAAAGAAAAAAAAAAAGTCGGCAGACACACACATACACCATCTTATTTTATTCTCAGAAATATGCAACGATTGTCTTTACGGTGCAATCATTGTAAGGAGTAACGTTGGATATGGATGCTAGAGATGAAACCATCGATAATGTTTATTCTTATTTACTAATCAGTTTTGATATGTCTTTCTCTTGAACTTGTCCAGAAAAACGATCAATCAAGGCCTTGACTTTTTCATATACCATAAAAGTAACAGCTTGACCAGGAGCAACACGCAAAAGACGAGGCGTAAGACCCTTATAGAAAGCCAAAGGACCTTCTTTTCGAAGGATTTCAAATGTCACTGTCTTCAATCGCTCAAATCCACTTCCAGATGCAGACGATCTTTGGATACGGGTCTTGATGGTATCAATAGGCGCATTTGAAAGTGGACCCATGGCACCAGAGACACCACCCAAAACCAAGTGTTGATAAGAAGGCAATTCAGCCACATCTTGTGCTTTTAATGCAAACTTTTTCATCTCTTGATAAGCAGTAAAGTTGGCAGCTTGGTTGGTAGCTAGACGGGTGTTGAGTCATACATGTCTTCTCCGTGAGCATCTTACCTTGTCTTAAGGCTGTCAAAGTGACACCTTTGTATAATGCTCTGACACCTTCTTCTTTTACAATGGTGTAAGCAGCATGAGGTGCATTACGGTATTTTGGAATATCTAATGGATCAGCCATTGAATGGCGTTGAGCCTATTATCATGGTATTGAGAAACCAAGAAAACAAGAAAAAGAGGGGAAAATGATATAAACATACCTGCAGACGAATCTTGATCAAATCCATAGGACTAACAACAAGAACAGCTTCTGTTGTACCAGCAGCAAGACCAGCTATAGATACTAAGTACACATGAACCATAAGATACCCTCGCTTACCCAAGAAAACAGAGCTAGTGCTCACTACACCATGCGTATCTGCCATCCATGACTTGTACAGTTCAAAAGAAGAGAAACGAATAGCCATCTTAGGTACAATACCAGAAACAACAGCACCTAAACCTTTATACAATGCCCAAAAAGATTCATTTCTCACAATCTTTGTACCTACACCCAAGAATCCCAATCGTTGACCCTAGACTACTTAAGAGAAAAGAAAAGAAAAAGAGTGATTGCTTACATTGGCATTTCTTGAACCTGTCTTTGATAGTTGCATTCTGACTTTAATGGTATCAAGGGGATGGCAAGCACAAGCTTCCATAAAACCAGCAGCACCACCAGCCACTAAATGAGTCAAAAGAGGTGTCTTTTTCTGATTGTTGCGAGTCATAATAAATGTAGAAAATATAGAAAAGAAAAGACATTGCTTATATATAAAGTAAATAAGAAAAGAAGGGGGGCTTTTCTTTTTCTCTCCTATTTCCTTCTTCTTCTTCTTTTGATCGCCAAGATAAATATGCAGGGATGTCTATAGTATTTCTATGCACGTATTTTTTTTTTTTTTTTTTTTTTTTTTTTTTTTTTTTTTTTTTTTTTTTTTTTGCATCAAGTTTATTTATTTATTTATTTCAGTGCTGTTTGTGTTTGTTTGTGCTTCTTAGTTGCAGCCATTGCTGATATTCCCATTGTGCTACATTTTGAATGAATCCCATATCCCTTAAATACAACTTTCTTGCCACATAGGTGTTCAGCAGACGTTCAATGAGCCCCATAGAATGAAGTACATTGACAACTGAATACCAGAGTATGCCAAATACAATACCAATACTGGATCCAATCCATACTTGACTTAGTGTATGATAACCTAAATAGATACTATAGATTCCAATGAGACACAAAAGTAAGATTACATCTTATCTTCTCTTACCGAGACATAGACACCAGAAAAGCCAAGGTAAACATGGCCAAACTCGTCAACCATTTCCAGATAACATGGTCCAAATGAATATATCTGTACATATACAATGACCCATAGACAGCAAAATACCAAATAAACTGTGAGTGACTTGAAGGCATACCATAACCATCACCCAAGTGAGCTAATGTTCAATTCAGTATACATGGTCTTTTTTTTTTTTTTTTAGTATTTAATTTACCATGAGGTCTTTCTTGTTCAATCCATTCTTTCAAGATGTAATTAAGGGCTTCATTAGCAAGTTGCCCTGATAGCATTAGAATACCAGCCACTTCGCGTCTTGACACAATGACGGATGCATAAAACACAAGAATAGCGATGGGTGCAAGTGTAATGTAAGCTAATGCATATGATATCTTGTCTTGTGGATTGAAATAGACATGAGTTAATGAGATGGACGCAAGTGCATGACTTTCATGAAATGTCATGATGAAAATAAAGCAAAGTAAAGTCGTGCTTTAAAATCTTAAATAATTCAAGTTGAATAGCTTACTCGTACTATCCAGTTTTATTTTGGATGAACATAGTCAGAATAAGAAAGAGAAGACTTAAATAAAAAAAAAACAGTTGTCAGTCACAATAATGGGTTCTATCTGTTGCATGAAAGACCTCTTTTTTTTTTTTTTTTTTCTCTCTTTTCTTCTTATTATTATGGCTCCACCTTATACTTATCCACTGGCTGGTGTTGTTTATTTCATGACACATCCACAGGTAAGCAAAGGCTTGTTTAGATTGTTGATTCACGTATTTCCTTAGTTGTGGCTAAAAGCCCTCTGTCCATTTCTTTTAACACTCATTGTGGGTATTCTATCTCTCGTTTTATCTTTTGTCTATCTTTTGCCATTACAGGCACACGCACTTATCACAGCGCATTGCCCTGTCTGGTTAGCATGGACAGTCTCGGTCATCTTTGTGTTGATCGAGTCTGCTGTGTTTGATCTGCTCTTTTATGCTATCATTCAACCTTTCTTTCAAGACGCTTTGTTTGATGCCACCCTTCGAGCCAGAGGGTTGGATCGTATGTTTGATACTCGTATACCTGTTTCAGGCCTTTTGTTGTGTTGTCGTGGTGTTTCATCAGGCTTAGCATTTGTCTGGTTACTACTATTAGCACAAGTAGTAGTGTTGATTTTGACAGCCCCATTACATTTGATTCCTGTGGTAGGCACTGTCATTGCTTGCTATATTAATGGTTGGGTAGCATGGTAAGCTAACAACATATCATGATCAAACTCATTTCTGTCTCTAGTTGGGGTCATCATATTCATTATGATTTAGAATTCAGAGGATTCTCTGTGGGAGATTCAAGGAGTTTTGCATGGCGACACAAGGCTCAGTATTGTAGTTTTGGTGCAGTAGCTGTAGCACTTGAATTAGTGCCTCTGTTCAATTTGATCTTTATGTGGACTAATGTTGTAGGTGCTGCACTTTGGGTAGGAGATAAATATGAAAAGAACGAAAGAGAAATTTCAAGACGTCAAAGAACAAGTACGTCGAATGAAATCATGACTTTTCCAGGACAAAAAGATGGGTATGGATCTATTTATCTTGCCTAAGGTTGTAATCCTCCTTGAAATAGCTATCTTCCCCTTATAAAACAATAAAGTCCCACCAATCACAATAAGCGAAAGAGTCGAATGTTCTATTTGATAGGCCTTTCTTTTTGGTTCCTGAACATGGACTAAAAATATATATATATATATTTCTTTTTTCTTTTCTTTTTTCCTTTTATCTTTATCTTCTTTATGAAATCTTCTAAACAAGACCATCTATATACAGTTCAATCAAGTGAAGCTAGTTCTTCTGTCTCCCTTCAAGAGATACCTCGTCCTCATTTTTTACAACCCCATTCATTTGAATCTCAACACACTGATTTACCAGAACCAGTTTTACCATGGATGAAATCAGAATCGCGTCAATCTCTTGGATCTCAACGGTCAAGTGTGGATGCATCCAGCCTACATATCATGAAACGACATATGCCTGATCCTGCTATTAAGAAAAAGCAACGATGGACGAAACATAAATGGTGGTTATTGCTGTCGAATACACTGGTAACATGGTAATTATAACATATCGGCGTCTTAATTTGTTATTATTATTATTATTTTTAGCTGTTCTGCTATGGTCTAGGGATTTTATTATTAGCCCTCTTGACTTATTTTAAATGTAAGTCTATACAGAGATGATATAGTGTATTAATCCCTCCTAGTCTATCTTCGTGCAGATGTAGTCATTGTAGGCGAACGCATGATTCTGAATTGCAAGTAACATGCCGTTATCTACAGCACTTGAATTAATCGATTTGTAGTGATTTTGGCTACAGGCGTCATTTGTTTATTTACGTCTGTCTTGGGCTATGTAGGCATCATGCTGAATAACCGTGCCATCTTGACTTTTTACAATTTATTTCTCTGGCCTTGTTTTGGTATGGTTGCTGCTATTGGTTACTCTGCTTATCGTAAAAACAAATGGAACATTGAAGGCAAACTCTCTTATCAATGGCATTATGATCTTGACTCAGATGCCCGTGCACGCATTCAAGCCAATCTTCATTGTTGTGGCTATAAAAGCTTTACAGACTATCATGAACGATCCAACAAATGTTTCCCTCGTACACTTTTACCTGGCTGTAAATTCAAATACCAAACATTCACAAAAGAAGCCCTGACGATGACTTGGATTGTCGCCTTTAGTATGATTCCTGTTCATCTGTTTGTCTTGTTTTCTGCTCTCTTGTGTTCTAATCATATCAACCGTAAATTCGGTAAAGGATTGCCTCCCAAAATTTATCGCTTAGATTATCAAGGTATTGTGGCTGGTACGCCTACAGGAAGTTCATTGAATCTCTATCGAGATGGATTACAACAAAGACATTAAAAAAATATATATATATATTTATTATGATGATGATGATGATAATGAAGTCTCTTTCTGTTGTAATGTAGTAGCAGCAGCAATAGCATTTGTAGCAGCCACTGCAGCAGTAGGTGGAATACTTCCTTCTTCTTCTTCTTCTTTCTCTTTTTCTTCTTTTTCTTCTGCTTCTTTTTCTTCTTTTTCCTCTTTCTTGTTTTCTTTTTTCTTGTCTTCTTCTTGTTGTTGTTGTTCATCATCGTCATCTTTGACTTCACCTTCTTCTTGTTCATCCACTTCACCTTCTTCAGGCTCTTCTTTTTTCACCTGAGATTCTTTTTCTACTTTCTCAGTAGGCTCAGTCTCTTCTGTCTGTCTTGGCTTTTTATTTTCCTCTTGTTGTTCTTGTGGCAAAGCACGCTTTTGACCCAATTGAGGGTTGCCCATACTCAAGAGTGCATCTGCTACACTGGCATCAAAACTCTCGTCTTTCTTTTCTTCTTGTCGAAATGATTCTTCCATTGGACGTTGTTCATAACGGTAATCTGTACGAGGAGATAGACGATGATCAAAGTTACGTGGGCGTGTATGAGGCGAACCTGATTGCGTTGGCGTTGATTCTTCTTTATAACGCATACTCATAGGAGGTAAGTTGCTTTGATACTGTCTTTCATCATGAATAGGGTTCATCTGAGACCGATCGGAAGGTGTAGGTGCACGTCCACCGCCAATGTCAGGAATACGGACATCTTCACGCTGATGTGTAGTAGGGTATGGTGGGTGATAAGGTCCAGGTGAACGACGATGATGATGACTGTTGAGCACAGGAAGGTCACGAGCAGGTCCTGTGTTTTGTTCGTGCGTGGTGAGTGCGTGGTTGACAGGTAATTGAGGTGTAGGCACGCGTTCTTCTGCACGCTGTGTGTGAGCACTGCCCAAGGCAGTATGGTAAGCAGACATACTGGAGGGTGGACCACTAGGACCTGATTGACTGTAAGATCCTGTCATGGGTTGTCCACTTTGATATTGGCTTGGATTACTGACATCCTGAGGCACAGGTGCATTCGGTGCTGTCCTAAACCAACAGATGATGCATTAGTAGTTGACAAACGCATGATGCACACACTTACCCTTGTGTGGATTGAACACTTTGTGATTTTCTCAAGAGTTCTAAGCGTTGTTTGATATGAGGATTACTAGGATCCAGTTCAGCAGCACGTTGATAGGCATCCAACGCATCTTGGACTTGGTTATTGCATGATTCATACAAAGTACCTAAATCATACCATACTTCACTGATATAAGGGTTCAGACGAATAGCACGGCTATACGCATCCAATGCATCTCGGTATTGATTGATTTGATAGTACAAGACACCAATCGAACACCAAAAAGTAGGGTTACGAGCATCTCGATAGACAGCTTGTTGATAGGCTTCATAAGCCTTATTGTAGTTTTGTTCAGCCATGTAACAACGGCCGAGCAAATACCACGATTGAGCGTCATTGCTGTCTGCCTTGAGAGAACGCGTCAGGTATTGAATGGCTAATGCTTGGTTGCAAAACGACGTGTTTTGTTGATGGTATAACCAACCCAGTTGCTGAAGTACTTTTGCATGATCAGGGTTTTCAGCCAAGACGCGTTCATAGGCTTCTTTGGCTAATTCGTATTCTTTTTGTTGTTCATACACATGGCCTGTTTGAAACCAAATATCAGATTCAGTCAGAGGTCTTGGAGGGTTATGAAGAATGTATCGAAAGCACTGATGGATATTAGAGACAAATGATCTTAAGAGAACAAGACACTTTACCTGCAGTGATAAATCATACTTTTGTTGTTGTTTGTAAATGATACCCAATCTAAAATAAATCTCATTGGCCTTTTCGAATTTAGGATCCATCTTCATCACAGCAGAAAAGGCTTCTTCAGCATGTTCAAGTGACCCATAACGATCGTACAAGATACCAATGCCATACCAAAGTTTAGGGTCTTTTGGGTTGGAGAGATGGTATAAGGCCTGCTGATAGGCTTGATAGGCTTCTTGTAAGTTATCCATCATCAGATAACAATGACCGAGAGCAGCCCATGTCTCGCCATTGTTTTCTTGAATAGCCAAGATACGTTTAAAATAGTCGACAGCACGTCCAAATTGTTCGCGTCCTCTACATAAAGACGCGATTTGAGACAAAGCAGCAATCGAATAAGGATTGTGTCTAAGTGCAGATTCATAGCAATTCATAGCTTTATCATAATCGGTCATCATTTCAGCGAGGTTGCCTATTTGAAGTCAGTCTCCTTATATATATATATATAAAAGTCCAGTTGTAAGGACTTACCCATGGTCATCCAGGTCTGTTCATTTACTTGAGCTAATTTCTGTGCAGCTGAAACTTGCTGCTGAGGTACAGTCGCTGCCATTCTAAAATTCTAAAATAAAGATGTCAGTGCCGGGGTTGTTCTTTGTTGGACCATCTAGGGGAAGGGGGGGGGAAAGATGAACAAGAAGAAAAAAGTTGCCATCAAATTCATCTAATGTGCCTCTCTCTCTCTCTCTCTCTTTTTTTTGTTCGTCATCATCTTTACCTGTTATTGTTTACAAATAGAATAAAAGCGTGTCTTTTTTATATTTATCGTGTCGTTTGTCTGAATAGATGGTGATGCGTCGAACAAGATTGAATATAGTTAAAGAAAAGAAGAAGAACAGAAAAAAAAAAAAAAAGTAGACAAACTTGGAACCCCGTGTAAACTTTAAAAAGAAAAAAAAAAGAACGGACTTTGAATAAAGGTAGAGGATGACAGCATTTTATTTTGTTTTTTTTTTAGTCTACAATCAAGTCTTTCACTTTCCAATCTTCATAAGTGCCATCTGGCATAAATCGACGTACAATCAAAGGAATCTTTTTCTCTCTTAATTCTTTGTTGGCAATAGCAAGTGCGTCTGATTCACCATCAATATCTACCATCACGGGTGCATTTAAACTACCCATGTCAGTTTCGTTCATCTGGCTTGTTTTCTAACCTGATCTGCAAGGCGCGTGTGCCTAAAATTCTGGCTCGTTCATATTTTGTTAAATAAGGTGTTGTAATGCGTTCTGTACGTTCTGAGGGATGATTGGCATCATTGGCTGTATTGCCTGCCATCACATCATCGAGAATAGCGACGGATTCACCTTGGTTTTCATCAAAATTGATTTCTTCTACAGCCTAAGTATTCAATCAATACACAGATGCCTTATATTGTATCTACCTCATCTTCATATTGATATTCATAACTACATAAAAAGTAAGTTTATTTAAATACGCGTCTCTGTTATTACTTTACTCGTTATATTCTTGAGGTTCATCGTCGTCGTAATCCATGCTAATAATAAAGAAAGAAAAAAAAAAGATGAATTTCCATCACAGTCACACATCCACTTTTAGGCGCTTGCTTCAACGTATTTTGATTGGCTATTCTCATCACTGCCAATTTTTTTTTTTTTTTTTTTGTTATCAAGAAATGACGGAAGCTGGGTTTATCAATAGAAAAATGATAAGAGAACAAGATAAGCCCTTTCTTTTCCATTCTCCATGAACACAAAAGCAGCCATTGTTTCAAATGCCTCTATTTCATCCAAATACAGTCAGTTAAAAATACTCAAGATACCCATTGAATATGTGTTTGTGGATAAACAAGGCAACTTGAGATCTAAAGCAAAGACACTCACTACCTCACCTACATCCATAAATGATATTCCACCATTGATATTGCAAGGATCCAAAGACACAGAATGGTTAGAAGACAGTTATCAACCTGTAGCTATCTATAATGACCCATTTCGTCCTGAAGGAGGTAAATTGGTCTTGTGTGAAGTGCCTAGTCGAAAACGATGTTTGGATATCATGAATTATTATGCTCATTTGGAGCCTTGGTTTGGTATGGAACAAGAGTATGTCTTGTTTGATCCAAATACCAATAAACCATGGGGTTGGCCATTACATGGTGAACCTGAAAAGCAGGTAAATAGATACCTAATATATATATATATATATATATATATATGTTACTTATAGTCGTAGGGTCATTATTATTGTGGTGTAGGTGCAGGCAGAGTGTTTGGTAGAGATATTATGGAAGCCCATTATCGTGCTTGTTTATTTGCAGGCATTACACTATGTGGCTGCAATGCAGAAGTAACACCAAGTCAACTTGAATATCAAGTAGGACCTTGTTTAGGTGTGACGATTGGTGATGAACTCTATATGGCAAGATATATCATGGAACGTATTACAGAAGAATTTGGTGTGGCTGTCTCATTACATCCTAAACCCATACCAGGCGAATGGAATCCTACAGGGTGTCATATCAGTAAAGTATATTGATGAAAAAAGGGTAGTTCCTTATCTGTCTTAGATTTCTCAACCAATGAAATGAGAGCAAGTCCAGATGGTATGTTGGCGATTGATCAAGCAGTAGAGAACATGAGTTCAAGACATTTTGAACATATTGAGGTCTATGGACAAGACAATGAACTCAGACTCACAGGTGAATATGAAACAGGCCATATCTCTGTATTTTCATGTGGTGTGGGTAACCGTGGTGCTTCTATACGTATCCCACGCTCAGTAGCTGTAGAAGGCAAGGGATATATGGAAGACAGAAGGCCTGCAGGCAATATAGATCCTTATGCAGCCATTACAATGATCATGACTTCTTCTTTTAATTATAAATCACCTCATGAACAAACATTTTTATTTTTACCAGAACAAGAATAGTAAATAAAATGTATTTGATCAAGCACCTGTATTGGTGGGATCAGAACTAGGCACAGGACCCAATCGTCTAGCCATGGGATCATCAAAATTATAAAGTGTGTCAGGTGACTTGCTTGATCTCATGGCATCATTGGCAAAACCTTTAGGAAGATCTTGCTGATTCTTATCATGTTGGAAAAAATGATGATGATGATGAGGTTCTTTTGGTTTGTCTTCTTGTTTATCAGTAGGGTTTGTCTTGTTTTTATCTTGATGATGAAAGAAACTCATAATAATCTATAGTAAAAAAAAAAAAAAAAAAGAAAAAGAAAAAGAAAAAATACAACAGCTTATTTAAGCATGACATACTTGTTTCAGCATAAATTTTATTTGATGGGCCGACCCTATAAATAATCATTTAGAGCATGAACCTTTTTCCTTTCTTCTTTCTTCCCACGATATGGCTGTCACACAACGCTTACCCACACGTCAAAACGTAAATAAGGTCCTTGATAACTTTGGTCCTCAAGAAGGCCTTATTTATTTAGCAGGACAAGTGGTTCAAGAAAGAGATGATACTGATGTTGAACTTGCTTTTCGTCAAGAATCTAACTTTCTGTATGTTACAGGTAAATACATCCCAAAAAAAAAAATTTTTTTTTATATATATATATGGTGTAGGTGTTGCTGAACCTGATTTTCATGTGGTGATTGATATTGCTACAAAGCATATTCAATTAGTATCTCCCAACTTAGACCCTGCTCATGTGATGTGGATGGGTTTGCCTGACAGTTTAGAGACTTTGATGGAGAAATACGATATAGATGAAGCCATCTATGTAGACAAATTAAATGACCGTCTGCGTGCCGCTCCTATTGTCTATACTTTACCCATGACCCGCAAGGGCCAATGGGATGCTTCATGGTGTACAGCAGAACAATCTAAACAACTCCATACTGCTTTTGCTGAATCCCGTGCCATCAAATCCGAGTGGGAAATTGAGCTTATTCGTGAAGCCAACCGTATCTCTTCTGAAGCCCATACGGCATTGATGAAAGCATCCCATGTAGGTTCATCGGAGGCTCAATTGCATGCCTTGTTCTTGTACGAATCAGCTCGTCAAGGTGCCTTTTTCCAGGCCTATTATCCTATTGTAGGTGTAGGTAAGAATGCAGCTACTTTGCATTACAACAAGAACAATGCTCCTCTCTCTGAACCCACAGAGATCGTGCTTGTGGATGCAGGCTGTGAAGTCCGTGGTTATGCTTCTGATATCACCCGTTGTTTCCCTGTGAATGGTGTCTTCTCTCCTGAGGCACGCACGATTTACAGTATCGTGTTGGATATGCAAAAGGCTTGTTTGGCTGCTTGTAAGGCAGGTGTTGCTTGGGAACACATTCACCGTATTGCCATGCATGTGGCTTGTGATGGTTTGATGGCCTGTGGTATTTTAGTAGGGGATCGGGATGCCTTGTTAGCCAACCATGTGGTGGCTGCTTTCTTCCCTCATGGTGTAGGCCATATGCTTGGTTTGGATGTGCATGATTTAGGTGGTTATCCTGAAGGTACAGAGCGTATAGATGAACCTGGTATTCGTTATTTGCGTATGCGTCGTGATCTTCAAGCTGGATTTGTGGTCACTGTTGAACCTGGTGTCTATTTCTGTGATTTTTTGATTGATCCTGTCTTGAAGGATGCTAAAACAAGTCATTTTATTAATCAAGAAGCCTTGGCCAAGTATAAATCTGTAGGTGGTGTTCGTATTGAAGACAATATTGTGATCACTCAAGACGGTTATGTCAACTTGACTACTGTACCTAAAGAAATAGATCAAATTGAAGCATGGATGGCTCCATCCTAAATAAAAGACTTGACGTCATGTATGATCACGTGCATATTGCATGAACACATCTTTTTATTATTATTATTATTATTATTATTTTGTTCTTTTCCTTGTTTTATATCATGTCTCTTATTTATGGTTTAGTTGCTCGCGGTTCTACTATTTTAGCAGAACATACAACCAGCAGTGGCAATTATGGGACTGGTAAGATGATGCATGCATGTCTATGAGCTCATGTTCTTTATATAGTGACTCAAGCTATTCTTGAAAAGATTCCACCTAATAACTCCAAATTGACTTATGTCTATGATAGGTATAAACAATACCATTCTATGCTATGTATTGAAAAGTTAGATAGATATTTGTTTCATTATATCTGCGAAGATGGCATTACTTATATGTGTATGGCTGATGATTCTTTTGGTCGTCGTATTCCATTCGTCTTTCTTCAAGACTTGAAAGACAAATTCTTGACAACGTATGGTAAATCAAGAGCCCTTGATGCTCCCCCTTATGGTCTGAATGAATTCTCGCGTGTGATTGAAAAGCAAATGGTAAGAATGCAAGACATAGTGCATAAACTACAATGTATATAGGAATACTTTTCAACCAATCCTAATGCAGACCGTTTAAAGCAAGTACATGGTGAAATTGAACAAGTAAAAGATGTCATGGTTCATAACATTGGTAAGTGAAATGTTGTCTATTGAACTTGCACTGATTTATGTCTAGAACGAGTATTAGAAAGAGGAGAACGTATTGAATTATTAGTTGACAAGACAGATAATTTGAACCAACAAGCCTTTGCTTTCAAGAAGAGAAGTACACAATTAAAAGTAAAAGAAAAAAGAACAAAGATAGATATCGTCAAACTAAGTTTATATTAGCGTGCCATGTGGTGGAAGAATACAAAGATCATGGCCATGATTTGCTTGGTTTGCTTTGTAAGTAGAATTAAATTGAAAGTAAACTTATACCTTTGTTTAGTTGATTGCCTACTTTATTGCTGCTTCTGTATGTGGTTTCCCTGGTAAGTGTGTACATGTATCATAATGTATAATATTGAACTTGTTGATGATTTAGCTTTTGGATCCTGTAGAGCTTAGTCATAATAATAATAAATGTTTATTATCATTATTATGTCAAATATGATACAAATATATATATATATGTATAAGATTGTGTTGTTCTATAAGAAGAGTTCTATGATGCATTAGGAGGTGGAGGTGGTGTTGTACCTTGAGCTTCTTTCGCTGCTGCTGTTGCTGCTTCTTGAGCTGCCTTTGCCTTTAATTCTTCTGCTCTTTCCATATCGAATCTTTCTTTGGCTCTCACTACTTTAGATTGAAGATAAAATGAGCCACCCTTCGCAGGTTCATTCACACCAAACAGATGCTCATAATTCTAATCTTGACTTAGTTTAGAGTTGACATGATCATCGACTTACCTTGGTGATTTTAGAAAGATCAGCATCTTTTGTTACATTCAAAATCTGACAAGCTTCTTCCATAGACATACCCGTCTTACGAGTCAAGACGTCCATCACTGTCTCTTTCGCACTTGCTCTTCCATTACCAGAAGGAGCAGCTCCTCCATTCTTGGCAGCATCTACATGAATCAATACATACTCTCTTCTTTCTTTCTCAACACTTACTCGCAGCAGCTTGTTTATAGGCTGCAACAAATGCTCTTGTCACAACTGAGCCCAAAGAAACAACAATTTGAGCAATAATTCTAGCTGACTAGAATAATGTTATGAAAACATGTATACAACGAGCACTTACCATGACTATATATATATATATATATAATGGGAAAAGGGAAATAAGAAATCAGAACCAGGCGGGGCCTGGCTTTTTTTTTATGTATAGGTTTCGCACTGTTAGAACCAATCAAAATGCTTTATTGTTCTTCTAAATAAGCTTGCAAGTAACGACTTGTTTCGCTAAACCAATGATACAAAGAAGTAATGGAAGGATGTCCTTCAATATTTCCTTGAATTGCTGTTTCAAAATCAATAGATTTATCTTCAATTCGACTCATAAAATCATGTCCTAAAGGCAATTGAAGCACACGTTGATTCAATTCCTCTTGATAGACCTGTTTATCTTTAAAATGGTCCACTCGATATCTATCCAAGGATTGATCCCAGCCAACATCTTGGCCTATCCATGCCTTCATGTAAACAAGGTGATCATACACTGCATTGGATTGAAAGAATGCTGTATTGAAATCAGTCAAGATCTGACTGAATTCTTGTTGAACGACAGGCAATTGAAACAAGGCAGCCACAAGAGGTCGCTTTTGAATGCGATCAAATACGCCAAAACGATCCAGCTGTTGAAACCGAGTAGTGACTGTTGTCCGTCTTTCTCTCAGCGTACTTCCCATGGTTTGGTCCAGGTCTGTAGAGAGCCAAACCAGTCTTCCGTCTTGATCTGGGTCTTGATAGATCATGTAATTATGGGCTGCTCCCATATAACCATCCACATGGCCCAACAAGATTTCAAATGCCATGTTCCTCAAGAACAAAGACACATCCAATCGTTTATTCCATGATGCTAATACTGCTTCTTGATCCATGCCTGTCTTGTCTTGATGCACAAAATCAATCAAGGACACCAAGACTTCAAAATCATCTGCGTCCGTGGCATTCTTTTTAGGCAGCATCTTATAAGCACTGGTCTTTCCTTCATAATAGTCCTGGACGGCTGAACCATGGTATTCAAGATTGGCACCTGAGGCCAAGATGCCTTTGGCCAATGGATTCTCTTGCATTTGACCTTGAATCAATGTACCTGCTTGATAGTCTGCATGGCCTTGACCAAACATGTTCTTGAGAAAAGGACCTTTGTAATGGTCAACAAGGGAATAAAGACCTTGGGGCTCATCATTGATAAACAACCGAATAAACGATGCTTGTGAAGTAGGAATATCAGCCGCTTCCAACATGTCATAATACATTTTTTCACGCAGAAAGCTAGGGTCGGTGACACAGGAGCGAATCTTGAACCGCTGAAACCCATCGATCGATTCACCTTGAGCCAAGTTCATGCTGTACGACAGTTTTCTAAACAATTTCGACGTCTGTCCACCCAAGGCAAATTCAAGCTGATGGTAGTGCTCGATACGGTCTGATGTGATACGGGTCAGATTGACCGTCAAGACAGGCTCTTCTAGTATCTTGTCGTGTAGCTGTTTGTAATCGTCTGGGTCAAGATGGACATGAAACGTAGGGATTTCGTTCATCGGATGGACTTGGTTGCGAGACACTGCTTTTTTATAATAGGTGTTGTTGGATCCATAGTCAACAGGCGATAAACGATGCACATCTTGTCTTTGTGTGACAGCACGACCATAGAATTCATACAGGGATGAATGAGTGCGGAAAAAAGGTTCACTGTCGATCAGTTTGTTTGTGCTGTCAAGCACGACATATTGGTATCGACCCATCATGTCGAATTGACCTTCATACACAAGACTATCGGATAGGGAATTATTTAAGGCATGAATTTGATTTTGTCCTTCAAAACGAATGCCCATTTTTTGATGAGGCGTATGAATGACATGAAATAGTGTCTGTTGAGCATCTGCCACATAAAAGGTCACAAGGGCCACTAACAAAAGTTCAATTCCATCTTGTTTTGATTCTCTATAGGCTTACATGAAATCAATCCAACTATCTTCATCTCCAATGAATAAAAATTCTTTATTTTATGGAAAATGTATATGTATATATAAAAAGCTATCTTTTTTATAGGGTTATTTAGTGAGAATGTAAAGTAGTAGTTGGAAATTCAATATGCAAATAAGTATTAAGAAATTATATATATAAAAAAAAAAGCCCTTTTTCAGAACCTGCTGTATACAAAAAAACTTGTCTCTAAGAGGTATAAGAATATCATGCATTACGTTGGCTATAAGTACGAGATTCATGTTGATCAGCAGTAGACATCAATTGAATGTCCGTATAGATAGAAGAGTTGTTGTAAGAAGGTCTCGAGGGTATATGCATAGGGTCTAAATCATTCACTTGCGACTTGAGTACTTTAGCAGGAGGTGAACGATTATCTTTGCCATAAGAATGAAGTACCATACCACAATGTTCACAGAACGATTGTTCAGGAAGTCGAGTATAATCAAGTCGTAAGGCTTCTACTAACAAGGTAGATTCAATGACTTCAAAATAAACAGTAAATGCCTATTATGCAAATAAATAAATAAATAAAGAAGGGGGAATAAGTGAATCGACTTACATCAGATCGACTACCAATGAAATGTGTTACTTTAAACAGATTCATGACTAAATTGACGACAAAAGTAAAGATCAAGCAGACTAAAGACTTGCGTGCAATGTATTCAATCACTTGACTACGATGACTCATGAGTGTTCGAGAGTTTCGAATATGTACATAGAGTCTAAATGAACAATGAGTAATGAATAGCATTTGTTTGTCTTTGTGTACCTGCGGACAAACATGCCACTTAAGAATAAATTGGCCAATGCATCAGCGACAAAATTCAAAGTAATGACACCTGTGCCCCTATTTATAGACATGAGTGTGATATTGCATGGACTAAAAACGACTTTACCATTGAGCAAGGCAATTTGCTCCAAATTGAACATGTTGTTCCATTAATTGTTGCTGTAATGTATGAAAAGCCAATTCATAAGGCCAATCAGCAAACCGAAGTGTAATTAAAAACACACCAACGGCTTTAATCCAAAGCGAATGTTTATCTGCTTCCAAGATCAAGAGTCGTTTAAACATGATGGAATACATTAAAATGAAATCTATAATCATGAGTCATTGAATTATTGTAAGGTTGTTCTTACTCAAATGCCATAATCTAACAAAGGACATCAGTATAAATGAATAAAAGATAGAAATGAACATACGAAACAAGCAATGGCCAAAATGCACAAGTCGTAATTTCAAAAAGAGGGACAAGGCCATAAATAAAACGATGAATAAAAAGTACACAGACTTGAGCTATGTTCATTAAATGACTATATATGATAAGTTTATGTTGTGTTCGAAAACCTTACATTAACCCGTTTGTACGTCGGTATTGCCGAAGACAGACAAAAAAATTGCGTACACAAATGGTTACTGCTAACCACATGCCAATCATACTAAGTCGATCAACAACTTGCTCGCCATAAGGTGATAATTCAATCATGGTCGACTCAGAAAGAAAAAAAGAAAAAAAAATGGAAAGAAGAAGAAAAAGAAGGAAAAGGAAAAGAATACTTTATTAGGGTTTTATTCAACCTATTACAAAGTAAAAACTAGTGGCTGAGTGCTACGTTGTTGTGGAGACAGAAAAAAAAAAAGGGAAAAACAGGCTAGATCGAATAAAACCCAAGAAAACGACTGAAATTCTTTTGGTCCCAGCGTTTCCCGTATATGAAAATAACACAAGATAATTAGTTTAATCCAATCATATTCTATTGATTCGGAAACTAGGTGAAAGCCAAGTTTCCCAATCGTCTATACGGTCAGGATGACCAAAGATCTTAAGAGCCTTTGCACGTATTCTAAAAGACCCATTTGGTGCAACATTGCTCTTGTTCCTGTTGTCTAAAATACGACCCGACCAGTCAAGGGCATAATCATATAAATCATTTGAATGATCATTTCTTGATACATAATGGCTTTGTCCGTCCCAAAGTTGACCTATAACTTGGTCTTGTTCAGAGACTAGTTCAAACTTGATGATGGCTGTAGGGCTACCCAGTCGAGTATAGAGGTGCAAAACAGAAGATGGTTGCCAATGACGCTTTGTGGTTGCAAAATTATAAACAAGACTTGTGTTTAGAATATGTCCGTTACTGTCGCCAATGAAAGGATATCCCGTCTAACAAGTCATTAAAAAAAAGGAGCCATATGTTAGCATGTATTTCTGTTTTTTTTACCTTTGTATCCAATATAGGAAGATCTCTTTGATTGCCCAAGGCACCAAAATAAGGAATATGAGACTCATGTGTTGCGTTTGTGTTCATATCCGATGATGATACCTTAAGATAGCCTCCATAAATTAAATGTGTTTCATTTGACAATGGTTGTGTAAATTGAACTTGAATATTGATATTTTCGTCGGGATTCAGTCGAACGGAATTTTGGCTGAACGTTACTTTAGCATCACTGATTAGGTAGGTCGGTACCAGTTGCGGGACAGCACTTGTAGAAAAGTGGTAGCCTACAACAAAAGTATCAACATCATAATATATGGATGATTCTATACCTTGAATAGCAGCAGCAGGCATATGTGTAAGTTGAAACAGTTTTGGCTGATTGGATCGATTTTTAACATTGATGATTGTTGAATTTAAAAAATACATGGTGTCATTTAGAGCAAGCGTGGAAGGTGTCATTAGCTGATCGCCTGATATAGAGTTATAGATCTTACTAATTTAGTACCCCTATATTCCGAATATATTGAATGTTACCTGAACTAATCCCGAACCTTGTTTTGCTGGCGATTCGAATAGACCTGGCTGCTTTTTGATGGGTTTGGCATAGTTGACTAGACTATCCAAGATTGTCTTTTGGTCTCTTGCGCCTGTAGCATGCATCAACAACGCAATACATCCTGTTATATAAGGCTAATTTCAAATAAATAAATATATATAGAGTATATGTTGTGTAGCTACTTACAGTAGCCATACTCGTGCCACTTAACATAGCGTAGGCACCTAATAGAAGCCATATGTTATCGTTGATTTAATATGTTATTTAGTTTTTACCCATATTCACTGGGAAAGTAGAGTAAACATATCCTCCAATAGCAGAGATCTCTGGTTTGAAATGAAGCTAATAAAGAAAAAGGGAAATAAGTAATCATTAAATAACCCTATCTACCTCTGGATCAGGGCCCCATGTAGAAAATCTAGTGTCTATATCAATTGCTTGTTCATAACAAAAAAAAATATTACTTTACACAGATGATTTTCCTCTTGTCTTGATATCTAACATGGCAGTTGTAAACTTTAAAAATAAAGGATGAGAAGACGTGTAAGCGTTTACAATCAAACGGTGACTTTGATCATTGATGGAAGCAACAGGAATCCTGACTGAATTTCTATAAGGTCTGATGGTCATGGAAGGAGGAGCAATGATGGAACTATGATTAGAATAGACTAAGATACCTATACCACCTGCTCTTTGTACAGACAGTGCTTTTTGACCATAGTCGCATTGACCATGCTTCACCATCACAATAGCGCCTGTTAGATTTTGATGAAAATCAGTATGACACCCATAGTCATTGTTGGACAATGAAATCAATGGCAATTCTGGTCCATCTATGACAAACTTTCTTCCTTGAGCTATGATATAGTCTATCATCCTCTGTATGAGCCTATGAATACAATAAAGTGAATTTTACCTAATGTTATTATTTGTGTGTTGTTATTCATGATCTGGATGACTGGACTCAATTTCTTGTGGTTATCAATTGATCCTACTGCAATGACTTGCTTTCCGATAGCGGGAGAAGGCGTTCTTGCTATCCCTATCATGCCCATTCAGTACCATGTATTTTCTTTTCATTTTTTTTTTTTTTTTACCATCTCGACCTTCATTGCCCTGAGCAACGACAACAGTAATGTTCTTCTGAGCTATGTTTGAAAGAGTGACAGCTAATGCATCCTAGTTCATGCTTAATTTAAATCCTCGGTTGAGTTGGTTTTACCTCTTGCCAGGAACTCACGCCACCACCCAAGGATAGATTAATAATATCCATTCCAGCTTTTACCGCCATATCCCTAAATAGACTGATAAGCCTCGAAAAACCCCCATTACGACTTACGCTGCAGCAATAATAATATCATCGTCTGTATCTCCATTACAACCAAAGATACTATATATTTTTTTCGCTAGGTTAGTCAAATATGTATTTACATATTACTTTACCGCCATGCTCCAATGGTAACACCTGGAGCAACCCCTTCAAACTCCTGTCATTCATTATAAGATTAAATATCAGCAAGCAATGAGCAAATGCTTACCTTGAACGTATCATTGGCGGCAACAATACCAGCAACGTGTGTTCCATGTCCATCGCATTGATCCCTTTGTCAATATAAATATTGTGTAAAGGTGCATGTTACTTACAGAGGATCTTTGTCAGGTTTAATATGACCATTCACTATGTAAATCATGGTTTGTAAAGGTATTTCTTATGTACGCTTACTTCCAAAACCATCTCCCACTAAGTCTTCTCCATATTGAACAAGGCAACCTTCCTATATAAAAAGCTTATCAGCATGTTACTTTCAACCCCTTTTGTATACTTGCACCAAAACAACCACCTAAAGCAGGATGTGTATAATCAATACCAGTGTCCAAAATGCCCACTTTGATGCCTTTGCCTGTCCATCCTTTCTCTTTGGCCTTATCGACGGTTGTCATCTTATGAGCAAACTGCAAATTGGCTAATCCTTCGTCGATAGTCAACGGCTTTTCATTAAAAAACGAATCATTATCAAGCTTAGAAAACCTAACATCTTTGTTCCATGCCATCAAATTTTGTTCAATAATAGCATTAGGTCTACTGTATCGTTTTCCTGGCCAATACTGATGAACATAGGGACATTTAGAAAGCGTGAAAGCCAAGAAATCAGTGGCTGTCGTGGTCTGATTGAGAGAAGTTGCACTCAAGTCGTTCTTGAGTTCGATAGACATGCCGTTAAAGGCATCAGAGTAATTGTAGCGGATATAGATATTGTTAATGACATGATGTGCTTGAAGATACCGTAAGAACCGTTCTCTGTCTTGATGAATAGCTTGCGTATCATTGAGCGGCGAACGAAATTGGATTGTAAACCGCTTGTTCGTATTGATCTCCTTGTTTAGTGAAATGCGACACAAGCAGCAAGTGACTAGAGTCCACCATATAAACGCAAAGAGTAGTAATGGCCTGTTCATAGCCATAAAAAAAAATAAAGAAAAAAGAAGAGGAAAGAGTGAGTGTATTTTTAAAAACATTTGTTTATTCAAGCGTACCTGAAAATCGTTCCCCATTGCATTCCATTGATCAAAACATTGTTGCTTTATTTGATTTGATGATATCATTTTTACACAAGAGCTAACAGTACAATGTCATATAATGAACAGACAACTTTTAGTGACCTGTATACAAACGACTTCTTTTTTTACGTCTGTGCAAAAATAAGAATAAAAAAAGTATAACTTTCTTGATATTTCTGGATCGTCAAATATTTGTTCAGTCGAGAATGAAACCTTATTTTTATTTTGAATGCTGAATTTCGTCATAAAAGTTTTTTTATTTTAAACAGACTGATAAGTATAAGCTACATACAAGTTTATTAGAATATAAAGTGAAGTATGTTTACAGTAATAAAACTCTTCAAAGGAATGGACAATATCTTGTCCACAGCAGCCATAGAAACAAGCATGTCTCCATACTAAACACTCAAAGCATTTTGCCTATTACAAATCAGGCGTTAAACATGTACTGATCAAAGTAAACAGTGGCTTTGTATGTATCGAATATAATCAAGTGGATATTTAATTTTGCTAAATGTGACGATTAAATGATGCGTCTAATAAAGCCTTCTGTTAAAGTTATTTTGATCCAAGACTGTGAAGTCATCATCCTTTATATGGATCTCATTGCTCCCGGAATTGCATAAAGTGGCAAAGCTTTTTAAGTTGCCCATGTTCAAAACGATAGATTGAATACAAATCAAAGAAATTACTATGGCCACACCTTGAAAAGTAAAAACAATATCAATGGTATACAAAGCCAATATCATTGCCTTAGTAATGATGATGGACTGGCCACTTTCATCGCTGTGTACATTTAGATAGATCAACTATAGGGAATTAACATTCTTTTGTCATTGAAAAGACAGCGGTCCATTTTATAAAAACAAAAAATAAAACTCAAACACCTTTACATCTTCTTATTGCACTTTTTGACTCAATAAGCATCTTGGGTCACATTATTCACAAACTCCTGTTTAATAAAAAGAAATAAACAAACTCATGTATATAAATCAAATATTTATAACGACAAAAAGAAAATACACAATCGCACCATTCAATGTTCCTTTTTATTTAGCAAGTCCTGGTTTTCTTTTTGTCAAGACGATTCTATTTTATGACTAAATAGTAAAAGCTAAAACGAGTTGTTTAGATACGTTTGAAGAATCCAAGACTATTTAGTTAATGGGTATCAAGCATTTGCACTCTGTCGAAGATGATGAACCCTTAATTTATTTGGGGTTTCCATTGATACAAAGCCGTATTCAAAGAGTCAATTCTATGGGTTCTATGATAACAAAGGTTAAGACTACCATACAAATCCACTCTACACGTTCATTGTCTGTGGTTGGCCGAGCCACTGTCTTGAATTCATTGATATTGTCTAAAATATGGTATACCTTGCGGGTTACTCCGTTGACGCTTGCTGATTTCAAACAATTGAGATCTTTGGCCATTCGATTCTTGCGTAAGAATATATTTCCTGTTATTTCTTGGAAAGTATGGACGCTGCCAAAAAAAAGGCGGACTTGGAGTAATTGATATTCAGATTCAGGCCTCGACTTTATGTTTTCGCTGGCTGCATCCTTTGTTGGCGTATGATCAAGATACTATTGATGCTCATCCGGTTTCGCACTTACTTAGCCTTCATATTCGTAATATCAATGACTGCAAATATCATCAGGTTCCATTGCTGTTTCCTTCTTCTCGTACACAAGGGCTGAAAAAACAAAGGACTGGCACTATTAATATGATATACCGTGCCATTGATTGTCTTCCTCGATCATTTGCTAATGCTCGCCTTAATACTGTTACCGCTATGGTCCTACCTTTGCAAGCTGTACTTTACATTCCTCCTTCTTCGTCCTTTGTTGTCCCCCTACGTGTCAAGAAAATGATGGTGTCAGATGTCTTTCAAGTTGATGCTAGACTCAACTTTGTTCACTGGAAAGATACTCGCGATCCTTCGTTACTTTATTGGAAGCGTACTCCCTCCACAGTCTTCAAAGGTCTTGCATCTGGGAGTTTGAAACTTTAGCCATTTTTTAGCTCTGTATGTAGTCCTGCTCCACTTGAAGACTCGACGGTCTCATTTGCGCCCTTGATCAACCAATTTCGGTTTCAAGATGATCAAGGTATTGGTAGTGTCAAGGCATCGGCTAAGACATTTCGTCAGTCAGTTCTCTTGTCTATAGCTCCTCATTTAGCCTTGAGAAATATTGCAGAAGTGAAATGGAAATTCTTTTGGTCTCTGTCTCTTACCACCATTCAACGTAATGTGACATACCGGTATATCTTGGGATGTATTCCTCATCGTCGATTCTTACATTTTATTATGCCTCGTGTGTTTGACTCTCCCTTCTGTCCGGTGTGCTTAACTACCACTGACTCTATTAGCCATATGCTCTTTCATTGTCCAACTAAAGAGAAGGTATGGTAGGAAATCATCTTTGAGTTTCTTTGGCCTACCACCTCAATATCTGATATCAAAGAGGCTCTTCTGTCCCTGGACTTCTCGTACATCTGGTATTGCCAGTGGAAAGGAATCAAACCATACCGAATCCTCATAATTACTCTTTCACAAATCTAGCTTGCTCATATGAGATTTATCTTTGACAAGACCCCCATTGTACCCACGGCCATATTAGCAAGCATCCGATTCAATGTTCATCAGACCATTGAAGAGGATCATTGCCATTCAATCATGTAACTTTTTTTTTCTTTCTTTCTATCTATTTTATTTTATTTTAGTTTATTTTGTTTAGTATATTTCGTTTTATTTTATTAACTTTCATTTTAATTGCACCCGCCTCTTCACTTTGACTATTACTCTTAGTGTACACGGCTCAATCAATAAACACATTTAAAAAAAGGACCTTTTAACGTATACCAAACACTATATTACTTAAACATTGTGGGGCCCTGAAACAGATCTAGACATATATTTTTCATCTTATTTTTAAGAGGTCATGTTTCATTACTAAGGGCAAAGACATTCAACTAAAATGAATTACACAATAATAATTTACCAACAGGGTTTTATTTTACATGACATACTAAAATAATAAAGATAAAGTTCAAGAGCAAGCAACGATCTACCCACGACTACTGCGCTATTTCTGAAGTCTAACCGAAATTAACAAATGCGTGTGAATATGCAAGTTGAGTTGTTGAGAGTAAAAAAAAAAAAGGAATAGTCTTTCCCCCACACTTCCGTTTATAGATTCTTTTGTATATCAAAAAAAAAAATGATTGGATCATTTCAATTCAAAGAGGCAGAGAAAGAGAGTTCATTGAATCCTTTATCCAGGGTTACATCCTATTGTTGAATATATCTTGCACAAAAAAGTTAGATTCATTGCATTTAAATTAATTACACTTATTGTTATTTCCAATCATAACGACGTGTATCTTAAATATTCCAGCAATTCACACGTAGACACTTCAAAAAGAAATGGGTCCCCCCTTTTTTTTCCTGCCAAGGCATAATCAGCAGTTTGCTGTAGTTGTACCAGTCAGACAAGTGTGACAGAATCATCCTATCATTGCGATTAGATAATTTCCCTTTACGGATTGCATCTCAGCTTGATATATTTAAAATTCAATCTTAAATCCGATATTGTGTAACACCCTAGTATTGCGTTTTACGTCGTCACGTCACTTACAGACAAAGACTGACTGTTTACAATTGTGTATGGTACTTGTTGTATATCCAAAATTAGACTTAAAAGACAAAAGCAAAAAGAAGACATACCATTGAAACCCGTATGATATTTTTCTGTATCATATCATTCTTTTATCTAAATTTGTTTGTGTCATGGAAAGATAAACTTTTTAGAATTTGAAAATAGGCTGACAATTAGATTCATTATCTTGGTTTCATATATAAACATGATAACACGACGCTGACTCTTGTTCATCCATACCATGTCAAAGGAGAATACATTTTAATGTACAAATGTGGAAAAAAAACCCCTTTCGAAAGCGAAGGAAAAAAAAGACCACGCAGACGGCGTCATTCATGATGGATTAAAATGGGCATACCCGATATATGAAAACAATAGGAGCACTGTAATATGCATTCTTTATATATATACAAAAAATAGTTTTAATCTGGTCCGAAGCAGTCTTGATCTTTGATACTACTTGTTATTCTCTGTCTTTTTTTTTTATTTGTATAAAGGCAAAGTTATTTCAAGAAAAAGACTGATTGGGTAACTATCTAAAATGGCCACATGAACACGGTTCTTTCCGCACAATAACCAAAAAAAAAAAACTCTTCTTATAGAGAATAACCCGGAAAGCAACGATATTGAAGTTTACAATAGGCGACAACATAGGTTATAGCTCAAAGAAAACATATATGGAAATCAGATCCTATAAGAGGCGTTTAGAATTCTCCATAAGAAGAATTTGAGAATATAAGCGCAATTAAAATCGCTGCCTACTTTGTTTCTCTTTATAGATAACATCGATATAAACGGGGTCCTTCGTGAGAATTCTATAGTGTTTTCTAGTAATTATATATTATTTCATTTTTAGTAGATTTGTCCTACTTTCTCATATGTTTCAATTGATTCCGTGTGTTACAGTTAGATCTGAATTCAATTCATATCTATGATAATAGAAAAAGCTAATCTGAAATTTGTTATCATTTTCTGCCTGGTCTCGTGAGAAAAATAACTTGTGATAACAAACAGTAGTCAGTTTTGGATTACTACTTGCTGTTGCTTCTTTTGATGTTCGTACTGCTCCTAAACTAAGGTTTACTGGACTTTAAAATGAGGTGATGTATTTGGTAAAAAAAAAAAAGTTCAGAGGTCATAGGTTACAGATTGAAAGCGTTGAGCGGTATTTAGTAATCCAAGTTGACCCCTCCTTGAGTGAACCAGTCATAATTTCCGTTCTATTGCGGGGCTTTTGGCGGAGATTGCTTTATCTCAAGTTTCAAGTGATACGAGCACCTATCATATTTTTTCCTGTAAAAGTATATAAAGGGTTTCTTTTTCTTAATTTTTTACGTCGATCATTTTTTCCAAAACTAAACTTTTCTTCTCTTTTTTTCTCCTTTTCCCTCTCCAACCTCCTTACAATGTCAAACGATAATTCCTCTGTCACTTCTGAAAAGTATAAGGTTGAACAAACCACAATCGATAATTATGTGGAAGAAGATCGTGCCTCTAGCATTGTCAATGAATTTGGTCATGGTAGTGGTAACTTCATGACTGCCTACTTCAACGTTGTTTGTGTTGTTGCAGGTACTGGTACTCTCGGTCTTCCCAAAGCCTTTGCTGAAGGTATGTTCAAACATTTGTAAAAAAAAAAAATTGCATGACTAAACAAATTTATAGGTGGTTGGTTAGGTATCCTCATCTTATTCTTGGCCTATTTCATGTCTGTGTACTCTGGTATTGTTCTCATTCGTTGTTTATACTATAAGCCTGGTCACCGTCTTCATGACTATAAAGCTATTGGTACTGCTGCCTTTGGTTATCCCGGTTACATTATTGCTTCTGTTCTCCATCTTCTCAATCTCTTTGGTTGTCCCGCTCTTTATCTCGTGTTGGCCAGTAATAACATGGTTAGCTTGTTGGCTGGCAAGAGTGATGTTATTAGCTACAAGGTCTGGACTATCATTTGGGGTGTCTTTTTGTTGATTCCTTCATTGATTTTGAAGACTCTTAAGGAAGTCACTGCTATTGCTGCTATTGGCGCTCTCTGTACTATGATTGCTGTCTTTGCCGTTCTTGTTCAAGGCCCTATTCTTCGTAACTCTAGCGATGCTATTGTTGAACATGATAGTGTCATCTGGGCTGGTTTCCCCGTTGCTCTTTCTACTATTGCTTTCTCTTATGGTGGTAACAACACTTACCCTCACGTTGAACATGCCTTGAAGAAGCCTCATCAATGGAAGTATGCTGTCATTGCCGGCCTCTCTACCTGTACTGCTCTTTACTTCTTGACTGCTGTTCCTGGTTACTGGTCTTTTGGTAGAAACACTAAAAGTCCCATTTACAGCAACTTGGATGAAATCCCCAGAATTCTCTCCATGATTGTCATGACCATTCACGTTATCTTTGCAATTCCCATCTACACTACCTCTTTCTCTTTGGAATTTGAAAAATTCGTCAACTGTTCCGATGAAAAGCTTGGTAAATTCGGTGCTTGGGTAGGTCGTGCCATTATTCGTGCCTGTACCATGGCTATCCTTGTCGTCTTAGCTGCTTTCATTCCTTTCTTTGATGACTTTATGGGTTTGATTGGTGCTCTTGCCAACTGTGGTCTTGTCTTCTTGTTGCCTATTCTCTGTTACCTTAAGCTTACTGGTGTTCGTAACAAGCCTTGGTATGAACTTGCTTTCTGTGCCCTCACTCTTTTCTTGGGTATCATTGGTTGTGTCTTTGGTACTATTGACAGTATCAAGGCTTTAATTAAGGACTTCCAAGCCTAAAATGTTTTTTTATATACCTTAAAAATTAGTTGTACTTTCTTTCTTCTTGTAAATATCCTTTTCTTTCTACTTTGTTTAATAATAAATTTTTATGTATTCTAGATGATTTGCATAAGCAAAAAAAATGTCGTTTTCAAATGAGGATTAGTAGTAGCTTTTGAACAATAGAAAAGTCTATTGTATATCATAGAGATCTGTTGATCAGAAAATAGGTACTGATAGCATGAAACAAAAAAAAAAAAAAAAAAAAAAAAAAAAAACTTAGCGTATAGCGGAGGAAGAAAGAAAGTTTAGTTTCTGTGAAAAACCATAGAAAATGAGTTCACCCTGAATGATTAATGTCTCTTTATTTGTACTTGCTCACAAAAATAAATAAATAAGAGAATTCACCCAAACTCAGCAAGAACCCCTCTTTAATCATTCGAGATGTAACTTGTACATCATTTATCCTTCGTCATCAAAAAACAGGGATGCATTTAAAGGGAACACTGTCAATCTGCATATAAATTAATTGTCGGGATACATCAAAGTTTGCTTTAGAATATGTAAATCTTTTATACAAACGAATTGTGTTGATATATTGCGCGCATATTCTTGTCTACATGGTGATTGAAAGAGACTCTCTAAGCTTTATTGATAGATGTATGCATTACAAAAGACAATCATTACAGGATGACATGGTGAATAATTCTGAAGTCAATGTAAACAAGTATCATAGAAAAAGGGACTGTAGAATCAGCTTGTGCAAAACCTGCTTCAAACAACCACAATACAACAAAAAAAAACCTCGCTGATTTCAATATGTAATAAGACAGAACATTTTGAGACATGCTTGTCAAGTCATTAAATACTCTAGTAATTATCATTATCAGAATTTTACAAACTCGAAAACACATTAGTAACCATGTACGTGCTCTAGAATGCAGACGAATACCCAGACATTCAAAATGATGAAGTTTTTACATACATTAGCTTGCCAAAGCAATAGTGTTCATACTATCAAAGAAACAATCCTCTAATCTGTTTCCAAATTAGGTAGTATCTTTGTAAGCTCTATTCTTTCTATTTTAGAAGCCTCATCTTTGTGTGGTTTAGCAATTGAAGTCATAGAATGACAGAGAGGCCTTTTAAGATCATATCTTTCGAGATCATTCGTCAAAGTACTCTGACATGCCAACCAGATGAATAAAATCGCAAGGCACAGTTAAATGTGCAAATTTGATGAGTTCTTCAGATCACATCTATTGAATGGCTATGTCTAGCCGAATATGTGATTCTTGCAAGTTTTTAAGAACAAACTGCCTTCATTGTTTTAGAGTAGACAACACATTATATATGCGTCCTATTTATTCAAAGTCAAGTAGAATTTACTTACAGAACGGTAAAAGATCCAAGAAATCAAATCTACTTCATGCTATGCTCAATGCAGCAAAAATGATTCTTGATGATAAAGAATGTCTGATTTCTTTTTTTTTTCTGCATGAAATAAAGACCTACTGTTATTTTTGTCAGTCTCAGCTGGAAAAGCCCTGTTTTTTTCTTTTGTTCCCTCTTTTTTTTCTTGTATCCTAAAACGCGCTTCATATACAATAGCCATGGAACTACCTAGTGTAGATCCACCTGCTAAAAAAACACTTGATTCTATACCTAGAGGTAGTAGTAGTAATAACAAAGAAGTTAGTATTAAGTATGTCTAGATGAATCAACACGAAGAAAAGTGACCGACATCATCGATCATCAGTTTGATTTAGAAATTTACCTTAAACAAAAGGAATTAGTCACAATCAAACAAGAGATCGCAAAAGCAGAGAGTATTCTTGCAGACATTAAGCAAGCGGTTGAAAACGGTACTCCATAGTATTGTAGACAACTACTCATACTCTATAGAAACAATCGCAGCATCCATGCCCGAAGCAGCTCATTATACCCGACGTTCTGCCATGTATTATCATGGTGGCTCACAAGCTCTTTTGAATCAAAACACACCACCACCAACAGCATCAAAGCGAAAAATATATAGAACATCAGATAAAGTCAAAGTGTATGGTAGACGTCAAGACGGTGTCTATGTTAGGTAAAAAAAAAAGTTTTTTTTTTTTTCTATATGCTTCAAGCTCATCCTTTATTAGTCTATCTTGTCCTGCCTGTCATCGTGAGGATTTTGCGAATCAACAAGGCTTTTTGAACCATTGTAGAATTTCACATAATTTAGAATTCGGGCCCTATGAACAAATTATGTTGCAGTGTGGTACACCAGTAGATGAATCAGAAGTACCTGAAGACCATCCTGCTCGTTTGAGACCCGTATTGAACTTAACGCCTGTGCCTAAACAACCACAAAAAAAAATTGAAAGAGTAAAAATAGTGCATGGTGTATCTATATGTGTTGCTTATATTCTTTTATGTAGCCTTCCATTAAAGTATTCGAAGAGGATGTGGATATGGAATTAGACAATGAAAAGAGAGCATCTTCAGCTGCAAGGACAACAGAATACAGTGACTTAAGCAGTAACATAGAAACAGCATCCATTCATACGCAAAAAGAAAATACTATAGCACCTAAAGACAATACTATAGTGGCTAAAGAAAATGCTATAGCACCTAAAGACAATACTATAGTAGCCAAAGATAATGCCTCAGCAGCCAAAGACACTACTATAGCAGCCAAAGATAATGCCACGACATCCAAAGACAATGCTCCAGTGCTTGAGGACACTGATACAGTAGTTAAAGAAAATACTCAAGTGCTCGAGAATACATCTGTCGAAAAAGCAGAAAACGAAGTGCCTCAAGTTGAGTCATTAGCAGCAGCTGTTGTGCCAGCAGAAGCCGGTTCTCGATTCTATATTAAACGAAGCATCATTGTTGGGAATGTCAGTAAATACATTGTACCAGGTAAGAAAAGAAAAAAGAAAGTGATACTCTATGTTGCTAATACTCTATCAAGAACGAAGAGATCCTTCACTAAAGCAATTCACGCATAAATGGATGATTTATGTTGTCGAACCACCACAATCAAAAGAAAAGATTTCAACATTCATTACCTGTGTTCGGTTCTATTTACACCCAAGCTATAAGCCGCATGATGTCGTTGATGTAACTGAACCGCCCTTCAAACTGACTCGATTTGGTTGGGGTGAGTTTCCTATCCGCATCCAACTATTCTTTGTCGATAAGCGTAGAAACAAAGCAGTTGATTTGATTCATCATTTAAGACTGGACAATTCACATTCAGGGAAGCAGTTGTTGGGCGGAGAACGTATGATTGAAATCGAATTAGATAGAAACACAGATTTCAAAGACACTAGTTCACGCCCTTCTGCTCCAGGTAGTCCACCAAGCACACCTATGCGAGACACAGAATCGCCTGCTGTGATGGCTGTAAAGCAAAAGATGAGCCTATTGAATGGGCTACTAAAAGAATGTGTTCGAAAACTACCGATTATTAGAGCCAGTAAGTAGAAGCATCGGTTTTGTTACGTATTGACATCCAAATAGACACACACGGTCTTACACTGCCTTATACGTGTGCTCCCAGCTACAAAATGTTCTTTAAATGGTCTATTGGTAAACGAAAAGGACTTGAGTGGCATCGTGCTCGAATATTACGGATAGAGACTCAAAAAAGAGCGTTTGACACAAATGACAATGTCTTGAGAATGGCTGCTGAAGCATTGGGTACAAAAGATGTTGTGATATGGTGTAGAAATAACAAATATACACCGAGTAAATCAGAGCAAACAGAAGAGATAAAGAATTTAGACAAAGCACTGGGGTACTGCAAGTTTTGTGGTTATTTAAGAGATGAACATGATCAAACAGATGATGATAGTTGCCCTCAAAGGCCTAAGGGATGGAGCAGTAGAAAGCGCAATGGTGGTATCAACAGCATCAGTAATGTGACGCATTTATTAAACCAGCTTGAAATGGGTTGGGATGAAGTAAAAGAAGCAGGTATAAAAAGCCAAGTAGAAATGATAAGCATTGATAATGTGTTTTAGATGAAGAAATGGATATTGATGTGGATGTAGATCAAAGAACAGCTGGACAGACCAACAAGGAAAAAGATACTTCTGAAAGAGTGAAGAGATGGGCATTAGAGTCTGATGTGATGGATGTAGCAAACGAAAGATCGCTTGATTGGATATGGTCAGTTGTTGGTCAATTGCGCTTAAAGAGCGTGATAGCCAATGATATGTTACTTGCAAAAGATGGTAATCTACAGGGCCCTACATCAGACTTTGATCTTGCTGCAGCCATGAGTCAACGTTTGGTGGTTGGCAATGTTTTAACACAGGTAAGTCCTTGACTAAAAACGGATATATATATAACAATACAATAGGCCACACGAATCTTCCTCAAAAGATTATTAGACAAAACTGTAAATATCTCTCGCAAACAAGACAATGCTACCGATAAATCAACCAGGATGATAGTGCCATACCATGTTTATCAAGCAGCTCAACAGACACAAGAATTCGACTTTCTTACAAACCAATATATGGGTCCTGAAGAAAACTCATAGCCCCCTTTTTTTTAAAAAAAAAGTTCATTTTGTATTCCCCTCCATCTTTTCTCTTATCATCGTAAATAGTACATTTAACAAATACATAATAATCCATCATTTTTATTTTAAGTGGAAGCAGAAGGCGCAAACACAGAAGGGAGTCTTTTACGTGTATCAACATTGGATACAGAATATTGCATACGTCTTGCTGCTGCTTTTCCAATAGCATTGTTGTTCCAAACATGTGTTTCTGTAGGATTCGCTGCTTCTTCTAATGTCTTTTGATATCCTTTCCATTCTTCATTCGAATGGCCTGTTAATTCTTCATCTGCTCTTGGAGTAAAGGGTGATATTGGACTTGGTAAAAGTTGTTCATCTTCTTCTTCTTCTTCTTGTGGTACGGGGTATCCTCTCCAAACTTCTTCTTCATCTTCCTCTTCTTCATCTTCTTCTTGACTGCTTGTGATAGGGTATCCTGTCCATTCTTCATCATCTTCAGTGTCAGCAACTGTTTGAGATGGTGTACTATCTAAAGGATATCCTGCCCATTCCTCATCGTCTTCTTCAGTCAAGATAATCACATCATCGTCATCATCATTATCATTGAATTTCTCTAAAGACCGTTGTAGTTTCTGAGGAACAAATTCAGGTGCTGTAGGTGAAAGTAACGGTTTTTTAGACTTGTCTGCATTTTGTTCTGTGCTCTCTTCATTGTTTTCTGTTTTTGTTGGCATATTTTTTGTTTTGTTTTGTTCATATTCAAGAATTTCAAAATTATCTTCGGATCTGCTCGATTTTGATCCGCTATCCATATCTTTTGTTTCTGTGTTTCTTGCTACATCTTCTTTTGTATTGCTAACAGTGCTCTTCTTACTGCTTGTACTATTTCTGTTATCATTGCTATTACCATTGTCATTCATGTCGCTCTTTGAACTTGTTTGTTGTTTGTTTATTTCAGGAGGCTTATGAATCACAAGTTCATCAACAACAGTTTGTTGATCCTTAAGCTGTTTCGGTGGTTTGGCAGGAGCAAGACTATGGGATGAGACAACTTTAGTTGGTACTTCTTGTTCAAAGAATTCCCAATACATATCATCATCATCATCTTGTTCTGTTTCCAAATTAACTTCACCAGCAGCCAAAGGTGCCACATACATGCTTTCACTGTGTAACTGACTTTTTGTCAAATAAGCACGTGAGACAAGCCAATGGTAGATGGTGGGGCTGCTTCGTAGCCCATCGAGTTCAGAACATGGCCCAATAGTGAGTTTGATACTGTGGATGGGCTTAGCACTTGATCTCTGACTACTCTGGAAAGATAACCGACGATGGGTCATGATGGGCGTAGAGTATTTCTCTAGTTCAATGGGATGAATATGGGCATGTTGTTGACAGAATGCTAGTAAGCGTGTGACAGAAGCCAGTGCTTGTTGACTTGATTCTGACAGAATGACTTCGACAGCATCATCTTTGACAAAGGGTGAAGACAATCGCTGAGTATGAACAAGATTTCGTATGATTCCAAGATGGGCATGCATGAACGGAACTGCAATCATTTGTGATTTATTGGGCGTTGTGTTTAAAAATCGAGATGTGTGTAGCCAAAGTTGATGGTGATAGGCTTCATATTGATTATAAGGTGAAAGAATAGCCACAATTTCTTTGTAGACATTCAGGTATTTAGTAGGGCATTGGTGCCAGACAAACTGTAGTCGCTGTACTTCTGGCATATGCAAGCAAGTCATGATGGCAGCGCAGCCAGAAAAGTCGCGGTAGATATGCAAGAGGATATAAGCAATTTGGATCAGTTGAGCCACCATGCTGTTACTGGAGCTTTTTTTGGGACTGCTATCATCACCATAGATGAGCATATGTGCAAAGGCATGAGAGAGATAGCGATGGAAATCAAGTAAGGGTATGATGTTGGATTGCTTGTCAAAATTAGACAGTTTTTTCTCGTCTAAAATGACCATACGGAAAAGATTGCAGTTGATGTATGCTATTTCTTTAGCTACTTGATAGCTGTCGAGTCCAGTCAGGAACAAGGACTGGATCGATTGCATATTTTTCGTAAGCTGATCCAGCTTTTCTCTTTGTTGAGCAAGGTCTTTCTCAAGTATAGAGCTTGTTCCGGATGGTTCTTCCGATAAGAGTTGAGTTGTATGTGCTAATGATTTGGCATATTCACAAGAGGTTTGAATCAATGGTGATAAAGGTACAAGTGGAAGCCTTTTGGCTGTTCCTTTTTGCATATTATATAAAGAAAGAGGGAGAAAAGAGAAAGAAAAAATTCTTCTTGTTTGTTTTCTTAAAATCGTACAAAACGAGTGACGTCTCTGTTGGTGTTTTTTCTTGAAGGCAGTTTGATGTTTATCTTGTTGACTTTAAGTTCCGCTTTTTTTTTTGGCTTTCTTTGTCCTCTGTCAGGGTCCCTTTTATCTGTCTTTTTTTTTTTTGGTATGCGAGTATTAAGTCTTTGGAATGTCTCTCGACAAGCTATCTATCAGTCTAATTTTATAAGAAAACACTTTAAGCATACAAAAGCTTTTGTGACAACACCTATTTATTATGTCAACGCTGGTAATCTCGAACACTTTCAATTTACCTTGTCTAATAGCATTTTATTAGTGCCTCATATTGGCCACTTGTACTCGACAGTTTTGGCAGATACTATTCGGCGTAATTATGCGTTGCACGGCAACCAAGTGATTATGTCAACAGGAACAGACGAACATGGTTTGAAGGTAGTACAGAGTAATAAGTACCAAATCCATTCATTCATGTTAGATTCAACAAGCTGCAGAAAAAAACAAAATGAAGCCTATTGAATTCTGCAACCAAGTATCACAAAGTTTTAAGGTAATTTCAAATCTAATGATATAAGATGCTAAAAAATATATATATAGCAATTATGTGAGGCTGCTAATGTAGAATACACAAGTTTTGAACGTACTACCAACCCACAGCATATTGCTACAGTGAATGAATTATGGAATGTGTTATTGAAAAATGGTTATTTATATAAAGGAAAGCATGAAGGATGGTATGCAGTATCAGACGAAGCCTTTTATGCAAACAATCAAGTACAAGAATCTGTGGATGAAAAAACAGGCGAGAAAATCATGGTTGCTATTGAATCTGGTCAGCGTGTTGAATGGACTTCAGAGGAAAACTACAAATTTAAATTATCAGCATTTGGAGAACGTATTCTGAATTGGATTGAACAAAACCCTACAGCCATTGTACCCAACAATAGAAAGAATGAGGTGATATCTTGGGTGAAAGCTGGTCTTTCTGACTTGTCTGTCTCACGATTAAGATCACGTCTTGACTGGGGCATTCAAGTCCCCAATGATCCAGAGCATACGATCTATGTGTGGCTAGATGCACTTACAAACTATCTTACAGCAACCGGATACCCATGGATACAGGACAGTACCAACAAAGATGCTTTCCCCCCAGATGTTCAAGTTGTAGGCAAAGATATTGTCCGATTTCATGCTATTTACTGGCCCGCCTTTCTTATGGCTGCAGGATTACCATTGCCTAAACAAATTTTAGCTCATGCACATTGGACAATGGGTAAACAAAAGATGTCAAAAAGTAGGGGTAATGTGGCCGATCCTTTCCAGGTATTAAAGGATTATGGTGTGGACCCTGTACGTTATTACCTTGTACGTGATGGTGGTCTTGCTGATGATGGAGGTAATTAAGCAGAATCGAGATCTCAGGAACTAATTTGTATAGATTATTCTGAGGATATGATTCGTACGAGATATAAAAAGGATCTTGCTGGCCAACTTGGCAACTTGTTGAACAGAGCCACGGCAAAATCCTTACTTCCTAATGGTATTGTACCTAAAAAGAGTAGTAGTGTTGATCCTAGAGATGAAATGTTGCACAAGCAAATTAGTGAGACAGCAGGTAAAATATATACGTAAGAAATCACATACTCAAATATATTAGGAAACTATAATAAGGCATTTGAAGAGCGTGAATTTAGCAAGGCATATGGCTATATTTTTGATATGGTCTCTCAAGTAAGTAAAACTTTTGTTAAAGTATAAAATACTAACTCTGCTTAAGGCAAACAAACACTTTACAGAGAATGAGCCGTGGAATATGGCTAAAAATCCTGAGGAAAAAGAACGCCTGAACACAGTTTTGTTTTATTCATTAGAGGCTTGTCGTGTAGCTGGTATCTTATTGCAGCCTGTGATGCCCACCAAGATGTCAAGTCTATTGACTCGTTTAGGTGTTTCAGAAGAGCATCGCTACTTTAAAGACGCTGCTTCTCTTACTGAGTCTTTAAGACCATTAGGAGAACTGGATGGTGTTTTGTTTCCTCGTTTGTAGACTTTTTGTTAAACTTATTAAATTTCACCAGCATGTTTGCACGGATATTCCCTTTCGCTTCTTTCTCATTGCTGTCATTTAATTTGTAAGGAAAGAATACTTGTATAGCTATCATCTACCAAAAGAAGCATATTTAAAACTATGTTTACGACTTCTGAGCCTTAAAGCATTAATTTAGCCATTCGATCTGTCCTAGGTCTATGTTTATTAGAAATAACCAGACTCACCAGCTCAATAGATCAAGTGTGTTTTGATAAGACGTTTTATTTGTATCAGCAGTTTGATAGCATATTGCTTATTGATGTAAAAGAGATGCCAGACAAACAAATACTTCAACAGTGAAAAAGACAACAGTACGTGCAAATCTTTGTTTTTTTCTTAGACAGTATGAAGGCATTGTAAAGCCTATTTGTACACACATAAATCCTCTAAACATCTAGAAGCCATGTTCAATAACACATAGTGCCTTTGGAGTTGATTTAAGATAAAAACAAAACGACAAGCAAAATTTGGTCAAAATGGCCTTTGATCCAAAGGTAAAAATTTATAGTTTACTTGTATGGCTGTGAATACTGGCCCCTATAGGATAAGTGTCTAACCATTAGTTTGAAAAAAGAAAGGTGCAAAAAAAAAAAAAACTATAGAATTATAAGGAAAAAAAGGACAAGAAGCGTAGACACAAAAGGGATTACTCATAAAAATGTTTATTTTAACAACTTTTAATTTCTTTCTGGAACCACGAGACAAAAGATAGAACTATCGACAAGCTTAAGTACTCAAAATAAGCATCAGACTCTCTAGTTTCTGGTGAATGCTTTTGTTTATTAACTGTACTACAAAAGTGGCGAAATATGAGCGAAAAACATCATAGACATTGTTGCGCATTTTCTCAAGATTTAAGCAGCAAAGTTGCTGTGCTGTTTACATCAAAGACTCAGAAAGCAAAGATCTACAACTTTTATCATTACGTCAAGGCGAAATAACTGCGTATTTATGCGGCTCTCAGCAAAAGCTCTTATTTGTTGCACGTATTCTGTAGCATCGTAGGGCTACAAGAAGATGTGCTCAACAATGATTTGCTATAAAAAACAAAGACTATACAAAGATAAAAAATCAAGCGAAAAAGGGGAGAATAAAAATGAGAGATGTAGGGATTATTCGAGACAATTTGCCTCTTCAGCGCCGCGGCAGCCAACTGCCCGAAGGCTCTGATCGAAGGCAATGCTCGCAAGGAAGGGTTCTTTTCGATGGGTATGGACCTAATAGGCTTTCCAAAGCTCTAGAAGTGCAATAATGAGTAGCGTTTCAACTTCAACTGGACAAGACTTGTTAATGTTGAGTTTGTCAAAATCCAAGGATTGAAAAGCTGAGGAGATATCGTCGATAGAAGTGCTGGACCAAATAATGTTGGTCTCGAAAAAATTATTTTCGAGACGCTGAGAGAAGTAAAAAACGGTTTCATCTTCCTGACAAAAGGAGCAAAAAAGGTTGGGGACGGTGTATAGTGTTATGTAGTAGAAGAGAAATCTGGTAGGAACTTTTCCTGTTACCAAACGGTATATAAAATTACACTGTACGCTGATAAAAGTCATGCAACTGAAAATCCCAAAGCAGAAAGAGAAATGAAGAATTGCCTAACACTTTTATGAAGTGTTTTTTTCACCAATGTGGTTTTTAAGGAGCGTCGAGCATATTGAAAGGTATTTAATTGGTGCTCTAATTAATAAGCGCAAAACATAGTTGAAAGAACAAAAGCAAGTAGAGCGCTGAATTGCCGGTACGTAAACAGGATTGTAAAGGTCAAGGGAAGAGGGGATGAGGCATTGTTGAAGAAAGGACTTTAGTTGGCATCTACCATCATCCACAACTCTAAGAAACGTCTTGTTAACAAAGAAGGGTTTTGAGGAAGATTAACCTCTACGACGGGGCGAAGGAAATGTATTTGGGGATGGTAGGCGTATGTAGCAGAGATAGACAGAGACTGTGATTTCTTAGACAGAACATAAGAGGCTGAGGAGAGAATGACTACAGAGAGAGGTAGCAGAAAAAATCAATCGAGTTAAACATGTAGGTGCAACTATTTTGCAGAATAAGGTTCATAGCTCGACAAATCGTTATGGCGGTGTTGGTAACTATGTATCTTAGTATATGTGGACGAGCTCGAGAGAAAAATAAGCAGAGCAGCATGTTGTTCGTTTGAAACAGTTGGCAGCAATGAGGAATGAAAAAATCATGAACCAGATTATGCCCTGCTGTTGGATGCATGAATGGATGAGCCCAACGGAAGTACAATGGGTTTTGTTAGATATCAAAGTCCAAGACATCCAAACCACCAAATCTTCTAGGTGCAGTCATCAGTCTTAAACTCCAGTGAGAAAAAATGCCACGAGTAGCAAAGAAGGTGATTACGTTTTCGATAGATTGTAAAGTATTGGTCACAATAGCATGCCCTAATACTGGCAAATTGCGGCTGGCATAAGAGTTAGAGACAGCTTTCAAATATTTAACAAAGTAGGATAAGAAGGTTGTCTCTGTGTTGAGGATTGAATCAAAGAGAATCCCAAGTAAACAATGGGATTAGCATCATTGAAGTCCCTCAGCTTGTTGTTTTCGAGGTCTTCCAAGGCAGATAGCTACTTAGCGCTCATATCTCTGCCTGGAAGAGAAAGAAAGTCCGAACTTTGCTGAAGTTGATTTTGGCATTAGAGGCATTGCAGTAGTTGTGGAGATGAGAGCGCAGCCTAAGTAAGTCATCTAGGTCGTGAAAGAATATCAGAGTATCATCGGCATAATTGAAAAGCTTAATAGGTTGCAGGTTCGACTGAATATCAGTCAGGTTGAATTTGAAGCGGTATTTAGTGAGCTGATTGTCTGTAAGTATGGTTTGCAGCAGAGGCTCAAGAGCAAAATTATAAAGAATACATGAAGAAATTTTCTGTATCTGAGTGAAGATCTAGTCAAAATCTTGTATCTCTGAGTGCATGCTTCTTTCATTGCTTACGCTGCAGTGAAAAATTAAGTTTTTCTTTGATTACTTTCTACCTGAAAGTGATTATTTTCTAAAAGTATTTTTTGTTAACACAAATGGCACAATTTTATATCTGCATAGTTTAAATTATTCGGATTTAGTCAATCTATCAGAATAACTAAACTAGACTAGGCTAAAGCCCTCCTTAAAGGAACAAGGATAAGAAATTCATAGAAGAAAAAGTCTTGATATAGCAATGTTTGTGGACGTATGTCTGTAGCCAAAGAAGGAAGAGAGACATTTGGTCGTTTTCTAAAAGGGGCAGAGTGTTTTTGGTAGCATTTTTCATAGAGACAAGCTGTAATAGGAGGGAATTTATAGAGGTTTGCTCAACAAATGCTGTGAGTTATTTGAACATAGTGACTATATAAAAACATAAGATAACATGCGAATGATAGAGGTCTACGCCACAAAAGCATGGCTCAGGGCTACATCTAGGTAGCCAAATGAGTCGCCATCAAACTAGACAAATACGCTCGAGATTAGTTCCAGGAAGCTAGAAAAACAAGTGTTATTTGCACCAATAGAGAACAGTATGGTCATAGTTGAGCAAACTTCAGTAAAACGTACTTGCGCCGAGTCTTTAGGGCTAAAGATGCCTCTGGCTCAGAAAGAAACTCAGGGGTAATAAAAGATGTCTTGCAATGGAGTGACCACACCAGAGAGGATATTTACAATGATGTTTTTCTCACGTATGACAATAACACCCTTAGTTAAGTCCCATCTATGCTCTTGTGTGAGATTGTGCTCAGCACATAGATCGAATATATATTGCAGAAAGTTACAGTAATAATTTTGCAAAACCCGCAAACATTAGAAGTCTTCGTTGAGTGTAATAGATTTCTCTCAAAAAGAAAAAACCATTTTCAAAAATAATAAAAATATTAGCATTTATGCCGACATGCAAGTATGCCATTTGTGTACTCAAAAAAAAAATTTTTGAAAAATAATAAAAATCACTTTTTGAAATGCATCAAAAGTAGAAATTTTTATTTTTTTATATTTTTTATAATTACAGAAAATAATTTTCTGTTTCAAATTAATAAAAAAAAAGACAATTCTTCAATTTTTTAGTTTTAAATAAATAAACGAGTCTGCCAGACGATAATTTTACTGTTTTAGTTCAAAAGACGAATTCCTGTCTGGCAGACTCGTTTATTTATTTAAAACTAAAAAATTGAAGAATTGTCTTTTTTTTTATTAATTTGAAACAGAAAATTATTTTCTGTAATTATAAAAAATATAAAAAAATAAAAATTTCTACTTTTGATGCATTTCAAAAAGTGATTTTTATTATTTTTCAAAAAATTTTTTTTTGAGTACACAAATGGCATACTTGCATGTCGGCATAAATGTTGGCAGACTTTAGAATACGTTTTTTTTTTTTTTTTTTTTTGTAGATCCATTACATTCATGAGAAGTTCCTGACATCTACGGCTCTTATCGTGATTTTTCCTCATGGCTCTAGCTTTAGTTTCTGTATATATATCACAGATTTTAGTGATCTCCTGATTTTCCATATTTTTTATCTATGTTGGTGTTGGCCATACACACCTCACTGTTGACGAGTAGCACAAGTAGTCCCAATTCGTAAGAAAGGCAGCCCAACTGATTCAGTCAATTGTTACTTAATTAGTCTGACGACTTCTTCCAAAAAGAGACTCAAAACATGCATCAAGGAACTTTTCCAAAGCCAAGCGCCGTCCTTAGGCATTGTTCAAGATGGCTTTAGAGAATGCAAAAGTGCCCTTGGCCAAGCTTTTTGTCTTTCAAAGGTTTTTTAATTGTTTCCTCACAAACACACTCAAGGCTATCCGCTTTTTACTTTATTGGAGCGCTGAATGAGCTTCTATACATTCGCTTCTATCCTAAATCACCTCTATATATCATGTCTATTCCTCTTTTCCCCCTGTTCTCATAAGACATTTTCAGCTTAGTATAACTATTCTTATGAATTAATGAGTCCAAACAGTCAAAGGCCACATTGGGCCATGTTTTCAAAAGGGCCTTTTCTATAAAATTAATAAATCAACAAACTTTGAGTATGGATTTAACAAAATCAATACCAATACACAAGTATTCTGTTAGTGTCAACAGAAAAGAATTTCTGGTTAGGAAAAATACAGTGTAACCAATTATGTTTTTTTCCATCGATGGAAAAAATCTTCCATATTCGAATAAAGATTTGGACAAAATTTTCCTTCAATGAGTAAGAAATTCTTCCAATTTGAAGGAAGATTTCTGCATTCAATAAAGAATTTCTTCCATCGCTTAGACTGTAGTATCTTTGATTTGAAAAGAACCAGATTGAATCCAGAAAAAATGATAAGAAATGATCAATCATGAAAAAAATTGATAAAATTTAAAAAAAATGAAAATGTATTTGAATTTTGAAAATTTAAAACGAATATTTTATTATTATTCTTTTCATCCATGCTCATCTATGCTCATATGTGCTCATCTATGTTCATCTATGCTATTAAATGGCATTTGATGATGAGCAATAGGCCTTAAGCGATTTTTAGTCCTAGAACTTTGTATTTGAGGTAGATTTGTTCTTATTTCTAGCATATTATAGTTCCAACTATAATTGCATGTTAGACTTGCATCTCTGTAGTATATCTGATGCTGTGTTTATTGATCTTGTAGATGTATATATTCTCAACAGATTTGATAATCAATAAAATAATCCAAACGGCATATAGTAACAAGAGAAAATGCTCTAGGTCAGGTATATACATGTGCATTAGTGATTGGTTTTTTTCTCAAGACAACATACCATTGACTTCATTGAATCATGCAAATGAAAATTTACCTCTTGGGTTGAATACATATTTTAGTATAGAAAAAGTTAGTAACTAAATTGGAGTTGTAAGTATATGGCAATTTGTATTATGCTCGATACATGTGCCAAAGGCCATCATTCGTATATCGTGCATCATGAATTTAAAGTAAGTTTACCAATATTCTGACAATTTTTATAAGTAAACATTCACTTTTTTTGATTTAGGACGATCAAGTGCCTTTTAAATAGGGTATTTTATTTGAACAAGCAATCTAGTATTACACAATTTGTTCGTGTAGCAGAGACATCAGTCAAAAAATTGCTTCAACAGTGAAGAAGGCAACAATTCATGCATACTTCCTTCTTTTTCCTCGGTATATAAAGGTAGCATAAAGCCTGTTTACACAAGTATAAATACTCCGAATGCCTACAAACCATGTTCACCAACATGTGCGATGTCTTTAAAGTGATTTGAACAAAGAAAAACTGACATATAAAATTTGGTCAAAATGACCTTTCGATCAAAGGGTACTATTTATGAAAATCTTTAAATTGACAACTTTTGATGTTCTTTTTGATATTAATTGACAAAAGTAGGGCCAACAACAAGCTTAAATACTCAAAATGAACTCCAGACGCTGCAGTTATTGGTAAATGTGTTTGCTTGCTAGCTAAACTATGGGAATGATAAGATATGAGTAAAAAACCTTGTAACTGCATCTTTATGCAGTTTTCAGCAAAAGCTTGATTTTTTTAAATGATTTTATTTGCCACACGTATTTTGTAGCACCGTAGGGCTACAAGAAAGAGGTTCGCGAGTATGGTGTCTCTTCTTTGATCGCGATTTCACTCCTCACAATTTAATCCGCTTAAATAGTCCATATATCATTTACACTTCGCCCCCCTCCTTCCCTCTAGCACCGTCCCCTCCGCCGAAGTCGTTATTGGCTGTACCCTCTTGGGTATTTGGCGTGCTCACTAGCGAACGGTTTTCGATAATAGCCGCTTCCTAACCGCTCCCATTTTCCAACCTATTCTCTCTCTTATCCACTCAGCTACGTTCGAATCCTTCGTTAAGAAGGGCATCCCACACTGTTCACTCCCCCCCCCACTGCCTATGTAGAGTTTCGCTCCTCCACCTCTCCCTTACATCACTGCTCGGCAGTTTCAAAACAGAAAAAAAAAACACCAAAAACACAGTCGTGGAATCATGAGATCTTCACTTAATAAACTTGAGCACGTTGCTCCCTATAAAAAAAAATACAAGAGGTGCTCGACAATGATTTATTGAGAAAGTATAAGAGATAAGAAAATCAAAGATGAAACAGGAACTGTGTAAAATAAAAGAAAGAAAACCATGCAAAAAAAAAGGGGGAATAAGAGAGATGAAGGAATCAGTCGAGACAGTTTGTCTCTTCAGCAGCGCGGCGGCCAACTGTCCGGAGGGTTTGATTGAAGGCTATACTGGCAAGAAAAGGTTCCCTTCGATGAATATTAATCCAATGGGTCTTCCAAAGCTCTGAGAGTACAAGAATAAGGAGCGTTTCAACTTCGATGGGACAAGACTTATTGATGTTGATTCTCTCAAAATTCAAGGATTGAAGGGGGGAGGAGATATAGTCAATAGAGATGCCAGGCCAAAGGAATTCATGAATAATAGTGTCCCAAAAAATAAAAGGCAGTTTCAACTTCTTGACAAAAGGAACAAAGTGAGGTAGGAGCAGTAGAAAGCGTCATGCTGAAGAGAAGGGATTTGGTAGGGATTTCACAGTTATCAAACGATAAATGGTGTTATACTGTACGCTGGTAAAAGTCATGCACCAAAAAAGTTTCCAAGCAGAAGGAGAGACAAAGAATTGACCAACAGTCTCATGCAAAGAGGCCTCCACCAACGTGGCTTTAAAGGAGCGTCAAGCATATTGAAATGTATTAAATTTAGGGTTTGTGATTGGTAAGCGCAAGGCATGGATAAAGGAATAAAGGCTAGTAGAGCGCTGAATGGCTGGTAAGTAAACAGAATTGTAAAGGTCAAGGGAAGAAGGAACTAGACACTGTTGAAAAAAGGACTCTAGCTGACATCTACCATCATTTACAGCTCAAAGGAACTTTCGGTTAACAAAGAAAAGATCTCGAGAAAGATTAGCCTCTACAATAGGGCGGAGGAAATGTTCTTGGGGACGGTAGGCGTATAAGGCAGAAACAAGTAGAGACCGTAGTTTCGGAGACAAAGTATAAGATGTGGAAGGGGAGATGACTACAGAGAGAGCTAGCAAAAGACAATCAATCGAGCTAGGCATGTACGTGTAACCATTGCGCGGAATAAGGTCCATAGTACAACAAATCATTGTGGCAGTGTTGGTAGCCATGGATCTAGGGGTAATCATCAGTTTCCAACTTAAGCCAGGAAAAATGCCATGAGTAACAAAGGAGGTGATTACAGTTTTGATGGATTGTAGAATAGCTTTTGTAACAGGTGTTACTCCTAGCAAATACCAGCATTTTGAGAGAATGAGCATATTGGCTACAGTAGCACGTCCTAGTACTGACAAGTTGCGGCTAGCATACGAGTCAGCGACTGCTTTCAAAGATCCAATAAAAGAGGAGAAAAAGGCTGTTCGCTATGTGGAAGATTGAAGCAAAGGGAAACCCAAGTAAATGATAGGATCAGCATCTTTGGAATACCAAATCTTGTTAATTCCAAGGTCTTCTAAGACAAATAATCACTTGTCACTCATATCTCTACCTAAAAGAGAGAGGGCTCAGACTTTGATGTTGATGCGAATTTTGTTTTGCTGGAAAACCAAGGTGTCGTAAGACAAGAGATAGGTATTCTAGGTTAACCCGATCATATGCCTTTTCTTGGTTTAGTAGTAGTCCTAAATCTTGATCATCTTCATTGTAGTTGAAGGCAGCGTTTTCCATCATCATTTGAGTCAACAGACCATGTTCAGCAATGAACCTGCCAGGAATAAATCCTAGTTGGTGGCGATTGATCATAGGAGATACTATCGACATGATGCGCTGGTTAAGGAATCTAATGAAGATTTTGTTGTCTATATTGACCAACTGAATTGATCTATAATTGCTTGCAGATGTCAAATCACCCTTTATTTTGCAAGCAATGACATCAATGATATTAGCCAAGAGTCAGGAAAAAGAGACTGTGACAAAGCATCATTGTATACCTGAAGAATAAGTGGCTTTAGGCAAGGGATACGAAGTACAGTTCCAAGAATTTCATAAGGCAAACTATCACTGCCAGGACTACTTTTTCGAAGAGAGCGTTTGCTTGCTTCCAATATTTCATCCCAAGTGAACGGATAGTGCAGTGTGGATGCTTGTTCAGGAGTAATGTGACGATGAACTGAACTCAGAAGTGACCGTACATCTCTCACCTTGATGCGGTCAGGTTTGTACAAAGTCTTGTAGAAGCCTTGTAGAAGTCAACCATGACAATGGTTATGTCTGCAGTTGTAGAGACTAGTGTCTGTGTTTGTGGGTCGCGAAGTGCAAGAGTCGGTCTCTGAGAAGAACGAATAGTAGCCAATCATTTTAGATAGCCAGCCGATCTTTCTCCTTTTTCACGCCAGACCTTGCCTGCCTTCAACTGATCAATTGCAGCCATCTCTTCTTGTAGTGTATCGAGTAAGGATTCTACTGAAGGTAGCAAGGACGATAAGCGAGCTGTATTTTTATACTCTCGAAGGATTCTGTTTCGTTTAGATTGCAAACGCTTAATGGTTTTAGTTTTCCGATTAAGTGGATCTAACTGAAATCCTCGAGTGTATATTTTGACTTGTGCCTTTAACTAATTCAAATGTTCTGAGCTGAGTTGCCAGACTGTTGATTCAGTAGGTTTTTCTGCTCAGCATACTTTGTTGTATGATCTGCAAGACCCTCTCGAAAGGCATCCAATTTCGCCAAAAATGGATTACCCTTCCAGGATCCCTTTCCCATTGCTACTGAAGAAATCTGATAGTGGATCATCAGTAGAGCATCATCTTTCCAGCTGTACTTTACAAAGGATTGTGGAATAGATTTGATATTTGATGCATGTGGCAACGAACAGAAAATATAATCAATATGGCTACGATTACTAGTGGTGCCAACAAAGGTAGGTAGCAGTTCATGTTTAAAACAGTCATGGTTTAGTGTAGATAATAGATTGGCCCAATCTGCATCTATGTTTGATTGTTTGTGAATACTATAATCGAATCACCAACGATAATGATTGGGATAGTGAAAGAACGTAGTTGAGTCATAATAGCTTGGTGAGCAGCTAAACTCCTAAAGAAGTGGAGTCTACCAGTCCTCTCAACAGGAGCATAAATATTGAGGATGTACATAATTGGTGGAGAAAGATCTTGAGAGCTAGAGACAGAAGCAAGGGTCAATTTATTGTCTGAAGCAGTAATCTCTTCATGTTGTTGTATAGCATAATTTGAATTAAATGATGCAATACCGCAATGTTCAGTCCATATACTAGACTTAACTTGAAGCATAGTATCGAGTATAGATTTGGATTTTAAGGAATTGGCGTGGGTTTCTTGAAAGCAGAATATATCAGATTGAGTCGAGCGTATAAATCGAAAGAATAAGGAACATTTTGTTGAGTCATGTGCTTTGATGAGACCACGACAGTTAAGTATGGCTATCTGTAGTTGTTTTTGAGTCATTTTTAGATTAATGTGGGGTGTAGGTTTCATCTCCTGGAAAATTACCAGAAGGATTGCCTAAACCCATTCTATTCTGTTGCAATGTTTGGTTATTTTGCTTAGTGTTTAACATATGATCTGGTCCCGTTTGTGGATTGTCAGTCAATACAGCTACAACTTCCTCAATGTCATTTTCCTCATCACTTCCATCAATATCAATTTCCATATTATCGTCCTCATTCTTGGATTGTTCATTTTCTTGTTTTGTCGAACTGGATAAAGGCATCTGAGTCTGTTTGTCATTGGCTGAGACAACTGCAGTCTCTTTTGCCTTGTAAGTAATTACTTACTTCTTTGCCATTCAATGTATGAGGTGTATACGAGTAAGGTTTATTATAATACATGACATCTTTGATGTTAACTTCGGTGATGGCAGATTTTCTTCGTTAAAATGCAATTTTGGATTCCATGCTGCCATTGCACGCATAGTTACGCATTGTTTTGGTTGATCAATTCAATATGGTTGTGTATGACCATTTTAATCACAAGCTAAAGGTATGGTGCCCTGACTAATCTTTCTGGTAGCAATTGATGCTCTCAACAATGTTGTAGGTTTGTTGGGACTCTCTTGTGGTACTGCTGCTGGATACTCTTCGTAAGACAATTGATTACTTTCTTCTACCATGTTCTTCCAAGCGAAGCATTCTCAAATCTATCTGTAAGTTCTCAAGACAGTCAAAAATATATGCTCTCTTTAGGGAAAAATAAACACTACTCCAGTCTTTCTCTCTCATAATCCTTCCTTCTCAGTTAAATGTCCCTTTTTTTCTTTCATTATGAATCCAATGAATAAAAATAAAGAAACTGGTTTTCAAAAAAAAAAAAAGAAAACCTTCATTGTCTATTTATATATTCTCTTTGGATCTTTTTTTATCCAGCCTACAAAAACTTCTTTACAAAGAATCAATAATGGTCATGACGAGCGTATATGTTCATAAAGAATAGTATTTGATGATTCAGTCTCCGATAATCTCAGATGATATCATTTTACCGTCATGAAGTTCTAGAAAATTGTAGAAAAAAATGGTGCTATCTTCTATCAATGTTGTAATTCATAATAAGAGCAAGGTGTCTCTTTTTTTCGTAAAATAAATAGCAAATATTTGAACAGACTTACACTCTTTGCTCTAAATTACACGCATGATTATCTTCACAGAATAAATATTCACTACAGTGTAACATGTAGTGACATAATGATGAATTTCTATAATTATGTTGAATGCCTCTCTCTCTCTGTTTCTTTTTTTCTTATCGATGTGTAGATCAAAGAGTGCCTGAATATATGAGTTAGACAGAATGAGTGTGTGTCTATGTCATACAATAAACTGGTAACCAGTCAAGAAATAGATCTAGATAACTATCTTGATGATGACATAATTCGGTCACATGAATCAACGACAGCTATTTCGTGTATTCGTGTGTTTGATCATAAACATGTAGAGAACAAGAAAATGACTCGCCCATAGTAATCAAATAACAGAAAAGAAACACTTTAGAGTCTATTTCATGATTTGTTTTTTCCGATGAACTGACAAGTTATTCGATGTTTCATGCACAATCGTATTTTGTATCGCCGCCATTGAATTCAATGATTATTTATATACATTTTCTCTCTCTCTCTCTTTTTCTTCTTCTTTCTTCTTCTTTATTCCTAAACATGCCCTCTCTTACTGCTGAAAAAGTTGCTGGTTACTTGCCTTTGTCTGGTAAGATGCCTCAAATTTCAGGTCGTATTATCAATGTTACACATCAAATCCCTTATCACATCTCTCGATCTGGTCCTAGTATTCTTGAACAACAAAAGCAAGCTCAACAACAAGCTCAACAACAAGCTCAACGCATGGCTGGTAGAAGAGAAAGCATTGCTGATAATGTAGATGCTGCACCTATCTCCAAAGTGGCTCGTCACCATGTCCGTGGTCGTACTTTACGTGCCAAATTTCGCGCTGCAGAATGGACCATTGTTCAAAACAGAGGTCATGGTGCCTTGAATTCTGGTCTTCAAAGCCTAAGTGAAGAATACCAAACATTGCATATTGGTTGGACAGGTCCTATCAAGGATGAAACCAACAAGAAATTGATTCCCAACGAAGAACTTACAGAAGACGACAAGTCTAAGATTGAAGATTTATTGATGCAAAATGGTAATATCTTGCCTGTCTTTTTAGATAGTAAGGCGCGTGGCCATTATGAAGGTTATTGTAAAGAAGGTAAGGAATGTTGTGATTTTGTCAAGTAGCGACTAAGCCAATTCATGTAGTACTTTGGCCCTTGTTTCATTATTTGGTCTGGACCAATGATGCAGATGGTAGATCTGAAAAGCAATACTGGGAAGACTATGTTGCTGTCAACAGACAATTCGCTGAGATCATTGCTGCTAAATATCGTCCTGGTGATATCATCTTTATTAATGATTACCACTTGCTCTTGGTGCCTGAAATGTTGAGAGAAAAGATCCATGATGCCCCTATCGGTCTCTTCTTGCACGCTACTTTCCCTAGTTCAGAAATCTTTCGTTGTTTGACAACGCGCAAAGAAATTCTTCATGGTTTCTTGGGTGCTAACTTGGTCGGTTTCCAGACTTATTCTTATGCTCGTCATTTTATTGGTTCTTGTACGCGTGTCCTTGGCTGTGAGTCCACCCAGACAGGTGTGAATGTAAATGGTCATATTGTCTCTGTCGGCACTTTCCCTATCGGTGTTGATGCTAAGCGTGTTGATCAATTCCGTCGTGAACCTGCTGTTCCTCTCAAGATGAAAGCCATTCGTGACATGTATGCCGACAAGAAGATCATTATTGGTCGTGACAAATTGGATTCTACCAAGGGTGTACTTCAAAAGCTCCACGCATTCGAAAAGTTCTTGAAGGATTACCCTGAATTCCGTGAGCAAGTGGTCTTGGTCCAAGTCACTACACCCACTTATGGTGATAACTCGAAGCTTGAGACAAAGGTAACTGAACTCGTAAGTCATATCAATGGTGTCTATGGTAATCTTCAACATCAACCTGTTCATCACTACTACCAAGACGTCGATCGTGATGAATACTATGCCTTGCTGTCTGTGGCTGATGTAGGCTTGATTACCAGCTTAAGAGATGGTATGAACACCACCTCGCTCGAATACATTATCTGTCAACAAGAAACCCATGGCCCTTTGATCCTGTCTGAATTCACAGGTACTGCCGGTTCTCTTAGTGCTGCCATGATTGTGAATCCCTTTGACTATGCTGGTGTGGCAAAGGCCATCTATGACGCATTGACCATGAGCCCTGAAGACAAATTGACCCGTCACAAACAATTGTTCAACTACGTGCTCGAACACTCTGCTTCTTATTGGGCCAAATCCTTTGTCAAGCAATTAGTCGAGAGTACCAAGAACTTCTCACTTCAGTCTCAAACAACACCTGCTTTAGATCCTGCTGCCTTTATTCAAAGTTACAAGACGTCCAAGAAGCGTGTCATGTTCTTTGATTACGATGGTACCCTTACTCCTATTGTGTCGGTGCCTACGGATGCCAAGCCCTCTAAAGAAATGCTTCAGTATCTCCAAACACTTTGTGACGATCCTCGTAATGAAGTCTGGGTGATTTCAGGTCGTGATCAAGCCTGTCTTGAAGATTGGTTAGGTGGTATCACTAATCTCGGTCTCAGTGGTGAGCACGGTTGTTTCTTGAAGCCTGCTGGTTCAAACCAATGGACAAATGTATTGGAAGATATTGACATGAGCTGGAAAAAGGATGTGACAGAAATCTTTGACTATTACACAGAACGTACAGAAGGCAGTTTTGTTGAACACAAAAAGTCATCTATTACTTGGCACTACCGTATGGCAGATGAAGAATATGGTCTATTCCAAGCCAAAGAATGTCAAAACCATTTGGAGAACACGATTGTCTCTAAAATGCCTGTTGAAATCTTGGTTGGTAAAAAGAACTTGGAAGTCCGTCCAATGATGATCAATAAGGGTGAAGTGGTGAAGCGCATCTTGAGCTTGAGTCCTCAACCTGATTTCATTGTCTGTGCTGGTGATGATAAGACAGATGAAGACATGTTCCGTACCTTGTCAGCTACTTATTTCGCCAAGTATCAAGATCAAGTAAATGAAGGCAATACATCTACTACATGGGATGATACAAAATCCAATCTTTATTCTATTACTGTGGGTCCTGCCAAGAAGAAAAGTATGGCTAACTGGCAAGTAGAAGCACCTGCTCAAATTATCGAGTTACTTGGTAAAATGGTTGAAGCAGATAAATCGTAAGATAATAAATATAAATAAAATAAAGCCCTGGTGGTATTACAAATTGGTATCAAAAGAAAGAAATAGGTGTTTTGTTAGAGAAAATGCTTTTTATAGCGACTTGAATTGATTTCATGATGACAACTGCTGGACAATAAACTACACAGTTTCTCTCTATATCACATAAGTTCATGAATAATCCAAGCTGACAAACTTACTTGAGTAAAGGCACTTTTTCTTGTGTCATGTATTGGTCAAACCATAACTCAACTCGATCCCCGTGCGCTTTTTTTGAAACAACGACACCGACACAGCCTTCATCATAAAGCTGACCACCCACAAAAGCACAAAGTAGCCATTCAAACAGGTTGTCCAACTGATGAGAAACAATCACTAATCTACCACCACCTTTTGCATTCACAGGGTCTTCCCACATGGGTTGCACACCTTGCACAAAACAATACAGGTTCTGATTGATACTGAATTCGGAAGGCTTTTTGTAGCCTTTTAATGTGCGCCAACAAGAAGAGAATTTCCAGACTGTATCGACCTGCAACATGCACTGTATCGCATTTACATAGTCAGATGTATTTTGACTAAAATAGAACAAACAAGATTTTTGAAGAGGCAAAGAAGGAGGGAACTGTTGTTGGCGTAAATAAGCCATCAGGTATTGAAATCGAGTAGGATTTTCGGCTATTCTGTTAGGATCAGCCCATATAGGTAATGTGTCACAACCATCATGACCTGGGTCATCTTTAGAGTGAGTCTGTGCGTCACCCTGGCATGAGAAATAAGAAGAAATGCTCGATAAACTACTGGTTGTGCTGCCAGAACTAAATCTTCGGATCAATTCCGTTGAATAAGCATCCGATTGAATTGACGTACGTCTCGCATTGTGACTATGAAAAGAGTGTTGTTTATTGTCCATCCAATCGATAAAATCATAGGAACGCGTCAAGCATTCACTCAGTGTGGATACAAATAGCACATTTTCCAATAATGAAAAGTTAAAAGGCACTTTGGAAGTGGTTTCTAACTGACCATTGTCTTGTTTATAAGGTTTGTGGGCTGTTGTTCTTGTTTTTATACAGGATGTTGGAATATGCACACACAGGATATCATGTTTCCTTTTACTTGTACTATGGTTGAATATATTTTGTTCACTTTTTAATTGTTCGATTGAATTGAATTCGATTGGAAGCATATTGAAAGTGAAAGAAAAAAAAAAGAAAAAAAAAAGAGGGAAAATATAAAAATAATAAAAATAAAAAGGGGAGGGGTCATGTGAGTATTTACTATATTGAGTCACCCACTATTTTTTCATTTTATTTTATTTTAGTGAACGTTTACTTGCATGAAATCGTCTAATGATAGCTTGTTTCCTTTGCCTGGACTCTTTAGCTTCTAGTTTAGCATGTTCTTTATGCATTTTGTTTTCTATTGTGTCTAGGAAATTAAGTATATCATTGCTTTCTGGCATATGAAATACAGGCATTGGTTCTTCATAAACATCTTCTATTTCAAACGATACTTGCATCTCTTCTTGTTCTATTTTAGGCTGACCAGGTTCAACAAAGGGCTGCTGATCCATTAAATAATCATTCAGTTCCATATCCACTACTAAAATGTTAATGTCGTCATCCCTTAACTATAATAAACTTACGTTTCTCTTGGTTGTACTCTTCTATTGATTTACCAGAAAAGAAAGGTCGCTCTTCTTGATCTGATAGACCCAACAGAGGTCTATGGAGTGAAAAGAATGCATGGTGAGCTAGTTCAGTTTCTGGAATATTGATAACTGGCATAAAATGTAATTTCTCGGTAGGTGGTTTTTGTTTTTTATCTGCTGTAGCGGTAGTTGTGGTTGTAGCACTTGTTTCTAATTGTACTTTATTGTTACAGGAAGAACTGAACCGAACAAGCTTAGGTGAACGAGTAAGTTGAAACAAGCGTCTGGATGAGAATAACATAGTGTGAAAAAGAAAGATAAAAAGTTGGAGGGGCCCTACTACGGGATACACAAATGTATTTTTGGCTTGAACCAATCATAAGCGAGTTTTTATTTTCTGACTCAATAGAGAGAGAGAGGGGTTAAATTTAAATAGGATGTTCTTGTAAGACCTTTTTGATCATCTCATTTCTAGTCAGGTTTAGCATGATAACATAAACAAAAAAGAAGGACGTTACCTGCTTCTAAAGTTAAACAGTATCTCTTTCAAATGATCATTGTTTTTGATAGGTCGAATATTTTCAATGGCCTCTTTTCTACTTTTGATATAAATACAGCCTGATTGTTTTGAAACTTACAGCAAAGGAGCAGATACGCCTTCAATCGTCAAGTTAAATAAGGCTGCTGTATGTTCAAACTGGTCACTTAAAGGACTTTGTTCCAATACACAATCAGTCACTTGAAAATAAGGACTATAGCTATTTACACCCTTGAGTTGTGTGCCAGGATCGAGGTCGACAAGAATCAGTTTATCTTTAGGTACACTTGGGAAATCTTCTTCTTCAAACACATAGTGAATAATAGGATGCTTATAGGTATTGTGTATCTTATCATGAATGACAACAAACTGGGGTATATCTAGAGGTGAGGTAGAAGAAGAAGAGCTCATAAAGACAAAAAAAAAAAGAAAGAAAGAGAGAGAGAGAAGGGCTGCATTAAATGCATTCACAGGCAATTTCCTTTCATGGAAGTGACTGTCTCGGACTGCCTTTCGATTTTTTTTATAAAAAGAAAAAAAAAGTTTCTTGTCATCCCTCTACCCTTCATCAAGAACGACACATGGCCAAGAGTTTAAGATCAGCAACTAAGAAGAGAACCAGAGGTAAGAAATGGTACGGTATGTATTTCCTAGGTCTTATAGATTCATGTAGCCATCAAGAGAGAACAAGTATTTAAGCCTGTTGAAGATGCTCGTCTCGAACGCTTAGCAAAGGCACAAGCAGAAGCTGCCAAGAAGGAAAGTGTAGGTGATTATATGGAAGCAGAAACAGACAAAAAAGCAGAAGATGCTATGGATTTGGGCGAAAAGAAGAAGATTTCTACAAGTGGACCTCGTAGTAATCGACATGCCAGAAAGTTAAGAGAAAAGAAGAAGAAGGGCAAGAAGTCTGCCATCAAGTTTTAAAAGATATCAATTTTTTTGTATTGTAAATAAACCTGTCATTTCATAAGCATACTATAAAATTCGAGAAAAAAAAATTAATAATTTTCATTTCTTCTTCTTTAAATATCATGACTGTTACTTTACTTAGTCAAGCACCTGATCTTGCTTCCTCAAAGCCTCGCCATATTCAAAAAGACACTCAACTTTTTATTTCTCCTCCTTTAGCAGGTCACCAAGGTCCTATTGTGGGTGACTTGAGTGTGTGTGAAGAGTAAGTCATAAAGACAATACGCGTATATACTGATACCTGTGTTAGACAGTTTTACTTTTATTCACCTTCTGCTCAGTCTGGTATCGCAGTTGAATATCCAGACATTATTATCCATGCTATCTCAAGACAAGATGGTCAACCTAGTATTTACTGTCAATTAGATGCAGGCTTATTCTTTCCTAACCAAACATTACCTGAAGACGAACAAGAAAGAGAAGAAACAGTGACAGAACTCCGTTTAGTACCTCAAGACAGTGGTGCTTGTAAGTCAATATATACCTATTTATATACACTCATATGTTCTATTAGTGGAAGGCATTTATTTGGCCATGTCAGAATGTGCAGCACTTCATCCTGATCATGAATTTATGGCAGAACAAGAAGAAGACAGTGACGGACAAGAGTTTTATGCTGATCCTAGTGACGAAGCAGAATTAAATGAGATGCAACAAGCTGCTCTTCGACACTTGGAATCTGTGTTTGAACCACCAACTATGAATGGACACCATTATGAACAAAATGAACAATGAAGTGTGTAAATAAATAAATAAAAAAAAAAGTTTATTTCTTTTGGTATTTTTTAGTTGCTAATGACTTGAGTGTTTGGACAATCACTGAAGTCAATGGGTCTCGTAAGCCTATGGTAGAAGCCAAGACAAAGGCTTGTTGAATACAACTCTTGGATGTATTTAATGTGAGCAAAAGAGGGATCATATTTAGAAACCCATGATTAGCAGCATATAAAAAGGAGGGGTTATATCCAGAGGATAGACAGGGTTGAGCACCGGCATTGATCAAGGCACGCACCATGTCAATCTTGCGTTGCTGTACTGCTTTTAGCAGGCTATTGTCATCTAAACAGCAGCCATATTGAATCAGTAACTGTAGACATTCGATACGGTTCCATTCAACAGCCAAGGACACTAAGCCTGTCTTTTTTTGATGACCAGAGGAATGCTGAAGTAATAATTCAAGTGTGCTTGAGTAACCAGCAACAATAGCTAGTTCCAGTGTGCTTTTATAGTCAAGTGTGTTCACTGTGTTGATCATGTCTATAGGTGAATTGGACGCCAGTAAGAATTCAACACAGTCATGGTAGCCATAAAGTACAGCTGTGTGAATAGCCAGTCTACCCTCACCACAAAAAAGGTCAAGGCGTGCATGACCCATTTGGTACAGGAGTTGAAGGCATGCCAAGTGATTTGATTGTGTTGCACAATGGACGGCTGTTCTACCTCGGCCATCTAATTTGTTGACATCAATATCAGGGTGCTGCAATAAAAGCTTGACTCCTTGTGTAAATCCCGCCAGACAGGCTTCGTGTAATGCTGTCGTGTGATGAGGTCCGGATGGTAGATTGATATCCAAATGGTTACAATCCATCAATTGTTCTATGGATTCTGCTGAGCGACCTATGCAGGCCCAGCTCAGTAGAGACCGGTAGTGGTGTTGGTCGCATGTGTTGGGTGAGCCTTGTTTTTCAAGGTAGATTCTGAGTGTATCTGAATTAATTGTCCTATGTTTCTTGATGGGTTCTTGCGAGGTTTCGTTTTGAATAAATGAGATTGAATAAGAGCGTTTTCTTGGCGTTGCTTCAATAGGGGAAGAAGGGGGAGAAGGTAAAATTGAATTAGAGTTGGTCATTGTAGTATACTTTTATAAGAAAAGAGAGGAAAGAAGAAAAAGAAAAAACTGTAAGTCTCTTTTTTATTTTATTTTATTTTATATGCGTGTTCACTTTCTTGGCAGAGGTATGAAAAGATCGACAAAACTATTGCTATTTCCTATTTAAATTACAGCGTTTTTTTTTTTCAACTAATCTTCTCTGTCTCTCTCTTGGCAAATATTCAAAAAATGTGCAAACGCATATCACCATCTTTCTTGGCATATCTGCATCTCCTCTTCACCCCTCTATTGACCCCCTTTCTCTTTTATACAACGTTAGTTTCCGTCTATTGGTTTATTTTTTTTTTCACTTTTAATCGCTACTAAACTCTATATTTTGGTAAAGAAGATGTGTAACAAAGAAGAAAAAAACTAGTTTGATCGCCTATTGAATTTTACGGCTTAAACAATGCATGCGGGGGGTTTTTTTTTTAATTAGACCTTGGCTTTTTTGTTACAAGAGAAGCTCTGCTTGTATCACTTTGCTTGTTTCTGGGATAGACGTGAGTATCTCAAAACATTAATGTTAAACTTTTTCTCTTTCTTTCATTCTTTCTTATATGAATCAGACATATTTCATTTTGTTTATTTGATTGAATTTATGTGCACAAAGGTCTTACTTGAAGTAAGCAATGCCTTGTATCATGTGCATGAGTGTGACTGGATGATACCGCGACTTATGAGCCTAAATGATGAATTACAAGGTTAGACTATTGCATAAAGTAGCAAAAAAGCGTATTGCCAAGTGAGTCATTGCCTGTTCAAAATTGTTATATTAAAACCGAACTTGCCAAGCAGAATGGCATATTGTGTGTCAAGACTAAGTAACGTTCGTCTCAAGGCGAAAAAAAAAAAAAAGAAGAACGGATGAAAGAGTTTGGCTTATCCGATGTTTGGTATAAAACTGATCCCAAGTGATCTGTTCTCGTCAAACTTTGTATACAACCCCTCAACCTTTTGATTTTAGACTTCAAATGAAAAATTGTATAATGACAAAACGAATGTTATTGGATAGTTTAGCTAAATGAGCCAAGTTTTTTTCTTTTCTGTATTGCTCTATGAGCCTGAATAATCAATATGGATAACAGTTAAACACTTGAGTTTTTCTTGGTCCTTTGAGCCAGAGTTGGTCTACAATCAAAAGACGATAGAATGGATGAATCATTCAATATGCTCTCGCTTTTAAATACATGAAATTTGCGTTCATAAGGTAATGTGCCAATCATAATTATCGTTAGTTTTTTGTGTGTCTCTCGAAGTTACAGTATCACTAGCCAAACAAGACCCAAACACAAAGATAGCTATCTTTCTTTTAAACACTGTACCCTACTGTTGAGAAGCTTTCTTCTGTTTTCTTCATCTTCGCGACTAATAGGCTTCTTCGCATAGCTAATGATAGTGTATTTTCGGTTTTTTAAATAATTTAAATAGTGATAGTAATAGTAAGTCCAGAATGAATAGTATGCTATTAATGCATACCAAATTCGCTTGTACTGTCTTTGTAATCTCCAGAGCTGAGTATTCAATTAAGTAACATTTAAGGGTTTGAAAATCATTGCAAATCGCATTCAAATACACTAGGCCAGGCTGCTTGCAGTCAGTTTCATAGCAGTCATTGAATGAGCCAAATTCTTTGATCTCTTCTTGCATTTTCTTTGCAAGAGAGCCTATAGCCTGATCGCATGTCACACTCATCTGTTGGAACAAACAAAAAAGGAAATATTCCGTCCACTCCAATGCTCACTTCAAAGAGTGACCATATCTGGGTAAGCATGTTACTTTTGAAAAGGCTGTGGATACAGCCAATTTCATAAAGAAAAAAGAAGATTATTTAGCAAAATTAATTGACTACATTTCATCATTTCTTACATCATAAAGAAACCTTTATTTTATCAAATGCATGGAAATTGAAACAAAAGAGCAAACTGTTTGATCTTGTAGTCAGTTAAACCCGGTTTATAAGCCGGTTTACATTTGAATCATTCCAGTTTACTTCTGATAAACCTGATTTATTTCCTTCATTGAACTTGATGCATCACATGGTTTTTTTTTCTTTCTTTTTTTTTTATAAACAGAGAGAAATTGCAACTAAGAAATACTTCAAAAGCGATGGAGAAGCGTCAATATGACAAGGTAAAATGCCTTAAAATGGCTGAATTACTAGTTGAGTTTTGATTAGGGCAGCCAGAGGTGCTCTTGATTGGTATTTTTTGTTATTTTAGCTCAAAGTAGCTTCGTATTAAACCAAAGTCCTCTTCATCTAAAAAACCTTGTTCAAAGAAAAGAGCTGCATGATCTAAAAAAAACTCCAAGTTACTGCGCTGAGGCTTCATTCTCGCAACAGTCAAATTTTGAGGCACAAAAGAACATATTAAAAATCAAAGCTGATGTTGTTGATTATTTGCTTGCATTACTCTCAGATACCGTTATGGACTAAACTGGATTGGAAGACATTGAGATGTTGGCAAGTGCATATCATGCTTGAAATGCATTTTTCTAAAAGATAAAGTTCGCTCATTCTTAAACAAAGGCATAGCAATACATGAAAAAAGTGTGAAAAAGTAATTAGATGAATACTCTAGTTACATATATGGGTATCATCAAGATGCGTCTGAAGCCTTGCAGCATCAATGAATAGAACTTACTGCATTATTCTGACTTTCAAAAATATTAACTACTATAGAAGTTTTCAAACGGCTCAATACGCTTTTCCCAGTAAGTAATTACTTTCAAAGCTTCCATGCGTGCTTACAGTACTATTATGAATTGATCTATTACATCCTAAACGATTAAAACGTCTCAAAGTACACTAATGCATATACAACCTATCGTTTTATGCTCCGTCTAAAAGACTCAAACTCGATTCAAGTCCGAATGCACGCGTCCATTTTTTTTTCTTTTTCAATCATGTCAAAACAAGAAATTGAACACTTGAAGAACCAACTTGACTTGTTAACAGATGATAATAAAAACTTAGACCATGAAATAGACATGGCAAAGAAACGTCTTGCTTCTGTCATGAGTGAATACCAAGAAAAACAAAAACAAGTCGATAGTTTATCCTCATTCTTAAAAGAGGAAAAAGCCAAGACACAGGAATTGGAAGAAATCAAAGAACAAACAGAGACACTTTTAAGCGCAGTAGAAGAATTAGAAGCCAAGGAGGTGTTGTCAAAAGAAGATATAGAGCAAACATACAAAAAGAGACGTGAGCAACAAGACAAGGAAATAGCTTCAATTAAAGCAGAATTAGAAGAGAAACTCAAGCAAAAACAAGAATTAGAAGATAAAAAACAATCATAAAAATATGTTTATATGTAAATTAAGGAGGGTTATGTACAAAAATAAATTACAGGCGTGTGTGTAGATCAAAAGTCAATAAAACGTCCTTTGTAAGGATCTTTTTGATGAATTTCATCGTATGTCTTGGGTAGTTCTTCATAAGAAGCAAAGTAGTGAGTGTCGCCCTCGTGTTTGATGTGAGGAATGTGAGGTGGTGTTGTTTTCCGTGCCAAGATAGCGTCAAAATCAACAGACTTGAACCATGGATGATTTTTGATATCATTCACGCCATTTTTGAGATTACCAAAACGTTCAGAGGGTTTTGTTTTTAATAAGTTTTCTAATAAATCCCTGGCTTCAGGACTCATGTCTTGGGGATAGTCTACATCGCCTTCTAAAATTTTTTGGTATTGTTCAATAGGATTCTTGGCTGTAAAAGGGGAGTGGCTATAGATAAAATGTTAGTCATATGCTATCTAACATATATGCATGCTTACCCAGTCATCATTTCATAAACAAGCACACCAAGACTCCACCAATCAACAGCTCTTGTATAACCTTGAGAACGAATAATCTCTGGTGCAATGTAATCAGGTGTTCCACACAATGTCCATGTACGATCCTCTAGTATCTTTTTAGCAAACCCAAAATCAGTGATTTTAATATAGCCTTGTTCGTCCAACAAGATATTCTCTGGCTTTAAGTCACGGTACACGATAGATTGGTTATGAAGATATTCAATAGCCAAAATCACTTGCGCAGCATAAAATTTCGTTTCTTCTTCTGTTAATTTCTAAGAAAAAAATAAATAAAACATGTTTGACACAAACAAAAAAAAAAGGTACCTTTTTTTCTCGAATAAGATGAAATAATTCACCACCAGGTATATAGTCCATAACAAGAAACACATGTGTAGAAGTCTGAAATGAACCCCAGTAATTAACCAAGAATGAGTGTGATACTGAGCTAAGGATTTGCTTCTCATTTAGTGCATGTTCTACTTGTCGTTTTGACACCAAATCTTTTTTATCAATGGCTTTGATGGCGTAGTAATGACCATTGGCTTTGCTTTTAGCAAGGTGAACACGGGCAGTTGACCCAGTGCCTACCGTCTTTTTAATACTGAAGTCGCTCAATGACAGACGATCAAATTGTTTTCCTATTTGAGTATAATGAACAGGCGTAAGATAGAAAGACTGGAAAGACGATGTTTCGATATCTCTAGATAACATTGTTGGTGGTGGAAGCGAAGCGTCTAGTAAATATAAATAAACAAAAACTATAATAAACAACAAATATACCTAATTTTATGATGTCTCCTTTCTTTTTTTCAGGTAGTAAATCTGGTGTTACTGGTAAACTTTTGTTATCAAAATCAGCTACACTTGAATGTCTGCTGACAGAAGGTGATAGTGAAGATTCATGTAAAGGTTTTTGAATATCATTTTCATGCTCAAACGAAGGTATAATTTGAACAACTTTTGCGCACATACTATTATTAAGGGAGAAAAAAATATATGAAAAAAAAAAAGATAAAAAAGCAGGAAAAACCAATTCCATTTTAAATAGACGAGTTTTGATTATCCAAAAAAGGACACTTGCCGTTTCTCATTTGTTGGAAAAAGGTTGACAGCCGAAAAAGAAAAAGGAAACAACTCCGAGAATTGTACGTAAACGTTATGCGATTGGTACTTGTTAAAGAACCAGAGAGTATGATATATATTTAGAGTGATGTTGATGCAATATTGCTATATATAAGTGATAAGCAACACTAAAATTGATTTCTATAGATATACATATCAGGTCACTTTTTTTTTATCAATATATATTTTTAAAAAAGCTGCTGACAAGCTGTCAATCGATCAAATTAATCAGTCAAATCGAAACTTAAATTCTTGTGATCAACACCTCATTATCGATAAGCATAGACATAAAAGCAGTTTTCAATTTCAACTCTTGAGACATAATTGCAGATCTCAAATAGCAAATGTATACGCTAATTGTTTACCCTTGTTGTTGTACAATGTCTCTTTTTTTTTTGTGATTCTATACTCCACAATCATATTAAGAACAAAAGTACAAAAAAACAAGCAAAAAAAAAAAAAAAAAAAACTTTTGACTGATATATACACTATTTTTTCACAGACACCCTCTTGTTATTCATTTCTACTTGTTTTTTTTCATCTAAACTTTCTTGTGTTACTTGGTATTCTAAAAATCTTTTTTATCTCTCTCTCTCTCTCTCTATCTCTCTCACACTTCTTTTTTTTTTTCTTTCTTTTTTCTTCTTTTGTGTATTGAAGAAAAAAAAATGTCAAACACGCCATCTGAACACCAAGATGAAGACACAACACAACAAACTCAAGAAGCACCTTTAATTTTACGCGCTCTTGTCTCAACAAAAGAAGCAGGCGTTATTATTGGTAAAGGAGGCAAAAATGTAGCTGAGCTGCGCCAAGTTACAGGTGTAAAAGCAGGCGTATCCAAAGTAGTTCAAGGTGTCCATGACCGTGTCTTGACAGTGAGTGGTACACTTGAAGGGGTTGCCAAGGTAACCAGAGCATATACTATATATGATTGTTATTGAACATGCTAGGCTTATTCACTTATCGCTCGTACCATGATTGAAAATTCGGTTCAGGCACATGAGGATCATCAAGAACAAACCGATACAGACACAGCTATTGCAACAATACGTCTCTTAATCTCACACAATCTAATGGGCACAGTGATTGGTCGACAAGGAGTAAAAATCAAACATATTCAAGATTTGTCGGGTGTGCGTATGACAGCCTCTAAAACATTGTTACCCCAATCTACTGAACGCGTTGTTGAAGTACGCGGTAATGTACACAGTATTCAACAAGCCATGACAGAAATTGGTACCTGTTTGATTGAAGATAAAGATAGAGCCTATGGCACCATTTTATATAATCCAACCAAGGCAGTTGTTGCCAATACAAATAATTTCATGCCACCAAGACACCATCATCACCACCATCACCACCAACAACAACAACATCATAGTGATAATACAGAAAACGTTCGTATACAACACATTTCAATTCCAAGTGATATGGTGGGATGTATTATAGGTAAAGGGGGACAAAAAATTTCAGAGATTCGAAAATTATCTGGCTCGCATATTTCAATTGCCAAAGTGCCTCACGATAATTCAGGTGAACGTATGTTTACCATCCAGGGCACAATGGAATCAAACGAAAAAGCGCTTTATTTGCTATACGGGCAATTGGAAGCTGAAAAAGAACGTCGTCTTCGTGGTGTCGGTTTACAACCTTCTTTTGAAGACTTGGAAAAGTAAATTTGTATATTTTACTGTATCATAATAACACGTCTGTTTATTATCATTAAAAAAGAAAAATAATTACATGAGTGTCTTTACAATTTCGTCTTGTTTGATCTGATAATCTATCCAGCTCATAGAGCGTGTAGAAGACACAGAGACAACCGTGTTTGTATTTGGTATAAACTTTGGGATCAATATCTTAGAGGTAGAAGGTGTGTCCATGGAAAATGATATGTTTCTTGCAACACCTGTGTATCTCAAGTCCCAAAAATTGAGTTTGGAGGATCCTTGTGATCCGCAACATACAGTGTATCCATTCTCATGCATATCTGGTTTAGTAAACCGAGAAAGATTATCTTGCTCAGGTTGACCAAATCGTAATTTGATACCATCAAATCCAGGGCATCTTTGATCGTACATGGAGAACTGTTCTACAGTAGAAGACACACTAGAATCATAAATGAGTTTTTTTTACTCTATGTTTGACTCTTGATGCACTTACGTGATCAGCATAATGTTGGGATTAGCCTTGCTTTGCATGATTTGATTGACTCGCTGACCTAATCTCATTTCTCGGATTGTAGAGTCTGTCTGCATATCAAACAAAATCAGACGCTCATCTGCACCACCTGTGAACAAAGTATTGTGGTATTTGTCATAGCAAAGTGACAAGATGTAGGAAGTGTGTTTGATATTAAGGCGACTGACATCTGCATTTGTAAAATTATCGTGAGGAGATTCTCTCTTTAAACTCCAAACATACTAAAATGATATTAGATCCTTTATGACAATGCCTTCATTTCTTACCACACTTTTATCATAACCGCCTGTCAAGAAACTACATTTCTCCATTGTACGTGTATTATAAGCACCTGTATCCAAGCTCTCAATCACAGAAATACCATTTTCATGAGGACTGTCATCTAAACTTTGAATACGGCCTTCTACATTGGTTTTGCTGGTGTTTCCGATATGTATTAACTTGACAGGTTCTTCTGATTTTTGTGGTGGACAAAATGCTAGTGTGGCAGGTGTTGCCCAACAAATGCCATCAATCCATGTATCATATAAGTGATCTGAACCAATTGTCTTGATTTTTCTATAATGTCATGAATACAAAAAAAAAAAAAGTAAGAGGATATAGACTTACTTTCTTTCTTCTGTATTCCAGAAATGTAACTCACCATCAAGCGAAGTGGTAATCATAAGTTCATGAATGCCTTTTGCTGTGTTTTCGTTTGCAATATTGTACAATAAAGAGCGTGGCTTCTTTTTAAACATGACTTCGCCTTGCTTACGTCTAGGAGTAAAGATATCCATACGATCACTTTTACTGAATTCTACTTCTTTAAACACTTTTCTAATGGGTGTAATCTTGGATGGTGCAGGCTAAGTAAAACAATCAGTAATCTGTATACATATTGAATTTATAGACATTACAAATGGGAATCGAGTAAAGGATTTATTAGATGCTCGTTGCTGTTGTTGTTGTGTTGATGCGACATTGAGTTCGATATCTTCTTCATCACTACTGATGTCAATGTTGTGTTGTTTTTGTTGTTTTTGTTGCTGCTTATTTTTAGAAGTTTCAATAGGCGTTGATCGCTTTGCTGTTTGTGGAGGAAAAACAGGTGTAGAAGATGGAGAAGCTGCTGCTGATTTTGTATTGTCTGCGGTTTGTGTCAAAAGATTGGCATTGTAACTAATAAGTCGGTTGGTCTTTTTGATGGATTTATTCAATTGTTTGAATTTCTCGAGATATTTGTTTTGTTTAGATTGTTGCCTTTCAAGCTATCGTCCCATGTGTCAAACAAAATATCAAAGAAATGTATGTGTTACCTTGAGTAAGAGATGATGCATAGTATGACTGATATGAGCAGTAGACACATTATCTTGTCTAAGCATATTGATTTCAATATCATCATTCTCATCTTCGCTACTGCTACTGCTACTGGTACTGTTACTGCTACTGCTGCTGCTGCTGCTGCTGCTAGTATCAGCATTGTGATTATTATCGTCCATGTCTTCGTCAAGGAGTGCCATTTCCTGTTGACTACGCAATTTTTGTTGATTTTGGTTTCCAAGCCTTGGATCATTTGCAGCATTTGTATGGTGTACAATAGCTTCGTTTGATGTTTGTTGTTGTGTTATGCTCTTTCTACGTCGCTTAGGCTGTTGTTGCTGTTGTCCAGGAAAGGAACCTATGCATACGCATATTAATATTTTCATGTTTACTTTAGCACACTCATACTCAAAGCCTCTTCTACAGGCTCTCTCTTTAGAGTAGAAGCAGAAAATAAAGAACGAGGCAAAAGAGAATCCTGGTTCATACTGGTTACAAACAAAAAAGAAGGAAAAGAAAAAAAACTTTTGTTCATAAAAAATCTTAAGCTTTTGTGACTGATGTTTACCAAAGAAGTGCCTAAGAACAGAAATTACTTAAGGTTGTAACATTACTAATGTCATTAATATCATAATCTAAGGTATTGAATAATTCAAAGGATCTATTAGACAGTTTGGGCAAAATGTGCTTAGATTTCTCTTTTGGGGGGAGATCAAGATTAAATATGGATAAGCTGTGGGTTTCTTTTTAATCGACATTTCTATCATGATTTCTTATCAAGATAGACTTGGAGCGCAACTAGTTTGAGGGAAGTTAATGTTGTAAAGAATTATGGAGAGAATTTGATATATGCTAATGATATAATCAGCGTAGCTTGAGATTGAAGACCAGCTACTTAAATTCAGTTTGAAAACCCAATGCCAAAAAGGCCTTGTGTGTAATCTCCTTTGGGTTGGTCAAAAATTGGTGCGGCTGTTATTGTTGCTCTTGGTGTAAGTTCCTGTAAAGTGATATAAATAGTAATTGTCTCAAGGACTGCTAGTCTTTGAGTGTTTCATACTAGTGCACTTGTAGGCCCATCTGATATCATATCCTAAGCGCCGTACTTGTATGGAATGATGAGCTTCTACTGCTATGTAAGCAAACGATTGTCTCTCTCACTTGTAAACATCTCTACAGAAAAATAACAAACAGAACGAAGAAAAGACAATAGCTTTAAATGCTAGTCTATAAAGAGACATATGAGCAACAAATAGAAGTGGACATGTTGACTAAAACAACTGCTTTATTTAGATGAAAAAAGGGATTGAAAAACTATTGTTATGGTCCAATTTATGGGCAAGCCATGGATCTACAAGCCGCGTCAAGGTTTATCATCCTTGACCTCAAATCCGCAATAACACACACCGTCTTGACAGACAGTACGAAGATCTCTGTTGACACCTGATCGTCTACATCTTTCAGCACAATTAGCAAGTTCACCAGTGCATGCTATACTGCAGTTTTCTTCTGTTCCTCTTTTTTCAAGCCATAGTTTAGGATCAATGTAACGACGACGATGATAACTTCCAGCTTCAACTACCAATACGCATACATACAATATAAATCCAAAATAGATAGACTTCATGTTTTAAGTAGAATAAAGAAAGAAACAACTCATTGTTTCTTGTATATTTATATTAAGAAAGATAAGGAGTAAGCAATAGGAGCAAACACTGTCTCCTCATAGAGTGACAACATTTGATGAGGAGAGAGTATGTTTAGGGTATGGTAATTTTCAAAAAGAGCTATAGATACAATAAAAAAAGAGTCAAATAAATACATTATGCCCCTAAAGAATATCTTCTAGAAGGCAACAAGTTATCCATCGCAACAGCTTCTACCGGTAAAGCATAATGTGGAGGTGCACTTGGTGTATAAGCTGGTGGAGGTAATTCAGGCAATATTTCAGGCAAACATCGTGTACATGCTGAGCGATGGCGATGGTGGCCTGATGTACTTGGAATAGATGGTCTATCATCTACAGCAGCATCCAATTCCTTAGCTGTGGGTGCAGAAGGAGAGGGTATAGCTGTTGTTTGCGACATCATGGACACAAAATGGCGTCTGTTATCATAATATGGAGTCTCCGTATCCTCGTTTAGAATAGTTGCAGGTGGCGCAGAGGGTTCAATGGTTGTCGGTTGATCTGATAAGGAAACATGATTTACAGAAGGTGTTGAATCATCATCGTCATTATGGTTATCTAGACTCAATGCAATAGTCGAATTGTCATGCTGATCATCATCTATACATTCTCGGTTCTTTTTGTTCTTTGCTCTCATACGAGTAAATATGACTACTGTTGTAACAATAGCAACAACACCCAATCCACCCACTAAAGATAGGATCATGATCATTCTCTTAAGTGCCTGTTGGTCACTTTTTAGACTTTCTTCGAGGCCATTGTTATTGTTGGGATCGTTCATATTGCTTGCAGACTGTGATTGTTGTTGATGTGCTGGTAAGTCAGTGTTGGATGCATTGTAGATAGTAGGTGTAGGTGAAGCAATGATAGTTGTATAGATAGTTTCAGTACTGACTAGCTCATTTGTGATGGTCTTCGACATTCTGTTGCTATGGTCACCATCTTTTGTGGTCGTGGGAATACTTAGCTCTTGCTGTTGCGCATAAATAAGAGAAGAGTAAGAAAGTAAAAGTAAAAGCCTTACTGAAAAGAAAAACCGTTTTTTCATTTATTTAAAGCGTGTATAAAATAGAGAAAATACAAAAAAAAAAAAAAAAAAAAAAAAAAAAAAAAAAAAAAAAAAAGAGAAATAAGCAGTACTGCCTCGTTCAAGAAAAAAAAGTCAGATGACTCTTGAACAATTGTGTTTATTTAATAACAAACATGTATGTTATGACATCTCATGCTTTGAGTTATGCAACCTACTGAATAAAAGCGTATTGAAAACAATAGGCGAATGTCAATAAAGGAAATAAATAATAATGCATAATTATAAAACAATAGCCATAGAAGACAAAAGGACAAAGAAGATGTGTAAAGACAGTATGTTCATGAAGCTACAGGCTATCTAACTCTAAGTTAATGACAATCAAGGAATGTAAGAAAGATACATCGTCATAAAAATTTTTCAAGGTAAAAGTAGAATTGAGAATTTTGCTTTATGTGGCACTATATTCTAAAGTAATCTCGATTTTATTTTAACAATGTATTTGAATAAAAGATGGTATCATACTAACAAATTAGTTTTCCAAAACAAATCTGAATCTGGGCTTGCCAGCATTGAAGTCTTCAAGAGCCTTGTTGACATCCTTCATAGGAATAAGACTGATCCAGGGACGAACTTCCTTTTCAGCAGCAAAGGCAAGCATTTCTTCAATTTCCTTGGGAGAACCGATAAGAGAACCAGAGATGTTGACTTGAGTCATAATCAAAAGAAGAGGGTTAAGAGGAGGGAACTTCCAATCGGGAGCATTGACGTTAATAAAGTGACCATCAGGTTGGATAAGAGTGAGGTACTTTTCCCCTATAGTACAGTCAGAAAATGATGATTTAAAGCACATGCATGAATTACTTACAAGAGAAGTCGGGACCACAACCAGTCAAGAGAAGATGAGTGAGCTTACCCTTGTAAGCAGCAAGGGCCTTTTCATCGTTTGTGTTGACATATTCATCACAGCCGAGTTCCTTGGCAACATCGCGCTTTCTTTCACTGCTGGACATACCAATAACCTTGGCACCCATGGCCTTAGCCCAAAGAACACCATAGTGACCCAAACCACCAATACCCATAACACCAACAACAGACTTTTCGTTGACGTTGGTACGTCTCAAAGGAGCATAAGTAGTGACACCAGCACAGAAGAAGGTAGCAGCGACTTCACTAGGCAAGTTATCAGGGACCTTGAAGGCAAAACGGTAGTCACCACGCCATTTGTCAGCATAACCACCATAGGTCTTGTCGCCACTAGGCCACTTGGAATTGTAGGTACCAGTGTGTTTGGGACAGTTGTTTTCCTTTCCTGCAGTACACTTTTGGCACTCATGACAAGAGTGACATTGAGCACCAACACCAGCACGGTCACCGACCTTTAAGTTGGTAACGTTCTTACCGACTCTGGTGACAACACCAACGATTTCGTGACCGACAACACAAGGATAGTCAGTAGGACCCCAATGAGCTTCAAGGGTGTGGATATCACTACCACAGATACCACAGTGAGTAATGTTCATTTCAACACTGTCTTCGTCCCATTCCTTGAGAGTCAATTGCATTTGTTTAAGAGGGGCATCTATAACAATCACAGTTAGATTTTTTGTTTGACAGCTAAGGAATAACTTACTCTTTGCGACACCAGCCCAAGCGTTAAAAGTATTGTTTTCAGCAGACATTTCAATATAAATTGTGTTTATTGAGAAAAAGTAAAGTAGAATATCTTTTTATATTTGATATACATTTTGTCAGTTGCCAAACAAGGAAACTATCTTACGTCTTTTAATTACTTAAACTAATTCAAGGCCGATAGAACTTGACAAATAATCATAGAAGAAAGTCGATTAGTTTTCCTTTCCTGGTAAGTGTCTATCACAATCTCTTTTTTTTTCATTCAAATAAACTTCTTTCGAAAGCATATAAATGATATTCCTACTTTATTGCATGATGTTAGCAGCATGATAAAAAGGTTAATTGGTATATGCGCTTGCACTGCTTAAATTGTTTTCCCGAGTTATTAAGCGAAGTGGAGTTGAGTATAGAAAATAAAGTTGTGCAGAGCTTGATGTCATTTATTCAAAGTGAAACACCCGTCGTCATCTTTTTATTTTCAAATTCAGGCAATCGTGATTTACACTAAATTTGAGAAATGATCAACGAGAAAATAAGTTCTTTCAATGTCAAACCTTCGCTTGTGGTAAAACATTTGGACCTACGCAGAAAAAAACCCCTCGACCTGTATTTTGGGGTTTCCGGCTAGTAGCAAGCTACTAATCCACCGCTAGTACTTTTATACACACTTTATAAAATGATGTGTTAAAAACAATTTTGAGAAGTTATTCTTTTTTCTTTCTCTTTTCTTTTCCATAAAATGACTACAATTATTTCCTCTCCCTAAAAAGATTGCATACTCATATAAAATTGGTTGCTTTTTAGAGCGGATAGAATGTTCTTTAGCCATCTCCCCCCCCCCTCTCTATCCGATACTCTGCGAGTTTCGATTTGGATATGTCTAATAGGAGGTGGTCCTTGAGAAAAAAGGGGATATTGTATAAGAACTCACCTTTTTTGTTCTTCTATGGCATATTTTCTGTCAACAATAATAAAAGAAAAAACCCAAAGGCTTAGAATTCATCAAGTACTTCATCAAATGTTTAACAGATCCTCCATCAAACTTGCCATCTTTTTCGTTAAGTATATCAATGACGCACGAACATCACAGTCAACTAAATGAATGGCTATTTTGAATGAATATGATTCACCATTTGGAAGGAGATCAGATATGTTGATGATTGGAGGTCGTAATGATGAGCTAGCAAACATTGAGTTTAAGAAAGCAACAGTACTCAACAATCTAGCAAAGCATTAGCAAAGCAAAAGCATCAGGATTAATAGCTGCATTATCAATTATATTAATTTGATGACTGAAACAACAGCCAATGCTATACTATACTATGATTTCATTGAAAGACAGGGATACCTCGCCCAATTGTTTGTTTATCAAGATGTATGTGTATACCAAAAGCTTCAATCTATTCCTATCCCTGACAACATGATTAAGTTAGAGCTGTTCCGTTCATCGCTGAAACTCATGTTTGTTTGGGAATCTCATACAATTAACCTGAGCAACAACATCACCCTTGCCAACCTGAACAGAGAGCAGTAGTTCCAGCTTGCGGACATAAGCAGTACGACCAGCCCTCCTCGTTCCCCATCTCTTAATGCCCAGCCAGTTCAAATGTATTTGTCGCCTTCAAATGACAAAAAGAGAAGCCGCTCTGTGTTTGAAGAATAAAAACTTATGTTGCTTCGATCTTCACTTTATCACTTCATTGCACTCAAATAAATAATATCTACCTTATCCATCTGATATCATATACTAAGCACCGTACTTGTATGGAATGATTAACTTCTACTGATATGTTGGCAAATGATTGTCGTTTTCAAAAGTCTGCTTTGCGTTTCGATCATTGTATGATCATCATTTATATATAATTGAAGTAGCTGATTATGATTTTGTTTTATTATAGCAATCAATTGATTGGCGCTTAGAGTGTCTATAAAACACATGCAGATTACTGAGGCGTATATCTATAGTTCTTTAAGACAGATTTTCTTCATTCATCAACCTGTGGAGCTTCACTTCTTTTACAAAAGCCCAAAACTACTCAATTGAACTCAGCTCTGGCGAATAGGGAGAGAAACACGTTTTTATCATCCTCCTGCCTTTACCTTTTGTCCTAAAGAGTTTCTTTCGTCTTTTGAACTGGTTAGGGTAATTCAGTTTTCAAGCTATGTGATCATTGGTCATTAAATTTATTTAAATAAAAACCTTATGAATCGTATCAAAAAAGCGAAAGAGCATCTAGAATACTTCTTCTATCAGTCTGTTTCTTCTTTTATGATTTATATGCCAAAATTCGTTTAATCCTAACTAGTGGTCTAACGAACTTCTAAAAGTGTCGAGATTTTAGCAGTTCTAACAAACAAATAAACTTTCGGCCTTGGATTAGTATATCCAGGCTGTGTTTATTACTTTGGCATCAGCTGATCATATACTTAGTTTCCCTGAGCCTTTCTTAAATTTGATGAAAAACACAAAAGTCACTTTGATGAGTTTTCTTCAGGATGAGCATAACCTGCTTTAATTTTACCGAATAGCTGGATTTTCGATTGATTACATATTTTTTTGAAACTCGCAATTCATGATTACTATTTGATCGGGGGGCTAACCACGTTATCAGGTTATACTTATAGCTCGTCTAAACGCCAACCAATACAGTGGTGTAATATTAAAAAAAAAAAAAAAAAAAAAACGGAAAATAATTTATTACAATTCTAAATGATTTTTACAATTTACAATTCTAGTAAAGGTATCTAGTTTTCCAAGACGAATCTGAATCTGGGCTTGCCAGCATTGAAGTCTTCAAGAGCCTTGTTGACATCCTTCATAGGAATAAGACTGATCCAGGGACGAACTTCCTTTTCAGCAGCAAAGGCAAGCATTTCTTCAATTTCCTTGGGAGAACCAATGAGAGAACCGGAGATGTTGACTTGACCAAAAGTCAAAGTAAGAGGGCTGAGAGGAGGGAACTTCCAGTCAGGCAAGTTGACGTTAAGGAAATGACCGTTAGTACGGATAAGAGAAAGGTACTTTTCCCAAGTAAAGTCTTCACTACAACCGGTACAGAGAAGATGAGTGAGCTTACCCTTGTAAGCAGCAAGGGCCTTTTCATCGTTTGTGTTGACATATTCATCACAGCCGAGTTCCTTGGCAACATCGCGCTTTCTTTCACTGCTGGACATACCAATAACCTTGGCACCCATGGCCTTAGCCCAAAGAACACCATAGTGACCCAAACCACCAATACCCATAACACCAACAACAGACTTTTCGTTGACGTTGGTACGTCTCAAAGGAGCATAAGTAGTGACACCAGCACAGAAGAAGGTAGCAGCGACTTCACTAGGCAAGTTATCAGGGACCTTGAAGGCAAAACGGTAGTCACCACGCCATTTGTCAGCATAACCACCATAGGTCTTGTCTCCGTTATCCCAAGTAGAGTTATAAGTACCAGTGAACTTGACGCTACAGTTGTTTTCGTTTCCGTCCAAACAGTTTTCGCACTTGTGGCAAGAGTGACATTGAGCACCAACACCAGCACGGTCACCGACCTTTAAGTTGGTAACGTTCTTACCGACTCTGGTGACAACACCAACGATTTCGTGACCGACAACACAAGGATAGTCAGTAGGACCCCAGTGACCTTCAAGAGTGTGAACCTTTAAAGTCAATTAGTCACTTATGAACAACACTTTGACTTTCACTTACATCACTACCACAGATACCACAGTGAGTAATGTTCATTTCAACACTGTCTTCATCCCATTCCTTAAGAGTCAATTGCATTTGTTGAAGAGGTTCACCTATGAAATACCAAAAGTCAAAAGGATGCCCCACATCGTTTTGATCTCTATGACTTACCCTTCTTGACACCAGCCCAAGCAGTAAAAGTGTTTTCGGAAGACATTTCGATATATGAATATAACAAAGGATTAACAAAGAAAAGGAAGGAGAAGAGCCTAATGAATTTAAGCTTATTTTATATGTATTGAATTTAATCGGACTAAGAAAATAAGTTCGATTCAAGTACCTTGTTCCTAACAAAGACGAATAATACACTGGATGCAAGACCGTAGCACTTTTTACTCTATATGGAATAACTATTACGCCTTTGAATCTTGATTAAGGGCTCTATCAAGTCAAATAATTGTGCTACAGAAGTTTGATCCTCCATTTTTACGCTTCCGATCAAACTGATGAATAATCAAAATGTCGGAAACAAAACTTAGAATTTTATCGAATTTTTTTTTTCAAAGAGACCAATAAGCTTCTAAAAAAGCAAGTCTAGTACTTTTTTACGTCTTGCGATCATTGACTTGTCATCCACAAAGAAATTTTAGGATCTAGAGATTTCGATCATTTGCAGTGTTGATAATATGAAACTTCAGCCTCTGTACAACGCTTTGAAAACGTATCTTTTTCCTTATCCCTTACATTAATTTTTAAAAAGCCAGCCAATCGTAGAATGATAAAAAGGGTTTTGGTTAAATAATATTCCCGTTTCAAATTACTCTCGTATTCAAATTAGAGTGCGCTGAATATAAATTTAACTAATAATCTTAAATATTAATAGAGAAAGCGAGAGAAGAAAAGCGGGTGTAGAGCATAATGTCATTTTAAAATACAACTCAGTCTAAGGCAATGACGCTCTTTTGAAAAACCACTTTGTATTCTGTGTAAATATTTTTCCAGAAGTATTAGATTATCTAACGTAACGCAAATGTTTTTTTGGAAACAATAACAAAGGGCCTCTTATGCTTGTCATACGAAAGGTACAGAATACAAAAATCGTAAAAACATGAATGATGACAAAGCCATGTTTCTCGATCCTCTATAAATGTCTAGGCAATGACATGAACACAATGTGAACTCAGATATTTGTATTGGAGATTTTTGATAGTAAGCTATTGATTTGACAAAAGAGCATTTCAGGCATACTGTGCTTCCATTCTCAGTTTACCGAATGTTTTAAAACTCCGCCCATTTTTTGAAATTGGCCAATTGTGTGAAACTTAGGTTAAAAAATGTGATAAATATTCTTTATCCAGGCACCTAGGAAAAAACATTGATAAAATGCTTGATAAAATTCTGTAATGTCTAACAGGAACATCCTCACTGCCTTCTATAACTCTTGTAGTAAGAGATTTAAGTGCTTTAAAAAAAACCTCTGTTTGTCTTTTGATTGCAAATTCTCTGAGCTTTGAAAGAAAGACGACGTTTGCAGTATATCAAAAGAGTTTTTATGAAGTCGAATACATCAAAGTCGCCTCGTGCACCTTCAAGTCCCAAATATGCTGACAAGAATGATGTTAGTGTTTTTCATGTTGAAGAAACCAAGTTCAAGAAATTGGATACTATTAAAAAAGATTTCCCTTTCTCTGGAACTGATAATGGTATCTATAGTCTTTGCGTTACGACACCTTTTAATTTAGATCGATTGTCATTTCATCTAAAGCTATACAACAAATATGCTGCTTTAAAAAATGAAGAAGATGACGACGACAATATTAATACTTCTATGTCGACATTACCTTCACCTAGTATCTTAGAATCAAGTCAAGTAGACTCTTTCTGTGGTTACACTGAAGCAAGAAGAAAGCTGGAGAAAGACCAATGACATACATAAAAAAATAAGGGAGTAACAGCTACTGAAAACATTCTCTCTGAAAATAGCTTGCAATGTCCTGCAAATGCTGCAGAGTTCAAATAAAGATACGAAGTTGATTTAAACCATAGAAAAGAATTTCGCGATTGTTATGCTTCTAGTAAAAGAGCCAATGCTATCGGAAGGAATGAACTGCAGAATGCCCATGTCCACCTAAAGATATGTAATCAAGAAAAGAAGCTTGTACAAAAAGAAGGTAATAACCACTCATGATAGCGTGTGACTGGTATTAATCGTGTCATTTTGAATAGATCCTAAGTCAAAGGCTTGTTTGTTTGTTGCAGATCGAAGTCTTGGTATTGGCTCAAGGATAAAAGGACATAGAAGATATGGAGGAAAATAGAAACAAAAACTACTCGGGAGCACTGGTATTGTATGCATCACAAGCGAGTATAGTACGTCCCAGACTTGTGTCTTTTGTTTCCAAAAATTAGCCCACCCATTTAACAGAACGAAAAGGGAGCAAGAACCGTGAAAGGTGCCTTCTATTGCTTGGATAAGAACTGTATTTCCGTGAGAAACTAGAAGGCAACTACGTCTCGTGGCCGATTGTCAGCTCTGGCAATTGGTGTTGTTGGTCTCTCTACAATGTTGTTCGGAAGAACGTTCCCCGCATTTTCCCTAAACTCAGTCAATATTGCACTGAAGATGATTTCAAACAATTCACCACGTCCTTGCTAAGTCGAAAAGTGCGTAAGGTTGATGATAGTTCTGCTACTATCAATATGGATGATAAGTGGCAACATGTCTCCAAATTCAAACTCTCTAACGGTCTTACTCTCTGAGTGGCTGTGGTCATTTTTTGAGTATTTTATCAGCATTCGTCAGCTTTTCATCAGAAATCTAGCCCAGACCAAAAAGCTGTCTTTCTACTTACCTTCAATTTTACCTGACTCTTGATCAGACAGAAGTAAAAGCACCGGCAAAAAAAAAGCAATATATAGCGTTTACCTACCTAGTCATGGAGATTTCAAGAGATTTAGCAATATGCATGTTTTTCTATGTAGACTATACTGAAGAGAACGTTAAAAAATACAGTAAACAACTTGAAGATTTTGGTAACGTTGAAATCTGTTACAACACTAAACCAAACCAGCCCATCTTGGTCTCAATGGAGCGAATCCGTAATCAACCTGAAAGCTATCATTTATATTCTGGCAATCGTTAATCTATTTCGATTTTCAAACTTTTATAATAAATCATTGTGAATTAGGTTGTAAATCATGCGATTCAAGTGGCGTGAAGGCCCAGCTACAAGGCGAAAGAAATATTTTGGTTGCAAAAGATCGTTCTTTCAAGTTCGATACCATGAATTTTTAAAATCTTTTTCTACAAGTAACGTCTTCACCTGTTGATGGTTTTCGAGCATATTACCACAGCGCAAGCGATGGAAGAAATCTTCCAGTATATGCAGAAATCTTTCAATTTTTATGGAAGAAATATGCACTAAAAAATTGGAAAAAATCTGCAAGTAAAAAAGATTTCAAGCAGGTTCAGTATGTATTTCTTTGACCTTATGCGCATTTATCACCACCTTGTGCTATTAATTTATCATATTAACGCACTTAAATCTCTCACTACAAGAGTTACAAGAACATTCTATCAATATTTCTCTTAATTGCTTGAATAAAGAATATCTATCCCATTTTTTTGATCATAAATTTGACCAAACTATTTGTAAAAGCTGGACAAGTTAACATCAAACAATTGGGCTTTTTTTTTTCTTCAAAAAGTGGGCCGAGTTTTCAAACGTTCAGTAAGTTGAGACTGGAAGGATAATAAAGAAAAACATGTCAACTTTTAGTTTTTTGTTCTATGTAAACACAGCAAATTATAAATAAACTTGGTGCAACAAAATAACAATATGTGAAACAACAACAGAGATTCGGAGATATGAGGTAATAACATTATTTTGTCGTTTCAGAAAGAATAAAACAAGGCCAATCCATAGTTAAAGACTAAGAAGATAATGTTTCAAATTATTCCAGTACTCTAAAGGAGAAAAAAAAGAATACGTCTATACCAAATATTGACAGAACAAAAGGGTCAACAAGCTCATGTACAACATCTCTATTCGGTGTAACTATTTGTACCATGCCTAAAATATTTAAGACAGATAGGATATTCTATTGGATCAAGTTTATTTAGTTCAAAAGAGAGAAAACTAATACATCTCATGAGCGAATAGCCGAAGTCTCTTTTTTTTTCGGATGATGAAAAAGAAGAGAAGAAAAAATTAAAATCAATGTTACTGTAATAAAAAAAAAAAAAGGATCTTCACATAAAATGTGTTACTTGGTGTACAAACCCAAATATCAGGGGGGGGGGGAAGAAGCGAGTCAAATGTTTACACCAACATTTTGTAAATTGACAGGTTTCAAGACTCATTGGTTTTTGACCATGTCTCCGATTTAACCTTTTGACAAGATGTATTGGATACGTGCTAAAAATATACTAAACAAGAAACGAACCTCATAAACGAGAAATCCTAAAGGAAAGAGATCCTTTTTTTTCCCTTTTTCTCTCTTTTCTTTGTTTCTTCCTTCTTTTATTTTCTTAGGTCATGACTATTGATCCTAGCTCTCAGCAACATCGATATCTGAGTGGAGAGTATAGCCAACAAGAAGCACACGATCTGAACAGAACAAGGTGAGTTTTAATTTACAGTAAAAGGATAGAGAGAGAGAAAGAGAATAAGACAATATTTGAAGAAGGTAATGTCAAAAGTCGAGAGAATAAACATCGTGTTAGAGGTATGTCAGTCAATGGAAATATTGAACCAAAATCAAAAAAAAAACAAACTCTATGCGTAAATCCCGGTTGCTTTATATTCAAAGCAACTTACCAATGCATCGCTGGTTTTATATATCAAGCCAAGATATGATTACTTGAAACAACAACTGCATGCAGCTATTTTTGCCGAATGATATCTATAGAAATCAGATTACAAAACAAGTCTTAAATCATTTTTTTTCGACACCAGCCCGTGCCCTTGTTACAGCGTGAAAATATTTTCTTTCTCTCTTTTCTATTTTTTTTTTCTTTTTCTTAATACTTTTCTTTCCCCTTAGTTATCAACAAGTGGCGACAGTTTCCGAGGATACAAAACCTTATCATCATCAAGAGCAACACCACCCGGCTTTGATGCCTATCTCTACACAACAATACAACAGTATCAAGCAAGAATCTTCCCCACAAAGGTATTTTATATTGTGTTTCGTTTCACTTGTGTATTGATTTCTGACATATAATTACCTTTTCTAGCAGAGTTATCATGTCTTCTCAACCAACTACCCCTCAACCCACTTCTGATTCTCCTCGCTTTGACAATGCTACAACCATACCATCATTACGCACCGATACACCTGCTAGCTACCCATCTTCTCCATCTGTGCCTTTAGAACAGAAATATGCCAACATAAGACCTAACACACCCACAGCTAACCCTTCATCGGATCGCAAAGTAACATTTGTTGTTGATAATTCTGATCGCAAAACAACATTCATTCATGATACTTGCCCTTCATTCGGCCCTACAGAATATGCTCGTAACATTATTGCTTTAGATAGACAGACAATGTAAGTAATCAAAAACTAGAATTTGGACAAATGATTTATTTTTATATAGTATCGAAGCACAACTTCATGTTAAGGTCGATCGTGGTTTCTTTTTGGCAGATAACGACTGGACTTGTTATCGCAGAAACTATTTCCAAGTAAGTGGTTCATTCTCTCTTGAAGGGGTTGGTATTCTGTATGAAGGACAAGAACTTCCTTGTTTCGGCAAAGATCCTCAAACGGGTCAACTTGAAGAAATCGATTGCTTTATGTTGGGCGTCTGTGCTCGTTTATCTGATTGTGAAAAGCCCATTCAATTGGTCCAGCATACACCCAAGCGTGACAAAGGACCTCAAACAACACCTATTCCTAAAATGATTCGCCCTGGTGGCAATGTTGGATTTAGTGCTGTTGGTTCTAGTCAATCTGTAGTTACTTTTGAACGTCTTCAATTCAAGACAGCTACAGCCAACAATGGTAAACGTAGAGCCGCCCAACAATACTATGTTATTATTGTTGAATTGTTAGCCAAGCTTCGTAACGGTAACACGATTGCCGTAGCTACTTCTAAATCTTCTCCTTTGGTTGTTCGTGGTAGAAGTCCAGGTCATTATGCTGAAACCGATTCTGGTAGCATGAGTCATTCTGGTCGTCATGGTCGTTCGAATGCAGCTGGTGGACCTATTTCAAGTGCTATCTCACATGCCTCTCCTGTTGTTCATCATCCTTATGGACGTCCACCTAGCGCTGCTGCTTCTAATCCCACCGCTGCCGGTTATCCTGGCGGTGCAGGCAGTAGCATGTTCCAACCTACTGCTGCTACTGCTGCTGCTGCTGCTGCTACTGAATACATGCCTTATGATTATCATGGTGTTGCTTATACCAATTACCATATGCCACCTCCACCTCCACCTCCTATGGCGCATTCTCACTCATATCCTGGTACTCCTACTGCTGTGCCCATGATGCAACCACCTCAACATCCATCTCAGCCTCAACAGTCTCAACAGCATTATTTACCACCTAATGTTCATGATCGTGCTACTCACTCTAGTGCTTCTTCTGAAGCAGCATACCCTAGCCATGCTGAGCACATCAATCAAAACACCCATTCAAATGAGTACGAGTATGACGATCAACAACAAAGACAGGCACACAATAACTCACCTTATTATTGGCAGAGACAAGGCAATGATGAAGCCCACCATGATCATTGGAACAGAATCAGAATGGCCTCAAATAACAGTGGGCATTCTAGCGTGGATAATTCTCAGCATAATTCGCCTTACATGAGTCATCCTCAACCTCCTCAACAGCCAGCAGAACATTCTTATTATTCTCATCAGCCTCCTCCTCCTCCTCCTCCTCCTCAATCACATTATGCTCATCATCCTGGCTATAACCACCATCACCATCCAATCGCTCAAAGGTAAGTGTTTATTTCCATGTCGATAAGAAACTTAATTGTATGCTAGTTTGCCTCCACCACCTACTTCAAATGCTGGTGCTGATCATTATAATGTTTATCATGCTCAACACTATGAATGGCAACCTCGTCATGTTCATTCCAAGATGTATCCTTATGAATCCGATAGAAGATCCCATGAATATGAAAAGAATCAAACACCATCACCTCAACAAACTGATTCATCGCCTAAAGTATCAACAGCTACTACTAAATAATAACACTTATCGTAATAATTTATTCAATGTATTTAATTGTTCAAAAAAAAAATATACAGTTTTTAAAGGAATTATATGTATTTAAAGATGTACAATAGATATATATATAAAAGAGAAGCAAGGGGGAATCATTTGTGTTAATCTTCATCTTCATATCGATCTGATGCGTCAAATGTACATTGAGCTTTATGCACAATACCTGTGCCAAAATCAGCTTCCATTCGAATTTCAGTTAGACCAAAGTACATTCTAATTTAAGTGAATAAAAATCTTTAGGTTTGTGTCTCTTTACCTGACAGTATAAGCAATACGTTCACCATGAGCAACATTGGGTAATCGAGGAATTGGCACTGAAATAGCCGCCACTTGTTTGACTTGCGGCTCATCAAAGTAGCGTGGTTCTTTATCATCTTCTGTAGCATACAGCATGATGTCTGTCGCCTTCATCATACCATAATACACAAACATCTTTTCTCGAATACAATGATCCACTGGTAACACATCGCCTTTTTTAACAAACATGAGGAATCGAGAAGTACATCGTATACTACCATCAGGACGAACAACTCGAGATGAAATAGGATCCAGGCGTTCATCAAATGGTAGGCCTGCATTAATACCATAAGTACGGCGAGACACGCGAGATTTAATCACTCTTGGATTTAGTCCAAAATAGACTGCACCACGAACAACAGCCATAGGAGCTCTTGGAGGACATAGAATTTGTTGGATTTGATGTCCAAATGCTTCTTGTATACGTTGAAACAAATAATTGGAAGAACCAAATCCACCTACAAGAAATACACAGGACACCTTTTGATCAGGTACTTGGCTATACTGTTTCTCAATCAACGATAACTGTTTTTGGTAAATATACAACAATGCTTGTCATTTATCAACTTACTACACGCTGAACAACCGGCTCAAATACTTTTTGTTTCAATTCATCTGCTCTTAATACCATAGTGCCTTCATCCAGACTATCATCGTGTGTATTGAGTTGATCCAGGTTGATAGACACTGGCAAGCTTAGATAATGATCATCTAGACCATCAAATTCAGGCTTGATATTGTCTACAAATTGATCCATCAGATTGTTGATAGCAGCAGGCGGTATATGATTTGCTTGTTTGCCCAGTTTTTCCATGATCAATGTCTTGAAGTTGTGATCCAGGAAAACACTACCACAACTCTCGCCCATACCTTTTGTGACTTCCTTAAGTCTGTTGTTACTCTGAATAGAATCATTCATCACTTCAAACACAATCAAATCCACAGTACCGCCACCAGCATCACAAATCATCATGCGATCTCCCTTTTTCAGATTCACTTGTTCACACATACGTTCGCAGTACAGGGCAGCAGCCTCTGGCTCTGAAATCAAAATCAGTCTATCTTGAGGGTCTTCCTTTTTAATCAATTCGGCCTTGATGGCTGCACGGCGCATGGAGTTCTTTGCCAAGTCAGACCACATGGCAGGCACTGTCAAACAATAACGAAATGTATCTGGATCATAATTCTTGGCAAATCCTCTTGTCACGTCTTCCAAAACATGTTGGTGTAATGCCTTCAAGTAATCTGCAATATTACTTACAGCCGATCTATGTTTAAAAAGTGAGCCACTGAGTGACCTGAATAATAAGTTACTTTTGATTCTCTGCTACACCTCGCTGGAGTGTCTCGTCTAAATTGAGTTTAAAGTTGGCAAGGGTGATATTTTCCTTGGCGGCTTGTGGTTTAAGCATAAGTTTCTTGGCGCCATGACCCCATTCAATCATTTTGGATGGATCAGATCGTTTATAGGCTGATAAAGTAGGTGTCTTGGGATAGAAGTTGCCTCCCTTGTGTGGCCTATAAAATTTAATTATAAGAAGAGGAGAGTAGGAATTACCATTTTTGGACATCGAATACTTCAGGCGTTGTGTTGTGAGTAAAGGCATAAGAAGCCCCTGAATAAGTTGTACCAAAGTCGTAGGCAATAACAACTTTATAATCGTCTTTTGTCGAAAGCATCATAAAGTTAGAATAAAAAAAGAAAAGAAAAGAAAAGAAAGGGGAGAAGAAAAAAATAAATAAAAACATTAGGATTTAAATACAGTCACCTAGAAAGCGTTAATGCATTATTATTTGCTTCGATCAAGCCAAGTAACCAAAATTTCATTTCTTTTTCTTTCTGATATAAAAATACTGGTGTATTGTAAGATCTTTTCATTCAGTGCTTAAAATAGCGTAAAACGTTCAATTTGATTTGATGTACATGTATCGGTAAGTCTTTTTCAACAGTTTTCAATTCATAAAGGATGAATAAACCATCTATGCCAAGAAGCATGGCATTTTAGGAAATGAAGAGCCAATTTGTTTAAAATGGTAATTTCGCAGCAAATTTTTAAGGTAAACCCCTTTGGATTTTTTTCAGATTTCGATTTTAGACACTTTCTTCTACTTTGTGAGCTGAAAAATGGAGCTATTACCATAGTCAAGCATTCAAAAGACGCACCAAAGCTTTCTTTATTCAGCTAATGCTTCTTCTTTTTTTTTTTGGAAATGTAACGCAATAATGTGCTATTATGATGCCAAACAAATCAATTTGAATTCTTACTTGTATCATATATTATACTAATTCAATTGCTCTCATCCTTACATCATTAAATGAGTAAAAAAATATGTATAACTTTTGTTGAAGTAGCTTGGAGATCCGAGCTTGTTACAGTATTTCTACTTTGAATTCAGACGATGTTAGTTTTTTTCTGGACGAATCAAAATTAATTTCCAGATGTTTTTCTTACCTATTTTGGACGAAATAAAGTGAAATTAAACAGAGAATTATTAGAGAAGGTACAATAGTGTTAGATGATTTTACCTATGACAATCTTAGTTCCCAAAGGAAATACCGTGTTCATTACGGCGATTATTGCTTTTTCTTAGTTTCTCTTGAATCGTTCTGGACGGCCTTCACCCTTCCAAATTGACTTAGCAATGTTCATCATATTCAAACTAGCGTTGATGTCACGCTGCCATAATGTTCTGTACGTCTTGCAAACGAGAACACTATTACCGCGGGCACCACTAATACCACCTAAAGTCCTACTTTCACATTTGGAACATATTTGGGACATCAAATATTCATCAATGTCCACAACAAGTAAGTCGCCAGTCCTCTCTCTTCTTTTCAACGTTCTGTATAGAAGACCAGTGACACCAGTCCGGACCGTTTTCATCTTCACATAATCCTTCCCAAACATGCCACTACCAGATACTATCAGCGGTACCTTCTGTTTGTACCGAAAGAAATTGCTTTCTCTAAGTACCATAAACTTATGAGTATAAAAATTATCGTAGCCATGCCCAAGTAACTTTTTACCTTGTTTTTATTGTTTTCAGTGCCATTTTTCTCTTTCCTTTATCCTTCTTTCCAGACTTATTCCCCTTCTTCTTCCGCTTCCCTTTGATCTTTGCTCTTTTTCGTTTGTTTCCTCTTGATTTCTTGTTGTATTTCTTGGTACCATCCAAAAACGTTTTCACCATTTGCTCCGGTGCTCGTTGGCGACCCTGGTATAAGAAAAAGGTTTCTTTTGCAGTTTCTTGATTGTAAAAACTGAGAATACGACCAATGTTTTTGAGCATATAAATGGTATACTCCATATACAGTGATTCATTGGCAGTCTTATTGGTGGGTATATTTGTTTCAATCGTCTTAATACCGCATGCTTTCTTTTTCTTCTCTTGCTCTGCTGAGAATTTTGTAGAGCCTGTCAAGTGGTAACATTCCTTGATGGAACATTGTCTGAAGTCGTTAATATTACCACTTGAACCAGCAAATGCAGTGAAGACCCTTTTTCTTCCTGGATCTACGGCTATTGGTAAATAGTGGCTGTCAACTTCATGCTGTTCAAAATTATCCAGGATCAGATCAACTTGATTAATTTGCTTGGTTAAACGTTTTTCTGTGATTGTTCGTTTCTTAAAAACAAAACCAACAGAAAAACCGTCTGATCTGATCAGGTTACCAAAGAGCCTCTTATTTTTTCCAGTGGGTAATAAAGATTCAATCCTAATAATAAACATATTTTAAATGACCATCATGTAAAAACCTTTTTTACTACTATGTACTTACGATTTGATTCTAAGTGGTCTAAAATCAAATACCTTGTAAAATAAATGCAGCTGATCATTATACCCTCTGGGGAGTGGTTGACCAGGAAGAAATGCTGCTAATGCATTGACCGAAATTGTCACTGATCGCCAATGGCATGATGGTGAAGGGAATACATTGAACAGCCTTGGTAAAGAAAGTCTTCTAACGTCAAACGCTTTATGAGACTGATGTTCCCTTTCAAAGACAGTCAGTATATGAAACAGCAGAGGAACAAAAGAGCCAGGGTTATCAGCTAATGATTTTATACTAACTCTAGCATCGAGTTTGTTTTTAAGTGGCAGGCATAGTTCATCGATTCTTCGTTTGATCATAGGGTCTTCAAGTGATTTCTGTTCAGGCCACACCGCTTCACCTTGGCATACATACTGATATCCATATTTTATAACAATATCATCGACGTACTTCGGAGCCATGGACTATATACATAATATTTAAGCATTTAGAGTAAATGGATGTGATTATTAGCTCTTACAACAAACATAATTTGAATTTGATATTGCAAAAATCTTCTCAATATATTTTCAAGTCTTTCTACAACTGCATTCTCGTAGGTGGTTGCCAGCTCCTTGCAGGCCTCAGTAATGCACTGGCTAGCTCCTCCAATAGCAGATGGAAAACTTAATTTTTCTTTAATAAGATGAACCTCGTTAAAAAAACATTATAACAGACAAGTCAATCTAACTATTGTTGATGATCTGGTATAAATGACTTTAAATAAAAAAAAGTATATTATCACAAATAAATCTTTTCTCATAACAAGAACATTTGTCATATTATTATTATTATTATTATGCCAGCTAGTCATAGTTTGATAGCAATAGAACTGAGTTCATTCTAAACAATGATATAGCTGAATCAACATTTACACTCTTACGGAATAGAGTCATATAATCCAGAAACCAGTAAACAGATCTCATCTTGAATGATAAACAACTGTAAAGATGGTTCGCAAAGTATATTTTATTGAGAAAGCCAATACTCTTATTCCATCTAATATAGCCTTCAGCTCATCAAGTCCTATCTCAGGTTACATCTAAGGACATAATCCAGATCATATATAAACCTAGAATATAAAAAATCTCTCTCGAACTTTTACCTTAATAAACATTTATAAACGGTCTCAAAGTACTTTCTACATGTCTCTTTATTTTTTTATAATTTCTATATTCAATCTTTTTATTTAAAAAGTCCCAAAACACCACAATAACCAGTCATTTTGATATTGCTTCTCTAACAATTGATTTCCCTTTACAGTTAAATGTCTAAATGTAAACTCTCATTCATCCAAAAAGCTAATTCTTTTTCTGCAGAAAAAAAACATCTGGAAATTAATCTTGATTCGTCCAGAAAAAAACTAGCATCGTCTGAAAAAACAATTTTTCAAAATTGCAACTCAAAAAACTATCTCATTTTAAAACTCCGTCAAGTCTTTTTTTTTTTTTTTTTTTTGATGCCCTGGTTCAATTTGACGGGCAATTTTTTCTGTTTTCAGTGCTTTCTTTTTTATAGACTTATAGAGACTCAAACATAATCCTATGCATAGACTACTTCAACAGTGTGCCAGCATACGTCTTTCAACCCATGCACTTCCCAAACACCTCCAAAAAACCAGCTGCCTTGTCTTTACAGCGTCCTTCGAAACAACACAACAACAACCAAAGACCCTCCCCTATTAGCCAAATATAAAGACCAGTTACAACAACCACAACGCAACGGATCTGATCTATGGAGCACCTACCAAGCCATCAATGCTCAAGGCCTATTGCAGCATATGAAAAGAGACGATTTCTTAAAACTTCGAGCTGATCTATGGAAACAAGAGAATTGGGGAACAGAAGATCGTATCCTTCAAGTCCTTGATGACATGAAGCGTGCTGGGCATCCATGGAACTTGCATGAGTACAATGAGTATTTTATGGCTAAACTATTCAAGGCACAATATGCAGACATCTTGGCCATGTATTCTTCTGAAGAGTTCCAAGGTCAACAACTCAGTATTGGATCGTTCAATGTTATTCTAGCTACCTATATTCAACTAGGAAAAACAAAAGAAGCGATTCAGCTGATCGAGGAAGCCAACAAAAAGTACAATGTGATACCTGACATTCGAGATTTTGATCGCACCATGAATCGATGTATGCCCAAGAACACACAATTAAGTCAAGTCGCTAAAGAATTGATTGCAGAACATGCTTTCTCGGTGACCAAAATACTCGACACTAACCTGCTTCATTTGTTTCGAGAAAAGCGTATGCATGACATTAAATGGATTGTTGATCAACAATTGAAGCGCAAATTAAACATTACTACTTACAACATTTTAATCAAAGGATATAGCGATGTACGCATGTTGAGAGATGCAACCCATATTTATGAAGAAATGCAAAAGCACAGTGTTAGACCCAATACCTATATTTGTGTTAGCATGCTGGCTATCTTTGCTCACACAAGGGATGTTGCTGCTGCTGAACAAGTGGTTCGAGAAACTGTCTTGGGAGGACATAAACCAGACGAAGGTGTCTATAACCAACTGATTAAGGTCTATTTTAAGGCTCGACAATCTCAAAAGGCATTTCAAGCATTCCAGGAAATCCAAAAAGATCCTCAACTCAAAGTAAACGATGTTATCTTGAACACAATGATTAATGGTCTTGTTATCAACAAAGAACTCCATATTGCAACTCTACTTTATAAACAAATGATTCAGTCTCAACTCAAGCCAGACATGGTGACGCTCAATACTATGCTTAAGGGATATGTGAAATCAAATGACATGGCATTGGCAGCAGGTATTATTTCAGACATGTTCAAGTTGGGTATGGAGCCAGACTCAGTTACTCTAACAACATTGGTGGATTCTGTCTTCAACACAAAATCACCCAACACAGCTGAAGAAATGATGGGACTTGTGCGACAGATGGGTATTCCACCCAATGTGTATGCATACAATGCAGTCATCAATAGTTGGATTCAAGCTGACAATATGCGAGAAGCAGAAAAGACATTTGATATCATGAAGAAAGAACAGCTGAAGCCTACTATTCACACATACACTAACTTAGTACAAGGTTATATTGCACAAATGAACTTGGGCAAGGCAATGGAGACATTCCAGAACTTAATGAAGTCTGGTATTCGACCAGACAGAGCCACATTTAACTTTATGATTGTTGGATTCCTGAATCATGGCCGCTTAAATGATGCATATACCTGCCTAGATCATATGCTTCGAATGAAACTAAGTCCAACAAAAGACACTTGGAAACTACTTTTAGATGACTGTTGCAAATCTAAAGATTGGCAGACAGGTAAAAAAGTGATTGACAAGCTAGATCAAAGTGGATTTGTGATAAAGTCTGATTCATTAAGGCGTTCTTATACCATTGTGAAGAGTCACTATACATAAAATAAAGTTTGATGTGAACTTTTTAGAAGCCCCCCTTTTTTCCCTTTGTCCTCCTATATGCAGTTGGGGGCGATTTTATTTTATTTTATTTTTTTTCTTTCTTTTTTTCTTTTTTTTATCCTTTCTATGAGCTGCCTTATGACAACAGTCAAAGAAAAGAAAGGTTTGTTATTAAGCTTGCCAAACGAATTGGTGATATATATATTTAGAAACTTTCTTGATTTGGCTGACCTTTGGCGACTCTATCAAACCAGTTCTCAGTTAAGATATTTCGCATCTACTGTTATCCAGAGTACTTGGAAGATAGAGACCAGTAGCATAATGAAAGTCCAATGTAGAACAGCCTTGATTCAATTAGAACTATTGGCCAGAACTATCTATTCTACTCGACATCTAAGGCTTTTATTATTACCCAAGAAACAGGATGATGTAGAAGAAGACCTAATGCCCATCCAAGACATTTTGAAACAAGAAACGACGTTACACAACAAAATGATTCATGGTATTGCATCGTACAAACACAAGTATGTCTTAATTGAAGACATTGATATCCGAAATCGAATAAGAACTGCAGTCGATGTCATATTCCATCATGCTGTCTTTACTGTCCGTGACAACCACCGTGCTATGGCTGCTATTATGATTCGCTTACTCGTCAAACTGGATCAAGCATTCCCTTCATACTGTAGGGAAATCACATATACACTAGCAGACAACATTAAAGCATACTTGGAATACACAGGCTATAAACTGTTAGGATTGCATGGTCATACAGACACATTGGAGAGCTTATCCGCTTGCTTTAATTTGATGGGTGCTGCTTTTGTACACAAAGTGTTATCAGACAGCCATATTGATTGTGCCGTACAGAGAGCATGCGAATTACTGGTAGATGCCCAATTCAAGCGTAAATTACTACAAAGCCTACTGGAAGATTGGCTGACGATGAAGCGACAAGTTGGATCTGGTGAGTTGTGTCACTATATTAGAATGGAAATTGAAAAATGCGATCGGCAGATACCACAATTATAATAAAAAATATTTATTAAATATTACATATACATATATCTCTTTTTTTTTTGTTTTTCTGTATAGAATAAGGAGAAAATTAGGACCAACTTTGTGCTGAATGGCCTTGTTGTGCAGATGGTTGATAAAAGTGATTACGAATAATAGGTAAATGAACATTGCTGTTGTTCTCTAACAACTGTCTTTGTTCATAGTCTTGTTGCATGATCATACGCTGTTGTTGTTGGAAATTTGTTTGAGGGTAATACATATTATTATAGTGGCTATTGGGAGACTGTCTAGGGGGGATGACTACAGGTTGCTGAGAATAAGAAGTTGTATCAAAATTGAATTGCATATTGTTTCCTTGTGCTGCAGAAGCAGTCGCTGAAGCCATGATAGCAGTGGTAGTGGTTGATGCTGTTGCTGTTGCTGTTGCTGTTGTTTTTTTTGTTGTTGTTGTTGTCGTGGGATAAGAATAAGCATTGTTTTGTACAGAAAATGCTCTTGCTGTAGTAGAATAATGGTTATTGACCATCATAGAGTCAGGTATGGGTGGTGACTGAAGCATGCTTTCATGCTTGCTATAGCCAGCAAACTCAAGACGTTGATGTATCGATGACGAGGATGGAGAAATAGGTGAAGCCAAATTAAACACATGACCAAATGGAGCTGTTGTTGGTTGAGGAACAGCTGTGATTAAATCATTGAAGGTACGTCTGCTTGGCTGTGAACTAGGCTCAGACAAAGATCTTAATGGCTGAGACCGTACATACATCGTACAGCTAGGAATCATAGCAGATAATCCATCTGTTGTCATTGCTGCCATCTTGCGTTTTTTGGGTGCCGTTTTGACCTCTTGCTGTTCTTTTTTTGTACAAGACCGATGTTGTGCTTTTTGATGAGCTTGATCAATATCTGAATACACTTTTTGTGGTTCTAAATCGACCAACCCGTCCAGCATATGAGGAGGTAATTTGCAGCACTTTCGATAGCTTTCAATCATCTTGATTAAATCGTTTTCTACACACGAAGCCCAGTCTTCATTAGCAGCCACAACAGAGCATAAACGGGTGGATGCCATAATAAGCTTTTGCACGCGTTCCGTGATCTTGGTTGGAACTGAATTTCCATCTTTATAGTCTGGAAATTCGAGTTGAATTATGTCTCGCATGTCGGTGCGGTCAGGATTCTCCGCCAGCAGTTGGTCGATACGAGATTGGATTTTCTTGGGAACAAAGATCCATTCAGTGCGTTCCGTTTGAGCTAGCAAGAGAGAGTCCTTTTCTTGCTGTTCATGGTAGATAGAGACAAGAATAGTCTAAACAGTCATTAGGAACAATGAAATGGACACAACGGTATTTTAAATATACATACGTACTCGATTTGTTTGTAGTGGTTTTTGTTTGATTTGGAAGCCTTGTTTTGAACACAATTCTTGACAAAAATTAATCGCTTCTTTGCTTGAAGTGAATTTATTGTCCATCAAGCATGTATAAGTCTATTTTTCATATTAATTTCATGCCTACTGTTTCTATTGCTTATCTTACACTCATTTGATCTTTGTCTATAAAAAGGGAAGAGAAAAAAAGGGAAAAAAAACTTCTTAAAACAACAAACAATTATATACTTTTTTTCCCCCTTGAAATAAATAAATAAATAAAAGGAGAGGAATTTGTAAACAGAAAAGTAAGGAGCATGTGTGAGAATTCAAGCATTTGCAAAGAAATAGACAATCAATGATACATTTCCCTCCTTTGTGCCTCCTTTTTTTTTATTGACACTGCTCCTTGGTCAGGGAGTCATTTTATTTTGGCGGGCAGTTATATCTGTACTATAAAAGGAAAATTATGAATTCCTCTAATCGATGTTCATAGTAACCATTGCTATGGTAAAAAAGGGGAGGGTGGATTTATAAAAAAGAGGAGGAGAAAGTTAATTAAAGAGGTGGTATCAGATGAGATTGTGTGGTGTGGTGGCTTATCTGGCATTGAATCTTGGTTTTATCCATCTTTTTTCCTTTTTCTCTCTTTAGTATTATGCCACACCTTGAATTACTGGCAACTTTAGAAGGTAAAGTCTATGATATCTATGGATTTGACTGACACTTCTACTAGGCCACCAAGACCGTGTTTGGCAAGCAGCTTGGCACCCAACAAAGACGCTACTTGCTACTTGTTCAGGCGATAAAACAGTCCGTTTATGGCAACCTGCTTCACATGACAACTTTAAAGAATGGCACTGTGTCGAGACACTAGAAGGTGCACATAAACGTACTATTCGTAGTGTTGCTTGGTCTCCCACAGGCAATGAAATAGCCACAGCCAGTTTCGACGCTACGACAGGTATTTGGGAGAACGATCCCCGAGACAACGATTGGGAATGTGTGGCTACTTTAGAAGGTCATGAAAACGAGATCAAGTCTGTCTCTTGGTCTTCTACAGGTGCATTGCTAGCCACATGTAGTCGTGACAAGAGTGTTTGGATTTGGGAAGTAGAATCAGATAACGATTTCGAATGCTTGAGTGTGTTGCAGGAGCATACACAGGATGTCAAAATGGTAGCATGGCATCCTAAATTAGAAATTTTGGCTTCTGCTAGTTATGATGATACTATCAAGATTTGGAAAGAAGATGATGATGACTGGTACTGTGCTGATACGTTAGAGGGACACACTTCTACTGTGTGGTCATTAGATTTTAATGCTGAAGGAGACCAGATTGTCTCTGCCTCTGATGATCAAACATTACGTATCTGGAAGATGTATAAGCCCAACAATTCTCAAGGTATCCCTACACACAATGGTGAAGCTACTTGGAAGTCTATCTGTACATTATCTGGATTCCATGATAGATGTGTTTATTCTGTATCATGGTCAAAAGTAAACAATTACATTGCAAGTGTCAGTGGTGACAACAGCATTCGTATTTTTGAAAAGGTATATATATATATATATATATGTGTGTGTGTGTGTCTTTATTAAATCTATTGCATTCAGGATATAGAAGCTACACAGGATGAAGATTCACCCATCTATAAGAATGTGACATCAACAACCGATGCTCATGGTGTGTATGATATCAATGGTGTTGCATGGTTCCCTAATGAAAAGCATGGTGATTGGTTGTCTACAGTGGGTGACGATGGCCTTGTTCGTATCTGGAGACTTGTTGAATAAAATCACGTAGTGTTCATTTGAGACCATAGTTCATTCAAAAATCCAGAGATTTCGTTTATATGAGTCATGACGCGTTCTTTCTCTTTATCAGATCCTTCGAAACGCTTCATATAACGCGTAACGAACTTGTCTGGATGATATCTGGCTTGCTCTTTACGTACATTCTTTTTGTTTTCTGCTTCTGAGAGTGTAGGATCAATCACAAATTGACGCACTGCTTCTAATGTGAATTCTCTTCCAATCATTGGCCAAGGGACATCCTTTTTGTGTATTGTCTGCAGTGACTCGAGCTTGTTCCATTTCTCAATAAAGGATGCCTTACTAGACTCTTGCTTTCTCTGTGTTTCCAGCTGCTGATACACTCTCTCCAGTCTCTCTTGCTCCTTTCTTGCACGCTCTTTTTCCTGCTTTCTTCTCTCTTTTTCAGCTTTTCGTCGTTCCTTCTCAGCAATCTCGTCTGCATGTTTTCGTCTGTACATGCCATCCACAATGTACTGGCGATATTCTTCATCGTCCATTGTTGGTTGGTGATACGATTCTGTATACTGTGAGTAAAACGGATCTTGTCCTTCATCATCGATCATGGCTTCAAACAAACGTTCTCGCCATGCTTGATCTGGATCGTATTTGGTTGAGGTTGAGGGCGGCACCCAGCCACTTTCTTCTTCATACAGTGTGGGTGGTTTGTAAGGTTTTTCTTTGTGTCTTTTATGGTGGCTATGGCGATGCTTGTCTTTTTTCTTCTTTTTATCATCATCCTTAAATCGCAGCTTAGGCATACTGAAAATAGAGCAAGAGCTGCCTAAAATTAAAATGGAAATTAAATATCAATTAGTTTCATTTCCTGTAGAAGGCAAGTAGAATTCGCAGAGGAGCATATCAAAGTCTGATTGATACATCTGTTCAGAAGGGAAAAAAAAGAGCTCAAGGAGATATTCCCATTAGCTAGCAAAGGCATTTTAAGCATGCTACGAACAGGAATTTTTGGTCATTCTTAATGAGATTACCAAGATAGATTGTTTAGCATCAATAGTATAGAGTTTCTATGACTAATAAACGTTTACTTGTCTTTCGAAAAAGAGACTAACTCAATTTCTTTTATTCATCCCATTTTAAATTGAAATATTTTTCAAATTTGTGGGTAGTGTAGATATGTTCTCCAGAGGCTATTTTTTTCTTCAATTTCCAAAGATTATCGTAAAAAGCATCCATTATTTTGTTGTAATCCTTGATAGATTGTTCTTCCACCGTTTTGCGATCGTATTGAACACCTAAATACATCATGTCTACAGCTGTATCTATCTTTGTATCAAGGATTCTGTACATATTGATGAAGATTTCACTATATTCCCAGCTGTAGACGTAAGCATAAGATGTTGCTGCAGGAAAACGTTTATCAATTCTGAAAGGACATTCTCTTGTTTTGTCGGCATTTCCAACGATTCTGCTGATACGCCTACGTATCATTTTCCTCTCCTCAGGAATTGAAAAGCTCAGCGCTTCTATCGCGGCAACATCTTCATGGAATTTATTTAAGGGATACCAGATAAGTGGTTGCATATAGACCAACAAACGTTCTAGACAATTTTCACTATAAGGCATTTTTTCTATGTGCTTTTACGAATAGAAAAAAAGATTTTTCTGCAATAAAACAGGCATATTTATATCTAAAAAAGATTTCGCATGATTGATTGCTGAGAAATTAATCAATATTGAGTACACCAGGACTATCAACATCACTATCTAACTGAGAGTTAACGCAAAACAAATCAGCTGTCTTTTCATATGGATTTAATAGCATAAAACGCTCCAGATAATTTGAATTGTATAGAAAACAACAAAACTTGTTCATGCTGTTGACCACTAAAAAAAAAATGCTTTTCCTATTCGATCAATAACAATATGTTTATGCACTTTGCTAATATATCCAAGATAAAACGCAACACATTATAGAGAAGAAAAAGCTTTATTTGCAGAGACTATTATTTGGTATACTGTTCTGAATCTCCAGACTCCCAATTAACCTTAAAAACTTCTTCAAATCGAGTACAGTTATAGACATGCTCACCATCGCCAATCTTCATCTTTAGATCCATCAAACTTTTATAAAGGAAGGAAGGAGGAGGCTGGAGATAGGGGCTTGTCCTCTCAAAAGGGGAAACAATGTCTTCTCCTTTTTCTTGGGTTGACTGAAAGCGTTCTAGATTTCCCCATAGTTCAGAAAAGATCTTGATATAGCCTGAAGCGTAAAGATAGACATAAGCTTTGTCACAAGGAAATCTTTTCTCCATATCAAAGAGTGCGTCTTGTTCTTTTTCAGAAAGACCAGCACTAATTTTTTTTATTTTGTCTCTGAGTGAATCGCGAAGGTTGGGCTTATTGAAATCAATGTTTTCCAATTCATAAACGTTCTTTTGTAACTCTTCTACTGGATACCAATTATAGGCTGATTTCAAGCGAGCAATGTTGTAAGAACTGTCTTTAGAGTAAGGCATTTATTGAGTGCTATCTAAAAGTGTTATACAGAAAAAAAAAAAACCAAGATTAAACAAACCTTTTCTTGTTGTCAATAGTAACTTGAATTGAAAAGAAAAGTTTTCATTGCCTTTTTAAAAGTATTTTATAAACAATGATAAATCAATTAGCTGATTTCAACAACTTGAATACTTGGAAAACAACAACAACTTGGATTGACCTGGACACCTTCTCTTGATGTTACAAGAACACAGCTTATTTAAGTAAAAAAAAAATATATATTATTCGAAACACAACGAGTGATAGATTCATTGATTTTTTTTTTTCATCCAAATTCTCTCTAATCCATTTCAAACCAAACCTTCTTTCCAGAATCTTTCGGGTATAAATATGCTCACCTTCACTAATTGCCTTCTTCAACCTGGAAACACTTGCATAAAAGGTACACATATTAGCATTGTAACTGGTCAGCGCTTCCTCATCAGCAAATCAATAAGTATCATGTACACAGTCTGAGAAACTATTCATTGCCATGTATCTGTAGTCAAGTACTTTAAGGAGATCGTACAATGTATCAACATAGATGAGTGCATAAAGATAAACATAGGCTTTTGATGCAGGAAATCTGGTGTTTTCATCGAAAAAAGGTTGATTTTCTTTTACATAATTTCGCATCAATTCTTTGCTTCAAAAGATCAAAAATTCAATGATTCGATCAGGTAAATGTATTCTAACTCTCTCACAGGATACCATGAGAATAAACCTCTCAGGCGACTAAGGATTACGGTGTTTTCTTCACTATATGGCATTTGGAAAATATAAAGGAGAAAGAAAAGCAGTTATTCAAATAAAGCATACATGTATTATTAAAAGAGTGAAAACGTGTTTATTACTAGTAACCATTTGTTATGAACTGAATATTCATACCTGATTTTTTTTATAGATTTCTTGCAAAGATTTGATTCCATTTTTCTTGATGTTGTAATTAAAGATAGTACTTCATGCTTTGTGCCTACAAATATACAGAAAATAACTTTGTCAATAATTTTAAAACTTGTTTGCAACAATATCTAGTATAGTTTAATACACATTGATGATGCATTCTCTGTTGCTTGTTAGCTTTTAACGATATTTTTCTTTTTTAGTGTCTGATATTTTGTTTTTTCGAGCATCATCTTATTCTTGCAAAGTTTTTAGTGAATAGACTTTGTTGTAACACACATACAGTCCAGTCTTGTCTCAAATTTATTGTAAGCAATGCTCTTCATACAGGTCACAATAACTGTAGCAAATAAAAAGAGTAACAGTCTGTTCATTCTACCCCTAAAACAATGTGTTTCGTACTAAAAAGATTGGGTAAGATAAACCCCTTTTTTAAAAAAAGACTCAGCAAGAATTATTAAATTATGATCTAATCTTTACTGCCAAAATGTCAACATTAAAAAGGCTCAAAGAAACTCATGTGCATGTCCACAAACAAAAAAATTAAGTTAAAGTAAATAATGCAACCATCTTAAAAAAAAATAGAAAAAGTATACTGTACTCATCTCATATACATGTATTATCTTTATCATGAATATTCTGTACTTCAATCTAAATCAAACTCATCTTTCTCTTTACAATACATTATTTAGTTCTCAGTAGCTCAATCCTACTGTATTGATAGTCTAGTGCCTCTTACATTTGAACACTTTGCTTTCACATATAAGCTCACTTCAATGACCCACAACCTATGTCTTTGTTACATATTCATCATTTTTGTCTTCTTACCATGAACGTTTTCTTCTTTACGAAGGACTGCATGATTTACACCATTTCTTTCGTGTAACGTAAGACAAATACAATGTAGAAAACGAAAAGTATCGACATTTTCTCGATTTTTTATAACAAATAGGGTCAAATTACGTCGCCACCTTATTTCCATAGCTGATGATCTACGATCTTGTTTACATACGAATGGTCAACTCTTCTTACTTTCTGCTTAAAAACAATACCCTATGCGTCATTTATGCTGATATTAACATAATTCGAAAAGCGCACACATAATCCCCCAGAAAAAACAAAATGCATAAAAAACAGGATAGATTTTTATCTGAAACCTACAGACAATCAACGATGTCAATTCCGCGCACTTTTTTTTTTTGCAGCAAATCGGATCAGCATGGCTTACTTTTATCCGTGATGTTTGTAATTCAAAGCAGCCAAGTATACAATGCCAATGTTCTCGGCAATAAGCTTGCCAAGTTTATCCCAGAAAACGTGGCATTTTGTGTATCCATCTATCTATATAGCTTTGGATTTGATATCCCGCCCTCGTCTAAAAAGGGCAACAAGGATTACGTTTCCTAGACAGAAGCATTACTATACCTTAAAAGAACACACTTACGCTCTCACACCCAGAACCCCTTCTCAAGGTATAGACTACCAAAAAAAAAAAGAAACAATGACAGCATAGGATTTACATCGATCGCTCATTCACATTTATCAAGTTCCATGTTCTGTTCTCTCAGGGGCAAGAATCATCTTGGTCTTCCTTTCTTTTTGGCATTTTCCTCAATATGGAAGTCCACATCAGATACCTAGTATTTGTTTACTGTCATTCCATACGATCGAATCAAAGCCCTTTTTTATCAGATGCAAACCCACCAATAGGAACTGCTGGAAGAAACGAGAACAATGACAGGTGAGCGGAGTTTATAAGTGGCATAAGTGGAATGCCATGATTCTTTAGCTTGAATATGGCTCTATCCTCTTCAATAAGACAAGTATGACATGAGCAGTGTATGCATAGACATCTATGCAAAGATTGGTTTTATTTTGTCAAGCAGGAAAATAGAATTGAGTAAAGGCATCGACGATGGTAAAAATATGAGTCAAAATGTTCGAATCATTACGGAAAGTGTCATGTAGTACAAACTCCTATTTTGAGAATAAAAAAACTATTTTATTAAGCTTCTTCCTCCACAATCCCCCGTCTTACTCGATCATCTTGATTTCGATATGAGACAACCAATCGTCTTTTTCTATGATGAATTGGTTTGTTTAGTTCCGGATTATTTATAGAAGATAAAGAGTTTAATGGCGTTGTCATGGAAACCATAACAGGGAGGCAAAGGACGGAAGGACCACCAATTATGAATCAAAAAGAGTGTTACACGACATCTGAAGGGTGATTATTAATATCCAATAATTGGATTGTTGACCTGATAAAAAAGGAATAAAAAAGCATGTATTTCCCATGAATTTAACCAATAAAGTAAGTAACATCTACATATATAATAAATGACAGGAATCCAATCATCAAAGCAAGATGTACAGAAAAATAGAACCACGTAATATTTCCAAAAGAAGTGTCGGTGGGGTTTTATGTTGAATGTCCGACGCCGAAAAAGAGCGCTGGTTGCCATGGTGACCATCAAACACAAGTCACATTATCAACGCAGTGATGACAAATGTTCGCCCCTTAATCAACCCAAATGAGTATAAATAAAGCTAATTTTTGATCTTTCTTTTTCCATTTTTTTTTTCTGAAAAATTATTTATCACATTTTATTTATTTTCTTTCTAATTACTATGTTTGCTTCATCTTCATACTATAACCCTAATGAATTACCTACTCTTGGTACTTCACCTACCATGAACACACCTTACTTGGATTCATCCATTGACACACCATTTCTTGACAATCATTCATCAGCCGATACTCCGCCATTTTTTGACACTCTGACTGACGTCTCACCTTATTTAATGTATGCATCATTTGGCTTAGCTAATCTGAACATGTATCTCAATAAAGAAGATGATATCTGTGCTCGTTATCTTGAACATCATGAGAACGACATTTCTAAGCTAACGCATGACCCACTCAAGTTTAATGGCGATCCCAATCTCTTATTGCTTGACAAGTCAAAGGCTTCTGTACCCACTCATACTGTCACTAAGCCATCACCTACCTTGAAGCTTGAGACAGTCACTGAAGAAAACTCTGATTCTCTCTTTCCTCCACTCAATTCATCACAGCAGTCTATCAATACTGATGTCAAGTATGAAGACTTGTCTATGGATGAACTCTTGGGATTTGATGCCTCTTCTCCATTAAGCGAAGATATGGGCTCAGAATACGAAGAAGAAGAAGACCAAAAGCAAGAAGTCAAGGAATCTTCACCTGTTAAAGAAGAACAAGTCGGCAAAAAACGAAAAGCATCTACTTCACATGATATCAAGCCTAAAAAGACCAAGACTACCAAGAAGACTTCTGCCAAGAAACCCAAGGAACCCAAGTTACACTACTGTCCTCTCTGTGATCATGTCTCTAAGCGTCGTTATAACCTAGACACTCATATCAAGACACATGACAAGAACAGAATTAAGGAATTTGGTTGTCCCCAATGCCACAAAGCCTTTGACAGACGCCATGATCGAGACCGCCATTTGGCCACTGTTCACCGAGGAGAACGATCTTATGCCTGCTCTCATTGTGCCACTCATTTCAGTAGAAGAGATGCTCTTAACCGTCACTTGGTCCAAAAGCATGAATATGATGAGAATGATTTTATTGAATAATGATGATTTGATTTGGTTTAGCAAGATTTATGGATCCGACTCGCTCCTCCACCAATGATATTGCAAGTCAGGCTTGTGTTCTATTTATGTTATCAATCGCAGTGCTATTTGGATTTTTATGGTTTTCCTTTTTTTCCCTTTTTTTTTTTGGGCAATCGATATATGTGACAAGTCTAAAGTTTGATTTGGACTACATACTGTCTAAACAAGATATTACTTTGTATAATAAACCACCCTTCTCTCTTTTTATTTATTAAAAACGTTGAACAATGACACTGTTTAATAAACCTGCTTCTTTTACCGTTTGATTATTGTCTGTTAATTCTTTAACAGGAAAAGTAGTTTGCAATACATAAGATCTTGTTGTAGGTTGAGATCTATGGATGATTAATCATTATTTTTGTATTAATAAGCAGTACTTACGATTCAATAAATTGACGCACATCAGCAATGGTGTGTGTATGATTCAATTTAGCAATCAATCTATATTATGTAAGTTACGTATATACAATTTTTTTTTCAGTTTACCTTGTGCCATCAGCAAGACGAATTTGAATACTTGTTGTAGGTTGCGATGCATCTACTGTAGGTGCGCTTGCATGCGAATTAGTAGAAGCAGGGAAACTACCAGGTGGAGGAGAAGAAGCAAAAGTAGCAGGACTGCCAAGACGGTTACCAGTGCCAGAGAATGGCTTGGCAGGAGCCTTGGGAGGAGGTGTATAGTCTTCATCTTGGCGCTTTACAACACGGACTTCAACAGGCTGCCCATGTCTGACATTGAGCAATGAAAGAGGAGCACGACTAATAGGCATGAGCTATATGGTAGGACCATCAACTATCTTACCCAGTATTGATAGCATTCAACATTTCTTGGTTAGCAGGATCAGCATAAGCATACAATGGACCATCATCGACACTGAACCCATTGCGCCAGAATGTCAAGTTACGAGTAACCTACTCTATATGAGTCATGCTATGCTACTTGCATGCACTTACAGATTCAGGCTCTTCTTCTTCTTCTTCTTGATCAACAGGTGCTACTGGAGAAGCAGGTTGAACAGCAGTAGAAGGTTCATCTTCACTACCTAGTCTATAGCCAGTACCTGTGTAAGAAGGCTTCTTTTGTGTCTTCTTGGGTGCTTCTTCAGAAGCATGTCCACCTCTGTATATCATTAGCATAGGGCGCATTGTTTGGCTATGACTTACTCAGCTGCCTTTCTTAAGATCTGGTCCACCAAATTGTTGTCACCAGCACGCTTATTGGGTCCTTGAACGACCATACCACTGATATACAAGTCAACTGATAAATGTCATTGAAGACTAGACTTACCTCTTTTCACCACCTGCATATAGATTCTCATGATCTTCATCACTTGAGTCGTCATGTGTATTTGAAGAAGAAAGATCATTCAATGTACGAATCTTGGATCTAGATAGACATGTTAGTTGCTTAGTATGTTCATGCTATCAGAGTCAACATTACGATGTAGTGGGTGCTGGCTTTCTTTTGGCTGGTGTAGTACTTGAACCCACAGTAGTAGGTTGTGTGGGGGCTTGTCTTTGTAACTGAGGAGATGATTGAGCGGGAGGTGTAGTAGCACTACCACCTTCACTGTCATAGAATTGAGTTACTGCGGCCTATAACCATAGATGAGTCTATACGATTAAATCATGGCTTCTGATTTTACCTGTAAATTCCAATCACTCATTTCTAAATAGAATTTAGCTTGAGATTCGTTTGCATATGTCATGCTAACGAACTGAGAAATAAGATCACTATGTTCGCTCATAATATAGAAATAAAAAGAAAAAGCGAAAAATAAAAAGACGCGTATTACGCAAACATGCATTGAATGGCACGATGCGGACATTGAACTATGTCAGATCATTTAACTAAACATTCTATCAAGCTTCATCATTTTACCAAGTAAGCCTATTTTTTTCTCTCTTTCTTTTTCAAACTTGTTTTGAATAAAACCAAAAAAAAAAAAAAAGAAAGCAACATAATGCCCTAACTGTTCTAACAATATGAATGCTATTAAGCGAGTATGTGGCAACAATTTTTACGTTTTTGACCAATACATACGATTTCCAGAAAAAATTTCTTTGGTCTGTGTTGAATATCTTGCTATATTTCAAAAGATGCATTGATTGTTATATACAAAAAAAAAAACAAGGCTTTAGATATGAATACAATGTTCAATAGCAATGATATCTTTTAAGAGTGTCTGTCTCTGTCAAAGAAAAAGGTTGCTAGAGGAAACAATGTGTTTATTCAAAAGAGAATCTAACGTATCTGAGATACTCGAAGCGGAAGCTAAATTGAGTAGCTTTTAATGCACCCATTCAATTTATTTAAATAAATTTTTCTTTTTTTTATTTTTTATTTTTAGAATATCGATGGTAAAATGGCTGTTGATTTAGTGTGCCTTAAGCTTATATTTTAAATAGAATCCTAAAAGTGATGATAGACCCAACGGTCTGAAGTTGACTAGGAACCATTTCTTTCAATTTCCTAATAACAATAGAACAAGCACTTCTAGTCAATCTTCAGTATCGCCTACTTTACCTACTCGTTCACCTTTTCGTATCAGAGATTCTCAACAAGCCAAAGCATCACATGGTAAATTTGTGTAGCTTATGTGTTCAATCTAATGATGGTCTAGGAAACAAGTCGAATTCGAGTTTATTAGATGAACCTATTTATGCTTCTGTTTCTTCTTCTTCATCCTCTTCTAGTTCTGCTACCACAATGGATGATGAACTAACGCACGAATTAGAAAACATATGGAAACTAAAGCAACTGGACACTGCACCTAAACAACAGAAAGTAGATATGAATTCAGAAGACATGTTGATGCAATTACTTGTATCGCATGCTGTGATTGACGCAAAAGAATATCCTATTCTATCCTTTGAAGACTACGAACAATTAAAGCAGGTAAAGTATATTTACTTAAAAGCCTAAATGTAACAACATTAGCACCATACAAAACTCAAGAATAGAATACAACATGCGATAGCCAAGTTACAAGTGGATAAAAAGATTCAAGAAACATCTCATTCATTATCAAATCTGTCTTCTAACAAGAACAGAGAATCTGTCATGATCTTATGGAATGAAGCAGTTCAAGCAGACAAGAAAGTAAAGCAACTCTCTCAACAACTCGATCAACTCAAGGCAGAAGAAATTGAAGCACAGTATCGGATATTACAACATACAGCAGGTATTCTCTGCCTAGGCTTACAGAAACTAGAAAAAAAGACATCGAGTGGAGTCCATACGGATGACATCAAGACACAACAAAAAATACAGCAATTACAGTCTGAATTGGAGACAATCACACATGCTTTAAAATCGATTCTTCTGAATTACAAGATACAGCCAATAACACATTCACCCACACACTTATTATCAATACTGGAAACGCAAGTACATGCTCAATCACAACAGATAGGATTAGCAGACGAAAGACACCATGTAGACATAACAAACCAAAAGAAACTTGAATTTCAATTACGTGTAGCACAAGAAACGTCCAGGGATCTGCAACAACAACAAGCATTGGACACAACCATGCAACACGAATTACAAAAAGAATACGACCAAATTACTCAATTAAAATCCACTATAGCAGAGATGGAAATCAAGGCAAGTCAACTACAGTCTCAATCGACTGTCTTGCAGGACAGAGAAAAGTCGCTCAAGGCAGAAATGGAACAATACCGTGACCAAGTGTTCCAACTGAGAATAGAGAAAGAAAAGCTCGAACGTACTACAAAGCGACACAGTCTCTTGATTGATTTGGGGAATGTAGAAGCTAGATACGAACAACAATCAGAAGAACAAGCACAAGAATACCAAGGCCAGTTAAGGGAGCAGGCTGCTTATCTGGAGAAAATCACACATCAATATGAGGGTTTACGTCAAGAACATGATCAACTCACAGCGACATGCCGTGATTTAGAACATTTGATTCGAGAAAAACAAAAACTGTTAGATGCCAGGGACCTTCAGCTTCAACAATTGGAGGCTGATTTACAGCAAGCAAAGAAACCTTCGCCTAGTCTACATCATGCAGCAGATCAAGAAAGTCTTCAACAACTCCAAGCAATCTTTTCAGAAAAAGAAGCTGCTTGGATTGAACAAAGCGCGGCTATGGAAGCCAATTATGAAGGTATTCTAAGAGAATTCGATCGTTTGACAGGTTCTGCAGTCGAATTCGAGACAGATAAATCCAATTATGAGCGACGTATTGAACAACTCACACAAGAAGTCAAAGAACTCGAAGCAACCTTGACAGAAGAAAAGACAAAGCATTTGGGCTATGGTCAAGATACAGCCACCACAGCTACGCTTCGTAAAGAGTTCCGCAAGATGATCAATGAAATGAAGGCAGATCATGAACGTACATTAGCTCGAGAAGCAGAAGAAAAGAAACGACTTGAGAAACAACTCAAGGACCTCAAACATGAAAGAGACATGTCACGCTATGAGCGTATAAACAAAGGTGTGCAAACACTTTTTATGGCTTAAGATAATAAATAACTACATCATCATTCTATTCGCATTATTTGCAGTATGACTGCTTGAACTAGGTGTTGCTAATGTGGCTGCTGTTGGTGGTGTTGTTGTTGTTGTTACCGGTGTTACTGTTGTCTGTGGTGGTTGAGATCGTTCTTCAATAGCATCCCAAGATAAAGTCCATTCTCTTTTCACCTTCTGCCATGTTGTGGGATCAAAAAACACATACACACCACGATCTAAAGCATTGGGTGACGTCCTTCGGAAAGCCTGGACAGGTCTACCATTCTCGTCTGTTTCTTTTGTTAACCACAACCCTAATTCCTTGTGATAACGCCAATTACGAGCATATCTAAAACAGAACTATCAATGTATGTTGTACACATCTATAGATACTTACAGTTCCTGAGCTGCTGCCTCCTGGGCAACATCCTTTGGCATGCAATAAAACACATAAAACAGAATTTCGTCAGAAAACGTTCTCATGCGTTGATGAGCTGGTGGTGTTGCCTGAACATTACGGTAGCAAGCAGGTAAATAATAACCTGGTTCAACATTTAAACCTGGCAATGTTTGTGTATCTGACCAAGGTGATATAAATGTTGAATATATAGAACTAAGGCATGTCAATGAGATACCCCCTCTTCACTGGACTTTAGACTTACTCGGCTGTATTCAAATCTAATCCAAGTGTCGTCAAGTCACTGCCTAGTGCCAACATACTACGATCAGGATCGGTCATACGAATCACACCTAAAAGTCCCAGTAGTCCGTATGGATCTGTTGACTTGGCATCGTTGGCTTCATCCTGTTGTTGTTTTCTGGTCTAGAAAAAAAATGAATACAAGGAACGCGTAATGCCATCGACTTACCCAAGAATCAGCGCTACCAGATGGTGCCGTTGCTTTTTCCGGAAAAGGTTTACCTATAGCCTTCATCAATACCATAAAAAAATTGATAGGTTTTACCTTGTGGTTGACTGTCCCGTAAGTTGGCATAATCCAACCATTGTTCTGGCTTGCCTGTACTACTAACAGATTCACGTCCTATCGCATTATCAAAAGGTGTGGCTGAGCTACGCAAAGCAGGGAACTCGTCCATGGAAAATGATCTCGGTGGGTTATTGGCAAAATTGGTTCTGTTGAATGCCAGATTGTTCTTCAAGTCTTCCAGGTCATTGCCTTGTTGAAAACCATGGTTGCCAGCTGTAGAAGCATAGCTTGTACCAAGTCGACTATTCATGTTTCTAGTAGGTGGTGTCCCTAAGGCTGGAAATTCGTTCAAGTCAGCTGTTGTGTTTGGACGGAACATTGTATGATGGTCTACTGAAGATGAGAAGAACAGAAAATAAAAAAAAGATTTTAAATCAAATCGTTTAGGTGACGTGAGCGTCCTATTTGTCTGAGATTCAAAATTAAAATTAAGTTGACATTTTTTTTTTGAATTTTGCTTCTCTTTTTCATTTTATTCACCCTGGACCATGGCTTCGAACAGTGTCTATCTCTTTCGTCATATACAAACAAAGCAAATTCTTGTTAGCTTAAAGCCCAACATGAAGGTAAGATAGTGATTCAAATAAACATGTATTGACGATCGAGTAGTCTAAAGTATTGAATCAACTTGCTTCCACACAACGTCCTGTCGCTTTAAGAAAAGATCTATGGCGTCCCTTGGTTGCTTTGACAGGCTTCCAAACACCTCAAACAGCACAGGCAGTATCAGACGCTTTTTTGCAACGTTCAAAGACCCGTCAACTCGATATGGCTACTAGTCCTGAACACCTTGCTAGACCTAAACGCTTGAGAGTGGTGGATGAAAAGGACTTGATTGAAAAATCAGTTATGTCACTATGTGAATCTTTAGAAGCAGTAGCCAAGCATGAGACTCAGGTATTGGCTCTTTGGGAGCAACCTCAGTTTATGGAATTGAAGGGGGATGCTGAATGGCCAGCATTTTTACAGCATGGACAATTAGAATTAAGAAATAACCGATTCGTAAAGGAAAATGTAGCATAAACTAGAAAAGACAATAAAGACATCTATATACATCCCCTAAACTAACAGAAAGAGTGGCTTACTGCAGGGTTCAGAAAAAAAGAGAGAGAGAAACTCCGTTTGTAGTGTTTATTTTTTTTTGACATGTAACGCGATATCGTTTTCTCTCTTTTTTTTTATTTTTCTATTGTTCATCACCATGTCGAATAAACAAGGATCTGCTCGAGATTATGTTCAATCTTATGTTCAGGAATCTTCTCTAAAGGATGACTATTTAAAAACCGAGCAACCCCGTTACGATCCCAGTAAACCTATCCCAACAGCACCCCATCATGAGCCACAAGAACAACAACAACAACAACAACAACAAGACAGCACAAGCTTTAATATCCATTTACCTACACAGAACCCCATGCCTTCTGGTGAATATGATTCAGATAGCGTACAAGAAAGACCTCAATTGACTTTGACACCGAGTGATTTTAAAGAACAACGTAAAGATATTCATGAGACAGCACTTACTGTCTGTGTAGATTTGCATGAGAACCTCTTGAGTTGTTTTCAACATGGTAGTTGGTGGGATAAAGCTAAAATGTGTGAAGAACAAAAACAAAAGTTCTGGCATTGTTATAACAATCAAAAGGTATAAATGACATAAATGAAAAAAAGAAAGAAAGAGTGACTTAGTATGCATATCATAGCGTTTCTTGAAAGATGTCAATTACAAGAGTCCTCTTAACACAAAAGAACAAGATGATCATATTTTAGTAGCAGCCTATCAACTGCGTAATAAGATGGATAAAGAATAAATTTGAGCCTTATTTTTTTTTTTAAAAAAAAAAAATCCGCTCTCTTTTTTTTTTGCTGTATTTCTAATCATTTGTCAGCCCATGTTTATATATATAAGCAATAGATTGTAACCTCAAATTGTATTACAACATGTCTACTCGCTTACCTGTTTTCTTCATTTCTCATGGTGGTCCTAATTTATTAGAAGACCAAGCAAAACCTGGTAAATTCTATTCATGGTTTGGCAAATACCTCCAAGCATTAAAGCCAAAGGGTATTGTGATTATTAGTGCCCATTGGCAAGGACATGGTCACAGTGGTATTTATGGTAATACAATATTATCTTATATATATAGGCTAATGGTCTTGTTTAGTTGACACTTCTGAAAAGCCTAAATTAATTTATGATTTCTACAACTTTCCCAGACATTATTATCAACAACAATGGGACCATCAAGGATCTCCTGCTCTTGCTGACCGTGTCTTGAGCTTATTGAACCATGCTGGTGTTGCTGAAGCAAAAGGCAAGAAATATGGTAATGATCATGGTGTTTGGGTTCCTTTAAAGCGTGCCATGGAATCCAATCCAGACATACCTATTGTAGAAGTATCTACTTTTGAACATGAAGATATGGACATGCATGTCAAAATGGGTGAAGCATTGGCCCCTTTAAGGTAATAGAATTATATTACGGATACAATATATCTCATGAATGTATAGAGAAGATGGTATTGTCATCATTGGCAGTGGTAGTGCTGTTCATAATTTATCTACACTCTGGACATATGGCGATAAACCTTCTCCCAAGTATGTGGTTGATTTCGATAAGGATTTACAAGACATTGCTTGTCGATATGTTGGTAAAGAACGTTGTGAGAAAGCCATTCAGTTAGATCAACATACTGCCTTTAGAAGATGTCATCCTACAGCTGAGGTGTGTTAGAAAAAAAAAATATCGTTTGACTAATTATAGTAGCATCTTGTTCCTTTTCATGTAGCTGTAGGCGCTGCTGGTGAAGATAAGGGAAGAAAGTTGATTACAGACTTTTTTTCTACCATTAGCTGGGGATGCTTTGGATTTGGTTTACCTCAAGACGTTGTCCTTCCTGAATATAATTAAAGTTTATTTAAGCATTAAAGTTACAAACAACAGCATAAGTTTGATCATCAATCACTGCTTCCACACGAAGTTCCACTTCACCAAAATACATCTGAAAACATGAGTTTAGCATTAATAGAAAAATATATAAAAAAAAAAATCTTACCTTGATAGTCAAAGGAACAGGATCACCGTGTCTTACGTTAGGCAAGACCGGCATAGGAATTTCAAAATCAAACACTTTTCGTACATTGACTGTGGGGGTTGAAATGGTATATCTTGGTTCAGTCTCACTATCAGAAGCATAGAATGTACAAGCAGTGTGGCTTGGGTAATAAGTGGTATAATTACGTGAAATACAGCTATCAATATCTAGGATAGGATGAGCAACCCATGTAACATATATGTCATTACCTAAGGGTTTTCCACGTTCTACATAGGTAGAAAATCGATTATCACAACGTATACTTCCGTCTGGTCTTGTCACTTTATATTCAGGAGGATCAATGGCAGGATCAAATATGTTGGTGATCTCAATCCCGTACCAGAAACGAGGAATACGGGTAGCCACTTTGTTTGGGTGCATACCGAAAATAACAGCACCACGAGCCACAGCCATTTCTATTGCCCATGAATAAGAAAAAAAAAAGGACTAAATGTCTATGTCAAGTTACCTGGTCGATCAGGTTGAACAATACGAATGTTTTGAGGAGCAAATTCCTTTTCCATCTCTGTATAGAGATAAGAAGATGCACCAAACCCACCCACCATAAAAATGGCCTTGAGATTCGTTGTGTCCTTTTGAAGATCGCGACAGAGTTGGACTACTTCTGATACAACAGGATCAAAGACATGTTTCTTCAATTCTTCTTTAGTGAATGTCATGTTGCCTTCATCTAGTCCAATGGAAGGCTCTGTTTTTGTAATCAAATCGAATCCCATAGAGATATCAGAATAAAGATCGTCTGTACCATCAAACAATGGCTTCAAGTTATCTAAATAAAATATAAATAAGTTGCCTTGTTATTTTGATAGTCATCTTACTTACCTACAAAGATATCCATCATATGGTCTAAAGGAGCATCTGGGATCTCAATGGTTCCATTAGGTGAACGACGAACGACTTTCTTGAGCTTTTTTCTCAAGTGCTTTCTAAAGTTTCGATCGATAAAAGTCGAACCACACGATTTACCAATGCCTTTCGTACTTTCTCTAAACTTGCGATTACCATTGGCATCCATTTCAACACGAAAGACAATCAAGTCGACAGTACCACCACCTGCATCACAAATCATAAACTCATCACCATGTTGCATGTTGAATTTATCGCATGTCTTTTCACAATAGAGAGCGGCTGCCTCAGGTTCGGAAATCAACATGAGTCTATCGCGATGGTCTGTTGCTTGAATCAAGCCTGATTGAATGGCGGCATCTCGCATGATTTGTTTTGATTTATCTGACCACATAGCAGGCACCTACCACTTGATGTTAGTTTTTTTTTTTTTTTCTTTCTTTGGGTATATTGTCATTACAGTCAAACAAAACCGAGCTTGTTTCTCAAATCCCTGATGAAATCCCTTTTTCGTCATGTCTATCTTGACATAACTAAAAAACTTTTCAAGATAGTCTAATTTCTTTGTTCAATATATCAAGCAAGCTCATACCTTGTCTCTTACCTGCAATAATGTCGGTGGCTGTCAAATCAAGAGGCAATTGCCTTACAACACCTTCAAGACTATCATCCAGATAGAGCTTGAATTGTTGCAGTACAGTCACATTTGGTAATTTCGATTTACTGGCTTTTGCTGATCGACCCCATTGAATCAATTTCTAGAGGTACGTCAATCAACCATGTAGATATAAACAAAATGACTTACACTATTATCTCTATTGTAAAGCTTTTTGATTTCATAAGAAAGAACTGTTATGTCTTATCAAAAGAATATGGTATCAACTTACACAAATAGTAGGACACTAGAAAATCAGATTAAAATACATGTCGAAACATGGTTTTCTTACCTTGGGATAACTGTAATCGGGTTGACCCGGCCTAAAAGAGAATAACCTGGTTTATATGAATCCAAGGTATATGGTACATACCATTTACTGATATCTGTAATCTCATTATCATTCATATATGCATAGGAAGCACCTGAAAAAGTGGTACCTGAAACGTCAAAAGATGTATTAGTAACAGCTCTATTTTTCTATTTTAGGACAATACCAAAGTCAATACCAATCACAATTGGAAAGTCTTTGTCAGGGAAAGGAGCAACCATGAAGAAAAGAAAGGAGAACGAAGGGAAAGAAAAGAAGAAATAAATAGGTTGTACATCATTTAGTCTTAGCCACAAACTTGTTGGTGTAACTTGACTTTCTCAAATCACAAAAGTTGTGAATAAGTTCACTTGGTTTGAATTGACAGGAATGGTAATGCTTTCTTTAAACCCAAAGAAAAACAAATTCAATACTGAGACAACTTTGTATTTTTGTAATTTTTTTAAAGGTTACGTCTAAAGCGTACATTCGACATATAGCTTTAAAGAAAATAGGAAGTATCCAGATTTGTGTCAATCTAAACAGAGAGAGAACATAGTATCAAAAATGTGATATAAAGCCTATATATACACTCACAAGTACTCCAAATGCCTACAAATCATGTTCAATAACATCCGTGATACTTTTGGAGTTGACTTGGATCGAAAAAAGCAATTTGTAAAATTTGACCAAAATGACATTCGCGTAAAAACGTTTTCTTTACATTTGCGCTGGTATCACCTCGCATATTGGCTGTCTTTTTCTGTTTTGCGAGCATCATCCTCTTGTAGAATGACTATACAACAATCTCTTGGTTTTCTGAATATAAGTAATTATATATCTACATCCATTAACTTCCTCCCCCTTCTTTTTATGCATTCATTCTTTTTTTCATTAGAAAAAAGAAACAGAATCACGATAGTCATCATTGCCTTTCTCCTGCCTTTTTCATCATATCTATCCTTATCCTTATCCTTATCCTTATATTGTCATTCTCCGCAATTTCTATTTATTTGCGGACAGTGCTCAAATGGAATAATAATTGAAACATTTTTGCATGCTAAGATATCATTTTGAAGTAAAATACTGAAAAAAGATAGCAAAGGTTTCTTTTTTTTTTATTGGCATAGGCTCTGATATATTCGCGATCAATGAAAACTGCATACATAGGTGTGCGTTCAGATAGTGTCCAAACTTGTATGCTTTTTACCTATAGAACCTCAAAATATCCATTTGCCATTCTGTTACAAGTGGCTGTTGCTTTTCAAGCGTTCAAGATACATATTGGGAAATCATAGGTGAGCTATCTGAAATACTGCGTTTCTTTACTGATCTTGTTTGATTGAAATAAGTTGGGAGGACGGAGTTGAGAGTTTGTCTAACTTTTAAATGAACAGTTTACTTTAAATAAACACCATTGAAAACTGTTCGTTTAAGATATAAGACAATATTTTATTGATAAGAAACTAAGATGTTCACATTAAAAGAAAATCTCAATTAAGTATATATATATATATATGGAAAGAGAAGTTGGACCATTTGATAAAAGGTTGATCAAAGTAATTTATAAGAGCGCGCCTGACGTGAATCGATCAGATCGCAACACTATGTCTCTGACTGTTTCATCATCAGTACATCTACCCCTTTTTTATGCGCAGGCAACAAGTGACTCTAACTTCTCATAGCCAGGCATATCGAACTGATACAAACAGTTTATAACGATGCTTCTTAGCTTTTGCGATAAGATCTAGCAAGATTCCTTTTTAAAGCCAATGAGTGCTGTGATGACTCTACAGCGTACGTGCTCAAGCAAGTTTAACAGAAATGTTTCTGTCTTTAGGATTGATTGCATTCAACATGGCATGCTATGGTACTTTTTTTTTTCTTTGCTTATTCTGATCAATTTAGCCCTTGCCTATGTATTTTATTTGTTAGAGGCACTTGTGATAAAAGCACTGTGGAAAAGCAAACAGGTCAAGTGATATTTGTACCTCAAAGCATTATTCTTCAATAGCTTCAATTATGCAGAGTCAACTTTCTTTCTTTTATTTACAAGGATCAGCGCATCAGGTACTTGATTCATCCTGTGTTTTCACTTTTATTTTGTTAACTAGAAAAGGGACATAAAAATCAACCGTCAACACAACTCAAGTTCAACATGAATCCACACACACAAATTGTCTTTAAAGAGACTGTAGTATAAATGGTATATATATATATATATATTTGTATATTCAAATCTAATGAGAACTAATGGGTCCAGAGAAATGACCATTAAGTTCTTGTCGAACATGTTGATATTCTTCACCACCAAAACTAAAGAAAAAGTCAGCACAAACCATCATTGCTTCTAATTATTTATAATCTTACCTTTCCCAAAGAAAATTTGTGAGTAAATAGTATACGTTTTGGTTAGCATTGTGGTATTGTATAGGATGACTATTGTCTGTGTAAAACTGTACTTGGTAATTATGAACATTAGCTTGCGTCAACTTATCTACCAAGACAGCTGCATTTTGAAAATGAACTAGTATGCCATGTTAACAAGCTTGCAGGCTATATGTGTGTACTTGCCATTATCATCACCCGTGCCATGTACAAGTAAATAACGTGTGTTCTCAAATCCAGTCATATTGTTGACGGCACTCTGTATGTATCCTTCAGGGTTCAATTCAGGTGTAGACATATATCTTTCTGTATAGACAGAGTCATAAAATCGCCAGTCTGTCACAGGAGCCACAGCCATTCCTGCTGCATAAAGACCACTGTTGGCTTCAATAACTTTGGAAGCCATATAACCACCATAAGACTATCAAGATTAGATATAGAATGGCTCTTTATTTTCCTTACCCATCCCCAAATAGCAATCCGTGATGGATCGACGTATTCTAATGATGCCCAATGTCTGGCTGCATTGATTTGATCAATCGTCTCTAATTCACCTAATCTTTCTCTGACACCGGAGCGATACTTTCTTCCTTTAAACCCAGTGCCTCTGCCATCCACCTATGTCCACAGTCAATATTATACATATAGAATAGTCAAATACTTACAGTGACAATAATGTACCCTAATTTACTAGCTAAAAAGGTACTCCAAGACAATTCAAATTGATACGAAGCCAACTGTGATCCAGGCCCACCATAGACATGGAACAAGACAGGGTATTTCTTGGTAGCATCAAAGTCAGGCGGCAATACTTCCATCGCATCCATATCAATACCACCACTCTTGACAGACACCATACGTGTTCGAGGTAGTTCATATTCAGACAACACATCTCGCAGCGGTTGATTGTCCTGCAATACCAACTCAAATGAGCTATTGTCAATCTTTTTGACGACCGTCGTAGGAATATCAGGACCTTCGTATTGTAACACATAGTAGCCATATTGAGGTGAGAAACTGGCATCATAATACGCATGCACCTCTTCATCGTCAGCGCACGTTAAGCATAGTTTTGTTCGAATAGGTTTTGAATGGTTTAATTGAATACTGTACAAGTGACGTTCAAGGTGCGATTTTTCAGTCGAGATATAATGAACCAACTGTCTTGTCTTGTCAACCACCACACTGCCAGACACAACTTCCCATTTTCCTGATGTCAACCAATGAGGCGAGCGTGGCTTTGTATCTGTGGCTCTCAAAATAGCCAGATGCATAAACCCTTTTCCATCATCAATCACATCTAAATAACGTACGACTGAATCATTGGCTTTCTTGTTTGGAATAAAGACCATGGTTTGTGCTAAATCAACCCATCCACCATCATTGGGTTTATAAGTACGTGCTAACTGAATGCTGCTCTGTGTCAGGTTGGGTGATAGACTGACGAGGTGAGTCAGTTCAGTATCTTGAATGCGATTTGTTTGTTTGAATAAAAGATGTGTATGTGTCTCTGTTGCCCAAACAACATCTGTGATAAGACGGTCTGTTTCTGGAAAACCCTGCGTCGTGTTCAGTACATCACTATGAGTGATCATGAAGGTTGTATTGGTCGGTAATGAATGTACATGAAGTGATACAAGTGGGTTGGGTGATCCAGCCTAGTCAACATTTATAGATAAATATATATGTATAGCTTCTAATGAAATGTTACCTTGGGATATCTTATCGATGTTTCATCAGGATAACTGTTGTTCGATGCAGTATAATATTGCATATGATATTCAGGTACAGCTGTTTCATTGAATCTCAAATAAGCAAGGTGAGTTGCATCAGGGGACCACCAAACAGCATAGTTTTTACTAAACACTTCTTCTTCATATACCCAATCAGGCACACCATTAAAGATAGTAGAAGATCCATCAAAGGTAATACGCGTTGTGTTTTGTAAATCAGTAACAAATAAATCATTGCCAAGTACATAGGCCTATTTTAATTATTTTTAGATAAATTAAATATATCAATGTATTACCAATTGATGTCCTTGAGGACTCCAGACTGCATAAGAAACCATGGGTGTATTATTGACTGTGGCAAGAGGATGCAGAGGGAATAAAGTCTTGTTGCTGACATGGTAAACATACATGTTGGCATAGGACGAATATCGCCACAACTACACAACTCGTTAAATACTAGAAATTAAGTTTATGTTTGTCTTACCTTGGTTACATTTGTCTTGAACAGGATATATTGTGCATCTTGTGATATTTCAAATCCTTCAACCTCTAATTGACCTTCATTGATAGACTACATGCAAAATAAGTTGGCTATATCACAGTATAAAGTGATATTTACTAGGTCTGTTGCATTCACTAATATCCCAGCGACTCCTCCTTCAATTGACTGTAAGATAATATCGTTTGTTGTCGGGCTTCGATAACTAAATACACCATCTCGAAGATCTACAGATAAATTAGAAGACCCACTTGACCTTTATATATGAACATTACCATGCTTGACCCATTCAAGTGAAGGCCTTCGAGTAGCAAATGATATATTATACAAATCTGGTAAATCAATATGCTTTTTAACAGAAGATTGTTCCTCAGCCTCTGTCACTTGAAAATAAGATCTGTCAATATCGTTTTCTCTCTCTCTCTCTCTCGCTATAGAATGATTTACCTGGTCCCATTTGACTTAGACCAATGGTCCATATCAGCCAAAATGTAAAAATAAGTAAAAGAAAAGCCATACATATCCATTTATTGCAGGTTGTGGTTTTCTTTGTTTTTTAGTTTTTATCGTCAAGAATGTACATCCAACTTACAGTTTTTTTGCCAATCACATCGTTTGCTTCTTCTTCAATATCTCTACTTAAAAAAGGAGTACTGTCTTCCTCTTCTTCTTCTTCTTTTTGATAATTGGATGTTCTATGGATGGAACTTGTACTTGAATTACTACTTTCACTAATATCGTCGTTGTCTAAAATATGACTTAAACTGTTTCTACTGTCCATGAATGACATAAGTGGTTCCAAGTTGATAACCTGTGATAGTTCATATTGTGGTGGTGGTGGTGAAGGTTTAGAGCGAGTTAGAAATGAAAAAGTCATAAAAAAAAAGAACAAGAAAGAAAAGAACGAAAACTCTATTTATTTTACCTGCTCTTAATCCGACTCGAAAAAAAAAGAAAAAAGAAAAAAAAAGATGCAATAAAATATATAAAGACAGCGCGTTTAAATACTTTCCCCCTTTTTTCTTTAATTGACTCATGCTTATATCCTAAAAGGAGTAAGAAAAGAAAGGAGTTGCATTAATCTGGATCTAAAATGAGTGTAATTTCACTTGAATGCAACTTGTCAATCGACCATGGCCAGTATCCATACTAAATGTCTCTACATCTTTCAATCAATGTCAGTATCCATACCAATCAAAAACAGAATTACCATCATGAATGCCTATGTTTCGGTCTTGTAAAATGGTTACTATGGAAACGATATCAACCACCGCATTATCCATGCCAACCACAGTCACTGTATCAAAGACACGTAGAGATCTGTCAATCTAAACAGTCATCAGCATCACTCTCTCTCTCTGTAATACAAAGTATTACCCAATCAATATATCGCTCATAACCATGCTCCAATGGACGTTGATCCACACTCTGTCTTCTAGATACAGCGGACGTCACATGAGAATCCAGTCGATACACTGGATCAATAGCTGCTTCAATCGTAATAAACTTGGCTTCTTGTCCAAACAGATCTGTTGGACTAGTCTGCTGTAAAGACCTTCGTCGCCCACGGTTATTTGGCTTTTTAGGATGACTCACCTGCGAGTCTTTTTTCTTGTTGGTTTTCTCTTTTGGCTTTGCGTCTAGTTTGTCTTTTGGCTTTGTGTCTAGTTTTGTGTCTGACTTGCTTTTAGGTTCTCTTTTGGTCTGTGTTTGCTTGTTGTGTACTGGTTTTTTTGTTGGTTTGGAATCATTAAATTTTTTGTTTTGCCGAGCATTCTGTTTGACATTGTCTGTTGCTTCAGGTGATAATATAGCAGACAAGGGTGTAAAGTCATGAGCTAAAGGGTTAAGCATGATAGAATAAATAAATAAATAAAAGTAAAAAAAAAAAAAAAAAGGAAGCTACATAACTGCGCACATTCAATTATTTAACTTTATTATGATTCTAATAGATGCCTGGAACAATACGATACTTTACGATAGAACAATAACGCTCCCAATCTTTACCATACTTTTGACGGCACTTTTGTTCATCTCTTCTCTCGCGATGAATCAACAACACAGCAAAATAAATGCAATAAAAGTAAGGAATTATCGACCCAAATCCACAAGGCAAGCACCAAGCAACCGACATCAGCCAATCACCCAAATAATTAATATGGCGCGCTTGTCCCCACCATCCTGACGTGATCAAACGTGTTCCTGCCTCTGTCTCTAAATAAGACAAGCCAGCCAGTTTGGGATCCTGAGGGTTTTTTCGGAAAGCATCTTTTTGTGTATTAGCCGATCGAAAGATATAATAGCCCACACATTGAAGTGCCACAATCGCACTCAGATGAGGCCAGCTTAGGTCAACAGGATAATCACACAGATAACGTGCCTGAAGACTGTACATCATAGGTACCCAACACAAATTACCAAAGGCCAACATGAATCCAAATCCGTCTGTGGTGATGTCCATGGTGGTCAAGATACTGGATTCATTGATCAAGGCGTCAATCACATACCAGCCTTGGAATACATTGACCAAGATCATCGAGTACGTGATGCGGCCTAATTCAACCCACTGACAGACAGCGAAACATATGTTGAGGGCGAGCCACATCATTAAACCAGGTCTCAGTTCAGTAAAGAACTTGATATCGAATTGACCCACACGAGGGTTTAATTCACGACCAATCATGAACTACAATAAGAGTGAGTCAGACGCATGATGCCATGAGGAGGAAGAGGGGAAACACTTACATCATAGATGGGATTGCCTGTATTTCCTCCTAAAGCCAGCATTTTATGACCATAAAAACTGCTGACATAGACAGCGATGGACACCAAAAAAGAAAACACAACAGAGACTAAAGCAATGTCTGCAAAATGAGCTCTTGTCCATAAGAACAATGCCCATCCTTGTCCACGCAATGCCATGACCGCGATCATGACAAGGGATTGAAGTGTTGCCATGGCTGCAGCATATCAATAAAAGGGTATCAAACACTATATGGAACGTACCGTTAATTTTATATTTCAGTCGAGAACCATCACGCAATGGCACACCTTCTACTTCTTCACCAGGCATGGCGATCGAATACACCACCAATTGTAACACAAACCCAAGATACCAAATAGCAGCACCATAATGCCATTGTTGGAGCGTATGTTGAATGGTTTGTATATCCATCTGCTTGGCAAACTCAAATGTACGTTGAAATGGATGATAACCAAACGTAGGATCTGATCCATACGCGAACATCAGTACAAGCGTAGGCAAACATACGATCATGGCTAAAGCACCCAACACGCCACCAAATCTAGTCCATCATCCATCAGCTTGTTTCGTGTAGTGAATATACTTACTCATAGTGAGTGGTGATAGGATTCAACAGAACAGGGTGATGTGTTCTTGTTACTTTTCTGGTACGTGTTGTCTTTGTTGTCTTTGTGATCTTTTGCATCTTGATCTCTTTTTGCTCTTTCTTTTGAGCAGCACGACGAGCAGCACGATTAGGCGGAGGTGAGTTTTCATTTATGTCTGTGTCTGTATCTTGTTTATTTGCAGCAGAGCGTGTTTGAACCATATTAAAGAAGAAGAAGAACAACAAAAAATATATCCGTCATCATGACCGCATTTTATTATTATTATTTTACAGTCGATCTTACATAAAATAAATTATAAGCTGCTCTTGTAAGCACTTTGGAAGGATCACAGACAGAGAATCGAGAATCATCAAAATTATGCCATTCGCTTTTATAGCCATTACGAACACAGGCTGTATAATGGCCACCTGTCAATGAACCATAATGATTCTAATCAAGTCAGAAAATAGGTTGTGTACCCCTATCCCACTTACCGAGACAGCATAGAGATCATAGCGAAATGTTGTTGATTTCTCAGGTGGTTGTTGAAACATAGAAGACGGTATATAACTCGACAGGTCCAGTCCACTACTCTATGAGTGAATTCAGTTTGCTTGAGTCATACTTACATCATGGGTGATTCCACATTGGTCTCTAGTTTGTCTTTAAAGGGTCCATCATAAGAGAATCGCTTGAGATGGATCAACAAGACATCAGGTAACTTGGACAGTGTCAATGCTTTACTAGCACGACGAAGTGTTTTACACTTGGGACAATGCCATGCATCATCACCCTCTAAGATTTCTTGTTGTACAAAATAATCCAAGCATTGATAGATCGAAACACTGGAGGGACCTGTACGTTGAGCAGGAATAGGCAACGACAAGGACATGAATGCATTATACGTTGTGGAAGTCTATTGAACAATGAGTAAAGACATATAGACAGTCATCAAACTTACAGCATGACACGTAAGACAAGTGAGTCGAGATCGATATTGTCCTTGAAACAGACTGACGACAATACTTGAATTTCGCTCCAAATACCGTTCCCAAGCAACAGCACTTGCTTGCCAATCCGGCAAAGATTCAAACCAGGCTTCATCCTCTTCTACAGGACTTGGCTTCTTGATGACTAAATTACAGTCTTCATGAATTCCATCCAACAAGAAATTCAGAAATTCTTGTGAATCATGTTGTTCACTCCCTTTAAATTGGGGTGCAAATCGAATCAGGGCTTCACGGAAATCCACAGGTGAAATGAAATTGTAGTTTTCACTCCACATCGTACGTAGCAAATCAGCAAATCCTTCAGCCAGAACACCCCCTGTGCCTAGAAAGTTATGTTTGTTGATATGTTGACGAAACATGCCCGAGATAAAATAACGAGCAAAAGGAATGGTGCCACTAAGGCATTGAATGATTGAGTTCATAAAGCATGTATTGCCTAGGTTCTTGAGGCCTGTGGTGCCAATCATCACATGACCTACTTGAGAAAACGCATTGTCTGAGACAGGTGCTGTACGGTGCAAATCAGGTGAGATAGGCTTAGGTGGCAAAGGAGGTGGTTTAGCAGGTGAAGGTGGTATATCAAACTGTTGATTGGTGGTGGTTGTAAATCCATAATAAGGATTATCAATAAATGTCTTTTTACGACTGAGCTTGGTCGTATTGGGTTGAGTATGAGGTATAGGCATGCGAATCGGTTGATCTGCAGGTGGCTGATAGAGTGTATGGCTAAAAATACCTTGCAATGGAGGTGTGGATTGACTCATGGATTCTTTGCGTTCATTCGTATGAGGGTAACTAAAATAGTCGTAAATGGTATGGTGCACTTTGACAGGTGTAGGTGTACCCACCACCTCTTGTAACCAATGCTTCTTATGTGACATGGTCGTCTGTTCTGGTGCAGAACAAAAGATGCCCTTGTCACCAATCACTGATTTCCAAGCATCAAATCCACCTGCCAACATGATGGGTGCACGCTGCAGTACCTTATTGAATTCCATCTCATAAATCGCCTGTCTTAGATGACTCAAGATAGGTGTTTGAATCGACTGTGAGTGTTGATCATAATAGACAATCAGATCAAAATGATGACGACCGGCAAATATCTTTTGTTCTGCCTCTGGATTCAACACAAGGGAGGATTCTATCTTTGAAGAAGACACACTAGACAACGAATAAGATCGTATAGAGTTGAATTCAACTTACTCTTGATTTAAGACCAAGGGTTCAATTTGTGCAATCCAGGTATGTTTAATGCATCCTTGATCAAATACTTGACGAGGTCTTACATCCAGAATTAACACACTGGGTTGTATATCAGGTGTCTTTACAATCCATGAAGCCAACTGTCTAGGATCGACGATCAACATAGGTGGTATATGGAGACCTTTATTTGGTGTAGGCAATTGGATTGGCTGAAGCGTGGGTTCCGGTTCGGGCATCTTCATAAAAGAAGGTGTGGTAGGTGGTGAAACAAGTTTCTGTTTTGAAGGCAAATGTGTAGGCACAGAAGGTAAATGATCTACAACATGATCCGAATCCCTTTGTTGTAATGTCTTTGTGAGTTCTTCTAGTATGGCCAAGATATCATCATTTGTACGCTATAGATGAATCAATACACAACATCCAGTCTTTTGTTTATTTACCGCCTGCAGTTGTTTAAACACAGCATCTTTTTTGGCTTCTTTACGGTTTTGATGCTTGGCAATCACTTCTACCATGATGCTAAACGCTTGTGTCAGACATGCAATGTCAATGAGTGTATGTTACCTGCAACCCTTCATATAATACACATAAGCATTTTCGGGGCAACCTCGCTTGTATTCAAAGTCTCCCTATAGAGATAGTATGAGATAAGGCATAAATGAACCATGAGAGGGCTTTTATACTTGGTCATAGAGTTTTCCAACAGAAGATATCAAGGTCTTGATAGCATATTTAGACATATCTGCTTTATCAACTGTAGCCCTTTTAGCCAGTTCTGAAAAAGACAGTGATGGATGACTCATTCGAGGTGAAGATGGGAGTGTCATTTAATAATAAAAACAGAAAAAAAGTGATAGCATAATGCGTTCATTCAAATTTGATTTTTTGTTTCTTTTCTTTTCTTTTATGCCAAATCCATCTGTCAAAACTACGGTTCGAAAGAGTCATCGTATCACTAAAAAGACGGTTCAAGCAAAGAAGACAAGGTAAGATAAGATAGACACAGAACAACAAAGGTTGATATTGTTTGCGCAGTCGAGTCAGTACAAAAAAGACCCAGATTGTATCTCCTTTGTTTGATATCCTTGAAGAAACACATTTGGAAAATGCAGTACAACACTTTAAACAACATGATCCAAAACTAGCTGCTTATCTTGATGATACCACAGTTGATTTATTTAGAGAACGATTAACGAAATACAATGGTTATCATCCATTCATGTAAGTATACATGCATACAAAAAAGATACGAGCCACTGTTTCCTCTAGGTCATTAGCAAAATCCATTGTCTATCAACAGATTCATGGTAAAGCAGCTGCTTCTATTTATGGTCGCTTCCTTCAATTGTTTGAACCCAACACAGATGAACCCAACTGGTTTCCTACACCTGAACAAATCCTTGCTAAAGACATAGATCAGCTAAGGTCTGCTGGATTATCTGCTAGAAAAGTAGAATACATACGGGATTTGGCTACCAAATTCAAAGAGAAACACATTACACCCGAGGCATTTGATCAAATGTCTGCTCAAGAGATCAGTGATCAACTCTGTGCAGTCAAGGGCATTGGACAAGTAAGTCAATTCAGAAAGTACTGTACTCATCTTGTCTAGTGGACAGTCGATATGTTTCTTATGTTCTATTTACGCCATCCAGATGTACTTCCCTTGGGTGATTTGGCTGTTCGAAAAGGTGTAGCCTCTCATTTTGGTTTACCTCTCAAGTTTAGAAATGAACAATTGACTGAATTGACTGACATATGGCGACCTTATCGTTCTTTAGGGGCATGGTTAATGTGGCATACAGCAGATACAACATTATAAAGTTTTATTTTTATTTTATTTTTTTTAAAAAAGATGGGATTCATGCACCAATAATTGCGTGACTTGAAGTTCTGCTCTTGTCATGTTTAGTTCAGCTTCTAATTGTGTAATCTTTTCATGTCCTTCTTCTGATAGAGCATGTAAAGGAGGCGTGTCTTGTCTATGAAGGAAGGATTGAGCTGTTAAAATAGCTTGAGAAGTATGGTATAGTCTAATCCATGTTGAGTTTAAATCATTACTATATATATATATATATATATATACCTTTTCTCCAAAATAGATTGAATACCACTCTGTTTTTGTTTATCTAATTTCTCTAGTTTTGACAAGAGCAAGTTGATTTCATTGGTATATTTGACAAGCAATGATTTATCCTCAGATATCTTTTTTTTTTTGAGAGTTAAAAGAATGTGATAAAATAAAAGAATACACTTACTTCAGTCAGTTTAGGGGATATAGGAATACGCTTAATTCGAGTAGCAAACAAAAGTGTATCTAATGTAGGTATATCATCTTGTTTGGCTGCTTTCATATTGACTGTACAGACAGACACAACATGATGTTGACCCATAAACATAGGTTGCAATAGTCGGGTCAATTTGGAGTCATGATAAGGTGGAAGAGGATGACCAGCACTAGTCTATATCAATAATATACATGACATCTGTCTTTACCTTTTTCCTGTTTCTGACAAGTTATGCACAATAGCTTCAAGAGCCAAACATGATTTATGAATGGGGTTTTTTAGTGATTGGTATATGGATTTGTCATTACTAGCCAAATCAACAAGATACTAGGATATAGACTGTAAGGAACATTCTCAAGTGAATCCACTTACTAAATGTGATATCTGAATTGTATCTCGGTGTCGTTGGATACGATTCTTTTTGTTGGATAATCTTCTTTCCAATGTCTATCGATATTGAGTCAATTCAAAATAAATAAAGAACTTCATTCTACCCATTGAACAAATGTATGTGCTCTACTACAATGCATATCATAATTAGTAGTAGACATGTATCGATTGGCTAGTAATGAATGAGCCATTTGATCTTGTTACTGTATCTTACCCTGTGCTAATTGAACATAATATTCTATTTCTTGAGGGGATCTGATGACTTGTTCTTTCAACAAAGACACAAAGGGTCCTCTCTATTGCTATATGAACAACAATACTTTCTATAGCGACTTACTCTTTTATTCTCATCTGATATTTTCAATGGTTGACCTTGTTCATCTAACAAATCTCGAATCACTTCATTAACGATTTCAAACAAAGAGAGACACACAATGTATTCATGTTCATGATCCTATCTCCATATGAGCTGTTGGTCTGGATATTCAACTTACGTTCTTTATCCAGTTGAATATAGTATCACTACTATAAAAGACAATACCAGGTTCATGATCATTGCCTTTCACTGTCAATAAATAAAACAAGGGGAAGATTCATGGTGCTTACTTACCAAACTAAAGTCATTTAGTACACGATTTATCCAATGATAAACATTACCATTGTCTAATGCAATCCATCATGAGTCATCATAGAAAGAATAAAATGACTTACATAAGTTTTACCAGTACCAGGCTGACCATAAGTAAAAATAGTACCTAAAACTATCAACATATTATGTTTCATGATTTGCTTACTATTGTATCCCTGCATGAATGCTTCAATTGTGGATTCAATACTCTGTTGATACAATTGCTGGTTTGTCGTTGTGGATCCAAATACATGATCTAGACAGATAAATACTTGTATATAGATGTAATGTTACCTAATTCAAATTTCTTGGTTGTCTTGGACCCCATATAACGTATCGAATGAGGATCTATATGCCACATACGACTCTTTTCTTGCTCTGTTACTAATCGAACAACACTTTTGATTGTCTTTTTTGATGGTTGAAAGAGATGTGTAAGCCAATGAGAAGATGGGTTGGAAGAAGTAGAAGAAGAGGTCTTTCTGGGTTTGGGTGTTGTGGTAGCTCTTGTTTTTGAACTGATGGTCTTTTGTGGTTGAATAGATGTCGAGATGGTCTTTTGTGGTTGAACAGATGATGTCGAGACAGATTTGACAGGTATACGACTGGCTTTATTGTTTACGCCAAGATAATGAGTTGACATGAACAATGAAATACAATGGATATATATATATATATATAAAATAAAGAAGAAGAAAAAAAAATGGGCCATGAATAACGTATTTCAAACTTTACTTTCTTTCATGCTAGACCCATGGACACATAGACTAACAACACCTAAGATAGACGCAACCAAAACTATTCAAACAACACAATGGTATTATACTGAACCCAATACACTTGTATTTGACCTTGAGGGATGTGGTATTCCTTCTGATGAATTAATTGAATGGGTCAAATCAAGTCTGCCTGTAGGTATCTCAGGCACCCTTACTCATACAAACTCCGATCATGTCTTGCTACTCAACTTACATCCTCCATACAGGGACATTCAGGCCAATCTACTGCATCAACAGACATATGCCATATTAAAGTATAGAGGATTAAGACTCAAGAACATGTCGATTTATCTCAAACCTACCCTGGGTCTCTCTTTCTCTTCTATAGGTCGTATCTATTTTTGGCGTCTTCAGATCAATGCTATTCCTGTCCGAGTGTTTGAGATGGACCAGGAACACATCAAAGCAGCCTTTGGTAAAGCAGTCACTAAGGCTTTTAGTCGATGTCATCCTCAGAATGTCTTGATTGTCTTGACAGAACATGTCCATACAAACCAAGAAACTGGCCTAGTAACCATGCTTGCTCAAGAGATTCCTGTGGATAAACACTTGGTGAATCCAATCCGAGCATTAATCTATATTTCGTTTTTACAACACTATCTTCCTATGACAGCCACACTCATTCAGCCTTAAAATAAATACATGTTTATTGTCTACATGGATCGTCTACTTTCAGAGGCAGGTATCTTTTGTTTAGGTGCTGAACCAGGTTGTTTGACACCCACTACACCTCCTCCCATCGACACACTACTGTTGGGTTGGGTTGTGGTTGTCTTTCTTCGCATGATATTTGAGAATGTACCACTGTTTGACTTTTTCTTTTTCGAGACCATGGCTGGACTCGCATCTTTGTTGTTGACATGAAGGCGCTGTGCATGTCCCACAATGCAACTGATTAGATCGTTGTATGTCTCTGCATCCATCTTGAGTTGTTCTCGTTGATCTAGTAAATGATCCAAATAATCGGCTGCTTGTCTCTGTAGTCTACTGAGTTCCATCACCATCGCATTCAGTTTAACATCAGGAAAGACACGAATGGTTTCTAATAAAGATCAGAACTATGCATACATCGTTCTTGTTACCTTCTGTTAATTCACAATAGGCTCTAGCAATATCGATATCCAGTTCCATGTCTTGATCTGCTTCTTTTTTGGCTTCTTTTGTTGTCTCGTCCATCTTTTCTGTCACGACACGTAATCCAGGAGAAGCGGATGCTGGTCTTGAGACAGGTGAAGTGGGTGTTGAGATACGGTTGATATCTGTGTTCTGTTGTGATGGTGATGATGATGATGATGATGATGAGGGCAGTTTCTTTTTATCATGCAGAGGCGCTTTTTTGTCTTCATAATTCAAGGTGACACCAAGTGCATTTAAATAAGCTTTGTTTGTCTCTGACCGAGTCCATTGAAATTGACCTACGGCACCTGTCACTGGATTATAGAATACGGTATCTCGAGATAATTTGCTCCATAAATCTTGACTAAAGAAAAAAAATAAGTAAGAGAACCACTATTTTTTTTTTTTTTTGGTTACCTGCAGGGTGTCACAAGAATGTCTTTGTTGTCTTCAATAGGTGTCATTTCGATGTCTTTGTCTCCCCACATACGATCCAAATAGGTATTGATGAATGGACCCAGTTCAGAAGGGTTGTTTTCGATTACGTTTACGTATAAGTCAACTTCTGTAGGTGTTGCTTCAAAATCATCAAAACCATCATTGGTAGCATCAAAGTCATCAAAATCATCATTGGTAGCATCAAAGCTATCGAAATCATCGAAATTGTCCTGATGGTGATCAAAATCATCAAAATCATCATCATCAAAACCATCTTGATTAAACTCAAAGTCATCTTGTTTGCTGTCTTTTGTAATTTCAACATCGTCTTGCGTGTTGTCTTTAGTGAAATCAAAGTCATCTTGCTTGTTATCTTCATTGAATTCAAAGTCATCTTGCTTGTTACCTTCATGAAACTCAAAGTCATCTTGTATGCTATTTTTTGTTATTTCAATATCGTCTTCTTTGTTGCTTTCATTGAATCCATCGTCTCCTTCCTTGCTGTCTTTAGAGAGTCCAAAATCGTTTTCTTTATGACTTTCATTGCATCCAACATCGTCTTTATGAAGCTCAAAGTCATCTTTGCTACCTTTTGTCATTTCAACATCAGTGAATTCAAAGTCATCTTTTGTATCTTTTTTACTGTTTTTACTTGATCCAAAATCGTCTTCTTTGACGTGTTTAGTGGAATCAGCCCCTTTTTGTGTATCTTCGTTATGGTCTCCAAAGTCTTTGCTGTCTTTAGTAACATCAACATCGGTTGGTTTCTTCAAAGTGTCTTGTAAGTTTGTGTTTATCTCAATATCATCTTCTTTACTGTCTTGAGTGAGTTCAATGTCGTCTTGTTGTTCATTATCGAGTGATGTTTGTTCATGTTGACTAATAGACTTGTCTTGTTCTAAGCTATGATGCACTTGTTTTTCGTTCGGAGAAGCTTGTTTTGTATCATCAACTATTTCTTCTTTTTCAGGGCTTGTTTGTGTTGGTTCAACTGAATCACTAAGGTCTATAAGTTGTTCTGATAAAGACATGTATAATAGATGAAACAGATAAAAAGAGAGAAGTTTATTAAAGCAAAGAAGAAAAAGAGAAAGGCGGAATTTTAAGCGTGACGTCCCACAAAAAAAAAAAAAAAGAAGTGCGTTAACAGGCACAACCAGGCTCTTGTTCTTGTCTTCCACTTGGTATTTGAATGGTATCAGGAAAATCACTAATGATGTATTAAGTTAACACTGACAATAATAAAAGAGCAACCACTTACATGTCTACATCTGTTTCTTGTGACAAAGCATTCTTGGCAATGGTCTGGAAGGCTTGGTCCACATTGATGGCTTCTTTAGCAGAGGTTTCGAAATAACTGGACAACATGAGTTCACAAACAAGCTATAGTCCTTACTTACGGAACATTGCCCTTAGATTGACACCAAGCCATAGCACGTTTTTGAGAAACCATTCTTCTACTCTCTTCAACGTCAATCTTGTTACCTAAAAGAACAAAAGGGAAACGATCAGGATCTCTAGGAGAAGCTTGAACCAAGAATTCATCTCGCCATTGATCTAATAAACGTAAATACAGTGCCACCAAGTTTCTGCTTTTTTTTTTTTTTTTTTTACCTAAGGATTCAAAACTTCGGCTGTTATTTACGTCATACGCAAGAACACAACAATCAGCACCTCGGTAAAATGCTACACCTAAGGATTGAAAACGTTCCTGACCAGCTGTGTCCCAAATCTGAAGAAGAAAGATGAGTTTGTTAAACCCACAAAAAAAAAGCCGGCTGTCTTTACCTGCATGGTCACTATACGATCATCTACCATCACTTCTTTGGTCAAGAAGTCTGCACCAATAGTGGCCTTGTATTGGTTAGAAAACTTGTTATTAACATATTGGTTCATCAACGAAGTCTTTCCAACACTACGTTTTATAAGTATCAGGCATTCCCTTTTATGTGGTTGCTTACCCACTATCACCAAGAATAATAACCTATTGTTCAATGAGTTCATCTTTATGATCAGCAAGAAAGAAACTTACCTTTAAAAGTGCTTTTTTACGTCCAGAAGCCATAATAATAATAACAAGAAAAGAAAAGAAAAGAAAAAGAAAACGAAGCAGAAAAAAAAATAAAAATAAAAGGGACGCCTTAAGTGTCACACAAATCAGCTGAATTTGCTAATGATTATTATTATTATTATTATTATTATTTTATTCACTATCATCATCATTGCCATCTTGCTCTGTCTTTTTCATGGCCTTTTCAAATTCTTCTGCAAATTCTGCAATGGATTTACCAGAGGACAAGTCAATGACATCCTTGGGTACCATGTTTGTTGCAAATTTAGGTGCATGGCAAGAAAGAACATCTGCTTGAGCTTGGTTTTCTATCAATCTAATTTCAGGCTGTGTTGTATCTAAATCAACTAAGAAAGCAGTAAATATAAAATAGTACTCAATATAGGGTAACTTACATGACATGAGTTCATTCCAATCATAAAGCAAAGCATCTGTTGAAGGACTAAATGGATTAAAATCTACCAGATAGACTTTGTTGTTTGAACGTTGAATATAGACATCAAATACATCTTAAAAGGCATCAATACAACAAAAAGCATACAAGATCACTTACAATGAATACTATCAAATGCATCATGAATCACTCCTTCAAAGAATTGATACACTTGTTGTTCAATATCTTGTTGTATATCCAACAAGAAAGGGTAGAAATTCATATCGCGTTGAGAGATACCAATGATTTCCTGATCTTTAACAAAGCATCTGAATTCCATGGAGGGTTGTAGATCATACCATTTTCTTAATACAAGATCAAATTCTGTTTGTTTGTCTTGCTCATCAGTACAATCCTCATAGGCATGATTCAAGTCATGATTAATGAAATCAGACGATTTAAGTAATAGAAACACATCAAATGGTGAAGTACATTTCAATGTCTGTGTCGCTGAGATCCAAGCTGCGTCTCGAGGTGATGTCCAATTGAGTTTAGGAAATACAGCACCATCAAACTCATAAATGGCTTCTTTGATCTCTCTTTCAACTTGAGGAAAATGAGGTGTCTATGCATGAAGTTAGCCTTTTTTTTTTTTTTGGTTTGAGTTACCTTGTCTTCAGCATCGTTAGAGAATTCAGGATCACTATCATAATCTTCAATACTAGCTGCTACAGGTTGTCTAAAATCATGTATTAAGAGACTTATTGTTGTGTTATTTATTTTGTTTACCCATCTTCAGGTAAATAAATGCCTTCCTCATTCAAGTAATCGACAAACGCTTGATTTAATCTCAAGATCTTGGATTTGAAAGTATTTGCTTTAAACTTGGGATACCAAGCGCGAAAAGAACAATTGTCTATGTCTTTACAAGTTGTAGGAATACAATTCAATGCTTGTGTTTCGAGATCGGGATGCATCATTGTTTTATTTGTAAGCAAAAAAAAAAAAAAAAGAGAAAAAAAAATGAAGCACTGTTAAGTCTTTTTTAAGAGTCCGCAAAGTTTGTAGGAACAGCACCTTGAGGTTCACCTTCAGGTGTCTAAAGAAAAGCAATGAGTTTTCCTCTGTGTGTTTGATGCATAAATACATTACCACATAAGCAGAAGCTAAACCACCATCCACTCTGAAATCAGTACCTGTAACAAATGAACTTTCATCCGAAGCTAAAAAGAGTGCACCATAAGCTTGTTCAATAGCCTCACCTATTTCTCTGATGAACAACAGCATGCTTTCGCTTCTATTGACTTACCGAATCTTCCTTGAGGTACATGAACGAGGCGGCGTTGCTTCTTTTCTTCAGTATTTAAAAAGTCCATTAATAAAGGAGTACGAATAGGACCAGGACAAAGAGAATTGAAACGAATATTTTCACGGGCATGAACCATAGCAAGTTCTCGACTAAAAATAAAATTAGTATAGTTAAAGAATGATTTTAGACTCACGTCATGGCCAAGACAGCACCCTTAGAAGCAGTGTCTATACAGAAAATAAGTAAAGAAAATATCAAAACAATACATTACATGCTAATTGAGGTGTAGCAGCACCCATCAGAGCCACAAAACTTGCTGTATTGATCACAGAGCCGCCACCACTTTTACGCATCGCGAGAATAGCGTATTTAGAGCCATACCAAACACCCTTCACATTAATGTTCATGGTCAAGTCCCTACGTATGCTACATTAATCTGTGTTATTCCATACTGTTGTCTTACCAAATACGTTCTTCTGTATTCAAAGCGTTATCATCTTGAGGATGCATAATACCAGCATTATTAAACATGATATCCAACTTGCCTATATAGATGATATAGATATGAAGGTTTATATAGACATGAATAGGACGCGTCATTCTTACCATAGACTTCAACCGCTTTATCTACTAAGGCTTTGACTTGTGCTTCATCGGACACGTCTGTCTTGACAGCGATTGCATTGCCTTCACCTACCAACTGAGTGATTTTTTCTACTGTCTTTTGACTGCCTGCTTCATTCAAGTCAGCACAGACAACTTTAGCACCTTCTTTAGCAAACAAGACAGCTGTTTCGAAACCAATACCACTGATATTCTTTATTTAGCATGCATATTTAGACTATATGCAATGAGTTATCTTACCCAGCAGCACCAGTTACAATTGCTACTTTTCCATTTAGTCTTGAACCTGTCATCATATATGTGTTTATCTAAAAAGTAAAAAAAAAAAAAAAAGTAAAAAAAACAGACCAAATTTATATAGACTAGTTGCATGAATAAAAATAAAGGGGACACTAAAATCAAACCACGCAGCTTATCAAGGTTGATAAGAAAGGTAAAACTTTATTTGTGTACAGAATATATGGCTAAACAATGCTGAGGTAATTTCCATTGTTGTACTACGATAGCTTGATTAGCGTGTGATTTAGTCCATCTGATTTCAGACGTCAATCCTTATAAATGTCAAATGCGCCGCGGTCAACATACCAAATAAGGGGTTCCATTTTCTCTGTCTCTTTCTCTCACACACACACACATACATATATATATATATATAATAATAATACATACTTTCTTTATTCAAATAGCTTCTATTAATAACTTGACTTGATTGGTACGTTGCTTTGCATTATCAATGCATTGTTTTAAACCTTCTGCAGTTACTGTCATTCCACCATTCTTATAGACTCGGCAAAGGTTGTAATCTAAATCCATCACAATCGTAACTGTTTCTCTAGCTAAGCTTTCTTCAGTATCATTCGCATCAGACAAGATCACATCTGGGTTATTAAACACACTAAAGGTAGATGCAACTAAATGTCGTGAGAGTTGAATGGGTTCTGCAAGTTGTGTAGGATCAGCTTCAACTACCATAGAAGGAGACACGGTTGCTTTAGGTAATTTTACTATAATTTCATATCAGTCCTCAGCACCACCTTAGAGTATCACTTACAGTCTTTTAATGCAGTCATCAATGCTAATAAACTGGCATCTAAAATATTGCCATCATAATTCAGACATACAATATCAGCATATAATACCCAAACAGCTTTTCCTTCTTCAATACATAATTTCTCTAAAGGAAAGATCTCGGATCTAGTTGTCTATGTTAGCTTATATTATAGGATGAAGTGCATAATACTTTATAAACAATTGATTGATAAACTCGGAAACAGCCTGTGCTTTTTCGGGAGGAGGTCCCGGCTTAAATTTAGGTGAACATAAAGGTGATAATTCAACATTGGGTACTATATATCTTGTTAAATCAAATTACAAATATGGCATAGATTACCTAAATAGCCTTGGTTTGTATCTAATTTGGGTTCACACACTTCAGCCTTAATACCACATACAACAGTAGTACCACCTAAACGCACCATAGCACTTGCATTGGCTGTAGAAACAGCACCTGAGGTAATCATTGTCTTTCGAAATTCATTTAATAGTCTTCCATCTGGACGCACTTTTTGACCCAAGAAACGTTTTAAGTATTCATGAGGCTGTATTCTACTGAATATTTCGAAATTATCGCTTGTTGACATAACGAAGACGAAGAAGTAAAAAAAAAAAAAAAAAAATTAAATAAACGCGACTTAAGGTATTATGTGACTGGGTTGGCAGCCACTGTTACAAATGAATGTGTGAATTCTTTCTTGTGTGAGAAATCGATTTTTTTTTTCTCAAGTAGGATAATGGAGTATAAATAGGCTTCTTATTTTTCCTTGTTTTTTTTTGTTTTGTTTTCTACTTTATTCAATGGTGAACACATTACGCCCATATCAATGTCCTTTATGTCCCAAATCATTTTACCGCTTAGAACATCAAACACGTCACATTCGGACACACACAGGAGAGAAACCGCATGCATGTACATTTCCAGGCTGTGAAAAGAAATTCTCCCGCTCAGATGAACTCACTCGCCATGTTCGTATTCATACAGCAACTCATAAAAGAAAAGAACGTCAACAGAAAAAGAAAAAGAAGCAGACATATTATCATTCTGATTCTGATAATGATCTTGTCTTCACACCAGAAACATCACCACACATGTCTCCAAATGTCTTTAAATTTACGCCTCTTGAATGTCATCCTGTCTATTTTCAGAAAAGAGTTTGTTTGATAGACCTTCTTGAATGTCCTCCTCAAGCGCGTATTTTACCTCCTATCAACCCAACTTGTGTTCAACAGGCATTACCGTCTATTCATGACATGTTGTCCTGAACTGATTTCTGTATAGATATAGATTCCCTTCCTTTCTTGTATATATATATATATATATATATATGTGTGTATATTGTATAATTGTGAATAAAGTTAGTGTGTATTTCACATGGTGTAAATAAAATGCATGAGATGTCTTTTTGATTGGTTAGATTCAAACTCATTCATGTACACCCCACCCCGAAATTTAATTAAATTTATTTATTTACTTTTCTTTTATTTATTTATTTCAATGGCCTCGCCTGTCTATGCTGAACCAGAAGAACTTGCAGATTTGGTTCTTGACAAATCAAAACAAGTTGGAAAAGATTATGTGATTATAGATGTTCGTGGTGATGATTATAGAGTAAGTTGAATAGAATAAGGACATGTTTAGAACAAATTAGGGTGGTCATATCCCAGGTGCTATCAATGTCCCTGCAAATACCATGTATGATAAAGCCAATGATCTCATTAGAGACTATGGTCATGTACCTAAAATCTATTTCCATTGTGCTTTATCTCAAGTGCGAGGTAAATAAGCGTATAGATGGTTGCAATAACTCATTTCCATCTAGGCCCTAAATCAGCACGTATCTACAGTGAGACAATCCGTAACTTGGGCAAAGAAACAGATCAAAAAGTAAAGATTTTGAGATATGGATTTGAAGGATGGCATGCAAAATACAAAGAAGAACAAGATTTGTTAGAAGATTATGATCCGTCTGTTTGGGAATGGATGGAATAAAAAAAATACATGTTTATTCTCTACGCAAGTTATCTAGTCTTGCTTGTAAGGCAGCATCATCATCAGATAAACCTTCTGCTATACGTTCATGTTTAGAAGAAGTCAATTGGGGTGAACCCGTAGGGACTTGCTCCAACTACAAAAAAAAAAAAAAATGAATCACTCTAGACTATAGATGACTGCTTTTTTACCTCTTGATTTAAACGAATGCCTATCTCATCAAGCACTTTGTTGACAATCTCTTCACTTTCTTCTTCATCTTCATCTTCTTCAAAAGCATCATCAATAGCATCTCCCATCATTTCATCTTTCATGTCCATCAGCTCACTTTCTTTTTCAAAATTCATCATGATCTTTTGTATTTGAGGTAAATTCATTTGTCTGTTCATGGATCCCATAGCTTTTGTCGCACCCTTCATGGCCTGAGCCATCTGATGACTTGAACTCATGGTCTAGAAAACATCAGCATATGTTAATCATACAAGCTATGAATTACCTGAATACGTAGACCAACAGCTTGAAGTTGTGTCTTCATCGAATAGAATTTCTGTATATGTCTTCTTGTACGAACTAAATCTTTGGCCATGACTTTACATGCACCCTATCCTAATAATAAGCCATCATGACGCCATGGTTCATTACCATCTGGTTTTCTTTGGCTGATTTCTTGATGTCGAGAATCAACTTTTTCTCTTGTCTTTCAAGACGTTCTCTTTCTCTGTCTAGTTCACGCTGTGCTTTTTGAAGACTACGTTGATGCTGTCGAAGTAGTTCAGCAGGTGTCTTTTTCTTTCCAAACAAAAAATCCTATGCCATTCATGGTTGTTGGTTGTCTGTCTGAATATTATTCATTTACCATGACAAAACACAAAAGGAAAGAAGAAAAAAAAATAATATATAAAGAAAAACAGAGGTGTGACTTTAAGCGTATATTTATTTATTTACATGGCATTTCCATCCTTTCTTTCTTTCTCTCTCTCTCTTTTTCTCTCTCTTACTTTCGAATAAGCAAGTAAATGTTTTCACCAACAGTCAAGTTTTGCAAGTGTCTATAATCACCTTCCAAACACATCAAAAGACCACCGTAAGAAACATACACAGAACTATCGACATATTAACGACATACAGAATCAGACAACACACTTACACTTGTTGACCAGCTGAAGCACTCTTGTTGGAATCTTCATATCGATAAATTTTACCAAACATTACATATTCATATTCGTCACTTAAATCACGCTCTCCTGGTGCACGTTCACGCCAGCTTTCTTTCTTTTCAACACCACTGGCATTGGCATTGGCTTCAAGAGAAAGAGAAGAAGCCAAGACTAACGAGAACTTTTCTCCAACCTTCAAAGGATAAATTTCAGCATTGAAGTCCAAAGTCAAATCCATTTCATAGTTTTCGGAACGAGCAACAAGACGTGAGACTAGACAGATGTAAGTCGTGTTTTTTTTATGTGTGTATCTTTTATACCTCTATCAAAACGCTTGCCTTGAGGGTCAAGGTCTTTGATATCGAAAATATCTTGAAACAAGATGCTGTCAGTGGACATGGTGTGTTGCAAAACAAAAACATTTTTTTTTTTTTGGCGTTTAAATGAAATATAGACAGCAGTCACGCAATGGCCTTTTGTCCCCTACACAGAGGCTTAGCCTAGAACAAAGCTTTGTTCTTTTGCAATGAATATTGATCAGACCAAGGTAAGACAGACTGCTACTTGAGCAGTTTGTTCTAATACAGATTGTTAGGCTAAAAAAGCATTTAAAGCGTTATATCACCATCATCAACAATCCGATGAAGAAGAGGCTGTTTGGCTGATGGTGTCTACCATAAACAAGATTCAATTGACAAAAGGCAGACCCACACGAATGTAAGTCATGCTATTCCTAACACTCGTACTCATCATCGACACTTGTTAGCGTAGTATCTTGAAACATGGTTGTCAAACACCAGGTGTTTATCGCTGTCTATTGACTAAAAAGAACCAACAACAACATAAAGATACAATCCGAGAGAAAAAGATCAAAGGTGTCCACAAAGTGATCGATCTAAAGCATCTTAAAAAACAATACAATACCCCCGAATCCAAGAGACAACTCATGCAAGACTTTGGCATGTTCATGGCTGAAAAATCGATTGTGACAGATCTATACAACGTACTTGGTAAAGAAGTATATAAAAAGAGAAGGTAAGACATACAACAGAGAGACACAGGACGTTGACCATCTTGATTAGAGAACCTATTCCTATTGATCTGCACAAACCTGACTTACAAAAAGAAGTATTACGTACAGCCAAATCAACCTATATGAATTTCCATACAGGTTCATGTTATGCTGTCAAAATAGCCACGACTGGACAAGACGATAAAATTGCTTTTGAGAATTTCATGTCTGCTTATGACAAGATTGTGGCTGCTACACCAGGAGGTTACGATAACATTCGATCCTTTCAAATTAAAACTGCTAATTCTATCAGTTTACCTATTTATGATGTCAAGACAGACCATGTAGATCACTATGAAGAAGAGGATGAACAAGAGGATGACCTTTTAAAATAAATTTTTTTTATATAATTTTCTTTTTTATTCTTTTTTTCTCTTTCTTTATCCATGTCCTTGTTGTCTAAAGTCTTTACTTTGCAACCCACTGTTCGATTTCATTCTACTACTGCTTTTTTAAAAGATTTTATGACCACTCAAGAAAAAGGCCCTATTCAACTCTCGATTGAATCAAAGGCAAGTAAAACGAGACATGATCAAGAACTCATTCGAGTAGATTACAGATGCTTTGCATCCTACCATCTTGGAGACTGTGAATGAATCTCATTTACACGCTCACCATGCTGCCATGAAAGGCAACACCAACAAAGAAACACACTTCAAGTAAGTCTTTACTAATCTATCAGGACCCTCACCCATGCCTTAGAGTTACTGTTATTTCTGATGAATTCAAGGGCAAGGTAAGCGAGATAAACATCATCTAGGATACTTATAAACATAGTCTTTGATGCAACGCCATCGCTTGATTTACAACCTACTTAACGATGAACTCCAAAACAAGGGTTTACATGCCTTGACACTCAAGACAAAGACACAAGCAGAACTTGAACAATAAAGATTTTATTTTTTACATTGTTGAATAGCCAGTGACATCTTCTCTGATGGACTACCCAGATAATTTACATAATCAAGTGCTCGCTGTTGAACATCAGCTGGCAAATCTCTAAAAGGGCCAAATAAGGGTCCTTTAGCTAACTGAACAAAAAAGAAAGGTACCAGGGTTGTTTCCACTTGTCTGAGTGTATCGAAATCAAACACATCTTTGTCAGCACGCTTTGCGATATCACACATCACATTTAGAATGGCCTATACACATTATGGTGAATACCCTCAACACAGCCTATCTCAACTTACTCGACTGGTTTCTATATGATTTGCTCTTAATTGCCACAACATTTTAGGCAGACCAAGCAGCCATTCTTTTAGGAGACGAGCTAATTCAGAATCTTTTGTGATCATGAATTGTCCATGATAACTAGGTGTTGATTGAACCTAATGATTTTGTGAGTGATAGCTACCTAAAGACATGTAGTGTTACCATGTAGGCTCTTGTGATGAAATCCAACAAGACTTTTCTTGATGCAGCATTGGGTTGACATGTATGATAGTATTGAACAGTCGCCTTAAATAGCGTCACACTCTCTTCATTCGTCAAACAATTCAAAAAGCCCCAAATGGCAGGCAATAAAGACACAAGGTGATCTGTACGGAAACTACTGCTTGCACTCGTCATGCCATCTTGATCTTCATGGTAGCCTAATACACCCAACACATACTGAACTACTGTTTCTGCCCATGAAGGTACTTGATCCTCGCTCTCTAATTTACGACGCTTCTGTCTAGGTTCCTCAGTCACAGATGGTTGTAGAATAGTACGAGCCAACAGGAACAACGAAGTCAATTCGCACAACATGATGTTCATTTCCTGTAGCTTATCGTCCACTTTGGATCCACGGTTACCTAGAGCATCAGCGCCATAAGGGAAATAGACTGTCAAATGCTTCAAGAGTTGCTGTAAATACATGTTCAGCCAATCTTGAGACACAAGGCGAATAATATCGGATCCAACCATGGCTCGCCATAACACAAGTGACAAGGTAAGTATTTCATGCAACAGTTCAAGTGCAGGTGTGATAGCAATAGAACTGGTAGACATAAACACAGAAGGTGCTGCTTCTAACCAAGCAGCTACCAAACGAGGTTGAAATGTCTCGATAAGTTCCTATAGACATAAGAGTCAAGGTTGATACATGGATTCGCTTACCTTGATATGACCCAGTCTTTCTTCCAGACTGAATTCAGCCTGTGTTTCTAATGTGTTGGGTTGTCCATTCGATTTAGGACCTGATGTATCAAACAGATGCAAATGTGAAAATGTAGCTGATGAAGGCAAGACAGCATGTACCATGGCATGTGTCGGCATATAAGCATTGTGTTTCTTGGGATCCCACTGCACCATGGTATCATTGGCAGTTGTGTACTGTCTCATTTTGTTTTGAAAGCCTTGTTTAGCATGCTTGTTATCAAGATAGTTCAATAAGAACCAATAAGGATCATGGTGGTCTTTGGATAATCCAGCTTCTAAAAACTTGCTTAAACTACTCAACAAACTCAATTTGTTCTTGTGGATATGTAAATGAGATTTAGTAGCAGCTGCTTTAATAGAAGCAGTCGTGGCTGTCCCTGTTGTTGTTGTTGATTCTGTTGCTGTGTTCTGAATAGCATTCCCATCCACTGTCAATAAACTCATGTAATTACCCGTGATGCGAGACCAGAATTTGGTGACAATGATAGAAGGTGAGATCTGTAACCATAAATCCATCAATTTAACAGCATCCAAGCGTACATCTTCAAAGATATGTGTCATGGCTGAACAGGTATAAATGACAAGTAATGACATAAAGGGTTGTAATTCAACAGAATCCAGATCCACAAATGTTGCTTTTAAAAAGTTGAGTGTTGCCTTTCTTACTTCACGGTCCTAAAAAAAAAAAAAGTTAGAAAAAAGTCAATCATACTAGGGTCTATATTACATTGTCTACAAATAACTTCAAGACACCATTGACAACAAGACCTAAAGAAGAGACTAATAATCGAGGATGACTTGAGCAAAGATCAGTCAAGCCTTGTAATGCCTCTGTAGAAACCAAAAAAAAAAAAGGAGGGGGGAGTCAGTCAAGGATAATTAGATCAAAAGTACCTTTTTTGACACCTGCATTATAATGCTTAAGTTGAACAACAAGGTCTGCAAGTGTCAAGTTTCGACTGGTTGTGATTTCATGTGATTTATCTTCAGTGATACTTTGATTAGGAAGTACAATGCCTAATGAATATGAGGTCAGTGATGGACAAACATGGTGTGTGTGTGTATCATTTACTTTTTGATTTAAATGAAGTGTCTGTGAAATTATCGGGTATAGCTTTCTTTTTGCCTACTTTTAATTTGGTTTTCTATTGAACAGCATAAGTGCTTTGTTGTTGTTGTTGTTGTTGTAAGCGTATATTTACTTTAAAGTCTTCGTTTTTAGCAGCTTTCTTTTTTCTTGCGTTAGGCATAGTTCAAGTGATATATATAAAAAGAGAGAGAGAGAGAAAAGGCACTATTTTTTTTTATTTTTATTATTTTTTTTTTTTTTTTTTCAGTGGAATTGTGACCTTGTTTAAGGGACTGTCAAGCAAATTTATTTTAATCAACCTTGATACTAGCAAAAATCTTTTGCAAGAAATAAAGACAAGAAATATAACCTACAGAACCAGTAAAGATAGAGATCAAAAGACTCAAAAGAGAAGAATAACCAAAATAGAGAACTGTACTTGTGAATGAATTGATATCCAACTTTGTAAAATAATACAAGACGGAATACAAAAACACATAAAAACCAGTAGCACCCGAAGTCAAGAAAGAGCGCCATGACCAATGATAGTCTTCACTGCATAGATGGAAATAACACATCAAAATCGTCACTTGAGAACAAGTCAAGATAAGAACCACAAACACCATGAATAAGAATCCAATACCGTAATAGATACGATGGAACCAGATCGAATTAAAGATAAAGTAGACCTCGATAAACACTGCACCAAAGGGTAAAATACCACCCATCAAGATAGAAGGAAGACTACGCAAATAAGTAGGTTGATCAGGGATTTGACGAGGGATTTGGTTTGTACGGACAGGATGGTCAATACGAGGTTGACGGAAACCAAAGTAAGAACCAGCTACACTCAAAGGTAAAGCAATCAAGGTCCATAAGGCCAAAAGAGAAAAGGCAGTGCCAAAGGGAACAGCACCAGAAGATTGGGAATAGATCAAGAAGAAGTTCATGGCAAACAAAGAACTCATAATGACACCAGGCACAAGACCAGCAGTTAAACCAATGTTCATCTTCCAGTTCTCACCACCATTCATCTTGTAGATACGAGCAGATACAAAGCCTGCAATGCAACTAAATACCATAAAGAAAATAATCATCACAGTGCCTAATGCACCTCGGTTGGAAGGAGACAAGAAACCAAGAGCAGCAAATACTATCAACATATCAGATCATGGCTCACGCAAGTTGTTCCTTTACCTAAAGTTAAGCCTGTCATGGCTACAATTTGTGCACCACTGCCTACCAAGACAGACAAGAACATGGGACGTTGAGGAGGTCTAAAGACATCACCATGAACTAATTTCCAACCATAATCTTCTTGCACATCTTCTTGAGCATCCACCGCATTATAGCGAGAAATGTCTTTATGAAGAGTACGAATCAAGATCATGGCTACCATACCTGTCAAGAACAAGACTATCACAATTGAATTCACAAGAGAGAACCAGTGAATAGAAGGGTCCAAGACATGAAGATAATTATCCCAACGTGTAGCCCAAGCCTTAGAAGAAAGCTAATCATACCTTATGTGAGCTATCTCTCTTTCTCTCTCTCTCTCTCTCTCTCTCTCTCTCTTTATGAGTTTATTGGTCTTACCTGCCAATTGACACTATAAGTATAGACGACTCGTTCATTTCCCTTGAGCACAAGAGGTTCACCTGTAACAACAGGTACACCTCTTTCATTCACTGTTTGAGCACGACTGACAGGAGAGACCAACACACCCACGACACGATATTTACCATCTTCTCTGTGATGGTATTCAATCGTGATATCGTAATGGTTATTAAGTTCAGGTACTGCCTTGTTTGAACCCAATGCGAATCCAATACTGTAATACTGCTCATTGGTACGTTCATCGTTACTGAGATGAGCAGCAGGAAGACCATCCACTACCCAGTTGAGAGCATAGTCATTTTTGATACACTCATTAATAAAGTCTGCATCTTTCTTGGGAATCGTGGTAGAAGTACACAACACTTTGTCCTTTTCATTATTGCCCAAAGACAACTATCATAGAGAGACGTGTTTATTACGAGTATAGGCTATTGAACTTACCTTGAAAGGGGAAGTAAAGATACGGTCACCAAATAGAACAGAACCAAGGCTTTCTGCTTGTTTCTTGGCTCCTCCTTCAGGTGTACAGAAATGGAATCGTTCATCATAATAATCATAAGACAAGACTGATTTCTGTAGACTGGACATGGGAGAAAGTGAATTAACAAACAAAGGTACATCACTGCCTTGTTCATAGTCATTAGGTGCAACACCAGGCAAGTAAAGTGCCTGACCAACACTAGCAAGAGCCAATAGGCCTACTAGATATCGAAAAGTCATGATGATAGTAGAATAAAAAAGAAAATAAAAATAAAAATAAAAATCAACAAAAATGGGCTGAACTTTTTTTTTTTTTTTTAGTGTTATTTTTATTTCAAGACGCTAAAAATAGTCTGCTTTTTTACTTGTTTCCTTCCATATAGACTATTTGTACCTAGATAGACATAGAGTACCTTATTTCTCTTGTTGCTGGATTCTTCCACGTGTGATCTACTTTGCACCAATGCGGTGTTTGAATTAGACCATGGGTAATACCAAAAAAATAAAAAAAAATATGGCTGAGGAATTTAAAAAGGTCGTATTTAAATCAAAAGCCCCCCCCCATCTTGGGTTTTCCACTTACATCCATCCATCAACATGCTCTTGTACACTGATATTCTTACTGGTAAATAACAACGCATCCATCGCTTATGAATCATATATTGATATTTTGAATAGGTGACGAATTGTTCTCTGATGCTTTCGTATGTTGATATGTAAAGTATGGCATAAACTAACTCTGTTATTATAGCCCCTCAAGCTCATTGATGATGTTGCTTATGAAGTTGACTGTAAGATGATCACCATCGCTGAAGGTGACATCGATATCGGTGCCAACCCTTCTGCTGAAGGTGGTGATGACGAAGGTGCTGATGACCAATCTCAAACCGTCAACAACGTTGTTCACTCTTTCCGTCTTGTTCAAACCTCTTTTGATAAGAAGTCTTACATGGTCTACATCAAGGGTTACATGAAGGCTGTCAAGGCTCAACTTCCTGCTGAACGTGTTCCCGACTTTGAAAAGAACGTTGCTGCTCTTGTCAAGAAGATCTTGGGTAACTTCAAGGATTACGAATTCTACATTGGTGAATCCATGAACCCTGACGGTATGGTTGCTTTGTTGAACTACCGTGAAGATGGTATCACCCCTTACTTTACCTTCTTCAAGGATGGTGTTAAGGAAGTCAAGCTCTAAGCTTTTTCTTATCTTTGGATAATAAACATATATATACATTCAATAACGTGACTTGATAAAAGGGTGCATTGTAATTATTTTTTTTTTTCAAGTAACGTGTTTAATTTTTTTTTTTTTTTTCTTTTTCCTTTATTGTTCTTATTGTTATTATGGTTTTGCCTCATTCAAATTCCCGTCTGTCTGTTTTTCGAAAAGGAACAACACCAACAAAACAAACCAACATGGGTGACTACATGAAAAAATACACCTCATTAACCCCTCCACCACGAACACAATCATCTTCTAAACCAACATCAGAAACAAGCAAAAGTACAGTTCAGACTAACAAAATCCTGGACGGTGTTGTAGCTTGTTTGGATGTCAGGTAATCATATGAAATAAATAGACAAGTATATAACTATCATTAGAACTGAGGATGGTGATGACGTTTCTCAAAATTTTGAAAGAGCTTTACAATCCATGGGTGCCAAAGTAAGTAAGTTCTCAACATACCTGATAAACTCATGCATCGTTTTAGACAAGGAGAACATTTAGTGGTAATCAACAAATCATATCACATAGATAGAGAGTAACAGAATAGAATAGACTCAGTAACACATTTGATATTCAAGAATGGATCTCCAGCAACATTGAAAAAAGCCATTCAAAAGAATGTGTTTATTATCAACTTGTTATGGATCTCAAGATGTAAACGAGAAGGGAAACGATTGCCAGAAAAAGATTTTATTATCGAAAAACCTCAGGGACTTGTGTTGGCAGGCAAAAAGAGACGCAAATCTATGGAACCAGGCAAAGTGAAAGCATTGGGTGATCTCGAGTCTTCTTTGTCCAGTTCAAGTGAAGGCTCAGAGACAGATACATACCACGGCTTTATTGAACCAAGACGACGTACGATTGCTACCAGTCATTGGATTACACGAGAAACCAATGAGAGTTTGATACGAAAAAGACACATTCAGGAAGCAGAAGAAGAAGAGGAGGAGGAGGAAGAAAAACCTAGATCACGACTTTCTTTACCTATCTCTGTGGAATCGATTGCGAATAGACACACCAATAAGAAACAAAAGCCTATGATTTCAGCCAATCCACCCAGTGAACACATGAAAGAACAGATTAAGGCGCGTTTTTCTATTGGTCAGACAACAAGTCTAGAGGATCCTTTACTCAGTCTACCTACCAAAACAACAAAACCGACCCTTGTGAGAAGAAAGCGAAAATTAACAGGTGGCATTAAACTCGTCCAGGAGAAACCTACGATTGTCCTCACGAGTATGACGGTTTCTGTTCGTAAACAATGTCAAGATATCGTTCAAAAACTAGGTCATTATGAACTTGCAACAGAGTAAGTGGTGTCTATTATACAATGCGATGCTTATGGTTTGTATTAGAGTGACTGAACATACAACACATGTATTAGGTAAGATAGACAAACAGGTTGAAAACGATGACTAATATGATGTTATCAGTGGGTGCACAAAGAAGAACAAAATTATTGACCCTGGGTATTGCAAGAGGTGCATGGATCCTGAGACCTGATTGGTAAATACATACACACATAGATAGACAAAAGGGTATTGATATAACCTAGGTTAATACAGAGTGATTCAAGAGGCCAATATGTTTCAGAAAAAGAATACCAAGTGACAGATTGGTATCCTGGCATTGAGGCAGCACATCAGCGTGTTCCTTTGATACCCCACGCAACACGTATTAAAGTAGTTTCATCTACAAGCGAGATTGAATTTATAGAACAACTGGTGGTCTTGTTAGGTGGGACTGTTGTCTCTAAAGCACAGGAAGCAGATATTGTGATCACAAATGAACCCAATGGCAAAAAGAAACATGTATTGGATAACTGGCTGTTTGAGTGTATTGAACAATGGCAATGTAAGGCTCTCATTCCATCTTACATGGTTAAACTAAGATAACTTTATAGATCTTCCCATCAACGATGATACAGAAAAAATAAAAAAATTAGAATAAAATCTGATTGGTTGACATGAGCTGCATGAATTTTGTTGCATGTAACCTTTATAGATATAAAAGCAGATGGCCGATTTCTTTCTTTCTTTTTTTTAAAATTTAATTTTATTATTATCATGCCTGGTCCTATTACATTTTTCTCTTTAGGTGCTGCTGGTGCCACTGCTTATTATGTCAACCGCCGAAACTCAATGACTTCTGATACTTCTCCTGTAGACAATGCTAATATGACACCAATTCAAGTTGCTAGAAGACGTTCAAGCACTGTGATCCCTGATCATGATTGGCCAGCTCATAAACAAGCTGAATATCTCTGGCGTCGTAATAATGGAGCTAGCTTCAGTCATAACTCAGAGCCTAAGTATCCTACCAGTTTACAAAACAAAGACCTTCAACAAACCTCCAAGTAAAAATAAAATAAAATATTATTATATCTTTTGTTTTTGTGTGTGAGAAAAAAAAAGAAGTTGTTTCTGTCTAAACTAGCATGAGAGAATGTACAATAAGCAGTGTTTCTCGGTTCTTCTTTTTTAAGTTTAGTTTGCATGAAATCATGAGAAAAAGAAAAAGACCCTTTATGATTGAGAAATGTTTGCCACAAACAAACAATACATTCAAGTTTATTGTTGTCGACAGATAAAAATACAGATAAAAATACAGATAAAAATACATGGAAATAAATAAAAATGGTTGAAAAAGAGACAAGGGAAAATGCAGTGACTCTCATGGCTGGTCTACTGTTATTTAGCTGTAGTCACCAGGAACAACTCTTTCACAACCATAAGTAGACAAGCCCAAGTTACAGTCGGATTGGTTCTTGCAGCAACGGATACAGAAAGTGTTGGCATCAGGCTCGAGCATGTTGACCCAGTACTTGTAGCCATTGCAGACCACGCCGTCAATGTCCTTGTCGTCGTATTGTCCACCACCGTCAGAGGAGCTAAGGCTGTACTTGGAGCGATCAATGGTACCGGTGACCTGGACATAGTCGTCAGTACTGGCAAAGTGAGCAGTCTGGATGAAGCCGGTAGGGAAGGCCTCGCCACCAAGACTGGCATCGGTACAGAAGGGCTTGCCGTCGTTTTCAGTAGAGCCTACGTCGTCACCAGTATTAGGAGGCAAGAAGGAGCAAAAAGCAGTTTCAGAGTTGAGTTGGATCGTGTAAGAAGGTTCACGTTTGCTGAAAGCAGGCAAAGCGCTGCAGACAGCAGCAAAGAGAGCAAAGAAAGCCAAGACAAGAGTAGGTTGCATTGTTAGAGAAGCAATGGATATAGAGATCAGTGAGATCGAATGGATATAGAATAAGTAGGAGAGGGAAAGACAGGAACAAGTGGGCCCTTTTATATGTTTTCTGCATCACTTGTCAAGCAACATTCAGAATGGCTTGATGTCAAGTGCTGTTGAACAATAAGTATCTCCTTTTTCAGACTTTTTGTGCTCTCATTCTAAGCCCTTTTTCAATAAGTTTACTTTTTTTTTTGTGCTGATTGTAAATGTCAAGTAGGAGCTTAAATGCGAAACCCTATTGGTACCTTCTATTTCAATAGAGAAAAAGAAAAGAAAAGAAAAAGGCATTGTGGTCTAATAATAGCATCATGCATATAGATACAAAAATAACTCTTACTTTTATGTCAACATGAAAACAAGCAACGTCAGAATAGACTATGACAAACAAGAGTTCAGCAATGCGCAAGCAAAATGAAGCCGATGGCTGTTTATAGACAATAAGTAAGCCTTAAAATAGAAAAATTACCTCTTTTTGCCTTTGCTTTGCAGTTATTCATTAGCCCATTCTCCATTATTTTGTATTCCGCCGTACCTTTTTTTTTTTCTATACATATTACTTTGTTCGTCGTAGCTAAGAAGAGTAAGGGTAAGCCCACATAGGGTCGATACAGATGTATCTGTTCAAAGGGGTTTCTAGAATCTGAAGTACAACGAAAAAGTATATTCTGTTTCTATTGTATGTCTTTTTTGAAATAAGCATTGGAGGGCTCAGGGACCTTTTAAATCAAAAGGAATGATGTAACATGAACAGCCAATCGGAAAGCTCTGACAGTCCCGCTTGTAAACATATTCATCTCGAATGGCTTAAATGAATTTTATTTATTCTTAAAGAACGTCATTTGATTTTTCAATTGAGCACCGCTTACTTGACCCTTCTTTTTGGCTGGTTTTCTTTTTATTCCACATATCTGTTATTGACAAGAATACAATTTGCTAAATTTTATTCCAAAGAGAAGCATTTATCAGTTTTCTCAAAGACTAGGCAAGCAGTTGCATGAATTGTTACAAGAGCACAGGCCTGTGTCATTTATCAAAAAAACAATGAAGAATGTAATTTAAATTTGACGAAACAAAGCCTAATTCTGTTTTGTTTGTTACAGAAAGTACTTTTTAAGAGAAATTTGTCTATAATTATATCTACCTAAACAGGCAACAAGAGGCTTGTTTTTGTTTTCTAATAGCATCTTCTACATGCTTTGAAAATTAGGTACAATACACACGGAATTCAAAATTATTCGTTACATGTATTTTTCATTTGACAATTCAGAAAACATATAAAAGGGCCCACCTGTTCCTGTCTTTCCCTCTCCTACTTGTTCTATATCCATTCGATCTCACTGATCTCTATATCCATTGCTTCTCTAACAATGCAACCTACTCTTGTCTTGGCTTTCTTTGCTCTCTTTGCTGCTGTCTGCAGCGCTTTGCCTGCTTTCAGCAAACGTGAACCTTCTTACACGATCCAACTCAACTCTGAAACTGCTTTTTGCTCCTTCTTGCCTCCTAATACTGGTGACGACGTAGGCTCTACTGAAAACGACGGCAAGCCCTTCTGTACCGATGCCAGTCTTGGTGGCGAGGCCTTCCCTACCGGCTTCATCCAGACTGCTCACTTTGCCAGTACTGACGACTATGTCCAGGTCACCGGTACCATTGATCGCTCCAAGTACAGCCTTAGCTCCTCTGACGGTGGTGGACAATACGACGACAAGGACATTGACGGCGTGGTCTGCAATGGCTACAAGTACTGGGTCAACATGCTCGAGCCTGATGCCAACACTTTCTGTATCCGTTGCTGCAAGAACCAATCCGACTGTAACTTGGGCTTGTCTACTTATGGTTGTGAAAGAGTTGTTCCTGGTGACTACAGCTAAATAACAGTAGACCAGCCATGAGAGTCACTGCATTTTCCCTTGTCTCTTTTTCAACCATTTTTATTTATTTCCATGTATTTTTATCTGTATTTTTATCTGTATTTTTATCTGTCGACAACAATAAACTTGAAAAAAAAAAAGTATAAAAAAAGAGAGAAATCCTTTTATGTGTCTATGAGCATACATTCAAGCATTTAAGCATTCAACTAGAGCTGATTGTTTCTGGCTTTAGTTTTTCCTCTTCAGTTTAGGATACAATTGAGTTGTCTGATCTATTTGGCTTTTGTAAAAACGTATACTAAACGAAAAGATGCCCCCTTTCTTTTTTTTTCTTTTTTTTTCCTTTTCATAGGGAACACATAGAATCTGTTAGTTCTTTGCAGTACAAGGTGTACTTGATTGCATCAAATTATGCAAAAGACATGGCACCACTTGAAATGATGTACTTTGTCTATCAGAAAGTGTACACAAAATAATAGTCCAAAGCCTGTTTATACACGCATAAATGATCCAATCAGCTCCAAAAGTACCATGGATGTTTGTACACATTGTTTCTAGGTACTTGGAGCATATATGCGAGTACAGAAAGGCTTTATACCTTCATTTGTATGTCTAGGAAAAGAATTTTGACTGAGGTAGCTATCAAATTAACTAAAAGAATACTGAAAAAATTGCTGCAGGTATCGAACTTTTCAATATCTGCAGAATTTGTTAAGAGAGACACAGACATCAGAGCTAGTTCCATCTAATGCAACAGTAATGAAGCCATAAAAAATGTTCTTGGTTACAGAACATGAACTCTGGCTCTAGGTCTACATATTGCTTTGATTTTTATTTCTACAATCATCATTTTGAGGTGAGCTTTTGAAATGCTCGTTTGCAAAGTGTTGTCCGTGAGTTTTAAAGCTTAATCTGAGAATCCTTGGACATATGATATCTGAAAGAAGGACTACTTGGCTATTATTTTCGCTGTGATTAGACTTCACCTTTTCGTCATGTTGGATTCTTAAAACAGTAATAATCTTAATAGTCTCTTCTAGTAGGCTCTAAATAATTAAACTAAACTTCTTATTCTTTTTCTTTCTCTCAATTGTTTAGGTTTAGGAATATACCCTCAAGTTCAAGAGAAAATCAACCAATGATTCTTCCCTTTCTATGAAGTCTTCACTCAACAAGATTTTCTTCTCCGGAACGAAATTGTACAATCCGCGCTTGGCATATTGCATTGACCACAGACGGATGCGCTTGTCTAGTTTCCACTAAATAATATCATTAGTACAAGTAAGCAAAACGTTGATTATAATATTTACTACCGCTTGGTTGCACGAAATAGAGTTTGAGCTTTCTAAACTCTCCCACAGACGCATATTTATAGTTGTCAGCTACAGTTTCTAGGATCGCCAGCAAAGTAAAAATGCCCTTTGAGTTGTCAAAGGCTATTTTTTCATGGTCTTCATGACCAAAAGCGCCTGCTGTTTCTAAGACAAGGACTTCTAGATCGTCGAGTTCCGCTAAGCGTATAATTTTGTCTGCCTTGTATATTTTCTTTTGTCTGTTTTGAATCCAGGATTGTCATTGCAGCAAGCTCATCTTCAGCAGGAATAAAATATGGCGCGTGTTGATTTTTCTTTATCATAGCAAGCATCGCTTCGAAACAAGGAAAGAGCATGTTGGTATTATACACACTTTCTGATCATGATATTGATAGTCTTTTTGTGTAGATCTTGGCCCTAATTCAATTAAAAAATTAGCTTATTATTGGAATAATTCATACGTACATGACTTTACAGATATCATTAATACATTGGCTTTTTTTTTTTTGCTCTTTCGTAAGTGCCTTAGTCTCAACTTTCTCTTGAAATTCATCAATGTTAGTCTAAGAATAATAAATAATAACATACTAGTTGCTTTTAATTTAGCTCGAAGATTTGGATAATCAAAAATATTTAATGTAGCAATTATATCATCGATGTAATCCTTTGCTTCTATCCAAATGTCATTTGCTTCACATGGCTTTAGTTGCTTCTTCAAATAATGATATGTGTCTTTGTCTGCGTTCGGGTGGGGTGAGAGTTTTGCACCCAAACGGGTTACACTGTTCTTCTCTAGGCTACAGTCAAGATTATGAACAGATTTTTTTGTTTTGTTCAGCATCAGTCAAGAACTCAACCCATTTCTGTTTGAAGTCGACCTCTTCAATCTCTTTCTTGTCCTCATGATTTGTCTAATAAAAAGTAATAAGTTCGTAGCGTATAAAGAATGTAATTTAATATAAGTTTACCTTTTGTTTCTTGATAGCTCTCTCGACTGTCTTATTTATGGTCGTATCTCTACCAGACTATAACTTGTGTGGGTGAATAATTCAAATGATTAAAATGCAAATCCTTACGCTGTAGTAATTTCCCTTCACCTAAAGGTGAAATATACAAGTCAGTAAATATGATATTATAAACAAGGACTCAGATACCATGATATTGTTAACAGAAGAAGAGCTAGTCATGCTTGAAGCAGAGTTAGTAGTTGAAGCGGCTTTGCGTGAAGCAGACTTGAAGGGTCTCAGTAGGTTATTAATGTGCTGATTGACGGTTGATGAAATGTTTTTTTAAATTATCTTTAACAATTTGTAAGTTTTCCACAAAGACTTCTTTGAGTTTTTCAGGATCTTTGTTACTGAGATATTTTTTATATTTTTTAAATGTCCAGTCTGAAGCAGGGTTATTACAAAAGTATCTCAAGTACTTGTTTTTTTATGTTGAAAGTCGCCTTAGGTAGCTAGACCTGATATGTAACTAACATCAAACATTTCATTGCACTAATCAAACGCGAAATATTAACATCAAGTCATTGAAAATAAGAGTTATCTCTTTTTTTTTTCCTCTTCTTTTTTTAGTTGACTATCAATACAATGGGCAGCTTTGGTGTCTGCGTCTCTCTTAACAGATTCTGTAGATGTTGAAAACCAGCGTAATATTCTCTTGAGGCACCAAAATATGGCTGAGAGAATCATTGCCATGGCGCTGACCACTCTTCTAACTCGCACTCCCTTGCCTTATGGGTTTGGACAACTACTTGTAGCTGTAGCATTCAACCAAGGCGTTTGTGACCGGTAGCGTTGGCAGAATGGAACTGTCCATTTTCAATGATTGATTTTTTTTTACTTTTTGGTACGTATTAGTTTGAGTGTAAATTGCTACTCGATGATCTGTTTACTATTAGATTTTTTTTATGAATATACAAGATCAAAGATTTCCCCGAGGTTATTAGCTTTGTCAGAAAAAAAAAAAAAAAAGTTCTGATAAAACTGTCAAGAGAATTTACTTTCATCTGTACAGTTCTTGTGATCAATCACCTCTGGTGTTTTTCTGAGTTATCTTAAAAAGCAAAGTTAAGCGGATAATGTTCAACGATGTTGAGGCACTTGGTTCAAGAATCATCAAAACAAGTGAGACGATGTCAGTTCAATATCTGTAACAGTTTATTCAGTTCGATAAATGCTTCAATCAAAATTCTATCTAGGCGTAAAGAGTTGAACAAGCTAATCACATAAAGTTTCCTTTTTTATGTAAAACTTTATCCGAAAGATTAATATAAATTGCTTTTTTTTTTTTGGCAGACTATATCTTTTCTTCTGTGTTGGTTATATTTACCTTGTTGCGGAATATACATAGGCTACCGAATATTTGCGATGCATAGCATAGGACATTCTATTTATGCTGAAAATGCTCTCAATATAATAGTATCATGCTGACACGTCCTGTCCTACTTGATCATGGCATGGTAAAAAGCTAGAATTTTGAATGTGTAAGAAAAAATTCAAATTCATTCTCACCTTATTTTGGATTACCAAGCTCAAAAGAGCCTAATTAGATGGCCGCCTTTGCATATTTAATAGCCCTTTTCTTTTATATAAATATATAGTTCTCTTCACTGTTCTTTTTTTTTTTTTATCATGTCCTCGTAAGTAACTCGCTTATGTAGAGAAAGAAATTTATTCTCGTTATAGCCCTGCCACATTTAAGAAACTTCAAGCTTTCGAAGTCGGTAACGACTTTTCCAAAGTGACCAAGATCGTCACTGTCAACTTGAACGATATGCTTAGTAATATTAAGCCCAACAGTGTCATTGTAAAGAACTATTATGTCGGCATCAATGCCTCCGATGTCAACTTTACCAATGGCAAATATATCCCTGGTATCAAGCCGTAAGTTTTCTATTTGTCTGAATGAATATTCATAACGTGTATAGTCCTTTTGATGTTGGATTTGAGGCCCTGGGTGAGATTGTTGCTGTTGGATCCAGTGTTTCCAAAGATAAGATTGGTTCATTTGTCATTTATACCCAATATGGCGCATTTGCTGAATATGTAGAAATTTCTCAAAGAGCCATCACACCTATTCCTGTAAGCATATCATGGTAATCAACCAAAGTTACTAATGAGTTTTTAGAATGCTAAACCTGAACTTCTTGGTCTCTTAACTTCTGGTTTAACTGCTTCTATTGCCTTGGAACAAACAGGCCGTATGACAAAGGGTGAAACTGTTCTCGTCACTGCAGGTAAAGTGATGAAATCAATTCTTCTCTTTTTTTATTGACATAGTCATGAATAGCTGCTGGCGGTGCTGGCCAAATTGCTGTTCAATTAGCCAAATTAGCAGGTAACCATGTCATTGGTACTTGCTCTAGTGATGACAAAGTAGCTATGCTTAAGGTAAACACAATAGCAAGTTTGACATAGGCCTGATATGTCATTTATAGGAAATGGGATGTGACCGAGTGATCAACTATAAAAAAGAAGACTTTAAATCTGTAATGAAGAAAGAATATCCTCGAGGTGTTGATATCATTTTTGAAAGTGTTGGTGGTAACTTTTTTGACATTTGTCTCAAGAGCCTTGCTGTTCGTGGTCGCTTGATTGTGATTGGTACTATTTCGACTTATGCTGCTGATGGTGGTATGGCTGGTGATAATGTCAACACATTAAAGCTTTTGGGTACTTCTCGAACAGTTGCTGGTTTCTTTATGCCTGACTACAAAGAATTCTTTGGTTCTCATATGGCCAATATGATTAAGTTGGTTAAGGATGGTAAACTCAAGGTGCTTATTGATAATGGCGGTCTCAGCGGCATTGATAAAGTGGCTGAAGGTGTTGCTTATCTTCATTCTGGCAAGAACAAGGGCAAAGTCGTTATTCCCCTTCTTGAAAAGACTTCTAAAATCTAAAATAAACTTTCTGATCTCCAAGCTATTCTCCGCACAAAACTTGATGTGACTATTCCATCTAAAATTTTAGTTGCTATAAAAAGTGCTTGACATTTGTGAAGGAGGTTTCCTGTTTTCTTTTTTCTTTTCTTTTCTTTTTCTTTCTTTCCTTATCTAACCATCACAACAACAATTTATATGAAGGCCTATCAACGCGAGTTTATTGAATTTGCACTGAACAACCAAGTCTTGAAGTTTGGTTCTTTTGAACTCAAGTCTGGTCGTGTCTCTCCTTACTTTTTCAATGCTGGTTTGTTTAACAGTGGTAAGACATTAGGTGCCATTGGTACTTTTTATGCTGCTGCGTTAGAAGATGCTGGTTTTGAATACGATGTTCTTTTTGGCCCTGCTTATAAGGGTGTCCCTCTTGTGTGTGCTACTGTCTTGGCACTTGCAAACCATCATAACAAGGATGCTCCTTACTCATTCAACCGTAAAGAAAAGAAAGATCATGGTGAAGGTGGAAATATTGTCGGTACTCCTTTGAATGGCAAGATTGTTGTTGTGGATGATGTGATTACTGCTGGTACTGCTATCAATGAATCCATTGAGATCATCAAACAAAACAATGCTCAACTTGCTGGTGTTCTTGTTGCTGTTGATCGTGCTGAAGTTGCTCCTGATGGTTCTGGTAAGAGTGCTATTCAAGCTGTTGAAGAAAAGAACAAGGTTCAAGTCCGTGCTATTATTACTATGGATCATATCATGGAATACATGGAAGAAAAGGGCACTTATGAAAACGAACTCAAGTTAATGAAAGAATACAAGGCACAATATGGCATTAAGCATTAAATTGGATTATATGGGTGTGATAAAGAAAGAAAGAAAAATAAAATAAAAATATTCAAGCCACGACTTTTTTTTTTTTTTAAATTTTTCATATCTTATGATGGCTTCAGAACAAAGCATAGACGATAAGAAGTTAGTGTTTGAAGAAAACGAACGAGTCCTGTGTTATCATGGTCCACTTATTTATGAAGCAAAGGTAAAACAGACTTTTGTCAGGAGTTTTGTTTATTGATTGTGTAGATCTTGGAAAGAAGTTGGATGGATAAAGATCCAGAACTAACAGGACCTTATTACTTTGTTCATTACAAAGGTTGGAAGCGAAGGTATTTTAACATAAAACAAGTCTGGTAATTGATTATATGTACAGTTGGGATGAATGGGTTCCCGAGACAAGACTATTACGCTGGTCTGAAGAGAATTTGCAAATGCAGTCGCGACTCAAGACCCTTTACCGCGTGAAACAGACAGGAAAAGATGCAGCCCGTAGCTCGACTACAGATCCAAGTAATTTGGGCAAGCGTCGCCGTGATGCAAAGCAAGAAAAAGAAGAAGATTACCTCAGACGACCTGAAATTCGACTCGATATTCCTGATACATTAAAAGGCCAACTCGTCGATGATTGGGAAAATGTCACTAAAAATCAACAATTGGTCACTTTACCCAGAACAATCACGATTAATGATGTCTTGTCTCGCTATAAACGTTTCAAAAAAGAAAAGAAAGGCAGCCGAGAATTGTATGTAACCATACGCTTTTATCACATTTCCATTAACCCCTCAATATCTTTAGAAATGAAGAATTACTTGAAGAAGTGCTGCATGGCCTTCGTATTTATTTTGATAAAGCATTAGGCAACATGTTGCTTTATCGATTTGAAAGACACCAATATGCAGATATCTTGAGACAATACCCCGATAAAGAACTCGTTGATATTTATGGTGCAGAACATTTGCTAAGACTGTTTGGTAAGCATAGAAATGGATTATGTTATCCTATACTAACACTGTTGTTCAGTTCAGATGCCTAGCTTAATTGCTCATACAACCATGGATTCTGATGCAATTCATGTGCTGACTGACTATTTGACAGACATTCTGAAATTCATGCAAAAACAACAAAAGCAGTTATTTCAAACAGAGTACGAAAGTGCTCCTCCTGGCTATGTTGCCTTGTCTAATAGCAATTGATGTCTTTATATATAAAATGTAAATAATTACAATAAACTATGCAGGTCTAGGAGGAGGTTGAGGTGATCGTTTGGGTCTAGGCGTACTGGGTAGTGGAGGTGGAGATGGTAATGATGGAGAATGAGGCTTCTCTAGTGGTAGTTCCTCTTTCTGTTGTCCCTCTTCTTGTTCTTGTTGCTGTTGGTGGTATTTCTCTTCTTCAGCCAAGATTGGAGGCTTGATATCAAAAGATGAAGGTTTTTGAGTATAGGATTCTTCAAAGACAGGTGGCGTTGAATAGCGTCGAGGCGGCAAAGGCGGCTTATTTGTATTCTCAGGCACTGAATCTGCTTGTTGATGCATCAAAGAAGCAGCACGATGGCGACGAGGTTTAGCAGGCGGGGATACTTCTTCTGTCTTCTCTAATAAAGACAACGATGATGATGAGGAACTACCATGAGAAGACACAGACAAGTGCTTTCTTTCTTCTGCACGCTTTCGTAAATTAGCCATTCTTTCAGCATACCATTGTTTTTTTGATTCATGTGTTGAACTGTCGTCTTCATCACTGTCATGGCTTACTTTTTTCGTTAAAAAGCTACCAGCCATATTGATCAATGAGTTCTTCTTGTTGGCAAGCACACTAGCAGAATCGAGATTGTCACTACTATTACTGTCTGGTAAAAGACTGCTGATCTTGTTAAAAAATTTACTGCCACTACTTGTTGTTTGATTGCTTTTGAATGAAGCCATACTCTCTGCATCACTATGGTCTTCATCATTCTTTTTCATTCGCTTTCTAATATATGCATTGGCGGACCATTTACTGCTGTTATCCATAGCGTGTTGATCAGTCGTTTCTTCTTTTGAAGGTGGATGCATTTCAGGTGTTGAATGAGAGACTTCCAGTTTCTTCACATAGGCTGATGCATGATTGGTTAGTATGCTGTCATTTTCAGGCATTAAATTGACAGCAGATGCTGCATGACGATTCTTGAGTTTGAGCACATCCGAGGCTTCTGTCTTTTCATCTAATTCAGGTACAGCGGGTGTTTCTCGAATATGATCTAATGTTGGTGGCAGTGAACTCTTTTTAGTTTTTACTTGAACATAGTCACCAAAAATACCACCTTGACCATCCGAAGGACAAAATGCTGTATCATCCATGTTGGGTAACACAAACGTCTCAGCCATGACTTCGCGTATACGTGACTCAATTGCGTTTGTCACAATGTTTAGCTTGATCAATTTGTCTGCTACAATGGGCGTGATTTCCCATTCCATATCTGGCATCTCGAAAAACGAGACCCAGTAACGGTTGGTAGGCGGTGCTTTTATCTTGAACATCATTCTTCCCTTCAATTGCTTTAGTTTGACAGCCAAGATCAAGTGCATACGAATCGGCTTCATGCGTGATGAATAGGACCAATGAAAGTCTGTCTCAATCTCAATCGTCAGTCCACCTGTATAGTCTATCTGAGACTCCACCACCACTTCACCTTCAGGCGAAAGCGACAAGAGTTTAGGGCATGTGATACAAGGTAATGACTGACCCACATCCACACTGCGAACATGGATTTCGTCAAGAAAAGTAGGCCTTTTTGTCTTGTCAATCTTTGTCCTGATCTTCATCTCAACAAATCGCTTCAGTCTGTCTGTTTTGTAAATACTTAAAAAGAGTCTACCCAGGATGGCATTTAACCAGGCTGTTTCACGACTACTAGGAGTGACCTGAACTTGATAGATCAGTTTCTCTAATGCAGGTGGATCAAAATGAGTAGTCTCGATCATCATGCTCTTGGTACTTTCGTCCTGGTCTGCAAGATAATGATGCGCTTGCACCAGACCAAAATACCAGTCTTCTTTATCCGTGTTACGTGCACACGTCAAATACAACACTCGCGTTGGGTTATGAGTGAACTCTTCCTCCTCTTCTACAGACAGAGTGCTCGATATCAATTGGACGTCATGTACATTCGTTGGCGTAAGACGTATGACAGATGCACGATTAAAGAATTCTCCTTCTGTCCTGTTCTCCGTACTTGGATACAAAGAAACTTGATATTCTCGTACAGCCAAGGCCAAGATCGCGTCGTGCTGTTTCTCAGACTCGTAGCAAGTTAAAATGCCGCGTTCAAGAACAGCATAGAACACGCTTTTTTTATGGTTGCCACTGACATAAGACTGGATACCAGACATGAGGCCCGTGCTTGCATGAATCTCGGGCATTTTCGGTTGGTACTGGTTTGTGAGGCGTATCCAACCTTGCTTGACAAGACTGTCTGGGTCTTTATCAAACACGATATCGTCTGGTTTAGGCTTGGATTTGGGTCGCCATGGCTCAAGGCCACCTTTGATATATAGAAATGCCGCTAAAGCGACAATGGGTAAGAATGTAATACCGCCTAATACATAAATAAACAAGAATCCTAAGAGGGACACCATGTGAGAAAAGGAAGAGAAATAAACAAAAAATAAATAAATAAAAAAAGCATTCCCGGTGCATGTCATTTTGTAATACCGGACTTAATAGAGTCACATTCAGCAATAGTTTATGCATACTCTTTAGTTGATTCAAACATAAAATACAATTAGCCAATCACAATATAAGGTAAATGTAAGAAGATCAATTCAATAGTTGATTTGAACGCTTTTGAGTATCATTAGTTGCATAAATTTTGTGTAAAAATGTGTATAAAAAAAAGAGATCTTTAAATTTGATTCTCAAATACTACATGTTATCAAGTGTTTAGCCATACTTTTTTAAGTTACATTGCTAAAAAAGATGTATTGATTTACTACTGTTGTTAAAATGCTAATTTATAAAATGATGAATTTCATAAATAGGAATTCCGAAAGGTACGCATTATTCGAGATTTTATCAAACATATCTCACTAATTCAACCATGCTGATCGACATAAGCTCTTCTATTGTGTCTCACGGGAACATGTATACTTTATTCAATAGCGTGCTCTTGATTATTTTATACAATTAAAGGCATTTACCAGCCCAATTCTTTTCATTTTCGGGGTGTATGTATGTCGTGTAACCTCATTAAATTTCTAGCAAGTATATTTAGAACAAATTGAAAGCTCTCTTTCTAATTTTTTTTTCTTTTCTTTTCTTTCTTTTTAGTCATATATAGATTACATTTATTATGGATATCCCGCCCAAGCATATGCATTCTCCTAGTTGGGATTATGGCAGTTCAAAGCGTAAAGAATCTAATACTTCTTCAGCAGCAACGCATAGTCATCAAAACTCTGCAAATGATTCGTTTTTCAACCGTGTTTTTGGCTATCACTCTGTTGAATCTTCTCGAGGTAAATCTATAAAAAAAAAGGGGGGAAAGACAAAAGGGGATTAGGAGAGAAGGAAAAGAAAAAGAAAAAGCTTATATCTAATTTTTTTTTCTTTTTTTTTTCTAATTTAGCTGCTTCACCTGTACCTTCTTTAGCTTCTCATACCCAACAAACCAAAAGTAGTACATTTGAACCTAATACAACGAATACCAAGAAAAGTTTTAACGGAAGCTCATCATCAGCTTCTTTAACACAAAGCCACAATACCAGCAAAACGCGACATACTCGTAATTCTTCTGCAGGCAATATACCTATTCCACACGCTTCGCCTCTCTCTATCTCTTCTAAGATGCAAAGAAGACGTTCTTTTGATGGCACTGAAGCCGACACTACATTAAAAAAACCTACCCCGACTCCGATCCCATCTGTTTCTGCACGAGCAGCAGCAAGTCCTGTACCATCCAGTCGTCCTGTAAATCAAAAAGGCATCACTGTCCCTAAAATCAATACGACGGCTGTACCTTTCCCTAGGGGTGGTAGGCAAATTGGTCAATCTGCTCCCAATCCTACTGAGCAACCTACACATACAGTAAGAAGAAGTAATTCAATTGAACGTGTACAGTATCGAACAGAAGGTAAAAAAAAAAAGAAAAAATAGTGGTCCTGAACGGAGTTTTTTATCCGATGTAATATAAAAAATGAAAGGCGGATATTGAAATTCTATATAGATCAACAACCCAAGAAACGACATCTGTTTCGATTTGGCAAGAAAAAGAGTAAGTAAAGTGAGATAGGCAGAAAGAAAAGGAGGTTTCTTATGCTATATTTAGGCGGAAATCATGTCACTTCAAATGCTACAACCAACAATAGTAATGCAATGGCAATTTCACCTCGTAAAAAATCAAGCGATGCTGATTACAGACTTTTATTACTAGACTTGTCAAGCTATTCAGCTGCCTCGGATGTTCAGAAACTTTATTATCAACAACAGATGAGAGATGAAAGAAAGAAATCTGCTAGTTCAAATGGAAGTAGTCATTCAGGCAAAAAAGGCAAAGACAATAGCAAGGTAATCAGTGTGTGTGTGTGTGTGTCTATCGTGTTTGTTTATACTGATGCATTTCTATAGGATCAATTGCTCTATTTAAAATGCAAGTATTGTGTATATATATATATATAGATAGATAGATAGATATATATATATATGTGTGTATATAATTTGCTTAGAAAATAACATTATGTCACAATAGTGGATCAGAATTTTGAAAGAATGGATGGTATTGTCAATAAGGATTATTATAAACATATACCACCTAGCCGTACCCCTTCCATCATGGCAAGTGATGCTAACGTAAGCTTAAATCTATGGCTTAAGTTTTATTGATCCTTGTGTAGGGCTATGACTTTGAATCTTGGGCACCACCTGATAGTTGGGCTGTACAGCCACCTTCTATTATGTCCGCTTCAACAAACATGATAGATGATGAGCACACAGAACTTGATGACTATCAAATGGAAGTACAAGAGAAATGGGATGTACCAAAAAAGACTGTAAGTCAACAGGATTCAATACACATTTTCTTATTCCTTAGGCCAATATCAAAATCTATCGTCCCGACAAAACTTACAATACACTCCATGTACCCCTCAATACCACCACCCTTGATATCTTGAGGAGGTTGGCTACGAAATATTTTCTGTCAGATATAAACAAATACAATCTTGTGATGAAACGATATAATACGGGTATATATATATACATATATAAGAACCATTGGCTAATGTAAACACATAGAGCGTGTTTTGGGCATAACAGAAAGACCACTCCAGATCCAAAAAATGCTTCAGGAACAAATGGGTTATATGGACCAGGATACCATTGACGACAGCAGCTATCTTGTGTGGTTTCAAATGGCTCCCAATAGTACACCACCTATACCAGAAGACAAAGAATTTGGTCCTCATGTTGTCCTTCAATCCAGATCATTGACAGAGATTCCTGTTTACTTGTACAATTACCCTTCAAACATCCTTTCATTAGATATTTCCAAGAATCTGCAAATCACACTTCCGCTTGATTTTGCTCAAGGATGCACCAATTTGACTGAACTCTGGATAGCTGATAATGATTATGCAAATTTACCACCTGCTACACACCACATTCCCTCACTTGAGCGCTTGAATATCTCAGGCAATCGTTTGCGTGACTTGGAACATGCCCATCTTGACCAACTCTCCAAACTCGAAACACTACGTGCCATCAACAACAAATTAGAATCATTACCTGACTCATTTGGCACTTGCTTTCAGCACTTGACTGCCTTGTATATATCCAACAACTCATTCACCAAATTCCCCATGGTCATTTGTGACATTGTCAGTCTGGCATGGCTTGATATCAGCTTTAACAAGATCCAAATGTTTCCCGAGGAAATTGGCCAATTGACGAATTTGGTTGGTTTGTATGCGATTGCGAACCGTATCACAGGTGGATTGCCTTCCAGCTTTATCAATCTCACAAAACTAAGAGAATTGGATCTTCGGCAAAACTTGATTTCAGATCTGGATGTCGTATCCCATTTACCCAGCCTAGAGATCTTATTGGTAGACTATAATTCTACCAGTATTGTCAATTTTGAAACCAAGAGCTTAAAACAGTTGAAGATGTACAAGAACCATTTAACTCAATTCAACCTGATCTGTCCTGCTGGTCAAGAGACATCTTGTTTAACAGAACTCAATCTGTCTTGCTGTAAACTGTCCAGTCTGCCAGAAACCCTTTTTGACAGCATGAGAATGCTGGAACGTCTTGTGCTTGATAGTAATACGCTCAGCACACTTCCTTCCAGCATTGGATCATTACGCCATTTAGTGAAACTATCGATTCAGAACAACAATCTTGATAGCTTACCCTCTAAAATTGGTAAATTGACAGAACTCAAGGTGCTGGATGCTCAGAAAAACAATCTCAAGATGCTTCCTAAAGAAATCTGGTTGTGTGCCTCTTTACAGACACTCAACTGCTCTTCCAACTTGCTTGAATCATTTCCTCAACCCGTATCTACATTAGCCAGCATCACACCCTCTTCTACCCCCATGGCAAACTGTAAAATGAGTGACAACGATTTGTCTGACCTGACTTTACTGCATAATGAAGACAAGGATATGATGTCCGTCTTGCCTCCTACGTTGAATGCTGGTCAAGGTGTCATTAAGCGTCTCGATCGCTTATTAGACTATTCAACCATCAGTTCACCTGTTACACCTACAATTCACTTTAACAATCCTCTTCAAAGTAGTACGACATCGTTTATGTATCATTCTGAACAACCTTTACATCCTCACCACTTGACACCTCAACAACAACAACAACAACAGCAACAGCAACAACAACAACAACAACAACAGGAACTGCAAGAACAACCTTATGAGTCATCACCATCACCCACACCTCCACCTCCACCTAATTTTAATCCTCCTAGTTTCTTCACAAGCCCTCATAACCATCCTCCACCTCTCTCTTTATCGCTTCGTCAACTCTTCCTTGGTGATAATCGCTTAACAGATGATGTCTGGTCTCCTCTTTTACACTTTTCAGAACTTCGTACACTCAACTTGTCATTCAACGATCTATATGAAGTTCCACCTGAAAGTCTTTGCCATCAACACTTGTATGAACTCTATTTGTCAGGCAATCAATTGACTTCTTTACCAGCAGATGATATTGAGCGCTTACAGTACTTGCGTGTCTTGGCTGTGAACGGTAACAAACTTCAGACGTTGCCTGCAGAAATCGGCAAGCTCCGTAAACTGTTGGTGTTGGATGTAGGCAACAATGTGCTCAAGTACAATATCGCTAACTGGCCTTACGATTGGAACTGGAACTGGAACTTGGGTCTTAAATACCTCAATTTGTCAGGCAACAAACGACTCGAGATTCAAAAGACACACCCTGATCCTAACAATCCAAAAGACAAGGATCTGTCTGATTTCAGTGCCTTGACTCGATTGCGTATGCTGGGTCTAATGGACATTACTATCTTGGGCGTCTCTATTCCAGAAGAATTTCATGATCGCCGTGTGCGTACATCTCCCTCTGAAGTCAACAGTATGTCGTATGGTGTAGCAGATTGGTTAGGTCCTAGTGATCATTTATCAACATGGGATTTAGTCATGCCTCGCTTCCGTGGTAAAGACGATGAATGCATCTTTGCTTTATTTGATGGCTCAAAGCATCCAAAGTCTGGCTGTCGCCTTACGAAACAATTGAACGATATGCTCGTCAGTCAATTCACGAAAGAACTGTCGTCGATCAAGAGCGATGATACCATTGTGTCTTCTGTGCGTCGTGTCTTTTTAGGTCTGGAACAAAACTTGGGCTCTTCTCCTTACTTGGTCGATAAGGACTCAGGCGCTTCTGCTGTGGTATGTTATATCTCAGGCACCAAACTCTATGTGGCCAATGTCGGTGATGCATTAGCTGTCATTTCACGCAACAATGGCCAAGCATTCGAAATTACACAGAAACATATCCCTTTGAATCCAAGCGAAGTCTCTCGTATTCGTGCAGCCGGTGGATACGTGTCGAATTCAGGTTTGCTGAACAATGAACTCAATGTCTCAAGAAGCTTTGGTCATTTCCACTTGATTCCAGTCGTCAACTGTAATCCATTTGTGTCGACGATCGACTTGGCTGAAAATGATGAGTTTGTGATTATGGCTTCGCGTGGTCTTTGGGATCGCATGACCTATCAAACAGCAGTGGATATTGCACGTACCGAGAAAGATGATTTGATGGCTGCTGCTCAGAAACTACGCGATTTTGCCATTACGTATGGTGCTACAGACAACTTGATGGTCATGGTCATTGGTGTAGGTGACTTGTTTGATAAGCGAGAAAAGCGGTATAGAAACAATCGCGGTAATAACATGCCTGGTCGAGGTGGCACGGGTGCCGATGTAGTCGATGATGGCTTATTGATCAAGACCAAACGAAGAGGCAAAGAAGAAGTACCTGGTGATTCTGTAAGTGGAAGAAACCAAATAGTATCGATTACTTACCTTTTTTTTTAATATTAGACCTTGGCTCGTTTAGAAAGAGAAGTAGCGCCTCCTGTGAGTCAATTGGCTCTTGTGTTTACGGATATCAAGAGTTCCACTCAATTTTGGGAAACACAGCCTGAAAACATGCGAGCAGCCATCAAGATCCACGATGCCATCATGCGTCGTACACTCCGTAGTGTTGGCGGTTATGAAGTCAAGACAGAAGGTGATGCCTTCATGGTCTGTTTCAAGAACATCACGGCTGCTTTACTTTGGTGCTTTACTGTTCAACTTCAACTTCTAGAAGCAGATTGGCCGGCAGGTATTTTGGATACAGAAGAAGGTCGTGAAATCGAAAAAGACGGTGTCTTGATCTACAAAGGTCTCTCTGTCCGTATGGGTATTCATTGGGGCACACCTGTCTCTGAACGTAACCCAATCACACAACGTATGGATTATTTTGGTCCTGTGGTCAACAAGGCAAGTCGTATCTGTAATGCAGCGGATGGTGGTCAAATCTGTGTGTCTTCGGATGTCTTGTCTGCCTTGCGCAACTTCCCTAGTATGTTTGATCAAGACGCGGATCTTCAAGCTGTCGCCTCTAATAATGACGAGGATGCATTTTCGGGCACTTTTCCTGTCAGTCGCGATTTAATCCAGTTGAAGCAATTAGGGTTCCATGTAGTCGAACTAGGCGAAAGACGTCTTAAAGGTCTTGAAACACCAGAAACATTGAGTTTAGTGTATTCCAAGCAATTGTTAGGTCGTATTGAGATTGACAAGAGTGAAATGATGGCTACAGCAGCACCACCCCCTACTTCTACTACAGCGACACCTATGGCCACCCCTGGCAGTGTTTCAACCACAGTGGCTATTACACCTTCTTCTGTGGATGCTTCTCCTGCTGTAGTGCCGTCTTCAGACTACTTGACAATACGTCCTGTCCAGAAAAAGACAGCACGTACGATTGATGCCAACCTTGTGTGTGCGATGAGTAATTTGGCTATTCGCTTAGAACGCTTGACATCCGGTCATGTCTTAGCTAACAGTGGTGATTCTATGGATGTGATGACACCTTCTGGGCTTAGCTTGGTGCTTGATAGACATCTCAGAGAAGAAGCAAGTGATGAAGAATTACTTGTCATGATGGAAAACTGTGTTGCAAGAGTAGAGGTAAAGTAACATGAACATATCCTTATTATTAGTATTTTTACTGATTTCTTTAGAATGCTGTCTCTTCATTATACCTTCAAAAAATGGGTCATTTCGCCAACGTATTAGAGAAGTTAGGTGAAGCGATTGATATGGATCCAATGCATATCATCAAAGCACTTCAAATGTATGCAGAAGTACTTTCATAAACTTATTTTTATTACAAAATGGGAATATAGCTATTGATTCTGTCCTTTTGGTTTTGAGAAATACATTCAGCAATCCAAACAATATTTCTAATTTCTTGTTCCTTCAACTTGACATAAGCAAAAAAGACACCATAATGAAATTGTTGCATAAAAGCTTGTTTGTTAAGAGCTACTTCTGTCTCAAAAAACTTGTCTTCCAATGTCTTGTTTGTGTTGGTATCAAAGAAAGAACGATATTCATGAATGACTTCACAAACAGCCTTAACTTGATCAACTTCATCAGCGATGGCTAAGCGGGCATTTCCTTCGGGATAAAGACGACCTATGGTAGGGAAAAGCTTTTTACGGTCTTCTTTGGGTAATTCAGTACCAAAGGAGTTGATCGTGATATTGATCGTACGACGGTCTGCTTCAAACTAGACAATAAAATCAGCCAACGCATAAACAGAGGTTATCACTTACACGAAGAATGTCACCCATCACTTCAGCAGTAGGGCCTCCAAGAGACTGACAGAACTGATAAAAGTCTTCAAGGTAAGCTTTGTAGAGCGTGTTACGAATAACTTCAATGTTGAGTTCATCCAAATCATGCGCACTTAGACAATTGGCAAAGTAAGGAGCTAAAATCCTATGGGCTTAATACGCGTCTTTATCTCTCATTCCTTACCTAAAGGTGTTTCAACCAAGACAGTGTTGTATAATTCAGAGACAGTAGTAGCAACACACAAAGCAGGCATGGTCTCAAACACACCAAGAGGGTGACAACGTTCAAGAAGTTCGTGTGTATCGCGTTCATGAAGTGTACCCGTAATGATCAAAATGACATTATCAATCATGTATTGATATCTATCAGAAATAATTCAGTACACATAGACCTATGCATGACACTAGTTACGTGATATAGTCCAAAAACTTGGCTAAGGGTTGAACAGCATTACTACGAATATACTCAAATTCATCAACCAGACTTTGAGTCAATTTCTCTGCAATAGTAGATGTAGCAATAGGAGAAGGTTCGTTCTGTAAAAGAGTACCATAGTCAGTAGCTCCGAGTTGAAGACGAAGATCTAGGTTGATAAGTATACACGCACTGGTAATTCATATGTGTATAGTTTACCTTCAAGTGTTTCACATTGAGTAAAGTTGAGGTATTGAGTAGAATTCAGAATGCCTGAATAATGACCTCTTAAAATGCCATCAACAAAACCGTCTTTTTCGTTATAAGTAAGTGCGTTGGCCATTATGTCACAAAAACAAGGAAGGGAAAAAAGTTGAAACTTGTAAACAAAAAAAAAGGGGATAAGAGTGTAAGCGGTGTTTCAATGTAATTTAGTGATTTATTCATTCACGATGGCTTCAACAGCAGAAGGAGGTAAAAAGGTAGCAAAAGTCAAGTAACTTGTATGTCCTCTTGTTTCGCCTAATGTTCTTGACACCAGCATCAAATTGACTGAATCTTGAATTTCTTCTGGTGTTGGCACAGGTTCATCTTTACCTAATTTTCTCTTGACGGGTGTGTTTTCTGGAGAGAATCGTTTGGCTTTTGCGTCTTGAACAGCATCAGAGAAACTGATTTTCGAATAAGGAATCACTGTATGTTCACGTATTAAACATTCATACATGGTAATTTCTAATACCAGTCAGTTACATCATGGCAGCCTATCACTGTCTTACCAATAAATCCATGTTGATCTAATGCTGTCACTGATCTAGCTACCTGTTCAATACAAGGACTAAAACAACAGATCTTGCCAACGCGATCTTGTTTGAACGCTTCCTTTGCTGATCCAATAGCATCCCAAGGAGCAGGTAGATCCAAAAAGACAGCATTGACCTGATCCTTCATTTGAAATCCATCTTTACACACATCGCGATGATGCATCTTGATGATGTTGCCATATCCATGATCGTCAAATTCTTTTTGTGCCATAGAAGCTCTTTCTTGATGATATTCAAATGAATATAATTGACCTGTAGGTGCAATGGTACGTGCAATCGAGTGTGAAAACGAACCAGAACCAGTGCCTGATTCAATCACATTCACACCTGGTTTCATTTCTAACATGGCACTAATAAAAGAAATATCGGCAACATATAGAATCTGTGTACGATGAGGCAAAACAAGTGTCCAAAGTTCAGGTGTGGGATGAAGTAAATAAACAAAACCTCTATGGTTGGCAGAGACCATCTAACATTGGATGAGCTTCATGTTCAGGAGCGCAAAAAAAAAAAAACTTACTTTGGAGCCAAATTCTTTTCCAATCATCTCGTCATGCTTATAAGAACCAAAGCGGTTATTAAAGGCATCACCTTTTTTGACATGAATAGGTAACATGTTGTCTCTTGTCTAGTGTCTGTTAATATATGTAACATCATTCAATGAAGTCCATACCATATAGACAATCACAATGTCACCTTCTTCAATATATTTCTTCCAACCACTAAAACTCATTGCTAATCAAAAGAAGACGACGAAAAAAAAGGAAATGTCCTTTTTGACATGACACAAGCCACTTGGCTGTAGCCTATCTGTGACTCGAATTTAGCTCATTCATGCCTCCTCTCTCCTTCTTTTTATTATGACTACCAGAAAAAACAAACTCACATCTGAATCAAGGGATCTCTTGGCTACAAAAGACCTTTTACAAGCCTATTGTCAAAAAGCATTAGATGACAAACTATTACCCAACACGAAAGAAGCAAGGCAAAAGCGTGCATTAACACAACCTCGTCTAGAAGAAGTAACGTACGCGCGCATAAGAGAAGACACTAACTCTATTCTTTATAGTTGATGAATAAGATGATTGCTTCTTTTTCAGGATGTTTATCGATCGTTGATTTCGATGGCGATATTGATGCTAGCAAGTATCTGACTATCTAAATAACATGAAGCTCATCATACCGATAGCTGCCCTGAATAGAACAGAACCTATTAACGAAGAATTAAGACAAAAGATCAAGTCAAAAGAACAAGAACTGGATGCTGTCTTGTTGAAAGCAATCGACATGAGAAGAACAGTGCCTCAAAAACAACTGAATATTGCACAAGAGATTTCAGCCGTGATAGGTCAACAAGCAGAAAAAGCAGAATTCAAAGTGATCAGTGATGAGAAAAGTAAGTCAACAAGACTCAGTATAGCAATAATCTGAATGTGTGATAGCCATGGACCCAATCACAGTCACAACAGATACAGTAGAAGCCTACCGAGATACCATCAGGCTATCTAAACATATATTAAAGGCAAGTGGTTGAACAAATAGACTGTTATTAACACATCCTAGAAAACACAACATCTTCCAGAAAAGATAGATACCATCTTGGACATTTTAGAATAGAAAAAAATAAGTTTATATATCATCCACAAGAGGACATTGACCAGACAAAACGACTTTAGCAACATCTTGCCAGAGTTTCTTGATATCGTCTGCATTATGATCATCAAAATAAATTCTACAGTCTGCATTTGTAGCACTGTATTCAAGTAGATCGGTTTCTCTGCCTGTAAAACTGTCTGTAGGCTTATAGACTTCTCTGAATGTCCAACCCATATCTGCACGTTCAGGGAAAGGTTGAGGTGCATCAGGATCCTCTTGCATATTCAAGATTTCAAGATCCATCAAGAAACTCGAGAGACGATCACTTTCACCACCGGGGAAAGAAGCAAATTGCATACGATTACCACGAATACCACCTAACCCCATGGCGGGCACTTTGTGAGACAGACGAAGACGAGAAGCCACAATGGCACACGTAGACCCACACCGACCATCAGAGAGGATCAAGAGATCTGAACTGTTCCACCGTGTGTTCTTGAAAGCAGGACGCGAGATAGAATCCATCCAACTATCACAACTTAAAGTGACAGGCTGAGAGAACTTGACAGAGGGCGATGTGCCTCTTTCATAGGACGTTGTGTTGGTAAACCAGGCATCTCCCTTCAGACCCGAAGTATGATAATCAAGCCATTTTGTGTTTTGGTCCCTGTAGGCCTTTTGAACCACCCGTTCAAGGAAAGGAGAGTATTTGATATCAGACATATAGTCAGGCGTAGCATTGAAAAAAGTATTGATGATGAATTCACCAGCACAGGCATCACCACCACCATTAGAAGACAAGTCGAGAATGATCTTTTCCACTCCTTTGGACTCAAAGTCTTCAAGACCTTTTACGAATTCATCAGCAAAGGCTTGTCTATCAGAAGAAGCAATCGAGAAACTTTGGATATCAATCACACCCACTTTTGTATCGGCCAATGGAATGAATTCAATATAAGGACCACGACTGCTGCTTACTGAATTCATGGCTACTTTACCCTCAGCACTAAGGGCAAAGACATCGCCTTCATACATAGTCTTGAGTTCATGAAGATCATAATGAATATTGCGTTTTGAAAGGCTGTCTCTTTGATGTGCTGATTGACAGAACCGAGTCCAGTAGTCCTCTGCTGTCTTGAAATTAGGTGGGACTTGAGCAACCCAAGGCACCTGGACTGTGAAGGGTGCATCATAGTCTTCTTGAACAGGCAATGTACCTTCTTTAGCACAACGCATGGTATAATTATGGAATTCTTGTGCAGGCAAGAAACGATGGTAACCTAAATCATCAGCACCATCATCCCAGCCATGGAAGTAACTTTTGGTATTCATGATGTTATTGAAACATGTATTGACGTCTTTGCTTTCACCATTGTTGTTGACAGCGTAATTGGCAAGCATTTCCATTGCATCCATGCCATCAATTTCAGTGACTTGACAGCCAACCCAGGATTCTTTGGCTTCAGGCCAAACATCGTTTTTGACATAGGCTACATTGGCAATCAATCTTTTGTTGCGAAGTAAAGCGTTTAGTTGAATAGGTTGCCAAAAAATGAATTGACGGTAACAAAAAGGTGAATAAGACTATTAAAAAAAATTAGAGTTAAATTTAGATGTGTGATTTTGATCTTACCAAATGGGCATCTTGTACTTTGTCTAATAATAAAGCAATCGATTCTTGGAATTCTCTGTCTGATTTCCAATTTTCTTGAAGAATCAAATCAAGACCATAAGAAATATTGACAGCAGGGATTGACAAACCTTCTACTTGAGGAGGAGAAGCAGCTACTTCCTATATAAATTCATTAGATACCAACCATGACGGGTATAAGGCTTACGTTAAACACATAGAGTTCATTTGTGATTTTTCGAACTGTATCAACTGTTTGTTCAGCAATCGTTTTATCAAACTTGAAATAATCCAAACAAGCTTTTGCATCTTGAAAATTGGCTGTCTTGTTACCCGCAATATGGGCACAAGGATCTTGCGCTGCTGCGATGGTAGATACGAGTAGACTGAAGAAAGTCAATGAGCCAAGACATCTCTTTCTTGGCATCATAATGAAAGGAATGGACTGAACAAAAAAAAAAAAAAAAAAAAAAAAGGAAGAAAAGAATATAATTAGGAAACTAATAACGAAGGTCTATTTATAGTTTCTTATGATGATTCAAACTCCGATGTTTATTTCATTTAGATTTGAGCAATCCCTTTAGCAAAGAAATGGACATTATTATCCAATATTTTATAGTGCATGGATTGTGGTGGGGTATGTTTCTCTATCATGACTGTTGATTGTGGACCATAAATGATGTCTAACTGACCATGAACGTCACGGGCTAATCCACTATGTAAAGGTTGCACTTGAAGAATAAGGCTAGATCCATACAAGACTTGCTTCACAAAATTGTCTTGCTCCATATCTTCTGTTCCCTCTTCATCTGCATGCATGATAGTCAATAATGTACCCTGAACTCTTTCTGTCAATGCCTTTAATTTAAGCAACAAAGCAGCATGATCCATGCCATTATAGATCCAAGTACTGATATCATCCAGTACAATCAATGCATTGGGTTGAACATGAGAAGCAATAGTCTCATAGAATGATTTAGGGTCTTGGTTGTATTCCAATGTGGCAGTGGGTGCAGTAGGTGCTTTTGTAGGAGGGTAAGGTGTTTGTGGCGTGTATGGATTGAAATGAGTCAAGCCATCAATAAATACAAATTTGCCTGATTGTTTATAGGTTTGCAAATTAATACCCTAATCACACACTCAATAAAGCTTGTGATTGTATGATTTATTCTTACCAATTTACGAGCAATGAGGAAATAATGATTGAAAATTTGAGAGAATCCAACCAACACAACAGGTTTATCATTCTTGAGATGATTGACGATAAAATGATGAATTAAGAAATTAGCGTCTGATTTAAGTGTATCAGTGATAGCGATATGAGCCTGTTGAGGAGGAAGGTTATTTGGAAAAGCAAGTGCTGCGTCTAATGTAGCATAGCCCATGATAAAGAAAAAAAGAGAAGAAAAAATAAAATAAAAATACAGTCACGATGTATGCATTTTATTATGATGCTGAAGTAATTCAATTAAATGCTGCAATACAACATCTTGACTTTGTTCTCCTTGTTGGCCTTGTCTTTTGGATATCATGTATTTCTGAATAATAGGATCATTCTATTGATATAGTTTATAACATTGCTTTACTTCAAAAATGACTTACTTTGATATCATTGGCTAAACTCTCTGTTTTTATACTTTCTAGGGTTCTAGAGATATTAGAAAGTGATAAATATTCAAAAAGACTTACTTGATCATCTCTTCTATTAAAGTAAATATCGCTGTATCTTCCTTTTTTATGGTAGTTAAAACAACTGTACTTGTAGCCTTATTATTATTATTGTTATTATATATATATATGTCAATAAAACTATAATATATATTTACTTTTTCATGGTCTACCCATTGATTACTTAATATGTGTGTAAGTGTATTTGGTGTCAAAATAGGTGGAGATCCCCAATGATCATCTAAATTATGTATAATCTCTGATATCCGGTCATCAGCCATTGTATTTGATAACTGTGTCTTTTTAGTAGATGGTCTTTCATTACTTTTTGGTAAAGCAAAATACATGGTTGAAAATATAATAATAATAAAGAAGAAGAAGAAAAAGAAAATAAATAAATAAATAAAGAGAGTCCAGACTTATTCAACAAGAGCGATTTTAAGCTATTCTAAAATGAAAAAATGAAAAAAAGAAATCTAAACTATATCCAGGCAAAATTTCATCATTTTGAACTGTACTACTATTTTATTCGGCCAAACTATCACCGTCTAATTTTTGACCAAGTAAAGAAGTATAGAGTTCTTCAATCATGCTTTCATGCCAGTCACCCACAGGTATAGGAGCCATAAAGTTTTGTAGCTTTTCATGTACATTAAATCTATATAGAGAGTAGATGAATATACACATCATTATTTAGAAACTATTTACCTTAATTGACGTCCTTTGCTTGCTTTTCTATTCACAGCCTTCTTTTTCTTTTTTTGTTCTGTTTGTTTACGTGCAGCCCAACGCATACCAATAGCCAATGGATCATCTGTATCCACCATACGAGATTCAATCAATTCACGCAATTGTTGTTGATAAAAGTCTTGGTCATCAAAGATTTCAACATCATAGGTATTCAAATGACGATCAGGTTTCTTGCCTGTATCTTGTTCTTCTTCTGTGTGTTGTTCAATATGAACTTTACCTAATATTTTATAGTCTGATCTCTGTAGTTGTGTTCTTTTGATTAGACTAGGTTTATCAGCCAAAGTAGCTTGAATTTGTGTCATGATATTTTGATCAAAGGCCTTGAATTTCTTGTTTAAACGAGCACCTGCTGCTACTTGAACCTTGTTACTCCATTTCTCTAATGTGCTATTACGGAAGGGCACAAATCTATCAAATAGATCAATACATTTGTTTTGATAAACACAATAAGTTACACATCATTAATTTGAGTCATGTCTTTCCATAGACTATCAAGATATTCATCATCATTTTCTTCTTCTTCAAGGTGTCTCTTGCGAGTATGACAGTCAACTTCAGATAGATCAATAGCACCATTCTGCTTAAATAGATCTGAACGCATGTCCATCAAATCATCAATGATGTCACGCAATGCATGCTTTGTAGCCTCTAAATCATCTTCTATGTGCGATTTAGCCATGAAATCAACCCAAGTATCCTTTTGAGGGAGTTTGTTAGCATCGTCCATAAGTTTCTGCATACGAATACGGTTTTCTAAGCAATTATCCCATAGTGTCTATAGATTGATGAGTAATGTACATACACATAAGGAACTTACCAGTTGTTGTCGAACATGCTGACCCTTTTCAACGTCTGATTGTGCACTCTTGGATAATTGAGAAATCATTTGCCTATGTAGATTGTTAAATACAAGCATATATATATATATATATTTACTTTTCTTCTTCTTGAATCTTTTTCAATTCAGTATTGACATCGTCTTCAGAGTCGTTGTCTTGTTCAGAGTCGTTGTCTTGTTCAGAGTCGTTGTCTTGTTCAGAGTCGTTGTCTTGTTCAGAGTCGTTGTCTTGTTCAGAGTCATTATCTTGTTCAGAGTCACTATTGACTTCCTCATCATCAAAATCATCTTTATATGTATGTGCTTTGGCAAGTAGGTCTTCATCATCATCATTGATATCATCACCACTACCACTCATATCATCACTTTGGTCTTCTTCTTCTTCGTCATCATCTTCTTCTTCGTCCTCAGAATAAATATTTTTACGACTGGTACGCTTGCCACTGTAACGAGGATCATCCAATAAAGGTTGTTCGTTACGAAGCTTACTTTTACCTACAGAAACATAATGATCGCGAGCACCAGAATCTTGTTGATCGGCCTCGTCTTCACTAATGTCATTCTGATCGTTCAAGGGCTCAAGAATATCTTCGGGATCATAATCTAGATAAAGCAATAAGGAATTTATCAAACAGTCATGGCATGTCTACCTTTAGGTGCCGTATTATCAAGATCGGCGAAAATGGAAGCAAGTTTTGTGCTTTCTATTTATTTTATCGTAAGTATACAGCATGAAGCAGGACGGAATACTTTACTTGACATGAGAGAAAGGTTTCAAGATGAAAAGCCCATGGAAGCTGTCTTTTTCAGTCCCCAAGAAAACATGTGGCTTGACTGTGACTGTAAATACTGACTCGCATCATGACCATTGGATGCTACGTAAGTCCTCTGTTTGTTTTCACTTTGATGGTCAAAGCAGTAAAAGGTGTCTTATTAGAGTGTGATAGCACAGTGAAACAAATCGTACTCAACTTGAACAAAAGAGGCAATTTTATAATTGAAGACTTGGACGAAACACACTTATTTATCGAATCTTCCTGGGTAGACCAATTGAAATACGAACTCGATAAGATCTTGGACGAAAACTCTTATACCGTCTCTGCTGTAGAAGACAACAAAAAGTTTTAATTAAATAAACTATGAAGCGTGTTTGTCCTATTTGTCATACGACCAAATTCAAAAGCTCGAGTGATTCGGGTTTGGTCTGTAAATATGGTCATAAACTCTTGGGTATCCAAAAAGAACAACAAGAAGACGATACCATCATGGGTGGTTTGGGTCGTCGACGCAAAAAGATCAAGACAGAAGTTCAGGAGAGTCGTGTCAGTCCCGCTAAGCAAGCCAGTGATTTTATGCGGATCATTCAGTTTGGATTGCAAGTGATGTCACGTAGTATGGTTCAAGACTTGGGGTTTCCGGCTGAATTGGAAGCTGTTGTACGTGAATTATGGCTACTCTATATCGCAGACTCAAAAAAGAGATTGTAGAAGCATATCTGTTTGAAGCCAACATCAAGGAAAAGAAAGATGGAGAAAGCACAATCAAACAAGACACAATGAAGCTTGAATTAGAAGAATTAGAAGCATTGGCAGCCAAATCTGGATCATCCGATGACGATCACGATGACGATGACGATGATAGCCCAGCACAAGGTTCATCTCGACTGAAATGGCCCCCACTTGACTTTAGTCACACTCTTGTATTTCTTTATCTTGGATGTATTTATCTTAATTTATCTGTCTTACCCTATGATTTCATACGATGGGCTAAAGAAGGACAGATTCCTTATTTAAAGATGCAAGAAAGAATACCTTCTCAAACCATGGCTTCACTCAGTTTGTTCTTGAGTAATTCCATGACCATGGTGCCAGGTTTAGCCACCCTCGTCAGAAGATCCTATGAATTTACAAGGTGCTTTTTGTTCAACTGCAATCAATCATTTCCACCTTTAAATGTCCCGCTTTACATAGATCGCTTTTGCCATCAATTCTTTCTTCCAGGTAAAAAATAAGCTTCTTCCTAGTCTTGTTACTCACCATTTATAGTGGAGGGCTTTTATTGTGCGCAGTTTATTTTTGAACAGTATCGCCATAGATACGTGACAGATTTACATCTTGTCAATCGATACTATAAAAAACCACAAGTGACAACCGTCTTAATGGCTTGTGTCTTGGCCACAGTGAAACTCATGCACGGCATTGGTACGCATGGTCAAGACACTAACCTACATCAAGACATCAAAGCAAACCTAATTCGATGGAGAAAAGTACAAGAAGACCAAGAGGATCTAGATAACATTGTTCAATACCTAAGAGACACGTCTGTAGCCTCTAAAATAGCTGCTCATTCAGCAGACCGAAACAGTAAGATATATAGGTTGGTTCGATTGTCTGTTGACTTGCTTTTTCTTTTTCTTTAGATATCATTCTCAACTTGTTTCATCAAGGACCTGTTCGTATGGTCCATCGAAAACAACGTCCATCAGACTTGTTTTTGGATGCAAGTCATTTAGTACAAGATCAAGTACCTCTTTTTGACAAAGACGTATTTTATTATTATGCAAGAAAATCAGGGTTTGGGCCTTTAGACTATGTAGATCTCATTGAATTAGCTACTTGTATCACAGGTGAAAAGATTAATGCGTCAATTGAATCTACCTTGAAAATCATTGACAGATTATTGGTTCAAACCAGCCATGCAAAAACACTTTTAACATCTGAATACAAGGCAAGATTTCCTTAAATATATATATATATATATATATGTGTGTGTGTGTGTACATTTTTATTATTACATAATAAACTTTTTTTTCTTTTTTCTATAAAATACAAAAAGGGAAAGAGAGAGAAAGAAAGGGTATATAAGAGAAGGGGTAATACAGAAATTATTGTCCAGCGACTTGAGAATAAGCATGAATAGCAGTACCACGGCATTTTTCCCATTGAGATTGAAATCCTTGAAGCCAAGAGATAATTAATTCCAAGCGATCAATAATGGGGATAGTACGTAACAAACTATATAAATCATTGGGTGGCATAGGAAGCACAACAGCAGCCCACCAGCATACAGCCACAGGATCAAGTTTAGAAGGCATAGGACCATGAAGTGACTTGACACTTTCAAACCAAAGTGGGCCCAATAAACCAGCTGTTTGTGCATGAAGTACATGCGAAGGAATAGAAGAGACTGAACCGAGATGTTGAATGTACTTCAAGATAGAATCAGCTAAATCGACAGCATAAGCATTGACATGTTGTACAGCATCATCATGGTCAGAAGGCAATTCAATACTGAGTTGACGAATGGCGGATTCATGCAAGATTTCGAAACTGGCTATTAGTCGAGATTCGTGTTCTTCTTCATGATGTGTGTCAAGACGGAAACGATCTATACCTACAACATCAACCATTAAAGCATCATGGCGTCGTTCAAGACCGATGATATGAAGAATAGTACCAAATTGAGCTACTTGAGGTCGACTACGATGCACAGCAGCTAAACAGAGACCGTTATATCGACTGGAAGGAATGATGGCTTCACGAAACATGCGAAGATGATTAGGTGCAAAAATAGGTAATCGAAAAGTTTGACCGGGAATAATAACTGCGCCAGAAATAAACAAGGGTACATTGTATTGGTGTGTATGATCAGTATCTAACAATAGGCTTTCTCGGGTATTGGAAGGTAATTCACCTAATAATTGAAAGTCTTTGACAATGCGAGCAATCAGTTGATTACAGGGTTGACTGGATAGACTGCTGAATCGAGGTAATGGACGGCTGCAGGTGTGACAAGCGTCGGCATTAATTTTGGATTGTAAAATACAGAGACGACAAAAAGTATCGCCACAAGGTGCTGTGACTGGATCAGAGACTGGATTAGAACAGATTTGACAAGACAAGTGTGGAATGACTGCATTGACAATAGAATCAGCAGAGTGTTTCACTTGTGTTGAAGAGGGTTGGGAGCTGCTCAAGAGTCCTTTAAGAATATCGGTGAGTGCTGACAAAGTGACATCTGTGTATAATTCAGGACCAAAGAGATGTGTTGCTGAATCACAATGAGGTACTGGACAGTGAAATACAGATTTTTTGACAGAAGTAGGGCTGGTAATGGGGAAACAAGGTGAACAAACAGAATATCCGCAAGAGAGTGTAATAGGATCAATTAAAACATCACCACAAGCAGCACAAGTAAGTGATTGTGTAAGGTTAAATCTGTCAGGCATAATGAATTAAAAAACAAATAAAAAGTAAAAAAGAATTAAAAAAAAATAAAAAAAGGGGCCCTTTTTATAGTGCTAAAAAAGAGTCATTTTGAATGATGGCAAAGATCAAGCCTCACTGCACTAAAATCCGATCGCTACTCAAGTCTTCGATATTTAGTTTTTCTGAATCTTCAAAGTCCTGATTTAGAAATTTGTTCCATGCAAATCTGGGGGGTGTGATTTATGGGGGGCGAATCCATGCTCATCACGACTAACTAGATTTGGGCGTCAAATTTCCTTTAAGGAAAACCAATCTTTATTATTATTATTCATCAAATGTACAACCAAAGCTCAATACATTAAATGCATTTGTATTCTTAATGTCTGCCTTGCTTATGGTATTCTTTTTTTTCTTCTTTTTTACAGATTCATGAGGATTAGGATGAAGTCGTTTAGGTTTTTGATCCAATAGATCCTGTTGTTCTAATCTGTAGTCAAACACAGGTTGTACATCTTGTTCCAAGTCCGCCAAGATGACTTTATAGACTGAACAAAAAAAGAGCTTAAATTTATCAGATGTACCCAATAACATCTTGCCTATGCTTGCCCCATTACGAGCAAGATCTATATAGTAATGAAAATAGGTGCCATGATAGAGACGAGCCAAGATACCAGGTAACTGCATATAGTGTGGCATATCGAGGATTTGTGAGAGAAGATACGATGAATAAATAACACTCTGGAATTGAGATGCCAAGTGGACAGACCTTTTTTTAAGGCTAGGTACACTAGGCATTGTCATTTGATGTTCGGGGAAGCCAATTTTGGGGGCCAGTGACCTCAGTGTAGATATGACTATACCCACTACTTCATAATTCAATAATCGACCACCTTGGGGTATGGACTGAGAGCAGTGATGGATCATGTATCGTAAGCAGAGAATAAAAGGATGGATAGATACATCAAACTGAGCCAGTACTTCTTGGCTACTTGCATGAGCCTCATAAAAGTCTTGTAAAGAGGTGCCTTTGACTTTTATGGCTTCTAAATGCTGCTTTTCCCGCACATATTCATCAATAGAGAATGTCAACAATTGTCCCGAATTGGCAAGGATTGCACCATATACATATTGCCTTAATGCCCGACTCACATCCCAACTGTATTCTCGCTCAATATCTTCAAGAAAGATACTTGTCCAGAATGTTCTACTTTCCACTATATCCAATAACTGTCTACTGAATCCCTTGCTGTGGTTTTTAGATGCTGCATAGAAAGTGTCGATCAAGCCATGGTGTGCTATGTGTTGGTTCTGTTTTTTTAGGAGAAGAGGACTTTTATCATCGTATCGGCTGATTGATTCGATTATTCGATCCTGAAGGTGAAGTGCTATTTCTTGCCTAGACTTAAAACTGCTTTTGGAAATGATAGGTCTTAGTTGCTCTGTTATGGCCCATATCACCCCATTTGGTTCCTGTGTGTTTCGCTTGATGAACTCGGCTACAAGTTTAGGCCATCCAGTTGGGCTCTTGGTGGTTGGGATGCCATGTGTGCTACACCACTGTCCAATAGGGGCACGTACAACATCTGTATCGAGATAATCATTACCTAACAATGTGCCAAACAAGGGCAAAAGACAAGGCTCAAGGCTCAGCATGGACGCTAACCGTTGAGGATGATAGACACCAGCTGAAACAAACGATCCATCCTGTGGTATGTTCAACATGTCCAATGGAATATAGCCTTTTCCTATCTTGGGATAGACATGCATGTCTGAATCTTGAGATACGACATAACCATCCTGTTCGATAGCCATCAAGACCACTTCGCCGTCTGCTTCTGCTTGACATATCTTGACTTGCACCTTGAGTTCACGTAATGTCTGAACAACCACTTCTAGTGTTAGGGGAGGTATCAAAAATAGGTCGCCGTAATACTGAATGCCGTTCTGTCGCGTTTGAACATTCTTATTACTGGTGTTGATCTGGTCCAGATTATGAAAGGTTGAAACACATCGCTCAATATAGGATCGGTGTCGTTTGATCCTTGTCTCGATCTTGTCGCTTGGTAAAGCGCCATCAAACAAGAAAGTCAGCTGGATGCCTACTTTTGAGAACGTATGGATTGTTTTGGTGACAGCTTCTGCTATAGTGGCATATTGTCCACCATGGGTCCAGTTGGTTCTGTTTTCAAACGCAATATGGTAAACAAATGCATTACCATCAATAATAAAGTGATCTGATGTCTGCTCGGAATCGATCTTCCATTGAACGTTTTCTACTAGACTAGGAAATGACTTGACATAGTATGATAGTCCATGGATTCCCATCGTAATAGATCTATCAGCAATAAAGGTTTTTTTGTATTTTTTTTTTTTAGAGATGTGTCGTTTGAAAGCTTGGTTTCCATCCAATCAGGGGCAGGTAGAACAAGCCTCTTTTTCAAATCCAAGCATGAATATCTATCAAATAGTTAAGATTCTGATCCAGTAAGTTTCTAGTATTCTAAGAGATCTATCAATTCTTGCTTTAGTTTACTCTACAAAGGCCACAATGATGAATTTAACGCATGTATACATTGTTGAAAACATCTTTTTTAAAGCATCTATGTTATGCCAATCAATCTTTTAGCATTGTTTAGACCACATTTCATTGTGTTAAAATAAACTTTGGTCTTGTTGTTTTCGACAATATTATCTGGATTAAACAAAACCAAACACGAATTGGTCTGTAGAAACTAGCTTAACGGTTGCCGCAAAATAGGAACTGGTATACTGAATTTTCCTTGGGGGAACATCACCTTTTAAGCTCGTCTTTATTGCTAAATAAATATGGAAATCAAGTGATGTATAAATCATACATTGCTTACATCATAGTATAAAATGCAAATATAAGGTCATTTTGTATGACAACTATTATGCACGCATATTCTCATAATTGAAAGTCTACAAAAACTTGTATAAGAAATATAAGACTTATCCTGATTAAATTTTTGGATCACTTTTATTTCGCATTAGAAACATAATAAGACATCAATATAGATTAGACTTTTCTTTATGACTTGCGTATGATTCAGATTACTATATCATAGAAGCTACCAGGAATACAACGATGATAAAAAGCCTTTGACATTGTATTTTAGCCCTTACTCATCTTTTTCTCAAGACTATTAACACAAAGCAGTTGAATATGAATTTCTAAGACTGGATGTACTAAATTTTAAAAGACATTAGCCATCTACTACAAGTAGACAACACTAGAAGATAAAAAAAACCTTCATATCATTTCAATGGCTACACGCACCACAACCAAAAACAAAGTAAAAAAGAAATTCCGGCCTACCAGATTCGAACTAGTGACCTAAAGATGACAGTGTACACTACAGTCTTCCGCTCTACCAACTGAGCTAAGGCCGGGCTTTTTTGTCATGCATGCATGTTTGTATAAAGTTGGTTTTTTGGTTTTTGTTTTATTCGCAATTTTTTAGTAATTTTATTATATCAACAAATTTTCAAATTTGAATGGTACATGTCTCTAATATTCTTTAAGTTACATACAAAGTTTGGTGTGATTTAGTTTAGGTCTGATTGTACAATGGTGCCCCAAAGGTTTCAGCCAATGGTTCTATTTTCTGTCAGACCCAATCAGGTTCGAGTCAAAACCACTGCTCGGTGTGCCAATTTTTTGGTCTGGGTCTCAATTGTTGTACTTTTTTTGGTTCCTTATTTGTCCTACTTCTTCCGTATTTTGTTTCATGATATTTTGCTGTGATTTAATTGTGTATTTTATTTTTTTTGTTTATTATATTTGACAGTTCATCTCAGTTTGAATCTGTTGAATTTTATAATTTATTTGTATTAATTGTTCTCCTGTTTGACATTTCAAACGTGATTGCTTTTGGGCAAGTTTGATTTGCTCTAGATTAATGACAAGAAATTGTCTTTGTAGAAATTTATTCTAAAGAAAGTATAAAAGACTTAAAGAGCTTTAGAAGGAATAGAAGAATCTGAAAGTAATCGAAATCTTTTTTTTTCTAAAATTTTATTTTTTACATATATCTTCATTGTCTTTTGAAGGAACTGTGCCTAAGGTTATAATCTCTCTATTTGTGTCTATCTCTCTATAATTACAATGGTCTTTACAGTCTTCTGTTGTTAATTATTGCTTTATCTCTTATACTTGTTAGTCTTGTCGTTCAAGGTAAACACAAAGGTGTTTTAAACATATATGAATTCATATGCATAGATCAATAAATGATGATCATGGCAAAAGGCCAGATCACATCTATGATAATTGCAATGGATCTATAGTCACTGACATTCACTCATTCTACTAGAAGTACTACATCATCCTCATAGTCAGAGATTATTAACCTAGTGACTCTTTTATTATCAATGGCCCTCATAAAGTGACAGTTAGAGCTGACAAATACATTGGTATTGGCATTTGACAAATATGCAGTAGTCTATTCAAGTTCAGGCCAGATCATGTACTATTGGCTGAGCTGACAACTTCCTCTAAAGGCATTTCTCTTAATTACTCCTGATCTAACAAATCAATCCGCAGTTAAGAAGTTAACCTGTGATATAATCACTAATAAAATGGTCAAATCAATAAGTCTATTAGAACCAAAACGGCCAAAAGAAGTTACTTTATTAAAGGTTATATTTTGTATTGTGTTTATACTGTTTGTATGATAATTGATTATCCTTGATTTGGGACTGAGTGTGTATACACTAGCTAATCTGTTGAATGAATTAAGGCACACAAGAACTGGGTACATGATCAGAGCGCAGACCTCGTCTACCATTGGTATTGATGCAGATGTCAATTTATGATTATGTGATGGTCTGATCTTTAACATGTTTAAATCAAGTTAGAAGACATCCACCGAAGCTGCGGATAAAACTGTGATTGAAAGATATATTTATACATGACATTAATACTTGGTCTTTTAGGACATAACTAGTGTAAGAAGGGATGAATAGTGCTGTGTATACAACAATAACATTTTTTTGGGGAAATAAAAGCCTATACAAGTTCTAACGAACTTTCTCTGTGTTCTAACCTTTTCTCTTATTTTATATCTATTCTCTCTTCATCTCACAACAATTGCAATAAAAAACACTCGGCATAATTGAATTGAATGGTGGCACTGAATTATTCTTATGAGTGGAAGAGGGCTTTGGAGAAACGAGAAGGTATACTTGAATTTTGTGAAGATTATAAGAGGAGGTATACCAAGCTTATCATTGCAATGTTCAGTGTGCTGGAAACTGATCTCAGATTAAAAAAGGCTATTTGTTCAGTACCTCATTCTTATACACAGAATTTCGAGATTTTATGTTTTTCAGGAGGGGGGGCAGTCTGAGAAGTACCTAGAACGATTAAAGGCTTACTTACAACAAAATTCGTAAACGTCAGGAGCTTTTTATGAACGCGATGAACTTGTAAAGAAAAAAGATGTAAAAAAATATCAACATCAAATTATTGTTTATTTCAATCTCCACCAACATTTATGCCGACATGGCAAGTATGCCATTTGCGTACTTGAAAAAAATATTTTCTAGAAAAAAATAAAAACCACTACTTTAAAATAAATCAAAATTATTTTTTGCAATGACAAAAAAAAGTAAAAAATTCTTAATTTTCTGTTTTAAATTAATAAAAAAAAGCTTGTTTTTCAATTTTTCTGTTTTAAATTAATGAACAAATCTACCAAGTAGTAATATCTGTTTAAATTAAAAAAAAAAAAATCAACATCTGGTAGATTTGTTCATTAATTTAAAACAGAAAATTAAGAATTTTTTACTTTTTTTTTGTCATTGCAAAAAATAATTTTGATTTATTTTAAAGTAGTGGTTTCTAGAAAATATTTTTTTCAAGTACGCAAATGGCATACTTGCCATGTCGGCATAAATGTTGGTGGAGATTGAAATAAACAATAATTTGATGTTGATATTTTTTTACATCTTTTTTCTTTACAAGTTCATCGCGTTCATAAAAAGCTCCTGACGTTTACGAATTTTGTTGTAAGTAAGCCTTTAATCGTTCTAGGTACTTCTCAGACTGCCCCCCCTCCTGAAAAACATAAAATCTCGAAATTCTGTGTATAAGAATGAGGTACTGAACAAATAGCCTTTTTTAATCTGAGATCAGTTTCCAGCACACTGAACATTGCAATGATAAGCTTGGTATACCTCCTCTTATAATCTTCACAAAATTCAAGTATACCTTCTCGTTTCTCCAAAGCCCTCTTCCACTCATAAGAATAAATTAGATAGTGTTAATGAGCAGAGAATAGAAGGAAAGCAAACTAGTGACAGCTATTAACTAAATAGAATGACCATACAGGTAACAAATCAAGTTATCAGAAGGCTGTGCTTTAACCAGGAATATGGTTCAGACTTGGTCGGAAGCACGAAAAGGCATCGCCAAGCTGTGATAGACGCAAAAGGTGGTCATAATAAATATCAGTCCTTCCTCTTTTATTTTATATTGTTTTGATAAATATAACAAACATTTCTGAGTGTGATTGTATAAGCGCTAAATGATCTGAAAGTGTAATTTTAATGAACTGAAAACAAACCAAAGTTGATAGATGTATAAAAATGAGGGAGTAAAAGCTATCAGGTAAAATTTTCAAACAACGATCTACTTAACATATTTTCGGTTAACAATAACAGAAAAAAAAAAACAAGGGCTTGAAATCCATTAAATAATTTACCAACTATTTAGCAGACCCGCTATCAAACCTACCTTTTTTTCTCTTAAGTATACCGCTAACGTGATGTCGTCCTAGAGCAAATGGCACAAATGAAAGAGCGGATCAATCAGTGGTAAAAACATAAAAGAACCAAATAAATGAAAGCGTGGTAGACTAGAATTACATGAAAGAACTAACCCGATTGTACCTGAACAGTAAACACAATGTAAGAACAAAAAGCACCTCATTCTCTATTAGATTATTCCAAATTCATATGTCTAGGTCATGTGACAAGCTTTTCATGATAAGAATTGCAACAAAAATACAGTTTTGAAAGCTATACTGCCATATATCTTTAGGTAAACTATGAAATACTCTTATACTCTTACTTCTAATACATGTGGCTATTCATAGCGAGCTATACCAGACGATGACTATTTAGTCGATGAATATTGTCTTTATTAAAGACTTCACTCCTTACTACTGCATTGCCTAAATGTGTGTATCTTGGACCTGCGAGCAGCTAATTTAGAATGACATAGAAAGTATGCCCAAGGAATGAGTAGCAAAAGTGCATTTTGTATCATAGCAGATTTCAGAATATAAGCATCAATCAAGTGTCATTTTATCTTGGCAACTTCGGACTGCTATTGCATAGAACAAAATATGGTCAGGTGCATGATTCACATGTGCTAAGAGAAAAAGAGTAGTTTCGTTATTTCAAGAAATAGGACTATACAGGCCTTTGAGCTTTTAAGTGCTTCTCTATTATCTTACTAAAATGCCTTTTGAAATGTCAATGACGTATGTAACAAACTTCTTAGACATCCAACGGTAACATTCATCAAGAAACTTACCATTTACCAAGCTATCATAAGAGAAGAAAGTTTCCCAGAAAATGAATACAAAAAGAAACCATCGAGAGAATGATAAAGATCGGCCAAGAGCATTTAGCACAGTGAGTTTTGACTCCGCTATGTATTGCTAAAAATTAGTCGTTTCATTTTTTCGTATTGTTTTCCTTTTTTTCTTCTTATTTTCATATCAAGGAAGACCATCATGTATCCATTTAGACAGGTAGAATATACATATGCTTTTAGGCAAATATTAAAGCATGAAAAAGGGAATTCCACCATACAATAACAATAGTCCATATCAACAACCCATATCGCCACAACAACAGCAGTTTCAACATCCATACCATCAGAATAGCTTACCAAACATCAATACGCCATATCAAAACCCCCAGCCATTATCGTACCATAGTAATACACCATTACAGAGAAGCAATACTTTTTGTGAGTATACTGACAAAAGATCTCGGGTATTCATTCTACATTCACAGCCACACCAATGGCAAATAGACGGGAGCAATATTTATGGGACTTATTTCAAAGAGTGGATGTTGATCACTCAGGATCCATATCTGTTCATGAACTTCAACAGGCTTTAGTGAATGGGGATTGGAGTCCCTTTAATATCGAGACAGTGCGTATGATGGTCAGTATATTTGATACAGGTAATTTTTCACGTTAGACACACAAGATATTGACTTTACAAGACAACAATGGTACAATTGATTTCCGAGAATTCAGAGGCCTTTGGAAATACGTGGAAGACTGGAGTCATTGCTTCAAAAAATTTGACCATGATAATTCAGGAAGTATCGATTGTTATGAGATGAGTCATGCATTAAGAACATTTGGTTACAATGTCAGTGATAGATTTGTGAGAACACTAATACAGACATTTGACAAATATGGTATAAATGTCAATTGTTCTCTGCCCATGGCTGACTTCTTTACAATAGGGAATGGAACTGTTACATTTGATAATTTTGTTCAAGCGTGTGTGACCTTGTCAACGCTAACAAAATCATTCAGAGCAAGAGATTATGAAGGACGAGGCTCTATCATCATTAGTTATGAAGATGTAAGTCACACACTGTAGTATTGATATTAACACGCCATATCAAGTTCTTGACACTAGTGATCAGTAGTAGGCCAGATATGAAAGGAAGCTAATAAAATTACTTGGCATGTAGGAAAATAGGCAGTTGAATGAAAATGAGGCTTTCTTGAAGCGGATAATCTTTGTTACGGCTTATGTTTTATGCATGTAAATAAATGATATCATTTGAACTACTTAATGTCACTGCCTTTGCACCTACTGCATATTACTCTTTGAATCAAGTTCATTTCATGTCATGCTTCTTTGAGTAATTTATGAGTTTAGGCCATTTGTAAAAGATCTGTTTCTTCTCGAGTAATACTGTGTGTGTTTACAAAACAATGAAAGAGATTGTTTTAAAGCAAATAAATAAATGGCACGACCGTTGCAGTGCACTAGAATTTAAAGATTGAGCTTAAAATCCTTCCCATTGGCGTTTGCATAAAACAGCGCCAAAAAAGCTCTGAACAGACACAGCTATACAGTTAGAAGGCACACCTTTTTCCATTCTATAGAGCAAACAAATAATAATACAAACCTTTTGGACAATATAGAACTTACTTTAAAAATCACTTGAAAAAACGACAAAAGATAAAAAGCTCTTCTAGGTTGCTATTATACGTAGCGATTATTTGTACACCTACTAATTGCCTGGTCTACTCAAAATAATTTCCTAAATGTCTATGAGGTAATCAAGCAGAGATTACTGGTAGTTAGAAACTGTCTTCCTATAGTTTTGCTCTAGACATAGAACATCAAAATGGAGCTTTTGCTTGGAACTACATAAGGACGTAGTTATTTGGCTTTGATGTAGTGACAAAAGTTTTAGATTTTCACTTTCTGAATCTACCGATTTAGAGAACACAGGAACTTTGCTACTTAATTATAGAGCAAATAAGCAAGAATGTTTTGAGGTTTTTCGCTCATATTATACCATTTTGATAGTACAAGTAGTAAGCAAATTCTTTGATAAAAAAATATAGCTTTTGGCGCACATTCTGAGTACCTAAGCTTGTTGATAGCTCCATTTTTCATCTTGTAGTATTCAAAAGAAAATCAAGGGTTGGCAAAATCAATATTTTCATGAGTAAGTACCCTTTAGTTTTGAGAGGTTTTGGACCATTTTTTACAAGTCGCGTTTTTTTTTTATCCAAATCAATTACAAGAGCATCCTATATGTTAGTAAACATTGTTTGCAGCCATTTGGAGTAATTATGCGTGTATAGGCAGGTTTATGCGGATCATTAGCTTGATATAAAAACTGCATCCATTTGAAATAACACGATGTTCTTTGACATCAGTAGCATTTTGCAAACGAAAGGAGATAATTCATCGTATACATACCTCATGAAGAAGACAACAAATCACAATGAAAAGTGATCAGCTGAGAAAGCGCCTTTACTGTATAACCTTGTTTTCTTCTTTGCCTTTTCTTTCTCTTCTTCTTTTTCTGTGTAAATATATTGGTTTGAAAAAGAGATGTAATTGTGAGCCCCCTTAAGAAGGTCGTTTTTTGACGCGGACGAAAGGTTATATAAAAAAAACTGTTGTTTAGATTTTATGGCTTCCCTGCTCCCCAGTTTTATTAAATGGCAAAATGCCTCTGAGATGGATATGTTTGTACACGATACTAAGAATTATAATAAAAGAAAAGAAAAAGGAAGAAAAGCAGATAATTGCCAGAGTAAGTTTAGCTATCATGTATCAAACAGGCAGCCATTGTATCTGACAGAAAGGATAAGAATGCAAAAAATTGACAAGGAGAAAGCCTTTGATAGTTTGGATGATCAATTGATTAATAAAGACAGTGTCAGTATGAAAGGACTTTGTTATAGTGTCATTCGTGTTTTTCTGAGAGTTTTCAAAAAAAAAAAGACAAACTATCAAAAAGTCTTGCTTGCGATAAATTTAGAACATCAAAGGTATACAGTAATCGTAGCCACTGCATTCTGGAAGTGTTTATTTCTCCAAGCAACTGCAAAACTTGTGATTTACTGTTAAATCGGGATGTAAACAGGTGCTAAAAATATAAAAACATCAGCCTGTCAACCTGAAAAGGTCAAATTCGCCTCAAATATTCTAGCGACAGCAACAACAAAAATAGCAGTAATAAACATATTATTTCTCGATATCGTCATATCAAGTATAATTTCGTTGCTTTCGGCAATTCCGATATTCTTGTAAGATTATATATGCTCTACACTGAGATCTAATAGAAGTATATACACAGAAACGATTGCGTTATGCGAAACCCAAATATTGCTTAGCACAAATTGATTGGAAGGCGTAAACTGTTCTGTGCAATTGAAATCTTCGGAGCCACAAAAAGTTAACAGTAAGCGCAAAATCAAGCAAAGTTACATCATGGAATCTTGGCGGTCATAAACCAACTTTTCGCACAAAGCCCTATTTTCCCTCTGTTTCTATTTTTCTCTTCTTCTTTTTCTTGTTTTTTTTCTTGGCAAAATAAATCATAATGGCATACAATCAAGGATATGGCGGTGGATATAATCCCCAAGGATATCAACAACAACAACAAGGTTATGGTGCACCACCACCTCAACAAAGTCCATACACTAGTTACAGACCTCAAGCTGGAGGTGGTTATCCCCCACCTCAACAAGGAAGTTACCCACCACCCCAACAAGGCTATGGTGGACAAAGACCTTATGGGCGTAAGTATAACAGTCTTACGTGTTTTATATATTTATCATCCAATAGCCCCACCAGGAAGTGATCCCCAATTATGGAATTGGTTCACAGCAGTTGATACTGATCATTCGGGTCAGCTGTCTGTAGATGAACTTCAACGTGCTTTAGTCAATGGTGACTGGAGTCCATTCAACATTGAAACTGTTCGTACTATGGTTAACATGTTTGATAAAGGTAGTTTAGGAAATGGCGCGGATAAATGGGAATCCACTCACTTTTTTTGTTTACAGATAACAGTGGTACTATCGATTTCAATGAATTCGCTGGATTATGGAAATACATTGAGGACTGGAAAAGATGTTTCCAAACATTTGATGCTGATAACTCGGGCAATATTGATGTTGTTGAGATGAGAAACGCATTAAAGACATTTGGTTATAACTTGTCGGACCAGTTCATTCGTGTTTTAGTGCAAAAATTCGATAAATATGGTAAGCACACATACACACACACATGGTCTTGAGAATTCGCAATAAATAATAACACACTAGGTCATGCTGCAGGCAAAGGAAACATTACTTTTGACAACTTTGTTCAAGCATGTGTTACTGTAAAGACACTCACAGACTCCTTCAGACAATTTGATACAGACAATGATGGCTGGATCCAAATCAACTATGAACAGGTAAAAGTGCACACATTGAATTCCTGGACTTTTATGTATTAATATCTTTATAGTTCTTGGAATTGGTCATTCGCCAACGAACCTAATGCATAAGAGAAAGAAAAAAATAAAATAAAATGTATATAAATAAATTTCGGCTGTGTAAGTTGTGCTACAATGCTCAAAAAAAGAAACAGAGTTCACAAATGTAATAACAGAGGGGTTGGGTTGTAATCGAATGATAGATCAAAAATGACTATAATAGAGCTTCAAATGCTACAATATGTACACTTGGTATGACAGTTACATGAGACCAATCTTTGTCTTTCATCGAATGCATGATTCAACAGCCTTCTTGTGACAAGCTTTTGTGACTGATGAGGACAAGGAAAAAATTTTTTCAACTTGCTTGCAAAACTATAAAAAGCTTGTAAAAGTTTGCAAATTTTTCTTTTTTTCTTAATCAAAAAAGTAAGAATGCAGCCACGATGGAACGTTTTGTCATTTATTTGGCCTCAGCGCTTCATTGCCAGGAATCTTTCGATTTCTACGCATCCAAGAACGACTGTCTTCCTCGCCCTTTGGGCGGAAACGGTATTCCTTTGTCATTCATTTGATTTGTGGGATATCGTGCCGACAGGAGACTAAATGTCACATTTTTATTTAAAGAAAACGAAAATCCCTTTTACCGAGTATTTTTTTTTTGTGTTTTGTGTCATTTCCGAACATTGTTATTCTTAAATAGAACTAGTACATTGAGAGCGGTTTTTGAGGGACTTACCTTTGAGTTATCATACCATAAAAAGACGCGTCAAGTCAATAAAAGACAACTAATGGACAGGACTTTCCTCCCTGCCTTCTTACTGCTACTGCTCTTTTTTTGTGAGAAAGGAAAACTCGTACATTCTTCAATTCTGGCCTTAAATTGGTTCATATTGCTAAGCGAAAGAGCTTCTTTCTGCTAAAAAAAAATCCTTTTATAACCATCACTTTTTTATTCTGATATTAAGCAATGGAAGTAAGAGATAAGCGTGCTGCTTTAGAAGATCTTGATAACGAGTCCAACAAAAAGAGCAAGCTCAATGATGAGCAAGACCTAGAGATCTGGGAACACATCAACCTCGACAAACTCGATATAAAAGCATTATACAGATACATCAAGCTAAAGGAGAGCAATGTCCATGTGACAAACAAAGATGGCTATAGCCTACTTTACTTGGCAGCCTACAACAAGAATGTAGAAGCTTTACGGATCTTACTCCTACAGCCCAACATGGATGTCAATAGATTGAATGGACCTCATCACGAAATAGCTCTCCATGCAGCATGCTCAAAAGGGTTATTTGATGGTGTCGAGTTATTGATTGATAATGGTTCAAAACTCGACGTCAAAGACTCTCTTGGTCACACACCACTTACCAATGCCATCTTTTCCAACTCATTGGCTTGTGTTGAACTGCTCTTGTCAGCAGAGAAAGGTGCTGATGTAACAGTGACTGATGAACAAGACAACAATCTATTACATTTAGCTGCTACTAACAACTTTTCGACGTGCATTCCACTCTTAGTTCAAAAAAGAGTTCCTATTGACGATCACAATCAACGTGGATTATCACCATTGGCTATTGCCATCAGTTTTGGATTCATAGAAACAGCCTTTGTCCTTATTGATAATGGTGCTGATGTGAACGGAAAGACGCATTTTGCCACTGTACTTCATCATGCAGTTACTTGGAATCGACTCGAGATCATCAAAAAGTTAGTAGAAAAGGGCTGCAACCCTAATGTGGTCAACATGTTAGAAGAAACACCACTGTATTTAGCAGTGCAGCAACGAAAAATTGATATTGTACGATATCTGATAGAAGAAGCAAAAGCAGATCCATGTTACATGCTTCATAATCCTAACAATACAACCAACTTGCCATTACTTTATGCAGCAAATCATGGCTATACAGAAATGAGCAAACTCTTGCTCACGCCAAGGACATCGACGTTCTTTATACAAATCTCAGCAGACATGAGTCAGAGAGTAGGGCATCAAGCAACTGAAGATTATTTAAGGAAGAGTTTGACTCAACAATCAATGGAAGATGCTACACCAACACCAACTACTACAGTTAATAACACGAATAGTGAAAAAGATGATGATGTTGCTTTCGCGTCTCTCTTCAATACGTTTAGTGACGAAGAATAAAGATGTGTTGTTCCTCTCTACAAAGTAAAATACATGTTCGCATGCCTGCAATGTTGTGAGTTGTGAGAGTTGGTTATTTATTGTCAATAATAACAAAACTGTTTAGATCTCGGCGAGTTCACGGAGACGACGAACAGTAGAACGGACAGTGGCAGCGGCAGTAGTACTATTTAAAAGATGAGTATTTGGTTTTCTACCGAAAAGTTAAATGAACTTACGAGACGGTGTAAGCACCACCAGCCAAGGTCTTCTTACAACCCTTGCACTTCCAGATACCAACGGCAGTACGCTTGACAGCATCCTTACCACAGAAAGTACAGGTGTACTTGGAGTGTTGGGTGATTTCCATCTTCTTGACAGTCTTTCTGAGAGAGGCACCATAACGGGTACCATATTTACCGGTGATTCCGACCTTCTTAGTACGCTTAACCTATATTTTGATGATGTGTTGGTTGGCTGTTTGATGGATGGATGGATGTTGAGTCTCTTACCATTACGAAATATAAGTTCGTTCAAAGAGAAGGTTTAATGCTTCACGCCAGTTCATTTCTATTTTGGTTCAATCTGGCACTTCGGAAGTTAAAATAAATAGGGGGGGGGAGGGAGGGATGGAAGAAAGTTAAAAATCCATATACACCAAAGTACAAAAAACCAAAAAAAGTCTATTTCTCTACTTGAGATTGCTTATTGAAACTAATTTTGTATGTTTAGAAGCCAAAAAGAGAAAAGGTAGCATAGGGCTCATTCAGAAAATGACAAAAAAGGGACAATTAAACACATTTGGTTATTTAAAAGAGAGCATCAATCTCTTGAAAAGTGACACTTCCTATGATCTCTCACAAGACTGTAAACAAGTTCAACAAAGTCATCATTATCTTTTCCGGGTCGGGTATTCATTTGGAAGCGGACCGAAAATATCATAATCATTATATTGACCCCCAACTTTCTTGCTTTACGATTATCAAAATAACAGGAGGTGCGGAATCACAAAACAAGTATACAGATATGTCCATGTAGAACCTCCTCTTACTCTTGAAGCATTATTACAATGGTAAGATTCTAGCCATCCATCCCTTTAAATAGTTCAATCCATCGATGATATACACCGTTTGATCAATTTATACCGAATATCAGCCTGTTTTACGATTTTTGACTTGATATTGCATTAAATACGATCAATGGAGGAAGTGGATTTGATTAGCCGCTTTTGACAGGCAATAAACTCATGCTGCATAATGCTAGACAATCTCGGTGGATGTTTTGAACTATTTAAAAAGAGAGAGAGGAGAGAGAGGAACACATGCGCATGCCTTACTGACAAAATGTGTATAGGCTGCCATCAAAGCTCACGAACTCCGCAACAAGAACAAGGCTGAACTTCTCAAGGTCCTTGATGAACAAAAGCAACAACTTGCTGCTATCCGTGTTCAAAAGGTCGCCGGTGGTAGAGTTCAAGAAATGTAGGTAAACTTGAAAGGAGACAGAGCAGAACATTTATGCATTAATGATAGTGGTGAAGCTCGTAAGAACGTTGCCCGTGTTTTGACTGTCATCAACCAAACTCAACGTGAACAACTTCGTCTTTTCTACCAAAAGAAGCGTTTCACTCCTCTTGATCTTCGTGTCAAGAAGACCCGTGCTATGCGCAGAGCTTTGACTCCTTTTGAAAAGTCCAAGAAGACTGTCCGTCAACAAAAGAAGGAAGCTCACTTCCCTATCCGCAAGTACGCTGTCAAGGCTTAATTTCTTCACAATAAACCTTACTTGCCCTCACATGCTTAAATAAGTATCTATGTACATTCACCATTTTGAGACAGAAAGAGTTGTTTCATTGTCTTTGTTCGTTTGGGTCTTTTGTTTTGTGTTTTTCCTTTCCAAGATTTACGAATATAATCAATTGACCTTGCTTGATATATAAAGCGAACTGGGGATTATCATGCAGATCAACATTACCCTTTTCCTTTCGTTTATATCCTTTACACTCCTTTACAGTTATGCTGGACCATAACGAATTAAACAAATATTTCACAAAATCTCAACAACAAGACATTATCGAGTTGAATGACATTTGCATGAAAACCCCTCCCGGGAGAATTAGAAAGCCCCGTGTTCGTAAATTCAAGCCAGGCTATATTCCTCGACCTGTCAACAGTTTCATGTCCTTCAGAACAGAGAAACAGTCCATCATCCGAAAGTTTTGTCCTACTGCAAACCACCGTGACATTTCAAAAGTTGTGGCTAAATGGTGGCATGAAGCTGACCAGAATGAAAAGTCTTATTTTGTCACAAAAGCAATCGTAGCTAAGCGCGCTCATACAGAAAGGTAGTTCATTATCATGGTACTCTTCTCATAAAATATATAGATATCCAGACTATGTCTTTCGTCCCAAATCAAAGAACACAAAAAAGAAACGCAGCAAGAAACATGGCATCAATGCTTCCCCTGTTGATCTAGAATCTCAAGTGGATCAGGACAAGAGCAGCAGCGAAAATGCTCTGCTTTACACGGACAGTATCCTCTATGAAACTCAAAATACGCTTCCTCAAAACAATGGACAAGCCTATTTTGATTTTATGTTTCAAAATATTAACAGTGATCTTAATTGCCTTCATGTTATCAATGATAATGAGCAGGTCAGTAACTTCAGCCATGTTAGCAACAATAGCCTTGATCCAGACTATAACACTTTATACAAACTGCCTTATCCGTCTATGCTTCCTTATGATCACCATACAGATAATGTCTTTCATCAAGCCTTTACTTTCACATCTCTTTTTACTGATATGGATAACTATGCCATGCTCGATTCAACCACTCTGGATCAAAACCAACTCTCCTTTGACAGCAATGTTGCACCTAACGAAACACCTGCCTTAGACTTCTCTAAGTCACCTACTACATATGGTCAAGTTGAATCCATAACATCTTTTGGTACACCAATTACCTTCAATAACTCTTTTACTAAATCAGAAAGTTTTGATGGCATTTTCGATGTCTTTTCTGACTACAGTCTCTCAAGCAATCACTCTTCTTTGATTTATGAAAATAATACTATGGACAATACTTTTAACTTTGACAGTGGAGTGATGAAATAGACACAGAAAAAAAAAGAGAGCCTGCTATCATTTTTGACACCCAGTCTTTTTTTGTAGAACAATAAAACTTAACAAGGGGAATGTTTATTTTTCTATTCTTCCCTCTTTTTGTTTCTTAAACCTTTTGTGGCTATACAAAATGACAGTAAAGTTACCAGAACCCAGAAATACAGAACATTATAAGAGAATTCTTTTTCAATTTACAGAAGAATGTAATTCATTTTACAGTTAGCATAGTACTAAATATATACATATATTTTTTTTCCCACAGTGTCGTCAAAAAATGTATTTCTGCGTTTACCAGACTCTTTTACACCACTTGAGCGCATGCTTCTCCAAGCAACAGGCAATTTACAGCGTATTCTCTCTGCTTACTACAATGTCCCGAGTCAAGTCAAGATCATCAAGAATGAGACTGTCCCTTCTGCTGATACTCCTTATATGCAATTTGAAAGAAAGATTGTCATGTATTTTGGAAACAAACTTGCCTATGAAGCCGATTCTATTTTGACAGTCAAAGATAGTGCTGTGCTGGAATTAATAGAGAAGCATAAATATGGTCTCGGTCAAATCTTTGGGTAAAGAAATTGTTATTTGACAGCTCATCATTTTAATTTTCAAATACAGTCACACGCACAGATCTCCAGATTTTGTATTACATGCTGTTGGTAGACATGGTAATGCACCTGGTGCTAGTTTCTGGCGTGATTATAGCCTAACAGTACCTGACGTCTTGGACTGTTTTATTCGCGAGACATTTGTCGAGGGATTGTTTGACAAATACGACGGTGATAAGAATGATGGTGTTATTTGGTACGATACAAATTAAACTCCTCAAATAGAACTTGCGAGAAAGAAAAGTGTGACTTGTGAAAACAATGAATTTCCATACTATTCCATCGTAAAAAAAAAAAAAAAAAAAAAGAAAAAAAACAATATAAAAAGTAAATATCATCACAATAAACGCACCTTTTTCCTTTTCTTTACTGTATTTTCTTTTACAACAATGTCTGCCGAAACCGAGACCTTTTCCTTCCAAGCTGAGATTTCTCAGTTGATGAGTTTGATCATCAACACCTTCTATTCCAACAAGGTATGTCATATTATATTGTCTTTGACGCGGTTTATTCACAATTTTATAGGAAATCTTCTTGCGTGAATTGATCTCCAACTCTTCTGATGCTTTGGATAAGGTTCGTTACCAATCTTTGACTGATCCTTCTGTCCTTGATGCCGAAAAGGAACTCTACATTCGTATTACCCCTGACAAGCAAAACAACATCTTGTCTATCCGTGATACTGGTATCGGTATGACTAAGGCTGACTTGGTTAACAACTTGGGTACTATTGCCAAGTCCGGTACTAAGGCTTTTATGGAAGCTTTGTCTTCTGGTGCTGATATCTCCATGATTGGTCAATTCGGTGTTGGTTTCTACTCTGCTTACCTTGTTGCTGATAAGGTCCAAGTCATCACCAAGCACAACGACGATGAACAATACATCTGGGAATCTGCTGCTGGTGGTTCTTTCACCATTACCCGTGACACCGTCAACCCTTCTATTGGTCGTGGTACTGAAATGCGTCTCTTCATGAAGGAAGATCAAGTAAGTATTTAGCGTAGTAAATTATTTTTTTATTGACATGGGGTCCTTCTTTTTAGCTTGAATACCTTGATGAAAAGAAGATCAAGGATATCGTCAAGAAGCACTCTGAATTCATCTCTTACCCCATTCAACTCGTTGTTGAAAAGGAAGTCGAAAAGGAAGTTTCTGATGACGAAGAGCCTGCCTCTGAAGAAGGTGCCAAGATCGAAGAAGTCACTGATGAAGATGATAAGAAGGATGAAAAGAAGAAGAAGACCATCAAGGAAACTGTCACTGAAAACGAAGAGTTGAACAAGACCAAGCCTCTCTGGACTCGTAACCCTGAGGATGTCAAGCCTGAAGAATATGCCGAATTCTACAAGGCCCTCTCCAACGACTGGGAAGACCACTTGGCTGTCAAGCACTTCTCTGTTGAAGGTCAACTTGAATTCCGTGCCATCCTCTACGTTCCCAAGCGTGCTCCCTTCGATATGTTCGAAACTAAGAAGAAGAGAAACAACATCAAGTTGTACGTCCGTCGTGTCTTCATCATGGATGACTGTGAAGATTTGATCCCTGAATGGCTCAGCTTCGTCAAGGGTGTTGTTGACTCTGAAGATCTCCCTCTTAACATTTCTCGTGAAATGCTCCAACAAAACAAGATCTTGAAGGTCATCCGTAAGAACTTGGTTAAGAAGTGTCTTGAAATGTTCCAAGAAATTGCCGAAGATAAGGAAAACTTTGACAAGTTCTACGAAGCTTTCAGCAAGAACATCAAGTTGGGTATCCACGAAGACTCTCAAAACCGTGGTAAGCTCGCTGACTTGTTGCGTTACCACTCTACCAAGTCTGGTGATGAAACTACTTCCTTCAAGGACTATGTCACACGTATGCCCGAGAAGCAAAAGAACATCTACTACATCACTGGTGAATCTCGTGCTGCTGTTGAAAACTCTCCCTTCCTTGAAGGTTTCAAGAAGAAGGGTATTGAAGTTCTTTTGATGACTGACCCCATTGATGAATACGCCACTACTCAACTCAAGGAATACGAAGATAAGAAGTTGGTCTGTATCACCAAAGATGGTCTTGAACTCGAAGAAGATGAAGAAGAAAAGAAGGCTCGTGAAGCTGAAAAGGCCGAATACGAAGACCTCTGCAAGTCTGTCAAGGAAATCCTCGGTGACAAGGTTGAAAAGGTTGTCCTCTCTTCTATGTTGACTGACTCTCCTTGTGTCTTGACCACCGGTCAATTCGGTTGGTCTGCCAACATGGAACGTATCATGAAGGCTCAAGCTCTCCGTGATTCTTCCATGTCCAGCTACATGGCCTCCAAGAAGACTCTTGAACTTAACCCTGGTCACCCCATCATCAAGGCTCTTAAGTCCAAGATCTCCGCTGATGCTAATGACCGTACTGCCAAGGACCTCGTTACTTTGTTATACGAAACCTCCTTGTTGACTTCTGGTTTCTCTCTTGATGACCCTAGCTCTTTCGCTACCCGTATCAACCGTATGGTCTCTCTTGGTCTCTCTATTGACGAAGATGAACTCGCCACTGCTGATGAACCCGCTACTGAAGCTGCTGCCGAAGACAACGCCGAAGTCTCCAAGATGGAAGAAGTTGATTAAATTGTATGATGTCTTTATTTTTTCTTTTTCTGTATACTCTTTATTTGTTTATTCTTGATTCTTTTATAAAACTAGCAGACTCAAAAGAGCCTGCTTTTATTTGTTGTAATAAATCAGTGCACTTATAGCACTACCCTTAAAATTTGTAAATAAAAGAATGAAATCGCTTTTCTATCACTTAAAAGAACATGGAACTTGTAAATCATGATGGCATCAAATTGATGTCGAGGACTTTTAATTTTTGATTATAAAAGGCTTGGTATTGAACAATAATGCGCTATACTTTTCTCTTTTACTTTTCTCCATAAGAATGACTGCTGCTGCTGCTCCTCCTCCTGCAACAAATGGACCTGTTATTGCTGGCTATTTTGCAAACTGGCAAGTTTTTAAACACTTGACCAGACTGATCTTGAACTAATCTTGACACAATAGGGGAATTTATGACAGAAAGTACAACGTAGTAGACGTTGCTGTTCAAGCCAACAAACTTACCCATATTCTCTATGCATTTGGTAATTTACAAGAAAATGGTCAAGTAATCTTAGGTGTAAGTAAATTGAACCAACTATTTTTTTTTGTTTAATTCTCGACATAGGATAGTTATGCAGACAAAGAAAAGCATTTTCCTGCAAGTAAGAACGTCATATCACTCGAAATAGCATGCTTAACTCAACACTAGATGAATGCGTTAATGGTAAAGCTGATAGTTGGAACGACCAAGGCAATAATCTATATGGCAATTTTAAGCAATTTTATTTACTTAAACAAAAGTATCATCATCTTAAAGTATCGTTGAGTGTAGGTGGTTGGACTTGGTCCAAGAATTTTGCAACAGTTGCTAGTGATCCAGCAAAACGTCAGCGATTTGTTCAGAGCAGTATCAAGCTAATCTCTGATTTTGGTCTGGATGGTCTAGACATTGACTGGGAATATCCAAAAGATGACAGGGAAGCATTTTTCTACGTGCATCTACTTTATGAAATGCGCATTGCTTTGGATATTTATCAACAACAATGTCAACAGCTAAATCAACCTCGCTTACTCTTGACAGTCGCTGTTCCCTGTGGCCCTGAACACTACCGAAAACTTCGGTTAGCAGAAATGGAACCCTACGTTGACTTGTTTTATCTGATGGCCTATGATTATGCAGGTTCTTGGGATGCCAAGACAGGCCATCAAGCCGCCATGTTTGGAGGGGCTTTAAATACAGACCAAGCTGTAAATGACTACCTGGCCTTTGTGCCTCCTCACAAATTAGTAATAGGTTTGCCCATGTATGGTCGTGGTTTCTCAAACACAGATGGGCCAGAATGTCCCTTTCAGGGCATACCTAAAGGAACATGGGAAGAAGGTCAATTTGACTACAAGTGTCTTCCTAAGCCTGGAGCAACAGAATACAATGATCATCAAAGAATGGCTTCATGGTCTTACGATCCTCATGCCCGAGAGTTCATTTCTTACGATACCCCACAAATTATTGCCACTAAGTGTAACTATATTCAACAAAGGCATTTGGGTGGATGTATGTTCTGGGAGCTTAGTGCTGATCATCCTCCTAATGATCCTCGTAATTTGGTAAATACTGTTTATGAAGCCTTTGGTAGACAAACAGACCAAATGCCTAATCATTTGGACTACCCAAAAAGCGAATACGATAACCTAAGAAATCATATGAATTAAAGCATAACAAACAAACTGTTTCAACCTTTTCTTTTATGTAACATCAAAGGGGGATTGTGTATCGTTTTTTTTTCTTCTCTATTATTTTCTTATGAACTTTGATCCTTATCCAGTCAACTCTTATGTCTCTATTCGTCACAATTTTGAACGACAAAGTTCTGGACAAGAACTTGATTTATTTGGCATCAATGTTATCCGAAGTTCTTTTGAATCACAAACAAGTAAAGAACAAGAAAACGAATACACTAATTTATATATTTTAGAGTTCATTAGGATAGTCTGTCTTATATCATTCAGTCAGCTTTTATGCACTACCTGTTTGACACTTATGTTTCTACATTTTGGATATTGGTATGAAACTAGGCAAGTGATTGTTAATTTTTGGGATAAACAACTTATGCCTGATTTTAGTAAATGCATGATACTGATCATGTTAATTCCAGCCACATTGTTGCTCATTATTCTGGCATGGCAATTATGGACACAACATCATCAAATTTCAGTCACAAGCCGTGCTATTTTACTGTTTATATACTCATTCCTCATGGTATTTGTTCTTGCGAATTTTGGTGAGTAACATATTTCTTATGACTTTGTGCTAATTCATATTTATTAGTGGCTAGTTTCTTTCAGGAACATGGTGTGATGGTACTTACACTGTCATGCTTTGGCGTATTAAGCAATATTGTCTATACATGTCAATCAAAATTTCATTTTCAAGGCCCAAAACCAATGTAAGTGCATCCATATAAAGAACGCCATCTATATATGCCTTGTTTAAATAAAGATATGCATGTGCAATCATAAAGTGTTTGTAGCATCGCCACAGTTTGTGTTATCTCGGTTGGGTTACGCAGGATGTATCAATTAGACCCTGTGCAAATTCTTGGCCCTGTCACCTTCTCAAGTCTTGTTTCGGTCTATCTGATTTTGGAGCTCTACTATGCAATGAAAACCATGACAGGCAGTGATTATATTCTTGCCAACTTGTCTCTTTACACTGATTTGGCTTACCCAATCCATGGACTACATCATGTATGTGAACTCTGGGATGATATTGACAACTTTCCTGAATACTTTAATCCCGACATCAATTAAAATCTAAAAATATATTCGAATGCTGTTTTTGGCATATTCCTCATTTTAACAAGATATCATCAAAATGGAACATGAAGAATTGTTCATTTGGCATAGCCCAACAGTTAAAGTGGTCAAATAATATACCATAATTAAGCATAAATTAACGATAAGAGGTATTTTACTTAAATATATATATATACAAGTGCATGCTGATAAGATATAAAGAAACCACAAGATTTAACGGAAACGAAGATAGAAATTCACAACCAAAGCACCCACTAAAAGAACACAAAGAACAGCAGGACCCCAAAGATCGTCATAACGACCAACAATACGGCGATTGATCATCCTAATAAAAACAATGAGATACATTATCAAAAAAAAAAAAAAAATAGAAAATAAAGAATTACTTACCAAGCACGCTTTTCGAATTGGAACAATGCATAAATTGCAACAGCAGCAGAAATACCAATAAACAAAGCACCTGCAATACGTGACACTTGGTCACCAAAGTTAAGCAAGTTCAAAGCAACAGTCAGCAACAAAGCACAGAACTGAAGCCAAGAAATAAAAGTACGTTCATTTGAGAAGAAGACCTTGGGTTCAACCTTGACTTTCTTAACAGGAATAATACCGTTGGGATCATTAGGGTCTTTGACATACATGCCAGAACTTTCAAACAGTCGTCTAGCAGCACTGCTAGATGGGTCTATATCTAAACGAATATCACCACGAGAAAATACAATAGCTTCACCCAAATTGCCTGCTTCTCTGTCTTTGCGCTTGATGCGTTTTTCGCTCAAGGGACCATAATTAAGAGGATCATCACCCTTATGAACAAGTGTTGATTTCATACGATGAGGTCTGTTATCCCATACTGTCGTGTCGGCTCGATTCAAGCCATTTGTGTTCACATACATGAATTGCTTGTTGGGATTGAACATATTGCTTTGTACATATCGTTCATCTGATTGTCCACTGTGAGAAGAATCCATACTTCTTCTGACTTGCTGAGCTGATTCTTGAACAATTTCCATACGCAATTCTTCAGCTTCCATTGCACGACGGTATTGACCATCAATTAAAGGCTTAAACGATTTAGATCGAGTCAAACCAAAATTAGTGTTACGAGGCTTGCGAATATCTATTTCCATCTCGGATAACCACCAAGGCAATAAAGGAATGCGATCACGGAATAAGTAAGAAGCACCATGCAAATATTTAGAGAAACGAGGCACTTCATGTACCAAGTGAGATTCTAACAATTTTTTGAGCCATGAAGGTGTTTTCTTTTCAATCTTGGATTCCAAGACAGCATAGGGAAAGCGCAAAACTTCAGTTTCATCCAAATAGCTAAAAGGATAGTCAATGCCAACATCTGAACGACGCCATTCGTTAGGTGCTCTACGAATTTGACCATCAAAATTGTCTTCACGAATAAAAGTCAAGTCGTTATCGATATTGATGCGAACAGTAGGGTCATCAGGCAGTTGAAATGCTGTACGGTTATAAAAGACTCGGCAAACAGGATTCAAGTGTTTTTCTTTGATCGATTGTTGAACACCCGCGGCAACGAATTTACAATCTTCAACAAATTTAGAATCGAGGCCTTTAGATCCGAGTCGGTTAGCAAATTCGTCAGCAGTGAGCTTGCAGCTAATGAACTTGTGTACGTCTTCACTCAAGAGTGGAATACGATCTTTAATAGAAGCACCATCTACCCAGTTTGCTTTGTGCGTGCTGCGTTCAGCATACACTTCCTTGGCTGTAGTAGGACCATGCCATTTAAAGCGAATAGCTTCTCCGCCCTCGTCTCTTTGTAAAAGACTGGTGTAAAGACCAAACTCGTCATTATCAAGGTAGACACTAGAAACAGCAGAATCAGAAGCTTCATAGCGTTTTTCCTTATTAAAAATAGAAACAGGCAAGTGAAGCATGATGATGGATTTGACTTCAGTAATATTGTCGGGGTGAATCCAGTATTTTGTTGTGCCTTTTTCATCAGAAGAAATAGTAGAATCTGCAGCACTTAAAGAGCTTTGTGGACGAGGTTTTCCCCTTTGTCTACACAACTCGTGAAGAGCTGAAATAAAGACAATGGCTACATCGAATCGTTGTTTATCTAATGGTCTGCTTCGTAGTTGAGGAATAAAATCTTGCTTAAGGTTAAGTCCAGTCCATTTGTCGTGTTTTTTAATGATTTTTTGAAAGCCAATGTAATTCAATCGAGTGAATTTGGCCAAGTCGTTAACATCAAACAAAACTTCTGTTAATGCATCGTCCATGATGGTCCAATTTTGATCTGAGGACCAAGTAGGGTTATTGATAAACGTTTGAATTGTACGTTCACAATAACTGATTCTAGCTTCTACTTCACCTAATTTTGCTGACACAAAATCATATACTTTTTCTAATTCGTTCTCGAGTTTTCTAACAAATTCGTCTTCGTCTTCGCCGTTCCATTTATGGTCAGCTTGTCGAGTTTTTAGTTCTTTTTTAAGCATGTCATAGGAAATATAGGACAAGCGCCATGGTGGAAAAATTTCTTGTTGTAGGTGCTCACCAAACTTCATTTTGAGAATAAAGAAGAAAAAAAAAGGGCGGTTTTTTTTTTCTTGAATATAAAAAAAAAATAGTTTAAGAAGCCGATGCTTGATTCATGACCAATAAATATATTTACCATTATTTATAAACAATCCCCAAGAAAAGCAAACCCCGAGTCTTTTTTAGAAACACATGTGGTATCGTTCCAACCTTGTGCGACTCCTATTTTTAATAAAAGAAGGTTGTGCAAGAAAAAACTGGTAAACGAACTATCTCTTCTATTTTACCAATGATGTTAAAAATAACCAAAATATTCTTAGACAGGCCAAGCTTTCTCTCTCTCTCTCTCTCTCTGCTCAGCCGCTAGAAAAGTAATACAAGAAAAATGAGCACCGCAAGGTTTCACGTCTCACATCATCATGATTTTCTCTTGCTTAACCATGGTTCGCTTTTCGGTAAATCATCTTCAGGAGCTTAAATAATTTTATTGTACGAAGAAAATCATATAGACAACAATGAAGAAAAAAATAGGGGGAGAAGTTTACATTGCATCAGTTGCTGTAATGTTTGTCCCAAGGTAACCAGTGTTTGTAATTGGAGTATTGTATCTCAAAGCAAAATTGAGCTAATAAAGAATAAGTTCTCTTTTTTAGTCATATAAACAAAAACTTACTATGAGAGCACCTACTAAAAGGATACACAAAAAGACTGGGCCAAAAATATCATCATAGCGCAAATGCGGTTTATGAATGATACGATATGCACGCCATCTAGAGAAACCAAAAGAATAAAAAGCAAACAGAAAAGCAATACCGAAAAACACACCACCTATGATCTTGTTGATAGTATCACCAAAGTTCATTAACGTCAGAGCTGCAGTCAGGAGAATAGCAGCAAAATTGAGCCATTGAATAAACGTACGCTCATTGGCGAAAAATAGCTTAGGCTCTGTAGTTGCCTCACTTTTTTCTTTGTTCTTTTTCTTTTTGATTCCTTCTTCTAAATCTTTGTTAGAATGAGCATTGTCAACATGAGCTTGCCCTGGTTTTTCATTGGATGGATGTTGTAAGGAGGAGACAAGTTTATCTCCCATCAAGTGTTCAGTAGAACCCGTTTCAATATGATCTGTTGTGTGGCGACTGATGATCGGAGATGCATTAGACCAAATAGGGTCATCAAAAGGATTATTGACTGATAATCTTAGAGTAAGACTTGATTTCTTTTGGTTGCTTTTCTTCAAAAGAGATAGCTCTTTAAGTTTTGACTCCAAGTATCCAACACGACATTTGCCATCTATCCAGGGCTTCATATGTTTAGATTGAGATAAGGCTGTAAAGTCGCCTGTAGGTTTTTTGGTGTTACGTATATCAAGCTTCAGCTGGCTAGTCCACCATGGCAGCAGAGGAAGTTGTGTGTTCCAGAGGCTAGCGATTCCTTGCAAGTACTTGGAAAAGCAAGGCACCTCATGTACCAATTGAGATTCTAGCAGGCTAGTTAGCCAGTGAGGAGGATCTTGTCCATAAAATTTAATTTCGAGAATGGCATAGGGAAACTTGTAAACCTCGGCATCCTTTGGTTTGATCAGGGGCTTACACCAAGTATTGGATTTTGAATCTTCCTGCGTATAACACAAGTCCGTATCAAGTATCATTTGAAAGTACTGGTTTCCTGGAGACTGGAATACGCTGCGATGATGACTCATACGTAGTGTTGGCTTCAATTGATTTTCAGAAATAGATGTTTGAATGCGAGAAGCAACAGCAAGATTTTCTTTTGTGATGTGTTTTCCAGTAACAAAGGCGCCCATTTGATGGATATCAATCGTAAAAGAGTCTTTTGTTAAGGTGCCGTCTTGATGAGTTGTTTTTCGTTCAACAAGCATATCGTTAGCGTTGTACCATCGAAAGCGAAGGGCTTCAGCATCAGGATCTCGCTGAAGACGAGCCTGATACAAGTCAAACTCACTATTGTCTAAATAGATACTCGAGACAGGTTCCGTAGATTCGAGTAAGGGTAGATGAAACAATAAAATGGCTTTTAATTCATTGATGTTATCATAATGCACCCAATATTTTGCAGAGATGCTTTGATTTAGTCCATTCAATGCCTTTTCTTCCAAACAAAAGTCATACAATGTAAATACTTTGGTAAGTAAAATGTCAAACCGCTGTTTGTCAAGCTGTTTTGATCGAGTGATATCCAATAGCCATTGTTGAGCATTGTAATGCGTATGCATATCATGTTCTTTAATCAAGGCTTTTAATGCGATAAAATTATATCGAGTGTAGCTACAAAGGTCTTGTATATCATTGAGTATATCTTTCAAAATAATAGCTGCATTTTTTGTTTGTCGAGATAAAGTTCTTTCGCAATAAGCTACTCGAGATTCAATTTCCCGCTGCATTCGATTGATGAAAGATTCAACTTTATCTGCTTCTGAATAAATGATGTGCTTGAAGTGTTGTTCATCAACATTGTTCCATGCTTTCTTCTCTTGAATTCGTTGCTTGATATCATTGAAAGTAACGTACTCTGATTTCCAGTGCTCAATGATACTTTCTTTCATCTCTAGTCCAAAGCTCATTAAAATTTGAGGAAAAGAAGAAGAGAAAAGCAAGAAGGAGAAAATGTATTTTTAGGTACACAATGGCTCGGTTTACAAGTATTCATTTTTCTCTTGATTCCGTGTAACAAAATGTTAATTGGATACTACTATTTTGTAAGCAATCTGAACAGAGTACAGGGAACCAAAGCCTATTCGAAGAGCAACGATTCAACTGTAAATGATTTCTGCTGCTGTTTCAGAGACTGTTTACCTTTTGTATTTGCAAGCAAATTCAAGGACTTTATTAGATAACATAGTATTGCTAAAAAAAACGATTGCATAAGCAAAAGAAGAGATTGGAAGAAACAAGTAGTCAATACTTGTGTATTCAGTTAGTGTTCATTGTTGAATTCTCTAAAAGGCCTTGGACATGCTATATGCAAAGTATCAATTATACTAACTTAGTCAGAGATTGAATCTGCTTTTTTTGCTTCAGATCCCAGAGAGGTAATGACTGATGAACTTTCTTAATTTATTGCGATTACATCTGGATCTATTGATACAGTCTGTCGAAATCATACTGCATTACTTGATTCAGGTACAATTGCATATGTGTGCTGCTACCACTTCATAAGCCTTGGCGGCAATCAAAATCCATTATTATGCAGCCACATGAAAAAGGATTGTCATAAGCTATTTAGACACTAACCATATGTTTTTGTATTTGCTTATGTAGTTTATCTTTCCCTAAAGCCTCCAACAAACCATTGAAAGATGGTTTTAGAAAGTTGGGTGACTATAACTGAGCCTGAATAATGGTCAGGGAACTCACCAGAGTATAAAAACAGGTTCTCACCTCTTTTTTCTCTTTTGCAGCGCGTTTGTTTTCTGTCCTTTTAGGACAATGTACCAAACGTATCTAGGGGGATTTATTGCCTGGGTGCAAGTGCATTCTCTGTCGCTAAACGGGTCTTTGCCGAATTTGATAGAGAGTAAAACAAAGGTGTGTAGAGGGTTGGCTTATGGTCCTGTTTGAGGGGGTGTTCCATCTTAGTTATGCGTACTGGCAGTCCAAGTCCAAATATTCCCAACAATGGAAGGTTACTGGGATTGATAGTCATTCGCCTCTTCTTTTGTGAATGCCTTTTAGAGGGGGGCTATTTTCGTCTGGCGGCTAGAGTAGTTCCTGGAAACAAATACTCGTAGTATTTGACTAAAGTACCAGTTTCTTTTTATCTTTTTATTCAATAAAATATATACTAGTATTTAGAATAATCATGTGCTCTTTTTGCCTTTCATTTGTTACATAGCACTAACGACAGAAGTATTAAGTATCATTAAATTAGCAGCCAAAGTCAGTGGCCCCAAGTTGTGTATTTAATATTTGTTCCACCTTGCAGTATGCTTAGTCATATGATTCGATAAGCGAGAAAATAGTCAATTCTATTGAAGAGTTGTACGGAAGATTAAAAGAAAAACACTGTTAAAAGAAATACCTCCCTAAGCAATCAAACTACAAAGCTTCCTACTCAATCTAAACTTTGGATCTTATACCTTTTATCGATGCAATTGTTGAAATAGATCACCACATAAAGAAAGCTAGTCTTAAATATAAATATTTGTTTTTATTTTCCATCCAAATCTTGGAATATACGAGCTCTTGCTTCTTCATAAGCAGTCTTTCTTTCTTCCAATGTCATATTTTTTCTATCCAATTTAGCTTGTTCTTCATTCGTGGTTGAAGAAGCACGCGAAGATGGACTACTTGATCCAGCAGAACGACGCATAATCTTGAATTGAGGTGGAGGATCATTTGTGATTGGTTTCGTACTAACTTGTTCATCTGTAATATCTGGTAGTCGAACAGAAGGTCTAAAAAAAAACAAGTCAATCAAATCATTTAAACAGTACTATAGTTACAGTTCAGTCAACGTTGTCTTGCAAACATAGACACCTTTTCGCATGGCATCATGATAATGATTTAATTTATAATAAGGAGCTAGTTTGTGAACCATAAGTCGTTGGTACGAGTTCATGTTTGGCAAATCAAGACGAAGTCGCCTAATAATACATGAATATAATAATAGGTTGAATATGCTGTCTTACCTTTCGTCTTTAATAAATGCTTCAAATTCTAATTCTAATTTTAATAAAAACAATCTCTCTTGAGGTTTCTTGAGTAAATCGGTAATGAACTCGTCGGGTTCAGTAGGTGCTATAGGGTCATTGAATTCCTGTAGTTTCTGTATTGTAGGTACTTGATATACTTGTTGAGGCTGATAGTATGCAGGAATATCATTCAATGGCATCGTACTATGAGTAGAAAAAGGGCCATTATTGTATGGAGAGGGTGTATTTTTGTGGTATGCAGGTGAAAAAGATGATGATGATAATGGTGGTGATGATTGATATGAGAGATATGGGTTTACATATTGTTGTTGTGGTTGTTGTGGTTGTTGTTGTTGTTGTTGTTGTTGTTGTTGTTCATCTCGACTACTAGACATAGTATAAAAGGCTGTTGAGGACTAATAGTACGCGTTAAAATGGTTTGAGTGTCTAAAGTATATTTCTCTTACCATAAAAATTAAAGCAAGGTGCCCTTTAAGGGAAAAAAAGAAAAGAAAAGAAAAGGGGTTAGTCGCTTTTATCGAATCTAGCGAGAAAAAAAATTACAAGCCACACTGACATATTTACGCCCGGTCCTTGCCGCTATTATGCAACTTGCTTTTCTTTTTCTCTCTTTATCATGTCTCAAACACGCGTCAAAAGATGGGTTCCACTTGAGGCTAATCCAGAGGTAGTCTGACAGAGGAATAGCATATGAATTCAATTACTTGTACAAATAGGTCTGGAATAAGATAATTCATAAACTAGGTGTCAGTCCTAAATACAACTATGTTGATGTTTATGGTACTCCTCTATCACTTAAAAGTGTATTTACTGACCAAATTAGGATTTGATCCTGAATTGTTGGCCATGATACCAGCACCTGTTGAAGCCATGATTTTTTTATTTCCTCTTACTGAAACATATGAAAAATACAAAAGTGAAGAAGCAGCTCGCCTTCTCGAACATGAACAGAACATTGACCCTGAAGTTGTATTCTTTAAGCAGACCATTGAAAATGCATGTGGCATGATTGCATTGTTACATTCTATTGCAAACAGTCAAGAAGACATTGCAGGTAAAACAAGTATTATATTGTCTATTTGACTCATGCTTTACTTAGGCTCTGGCTTGTTTCATGATATTATCGAGAAAGCAAAAGGCATGTCTGTTGAAAAACGAGTAGATCTTTTAGAAAACTGCGCAGAATTAGCTACTGTTCATGAATCTGCTGCAAGTCAAGGCCAAACTGAGGTAAAAAAAAATAAAAAAATAAGTTATCAAGCGATGTTTAATCGAGTTATTAGGCTCCTGATAAAGATGATGATATTGATCTTCATTTCATTTGTTTTGTCAAAGTGGGCGATCATTTATATGAAATGGATGGTCGTAAATCGTTTCCTATTTATCATGGCAAATGCACAAATCTTGTTGAGGTAAAATAATAGAAATAAGCTTGGTGAATTGATTATTGTTTAGGGAGCTGTTGAAGTTATGCAACAATTCATGGCCAGAGATCCAGAAGAATCCAACTTTAGTGCTATTGCTCTTTGCAAAACAGAGAATGAATAAGTATTGAACTCTCGCATGAATAAAATATCTAAGACTTAATCATTTAACATGCAAACAGCCTTTATTCATGGTATTTTTTTTTCTCGTATGTTTATTGTATATATATATAAAAGAGTTTAAATGCCATAACGTTCATGTAAAGGTGTTCTTACTTCTGGTGGCATGGATGTCAGACCTTGTTGCCATTGAGCCTCACCAAACATATTTTTATAGCCCATCAAAATCTACAAGTAATGAGAATCATATTATATAGAGAACACTTACGTTGCCAAAGGATTCGTGTAAAGCAGGAGGGACATTTTGATAGTTAGCAACAGCAGTGCAGAAGGCAGGGAATTCCTTCACTGCTCCTTGAGGGTTCACCTTGATCATTTCACATAAACCACTGAAAGCAGATGACTTTTCCTCATTATCACGGATAGGTGTAAGAGCCATCAACCAAGGTTGAATGAATAATTCAAGGTGAGGAGCAACCATGGTGGGACAGACAAGACCAAGACGACCAATGGTGATAGCTACATTTTCCAAAAGTGTACGTTGAATTTGAGGGTTGGCCATGAGTGGGAAAAGACGTTGCAATAAATGATCAACATAGTCTCTGATCTCATTACCTATGCAAAAATAAGCAATACATTCTCTCTTTTTCTTTTTACTTTTACATACCCCATTTAAGAGCAATTTCACCAGCAGCCCAGGTTGCATTGTTACAAACTGACAAATGTTCTGCTTGAGGATCAATTTGTTGAAGAAGGAGTGGCATGAATTGAGGAACAACAGCACGGATATGTTCAAAGCATGAAATAGCAAGATCACCGAGTAAAGCATAGGTGGATTGACGGACTTCGGCAACTTCATCCTATATACATATATGGATCAATATGACTGTTGGTTATTTTTTCTCTCTCTCTCTCTCTCTTTTACCTGGATACAAAGAGACAAGAGTTGAACAACAGGAGGGTTGGTTGCTGCAACCAATGGTTCTGCATCAGCATTAAGAGCTTGAACAATACCTGAAAGTAAATCTAAAGCAACAATCATAAAGTCTTTATCAGGCTCCTCTACAGAAGGATCCAGGGCACTTAAACGGCATTCTTCCAATGTCTTGCAGACAAGAACAACACAACGGTTATAGACAGGTTCAGCAAAAGGCTTGAAACCCTTACCCAAAGCAGTTGTAACAGAAGAAAGGCACTAGAATAATATGAATATCTACATACGCATGTTGATATCTACCTCTAATAATGGGAAAAGATCAGTACTGTCATCAGAAATTTCTTGCCATTTGCTGATAAGAGGAGGCATGATCGTGTCAATGTATTGTGTGTTATTCAAAACTTCGCCTACAACATCGGCCAATGTACCAACGGTATCATACAAAAGCAATAAATTTCTATGTTGGTATTTGGTGAAAGCGTTACAGAGTGTTGTGAGGATAGGTTGAAGATAAGGAATTAGATCGGCACCAGCTTCTTCTTCAAGTAAAGAGAAGGATGAACAAGCGGCTTCTTGAACACGCTTATTGTTGTCTAAAATACGTTGCAAAAGAACTTGAACAAGAGGTTCAAGGTAATGTTGACGAGCTTCAGGACTTTGTCTAGCATTTTGAACAATCCAAGTACAGTATCTACCAAGAGTCCAACATGTAATTGATCTGACAAGAGGCTAAATCGCATGTTAGTCTTATCACTCTATGCGTTTTTCTTACCTTGGGATCATTCAAGTTATTGAGTAAATAAGGCACTAATTCAGGGAGATGAGGAGCAATTTCTTGCATACCACCTTCTGCAGCAGCACCAAGAGCCAAAATACCACATTCTCTGTGAAGCCAGTCACTGCTTTCTAATTCGCCCTTCAAGAGAGGAATCAAGATATGAATAACTTCAGTTTCAAATGAAGTACACAAGACATCAAGGGTAGCAGCACTGCACTTTCTCAAATTCCATTCACCATAAAACTCGTCATCCTCATAGTCGTCAAAGTCGTCATCGTCATCGTCATCATCTCCATCTGAATCATCATCAAGCAAACCTGTCTTTTTCTTCTCAGAGGTTTCTTCTTCTTTGTTGGTATGGTCATTTTCAACTACATTAGCCTTATGGAAACGAGGCTTGATGTCTTGCTCGTCATCAGCAATATGAGCATCATCTTCATCACCACCAAGTGTCATCAGGTCAATTTCGGAATAAACCATACCCTTCAATAAGACAGGAACAACCTTTTGAAGGAAAGGACGGAGCTGGTCGCGCAATTCATCTTGTTCAGCAAATACAAGCCAGAACTCACAGGCTTCAAGAGCAAGATCACTATCGTCAGACTGAGTACAGAAGAGCATGTAATCAACCAAATCAGGCATATGAGGCAAGAGGACAGTGGGACAGACTTCAAGAAGACCAACAAGAGATTGACAGACAGCCTTACGAACATCAACATTATCATCCGTGGCTCTGTTAAAGAGGGCCACTAAAAATTCGTTGATTCTGCTCATCAAAGGTTCTGAGCGGAGACTAATAAACTGTGATGTGCAAGAAATGGCACTCAAGCGAATTTTGGGGTTAGGGTGGTCAAAAAAGGCAATAAACTTGGGAATCATGTATTCCAAAGGATGAACACCATTGATGGTACTATCAAGATCACGAGAAGAGTCTTCGCAAATCTTTTGGAAAGTACTGAATGCGTTCTATAAAGCACAGTCAGACAAAAGAAAAAGAAAAAAGCCTATGATTTACCTCAACCATCGTAGGATCAGGGTCTTCTAATTTTTGCAACAAGACTTGAAGGACTTGAGGCCATTGCTGAATACTGCCACGAGAGACAATAGAGGCAATGACAAAACTAACAGACTTACCAACATTAGGGTCACCGATATGCTGGATACAACATTCTTTAATATAATCAAGTACTTGAGGTTGAATGGTTGGGAAGTGAGATCTGATGTTGTTCTTAAGTGTCAAACCAGCAACAGAACGAATGTATTGATCTTCTTGAGGCATTTGAGTCAAAATATAGACCAAATAATTGTTATAATCAGGAATCTTATTAAAGTATTCCAATCTCTATATCATTGCATACGGTTAGTCTCTTGTTTTTTTTTCTTTTTTGTGTTTCGCCATACTTCTGTAACATTTTGACCGTCAGTAGGATTGATAGCCTCGCGTAAAAGCTGTAAAAGGTCAGAAAGGCCTTGAGCAGAGGGTTGCCAGACACTCATATTATAGAAACTCCTAAGTTTCGCGTTACAAAGGTCAGCTTAAAAAGAAACAGACAAGACTAGCAAGATCTTACTATGTATAGTTTTGAAGATGTATAAGAAAAAAGAAATTAAAGCAACAAAAAGGAACAATAATAATAAACTAACATAGACAAATAGAAGTTAGTTTATTTATCCAATAATGTCTCTATTTTAGCTTACGTTTCAAAACTTAAAGCGTATAAAACTCTCTCTTTAACTGATAGTTTTGATAGCTTTTTATTCTTGTGTGCTTTATAAAGAATAACTAAAAAAAAAAAGTTTCGAGTTTTTTTTTTGGTGCCAACTTGTTCTTCGTGACGTTGCCTCAAAAGTCAGTCGCAGTCTTTTTTTTTTTTCTGTTTTGTGTGGCTGAGTCCATAACAAACCAAATACAGCTTTTTGCTTCTGAATAAATAACTCTGCATTTATATTATGTTACACAGAATCAATATACCTAATGCGCACACTCCAATATCAAAAGAAAATACAAAGATGTATCTTTTCATTGAATATTATATCGTCCAAGGTTAAGAAAAACTGAGATGAATTGAAGTTTAGTTCCCTAAGCAAAAGATGGATCAAACCTGAAGTATTGCGACCCAATATCCGTTGAACGCTTTGATCAAATATGATTTCAAAAGTATGCGAAAGGCATTATGTCTCTTGAGATAAATAAACCTTTTTTTTATCAGAAAATACACAGATTCTTTTCATACGTTGATTTAACCAACAATGTGACTATGTCGGCCAAAAGAATAAACGAAGACGTAGAATTGCATAACTACATAAAGAGGGTATAAAGCACTTTTATGCATGAATGCGCGCGGTAGATGTTTACAAACAATGTTTACTAACATGCAGGATACCTTTGGAGTTGATTTGGACTAAAAAAAAAGCGGCTTGTAAAAATGGCCAAAAACCTCTCAAAACCAAAGGGTACTACTCATGAAAATATTGATTTTGGCAACTCTCTAGTTTTTGGTGAATGTGTTTGTTTGACAATTGTACTACACAAATGATGAGATATAAGCAAAAAACCTTGTAAACGTCCTTGTCTATTTACTCAATACTTTAACAGCAAAGTTGTTGTGTTCGCTAAATTGATAAACTCAGAAGGCAAAGATCTATAACTTTTATTACTGCACCAAAATCAAATAACTGCATCCTTTGCAGTTCTGAGCAAAAGCTCAATTTTTAACACGGTCAGAAACGAGTAGAAATACGTTGATTTCAATCTCCGACGAAGGTATTCAATTTAACAATTGATTATAGTCTTTAGTAATTCAATGCATCCCTATGATCTGCTAGAATTGAAAAGGGGAAAAAAGAGCTCAGCAAACTTTCCAAACAAGGTATCATCAATTGCTGAGGATTTGAAAAATGATCATTCTTGGCTTAATAAGTCCAAACAAGTATTGATTATCCATGTTGTTGTAATTCCGAGATTAAATAGAGTATCTTGTTTAAACAATAGATGTATGCACCAAAAGAAAGAAAGCAATACGATTAAAAGTAAGCATAAACATCTTTTCTTTCTTCATCATGTCCAGAACTCAACAAGGCTACCAATGGTTTTTAAGCATTGCTAGTTACACATTAACAAATGACCTGAGTTTCCTTCTATTCAATATATACTAACCATCATTGGATAGTCTTTTGGGTTCTAGAAGGGTACTTATAACAACAACGTCTTTAGCACTTGTGTCTTTATTCATTTATACACAATGCTTGTATTTGTTTAAAGATTTGCTTTTCTAAAAGAGGTTCATATATCTTTCTGACCAGTTCATGTAGTACAACAAGAAGATCCTCGTGCTCCCCTTTTTCTTACACAAGCTAAACATTATTAGCGGTTGTTTAATAAACTCCCCCCCCTTCTCTCTCTCTCTCTCTCTCTCTCTCTCTCTTTCTTTTTTTATTGTACCTTTCTTTCTTTCTCAACATGGGTGCTCAAGTTGTTGATTATCGAATATCCACACTCGTTGTCTTGTGTAAAGATTGTGGTAATGATGTGGGTCTCTATCCAGCTCGTCATAAATGTCAACCAGTCGGTAGACCTCCTATGCCCCCACTTCCTTTACAGTTCATGAACACCCAAGAACCAGCAGCCTCACCTTCACCTAAACCCAATGCAACCCAGATAGAACCTGAAGAAGAATCTGTCTACTTTAATAACTTTGCTGCCAACTTACCCGAGACAAAAGAACCTGCAGGCAAAAAATTATGGGGCAAAATTCGAGAGAATGAGAAATGGAAGCAATTGAGTGAGAAAAGTAAGTTTTGTCTCTCTTTCTTTACTTGCTCATGTCTCCATGTTAGATGAAAAACCAAAGCAGAGTGGTAAATTATGGGGAAAATTGATCCAGGCTACACAAAATATGGCCGATAAAATACCTAGCAAAGATGAACGAGGAGCAGGTAAAGAAAACCATACGCTATCTATGCTTTTATTCATTTTGATTAGAATCGGATGAAGATGACTGGGAAGGAGAAACACACGTAGCAAGAATTATTCGAGAATATTATGAAAAGAAGCGCATGCGTTTACCAGAATGGCTTTTTGAAGATGATCCTCAAACAGGTATCACAAGAAAAATGTCTACAAGAGCACCTGTGGATAGTCAGCCAGACACTATCTCTAGAAACCCCTCCAGAAGAAGATTATGGGATCACGATCCCATGGATCCCAAAAATATCTCGAGTAGAGAAAGAGAGAGACAAGAATTAAGACAAGTACAGGATAATCGTAAAAGTGGCCGCTATCAAGATGATGAAGAAAGTCATTATCGACGTGAACAATGCTACAATGGTCGGAAAGATTACGAAGAAGAGTATCGTCATAGTACCAGAGACTATGTAGAAGATCGTTATGCTCACAAGAGTCCAGTTCGTGATCATTATCCTCGAGAACCTTACACGAGAGAACAACCTCGGTATTATGAAGACAGCAGTTATCGATCTCCCCCTCCTCCTCAACAACAGCCCTATAGTAAATCAAGACAGTATGAAGATGATGACCGTTATGCACAATCGCCCGTACGCTCTCCCAAACAATACAGTAGATCAAGACAGTATGAAGATAGCGATCATTATTCACAACCTGATTCAAGATTGTCAGGACGAAGCTATAACGACTACAAATCAAGCCATGAACCTATGGTTGATTACTACCCTAATAATCCTAGGCAACATGTTCCTTTGGCACCCATGGATAGAGGTGCTTCAAGATACAATCAAGCTCCTTCTCCAGACATGAGTCGTAGACCACCTTCACTTCGAAGTGGTCGCCGTTACGGCAATGATCCTAATTACTTTTAAGACTGTGCATTTTTTTATACCGTTATTTTATCATGTTAATACTATTCTCAAACTATATTGTCTCTAACTGAAAAGGGGTTTATTTTTTTTTCTTATGGTTGGGATAAAGGTTGCGTTGTGCTTGCTGAAGAGAAAATAAGTGGTGCTCTAAGGTAAAAGTTGATGCATAAAGCAGTAACGAGCAAAATACACAATAAGATGGGACCATAAATATCTTCCATGTTGGATGCTGAACGACCTGTTCTCATATAATAAGCACGAAGTTGAAATCGAGCCAAAGCATACCTAAAAAAAAAAAGGATGATGAGCATAGGATGATGAGCATAGGATGATGAGACACAAATAACTTACATGGCTATAGCAGAAGAAAACACAATAAAGCAAGCACCTACAATACGAGAAATACGATCACCGTAATTAAGTAGATTCAAAGAGACAGTCAACAACAAGGCACAAAATTGTAACCAGGAGATAAAGGTACGTTCATTAGCGAAAAAGGCTTTGGGATCATTCTTTTTCATCAGCAGTGATTTGCGTTTACTGCCTGGCGTACCGCCCAACAGACCGCCACCCGGTGTCAAAGGAGAAGCCTTGTAATCACCTTTCTTTTCATCTAAAAACTTATTGTTGGCCCAGAATCGAGAGACTAAATCACGGCCGGGTGTGGCTGTCTCTTTTGCACTAGTAATAGGCGGCAAAGGATTGTCTGAAAAGTTAATGGACAAGTGAGGAATGTTGTTGCCCTTCTTGGTCTTTTTGGTTTCTGAGTTTTGAGCCGTGTCTTCATAAGCAAGCGATCTTCGATGACGGCCGTTGAATAAAGGCTTGAAACTTTGAGAACGCGAAAGACCTACATTGGGTGTGATTGGCTTTCGGATATCTTGCTCTAGTTCAGGTAACCAATAAGGCATTTGAGGCACTTTGTCTTTAAACAGATAGCTGGCACCATGGATATACTTGGAGAACCGAGGAACTTCATGGACCAAATGACTGTCTAACAACTGACATAACCAGGCAGGCGCGGTTTGCCCTAAATGACTCTGGATCTTGGTTTCCAAAATAGCATAAGGAAATCGCAAGATATCACTTTCTTGAACGTTTCGGAAAGGAAAATCAATACCCACATCGGTCCTTCGCCAGTTCTCTTTTCCGCCACGAGCACGTCGTTTGATACCATCCAAATGATCTTCGCGAATAAACGTCAAGTTGGAATCCAGACTGATACGGAGTCGTTGATCACCAGGTAATTGAAAAGCAGTACGGTTATAAAACACACGACACATAGGCTTCAAATCTCTGTTCTTGAACGACTGCTGAACACCGTCTGCCACAAAATGGTTTTCTTCGATTGCGACCGAGTCCAGTTTACCCTTCTTTTCCAAGTCTCGCTTAAAGTCATTAGCTGAATAAGCACCACTCATGAAATCGTTCACTTGGGTTTCCTTTAGTCTGAACCGATCCTTGACAGACTTGTCATTCAACCAGGCAGCATGGTGCGTCTTTCTTTCCACGTAGACATCATCGTTCAGTTCATCACTTTGGCCATACCAACGAATACGGATCGCTTCTGCACCTTTGGATCGATTCAGTCGTTCATGATACAGGTCAAAGTTAGCATTGTCATAATATACACTCGAGACAGCTGCATCTTTGGACTCGTATTGTTTTTTCTGGTTAAAAACATGGATAGGCAAATGCAACAAGATGATGGCCTTGACTTCAGTAATATGGTCCGGATGAATCCAGTACTTGTTCGTGGCCCTTTCAAAAGCGGTTTGATCGCCCCCGGCACTATAGGCTTGTGTAGAGCGAGGATTGCCATGAAGTCGACAGAGATCATGCATGTCTGAGATACGCACCATCAAGACGTCAAAGCGTTGTTTATCCAGAGGATAAGTCTCGAGCAATTGATTGAAATACACGGTTCTCAATCCACCTTGTGTTTGTTTATCATGTTTCTTGGTAATCTTGTCAAATCCAGCCAAATTGAGTTCATGAAATTTAGTGAGATCGTCAACATCAATCAGAATTTCAGCCAAACTGTCAGCGACGGCATCATAAGTGATGGCTGTTTTCTTTTTTTTGAGGAGTGTATCGCACTTGTCGACACGTTGCTTGAGAGCATCCAAGCGAGCTTGAACAAAGCCATACACTTTTTTGAGTTCGGATTCAATCTGCTGCTGAAAATTGATCTTGTCTTTGTCTGTCCAGGTACGTTGATTTTTAAGCTGAGCATTGAGTCTGTTATACTGAATATAAGATGCTCGCCATGGTTCGTTTATTTTTGAGTTGAATTCAGTTCCAAACTTCATTTCTATCCTACATCATTAGTTACTTTGATGGTTGTATTCAATCGCTTACTCTTGATGGAAGGGCTTAAGTCAATAAAGAAAAAGAAAAGAGAGAGAAAGAGAGACAACAGAATCAAGTTTATCAGATCAAGTGAATTTCTTGAAGTTTCAACAAACATGAACCAAACAAATCACACATTTTAAATTTTACTAATCTATTGTTCAACAAGATAATTTGCCCGAGTTCAATTTTTATTTTCTATACAAAGCGACGTTTGGCATTGACAAAGGTCAAGAGAGGCATGTCTAAACAAAGTTCAGTTTGTTTTTGTTCCAATTCATTATCAAATGAAAATGAAACACCTGTGCCTGCAATTTGAACTGGTATTTCTCTCTCTCCCATCTGTTGTTGAGAAGCCATAACTTTAAGTCGAGGTATCTTGACTTTACCAGCCAAAAGAGGGTAACATGTGTAATGATAACTGGTCTTGGAGAGTGGTAAGACACGACCTTTACACTGCTTATAACCTGAAAACACAAAGGCTTCACTGAGCTCCATGGAGGCTGTGTAATCTGCTAGTTGCAAAGTAGGGTTATGGATCATATAGGTCAGTGTGAATGGTTCTCCTAAATAAATTTCAGATGGTATGTCAGCCATGACTGTCAAGTTGTGTTGTTGAACAGGAAGATTAGGTAATTGAACCCATGTCTTGTAATAGTTGGATTGTTGGTCTTCAGATCTAAGACAAAGTTAGTGTCTATTTTTGTTTGTTTATTTTTACCTTTTCCATTCAATCATTATTTTGCCTGTTGGAATAGAAAATGATTGTTCCGTGATATCCAATGTGCTTGATTGAAATAAATAATTCGCATTGTATACATGCCCCGTTTTCCAGGCTAAAACCAAAAAGTCAATGGCATTCCTTTTGCTTGAGACTTACTTTGATTGTCAAAATCTTCCATTCGAGAAATCAATTCAAGTGAGGTATAAGGATCAGAAAAGGACTATGGTTTTATGTTTAGTCATGAAAGCCTACTCTCCTTTTTTTTTTTTTTTTTTTTTTTTTTTTTTTTTTTTTTACTTTGTCTTTTTCAAGTTGTACTTGTTTAATATCTAAATCCCAAGTAGAGAAACAACGAATGGAAGCCACAAGTAACCATCGTTCTGTACTTGACATGTTGGGTGATATCGCTTCTTGAGGCATGTTGTTTTGTGCACACAATTCAAAATTAGCATCAAAAGGCGCAATAAATGGAATACGTAAAGACTCTGATTTCTCTACCATCTGTGAATTATTCTCTCTACCTGCCATGGTATATTTCACCTAACATGTTTGAGTGACATACATGTGTATCTCTTTACTTACTGTCATATGAATCAAGCGTGCACCCGTCACTTGACTGCCATGAAGATAGACAGTCTTGGAAACAGACGTATGGGGTTCAATAAGACCTATGGTTGTCTCTCGCTCTTCTGAGTCTTGCATCGTAAATGTCACGTAGTCTTGTGCTACTGGTCCTTCTGAGTTTTTTATGTCGGCTATCAATATCGCCTGAATAGGTTCTTCTTCTGAACTTGTGATGGTTACATTTAACTTGAACAATTCATCTAAAAGAGCAGGTGCAGCATGTTCAAACTTGAGATCAATACTTGGTGGTTTCTGCATCACCCTATATAGAAATCAGTATCCAATTGACATATCGGCAGATTCTTTACATCACTGTGGATAAACAGCCTCGACCTGTCAAGATTTTATAGCTGGGTTTCTCATTCGAGAGACCCTCCAGCCATTTTCTTCTATACGAGGGTTGTTCTTCATTCAGTTTATCGAGTGGATAATCCAGTTCGATATGCCATTGAGGCGATATCATGTCCAGGCAGATATGGACTATCTAACTTGGTGTGAGCCACTCTCACATGGTTGACACCTCTACTGTACCTTTAATTCACCACATGCTTGAGGTATCAAACTGCCTTGAAATGCTTTGATTTGGCCTTGATAGACTCTAAGATCTGCTTTGGTTGTAGACCAACCCTTGTATTCACCTTCCTCGGTCATTTTAGTGGTCTTTGTGACATCGTTCAACTCAACAGACTTGGGCAATCCTTCTTCAATACCCATATCTTGAATGATCAGATTATATTCAGGATCATTGAACACAACCCTGACTGCCTGAAAACGAAAAGGAGCAGGAGGAGACGTCTTATCTGTTTTGAGTACCACTTGATACTCAATAGGTGTCCCTACAAAGTTGGTCTGTTGTTTGATCTGTACTTGACATGCCACAAAAGCATTGATTTGATCCATTTGAATCACTAGATGCGTATATTCCTGTGTCTTGTCTGATCCCAACATATCCATCAATTCTTTCTGAATGTCGTTTCGCTTGTTCTCTGCCATTGGCAAGTCATCCGACATCAATTCAACTAGACATTCAATCGCTCTTGACCAAGAACTCAGTTCTTTAGCACACCGCAATGACCAACGCAAAATAGATGTCAAGACCATATGCCATTTCTCTTTACGGTAGGTCTTGCCAATACGCTCAAAAAACTTGATGGCCATTTCAAACTTGCCTGTTTCATAATACGTGCCTGCAATTTCAGCAGCCAAGTAAAGTGTCATTCGACTATTACGGTATCGCTTGAACTGTTCATAACTCTTGGTGAGCAATTCGATCGTCAAGCTCGAATGATCGACTGCTTTCTCTGTCTGTAATGCTGCGTTGGTTGGATCAGCTCGTTCTTTTTCCAGATATCGTCTTCTACGTTCTGCACAACACATGGCTGCCAAATGGTAGTAAAATCCAGGATGTTGAAGAATAGCACCCGGGTTACAGCCTGACTGGCCATGGTTTAAAGGACTTGTTGGTGTGGCAGAAGCAGAGAGATAAGCAGTAGGAAGAGGTATTTTGTATCCAGCATGAACAGCCGTGTCAATCACATCCGCAAAGATACGATACTGTTTTGACAACCATGCCCAGTATTCAAAAGTATGTTCACCCATACCCCATATAGAGGAATGCGATTGGAACATGTGTAAGTGGCCATTCAACTGACTCAGTGCTGCTGTAGGTTCGTGCATATATAACTGAAGTCGACAGAGCTTGATGTTGATGCAGTCGATTAATTGACGTGCTTCTTTCCATCGTTTGCCATGGATTGTCAGGCCTGTATGTCCCATAGTAGGTGCAAGCATATCGGACAACATACTATAGGCTACTTCATAGGATCTATGAGGAACCTTGATCAATATACGTGTATGTGTTTATTATCTTACTCACTTTAAAGCACCTTCCATATCCTGTCTTGTCTCTTGAAAAAAAGCTATTTTTAATTCATATCGCAACATCCATCCAGGTACAGACAATGGTTCGGATGAAGACACATCAAGTCTGGGCAGTGTAGGCGAAGGTAATTTGGATTTCTTTTTACGAATCTTTTTAAGGCGGTTATTATAGAACTGTAAAGCAGGTTCATACAATGCTCGATAAAGCCTATCTTCAGGTTAGCCTGTACTAGACACACACACACACACACACACAGATTGGCTTACATGTTAACAAATTCTTGTATTTCAGTCAAAGTGCCTGGTGTCACTGTGAAAAATGAGCTCTTGGCATCTAATCCACATTGTTTTCGAATAGACGATAACCGTTCTTCTACTGAAGGATCTATATAAGGGCCATGAATAGCCTGTTTGTTTTCTATACTGTATTTACCTAAAGAACGCTGCTTCAACATGATCACAGCAGCAAACTTGATACCCTTATCTTGAAAGTATTTACTAGGCTGATATGAGGAAACGAGTTGGATTAGTGCAGAGACTTACCGTCGTGTGTTGATTTCAGTGGCTAATTGAGCATCGTGTTCGCGCTCAAGTGGATCTATCAAGACTTGAGAGGCCAATGGTCCTGTCTCACGTAATGAACGACTATCGACATACAGTTCATAGCAACCCACAACTACACTGGGTAGATACGTATGCTTCTTGATCCAAAGAGGCGTCATGATGCCATCTGGATATAGTGGTGAATCAGTCGAGAGAGGTGAAAGTGGAGAATGAGGGGGTGGTACATTAGGTAAAGATGTTTGTTTCTGAGGCAATGTATATTCCTAGTTCTTTGAGCCTTATGTTTGTTATTTATCTATATATATATTTTACCTTGGACACTGTCATGACTCGAAAAGGAGGTGATGTTTGAGGATATGTCAAATACCGAGATGCTTCATACAATGTATACTCTGTCTTGTTTGTCAAGACAGACACTAATGTACTCACAAGACTCAGTTTTGATGTGTCTCCTGCCACAACCGCGTCATCTGTTAGACCATAGACTGCAAGTACAGGAACAGGATGAACAAGATATTCTGGAGGATACATGAATAAAGAACACATGAATCACTGACTTTTAAAGCACTCTTTTCACACTTTTTTTTTTTTTTTTTTTTTTTTTTTTTTTTTTTTGACGCGTTTCTTTTTTATTATTATTATTATGGAAGACGACGAACTTCAAGCTATTAGAGCTAGACGTTTAGCAGAATTACAAGCCAAAGGTGGTTCATCACAGGTAAACAACATAAAAAGCCAGTTGATGATTCATATCGAAATCAGAGTGCTGGATTAGGCGGTGCTGGTTTTGGTGCTCCTGCTGGTGCTAATGCTAGTGAAGATGCTGAAAAGAAAGGGTAAGTTGTCTTGGTAGATCTATCTGTTGATCTTTTGTGATAGTCAAATGGAAGAAATGCGTCGTAATATGGTAAGCAAACAACAAGGCAGTGTGAAATGACTAAGAGATAGTTGTATCAAATTTTGGATAACTCTGCTCGTGAACGATGTAAGTTGTTTGTGTCATAGCCACTCAACTCAACTTGTTAGTGGGTCGTATTCAAATGGTAAAGGCTGAAAAGGCCCGTGCTGTTGAAGATCTCTTGATTCGCATGGCACAATCAAACCAGTTGAGAAGTAAAGTGACTGAAAAGCAATTGATTGATCTTTTGGGTCAATTAAACCAACAAGATTCCAGTTCAAACCAAACCCGTATTGTGGTAAGCCTTTTTTCTTGTATGTATGTATGTTTACACTGTTGTTAGTATAATCGCAGACAATATGATGATTCGGACGATGATTATGATTTGTAACACAAACCAAGAGATTCACTTGGCATTTTTCTTGAAAATAAAATTTTCTTTTCTTTATGCCTACACTTGTAGAAAACTATCAAACACCTCAACATATTGTGTTTGCATCCATGTTTGGTGGATCTTCTCATGTCAATTGGGTATTGTGTATCTTGGATGAATTAAGCAAAAGAGGACACTCAGTTACATTTGTTACGAGTGTAAGGTGAATCATAACAAGAGAAGAGATAACTTATTTGAGTGTATAGAGTATCCAAAGAAAGTTTGCTGAACCTTATCCCCATGTTCATGTGATGGTGATTAAGGAAATGAAGCAATCAGGTATGTCTACAAACAACTCGAATTTCATAGATATGGCTGGACATATCATTGACTTTTCTACAAAGGATTTTGGAGATAGTAAGTAACAAGACAGTGAGTGATGATGTATAACAAATAAGACTATAGAACCTATCAAAAGATATTTACAGATCTGAATGCAAGTGTTGTCTTGTGTGATTATATGAGTTCCAGTGGGTGTTATGAAGCTGCTCTGGCTATGAAAATACCTTATATAGTTACCATGGCATTTGCCTTGTCTCCAGGTAATTCAATAGATAGCGATGAGTTACTGAAGACTGTTTAAGATGCCTCTGCATCCTACATTAACAACAATGCATTCACCATGCTTGACTCAACAACACTCCATATGAGTTTGATAGATCGATTGAAAGATATGTTTATTACCCCCATTAAGATCTACAGAAGAGTATCGCCTGCTGTTCAAAGACTGAACAAGAGACGCATGGAAGCAGGTTGTTCAGAAAGAGGCATAGAAGGTGACTCTCATGTACATCGAAACAATTTAAAGCTTGTGAACAGTCTGTATGGCATTGAAGCTGCACGTCCTTTAGGCCCTCTTGTTGAACTGGTGGGTCCTATCCTGCCTCGTCATTATGATCCATTGACGCCTTCTTTGTCTGGGTTTCTAAACAAGTACTCGCGTGTGCTCTATATTGCATTTGGACAGCATTTAATCCTAACTGAAAAAGACAATCAATTGATCTTGACTGCTGTATTGGCATCCATTGAAGCAGGTGCTTATGATGGGTTTATATGGGCAGTGGGTCAACATCCTTCTGGTGCGTTACCATTCGATCAAGACAAGTGTCCTTTTGCCCATATTGTAACATGGGCACCTCAACAAGCCATTCTCATGCACCCTTCTGTCTCTGTCTTTTTGACGCATGGCGGTGCTGGTTCCATGTACGAAGGATTGTATGCAGGAAAACGATTGATTGTGTATCCCTTTTTTGGTGATCAGTTCCCAAATGCATATCAAGTCAAGCGTCAAGGTATGGGTGAATTTCTGCAGCGTAAATCGGATCAACAAGAAGCCAAGCATACCTTGATTCGCGTTGGTCTTGACCTGGATGGTGCTTATCAACGCAACCTCAATCGATACAAGGCACTCGTTCAAATTCATGCTCGTACAGGACCAATACGAGGAGCTGATTTAGTAGAAGAAGTGATGTTTGCCTCTGTTGATGGATTACTGCCTTATCGCTGTGAGCACAGTCGTTATATGTCTGTCTTGAAAGCGTATAATTTAGATCTGTACCTTATTTTATTTTGTTTCTTATTTTGCATCTACAGACTCACAGCAAAAACATTAGAAATCTTTTCATGATTTTTTTTTTCTTTTGGAATGCTTTCTATCCTTGAACAAGTTTCCCCAAAGCATAACACTGTAAAGTGTAAAAAGTATAGGTTGTTTATTTAACTAATATTTGATGTAGTCACTATTTGCATAGTATGAATGTAAAGGAAAATAGTGTAATGCAAACAAACAAACAAACAAACAACCCACTCCTTAATGATTATTGTATTCTTTGTTATTCCTTAAAACAAGAGTTGATTAAACTTGAGCTTTCATGAATGGCTTTACAGAACCATACCAGTAGCATTACGCCTATTGATCTAGACACATCAATGTTTGTTCATCTATTGAGATGCATGGCTCTAGGGGGAGAGTATTCAACTACTTCCTCATATCCATATCAGTATTTTACCTTCTATTCTCTGCTCTGCTTAGAATATAATATTTTATTTCCCCCATTAAAGTGTATTGGACTCTCTTAATTTGAGTATATTAAAATACGATCAAGTGTTTCATATTGAATACTCAAGCAGATGAACAATACAGAATTGTTTAGACAATAAATAGGCCTCTTATCCCCCCCTTTTTTTTCTCTCTCTTTTTTTTTTTTTTCTTTTCTCTATGATGACTTTGCCTGTGAATTCTGTTGCTCTTAAATGTTGTACTTGTGGTTCATTTTCCCATAAAACAAGGTAATAATAATAATAATAAAAAGAAAGAAAGAGTGAGAGAGACTATAGGCTTATATGTGTTTATCTTTTCTAGAGATTGTCCTAAATTACACTGTTAAACTCTAGAATCTATTAAATAAATGCTTCACATATATCTTGATGTAACTTCTTCAATGCCTGGTGATGTTCATCAGCAATAGTAGAAGCTTGATCAAAAAACAATTCGACTTTCTTTAACACTGGCTGCAGTCTTCTTTCTGTCTCTTGTCTCTTTTTTCGATAGTTTTCATTTGTTTCTTCTAACTTTTGTTCTAATACGCGCACTTCATCTTGTAGATCCAGTAACTCTTTTCTCATGATAGATCGTTTCGCATTCCATCCTTGAACAGTATCATCCTTCATTTTGTTAAACTTGCCAATCTCTTGAAAAAAGATCTATTCAACAATGAACTAATTTGTTTCTAATCTTAAACTTACTGCATGGTTTTCCTTGTAAAGTCTTTTGAGGTTTTCTACACGCTCTTCTTGTTGTTTGATCTCTTCTCTTAGATGACTGTTTTCTAGTTTGATACTGTCCAATTCTTGCCTTAGAATGGCTGTTTGACTTAACAGCTTGGCTGTCTCGTCTGTCACGCTTCTCTCTAGTCCTTCTAATGTTGGCTTAAAAAGAGAATCAGTGATCTATAGGAAACAAAGTAAACTTACCAGCAATTGTTCTTCAATATCAATCGATGTCTTTTCTTTTAATGTCTTGCCTAGTGGATTGTATTCAATCAAGATATTTTCACCTTCAAGCACAGATAAATCTACGGTTCTTGCCTTTTGATTGTATTCACTTACGCCTTTCTCTACCTAATTCGACGTTAGATGACATTGGTTAATATATCTTGATGTCCTTGCCTGTTCTTTCAGTTTGTTTAATTTAGTGGTAGTTTGGGTACGTTTCTGTCTTGATTCTTCTGCTGTTCTTTCCAGTTCTGCATACTCTTTTTCTAATGCTTTTGTCTTTTGATACATGGCTACTAATTCTTCTTCAGAAATGTTCTTTTCTGCCAACTTATCTCGAGAAGCTTGAATCTGTTGATTCAGGTTTTCCAGTTGATGTTCCAGTCGTTTCTTTTCTTCACCTGCTCTCTCCACCATATTTTTGTATTTGGACACCTTTTTGACTTTCTCTTCAATGTAAGCTTTGAATTTACCAATATCTTTAACAAGCACACCGTGTCTTTCTTTCAGCGTATCCAATTCTCCCTAACAGAATAAGTAGCGATCTCAAAGACGCTGACACTTACATTATCTGATTCGAGTTGTGCTAATTCTTGTTCTAATGCGCTAATGCTTTTGGTATATATCTCTATTTGGTGTAGATTGGGCTGATTGGCTCTTTCTAGCTCATGATGAGTGACATGCATCAACCGAATGATGGCTTACCAAAAATATGCTCTAGTTCTTGATCAAGTGATGCCATGTCATCATCGCCTGTCATGTATTTATGATAACCAGCAATGGCATAGGCATGGAGCAACTGTGCCACTGCTTCTTCGTCTATTTCTTCATCCACCTCGTCATCAGACAGACGAGGTGTGTCCATAATCTTGCAGACCACCACAAGCCAATGCAAAAGAGCAATAAATGTAGGATTGGAATGCATAGCACCAATCGACAATAGTTCTTTACGATTGATCGTGTCTGCTAAAGGATAACCCAACTGACGAATGAGAACCATAGCATCTTCTTCAAATCGTCTTTTGTAACTGTAATGAGGCACAATACGGAGGAACAGATGTTTAAAGATCATTTGGAATTCTCGATTGCCCAACATGCTGATGCTTCGAATAAACGGTCCTTCATAAGATGTTTCTTTTAGGTATTCTGTAATTTCTCTTAGGTATTGTTTCTGTAATTCAGGATCTTTGATGCTTTGTGTGTCTGGCATGTACTTTTTAGATTCAAATGTGTCGCCTGCATTAAAGCGTCGAAGGGTTTCTGAATAGGTATCACTTACAATCGAACTTGGCCTAAGATGATGAATGATCACGTCCTTTTTATATATATTTTATTACCGTGAAGGACGTGTAGTATACGAAGGTCTATCTTGAACAACACGTTGAGGACCTAGATTTTGTTGAGAGAGTGTCAATGTACTCATGGCTGTGGTCAATCGTACTTGAGGTCGTTTATTGGACTGTCGAGCTGAAACAGTCGACGCAGGTCTTTTTCTATTGACCACATGGCCATCGATCGAGATAGTCCTATTGAACCCTTTGGTTATTTTCCTATTGGGTACTTGACTTGCTCTATGCATTCTAGAAAAAAGGAAAAAGAAGAAAAAAAAAAAATAATATTGGTTACATGTCGCGTTTCTTTTTTTTTTTTTTCTACGCGTGTTTTATTTTTGAGTGACAATACATTGAATGATACTTTCGGGTGTTAATTGTAGATGATCAGAATAAACAAAAGACTCTGTTTCTTTTGAATGACATTCAATCAACATATTATCTTGAAGCATCCTACCTAAATAAATAAAGCGTAATCTGTGTGTCTTATCTGTCATTGACGCGTCTATATCAAACACACGCGTTTTAAGTGAACCGACTGTTTCACAAGTGGAACTGATGGTCACCTTCTTATCTTGGTGATTGGATAATCGTACAGTGATAGGAAACGGGTCTTGATCACAATTCGGTGCAGGCACTCGAATGGACAGACTGGCTTGTCTCCATGTGTCTGGTATCAAATTCGTAGGAGGTACAATGCAATACACTGGAACTTGATAAGCACAGCCTAGTTCTATCCTATGCGTCAATCAATGGCAGCGAATTGGGATAAGCTTTACCATCAAAACAACCGTCGCATGGATTACCATTGGGTAAAATGACATGAGCAGCTTCTAAAATCGATCTAGCCAACCGAACATCATTTTCTGAAAAAGCAGCTTGTAGTGCCTGCCATATTTCCATGCGTCCCTTTAACACAATCAATTAGATGGATAGATATCATCTTGAACTTACACCAAATGTAGGTGCTGTTTCCCAATACACAAGTCGTTTTTGTTCTAATTCTGTCTGTGTCAATGGTTTATCTGAAGTCCAGATCAATCCCATTCGTTTAAATGGTCTACTTTGCACTTGTTCAGTTGCTATATGATGTTTGGTTGAATCAATAGAATCAGAAAAGCAATTGCCCATGATAAAAAAAAAAAAAAAAAAAAAATTGGATTTTAAATAGCTCTCCCATTTTCAGTTTATTTGCGCGACATTTCTAATCTCTTCAAATTTGACCTGGTGAAATAAACTAGCAGATAACTGTAAGGGTTCACCAAGGAGATGACTAGGCTGCTGAATACAACTATCTCGATCATAACAAATGGCAGCTAAAGTATCAGCATCAAGAGAACTGAGATGAAACGACCAACACGCTTGCTCTCCATTGATTTTCAATCGAATCTACTGTGGGGTCAATACATATATACACTATCCAATGTTGAACTCTTGCCTTGTTGTCTTGTCCATAGAAATTCAATCTGTTTAAGTCAAATGATAAACCAACGCCTAATGCTTTAATGTAACTTTCTTTTAATCCCCATAATTCAAAAAATGTTTGCAGTGGATCTGTTGACCCTTTGATCAGTTGCATTTCTTGTGCTGATAACTATTGAAAAGTAAGGAGAGAAAGGGTTTTTTTTTTGGTTTACCTGTGGCTCAAAACTCTTGATGAATTCATCGATCGAATTGGAAATAGACCGATCGATAGAGACTGCATCTACACCTATCCTACCTTCTTTAACACAGCCAAAAATCACCCAATGACTTTCATGCGATAGATTGAAATCTAAAGAACATCCTTTCTAAAAATACATATCAGCCTTACATGGCTGACGGAGAGGGAGAGAAAAACATGATTACCAAGCTTGGTTTACCTCCTGGTAAGATGGTAAACTCAAGATCAGACCAATGTCTGTTCAAAAGACGAGAAAAATAATAACGACGTATTAAACGACTTGCAAGAGCTAAATGACGATCACGATCGAATTTGAATCGCATAACAGATGGGCGTTCATCAACAGGTAACCATGACAAAGCTTCTTGAAACTAATCTCGAGTGGTTAATACAATAAACCATACTGATCAGAGATCTACTTTTCCCCCTTCAAAACTGTCTTTGATATTGAATGACAACAGGTCCATGACTTACTGAGTATACAACAAAAAGTTTATTTCCTCGAAATGCATTTAGATTCGATAGACAAAAGTCACTTTTTGATGATGATTTTCAATAAAGGTGACTTGAAGTGTTACCTGTTGACCTTGGTCTGTAAAGTAATGTCCCTTGTTCTCTAAAGGCTGAACAGTGACAGCCATTGTGCTGCAACCAATATGAGAATCATACAAGACAAGCGATGCATGTCCTTTCTCCATCTTTTGTTGGTTTTCAAAGTCAAATCCAGTCCATACAACCTGTGTTGTATCATTATGCATACCCTCTTCTATCAACCGAAATACCCAGATACGAGGCAGACTTGTAATACGAGTCTTTTCAGGCGATAATTGTACTTGCCTTGATGGTAAAGGCTGGTTAAGTTGTGACATAATTTCTTTTTGCTGGACACAATTCAAGACATCGCCCAATTCGTTGGTAGCTGAAATTACTTGAATAGAAGGCAGTGGATGACCCTTTCCTAATTTCTTTTTCAGTGCTTGTTTTGTAGAGCTCAGTACGCACTTGAGCCATTTTTTCTTTTTTTGAATACATTTTGGTGAAGGTGTACGGATCATGGCTGAGGGTGTTGAAAACAAAGTGTTGCTTTGGGTTACATCGTCTTGGCTTTCGTCTCCCATACCCAAACAATGGTTGTATGTGTAGCGTGGGTCAACAGTAGCCAAATCATAAACAAACTCATCTTGAGGGGTGGTAGGCTCCCTCTTTAGACATGTTAGTCTATGTTGTAGGGCTTGAATGACATACCTTTCTATTCTGACTTGAGAGTGCATTGGGCATAAGTTCATAAGCAGAGTGACGTCTTTGATCATCATTGTCAATCGACTCTTGTTGATTTATATTCATCATAGACCTCTGTCTTCTTTTATTTCTTGTGGAATGATAATGATACATTTCATCTGATTGATGATGACGGTCTTCAAAGTAAGCGTCATGATAATATTGACTTTGATCAAAATAAGAGTTTGTATGATAAAAAGACATGAAACGTAAGAGGCAGAAAATACATTGTTGTTATTGTTTATTTTTTATTTTATAGAGTGCTTGTTTGTGCAATAGTGGCACAGTTACATGATGACACACTTTTGACTATGATCATAAAAGAGTTCATCCTTTTTTCGAGGCAACATAAAACTAGGCTCAACCGTAAAGACCTTTTCACGATTACCTTTGAATACAGTAGATGTGAATCCTTCCACGTCTTCAACTGTGTCAAATGTCATGTTGATAGTAGCTATATCATATAAGAAAGTCATAGTTGTAGTACATACTTACTTTGCTTTAAATGATGCTCTTTTGCTGTTGCTTCTGTTTCCTTATGCTTCAAATCAAGTGCATCTTCATAACTATGTTGTTCTTCTTTAAATGTATACATATGAAAGGAAGAAATAAAGAAGATGGTGTATCCATTGCTTGTTTATAGAGTCCATTGTTTTTTTATCTGTTCCCTTAATTGGAAGTATACAGAATAAAGCAGTCAGAAAACGACTTTTTTCATTGTCTCTTTTTGGGAAGCTACTATATGTTCATGATCCAGTGACATCTCATGAACCTTAAAATGACATAAGCGCTGGAATTGAATACGATCCATAGATCAAAGAGCCAATGTCTATAACATCTTTCACCATCGTGCACATATGTGCTTGCTTGAATACATCATTGGAAAGCATACAAAAAAAAAAAAAAATTCCCGGAAAAAAAAAGACCGTAGCTAAACATGTATTTTCATCTTGACTATGTAGAGATCCAAGCTACTTTCTTTTTCTTTTTCTTTTTTGTTCTTCAATATGAGTATTCAACCTGAACCAAACACACACACAGTAAATGAAAAAGATGTATCCATCTTAGTGCGACAAAAAAAGAAGGAAAGATCCGATATTCGAAAATCTTTATGCTTAGAAACAATGATGGTAGAAGAAGAAATCCAACCTGTAGAAAGTCCCAAATTAACAACTGAAGAGGATTTATTTCCTATATTAGAGCCTTCCACTGCTCTTTCGCCTATTGCATCCACACTCACCATCAATCCTTCTATCAAAACATCAGAAACACAGTCGACCTTTGACTATCATGACTCGGACTCTATTTTCCCCTATACCAACAAGATACACGACACAAGGCAAAGAACCATAGCAGAAGAAAGCAAGCAATGGGAGTCCTTCTTTGACCCACAATACATATTGGGTTCTTTTCAACAAGGCATTGGGTATCCAATCAAACACTATTTTTATCAAGGCAAATGGCCTCTCGATCAACAAGATATCGTTGGTATGACACCTACGCTTCGAAAAAAGAAGTTCAATCACATGATGAATGGAACACCCGTCTTGAGCAGTCGATCTCCCAGTATGAACTCGACTACTTTTCCCGACCTTTTGTTTCCTGCTGTGCCTAGTCCCACTTTACCCAACAAAGAAGAACTCGAGTTCCATATTCATCTTCCCCAACAAGACCAAAGCCTATCGACGTCACAGCAACAGATTGAAATCTTACCTTGTCCTTCTTTATCTTTGTTTCCTAAACATAAAAATGTAGAGAATGAAGCATTATGGAAAGAAAGGCTTGAGTTACTTCGGGAGATACAGGCAGAAGGATTTAGTATGGAGATGAACGGTACACAATCTGATCCCTACAAAGCGTCTGGAAAGGCTGTTCGATTGCAAAAGCAACTCAAGCGAACAGCCACAAAGATCAAACAAGAAACAATGGTGGAATTATGTTCAAACGATGACGATGAGAAGCAAGTTCATCAAGATCAATTCGCTGTTGCTATGCATCCAGATACCCTCTGTTTACCAGAACAAAATGAATTTAATCATGAAAAAGAACAAGAGATACTTTGCTCTGCACGATCTAGTATAGACCAAGAGGTGTTTGAGACCAAGCGAAAGAACCGGCCCTCGTTTTTATTGTTTGCTTGTGGATTTCTGTTTCCACCCTTGTGGATTATGGGTGCGCTCTATACCCCAAGTACTTCGATACCAAGAACAGCAGCCAGTAAATTGATTGACGAAAAATGGAAAAAATATTCAAGAAATGCATTGTTTATCTTATTGCTGTTGATGGTGGGCGTCTTTATTCTGGTAGCCACACTCAAGCCCCATATACTTGGGTTTCGAAATAGTAATGAGAACGGCTATCAAGCTGATCGAGTGGTGTTTGATAGTGATGATAAATAGAGTCTGTAAAATAAACAAACAAATGACCCATTTACATAATTCGATTTTGCTGAACTGTTTGTTTTTATTTGGAAATGGTTAGAATGACCATCTTATGTTCTCTTGTTTTAGATAAATGATCGTCTATAATAGCTTAAAATGCATATGTTTTCAACAACACAAGCTACTAGGATAACGAAAAATAGTAGCATGTTTGTCCATGAAGTTATATATATATATATATATATGTATATCGCTCTTTTCTTGGCAAAAGGCAATAGACTTATTTGTATGTTGTTCTTAAGCTGCTTGAGTACGCCATGTATAAAATTAGGGAGTCAACGCAAAACAAGCTTGTCTAAAATAGACACTGACGCACAACACATTTTAAGTAAAAAAGAACAATGATTGACTAACAATGATGTTCATAAGAAAGAACACAAAAGAAGAAAATACAGTTCTTTTTGTTCGGTTACCCACATCCTTATTATATCATGACACTTGTCAGGTTAACAACAAAAACGCCAAACTCAATTTTTTTGTTAAACCTGCTTTTTTTTTAGAGAAAACATACAAGTGTGCTACCCACGCTGCTGTCAATATTACACAAAAAGATTTATTTCTTTTTGAATTTCAAGAGACAAGACAAGTGAATATCAACTGGACCCGCTTTTTTAGAGAAATCATGCTAACAAAAAAAATCCCATAAGTTCGCTTGCGGACCACATGTTATACTTACGTTTAATAACTCTGAAGCAGAGGCACGAGACTTGACATCCACACATAAACAGACAGCCAAATAGCTCTTGAGTTCTTTGGATAATTTTTCGGGATTTTTCAGAGAAGGTGTGCCATTGGTGGCAATCAAATAAAGTGCTTTCAGGGGCTCTTCATCTAAATAAGGTGGCTCATTCTCAATCATTTCAATAGCCATGATACCCAAAGACCAAATGTCTACTTTAGCGCCATATTCTTTTTGCTTAACAATTTCAGGTGCCATCTATAACTACATCAACATAGAGTATGGAAGGATACAACTTACCCAATAAGGCGTGCCCACCATTGTGGCTCGTTTGTTTCTTTGATCTGTCAATTTAGCACAATAACCAAAGTCACTGATCTTGACTTGACCTTGGAAATTTAACAAGACATTATCTGATTTAATATCACGGTGAATGATGTTTTGTGAGTGCAAATGATCTAACCCTTTCGCAGTCTAAGCAACATCAGTACAATAGAAACAATCTGTGTAGTCCATACCTCGTAACAAACTGTAGCAATCTGTTGTTCTGTCATGGTATTATGTTCAATTACATCTGTTAAGGCGCCACCCTCCATGAATTCCATGACTACCCACAAATCGCCACGTACCAAGAATGAATCAAGAAAGTTCACAATGTTGCTGTGATGCGACTCTTTCATGATCATGATTTCATTCACAATGAGATCAAGACGTGATTGCTTTGACAAGTCCATTTGTTTGACAGCTACTTTAGCATGGGTTGAGAGGTGACTAGCCAGATAAACAGAACCTGAAGCACTTTGATCGACATGATTAATACGTCCTTAATCTATCTAAACTTACCCTTGCCCAATGCGCTTTGTTCTCTTGTAAAGCAAGTTAGGATCACCTGTCGTAACTACAGACCCTGAAAAAAACTATTAATGGGCTTTGCATTATACCGCTCGACACTTACTTAATCTCTCCATGATTTGTGAATCACTCATGGTACTGATTCTTTGATCTTTCTTTGGAGGTATGTTCTCTTTGAATTGGTTTGCACCATCTTCATGATGCACTGTGGAAGGAACAGGTGTAGATACCTGAGGTTGAGGTTGAGGTATCGATGGCTTCTTCTTGATAGGTTCTTCTTTTGTACGTTTGGGTAAAGATTTTTCACGATCCAGAGCAGCAGCAGCTTCTTTTAATCTCTCCTTTTCCAGTTCAAATTTAGCCGTACGTTCAGTTGAGTTTTGTCGAGATATCTTGGTGTTTTTACGAGGAAGGGATCCACTGAGTGTGGTAGGTGTAGGTGAAATTGGCTTGTATGCTGATGGTTTGGGTATTTTTGAGGGTTCTTCGAGTGCATGCGATTCCTGCCAAACATAAATAAAACATAAGAATGAATTTAGACTTACTTCTTCAATGACCTTAGGCATTTTTACAACGACTGAGTTCTAGATAACCAATGAATCACAATAGTATCATATTGAGCATGTACAAACCTCTAGTTTTGTATCTGGCTTTGGTACCATGGGTCTAGAAGGCGGTTCACGAATATGTCTAGGAGCAGGTGTGGATTGACTAGACTTTAAATGGTTATTCTTTTTCTCCTGTTCTTCATAATTTCTCTGATAGGGCTCATTTTTAGCAAACGTATTTTTCTCTCCTCTTGTTTGTTCTGTATAGAATTCAAGTGCTTCTAATACTGCCTGAGGGTTTTTTGCAGCATCTTCTGGTGTGATTTTAGATCCTTTTAAAAGTGCATTCCATTGGTCGGGCAGTCCCTAAGCAAAAGTTTGAATCGATTTTTTTTTTTTTGTGAATTTCTTACTGTGAATGCACCTGATATAGGATCAAAACCAACATGAACTTGATGTACAAAATCTGTTGGACCTGAAGCACCCAATGGAGATCGCTAGCAGAAATGAATACACAGTATAAACATTTTTTTTTCTGTTTTACATTATATATTTCATCCATCCAAGAATAAAGTTCCTCGTCATTGCGACAAGCAATGTAGTACGATTTCGGTTTTGTACCCAGTTCAAAACAATAAGGCCTTGCTTCAGATCTTGTTACCGCTGTGATGTCTTTTAAAAAGACAAGCGCTACGCATTGTCCTGTTTGCTATAAGAGCTAATTAGAAAACGACATTATTTGTTTATACTCCATTTATATGTTGCTTTATTTACTTCGTTACGATGGAAGGTGATTGTTTGCTCACGCAAAACAACATAACGCTTTGACCAAATCCAGGATCTAAGCCCATCTTCTTTCACTTGAAGGTAACCATCTTTTTTTATTTCTGCCATTGCTTAGGAGAAAAGAAAGAGAAGAAGAAAAAAGAGAAAATTGCAAGAAACAAGATATATAAAAAAGAAGGGGGAAGGATAGGGGGCTAAAAAGAGACTTTATTATAAAGTTATTTAGAATATGTTATGTGTTCAGGGGTGACACTTTTTTTTTTGTATTGTTTAGTGAAAACGTCAATCTTTAGTGTCAAATTGTAAGCTTATATTAAAACGCCCATAACTTTTTTCCAAGAGAAAGAGAGAGAAAGAAAAGGTGTGTGTGCGTGCGTGTATCTATGATCGAATGATTAGCGTTACCTAAAGAGAACTGGTGACTTGTTTTGCCATCGGAAAGGCTTCCGGACAATATCTCCCCCTTTTTTATCGCGTGTTCAGTCTCTTTTCTTCTCTATCATACTACATAGAAAGAAAAGAGAGAATGCAGGGTAATGTTTTAGATTTGGGAGGGAAAAAATAAAGTGACTAATTGAGAATCTATTTGTCTTCGCCGCGTGATTATTTATGCATGAGTGAAAACTAATTAGAGAAAGAAAGATCATTTATATAACCATTAGTTAACTCTTTTGATATAAACATATAAACAAGACTAGGTATGTGTTTGTATGTTTATACTAAATTCACTCTTTCCTAATTTGCTTCATTATAAGAAAATGCTTGCATTAGTATTTAGCAGGTTTGTTTGGATGCATGTAATTCTAAGCTTGTTTAAAAAAGAAACTTGTCTGACTCAGTCAATCCCCCACATTGCCCCCCTTGATTTTACTAATAAGTGTTTTATACTCTCTTTCCTCTTTCTTTTTTTTTCAATATGTATATATATGATGCGCATTTGCCGTATACACAATTTCCTTTTCCCTCTTTTTTTCTTTATTTATTTACTCCTTTCTTCTTTTTTTTTCTTTTACTTTTTTCTTTATTTTTTTCTTCTTTTCTCTTTCAAGTGTGTATAATTTATTTCAACTTGTATTATAATCTATAAATCTTAAAAAAAAAAACTTTAAAAAAACACGCCAATACAAATTTTATTTCCAATGCAACATCAACACCAGCAGCGGACCATGACCAAGACATACAGTAAAAAGCAAGCTGAAGATAATGTCGCGTCCAGCTACTCTCTGACTGCACCAACAAACAGTAATACAGCCACTCGATTGGCCCAAATCGATGACATGAAATTATTTTTTGCTACTGCAACACAACAATGGGAACACAATAAACAATTAAAGCGATTTGCATTGCCTGCTGGGGAAAGCATTTCTTGTGTTCTCTGGAACGACCTGTTTTTCATTACAGGTACAGACATTGTCCGGTCATTGACATTTCGATTTCATGCATTTGGCAGACCGGTCACAAACCCAAAAAAGTTTGAAGAAGGCATTTTTTCTGATTTGCGTAATCTGAAGCCTGGTCATGATGCTCGTCTAGAAGAACCCAAGTCTGAATTGTTGGACATGCTTTACAAGAACAACTGTATCCGTACCCAGAAAAAGCAAAAAGTCTTCTTTTGGTTTTCTGTGCCTCATGATCGTCTTTTCCTTGATGCTCTTGAACGTGATCTTAAGCGTGAAAAGATGGGTATGGAACCTACCACTCAAGCAGTTGCAGAGCCTGCCACCACGATCTCCTTGGATTCAACTCAGGAATTATTTGATCAATTAAGAAAGTCCATTTCTCAATCTGCTGCAGCTACTGCTCAAGTCATTGAACAACAGCAGGATAACAACACGATTGGTAAACCTCCCAGCTCCATATATAGCATCATGTAATTAACAATTTCTCCTTAAAAAATTTGTAGTGACTGATCATAACAATAACTCCAATTGGTCTCCTCCTACACCAACAGCTTCACATACACAATGGTCCTCTTCCCAATCGAGACTTGAAAGAGCTGCATCCCAAGCTAAAAGATCGCGTGTCAATTCTGTCCCTGCTAGCTTGGGTCAACAACAACAGCTTCAATTGATACAGCAGCAACAACAACAAAATAAGCATTATTATCACCGTCTAAGCCATAGCTCTTATTTCAATCAAAATAGAAAGCCACCCGTTAGTCCTCGTTCTGTTCATCGCTGTAGCCCTTCTGATTCTAAATCATCGCCTATTAAATCACATGACTACATGGAGCCTATTTCTACTGGTGTTCATCAATTGGATTTATCGAACACAAAGGTGACAACCAACCAACGCATAATAGGCAAGAAGACTCACAATAGCAGTATGAGCAGCAGCAGTAGTACGAGTAGTAATAGTACAAACAGCAGTAACAGTAGCAGCTTGAGAAACCAAGTGTTGCCTTCCAAATCGCTTGATTCGAATGCAATGAAAAAAACAAAGACTATCTTTGGTAATCTTAGTTTGTTTGATGGTTCACCTACATACAAGCAACGTAGACGCAGGGCTGCCTCTGTTTCAACTTCAGCTTTAAATCCAACCAATGCAGGTGGTCCTGATCGTATCCGCCGCCATGACAAATGCCACTTGCGTACACAGTCAACCCATGCCATGCCTATGATCAACAATAGTCGTTTAGCCATGGCAGCTGCCAAAGCTGGCTATATTCCCAACCAATCCATGGTTATGACTCCCACTACCATGCCTTCCTTGGGTTGGCAATCCATTCAGCAAGATTACTATTGCCCTATGGAAGATTGCCGACACTTATTTAAGCGTCCTGAACATCTTGATCGCCATATGCAAGCAATGCATTCATTTGTTTGTACTGTTTGCGGCAAACAGTTTTTGCGATCTGAAAACTTGGCTGAACATCATCGCCTTGAACATGAAGTCCAAACATTAGAGACTGTGCCTTCTTTCCATCATGACCACCAAGATGATGATTCTTCTTTTGATGACCATTTCCAGCCTTCATCTTCTACTTCTTTCCTTCATGCTCAAAATAATATGTGTCAACAAGATGCCATCGTTCAACAAAACGAATTTTACACTTCGCCTTCGTTTGACAGTTCCAAATCAACTCAATGGGCTCAAAAACAAGAAGGTTTAGATAACTTGAGCAGTCGTTGTAGTACGTTGAGCCCAATGCAAGATGTTGATTTTGACATGCCAGATATACAGTCTAAAACTCCTACTATATTGAATTATGAATTTCAACCTTTTATAATCAAACAAGAACCGACTGATATTCAGCCTTCTTCTTCCTCGTCTTCCTCGTTATCTTCTCTATCTAATAGCATGATGGCTATGAAACAAGGTTCATTTGAAGACGATTTAGCTTCTTCTTCAGCATCTTCTCCTACTTTGCTTACATTTCAACAGCAAGTCAATCCTATGGTCAGCAATCCCAAAACCAACTGCTCTTCTCTATTTGCGCCCATGACGTTGCTTTCCCCTTTCAAACCAAACTATCAACAACAAATGACCAGTCAACAACAACAGCCACAGGAAAATGACTTGATGTATTCTCAACAATACACAATGGATATGCTTTCTAACCAAGAAATAATGTATGCGCCTTTTGTTTATCCATCTTCATCGTCTTACTCTCCTTTAAATATATCATCTGATATGAAATATGGTTTTGGCGCCTAATGTATAAACAAAAAACAGGTTACATCTTCATACATATAGTCACGACAAGAATTACTCTCATTTTTTTTTATTTATTTGTCCTTTTTTTTATTATATATACACACATTCATATGCATTTATTACATGAACCCTATTTTTATTATTATAGCATCTTATACATATGCCCCTTCCCTTTCTTCCCTTTTTTTTCAGTAGAATTACGGCAGCAATAACCTATTCTTTTTATATTATGACTTGGCATTTTATTATTATTATTTTATTCAAAGGAAAAAATCATTTCTATTGGCAGTAAACTTATGATAACCTCATTTCACATGACTATAAATGAATATTTCTGTCTTTCTTTTTTGAGTCTTGTTATTTGGATGATAGCTTTTACTATTTGAGAGATAACCTTTTTTTGAGTAACCAATCATATTTGTAGGTGAGCTTGTTTTTTGAGCATTAAAAACTTAAGGCAAGAACATATTTTCTTCTGCAAATATAACGGCGTGGCAATTGAAAAAGCATCTATCGTTACAGACGTTTCTTTAAACGTATGTCGATTTAAGCAAGGAAGCATGTACTGTCATAAGGATTTTTCTTTTTGGGATTTTGTGCTTGAAAATTTTAAGTTACATACCTGTTAATCAAATGATAGCCCCCCTTTTTTTTTTTACTTTGCTTAAAAAATAAGCTGAATAAAAAGGAAGTATCACTTGCCGAATCATTTATCAGGCTCAATTTATTATAGAAAAAGATACTGTCATTTTCCAAGAGTTGGGCGATAAAGCTTGGTGATTTATCTCTGTTTTATTGCTCGAAATATACAAGATTCTCAGTTGTTGTTGCTTCTCAAAGGTTGGGCGACAGAATCTATACTTGGGGCCAAAATATATTGATTTTTCAGGATAAAGTGCACAAGTAGTGACTTTACTTTTACGCGGGTCGGACATGTTTTTATGCAGAAAAAGTGTTGCATAAGTAGTCGCCCAGAAAACAAATCCGTCTTTATTACTTCTTTTCTATTTTTTATAAAATGTATTTAAATCATGTGCTGTGCATTTCTGTGTTACTATTAAAAAGTGTAGAACTTAAGTATATAGAAACTGAGATAGTCATTTTGGGCGCAGGAGCTTCTGGTATCTCAGCAGTCAAAACATTATCTAAACAAGGTGTTACAGATTATATCTTGCTGGATGCTCAACCCTTTATAGGAGGTGTGAATCACTTACAAGAAGCATTTATTGATAACAATAATTAGGTAGAGTACAGCATGTATCTTTTGGTGAACACAAGGTTGAATTAGGAGCCAATTGGGTATGTGTAGTGTCAGGGAGTAAGAAACAATAAACAGATAAGGATTCAATAGATTTATGGTAAAGGCAAAAATCCAATACATAAACTGGCAGTCAATCATGGTTTAAAAACTACCCCTAATGATAAAAATGATGTGGTCTATTTTGATGATTATGGTTTATTGAAAAATCAACAAGAAGGCATTCAAAAGAGCAGTGAATTTGAGTACATCAAAGCAGAACTAGTGGATTATGCAGGCAAGCATAATAGAAGAAAATAGAAATAAAATGTAACAAAGCAACAGATAAACGGATGAAACGTAATCAGGTTGATTTGTCAAGCCGATCTGCACTAAGCTTGTTGGGATGGAGACCAGACACTTCACTGAAAGCAGCCATTGAATATTTCAATATCGATTGGGAGTTTTCTGAGCCTGCAGAAATGTGTTCTTTAGATTATGCTACAGGCACCGCAGATAGCATAACTGGCTCTTATCCGTTTGGAAACGAGTTTGTAGTAGATGATAGGTAAATACCATATATGTATATGTACGATAATTTCATCTCCTTATCTTCAAGAGGATTCAATCATATATTAAAACAAGAATCAGCCAAGTTTTTAGTCCCTAATGATCATCGTTTGATGCTTAATACAACAGTAACACAAGTCATTTATAATGATCATAATGTGACAGTCGTGACATCGGGTGGAGATGTGATTGTGTCCAAATATACCATATGCACATTTTCGTAAGGTTAAAACGATATCCTTCTTTATCTAAACTTCTTTTATAGTTTAGGTGTGTTACAAAGTGATCTTGTTCAGTTCGAACCTACATTTCCTGAATGGAAACGAGAAGCACTATTGAGTTTCCATATGACCACGTATACTAAAATCTTTCTTTTGTTTAAGCAGAAATTCTGGGGTGATTGGCAGGTAAAATGAACAGACAAATAAATACGATACTTACTGAATAGTTTGCACTCTACGCCAACAACCTTACTCAACATGGTGGTTATTATACAGTCTGGCAAAACTTAAATGCACCAGGCTATTTCTTCAAAAGCAGTGATCCTATATTAATGGTCACCATAACCGATAAAGAGTCCCAACGTATAGAACGCATGACAAATGCACAGGTACAAGAGGAAATCATGCAAGTGTTACAGCGCATGTTTCCTTCACTGAAAATTGAGCCGCCTATTCAAATTCTGTTTCCAAGATGGTATCAAAATCCTCTGTTTAGAGGTTCTTATTCTAATTGGCCTATCGGTGCATCGCAAAAGCACCATCTGAATATGAGAGCACCTCTAAAAAACAGGTTGTGGTTTGCAGGAGAAGCCATGTCCGCTGATTATTACGGGTTTTTACATGGTGCTTGGTTAGAAGGAGAGTCTGTTGTTCATAGCATTTTGACATGCATGAGAGCCGAGAAATGTCCCGTTTATGAATACCATGAATATGTAACTGGATGTGATGTAGAGAACAAATTAAGATTTTTCAGGCAAACTTAATAAATTGTAATACAACGTCACTCTTTTGTCGATGTCTGAAAAAAAAATGAGGCTTTTTTTAATTTGTTTTTTTTTCTTCTTTTTTTCTTAATTCGATTTCAATCATGTCTGGTAGACAAGGTGAGACTTACAAAGCTCTATAAGACCTTATATTAATGGGAATATAATCAAAGGTGGTAAGCTTAAGCCTCTCAAGAAGCCCAAGAAGAGTCAACACGAAGAAGATGATGTATGTCGCATAATAATTGATTGTCTGTACTGATTAGAAACAGGAAGATGTTGCTTTCAAGAAGAAGCAACAAGAAGAAGCCAAGAGGATGAAGGAATTACAACAAAAGGCTGCTGGCAAAGGTCCTTTGCGTAAGTGATAAAAAATGCGACTTAATCTGGATGACTTATATTTTTTGATAGTTGGTGGTGGTATCAAGAAGTCTGGCAAGAAATAAGCTAATTGATATGTAAAATAAAATAATGCCTGACGTTGTGCAAAATACGTTTGCCATATTACTTTGTTTTAGGGAAAAGAATATTGATGCTATTGAAGGTCTTTGTATCTAGAGCATCTCCCTGGGAATAGAGACACGTTTGATAATTGTTGAATTGAGTGTAAGAGGATATGGTCGCAAATAAGCACAACGATATCCTCAAAGCATATTATTTACTCTTATATGTAGATATTTTATTCATTGCGGCTTTTAAGAGAATAGTATAGTGCCCTTTGCTTACGCGCACAATGTCACTATCTTTATCTGCTATCGAATGTAAAAGCCTTTGGCTAGACTTAATATGCTTTGTCAAGGACAAACGCATTTTGATTTTCTCTTCGCTCAGACGATTCGTATGATATTTCTTCATTGGATTCCTACAGTCAGATCAGTTTTCAAGTAATAAGCTGAAAAAATGAAAAATCATTTTTATGAATTTTTCATGTACGACACGATATTCTCTCTCTTCACCCAGTACCACTTATGGAGATACAGCGAGTTTTTCTCACGGCTGTTTTGTTTGTGAGATAAAAAAGAAGTACATTCTTCATTTCTTCTTTTCTCTTCCTTTTTTTATTCTTTATGATGCTTCGATTTCAATCAAGATTGCCCAAGGTGGCAATTGCTTCCAGCACACTTCTCCACCACCATGCTATCCGATCCCTTCATTCTTCCAAAGTGATTTTTGGTAAGGCATATTGATAGAATCAATTGTACTTATGAATCAGATCGTAAACCTTTGTTTGAAAAGATCCTTATTGCCAACAGGTAAGAAAGTGTACTAAAAAGAGGGGAAAAGGGATCGTTAATGGGTATCATCAGAGGTGAAATTGCTCTTCGTGTTATGCGTACAGCAAAGGAACTCGGTATCAAGACAGTAGCTGTCTATAGTGAACCTGATATTTATGCTCAACACGTTAAGATGGTAATGAAAAAAAAAATACATGAGTATTGATACTTATATGTCTTATTTCATATAGGCCGATGAGGCATTTTTGATTGGCCCTGCTGCTTCTGCTGAAAGTTATCTTTGTATTGATAAAATTATGAAAGTGGCTAAAATGACAGGTGCCCAAGCCATTCATCCTGGTTACGGTTTCTTGTCTGAAAACGCAGAATTCGCTGATACTGTCAATGGCTCTAACATTGCCTTCATTGGTCCTTCAGGCAACGCGATGCGTTCAATGGGTTCTAAAAGGTAAAAAAAAAATCCCACGATTAAGATGAAAAAAGTTCTCACACTTTTTGCCGACAGCGAATCCAAATTTATAATGCAGAAAGCAGGTGTGCCTGTGGTACCTGGTTACCATGGTGAAAACCAAGATGTCGGATTCTTGAAGGAACAAGCCGAGAAAATTGGTTATCCTGTGTTGATCAAAGCTGTCAAAGGTGGTGGCGGCAAAGGTATGCGTATTGTCAGATCACCTTCTGAGTTTGAAGAAATGTTGGAATCCTCTAAGCGTGAGTCTATCAAGTCGTTTGGTGATGATAAAGTCTTGGTTGAGAAATATCTCGAACATCCTCGTCATGTTGAAGTTCAGGTCTTTGCTGATAAGCATGATAACTTTGTTCACCTTTTTGAACGTGATTGTTCTGTTCAAAGACGTCATCAAAAGGTGATTGAAGAAGCTCCTGCACCTGGATTATCGGATGCTTTGCGTGCTGAATTGGGTACTAAAGCTGTTGCTGCTGCTCGTGCTGTGGGTTATGAAAATGCTGGTACTGTTGAGTTTATTATGGACAATGTCGACAAGCAATTCTATTTCATGGAAATGAATACTCGTTTGCAAGTAGAACATCCTGTGACTGAAATGGTCACCAATACAGATTTGGTTCGATGGCAACTTGAAGTAGCTGCCGGTAATCGTCTTCCCAAGACACAAGAAGAACTCAAGTTAATTGGTCATGCTTTTGAAGCTCGTGTCTATGCTGAAAATCCATCCAAGTAAGCGCCCTCCTTTTGTCCTAAATCCTTTTCATTTAATACTTTATTAGCCACTTCCTTCCTGATACTGGACCACTTTTCAGTGTTCGTACGCCTAGCCCCAGTAAGGATATTCGTCTAGAAACTGGTTTTATTCAAGGCGATAATATCAGCGTTCATTATGATCCTATGATTGCTAAGCTTGTTGTCCATGGTGAAAACCGTAATGACGCTCTTCGTCGTTTCCGTCGTGCTTTAGAGCAATATCAAATTGTTGGTTTAAATACCAACATCAGCTTTATCAAAACAGTAACTGAACATCCTGAATTTATCAAAGGCGAAGTTGAAACTGGCTTTATTCAACAATATGAAAAGGACCTCTTTAAACAACGCGAGTCTCCTGACCCAACTACGTTGGCATTAGCTGCTAGTGCTCTTCGATTGAGAGAAATTGAAGATGTTAAAAAGAGTGCTTTAGGTAAGCCTTTATATTACTCTAGTCAATAACTCATTCCTTCATAAAGATCTCTATAGTCCTTGGGCATCAAACACAAACAGTTTCCGTATCAATAATATCAACCACAAGAAGTATGAAATCATTTCAAATGACCACCCCTATCAAGTGATTGTTTCTGCCAATCCTAGCCAGCCTCATTTAGTGGATATGGAGGTCATTGACGCCGCTTCAAACACGCATATCAAGACATTTGAGGCTGTTGAGACGCATAAAGAAGACGGACTTGTGATCTCTTCGATTGATAACAAGCAGATCAAGAGTAACGTTGTCTTGAATGAACAAGATGTTGTTGTGTTTGATGAGGTAACAATTTCATGGGAAATGTTATGTTTTAGTTGACCTCCTTTTTTTTTTTTAGTTTGGTCGTACTACCTTTAATTTACCAATACCAAACTACATGAAGGGTGGCATAGAAGCACACGGCGCAGGATCTGTCAAGACACCTATGCCTTGTAAGATTTCTCAAGTGTTGGTTCAACCTGGCCAAGCAATTCAAAAAGGTGCTCCACTTATCATCTTGGAAGCAATGAAAATGGAGCATGTCATTAAGGCTCCGGTTGCCGGTACTGTTGATCAAGTACTCTATGCCGTCGGTGACTTGGTAGCTGAAAACAAGAGTTTGGTGACATTTGCCGAATAAAATAGATAAATATAGTTAGAAAACAAATACGTTGTTTCTCCTCATTCTCAGGAGTCAACAGGTTTATGCGCGTCTTTATACAGTGTCATAACAACAGCGACTTTTTTGATAAGAAAAAAAAAAAAAAAAAAACTTAAATTTATGTATAAATATGCACATCATTTATTTTACTTTTTCTTCTTATTCTTAATTATGTTGACAAGTAAAACCACAATCGACTCCGCCAAGGTTCAACCTTATGGCAAACATTATCAAAATGGCCTTGAACCAGTTCAAAAGAGCCAAGAAGATGTAAGTTGTAACACAATGTTCTTGGTTCTCATGTTGTTAAAGATCCTTCTGGAACCATTTCATTATTTGTGCTCCAATCCTGGTAAAGACATTCGTTCTAAGATGATTGAAGCTTTTGATGCTTGGCTTCATGTACCCAAGGATGATTTGGTTGTCATTACTCGTGTGATTGAAATGCTTCACAGTGCTAGTTTGTTGTAAGTAGAAAAAAACAGGTTCGTGTGACCTGGTTGACACATACCTTTTTTTTTTTTAAGGATTGATGATGTGGAAGATGATTCCGTACTTCGTCGTGGTGTTCCTGCTGCTCATCATATTTATGGTACTCCACAGACAATTAACTGTGCCAACTATGTTTACTTTCTTGCTTTAAAAGAAATCGCTAAACTTGATAAGCCTAAAATGATTACTATTTATACTGGTAAGTTGTTTTTGATAAAATAAAGGAAAAACTGATCAGTTTCATTAGATGAGTTGATCAATTTACATAGAGGACAAGGTAAAGTATAATGAAATGTGATTTACTACCCCTTTTTTTTTTTACTAAACTCCTCAGGCATGGAGTTGTTTTGGCGCGATACATTAACTTGTCCTACAGAAAAAGAGTTTCTTGATATGGTGAATGATAGCAAGTATTTCCCTTTAGAATGGTCTCAATACTGACTTTTTTCTTAGAAACTGGCGGTCTTTTAAGATTGGCTGTCAAACTGATGCAAGAAGCAAGTCAATCTGAGATGTAAGGGAGAATTAGCTCGTTAAATAGACGGAGTAACATTTTATGTTAGTGATTATACAAGCCTTGTTAGCAAGATTGGTATTCATTTTCAAGTGCGCGATGATTACATGAACTTGCAATCAAAAAATGTAAGTCCATATCTGTCTCTATAATATGCTTATAAAATCTTTAGTATGCTGATAACAAGGGATTCTGTGAAGATTTGACAGAAGGAAAATTTTCTTTCCCCATCATTCACTCTATCCGTTCTGATCCAAGCAATCGCCAACTTTTGAACATTTTAAAGCAACGCAGTAACTCACTTGAGCTCAAGCATTTTGCTTTACAACTGTTGGAAAAGACAAACACATTTGCTTACTGTATTGAATTTTTGAGGGTACTGGAAGAGGAAGCAAGAGAAGAAATTAAAAAGTTAGGCGGTAATCCTATGCTAGAAAAAATTATGGATGTCCTGAGTGTCAAGCCATGAAAGGAATGGGTATGCGTGTTTGATACACAAATAAATATCAAAGTTTTACGGCCCGGACAACTTTTTCTTTCTCTTTTCATATTTTTTTTGACACAACATGGAAAAAAAGAAATTATCTCAATGCCTTGTAGAACCAACTACGTTTGAATTTAGACACTCTACATTTGAGTATTCAGTTTATCAGCCCTCACCACGCTTTCTAAGAGATTTTGACAGCATATTTCCACAATTAAGTTCTAAACAAAGAAGCCAGTTATTAGTTGTACCCGTCATTCAAAAATGTCAGCATGATATGGTAGGGATCACAAAAGAAGTCAACTATGAGAGAGACATTCGTTTGGAACTAGTAAGTAGTCAATATAAATCAAGATGTTTCCTCTCATATATGTTGTAGTTTGTTGAATGGGGTAAGAAAATTGTAGACAGAATCAAATCTGTTGGTATGTGGGCGGATATCATGGATCCTGCTTCTGGTTTCCCTGTAAGTACAAAGTGTATATAATGTTTGACTTAAAATGATGTTTAGGTCTTTGGTGAACCAGGACCAAGTCCTTATCCTGACGTACAAGGAACTCATATGCTCTCCTCTCGATTTGATGTACAGAATGTTGGCTGTTGTCATATTCTTCTTCATCCTACTTGGAACAGCCGTATATACCCTTCTACTTTATTTACAACAGCTCCAGCAGACATTTTGAAAAAGATTATAAACGAAAAATAATGCATTTGGGTTGAGTTACAATTTATACACGGGGTTTTTAAATGTTGTTACATGAAGTCATTTTCCTTTTTTTTTTTCTTTCTTTCATTTAATAATCATGACGGATAATTCATTAAAAGTGGATAATGATGCTAAGAGAACAAGGCATCACTCAAATACAATTTCAGGCAGTAGACCTCCAGCCTTAGATATCACAATTACTCGGCCAACACATGTTCGTAGAAATTCAGAAGGTTCTCCTGGTGTTCCTCCTCCTATCTGTGTCTCTGAGCCTACGCCCATTGAGCCCTCTGCTGAGCCCTTCAATTTCGAGCAAAAAAATCGTCCCCCAACACCTAACAATGACCAAGTCAAACAAGATAGCTTGTCTGACTCTACGCCCCAACAGTCCAAACGTTCTCGTTCACGAGCTTCAAGTCTGACCTCAAGTCTCTTGAACGAAATAAAAGAGAGCTCGACTATTCAGTCACTTGCTCATAAGATAAAGTCTCGACACGGTTCTGAAGACGTCGATAATGAAAGCACAGTGGAATCAACAACAACCACAGCACCAGCAACAAGCATTATGACAAACAATACAATTATTCTTGCCAACGCTAAAAGAAACCAAGATTTCCATGCTTTGTTTCGAAGTGTTCCAGAAGAAGATTCGCTTATTGAAGGTAAGCAACAGTCAAGTTGTTCATGACATATTTACTTTTTAGATTTTGGATGTGCTTTACAAAAGGAAATTTTATTACAAGGTCGGATTTACTTGTCAGAAAATCACCTCTGTTTTAACGCAAACATCTTTGGTTGGGTTACTAATGTAGGTTTTTAACGTTAAAAAGAGAGTGATTGACTCAGCTTTTTTTTTATGATAGCTTGTGATTGCATTTGCTGATATCGTTGACATTGAGAAAAAGACAACTGCTTATTTCATCCCTAATGCCATTCAAGTATCTACAGAAACTTCAAAGGTACTACACACACATTGAATCTCTTTGCTCAAATTAGCTTGATAGCATTTTTTTGCATCGTTCTTATCTCGAGATCAAGCTTATGATTTAATGGTAGATATTTGGCATACTGTTCGACCTGATCTTGCACCTAAAGACGAAAACGACATACAAAATGAGCAAGAGAGTAGCTCATTGGATGAAGATAATAGTTCATCTGAATATGATAGCGATACAGAAGACTCGTATAGCGATGATCTAGACTCTGAAGTGAATGCCAAAGATACACAAGGTAATACAGATGTATATATATACAAAAAGCTTATGCTAGTTAGCCAAAGTCGAAAATCGGTCTCGAAAAGTTTCAATGGCAGGATCGCTTCCTGCTTTCAAAGATGTCAAACATGTAGACTCCACTTCACGACGCCGAGCACAATCTGAACTGCCTCGACCCAATTTTCAGACTATGAATGAAAAGGCAGGCAACGAGAAAAAACCTGATGGAGGATCGCCAGACACAAAGGAAGAGCCTAAGCCTCAAGTGCATGAAAAAACAGAATGTGAATGCGGCCAGAATGGCAATCATTATCCCAACTTAGTAATGGATCAAGTTTATAACGGCACTTTGGATCAGCTCTATAATCTATTGTTTGATAGTGATTTTATGAAGGACTTTTTAATTGACAATCAAAAGAGTTTAGGCAAGTTTGGATGATATATGCAATTTTTTTGTAGTTAACTAACAGAAATTAGAATTGGAAATGGGGATTGGAAAAAGACGGATGGTGGGAATGTATTAGGCGTCAGAGAGTACTCTTACATCAAACAGTTGGGTGGTGCCATTGGCCCAAAGCAAACAAAGTGCTACATTACACAAGAGTTGCTTCATCATGATTTGGACAACTATGTGTCAGTTTTGTCAACAACGTCTACACCTGATGTTCCCTCAGGTTCTTCATTTACGTGTAAGACTCGTACTTGCCTAACTTATGCTGGCAAAGGAAAAGTACGATTGACAGTAACAGTTCAGGTTGAATTTACAAAATCTTCTTGGCTCAAATGTAAGTGGTAATACGGTACGAAGTAATGTATATTGACGTATGATGTTAGCCACCATAGAGAAAGCAAGCATTGATGGCCAACAGACCTATTACAAAGATTTGGATGCTGTTTTACGTAAACATTTATCTAATGCACCTTCCGGACGATCTGGCCATGGTAAAAAGAAGAGAAGAAGAAGCAAGAAATCAAAACACGCCAAAGCCCATCAAGACGAAGCTGAACCAGAACCATCGAAGCCTAAGGGTATGTTGGACACGATTTTCCATCTATTGTCTGATAGTCTGGGGTCTTTTTCACTCAACACTTCTCATATGACGCTATTATGCTTAATTATTATGGCTTGCATAAATGTCTTTATTGCAAGAAAAATGGCTGTTGTTGAAAAACAAATAGATGGTTTGGTTCATGCAAACGATTTCGAGAATGCAGCAACACCTCATTTACCACAAGATCAGCGTGATTTACGTTACCAACCGGAAGCAGACGATTTATGGGCATGGTTAGGAAGTATTGACCCCGAAAAATCCAACCAGAGGCCCATTGCTGTTGTTCAAAATCCAGAAGAACAAGAAGCTATTTGGGATGAAGCGATTCGATATTCAAAAGTGACCAAAGAACGCTTAGATAAACATATGATTGAACTGAATGAAATGATTCAAAAGGCAGAAAGTAATTTAGAAAGTGTGACACGATCAGTGAATGAACAACGTCAAAAGATGAGACAACAAGACGCATAAAACAAACACGCATTTATATTTATATTTAATAGTAATAATAAAGTCATTTTATATAGTGAGATCATCTAGAACAGCGCTTTTTTTAGCAGACTCAATTAGCGGTAAAAGACAAGTAGAAGGTGCCGCATTACTAAGAAATGGATGTTTTAACAACTCGGCTGCAGAAGGTCTGTTTTCGGCTTTAAATTGAAGACACTTGCCCAAGAAATCACGAAACTCGACTGATAATTGCTCAGGATCTTTCAGTGTGGGTGCAACATGATATGTTGTAAGTAATCGAATAGCTTGTTCTGGATCTTCAAGGTGAGGAGGGCTTCCTTCCACCATTTCAATAGCTGTGATACCAAGAGACCAAATATCGACACTGGGCCCATACTCTTTTCTCTGGACTATTTCAGGTGCCATCTACATAATTACATCTTTAGTTATGTGTCATATGCACTGAATGATCTTACCCAGCATGGAGTACCAGCTAATGTTGTTCTTTTTGATTGTGTCTTGTTGATTTGAGCACAATAACCAAAATCAGCTATGAAGAATAGTCAGAATGACCAAGTTTGTCTCTCCTTTTTTTCTCTCTTTCTCTTACAAAGTTTAATTTGACCTTGTGTTCCAATCAGTATATTATCACTTTTGATATCTCGATGAATAATGCCTTTTGAATGAAGATATTCTAAGCCTTGAAGCACTTGTAGACAAACAGTTGCAATTTCTGGTTCAGCCATATAGTTTTGTGTGACAACATCTGTTAAACTTCCACCTTCCATATACTCCATCACAATCCAAACGTCGTTTTTCCAAATATATGATTCAACATGTTGCACCATATTTTCATGTGCACTTTGTTCTTTTCCCATACGCACTTCATCAATAATTAAATCTTTACGTACTTGACGTCTTAGATGAATCTGTTTGATAGCCACAATTTCACCATTGTCTTTTGTTTTTGCCTTAAAAACTGAACCAGATGCTCTATAACAAGACAAGTCAACCAAAAGTAAAGCTCAACAGGGTCTATATATTACCCTTCGCCAATTTTACTCATATCTGTATAAATTGTATGAGGGTCTGCTTGAACACATAGCTTCTTAAGTTGTTCAATGGCTTCAGATGTCGATATTGATTTTTTGATCGGTTTTTTTAATATGGGTTCAGCAAGCGGTTGTTTTTCTTTTTTCTCCATTTCGACATAGATAAGTTTAATAAAAGTTGAGAGCAATTTGTCTTGATGTCTATTGCCGAGGTTAGCTAATGAAAGAATGTTAGCCAAACTATATATGAAACAGACTTAATAGTGTATCTTTTCAAGTAATTACTTACATGCCCCCCAATTTGGCGCCTTACCGAGCATTATTTTGCCTGTGTCTGTGTCAAAATGAACATGTGTTTTATGAACTGCATCAAACGGCCATGAAATAATCATATTATCTCGACGTTTTTTTTGATTAAAAAGTCTTCCTGCAAAATATGAGTCAAGAACATTGGGGGGGGGGTCACAAAACCAACTTACCTAAAATGGTCTGCTTTAAAAAGCTCCTTCTTCTTTTTGGTGGGTTATATGTATAATGAACCACATCTTGTTTCGACACGCGATTAAGTTGCTCAAGATAAAAAGCAATAGGTTCATCATTTGGATTCGCTTGCTGAATGGATAGTGAAAAAGTACTTTGATGTGAAGAATTCATTTTAAAAAGAAAGAAAAAGAAAAAGACAAAAGTAAAATAAAAGGTTATTACATGTACGTTTTCTCGAGTCATAAAAAAAACAATCATTGATTGTATCATAGAGTATGTTATGCAAGTCAAAGGGAAAACCTTCGGTTTAAATTTGTATTTCTATGGCTGTATTATCGAGATAGTTTTTTTTTTGCTCCTCAAACACTTATAAATCATATTTAATACCAATATTTAATTTAATAACAATGACAGTGTTACACTTCAGTCTTTGCTCTACCTGATTATCTAATGTCTAGACCTAACCTTTTGTACTTGGGTCTGGATATTTTTTTCCTTCTTAGTTACTACAAAGATAGGTTCTTTTTAATCCTAAATTAATTATAGTCTTCCAGAACCTGTTTTCTGTTTAGCTAAACAAAAGGCATTTGTTTAATAATTGCAAAAGAAATAGGAGAAATACTTGTATTATTTAAAAACGTTCACTTTGTCATTAAGATGAATGATTTAGCAAACCTGTTTATATCTTTTGCAAATAACTTTTTTTGCCACTTTGTGTTTGTTTTCTCTGACTAATATCTGCAGTAGTTTTCATATGCAATGTAATTAAAGCAGGCACATCAAGCCAGTCAGTTGATTTTGGTTGTTTTGGAACAATCTCTATCTTTACGATTGCTAAAAGAAAAAAAGTCCATTTATAATGTCTTTATATTCAAACAAACAAAAACGCTAGTTTGTTTCGATTTGAATATAAACACTACTTACAGAAACTAGAAGGATCGCAACAAAATTATATCAGTTGCGTTAAGGGGTCTTTGAAAGATAGGTCTTCTTTCACGGTTCGGAGCGGCACTATAGCCAGATCCAAATTTAAGATCTTTTCGACTAAAAAGCTTAAGAGATCAAAAATGCATCGGAAATCAAAAGCTTCAACCTAAAATGAATGTTTCCTATGATGCTTCAATGAGGTTCGTCATCCAAAAAAATGGTTGTTCTTCATAATTTTTTTTCAAAAACAAACAAACCTCCAAAATAGATATAGTTGCCTGAATAAAATAAATATAAGCATCATTAGGTTATTTTGTTAGTAAGCAGTTGATACACTTTATTCAAAAAAGTATTAATGAGCAAAAAGCAAATTCTAAAACTAGTAAAGCAATAAATGAAATAACAAATAAATAGTATAATTTGCTAATGTCAAAAGTTTCTTTGTTCATTGTAGCATCGACATAAGTACCATTTGCATCTGTCTGCTTGACAATATTCGCTCTCTATGCAGTCTAGACTACGCCATTATATGTTTAAAACAATTGACTTATGGCATGGAAGATAGTATAGGTACAGGCAGGACGTTCTGCAGTTTTTGTACAAATATGTTGTTTGAATTATCCATCAAATCAGGAAGTGTGCTGCCCACTCCAATATCCGCTGAAAAGAGTTACAGCATTTGTGTGAATATGTATTTTTTGAAAGCGAGGAAGTAATTGTAAGCATTTTATAAAAAGAAAAGAGAAAGAAAAAAAGAATGGTTTACCAAAATTGTCTTCAATTGAATACTTTATAGAGAAGAGGAAAAAAAAAAGACAGTGTAGTTATTTCTTTTTTTCTGAAATAACTGATTAAATCAGTAAGTTTTTAGGAACATATTAAGCTGAATATGAATCGATAAGTTCAAAACTTAAAGAAAGCTATGGACTACAATGCACTCGACGTAGTACTATTAAAAAAAGACAACTTCTATTGAAAACTGAACCAATGCTTATTATATAATAATGTTTGCATTTACATATGAAGAATTACTAAGAAAAAAAAAATACAATATATCCACTTGAAATTCATCATTGTTTCTCTTAAATGGTTCATCCGCTCAAATCTCTGAAATACCGATCTACATTGATAAGCTTCACCAAGATATTTTTAATAAGAAATAAAATTCATCACGTTAACTTTGATAAGAAAGACTATATAAATAACATTTGTGTGAAGGATTTCAAAAAGGTGATACATTTTTTATGATTATTGACTAGAATTTATAAAAGAGTTTAGCTATAGTAAAAATTGTTAGCTTCCGGCTTGTTGCTTTTTCTTTTTACCTTATCACATGGAATCGTTGTTTTTTGTCCTGTAAAAGCAAATGTAATCAAGGGTGAGCTACGAAAGTTAAGCGTAGCCATCAGATCAAAATCGATTTCAATATTCTTTTTCTCTTGTTCATTTTGACAAGATACTGAGAATAATTCTCTAATCACATCGCTATTGATATCTGTATCATTGCTGTTTAGCTTTGTGCTGGTAATCCTCATTGGAAATGTGACGTTTGTCACGGTTTGCGGTGCAAGGTGTAAATTAGACAGCTTTCCTGTACCGACAGTGGTTCGATTTATTGTAGGATAATAAGCCTAGAAAATAAAAAACGTAAGTCGATTTTTTCTTAGAGCTGTTACATACGACTGTTTTGACATGATCGAAATTGAATTCAAAGAAATTCGAGTTAAAAATGCTATATTGCAAATCAAGTATATCTTTAAGTGATGCGTTAGGGTCTTGGCCAACAAAAAGTATTTGAGGCGTTCTGAATGATAGCAAAAAAAAAGTCAAAAGACATGCTACACCACACAGTACAAGAAACAAAAAACAACAGATAGTTCGAGTCCATGCAGGCAAGCATGGAAAGCAACAGCAACACCAATATTTGTTATAAGAAGATTTACGGTAAGGCTGGTCTAGATGTAGGATTTTTGAAGGTTTCTCAATACCTTGAGCTTTAAAGCCGTATGGCTTCTTGCTAGGTACTACCTAAGATTAGTTATATCATCCACTGTTTGTTTCTGTACCTAATAATCTGTCTCGCTGCATGTTTCCTCTACTATAATAGTTTAATTCAGGGTCTTTTTCTTCAAACGTTGGGTTTGGACTTTGTAGTCTATTGTATGCATTGTAAGCATTCTGCACTGGCGTTACTACAGTTGGTTGTGAGAAACCAAAATCTGATGTAACTCTACTTTTTGTTCTGATTTTAAATAATGGCATCTGTAAAATGTATATATAAAAGGGATAAAAAAAGAAAGAAAAACCGATACTACAACAAAAAGATTGATAAAAATGTTGAGAAATGTATATTTACTTGTTTATGTATTTTCTTGTTTGAATTAACTCGCTCTTCTTTTAAACAGTTTACTTTTTTTCTCTTATATCGTCTTTTATTGCTTTTGATGAGTCTGTGTGGACTACAATGCTTTTGATAAAAGATGTTTAGAATAGAATAGAGGGCTGCAAGAGATTCTTCTTTTCTTTTTCTCAAATAACAAATCAAAAAAGGTTTAAAGGAATGTTTTGGATCTATTTAAAAGACAACAAAGGATTCAGCATAGCAGTAGAGTAATTTTGTAATGATTAAGAATTATTAATCTTTAGATGTTGTAGGCTTTTTTAAAGGCTTGATAGCTTAATTCACATTTTTCTACTAATTTCTCTGCAATATCACGATTATAGCCTGGGATTGTGCGGGCATCTACATACGCTTTCCCCCAGCGATTGGTGCATGAGCTGTATCGAAGAAGGTAATCAAGTGTAGAGAGTGGTGCCAATGCTACATATACATCAGCAATAGCGCCATTGTAGGCTGAAATATTTTGGGATATCACACCCAAGAAGCGCATCTAAACAACATATTAGGTTTTTATGACACTGTAACATCAACTTGCCAGATAATGAATCAAAATTCTTGCATAAAATACCCAGATTGGTAAGTTACCTATAGCGCTTGCTACGACACCAGGGGATGTAGTGAAAGAAACAATACGTGTTTCTTGACGCTTAAATCGTTCACTAGATGCAATGGATACAAGATCACAAGCCCATTTAGAGGATTCATAAGGCTCTTTACTGAATTCAGCAAGTTAATGCCTTTACTTTGTACTTTTGTTCTTACCATTTAATACCTTGCCAGTCATCAATATTAAAACAATCATATTTAGCAGTAATTGAACTTGTCCAGATAATTCGTCCATCACCCGAATAGTCTAACAGTTCCTCAAGCTCACGCATCTATATATTTCATAGATTAAATGAACTAGATAGACAAACGTCTATGCTTACCATGATATAATGACCAAACACATTAGCAGCAAATACCTCACCCATACCATCTTGATTTATCTCACCGACGTTCTGAATAGTAGCATCTGAACGTTCCATAAGACCCACAATATCTGTAAATGTCAAATAAAGGACAGTTTTCCAATTCAAACCCAAAGCACTTAATATGCCAGCATTACAAAACAAATAGTCTACTTGCATATATCTTTTTGTTTAAAGCAGATCAATAACGCGTGCGATTGAAAGAGATGCTTACTTTTCCCTGATCGCCTGACAGAATGACAAAACACTCTTGACATTACCAACATCAACAAGTTCAATATCAATATTTGCAAAAGGAAACTGCTTGACTAAAGCGTCCCTTGCTTTATTGGCTCGTGAAGGGTTACGGCAAGCCATGACAAGTTTAAGCTGATCACGCTTTGATTCAAGTAAGCGTTGACAGATGCCAAAGCCTACACCGCCGTTAGCACCTGTTATGATAGCAACCTTGATATGGTTTTCATTTGACATAGTCTCCTTTGAATTTATCTTATTTCACAAAAGTGAGAAAGGGACCTTGAATCGTGTGTGATGCAAGTGTATAAATATTGGTGTAACAATGTGCCTCTTGTTATTGTTTGATTATTTAAAAATGCAGCATTTTATATTTTATTTAAGTTGATCCTTGTACTCACTAATTAGAGTTTGTTATAATCATCAAGCTGTTTCAATTTGTGATACTACAACAATAATGAACGAGAAAATAGCTTTTTCTTTTCTTCTCTTTTTCTTATTTTATACCATGTTGTGTACTGGAACAAAAAAGTCGATGAAAAGAAAAGTAGTTGTTGTAGGAGATGGTGCTTGTGGAAAGACATCTTTACTTAATGTATATACAAGTGGATATTTTCCTCAGGTACGCTAACAATAAGAAAAAGTGATAGTGGTTAATTTTCATGTTAGACTTATGAACCCACTGTATTTGAAAACTATGTTCAACATGTCAATGTGGACGAAAGACATGTCGAACTTTCCATTTGGGATACAGCAGGTAATGGAAGCAGAACATAGTCATTCATGACAGAGTAAAACTAGGTCAAGAAGAATTTGATCGTATACGCGCATTATCCTATAGTGATACACACGTCATTGTCATATGTTATTCTGTCGATAATAGAGATTCACTTGAAAATATACCAAATCGATGGTTAGAAGAACTACAAGAGGGCTGCCCTTTTGCCAAAATTATTTTGGTAGCTTTGAAATGTGATCTGAGACAAGATGAAACTGCACTTAAAACAATGAAATTGATCGGTTATGAGGAGGTAAAAAGAAAAAAAAATTGGATTTATGTTGTGTAGCAATGTACTTACATAGAGAATAATTAAGGGGTTAGAGGTAGCTAAAAAGATCCATGCTATTCGATATCTCGAGTGTTCTGCAAAGCATAATCGTGGTGTTCGTGAATGTTTTGAACAAGCAGCCAGAGTAGCTACATTTGGTAAGATTATGGTTCATTAGCTGTATACAAAATTAATCAAAATTTATAGTTAAATTAGATAACGAAGCAGAGAGTAAGCCTTGTGTTATTTTGTAATCACATGTAGTATTTTAAAATATACGTTGTTTGAATCTTCATAACATTGGAAGGCTATTATTGATACAAGCCGAAATATGAAATACATTGGCTTTTCTTTTTCCAACGAGAAAAATAAGCATTGGAAGAAGCAGGACCTTTCTTTAAGCTTTATTACGCTTGGTTCATATCAATATCAATCAATCAATAAAAGCATATCTGCATACATCATGTCATCTTTTCTTCATCACTAAACTGATAGCTAAAGATAACGTATAAAACTAATTTATAGTCTATTCACTTAGAAAGAGAGAAAAGCAATCAGTATGAGTTTTATAGTGAGCAAAAAAAAAAAAATCGATGAATTTTTCAGGGTCTATTTTCAGGGAAAAGTAAGCACTGTCCTACGGATTTAAAATGTGGTAAGCGTATGCATAATGCACGGATCAACAGAAATACTTTTTGTGCTCAAGATAGAAAAAATAAAATAAAATAAAATAAAATAAAATAAAATAAAATAAAATAAAAAAATAAAAAAAAAAAAAAGACGATAGTTAGTTCATCTTTAGGCACCAGTAATCAGTACTTTCAGTTTGTGTGTAAAACAGCTTTCTTTCTTTTTTAGACAGCTAAACTTTTCTTTGCTCTTTTGGTTATTGACATTTTCATATGAATACAGTGTTTCCACCGTCAATTGGTCACTTTACTGAAAAAATTGGTCGCTTTTTTAATTTCAATTGGCTATCGGTACCCAAGCTTACTTTATGTAAGTACTAATACCGGTACCCATGGGTACCGCTATCGGTATCCTGGTACCGATAAAATTAGCCTGTGATTGGCTATGTAAGTACTAATACCGGTACCCATGGGTACCGCTATCGGTATCCTGGTACCGATAAAATTAGCCTGTGATTGGCTATGTAAGTACTAATACCGGTACCCATGGGTACCGCTATCGGTACCAGGATACCGATAAAATTAGCCTGTGATTGGCTATGTAAGTACTGATACCGGTACCCATGGGTACCGCTATCGGTACCAGGATACCGATAAAATTAGCCTGTGATTGGCTATGTAAGTACTAATACCGGTACCCATGGGTACCGCTATCGGTACCAGGATACCGATAAAATTAGCCTGTGATTGGCTATGTAAGTACTAATACCGGTACCCATGGGTACCGCTATCGGTACCAGGATACCGATAAAATTAGCCTGTGATTGGCTATGTAAGTACTGATACCGGTACCCATGGGTACCGCTATCGGTATCCTGGTACCGATAAAATTAGCCTGTGATTGGCTATGTAAGTACTGATACCGGTACCCATGGGTACCGCTATCGGTACCAGGATACCGATAAAATTAGCCTGTGATTGGCTATGTAAGTACTGATACCGGTACCCATGGGTACCGCTATCGGTATCCAATAAATTAGCTTGTGGTCATATGATGACTTATGATTGGTTGTTACTCTTTGTATAAATATGGGTACCGGTACCCATGGGTACCGGTACCGGTATCATATCTTTTCCTTAAAATGTCACAACCTATTGGTATAGTTTTAATTTTTTTTTTTGTTGTACTTCACGTTAATTGCTAAGAATAATCCCTTTATTGATTTTTAGATCCTGACCTCTTGCTCTTTAAATTAGACCCAAAATATCCACCAGGAAGCGATTTAATGGCCAAAACGATTTTACGCGATTCCATTGTGATTGACATGATTGTTACGACTGTTGTTGGTAAGAGACGCCCACTGACTTGAATGTATACAAGTGCTGATTTTCTGTATAGGTGAGAATGCTCGTTCTCTTTATACACCTAAGCCTACTGAATGGGCCAATGGAACAAAATCTGACATTGTTTATACTGCCTCAGTAACATCCTCTGAATTGCCACCAGTGTTAATTGAGGTCCAACATACCATTAACCTGGATTTTATTGACCGCCTTTTAGGGTACTCCTTATTTGCGAAAAAAGAATACAAAGCGAAGCCAATTGTGGTTGTGTTTGGTACCTACGCAACACGTAATGAAATCAGCTCGGACTTTGAGGTAACTTCTTTTTCATTTATGAAGCAAATCCCTTGCAAGTACTGGGCAGAAAAATGTTATATTCTTGATCAAAACACATTCATGGAAGCTACCAAGACTGTTCCTCTCCCTCCTTTGGCGGCGATTGCCTACTTCTTCTCTTCAAAAAAGCTTTCATTGCTAGCATCTGAATATAGAGACGACCCTACTTTACAAACACTCTATGCAATTGCTAAAGAACAAACAGTGACCAAAGTCGCTGCAGAGCAATCAACTTCTGAGGTATTACTTGAGGTTTGCAATCAAACCAATCTACAGTTCAAAAAAATTTTGAACACCCTAGAACCCATGCCTGACACCCTTTTGAAAAAGCGCCTACGCGCATATGCTGATGATGGTGCTCTTTACACCCAAACATGTAAATACAAGTATACAACAAAAAGAAACAAAGAATTTGTAGAGTCTATGCCACCACCACCCGAATTATCAGATTTGGCCAAAAGCATGATGAATGAAAGCAGCTCTTCTATTGATATTCTTCGTGAGGAAATTAGTGTACCTAAAACAGATATGGAGTATGTTAAGCAGTTCAAGCAAAACGAAAGTAGGATGGACTGGAAAACATGTTATGAAGCAGGAAAAAGCGAAGGTTTTTTTAGTTCTTATTCCAGCAGCTCAAGTTTGAAGGTTGCATTTTATAAAAAATTAAGTAAAAAAGATTAATTTGTTGTATATGTCAAAATAAAGTTGTAAATTCATACCCATTATATTTAAGGATTTGCTGATGAATATCAGGCTATTTTTTATTTTTTTGGCTTTTCTTAATCTTTAGAGCCCTAAGATTTATCGATAAAAAGTTCCCAATGAATTTGGTCTATATAGGTATGAGACATCTGTTGCATTTACAAAGGAAGGAGTAGGCGAGATTCGTCCTTTCTTTTTTTTTTTTTGGGATCAGTCATCATTTTGACATGTTACACATTTAGATGAGAACATCTGTCCGTATTACCTTTTTTTTTTTTTTTTTTTTTTTTTTTTTTTTTTTTTTTTGTAAAAAGGTAGAAAGGCTCATTTGCGTTTCCTTTTCTTTCCAATACTTGAAAAAAGGAAAAAAATGTTATTCAAGACTTCAAATTGTGTCTTATGTATCTTTAAAGTTTCTTTTTTTTTTTTACCTTAAAAAAGAAACACATACATAAAAAAGTCATCTAAATGTATTCTGTAAAAAGAAACGCATTGTCCAATGAAAAAGCCAAATCTCGGGTACTCTACACGAAAGAAATAGAAGATACTCCTGTTTGACTGCCTTGTTGCCCGATAAGAGAAAGGTAGTCATGCACGACGAAGCTTCTGTACACACTAATATAGGTGTGGTTTTTCTTTTATAGGTTGTTTAGAAGTCCCAAAGCTTTGATCTTGATTAATTAAATTGTCATCGATTTGGCTAATATTTGCTTTTTTAATGTACCATGGTGGTCGTTATGAAATGATACTACCCACGTACTAATTATTTGTAGTTATGAAAGACGACAAGGGCAGAATTTTTTGTTCTTGATGCTGAAGTATTGAAACTTATCGACCACAACCAGATTACTACAGCGATTTATCTCTTCTCAGGTACTACTCTCCTCTCTACTTATTTCAATCACATTGCAGCCAAATTATGTCTTTTGCTCTCCCCTGTTGGGTACTGCTTTCATGATTTATGTATGTCCATTGCCTATTTGACACTCAATTGAACCTCTTCGTTACAAACACACGTTTAACACTGTATACTAATGTTTAATTTCTCGCCATGCTCTTGTCTCTTATAATTCAAACCCAGTCCAGCACTCATATGTACACATGTCAGTAGACACGAATGTGTGAAGGCTGCACTGTTCAATCATTGCTCTGGAAAGCTCAATACAGTAGTTTGCACACATGCTTACTGAAGATCATTTCATGGTCACAGCAGTCGAAAATTGTCAAGCTGTAGCATAAAAAGCAGCTGAAAAGGAGCACAGAACAATTAGAAGTGCATCGAAAGAGAAAATACAACATATTTTGACGTTTTATCATCCTTTCTTCAGTCGTATCTCAGTACATAAAAGTTTCTCAACAAAATTAATTTATTCGAAAGTCGTTGCTTTCATTTGTTTATTAAGCCAATGCGGAACAATATGGGCTGCAACCAACAATGGGAAATGCCCTATACACTCCAGCTTTTCCTTTCTTTTTTTTTTGTTACACGAGTTAATGAGGTAAATGAGATTCTTTTTTTCCCGCTTATATAGAACCATAGATATTGTATCCTTTTATATGCTTTTATATGCTTTTTGCAATGTATCATGGTATATATATATATATGCATGTATCAAAGACAATTACTCTTTTTTACTTGTATCGTTTATTTTGGTTTTTAGACTCGAAGAAAATGTAGTGTCTGCTTTGTACTTGTTTGTGTCACCGAAATAAAACATATGTTTACATGGTGGCTATCAAATAGTTTTTGATTTCATTATGATAAGTGAAATTAATATACTTTGTGTGCTTCTAATCTTTAATGTATGCCTTTTTCGAGTATCTATTTCACTACAGGATCTTGATTCATAAATTAGCTTTTCTTACAATCCATTTCTGAATAAATCTGACATACGATTGATAAGCAGAATAGTATCACCGGCGGATTTAGCAGTCCGCTGCAGGCGCAAGTGTTTCTCATAGCAAACCATCATTTCTTCCTTCTAATTCCCTTTTTTGAGTTTCCTATGTTTGAGCATACATCAAAGAACATATTTATGCAAAAATATAACAAGTTTTGAAAAAGTAAGAAAATCGTCATTTTGCCCTTGATCCCTTTTACAAATCATCGATTTTTACTATTTTTTGATTTGTGATCAATAGAGGCATTGTAGACAAAACATGTCTTAGTACGAATTGCTTTTCTAGGTCCATAAAACACATTCAAAATGTTAGATTTACAAAAGTACTACAAAAAGTGTACGCTACAGCCCAAAAGCAGAAAATACGTTTTTGAAAGATAGCTTACTACCTTTACATTATTCAATGCGCCGTATTTGTATCTATCAACTTTTTTAATACGCTTTTTGGATGACTCTTCGTTTTTAGGCATTTTTTTTAATGATTTTATTTGCCGTACGTACTAGTGGTCTCGAGAGGGACCCACTAAAAGAGGTGCTCGACAATTATTTATTATAAGAGGGTTAAGAGAAACAAAAAGGGTACTACAATATCAAAAGTACAAAGAAATCAAGAAAAAAAAAAGAGCAGCTGTTACGAGGAGAAACCTCTCAAGGTGAAAGATCATTCTTAGCAGCTATTCGCTCAATTTGATATCGAGTGCTGTGAAGGACAGAGAGGTAGTGGAACTGATGATTCTGCATGGTATGAGCCCAATGGGCCTTCCAGATTTCAGAGAGACCGATCAAGTTTACCATGGCTACTGAAAGAGGACAGTTAGTTTGAGCCCGAATCCGAGAAAAATTGAACGATGCAAGTGCATCTGAAACTAGATCCAGAGAGGTGCCTGGCCATAAAAACTCCCTGATCAAGGCATCCCAGAACGGAAATTTTTGGGGGTAGCGAAAGAAGAAATGGTACACAGTCTCCTGATCACCACACAAAATGCAGGCAGCAATAGGGAAGCGAGCAGGAAAAATCTTGCATAGAAGTAAGCGAGTGGGAATTTTTTGGGTTAGAAATCGATACATCACATTTCTCTGCACGGTTGTAATTGGCATGCGCCAAAAGTACTTCCAAGCTGCAGAAGAAACCTCTTGCTGGGCAATAAAATCAGACAAGGCAGCTTGTGTAATGACCTTATGGAAAGTATGGCCACAAAATTTGCATTGTCAAATGGCAGTTTCAGTGTACGCACAAAGAAAAAGAAATCAAGAGGCCGCTGTATTGCAGGAACATGCACAGAATCGTATAGTTCTGATGAAGTATGAACAAGGTATTGACAAAAAAATTGTTCCAGTTGATAATGGTTTTGATTCACTGCTTAAAAGTATTTTCTAACACTAAGCCGGATATCCAAGGGAAAAGAAGAAACCGGTATAGGTGCCAAATAGTAACTCTGTGGATGGTACTCATACAGATAGGAAGCTGCTACTGTACATAACTTGAGAGGCAAGTCAAAAGTGTTGGATGGCAGAAAAATGGAGCATAAGGGCAGTAAAAAACACTCGATAGGATTTGGCATATATGTATACTGTTTCCTGGGAACAACATCAGTTGTCTGGCAGCACATGGTGATAGTGTTACTGGCCAACTGCCTTAAATGGCCTGACCGCAAACGAGGAAAGAGAGCAGACCCAAGAGCAGATGTTCAGTCTGGAGCAAAGCACGAGCATGCGCAGCTAAAAAATCTTGAATTACAGAACGTTCAGCTTAAGGAACCAAGAAAGGATAAAGACAATAATAATAAAGTGCTTTCTGTTGAGCGAACGGATCAAGAATACCAAGGCCACCATGCTATTTTGTTGCAGTCATTATTTGCCAACTAATGCGAGGAAAGATTTGCCGGTTGACAAAAGAAGAAATAACAGTTCGAATAACGTTGAGGATGGCTTGGGTAGTAGGGATTACCAGCAAAATATGCCAACATTTAGACAATGAGAGTGAACTAGCCACTGTGTCTTGACCAACAGCAGAAAGACTGCGTGAAGCATGAGTATCCGCCAGTTGAGTCAGCGACTAAATGAGAGATGAAAAGAAGTGAGTGCGCTGATCCGAGGATTGGATGAGTGGAAAGCCTAAATAAATGATAGGTTCGGCATCTGTTCGGCACCTGTTCGGCACCATATTTTAGGAATAGCAATGGCTTGTAGGGTAGTCAGCCATTTGTCATCTAAACTGTGGCCAGAAAGAGAGATTTCTCGCACTTTATGGTAATTGATCTTGGCATTGGATGCTTTACTGTAGGCCTACAAGTAAAAGTACATTCTACGGAGATTACGAATGTTACGAAGGAAAACTAAAGTGTCATCAGTATAGCTAAGCAATTTGATAGCAGGTAATGTGACAGCTTGACTAAAATCAGTATGCTTGAAGCGATAACCAGAAAATTGAGTGTCATTCAATATCGACTGGAGAAGTGGCTCTAAGGCAAAATTGTACAAGATACAAGAGAGTGGGCCCCCCCTGTTTCAGGCCTCGGCGCTTTGGAACCAATTGCTTAAAGAGCCACCCATTGATGTTAATACAAATGTAATTATCCATGAACAAGGTAATAATGCTGGTAACAAGGGTCTTCGGAAGACCAAAGTGTAACAACACTTGCTTGAGATAGTCAAGGTTGACACAATCATAGGCCTTTTCTTGGCCTAGTAAGATGTCAAGATCCTTGTCTGACCGGTGGTAGTTGGATGAAGCATTTTCCATGATAATCTGAGTAAGCAAGCCATGGTCAGCAATATATCTACCGGGCATAAAGCCTAGCTGATGTCTGTTGATAAGTGTGGCAGCTACTGTCATAATCCTGTGGTTGATTATCTAAGTGAAGATCTTATCTGTATTCATCAACTGGATAGAACTATAGTTACCTGCCTGCGTTAAATCACCTTTCTTATGCAAAAGGGTCATAAGTGATAGCAGTTATGAAGCAGGGAGTAACGAATGAGCCAGAGCATCATTTTTTCAACCTTCGGCAAAAGAGATGATAAAATAGATGTGTTTTTGTGATCTCGTAAAATTTTGTTCCGTCTGAATTGAAGCTTCTTGAGTGTCTTAGATCTCCAGTTGTTACGCTCGATTTGGAAGGATCGAGTAAAAATTTTTACTTGTTCTTTCAAATCATCCTAGAGAAGTTGTACTGAGGGACAATCAGGATCTAAAAGGTTGATACTTTCCATGTACTGTTCAATGTGTGCTGTCAAACCGCTTCTGTATGTGGATAGTTGGACAAGGTTAGGGTCACCTTTCCAAGGGCCACGTCCAGCTGAAGTGTGTACCAATTGATAGTTAATGGAAAGCAAGGTATGGTCAGTCTAACTGTAGTTGACGAAACTTTGAGTCATAGAAATTACATTGTCAGCATGAGGTAGAGTGCAAAATATATAGTCAATATGTGTGCGACTACCAGTGGTACTGACAAATGTAGGAAGAGGATCACTTTGAAAGCAATCTTGGAATGAAGTAAGAAGTAGATCATTCCAGCACGTATCAATGTTGGATTTACGGTAAATGTCATAGTTGAAATCGCCAGCAATAATAATAGGTAAAGACGTTGACTGTAAATGTGATATTAATGGTTGATTGGAAGATAACATGCGAAAGAATGTGGATCGACTACTACGCTGAGCAGGAGCATAAATATTGGGGATATACATAAAAGGAATGGAGGGTTCAGAGGCATGAGCGATAGACGCTAAGAGAAAGCGGCCATTGGTAGAATTGATGGTGGGATGTGCTGTAATTTTGTAGTGAGACTTTAAGGAAACAATGCCACAGTGTTCTGTCCAAAGACTAGATTTAGTCTGGAACTTGAGATTGAGCTGTTTCTGTATATTAAGTGTAGATGCGTGTGTTTTTTGTAAGCATAGAATGTCATATTTAGTTGAACGTAGAAAGCGGATGAATAAGGACTGTTTGTAAGGATCTGAAGTTTTCGTAAGGCCACGACAATTAAGCGTGGCAATTTGCATAGAGTCTTTGGGCATAGATTAACTTATTAGAAATTAGGAGAGGTACTTGCTGATCCACTTGTATTATGATTTGGTACCATTCTTTATCTCTCATCGTCATGTTTAAATTTGATCTTTTTACGCTCCTGGATAAGCTTTTCTAAATCCAATGCCCCTTGGATTGGATTATTGCTTGGAATATTTTGGAGATATTCATCATCCTCTCCGTCTGATTCAATGATCTTTACTTCACTATCTCCTTGCTCTTTCATTTCATGATCCATCAATTCAGGCTCGACTAATGGAGTGTCATTGGAGAGAGTTTAAATAGTCTTTGTTGCTATTTGAGTAAAAGGAACGGTAGTCAATGCGGCAGGAGAGACAGTTTGCTTAGGCTTCATACTTTGTGACAGTTTCTCATCAAGAGGATTGGGACCTGTTCTACTAGTCTTGTCTTTTGTGATTCCAATACACTTGTTAGGAAAGTGGCCTAATCCATGATTACGATGAGGACAATCACGGTTGATATGACCACGCTCATTACAAATATAACAACGACGAGTATAGATACATTCCGTGCAGTCTGGTCTACAATGGTCGGATTTCTGGCGAAAACGATAAAATTAGGGCATTTCATCCCACGTAAGCAGAAGCTCTCGATCAAATTCAAACTAATCCACTACTCGACTAAGTTGCTCAGGCTCAGTCTTGTGAGGATTGTTCAGATCAACAACGACGCAGCCCTGGCCGAAAAATACAGCACCGTCCATATGAAATCCCAGATCCAGGATTTCACCAAAAAGGCAAAAACGTTTGGTTATTTGCTCGCGGAGAGTTGAAGGATGAATCAAGGGGAGTCGTTCAACCTTAACTCGAGCAATTTTCGCATTCTGGGGCAAGCTGCGGTAACCTTTGATAATATTATTATCTTCCATCTGCAAACCGGTGTTGATCAGCTTATTGTATACTTCTGAGTTGGTGTCCCAGCAAGTTTCAATAAAACGTCTCTGCAAATACTTGCGCTCAACAAGTAAAGTGCCAAAGAAATAGTACTCTTCATTTGTATTGAGTGACCCAAGAAACTGTTTAAGGCCATTTATATCACGAATATTAGTAATATCAATCAAACACTATCTTTTTCTAAACCGACAATATAAGGCGTAATGGTGCCTGAAGAGAGAGTGTTGGTACTAGCATACTTCGACTGGGAAGAATCAGAAGTGTGTGCAGATGAAGAAGTAGAAGCCAATGATGACGACTGATTAGCAGACACAATAGTTTTAGCCGCTAGTTGCGACCAGTTTTTGTGTGCATTTTCGTTGTTACGACACCCTTTGGAGGATGTCATGTTGTGGGTTAGGTTGTTAGGTGAATTTCTAAATTTGTTAATATGAGAATAATAATTAAAACTCAGACTTTTTTGAATGTTTCTGTCAAACTTTTAATTGCATAATGTCAAGATCTCTGCACTCGGAAATGGAAGATTTGGCAAAGACCTTCATTAAAAATGGAAAAAATCTTCTATTGAGAAAAAAAAAAGTGATCACTTACGCTGTAATGTCAAGTTCCACGGGCCGTGCTTGATTGACTGCATAAAAGTCAAAAGTATTGAAAACACATTCTCTGGTACTTGCCTTTTTTATGCTTTGTTTCTACTTTTATTTGATTGATTTCATTTGTTGTACTTTCATGACGATATATTTTGCTTTTTATGGGTTCTGATTAATTGATTTCGCGCAAAGTACAATTGGCATTATTGGGTCGTCGTTATAGCAAACAACAAGACCAAGTCTCTCTATTCCGCTTATAAGCTGTATAGCGCGGACCTTGCTGTATGATTCGCAGCAAAGCACACATATCGCTTTTTCGAGTGTTATAATGTCCATGAGTGTTCAGGAAAACAAAAAAGACGATGAAGAGGATAAAAAGTGAACGTTGATCCTTAAAAACTCACCTTTTGGTTTTTTAATTAGCCGCCCTTTGATGTTGGAACGACTGTAGTGATCTCAATGCCTAAACAAGTAATGTTGTCAATGTTTATTTTTTTTAACTGTTATTTATTATCTTTTCATTTTATACAAAAATACATGAAATCAGCTATTTTTTTTTTTTTTTTTTACTTTGCTCTGTAAATATCGTTCAAGCCAAATTCTGTACTTTTGCAAAATGCGAAGGCTCAATTAATTGGCCAATGCAAATAACCCGATCTTTTGATACGCAGCTTTTCCAAAAATGCATGCACTTTTTTTTTTTTAAAAAAAAAATCAACAGCTATCTGGAAATCATAGACAATGTTTCTTAACTATCAAGAAACTTTTTTTTTGGTAAAATAACGAACAGTTTGTATAAGAATGTTTCTTTACAGAGTTGGTGACACAAGATAAACAGTATAAACATTTATTATGTTCATATTGGTTTGGATACTAAAGGAAGCAAAAAAGGTGCAATGATTTCATTGTAAACCATTCTCCCGATTCTGATCAATTAAGAATGACTAATTCAAATTTGCTATGAAAAACGAATGACAAAATTTTCATGATAAAATCTGCTTTATTTTAATACGACATAAAAAGTTACGCGTGTGTAACCTATGTTTCGAATAAATAATCGTCATTACGAAAGCAAACTGTCATCCAAGACATAAAATAAAACAATTTTTTTCTATCATTCTTCTTTTTATTTTTTTAATCAAATGAATCCACAGCAAGAAATTGATCATTTAAATGGTGTAGATACTCTCTTTCTAAAGGCAGAACATTCACGTCGGTTAATGACTGTCACTTCATTATGGACATTTAAGACTCGATTAGATTCGAATCTTGTCTATGAAGCATTAGAAAAACTATGCGAATCCTATCCTCGATTCTCTAGAGTCCCTAGAAATGAAGGCTTTTTTAAGCCTGCCAATTGGACTGTACCCGTAGGCTGGAAGCCACAGGATAACGTGCTTTTACATATATTGGATCCAACCACAACCACACTCGAGAAATATTGTGCAGAACAGGCAAGTCATTCTTTTTGTTGTTGTTGTTGTTGTTGTATCTAACAAAAAATACCTGATTAGGTAGTCGTGCCTTTTGATTATACAAAACCACTTTGGGAATTACATGCCATTTCAGGATTTGATGGAGATCGCTGTGCATTCTTTTGGAAAGCACATCATTCATTAGCTGATGGTGAAGGATTTATCCGCAGTTTATTGAGCACAACTTCCCTTGGTTCAACATTAAAGAAATTGGAGGAGCAATCAATCGTCAATCACAAGAGAAACAACAAGAATACAAAATCGTTTCTGCCGCGACATATTCAGCAATTGCTTCCTTCTTTTGTTATACAATTGCTTTCGTTGTTATGGGTCTCAATATGGCAAATTTATCTGCTTTGCTTAGCAGTGAGTCATGACTTGTATTCATCGCTTATCTCTGTAATACCTTTTGTGACCCGCAAGGATCTGTATTATGAAGGTCTTCAATCACATGAGAAGGAAATGGCATGGTCAGAAGATATTAGTATCAAAGATATCAAGTTAGTGCGCCAGGCCTTTGGCGGAACTTTAAACGATGTAATGCTGGCAGTCATCACACGATGTGTCAAACACTATCTGGAAGAAGTAGTTGGTAAAAGACAAGACGAGTACATCAAATTCATCATTCCTGTTTCACTTCGCCAACCCAGTGATTGGAGGTAAATGACCTGACATGCATTACATAATCACTCAAACTTTATGTAGATTCTGCAATGTGGTGAGTGGTGCCTGGGGATTTTTTTCCATGAAAGATTTATGTACAAAGCAACTGGTACAGCAAGTCAGAACACAAATGTTGGCTATCAAATCATCCTGTGGTCCTTGGATGCTCTACAAGTACTTTGAACGAGTGCTCGGTAAGGCACCGGGCTTATCACCCCCACTCTTTATCTATGATCACTTTTGTGACATTCCTCATGGCGTGTTTACTAATGTACCTGGACCTACTGTTCCTATTTCATTTGCAGGAGGTGAAATACAAGAATACCGCACTTTCCCACCTCAAAGTGGTAAAGGATCGATTGGGATTGCACTGATATCTTATTGTGGTAAAGTCAGTATTGGTGCTATTGCTGATGTACATCGTACTTATCCAGGTGTAGCTGAGCATATCTGTGATAGTTTTGCTCAAGAGTTTAATTTTATTCTTGAGGAAGCAAAAATGGAATTATCAAAAAAGTAAAATTTAATAAACTTTTAGGCTTGGTTTAATCAAAAAATGGGGTTGAATGGTAGTCTGAGTTACAACAGATTTGGGGGGTAGCAAAAAGTTGTGGGGACAGATTAAAACTGATCGGTGAAATAGTTCTTTATATTTTCTGTTCTCTTATTTTTTTTTCTAAAAAAATGAGCTTGCTACTGAATGATATTCATTTGCCATTATTGATTAAATCCACTTTATCAGAGCATAATATATTACCATGGAACAATTTGGATCAACTCTCTTCTTTATGGGCTGGTAAGGATACAGAAAACAACAAACAATAAGATTAATGTATGACTAGTCTTTACAAAATATAAAAACAACATGAGAGATGGCTTTCGACTAGAAAATCTTTCTTGGAGGTTATGGTATCGACAGAGTGTGTTGCAGAAAAAAGAAAAACCAAAGACTTCTGGAGACATGAATTATTCCACTATGCTTGTTCGTCCTTTAAGGCGCACTCGCTCCTTACCCATTTTGTCTCAATGGCATCAAAATGTGTTACAGAAAAAGACAACCAAATTAGTGCCTTCCAAACAACCTCTGCCATCAGAATTACCTCAACAGCGGAAAAAACAAAAATTCTTCATCACAGAAGAAACTCAGGAACCCAAAAAAGAAGACCAACTTTTATTTAAAAAGGCCAATTCTTTAATTCCTAAACCAGTGTCTTTGTTATCAGAAATGCTTCAGCAGCCAGAAAAGACCAGTTCCTCCGGTCTTCGCCGATGTCAGTCTCGTTATTGTCGCTTAGATCAATTTTTTTTGAATGCAGCATGACCGAATCTTATTTATTTTATATTATTTATACAACAACTCAACGAGAAAAGCTATAGAAAAGAAAAAAAGGGTATTCTCGGAAGGAGTCTAATAGCACAAATATACAGTAAGAACAATAAGTTCTTCTGTTATTCAATAAAATAGTACAAATATTATTCAAAATGTTTTTGCGCATGATGAATCCAACTCTAACAGACTTTTGGTGTAACTTTGGTGAATCTTTCTTCACAAGAGGTGTTTTACTTACTTTGCCCATGATTTTTGAAATTAAGCATGTTTTTGACAATACAAAAGAAGAATAGAATGCAATACTTTAACATTAGTCGATTTGGGCTCGGTTAAGTAAGTGAAGGGAGGGAAAATAAGAAGAAAAGAAAAAATCATTACATTGGTCGTGCTTATTCGTTTAGGTAATCTTTGCTTGGATGATATGCGTAGAGTCTTCAATAACATCTCTAAACTGGAAGTGTGTCTCGAAGAATAACAGCGACTTAGTAGTGTCATTCAACTCTCCAATACAACTTGGGAACACAATTTGGTTTTGTAAGACACTAACATACAAATCGTGACCAACAAAGGCAACTGTTGAGAAATAAGCCCGTAAGCCCAAAATTTGAACAATCCACGAAAAGCAAATGTCACCAGAACGAATATTGTTCAAGGAATCAGGAATACTTTCTCGCTCTCTCAACAACTTTGCCTCACTGTCTGTAACCTTGTTAATATTAGCCTTGGGAAGGCGGACTTCAGCACCACCAATGTCAAGCTCTAATTCCTTGTAGTCGAAAATGAATCAGATCTCTATTATATGCTTGTTTATACTGTAGAAACTTGATTCTTCAATTGTAAAGTCTGTTGGTACATCTCTCCTTTCTTCACCCGAATGATATTATCATTCATTGCTTCATTCTCTTCTTTTTTCAGTGCTAACTGATTGAAAATTGCTTATGTATGTAATTCTCGGGGATTCATCTTCCAAATCAAGCTTCAACTTAATTGCAAAGGTTTTAAGTTCCGTATATCTAATGAAAGAGTTGAAATATACAAATGCAAAGATCAATCAGCTGTAATTGGACCGTTTCGTCTTTTCAGAGCAAATGCGTGGCTCGCTAATTCATTTAGATTGTTCTATTTAGCAACATTTAGGTCCAATAAAGTAGTTCCCAACTTCAAATCTTTTAGACATAATATAGTTTTCTCTTTATTTATTTTCTCAGTAATAGGTGCTTTCATTGTTTCATTTGGAATGAAGAAGTAGAAAACGTATTTTTGTATGTTTTAAAAAAAGCCATATAGCGCTTAAGATAACCAAAGATATTTTTGAAGTTCAGTCATTACCACAACCAGTTTCTCGATTGATTTTATTCTTCTTTTTCTTTGCCTATGGATATTCTTACATTGTTTTTTGTATCATTACAAGCGACACGATTTTCTTTATTATTATGATTGTTATGGTTACCAGTCTGGCATTGGTATGATTTGACAATGGCTGCTGTCTGTTTTATGTTTACTGATGTCTGTATGTACTTGTGCTGCCCATGCTGCTGTCTTGAGAAACCCATCTTGTTCTTGTCCCACTAAATAATCCATACGACTCAAAATCACCCAATCCATAAAAGTACGTGCATAGCTCTTCTTGAGCTGATTGGGCTCAAACAAATTAGGCTTGCTGCTTGACTCCATATTGAGTTCACGGAATTCGAAACCTTCAGCCACTGCATGAATGTTCACATTATACTTTTTCATTTCTATACGCAACTTGTCAAACAAAGGTCGAGTAGGTGCTGAAATAAACACATGACATGCTGCATACTGGGATCGACGATGACATAGGTTGGCGACATGGTTCGCCAAGCAAGGAATATCGCTATTTTCATCATGTTTAATACGAAGCCCAATACGAAGCCAATGCTTGGCTGCAAAGGCGGGCGTCATGCGATGATGATCTGGATCAAATGGGGATAAAGTCTCACTTAATTCGATTTTACCGCCCATGAGTTCTTGATAAGGCAAAAGTTGTTCGCGAAGATAACTAGAAGGCTTTGAGAACAAGAGCTGACTTACTATCCAAAACCAGTCGGATGCTAAGGGTAAATGGTTCAAGCGATACTTGTCTCGCAATGCTTTCATGGAAGGATTTAGTTTGAAATCCATCCAGTGGCCTTGCCATTCAGTTGTACTGACAATAGTTGTACCATCGCGTTCATAATCTTGTAAGAAATTGCGTTGCTTTAATTCGTCTGAAGTCATACTGCCTTCGTGCTTCAATTGATGGAGTTCTGTTTTTTGTGTATAGTAATCAGCTTGATCCGTTGTCATGACCATATAGCTTGGCATTGACTCAAAGAACCATTCGAATCGAACAGGAGCAGTCATGTCATAAGCAAATGCAGATCCTTGTTGTAACATGGAGAAATAATAGCCATTGGTAATACTCATCAGTCTTTCTTCCAGTGGTCCGCATAAAGTAGACTGTTTACAAGTATACAACACAAGAAGTGGTGGTGTTGAATAGGGTGGTGTGCGATTGGCTACATAGCCTAGACGAATATGTGCTAAGGCAGATATCAGAAGTTGTCGTCGTGTAGGTGTAAGTCGATTAGAGTTGTAACTGGGTAATTGGTGTTCTTCAATCACTTGTTCTTGGTACTGATGAAGATTCTGTCTTTCTAATGTATGTTTTGTATGCCATGATGAGATGAAAAAGAAACAAACAATGATCGCTGTTATTAGTATAAACCAGTTCTTTGTTGACTTGAGAGCACGTATGAATGTCATAAGAAAGAAAGAGAAAAAAAAAGAGAGAGAGAGAGGGATTATTGGGTTGTGTTACAATCAAGAAAGGTTATTATTGCACTGCAAATTTCTATTTTGTACAAAAGATAACTCAAATCATACTTGAATTCAACTTTTAAAATAGAATCATGCTTGAGTAAGATGTTATTATTGTGAATCGCGTCTCTCCTTTATTTATTTCTCTAAAAAGTCGAGCCTTCAGCAGGTTGGGGTAATTTGCGACCAACAGTGCCCATTTCCCTAATATATATAAATGTAAGCATATATTAATCACTGATTCATTCTCTACCTTCTCAATTCTGTCAAAACAGTCTCAAGCGTATAATTACTTTTCCAGTTAGCAAGACAAGGTAAACGGTGAGACTCAACCTAAAATAAAAGAAAAAAAGAAAAAAAAAGGGTTAAACAACATCCTCTTCACCCTTTTTACTTACCTTGCCAGTTTGGCCATTCACACTAGGCAGATTGATCCTTGAAACAAATTGAAGTTCAGGTGGTTGGTTGGGATAGTTATCGCCACAGTAGATTTTTAGACTATAGATTCTGTTTTCATGAACAGACTACTCATGGTTAATACCTTGAAAGCACTGTTCTTTTCTTACGTGAGGAGCACCGAGAATAGTAGCATGCCAGTTGTGCATCAAGAGATCATCATCTGCTAAACCATAACTACAAGCACCATCACCAAGGCCTTTCTCGCCTTTTTCTAATTCTTCCAACAAACGAAAATTACGAGGAACTAATACACAAGAATAAATAGACGCGTTCTTGTCTATCTTTTATAAAATGATATGTTCACTTACCTTTTGCCATCTTTATCAAACAAACAAAGAAAAAAAAGAGAAGTTTGTTATTTTTTTTTTGGTAAAATAAATATTTTTGTCCGCTACTTCTTGGCCCCCTCCCCTTCTTTTGTTTTTGCTCCGTCTTCCGAGTTATCTAAACTTAAGTGGTGCTTGTTAATAAAAGAAGAATTTCTTGTTTGCATGATATACTCTCTCTTTTTTTTTCCTGTGTGTTTTGATCACAAATGGTTGATATACATCTAATGATTGCAATAGGAAAGTAGAAGGAGGCACACACACATCCAATCATGCAAAAATGGTAAAAAGCGGGGCATGAAATCAATCACTGCTTACTGTCTTCAACAAATGCTTTCGTATTCAAAGAGTATTCTGTGTATTTGAATTCAAAATAGAATATATTTGAATGACATTTGAATACAAATATCTTGATATAAGAAGCAAAGAAATAAATGGCATAATCAACGAGTATAGTTGTGGAGATAAACAACCCCTCCCGCTTTGGTGTTCATGTCAAGTACAGCTTATCCCATCATCAAATGCAAGTCGAAAGAGTTTATGTCAATCTGGTCTATTTCATTCGGCGATTGAATGCAAACAGACACAAGCAATATCATCATACCCAATTCCCTTTTTTCTCTCTTTTTTTTTTTATAAACTAGTCATACATATAACTTATACAATGAGCAGATTACCTGTTGTTGTTATGGACAATGGTACCGGGTAAGTTAGAACGAATAGACTAGAACAGTGATAAAAAAGACGCGTCTTTGAAGTTATGACTAACCTGTGAATTAGGTACACTAAACTTGGTTTTAGTGGCAATTTGGAACCATCTTTTGTTTTTCCAACTGCCATCTCCACACGCGAATCACCTTCTAGTACCGGAAGACCTGGTGTTCCTAGTAAGCCTTCTTTCTTGAGCAACAACTTGGCTTCTAAGCGTGGTATTGAAGACCTCGACTTTTATATTGGTGATGAAGCTATTGCTCAAGCCAAGACAATGGCACTCAACTATCCTATCCGTCATGGTCAAATCAACAACTGGGATCATATGGAAAGATTTTGGGAACAATCTATTTTCAAATACTTGCGTTGTGAACCTGAAGACCATTATTTTCTTCTGGTATGTCTGCTGTGTTTTACTATAATGATATTCATTTGATTAGACTGAGCCTCCCATGAATTCTCCCGAGAATCGTGAAATGACAGCTGAGATTATGTTTGAATCCTTTAATGTTCAAGGTCTTTATATTGCCGTTCAAGCTGTCTTGGCATTGGCTGCCTCATGGACTTCAAGCAAAGTAAGTGAGCAAACATTGACAGGTACTGTGGTTGATTCAGGTGATGGTGTTACTCACGTTATCCCGGTGGTAAGTCGAAAACAGACCCAAGACGATGTTGACCTCCCATCGATAGGCTGAAGGCTATGTGATTGCCAGTTCTATCAAAAGTGTGCCTATTGCTGGTAGTGATATCACTTCTTTTGTTCAAAATTTACTTCGTGAACGTGGTGAAACCAACATTCCACCTGAAGATTCTTTCCGTATTGCTCAAGCTATCAAAGAAGACTATAGTTATGTCTGTCCTGATATTGTGAAGGAATTTAAGAAATATGAACAAGAACCCTCGAAATATTTTAAGCAATATGATGGTATTCATTCTGTTACTGGCAAGGTAAACAATCAACAGAATCGATAGTGATACTCACAAAAAAAATACATTAGAACTATTCAGTTGATATTGGTTTTGAACGTTTCCTTGCACCAGAAATCTTTTTTAATCCTGAAATTGCCAGTTCTGATTTCTTGACACCTTTACCAGAAATTGTGGATACAGTCATTCAAACAAGTCCTATTGATGTTCGTCGAGGATTATATAAAAACATTGTCTTGTCTGGTGGTTCTACTATGTTTAAGGGATTTGATAAGCGACTTCAGCGTGACATTAAGCGTACAGTCGATAAGCGTATTCAAGACAGTGAATTGACAAGTCGTTCAGAAATGAAAGCAACACCTATGGAGGTCAATGTTATTTCACACAAAAAACAACGTCATGCTGTTTGGTTTGGTGGTGCTTTATTAGCTTCTACTGTAAGTCACACTGTATTTTTAAAATGGTCCACTCACATTCGATAGGCTGAATTCTATAATTCGTGCCACACGAAGGCAGAATACGATGAGTATGGTCCTAGCATATGTCGTCATAACAGAGTCTTTAGACAAAGTATTTAATTAAAGAAAAATGTGCCTGGTTTATTTTCACTTGTTGAGACACTTTTAGGTTTGTATAGATCCAAGCCTTTCTTTCTTATTTGTACTGTAAGAATCGCTTTTTAAGGTCTTTCTTTTTTTTTTTGTCTCGTTTAGCAATAACAAGCAAGAAGTCCATTCTATATTTATTAAAAGTCTTTCATAAAAAGACTAATATTGAATGATCAGATTAAAAAAAAAGAGCACTGAAGGTCGCAAAAGGCTTTGGCACCACGATTTAAAGTTTGGAATACTCTTAGACAGACGGACAAAACATCCCGAGTTGTTCAGTCGTGCAAAGAAAATAGTCTTTTTAACATGATTTGTAGAACGCAAGTCATTTGAATATCTTGGTAATAACTATCTCTCTCTCTCTTTCTTTTTTTTATTCACTTGCTACTATTTAAAGTGCATATTTTACAAAAAAGAAACTCTCTTTACTTTTCTGTTTTAGGATTTTGTCTCCTTCTCTTTTGCCTTTTTATATCATCTCAACTCTAAAAACTATCTCTTTTTGAAATTTCTTTATTTTAAAGTGCACATACTCTATTGATCGGCAATTTAAAGTCCGTTTAAACACTTTCAAATAACAAGTACTCATCACTTATCTTGATAGATATAGATAGACAAAGGAACAAGTTTCAAAGTACATGACTAAGAATGCCGTCATTAGAGACTCCTGTCTATAAACCACATGTCTATAAAAGGAGTTACTTTGTTTTATATATATATATATATATATATATATTTTTTATTTTTCCTAGTTCTTCCCGATAATTTTTCCTTTCTAGATGTGCCTCAAGATGGTTGAGTCAACATGGATTCAAAGTCCTGCTTGTCAGGACAGTTTTTTTTAGGAACGCTATAAAAAACTAAATAAAAAAAAAGCTTTTTTTTTTTACCCTTTTTTTTTATATATCTATTCTAGTATGCTTCAATTACAGTCTAACCTTGTACGTCAAAGACAACAACACTATCAAAATATGCAACAAGATGAGGCGTTGTCTATTCTAAACGACTTTAACGAGATCCTTCAGTCTGAAGTGTATGTTGATCTCGAAAGACTACGGATATTAGCTCGACATGGTATTCCCAACGAACTACGTGGGGTAAGAGAAAAAAAAAGAGAAATAGGATCCCCATCAACTTAAATAACAATAGGAAGTCTGGAAATACCTTTTAGGCGTTGAACAAGCAGATCGATGTAATTATCTATATACATTTTGTTTTGTTGTTAACATTCTGAAGCCAAGGAACTTTCCAGCTCAAAAGCAAGAAGTGAAGAATATGATCAAATGGACAAGGCAGATCCGGAAATTACCAAAAAAGTCAGAGGAGAAGTGTCTCGGTACCAATTACGTACACCTGAATTAGCTGGAAAACACTATACAGCCAAGTTTGAGAATATTATCACAGCCTATCTAAACACAAACCGAGATATTGAATATTATCCTGCACTTGTTACTTTATGTGCACCTTTTATTTATTCACTTGACAAAGAATGCGATGCTTATTTTTGCTTTGAACGATTGATGCAAGCCATTGGTAAGTCACTTTTTATGTTTGTTTATATATGTATTCATTTATTATTAGGGGATGAATACGATACCAACCATCATCGAATGAAGGAACATGTAGCGAATTTCATGACACTTTTTCGTTATGTCTTGCCTGACCTGTAACTATTGTCCTTTTTTTTTTTATTGCCTGATTTATATTGATTTTCTTTTTTTTTAGACGAAATTATTTTGAAGAAGAAGAAGTGGATTTAAACGAATTTACAACATCTTGGTTACAGCATCTTTTATCAAAAGAAATGAAATTCGAGAATCTAATTCGACTATGGGGTAATGTTTGTTATTTCATTTTGTGTATATATTAAAATGATAAGATTAGATTCTTATTTCGCTATGCCTGATCCACTTGAATTTCATCCTTTTGTCTGTTTAGGTAAGATTACAGAATGACTCTTTTTTTTTTTCTTATATGTATATCATTTTTAGCTATCTTGAGAAACGCAAGAGAAAACTTGGAAGACCTTGAACAGTCTGAAATACGAACCATGCTACTTCGTCTGCCTTACATGGATATGCGACCTGTAAGTTTAACATGCTCTATTGAATTCATGCTGATTTTTTATTTAGATTTTGGCTGAAGCATACAATCTTCGTCATGAAACGATGGAACGACAACTAGTGGAAGAAAATGAAATGTTCTAATTTTATACACTTATGATGATACCTGATAAAATATATATATTTATATATATATATAATCTACACGTGCCCCCTTTCTTTTTATTTTTATGTATATGGTGTACTACACATAACTTTATTCAAAATGAACAAGGTTCTCAATTGACATATCCAACTGATGAAGCAATTTTTCTCTTTCCATTTGATGATAGCTCCCTAAACAAACACAAATATAGTCTATCACCCAAGTCCATATAAACTTGACAAGGAACCAAATCAGCTGTAAAGGTGTCGCTTTTTTTAAAAAATAATAAGGCACTGTCTTTTCTGGATCTTCTTTCCAGATCTTGTTGAGGCGAGTCAACACAAAAGGCGATAGAGTCACGTGATGTAATGCATACGATTTACCTTGCTTTCTGGCCAAAAAAGAATGATAGAGTTGAAGGTACGTATCATGTCTCACAAAATTCAGATGACGAACCAACACATGCTTGGTTTGATCTATCTGGATCTGATGGAGTTGATGCAAGTAGGCCATCAATTGCTGGAATAAAGCCTGATTATAGGGCTCAATCCGCAAAGGCACATGACTCAATCTAGGCTTAAGTTGCAGTGTGCTGTAATAGCCAGTACGATACAGTTGACGAAGGCTTTGATTGGCCATTTTCCAATCATACTCAAGAAAGGCCTGGTTGATATGGTGTGTAGTGTTCCATTGAGTCATGAGGTGCTGCCATTCGTTGAGCTGATTTTGTACAAAATTAACCAGAATGTCATGAATCTCAAAAGAGTCTTGAACCCATTTCTTATGCACCAATCTAGCTTCGTGGCGTTGTGTTTCCAGTTGATAAATGATAGCTGAAATATTACGCTGGTGATAAATGGGATCAATGGGTGCGTACAGGGTGGGTAGTCGAAGTTGAGAGAGGTAAACATCATGCAGTGCATTATAGAGCAAGACAAAATAATAAGTTATTTTCATGCATGTCAAGGCAAATACTGATGGCAAGTCATGAAGCCAATCTGTAAAGAACAAAAGCCAAGGCGACGATGATCGCACTTTTCTAGGTAACATAAAGTCTTGAGCAGTCTTTTGTTTAAACCCATACTTGAAAGCATACGTGTCTGCTGTGGCATAAGACAAAAGTGTAAAAAAGACAAGAGAAACAAAGAGTAAAGCGATACGCATGAAAAAAAAAAATAATAATAAAAAGAGGGAATTTATGCCATTTGTTCTAATGCTTGTATTTCAGTTTGATTAAACCCTTTCTTTTTCGCAAAACTAATCAATGTATTTACAGTTTTCTTGTCCATAAGTACTTTACCAGCCATAGGCCTACTTGTCATTTCTTGCTTGACAAGATCATAAGCTGTATCCCAGCCTTCTCTGCCCTTTTGTCGACATAGACATTCGATATAAGAATTGTAATTGTTAGTATTCAATCGAAATTTCCGTTTTTTGAGCCAAGTCCAAATCAAGGGTGCTTTGTGTGCCTGCCCATTATGTCCACAACTATCAAACACAATCGAGACAGAAACCTGGTCTGGTCCAAGATCAGAAGATTGTAAGGCAGGCATGCACAGTGTTTGCCAAATTTCAAGGACTCGATCACCGTCCCCAACACGGTTATAAGCATCCATCAGTGCATTGTAGATACCAATATCAGGGTCCAGATACAAATCCACCTTGATGAACTGATGAATTTGGTCTAGTACATACGGATTACGGTGTTGTCCACACGCGTGGAGCATGGCTGTATAGGTATGAATGGAAGGTTGGATCTGAAGGGGTCGCATATCATGAAACAGCGTCAAGGCTGCATCCAAGTGATCTGCATTAGATGCATCCGATAAGGCAGAAATCAAAGTGGAATAAAAAGTGGCGTCTAATTGAATGGGTAAGTTGACATGGTTATCATGGCGACATTTCTTGTCATGTTCTCGAAGTGTATAGTAGATTTCCATCGCATCTTGTAGTTGGTTATTGTTCATATAAGACAGAATCAGATGAGTAAAGGTAGCAATGTCGGGTTGTTTTGTACGGCCTCGAAAGACAGTATCATACACACGCTGTACTTGGCCTGATTTACCCTTGAGTGCGAGTCCATACATCAATGCATTATAGGCTTTTGTGTCTAACCAACCCTTGTGTTCACTGGCTATGTCCACCAATTGCTCTAATTCTGTAACTGAGGCCTGTTTGGAAGCACCCATGTTGACTAAACTATTCAAGATACGTGCATTGGGCTCAATGGGAACAGCACGCATATCCCTGAAGAGTTGTATCGCACTCTTCAGATTGCCTTGCTTGGATTCAGCGTCAATCAGTGTACCATAAGTAACGATATCAGGCTTCACGTTTGCTTTCTTCATCTCTTGAAAGATCATGTATGCCTTTGAAGAATTCTGGTGCTTCAGACAGAGATCCAATAAAATGTTAAATGTGACAATATCTACTTTGTTGGGTTCTAGTGTGTGATACAGGTCTAAGGCCTTATTAAAGTCCACAGTCGATATGAATCGAATCATGTTGTTTGTCGTGTGGATGTCGATCTGTTGGCCCAGTAACTGGTGGTAGACTTCTTGGCCTATTGTGATATGGCCTGATTTGACTGCCATGTCCAACACAGTGGAGAATGTGTAGAGGTCAGGATCAACTCCTTGTTCTGTCATGGCATGGTACATGTCAAATGCTTGTTGATATTCACCCTTGATGGACAAAAGATGAAGCATGGTATTAAAGGTGACAATATCAGGTTGTATCTTATGCTGCTTCATTTCCTTCAACAGTGCCTGTGCTCGCTCCAAATCATGGGTGCGCTTAAAGCAGCCCAACAATGTGTTGTAGGAATACAATGTTGGCTGTAATCCTTGTTCATGGCGCATACGATCGAGAACAGCGTACGACTTTTCGGGTTGTCGTTGAATACCATACGCGTACATGAGAGCATGGTATTCAAAATGAGTGGGCTTAAGTTTCCAAGTCTGTTTCATATCAGCCAAGATGGTGTTGATGAAATCATCCTTGCTATGGCGTGCCATCATGACCAATTTACGTAACGAATGGCGATCCATTCTGTGTTGATGATCAAGTAGTCCATAAGCAGATCGTGCTTGTTGTAAACTACCCCTTTCAATAGCTGACTTGAATAGGGCAGAAGGATTGGATGTGGTTGTGTAAGTACGTATCAAGGATTGCAGAAGAACATCTCTTGTTGAGATCATGAAGAAACAAACAATTTTTATTATTTCACTTTGAACTGTCGAAATATTCCATGTTATGATTTTGTTCAAGTTACAATAAAACTAACAAACAACCGTACTTTATATAAAGAAACAGAAATGACATATCTATATCACTTATGCTTAAATCGATTATTTCCAGTGCACTTGTTTTGGCCCTTTTATCGGGCGTGGTTCAATCTGAAGACTATGATGAAATCAAGACACCCATGAAAGCTGCTTGGTTAAAAGAAGTGGATCTATCCAGTGTTCCCAATATCCCTATTCGACCTGTGGGGTCGGGTGAATGTGCAGACCCAAAATGCGATGGTACAGACAACGACCTTTGTTTCGAGTCCTGCGGTAATCAAGCTTCTGAAGACGATATCTATGGCTGCCCTCTAGATCATCATTGGGCCCTTACGTTTGATGATGGACCCAGTAATTTCACCAACCACCTCTTAGACATTCTTGATCAAGCACAAGTCAAGGCTACCTTTTGTGTAATGGGTTCCCATGTCTCTCAATATCCTGAAGTCATCAAACGTGCTTATGAAGCAGGCCATCAAATTGCCTCTCATACCTTTTCTCATCCTCACTTGATGAGTTTATCCAATGAAGAAATTATTTATGAAGTCAAGGCAACAGAAGAAGCGATTGAAGAAGCCATTGGTGTTCGTCCTCGGTATATTCGTCCTCCTTATGGTGAAGCAGATGATCGTGTCAAGGCTTTACTCAAAAGTATGGGCTACAAAGTCTTGCTTTGGAATGTGGATCCTACAGATTATGATGTCTATCAGAGAAAAGATGCTTCAGAGGTCATTCAAGGTTCATTTAAAATGGCTGCTGCCGGTGAAGATACTGGTTTGAATTCGCATGACGATCTTGGCTTTATTAGTTTACAACATGGTAAGTATAAATAACGCTATACAGCAATCATTGATCCATAAGGATAGATTTATACAAGGAATCTATTGACCAAGTACCCAAGATCATTCAAACATTACAAAAACAAGGATTTAAGCTGGTTACTGCTGCTGAATGTAACCAAGATCAAGACCCTCATCACCTGTTGAATGCTGCTTCTGTAGACAAGTCTTCTGCGATGTCTGAAATGCCACCTTTGAATTTAGAAATACCTACGCCACCTGCTGTTGGTGCTACTGCTGTTGTTATGTCGTCTTCGTCTTCTCTTGCTGCCAAGACTACACAGGTGCAGATTAAAAAAATGACCGAAACCAACGCTGCTCTTTCTTTATCGACTCAATCAAGTTCAATAGTAGCCCTTGCTATTTCTTTTATTTATTTTACTCTTTTTGCTTAAATGTGTGTACAATAAAAGAGAAATGTGATACAATGAATACAATTTCCAAATATTCTTTTCAATATATTTGTGTAAACACAAGAGCTTGAACAATGAATCAATGGTATAGAAGAAAAATTAAATTAAATATTAAGAGAGCATAGCAACAGTAGAGATCAAGATACTTGCACCCATAGCCACAGTCATAGGCTTCATAGCATAAGCAGCATTAGATGATTGTTCAGTCAGTGTTCCATCGGAAGAAGCACTGGCTGAATTAGAGGCAAGAGGGGAACTACTGCTACTACTACTACTACTACTGGTGATAGTGGTAGAAGAAGAAGGAGCAGGGCTTGATGTACTTATGGTCATAGCAGAAGAACTTGTGATGGTAGTCATACTAAAAGAAGAAGAAGAAGAAGAGACCGTGTCTGTTGTTGTAGTACTACTAGAAGCAGCGGTGGTAGTAGCACTAGGAGCGACAGTGGTACTGTTACTACTACTATTAGGACCACTATAATCACCAGGAATGATATATGCACATCCTTTTTCGGAAATACCACGATTACAATTGGTAGTGTCATTCTAATAAAGTTTAGTCAACATGATTTAACCATCATAAAACTTACACAACAACGCATACAGTAAGTGTTCGAAATAGGTTCAATCAAATTCACATAGTAATCCCAGCCAGCACAAGAAGATCCAGTAGGAGCCTTGATGTCCATTTGACCACCTTCATCTGTGCCTACCAGATTAGCCTTGGTATAATCCATCATGCCTGTCACTTGAACATAAGCATCTGTCTTAACATAATGAGCAGAGGTAATAAAGCCATCAGGAAGCTTGCCAGCATTGGTAGCAAGAGGTGTATTGCCCATACAGAAAGCATTGGCATTCCATTCAGAATCTGAAATGATACGGTCAGTGGCATCCTCAGGGGGCAGGAATACACAAAAGTTTTGAGAATCAACAACTTGGGCAATCATGCCATAAGCATGTGCTGAAGCATTGAATAGAATAATAGCAGACAAGAGACGAATGAACATTTGCAAAAGAAAGAAAGAAAGAAATGGAAGGAAAATCATATACACTACTTATTTTATACAAACTAACTATTGGTGTAATCAAACCTAGTTAGTGTAACCCTTTTCTTTTTTGTTTTATCAAGAGAGTATATGTTGATAATTCAATCATCATGACTTACAGATAGGATTATTCTTCATTTGACCCTGCATGCCCATTGTTTCAAAATGGGGTTATTTTTCCTTTTTAATGTTTTTATACACTTTATTTAGAACCCTGTTGATAAATTTAGTTGATTATTTTTAGAAACCAGCTTGCCAAGTAGCTTCCAAAATAAGTCCATGACTAAACATTAAAACTCATTACAATCTCTTGAACATGGAGTTTGACACACTTGTTTGAAGTCCATTCAAACGAAATATGCTTGACGATATCGGTCGGATTCAAGGAGTCTAATCAGAATAGGTTAGCTGGATATGTCGCTTGATAGAACTACTTTACTATCTGGCATGGCAAATGAGAAAACTTTATGAGGTCGCTGAGATCCTCCATCTTTACCAGACGGGTTAGGCGCACTCAGGCCCTGAGAGAAACTGCTGGTGATCATACCTAATAAGCTCAGGTGCGTATGCCACACACGCACACTTTGATCTACTAAGGAACAGGTAGCAATTAATTTAGCATCGGGGGAAAATGCCAGGACTGAAACAGGACCAATGTGGCCTTCAAGCACAATAGATCGGGTAGCCGTCCTCACATCGTAAATCACAGAAGCACCTTCCAATGTACCGACAGCTAATTTCTGAGCACTACTACTGAAATCAATGGTAGGATACCTATTTTGAATCAGTAAGACATCAAAACAATACACAATAACTTACATTTTCACCAAGTCATGAAGAATAGAAGTAGCAGAAGATAACATCACTTCACGTAAATGAGGTACATTTGGGTCTAATGTCTTGACAACGGCTTCTACTACACTGTGAACATGCGAATACAGCAAGACAGGCTCTTTCCGAACGAACGAACCGATCATATTGAGACATCGTAGTCGATCTTCAAACGATTTCGCATGCATGGTATCAAATGTCAAAGTATTGATCACCAAAGGCATATTGACTGTCGAGATTTGAAAAATAGCCGTTTTAGCACCGCGGCTGACTAACGCCATGATAGGCTGTGTGTCTGCTGCATACATAAATAATGTTCTGAGTACTTCTGCTGCGTTGATATAGGTCTCCCAGGTCTGGAATCCTTGGCTTAAGAGTTCCATGGAGGACAGTGTGCGTGCCATGGAACCTGTGGATAAACTATCTGTGGTGTGGTGACGGGATTCGTCTAGTTCTGCATCGGACAACAGAATAGTGAGACTCAGGGCAGTCGATTTACGGACCCGGGGGCTTAATGTGTGTGGTTGGTCACAGCCCATGATGCCCAAGACAATAGAAGCACGAGCCATCATTTGAGGTCCATTGGTCTCAGATGAATTAGAGGTAGGCACTGTATACATGAATCTTTCTGTTTGATACAAACTACTTACAAAATGCTTCCCAGTAATCCACAAGGGATTCTACATCTTGTTTTGAAAGACCTGCAATGGCACTAGAGAACAAGGATCGAGCTAGTAGACATATCAACATTCCATTTTCATCTATCTATCTATCTATCTATATACCTGAAGGGTCTTGCCAATATTTACTCAGTAAAGATAAAGAAGGAAAACAATAGCCTTGACCAATAATGAGTGGTAATGACATAGCATAACCTGATATTAAATCCGAGCTCTTGTTTTCTTGTCCTTTTATACAAGCAATAGCTTTTGTCAATAGTGCAATCGATAGTAATCGAATGGCTGTCATGGAAGGTGAAATAGCCCAAGCTTGTCTTTCATGCTTCAAAGGCGCAAGTAAAGAAAGATTACCATTCGCACTAATAACATGAGTACATGTTCCAATAATGTATTTCGCTTACCCTTTCAAGCCATAACTAATATTTGGGTGAGCTTCTCTGGATAATTGGAGGGATGCACAACACACTTGTTCAAATGCCTCACTAATTTGCCAAGAGACAATAACAGACATGATTGCAGATACTAATTCCATCTTTTTCTCTTGTGCTTTCAATCCTTCTTCATCTTTATCAGGTGTAAAAGTAAGCATATCAGGAACAACAGCATCAAAACTAGAGGACAAAGAAGCCTTCAAGATAGGATGCAAATGCTCTTGTGGTTGAGATAAGCGGGTATACAAATCATGTACAAGACGACGAATATTGACAGTGAATATTTGCGCAAAACTCTTGGAAGCATGAAGAGCTAGCACACATCAGTACCAATACATTATATTTTCTCTCTATCTTACCATTGTCATTTGCCATGATAGACTTGACTTGGACCGTTTGTTTAGACCCACTTGAATTTGATTTCTGTGACATGTTGTTGATGGGCCATCGTTCATCTTCCAATACTTCCTGTGCATTCTTTCCATGTAAAATACGGTCTAAATGGGCTGTTTGCATCTGATAAAGAAGATGAATACTCACTGTATTCCCTTTTATTCTTCTTACCTGCCAAACATAAGCACTGTCATCATGATACCCAAATACAAGATAATCCTCTGCTGTTCTCCATTGAATTTTAGTGAGTGGATGGGGATAACCAGGAAAGATAAACAAGCAAGTCATGGAATCCACAGAAATCAAGGCGAGTGAATTATCTTGAGCAACAGAAATAACACAACCTCGTACACGCGTATCTTTTTGTTCTGCAGGTTCGATAAAAGAAGCAACAGGCATAGAATGAACCGCACATGAAGCAATATATTTCGCATCACTACAAAACAATTAATACGAAACTCATTTCATAAGACTCACTTGCATTAAATTCCATATTTTGACAGCTCCATCTTGTCCCCCAGATAAAAGGTAATGTTGGCCATGATGTTCAGGCACAATCATGCAAGTCACTGCATCTCGGTGAGCATGTTGAAAGACAAGCACATCGTCTCGATTCTGTAAATGATGGGATATCTCTGCTAAATGTAACAAGGCTAAGGAGAGAGGCACAATACATATAGTGCCTGATGCTATTGATAATAGATATTGAGTCGTTGTTTTCATAGCATTGAATTTACCATAACCGATAGCTAACCGATTTGAATCCACGGGTGCTGTAGCTGTAATATTACCAAATGTTGAATCGCCTTTATCTACTAAAGGCCAAATATTTGAGAATGTTGTGTCTATCAAAAGAGTTGAGTTATACGTATTGTATATCTTGTTCTACCTATGCTATAGGTTGTTTCCTTTAATGTTCTGTCTAAAGAAAGTGGTATAATAGAGAAACCAGAAGATTCAGGGTGATTTGATAGAGTGACAATCAATACCTTGTCGTTTGATGTGCGTAGAATAGAAGTAATTGTATGAAATGTCGCCTCTTTGACAATTAGTAATGTCAATACACCAAGTGAAAATTACCTCGAGGATCAAAACGATAGACATGAACCAGTTCTTTTGAACCTGGCAAGTTGAGTTGATAATCAAATACTTGACCATCCTATGGCTATGAATACCATATTGAATTGTTTGAAATGACTTACCAATGTCCAAACAATACAGTGATCTTTGCTTACAAAACTACCGCCTACCCAATGTGTATCTGATTCAATTGGAATAGAACACTGGAGATTCTTGTCCATTACAAGAATATGTGTATCTGTCAGTATCATAAACATGCTTGGTATGAATGGATTGCTAACAAGATCAAAGGCAACATCAAACTGAATGGTTTGTGTACTAGATTTGTCTTTATAGATGATGTGTTTAGCTGAATCAAAGTCCCATATGTCTAGTTTTCCATCCACTGTAGCAGTCAAAAGTCGCGTTTGTTGTGTATCTTTTTTTTCGGTTAATAACTTTCTGGCTGTGATCTTTGCTTGCTCACCTGGATCAAAGAAATCAATGCAACTCACCCAATTTGAATGACCGCCCCAGACACGAACAATCTATGCGTTGAGTATAAGCACATAAAAGATAGTTGCTTACTTCTAGATTAGAGGCATTCAGAATCGTAATCTCATTGGATTGTCCACAACAAAAAATATGCTTTTCTGAAAACTACGAGTTGTTTAGATAACTAGTCTCACTTTACTTTTTTATAGTCTACCCGAGAAAATACTTTAAGAAACCGAGGTACGCCATAAAACCCATTTGGATTGACGGCCTGACAACGCCCATCGGAGGCATTCCAACGTGCAATCTCACTGTTGTTTATGTTAATCGTCTCACACTCATAGAAACTCACCCGTCTTCTGAAGCACTGATCAACACGTTTTCTGATTTAGACAATGCGTCTGTTTCTGCCTTCAAGATACATAAGGCAACAACAGCTGATTTATGGCCTACAAGCATTAACTTATGCTAAAAGAAGACGTAGATTAATAACACTATATGTGTATACTAAGGCACTTGCCTCGAGTCGGTTTTGTTCAACAAGTGTATAAACCCAAATACTGCCGTCTTTTTGACCTGCATAAATATGTGTATGGCTGCAAGTGATACAGGTAACATTAGGGTTATTGAGATTGTACCAAACCACGAGTGGCAATGATACAGAGGAAGCCATGACTATCTTTCCGCAACAACCGAAAAACTTAAGAAAAGAAAAAGATGTTGATTTTGTGGGTGAATGATGACGGCACTGATTTGAACAACCGATTATGCATTGTTTATCGTATTCAAAGCTACTCTTTTTAGCTTTAAAAGCATCATGTGTCATAATGCGTTTTGCTCGTCTATACCTTACATATCTATAGATGTAAAACTAACTATCTGTCTACTATTAAATATGTACCAAAAAGAGCCTCTTTTCTACCATCTACAGTGTGCAGTGAGCTTTGAATGCAGATTTGAAAGGAATGTTCAGATGAAGTCCACTTTTTCGTCTTGGTAAATTCGCTTTATTTTTTTTTGAAAGTACTTAGAAATGCTCTTGTCTGATTTCGGTTGGATCAGACCTACATTGGGGTCATTTCAAAAATTTCTGATCGAATTTTGTTTCTCTTCACAGACCTCCGTGGATCACCCATCGATCAAAAAATAAATTTCATGTAACAGCCAAGCCAACGGTACCATTCGATTGCTGAAGTCAAAAGAATATGCTCTTAATGAAAAAAGGGGTCGTTCTAGTATTTAGGTTGTCGGGCAATGGCACATCAAAGATTAGCTCATTTAAGCTGTGATTTAACCTTTTTGCTCTAAGTAACATATAGAACTTGTCAGAAATCAACTCTTAAAAAGCTTTGTAAGTTACCTTGAATATGAAGGAGTATAAGAAAGTAGAAATATAGGTACTTTATATTGTAAATGTGGGAGTAAATCGACATAGGACATACATGATGGCTTTGTGTGGAGATTGAAAATGAAAGCAGTTCCACTTCTTCATCCCGCCACATCCAAGATCGAGCTTTTGCTGACAACTGCATAAAGACGCATTACAGTCGACGAAAATAGGTTGGCCAGCTTGAAATTAAAATGGGCCACCGATTTTAACAAAAATGGGTCACTGTTTTGAAAATGGATCATTTTAATACGAAAATAGGTCACCAATAAAAAAATTTAATGCATGCTTTTTATTTTGCCTCCTTTTTCACAATTTAAGCATCTCTGCCAGAACGTCAGAGAAAGCTTTATCCAATTCTCGCAGTCTTATCTGCTGATGTAAAATGATGCGTTGCGAATACGATCAGAGATTTTTTCATTTTGCCTGACAGAAGAGGAATCGTTATTTACAACAGTCTTCAGCTTGGACCAAAACTCTTCGATTGGATTCAAAAAAGGAGAATAAGGTGGCAAAAAGAGAAGTTTATAGCCACGTTGACCAAACCAATCTTCAATAAGTGCAGCATTGTGAATGGATGCATTGTCAAAGAACTAGACAATTGTAGCTCATGTTAGCCGCATCCAGTGCTATGAGGACTTGCTCTATGTGTTCAAGGAAGTCACTGCTGGTAGTACCCTTTCTCTTGAGGGCCTGAGCTTTCTCACCAGTTCGAGTTCGTTTTCAACGTCTAGCAGTAAGTACAGCTTCCTTTTTGGATAATGTGATGATCTGACATTAAATAAGTCTTCAATTACATACTAAAATATATCATAATCAGTTCACATCGAAAATAGACATAAAAGAACCTCTTGTACTGAATAAGACAATGTATCTTTTAATAGATCAAGACTTATGACCGAAATCCATAATTTACATTATTTAATTAATTTAAAGTAGTCTATGATAATAGAGACTCAGTCATTTGCATGAACTCTACTACTACTTACTCCGACATCTCTTCATATATAAATACCTAGAGAATGAAGAGCTAGAAAATGATATATATCTATATTTTTTTGGGACAATAAACCTATGCAAGTTCTAATCAACTTCTTTGTTTTTTATCTTCTCTCTTACATCACAACAGTATCTACCTTTGTCTCTACACTATCTTATCATATAACTCTCTATTATCAGAACATCACAGGTATTGACCACCTCTTCCATTGGAGAGTGAAGGCATATGTATGGATAGCTTCGGGATCCGGCAGCCAGGAGACGTACTTTGGTAACAACCTTGTCGTTCGGTCGGCAAAGAGGTCGATCGAGAAAGGTCCTCAGAGATGATTGATCTTGTGAAAAATGCTCGATAGTATCTGCCACTGGATCTTGAAGAAAGTTCGTCGAGATTCCATATCGGCGATGATATTGTGAATGCCCCGAATATGCTGAGCCTGGATGATGATATTGCGTTGAAGACACCAATTCCAAACTTCGGTGGTGTCATGATTCCTTGCCCATAGTTAAGATCTTTGGTATTATTGCTCTTTCCCGGCTCAATGCCCTCGTTCTCCCTTATCTGTTCTCTGTTTCATGTTATCTGCGCCTTAGTATTATCTTGTTTTTGTGTTCTGTTACATCCTGCTGTGTCTTATATTCTGTGTTCTGTACCTCCTGTTGTGTTCCGTGTTCTGTATTCCCTTGTATTCTGTATTCCCTTGTGTTCTGTATTCACTCGTGCTCGGCTTTATCGTATGATTTCGGTCTTCCTGTTGTTCCACCGGTTACTTTAGCTTTAGTATAAATACTGTAATAATTTGTATCTCGTTCCTTTTTCCTTTGTCAGATATTTTGTTTATCTTCTCGCATAAATAAATTATCATTCTCTTTGGATCAATTTCTGTAAGTATCATTTGGGGCTCCGTTCGTGACAGGTGGCGAGATTCATGAGAGAGAGTGATCGTGTTCCTCCCTGCTTATTGATGTAGGAAAGGCTAGTCTTGTTGTCGGTGCGAATTAAGATCGTTGAGTTGTTCAATCCTGGGAAGGTTTGTAGTGCAAGATGAGTTGCCTTTAATTTACGCCAATTGATCGATTGAGCTGCTTCCTCCGGCGTCCAATATCCATGAGCTCGTTGTGTCCCCAGACTGCAACCCCATCCTGTGTTGCTGGCGTTCACAAACATCGTTTGGGAAGGCGTGGAGGGTAGAAGTGATCGACCGTTCCATTTCTGTAAGTTGTTGTACCACCATATAGGTTCGTCGGTACTGGTCTGGTATAAAGGAAGTGGACGATCCCAATCTGAATCCGTTTCACTGCTTGATTCTTGAAATATAGTAGATGGCGTGTGTACAACCTTGCCGGGAAGATCGCAAAAGTAGCGGCTTGAATCCGCATTGTGAGACTGTGAATTATGCGAGGAGTTTGTCGATGAGGTTTGTCGATGAGGTTTGTCGAGGATCTGCTTAACGGATCGTCGAATATCGCGAAGTTTCTTCAGAGGTAGAGAAGCAGTCATCGTGCGTGTATCCAAGAGAAAGCCAAGGTGTTCGAGTTTTTGTGTGGGAGTCAAAACCGACTTCTTGTAATTGACCAACCAACCCAGCTGTTGTAAGAGATTCACCACCTCCTGAGCTTGCTGGAAGGCCTGTGCTCGTGTCTTCGCAACTAATAGTCAGTCGTCCAGATATGCCGATATCCAATACCCTTGTGAACGAAAATGCTCTAAGATCGGTCTGCAGACCTAGGTGAAGACATATGGACTGGAGGAGAGACCAAAGGGAGTTGTACAATATTGATACGTCTGGTTCTTCCAACGAAATTGTAAAAACCGTCTCGAGTCTTGATGTAGACCTATGTGTAAAAAAGCATCTGATAAATCGATTGACACTAGATAATCGTTCGGATGAATTAATAACGATATTTCCCTGAGTGTTTCCATTTTGAAGTGTGGCGCTACCACATTTTGGTTCAAGTTCTTGAGATTGAAAACCGGACGAACGCCACCATCTTTCTTCGGGATGAAAAACATCGAGCTGTAATAACCTGGAAGATCTTTGACTTGTTGAGGCGATACCTTCTCGATTGCTGACTTCCGTAACAGGTCTTGAATTGCTTGATCGATAAGATGCGATTGCTCCAGAGAAAAAGGGATTATTGGTGTTGGGTTTGTAGTGAAAAAGAATTTGATAGCCGTGTTGAATTGTTGTGTTGACGAATGAGTTGTTTGAAATTGTGATCCATTTTGAGAAATACTTGCTGAGGCGACCCCCAACTGGTTCGGTTGAGGTTATTGAATGTACCGGATCTAGTAGCAAAACGGATTGGTTGACTTCTTGCTGCTGCTGTTGTTGTTGTTGTTGTTGTTGTTGTTGTTGTTGTTGTTGTTGTTGTTGTTGTTGTTGTTGTTGTTGTTGTTGTTGTTGTTGGCACGAAAATTGGTGTTTGTCTGGTTGTAGGTGTTGTCGAAGGTGGTATTGCTGTTGGTGTTGATGTTGGTGTTGTTGAAACCACCCTGCTGAGAGGGTGGACCTGCTCGAAGAAACTGCTGATTCGAGGGAGCCGAGAAAGAACTAGAATTGTTAAAAGGTCGATTGTTGTAACGGTGACCAGAACGACGATGACCCAAAGCCTCGCAGGTAGCTTTACGCGCAGCCGTTTGTTGGATTAGAGTCTGTTGGAATTTATCCAAAGGGAGTGTGTAGTTAACTTCCGAGTCAGATTTCACCGAAAAAGAAGGATTGACCGCCCTAAGCGCAATGTTGTTTCTAGATTGCGTTATTGAAGCGCAAGTATGTAGTAAAAGTTTACGATCATCCTTCAACATGGTGCAATAACGTTCTAAATTAGGGTTGCCCGATTCAGAGGAAACAAGTTCATGACCCAAAGTATCCAAAGGTCGAAAAGCCGTCGACAATAAATACTGAAGATGCTTGAGATTACCGTCTTCATGACGTTGGCCTTTATTCATTAAACGTTCTACAGTGGGGATAGTGGCAGGAGCTTTGTATTCCAAATGAGACATTGGAGGGCAGGATTCAATAATAGCTTTACGTTCAGGCTCAGAGAGTAAAGGAGAAGTGTGGATAGGAGCTTCGAGTTCCATAATTTCAGTGAGTGCATCTGAAGGAGATCAGTCGTAGTGAGGTCGAGTACCCATAGAGTGGAGAAGTTGTGGAGCAGTGTCATCCGCTGACTGCATTGGTACCAAAGTAGTGTTGTTAAGTTGTTCTTGTAAAGCAGCAATTTGTTGCTGCATCAATTGAAATTGTTCTTCGATAGAGGACATGTGAAAGCTGTATAGGTACGAAAGATAGCTGGTAATGACCGAGCGAAAAAGAAGATTGATAGAATATGTTTAGAAAATTTAGTTTATATTTAAAATTTTTCGCTATTAAAAAAAGATAAAGATTCTAGCTGTCATGAACCAAGCAAGCCTTGTTAACCTTAGCACGCTTGTCTCAGTGTTCCAACCTTTAGTTCCAAGCATCAAGTTACCAGCATCTAGTTACCAGCATCCATGGCGTAGTTTTAAGGTAATAATGCCAAGACAAACAATGCCAAGACAAACAATGTCACTCTCCCATGTACAAATGACTCATTCCTCAGGTCATGAGGTAGAACGTAATGCCAAGCCTCGTCATGTTATGACTTAGCCCCTTCCTCACATATATTCCATGCTACCTCAACATTAGTATAAATAGTTTAGTTATTCTGTCGTTGAGTTACTTCTTCGTCAGTTATATTATCAACCTATAATATAATAAATATCTCTATATTCTCTAGCCCATTGCTAAGCTCATCTTGCCTATAAAGTATTCTTCGGTCTGTCTTGTTTCTGACAATAACCTTTTAGTTCTTTTCGACTAGAAAAGTTATTAATCTACTGTTAAATAGAATCCCTGTTAACATCAAAAATTCCATTTATTCAGCTCCCTGGTACTGACAAGTCCAGTAAAACTATCCTAAAACATCCTTTCGTAAAAAACATCATTACGGTTACTATTTTGGATGTTAATGGCGATAGTTACAGAGTTGGAGATGCAGAATGGCCTGACGGATCAAGATCAGACGTTTTGTATGAGCCATTAGATACATCCCTGAAGCAATCATCTATAATCGTTGAAGTTCAGAGAACAGTTGACGCCAATTTCATGGCAAGAGTTGTTCATTATTGTTTAATGGCTTATCGTCGTTATCGAGTCTTCCCTGTGCTACTGGTATTCGCTCCCGAAAATGTATCAATACCTACTGAAAACATGCGCCTATCAAATGTTAGTGGTGCTTGTTGTGATGTAAGAGCATCCTTAGCGGACTTTTCATCAGACTTTCTAAAATTTATACTTTTTTTCAGAAAAAAAGATTTGGAAAGTCTGTTTTTTTAGTGGACTTTCTAAAATAAAATTAATTTTACTCCTAAATTTTAAAATCAACATGGATCACAATATTACAATGGCTGCACTTCAATGGTTCATCCAAAGAAAGAGACAAAACGATGCTTTGTTTGATTTATTGTTGGAGCTTGATGAAGAAGAGGATACCAATGTCTCCAAGAAGCGACAACGTAAAAGAAACAAGGAGAACTTTCGTCATCTCGGAGAAGAGAGTCTTCAACGACATTACTTTCGCGAAGATCCCGTCGAAGATGAAGCTACATTTCGACGCAGATTCAGAATGAGTCGTAGATTGTACGAAAGAGTCAAGGAGTGTGATGTTTGGGTTGTGAATGAAGATATAATAGAAGATAGAAAGAAAACAAAGAAATACAGTGAGACTGTTCAGTACTTCTTTATTACAAAATAAATTGATTGTTGTCTAAAATATATCTTTTTCAGGTTGTCTTTTATACTACCTGATTTATTGACTAATTGTGATTATTGATTATTGATTACTTAACACCTTGACAGCTTGTGCCTGGGAGTTGACTATGTAGATTCTCCTTTAATTCTCCTGGTTATCTAAAAGGTACAATTATGGTTTCCTTATTTTTAAATATCCATATTATCCCAGTTACCGTTATTTACTGTTATTATACAGTGCTTACTTTATATTTATAATGTATAGTGCTATAAGTGATTATTCATTTATATGATGAAAGACTATTTATTATATTCTGTATTGAAAGTGCTCAGATCACCACAAGGAGGCAGTTATGCAACACGACTCTTTTTTTGTGCAATCTCGCGATAGGGCTCAAAAACTTGGTTATTCAACTAACCAAAAAGTAACTGCTGCTCTCCGCATACTTGCATATGCTGTCCCTGGAGACTTCATGGCGGAGTAACTTCGTGTAAATGAAGCAACTGCTTTACACTGTATGAAGAAGTTTTGTAAAGCAATCGTCGAAGTCTTCAAGAACGAATACCTCAGAAGACCAAATCAAGAAGACATTGCACGCTTGTATGAGGTAGGAAAGGAGCGTGGATTCCCAGGTGTTGTATACACAGCATTATTCATCCCTTCTTACACTAGTTATGCCTTAAAAGAGCAAGTATTAATATCATGTATAAATATATCTTTCAATCACAGTTTTATCCGCAGCTTCGATGGATGTCTTCTATCTTAGTTTAAACATGTTAAAGATCAGACCATCACATAATCACAAATTGACATCTGCATCAATACCAATGGTAGACGAGGTCTGTGCCCTGATCATGTACCCAGTTTTTGTGTACCTTAATCCATTCAACCGATTAGCTAGTGTATACACACTCAGTCCCAAATTAAGGATAATCAATTATCATACAAACTGTGGTGATCTGAGCACTTTCAATACAGAATATAATAAATAGTCTTTCATCATATAAATGAATAATCACTTATAGCACTATACATTATAAATATAAAGTAAGCACTGTATAATAACAGTAAATAACGGTAACTGGGATAATATGGATATTTAAAAATAAGGAAACCATAATTGTACCTTTTAGATAACCAGGAGAATTAAAGGAGAATCTACATAGTCAACTCCCAGGCACAAGCTGTCAAGGTGTTAAGTAATCAATAATCAATAATCACAATTAGTCAATAAATCAGGTAGTATAAAAGACAACCTGAAAAAGATATATTTTAGACAACAATCAATTTATTTTGTAATAAAGAAGTACTGAACAGTCTCACTGTATTTCTTTGTTTTCTTTCTATCTTCTATTATATCTTCATTCACAACCCAAACATCACACAAACAGTATAAATACAATACAAAATATAACCTTTAATAAAGCAGACTTCTTTTGGCCGTTTTGGTTCTAATTGACTTATTGATTTGACCATTTTATTAGTGATTATATCACACCAGGAATGCTTGGATCTTTAGACTGCATGCATTGGGAATGGAAGAATTGCCCTAAGGCTCATCACGGGAGCTACAAGGGCAAGGAAAAGAAAGCTACTGTTGTGTTAGAAGCTGTGGCCTCCCAAGATCTTTGGATATGGCATGCCTTTTTTGGTGCACCTGGGTCTCTCAACGAAATTTTAAATTTTCAGGGAAAAAGTTTTGAAAAGTATACCGAAAACTTTTTATTTTAGATAGTTTTGGAGGAAATTTTTATTTTTTTTTCATTTTAGAAAGTCTGATGGAAAGTCCGCTAAAAAATGTTTGACCTATCTAAAATAAAAAAATTTTCATTTTGAAAAGTCCGCTAAGGATGCTCTAAGAGAGAAGATAAAAAACAAAGAAGTTGATTAGAACTTGCATAGGTTTATTGTCCCAAAAAAATATAGATATATATCATTTTCTAGCTCTTCATTCTCTAGGTATTTATATATGAAGAGATGTCGGAGTAAGTAGTAGTAGAGTTCATGCAAATGACTGAGTCTCTATTATCATAGACTACTTTAAATTAATTAAATAATGTAAATTATGGATTTCGGTCATAAGTCTTGATCTATTAAAAGATACATTGTCTTATTCAGTACAAGAGGTTCTTTTATGTCTATTTTCGATGTGAACTGATTATGATATATTTTAGTATGTAATTGAAGACTTATTTAATGTCAGATCATCACAGAACCGTAACAGAACCGTAACAGAATCGTAACAAAATCGTAACAGAACCGTAACGTAACAGTTGTGAACATATATGAATTCGTATGCGTAGATCAATAAATGATGATCATGGCAAAAGACCAGATCACATCTATGGCAATTGCAATGGATCTATAGTCACTGACATTCACTCATTCTACTAAAAATACTACATCATTCTCATAGACAGAGATTATGAACCTAGTGGCTCTGTTATTATCAATGGCCCTCGTAAAGTGACTGTTAGAGCTGACACCTTCCTCCAAAGGCATTTCTCTTAATTGCTCCTGATCTGACAAATCAATCCGCGGTCAAGAAGCTAACCTCAAAACAATATTTCGACCGAAAAGAAAAAGTATAAATACCTCGACATTTCACAGCAATCGAAAATCATCATGCTTTCTTTCTGAAATAAAAACCCTATACAAGTTCTAGCGGACTTTCTCTGTGTTCTAACCTTTTCTCTTACTCTATATCTATTCTCTCTTGATCTCATAACAGTTGCTTTGTTCTATTTTAAACCAGGCTCACAGGTCAACTACACCCTTTCTTTGCATAAATTTTAACAAACTTGAGTCAAGCAAGCGACAGCTGAAAATCATTTTTGAAAAGCAACTGCTGCAATCCGATATCCTTATTGAATGCTCTTGATCATCAATTTTTTGGCTAGGTTCACTCTTGCAGCAGAATAATTACGACAGCCATAGTAGCCATAGTAGCCATAGTAGCCATAGTAGCCATAGTAGCCATAGTAGCCATAGTAGCCATAGTAGCCATAGTAGCCATAGTAGCCATAGTAGCCATAGTAGCCATAGTAGCCATGGTAACCATGGTAACCATACACCACAGCGTGAGCAACTGCATTTTTCTTCCATTGCTTACGCTGTAGTGACAACTCTATAAAAAAGTAACTAGAGCAATAGAGAAAATTATAGAAAGACTTTTATACCTCAGGCCTTCGTTGTCAGTGTGGTGGACTTACCTAAAAAAAGAAAAAAAAACATTTTCAAACATCATAAAAATATTGACAGTTATGCCGAAATTACAAGTATGCCATTTGCGTACTCAAAAAAATATTTTTGAAAAGCAATAAAAATCGCTATTTTAGAATTAAAACCATTATTGTAAAATAAATCAAAAATATTTTCTGCAATGATAAAAAATAAAAAAGTAAAAGATTTCATATTTTTGCTTGAAATTTTGAAAAAAGCTTGTTTTTCAATTTTTCTGTTTCAAAATAAAAAACAAGTCTACCGACTATTAATCTCTTCTTTTAAACTAAAACAGTAAATCCATCATCCGGTAGACTCGTTTATTTGTTTAAGGCAGAAAAATTGAAAAGTTGGCTTTTTTTCTAATTTTAAGCAGAAAATATGAAATCTTCTGCTTTTTTATTTTTCTGTCATTACAAAAATATTTTGTTTTGTTTTATAGTGGTTTTATTTTTTTTTTTTAAATACATAAGTGGCATACTTGTAAGTCGGTATGAATGTTAACGGAGTTTGAAAATATATGTGTATTTTCTTGCATTCATGAGAAGTTCCTGACATCCACGGCTATTACCGTGATCTTTTATGGCTCTACCTCTGCTTCCTGTAGACATATCAAAAATTATAGTGGTCCTTAATTTTCCGTATTTTTGATCTGTGCTGGTGTTGACCATACACGCCTCACTATTGACGAGTCGTACAAATAGTCCCAATTCATGAGAAGGACAACTTGACTGACCCAGTCAGCTACTGACTAATTAGTCTGACTACTATTCCGGAAAAAACAATCGAAAAATGCATCAAAGAACTTCTCCAAGACCAAGTATCGTCCTTAGACACTGCCCAAGGTGGCTTTAGAGAACGCAAAAGTGTCCTTGACCAAGCTCTTTGTCTTTCAGAAATTCGTAAGTTGTTTTTTTTCACAACAATACTCAAGAACATTAGCTCTGTACTTTATTGGAGTACCAGATAGACCTCTATACATTTGCTTCTATCCAAATCACCTCTATGTAACATGCTACCACAAACAATCTATTTCTTCCAACATCCAACCAAATGTTTCTATTTCTTCTCTGGTTACAAATTCACGCCCAGGCACACCATTAGATCAACGCTCTTCTCTCCATTCCTTTTTTACCCCCTATTCTCTTAAGGTGTGTTTTTTTTAGCTTAGTAAAGCCATTCATTTTTATAAATTGATCGAGTCTGAACAGTCGAAGGCCACATTGGACCATGTGTTCAAAAGGATCTTTTCTACACAATACATTAACAAATTTTAAGTATAAAATCGACAAAATTAATATCAATGCGCAAGTATGCTATTTGTATCAACAGGGAAACATTTCTGAAAAACGATTACTTCTAGGCTAAAAAATACAATCTCATCACAGTGTAAGCAATTGCATTTTTCTTCCATATTTGAGTGAAGAATTCTTATACTTTTGATGGAGATTTTCTTCTATCGCTTACGCTGTAGTGTCTTTGATTTTAAAAGAATTAGATTGAATAAATAAAAAATGAAGAAAATGAATATATCTTGATAAAAATTGTTTTTTATGTCCATTACGCTAAGGAGAAAATTAATTTTAGAAATTTAAAACATATACATTTTTTCTATCATTTTGTTATTCCTTGCTACTCCTTGCCATTAAATGACTTTTAATAATGGGTAACGGGCCTTGAATGGCTTCTAGTCCTAAAACTTTGTATTCAAGATAGTTTTGTTCTGATACTGAATATGCTATACATATTAGATTTGCATCTTCATAGTCTATCAGATGTCGTGGTTGTGAATCTTGTAGATATGCATATATATATCTCAATAAATTTGATAGTCAATAAAGTAATTTAGTAACAAGAGGAAATACTCTGAGTTAGATGCATACATGTACATTGATAATCGACGTTTTTCTCAAGGCAACATACCATTGATTTTATTAAAGCATGCAAATGACAATATAACTTTTGAGTTGGGTGTATCTTTTACTACAGGAAAGTCAGTAACCACACTGAAGTTGTAAGGATATGGCAATTCATACTTTGAACATTGAGTAGCTTAGAGCTAAATACCTACTCAATACTAGATATATATTGAGATGGGCTTCTTTTCTATTAATTAGAAATTTTTTGATGAACTTTTTTTTTCCATCTCCAAGAGCTCTTCTAATGCCTGTGTAGCAGAGATTGAAATAGAGCAGCTCCAGTTTCTCTTCCCGCCGCATCCAAAATTGAGCTTTTGCATTAAAAAAATTGAGCTTTTGCTTGGAACTCCATAAAGACGCAGTTTTTTGGCTTTAGTGTAGTGACAAAAGTTGCAGGTATTTGTCTTTTAAATCTACTGATCCAGAGAAAGCAACGACTCTTCTGCTAAAATATTGAGTAAATACTCGAAGCGTTTACAAGGTTTTTCGCTCTTATCATACCATTTCTATTATAAAATTAGCAAGTAAGCACTTTCATTGGAAACTGCAGCATTTGACTCACAGTTTCAGTATTTAAGCTTGCCTTTAGCTTTAATTTTCGTCTTGTAGCGTCAAAAAGAAGCTCAGAGAATTGTCAGCTTGAAGTTTTTTGTGAGTAGCACCCTTTGGTTTTGGGAGATTGATCTCTCCCGCCTCATTGGTCACAATCTATTTATCCATGATACTCAATCTCTATCCATAAAATACCGCACATGCAATACATTGACTCAACACTGTCGTATCCTCCTTCAAATTTTCAAACATATCCACAAATAAAAACTATTTCTCAAACCATTTGTCCTCGCTCACCTTGAATCTACTATGATTACACCTCCCTTAACACCTACAATATCCTTCATCCTTCTTGCCTGCAATCCTTTGTCGCCACACTTACATACTTTCAATCTGTCTCCTCATCACTAGTTTTCAAACCTGCACCTCTCACTATTTCTGGTTATAAAGCCTTACTTCCCCAACACATTCCTACACCCACCTCACCTTTTGACATTGCCCCTAATTGGAAAGCCTTTTGGTCACTTCAAATCGCACATCGCTCCCGCAACATCTGGTTCCGCTTCCTACACAAAAACATCAACACTCGCTTCTACCTACACCAAAAAGTATCGAAGCTCATCACTAGCCCTCAATGCATTCACTGTCCTTACTTCCGTCGCAACACCATTGACACACTTGACCATTTCAGCTTTCTTTGTCCAGTCAAATACAAAATCTGGTGTCACATCCTCTCCACATATATCGTTCCTTCTCTTACCGCTCCTTCAATTTACCTCTTACGACAACTCCTCAATCTCCGTACCACCATCAGTCGCTCCAGTCATTTGGATTCCCAGCCCTATCCACACAACAAATCTGCGCTAGCACATTGGAAGGTCTATGGTCCAGCCATTGGCGTTTGGTTTTTGATTTCACACCCTTCACCTTTTCTGCTGTACTCTCCATAATCAAACGCCTGCTGACTAAGAACTAATACTTTTTGACTGAAATCACTTTCCTTACTAGTTAAACTTATGCACATTTCCTCTCTCTTTCTTATTGCACATCATATCCCTCCAGTCTTAATTGTCACTCATTATGACATCTTTAGGACTTTAAATAAAACAAGAACATAGTTCCCTTACAAAAAAAAAAGTTTTGGGAGATTTTTGACCATTTTTCACAAGTCGCTTTTCTTGGCCCAAACCAACTCCAAAGATACCCCATATATTAGCAGACATGATTTATACATATCTAGAGTATTTATGCATGTATAAACATGCTTTTTAATACCTTTATATGTCTAGGAAAAACAAGAAGGTATGCGTGAGCCCTTGTCTTTTTCACTTCTGAATCATATTTTAAGCACTTCCCTTTTTTTTTCATTTGAAAATTCTTCTGAAATTATCGAGCTTTCTCGCTTTGATATGTTTGGCCCTCAAAAGATGAAATGACAAGAAAAAAAATGCTTTTTTTGTACGCATGTAACAAAACTTTGCTTTGGGGGCTACTTTGTCTTTTCTTCTTTGCTTTCCTATTACTATCTTTTTGTTTATCAAAAAGCAAATAATGACTGGTTAAATGTGTACTTTTCTTAGGTTAGGCAGCAACAACAGTGTTACACATGGTGTTGTCTATTTCTTTACAACAAGCAATGTCCTCTTAAAGACTATTTCTTTTCTGCCATCTTCACACATAATAAAGGAATAGATCGCTATGCATGTGCATCTTTTTAAAGAGCAAGAACAAGATGTATAGAAGCATAGATGAAATACATGAGTTGTATTTTATCAGCATAAATAATGACGTCAGTATGACTATGTTCTCTTCCCCTCCTTTTTTTTATTTTTTTTTTATTTTTTTTTTATTTTTTTTTATTTTTTTTTTATTTTTTTTTATTTTTTTTTTATTTTTTTTTATTTTTTTTTTATTTTTTTTTTATTTTTTTTTATTTTTTTTTATTTTTTTTTATTTTTTTTTATTTTTTTTTATTTTTTTTTATTTTTTTTTTATTTTTTTTTGTTAATTGGCTCATGCAGTCAATAGTGTCAGATTTAGAAATAAGGTGATTATCTTCATCTCTTTCACATGGTTTGCTTGAAAGTAAAAAAGAGCAAAGAACGTCTATAAAAAAGAAATGGCGCAGTCTTGTCTTTTTTCTTTTCTTTCTTCCTTTTACTTATCATCTACTCTACTCTTTCAATCAAAAGCTACGCTACCTTAAGGCCTCAAGACCACTTTTGCTCTACTACAAGACCTACTCTACCTTACTTTACTCTTCTACTCTCTTGGCCTCGTATGCAAATCTACTAGCCTCTTCTCATCCATCAAGGAGGTAGGATAATTGTTCTAAAAGACACGTTTACTGACTCTCTTATAGGGAACCACTTGTTTCCGTACAGTGATGTTCCAAATGCCCTCTTCTTGTCGGCGATGGCATCCATTCGGCCCTGAACTACGCAGGGCCAGTTTGGGCCGGTTCATTCGGCTCTGAACTACGCAGAGCCGCGTGGGCTATGAAAATCAGCACATTAGAGGGTAGCATGATGGCTTTGGTCTTTTGGTAAGTTATATATGCTTGAAAGCTTTTTTTTTTAATCGTCATTCTAGTTACTTGTTTCCTGGTTCATCAAGGCTCTCTTTCTATGGTTTTACTCTTCTGGTTCTATTTCTGGCTCTATTTTGTATTTGGTGAATCTTTTTCAAACCTCTTCTTCAAAATAATTGCCTCTTCCTAATAAATGAAATTACTTACACATCATTAAAAAAAATAAACAAGTCATTTTTCCTTCTTTTCTTATCATATATAATCATGATAAATCATTAATGTACTTATGCTTCTGTAATATTCAAAGTTGCTATGTTTGAATTAAATTCGGGTAAAAGCTAGCATGTCTATGAAATAAACAGGTTTTCAATATGAGACAGACCTAGGTGTGCTTCCTTTTTTTTATTAAAAGAAAAGAAGAAAAAGGCTACACAGTACGTTTTTTAATCCTTCTTTACTTTCATCTGCTCCTTTTCTTTCTTAGAGCCATTTGTTATGAAGTTCTTCAACCAATTCACATTAAAAGTAAGCCTTAGCTTTGTGTGATTTAACATGCGAATAGTGAGTCAAAGGATATCAGTAAAACAAGTATCAACATATATATATATATGCATAAGCGTTCTCCAAAGGACTTGGGTAAAGTAAGTAAAAACTATAGACCGCGATATATCTACTACTAATGATGACAATACTACTACAAAAGAGAAAAACAAAGTACATCCAATCTTTTGAATAAACATAGAATCAAAGCAAAAGACGTCTTTTTTCTTTTTTTCTTTTTCTTTTTTTTTTTCATAGAACTTGTCAGGCTTTTAATTTGATAGATTTGTTAATGGTTTAAACAGTGACGCAGTTTATTAGTTTGCTACAGACAAGGACCAGTTTTTATTTTGATATGAGATGATTATGTGTATGTGTATTAAAGTCTTATTTCATTAAAGCGATGATGGTAGTTTTGTGGTATTGTTTAAGTTGTTAAGCAGTAAAGAGCAAGCATTGTGCAGTGGGTAGCAGACTTTTTTGTAGCAGGCTTTTTTTGTAGTAGACTTTTTGTAGTAGACAGTAGGCAGCAGATCTTTATATAGTACTAGCCGTATCATATCGGTAACCTTGTAGTAGAATTCAGAGGATAGGCCTTATTACTAAAGCTTAGTTCTGTTAGCTCTTTCCTCACAACAAGCCTATCAGTGCTGAGAAAGAGAAGCACAGGTAGTGCTTGTGAACTCCTTTGCCAATAATCCCTACAGATCTACTGTGTATCCCTCAACCCAATGTTGATGTGCGTTTTCCTCTTTTGATACTTTGCCTATCAGGAGTAGACGTTTGCGGAAGTTGGCCAACAACAGATACCCTTTGTTTACGCGATTCAATAAGCGGCATCAGTCTTCTTTCTACCAACCAGTCACCAATAGAGATAAAATCAAAGAGAGGGGGGCCAGTTTTTCTTATTTACTTTTTTGTTGTTGTGTAAAGCAGATAAATAAAGTCCCAATAAATCGTGCATTGAATAGTTTAAGTCGTTAGATTTGTAGAGGAGAGACGCCTTAGTATTGCTTGATTTGAAGAGAGATGAACAGAGAGACTAAAAGTATCAGTTACATGAACTCAATGTTGTATGTATACCTTTTTTTTTATTCGAGCCTTGAAAAAAAAAAAAAAAAAAAAAAACTTGCTCTAGACTTTTTATTTTATTTTTTTTTATTTCCATGTGAATATGTCTTGCTAGCCAATTGCTTTCTTCGAATAAGGCCTCTTTTCTTTTTCTGGGTTTGTTTGTATTGTGCTAATTAAAGAGGCTGAATACTTTACCTCATTGAGGATGGAAGAGTTTTCCGCATAACTCTGGAAAATTGATTTACTCACAGGTATGCAGCAGTACATGGTTCTTTATGTTTCTTGACAGTACAGCATGACTGGTCGAAGAGATCTCAATACCTTGTTTAAGAAAAAAACACAAGTTGCTGTTCATTTCTATTTCAAGCATTTATCCTAGCTTTTGGACTTGAAGAGAACAAAGTGTGTGATCTGCTTTTGTTTGTGTAACTTAGTTAAAACATTTGTTTATGTCATATATACAATTCTTGTTTACTAAGCTAAAGATTGAAGACAATTTCTAGAACTAGCTCATGTTTCTTTTTAACTGAAAGAGGAAGAAAAAGTAATGGATATAAGCTCTGTAGCAAACAAAAAGAAAGCTTTATTTTTCAGGGAAAGATGGGCGATAGTTCTACGGACTATTCTTGCGTCTAAAGAGTTGATCGTATGTTTTATGCTTTAATGTAATACAAAATCAGGCGTTATCTTTCTTTTTTTTTCTTCTCTTTATGAACTGATCCTTATCAAAAGAAACAAATAGAAAGAGACAGAAAGAAAAAAAACAGGGGATATATAAAGTCTCGCAGCACTTTTTCTTTTTACTTCTTTTCTTTAAATCTTTTCTTTTTCTTTCTTTACTTTCAGCTGCTCGTTTCATGGTCCGGTCCCTTTGAGGTAAGTGCTCGCCTTCATCAATATCAGCGCATGTACCAGCTCCGGTGTGTTTGTTATAGTCAATGATTGCGCTTTCTTATCGACTGTGCTGGCTTTGCGATAAGGGAGTGTATAGACGTTGCCGCCGGTCAAGCATGATGGTGACCGTTGCTATTGATGAGGGAGGTTTTTCTAAGGATCTGGCAACACTATCAATCTGCAGGCGGTTGACATGAGTCAGTGAAGAGGGCCTGGGAGTACAAGTCAGTTGCCTTCACGCGGCTACTCCTGTGAGTAACTTCTCCATGAAGTGAAACTAAAGACTGACGCCATTTATTTTTTTTTTGAAATAAACACATGTATAAAATAAAATAAAAAAGTAAAGTCCTCCATGCTTTCATACCATTGTCTTGTCTTATAATAGTAGTGTGTTTCGCATGCAAATGAATATTTTGCTTCAAAAGATTTATGTAAGGCAATAGAGAATGAAGTTGTTTTTGACATGTTTGATTGAAATCATACAGATTAGTACTGGCACGACAAAACTATTATGAGGAAATAAATTTGCATTCACTTAGCCTTGATAGAAAAGAAAAAGAAATAGTCTTCAAAGCAGAGAGTATCTGATACCAGACATTTATTATTCGTTATATCTAAAACTGTGTGTGTATTTTTTTTCTTGACTTGAAAAGTGTCAAATGCTATAGTCTGACTTACTTTCCAATGTTATGCACATCGTTTGGTACTAGGATGAGTACTCGCTCGCTAATCGATGTCAACTGAAAAGGGTCTCTTTTACATCCTTCACAATGTACAACAGACTTTGAATGCTGATTTGAAGACAATGCTTAAAAAAGAAAGAGAACTTTTGCTCATGAAAGCGTCATAACTCATTAAATCTGGTACAAATGACTACATGTTGCCATCTGTTCACAGTTCTAATTTGATTGCTTGCTTTATCTATAGTCAAGATACATATACCTCAAAAGCTACAATCTTACATCCAATTATGCAGTCATTGTCTTATTGCTAAAATGTCTCAAATTAAACAGAAAATCTTATGCATCAACCTGTCAATCACACTGAGCTGTTTAGAGATTGGCTGGCTCATCTAATGCAGATCCTTGTAAAGAAGTAGCTAGTGATTTATCTGAACCAATTGTACTATCTAAGATTCCTTTATGGAACAAGGATCTCTGCAGAGAATGCTGAACCCTTATACAAGCAATCATCTAAAGATATGACTCAATGAACTGAATTATTTGTTTCGTTTTAATTTTCTCGCTCTTATTTGGATATTGGTAGAATAGCAAGGAACATCATGGATGAGTATGGGTTGACATAGATGAACACGCGTTATAATGAGTGACTATGGATGACCATAGATGACCATAGATGGGCAGAATAATAGAAGAACTGTATGTGTTTTGGCTTTTTGAAATTAATTTGCTCCTTAGCATAATAGTCTTGTGAAAAAAATTCTTTGTTAGTCTCTTGTGCCCCCTTTCTTTGACAATATATGCAAATTTTATACAGTTTCATGTAGATTTATGTTAATGTTTTTATTTTTATATTGTTTTTTATCACAATTTCTTTTTATATTTAATTTCTTTAAAGTTAAAGATATTACAACAGAAGCAATGGAAGGTTCCGGCTAGACCTTTACTCAAATATCGAAGAAAAATACAATCGCTTACGCTGTGACGAGAATGTAATTTTTTTTTCAAATCTAAAAGTAGTTACCTTCCAGAAATGTATTTCGGTTGGCACAAATAACATACTTGCACACTGTTGTTAATTTTTTGAAACTCATACTTAAAGTTTGCTAGTTTATTGATTTTGTAGAAAAGATCCTTTTGAACACATGGTCCAATGTGGCCTTCGACTGTTCAGACTCGATCAATTTATAAAAATGAATGGCTTTACTAAGCTAAAAAAAACACACCTTAAGAGAATAGGGGGTAAAAAAGGAATGGAGAGAAGAGCGTTGATCTAATGGTGTGCCTGGGCGTGAATTTGTAACCAGAGAAGAAATAGAAACATTTGGTTGGATGTTGGAAGAAATAGATTGTTTGTGGTAGCATGTTACATAGAGGTGATTTTGGATAGAAGCAAATGTATAGAGGTCTATCTGGTACTCCAATAAAGTACAGAGCTAATGTTCTTGAGTATTGTTGTGAAAAAAAACAACTTACGAATTTCTGAAAGACAAAGAGCTTGGTCAAGGACACTTTTGCGTTCTCTAAAGCCACCTTGGGCAGTGTCTAAGGACGATACTTGGTCTTGGAGAAGTTCTTTGATGCATTTTTCGATTGTTTTTTCCGGAAATAGTAGTCAGACTAATTAGTCAGTAGCTGACTGGGTCAGTCAAGTTGTCCTTCTCATGAATTGGGACTATTTGTACGACTCGTCA